GTAATATAAATTACTATAATTAAATACTTTTTAAATAAACTAGGCTAAATTAAAGCTATATTTTTATTATTAGTTTTAGTATTAGAGTTTATCTTAATAGTATATTTTCTAAATACATAATTCAAAGTCTTAAATACTCTATCTAATATATAATATTAATTACCAAAATCCTCTATTACTAAATCTTAATGGAACTTATTAGCTAAAGTCTTTAAATAATCCAATAAGAACTTAAGGCACTATAAACTATTAGTATTAGTTATAAAATAAGAGATATTTAATAATATAGATATTTAAATTAAAATATAAATATATACTTATAAAAATACACTTATATTTAAATATTTAATAATATATGCATAATTAAGTTATAATATTATAATAAACATACCACTGTTTAATGCAGTTATAAGAATTCAAAATAATCTATAATTAAAAGCAGACTAAGCATAGAAACTTATATAAAAATTTAACCATATGTTTTTATACCCTATTAGTATTGAAACCCTATATATAGAATATTATTACTTATCTTACCCTTTAGAGATGTAGAGGATTAGAAATTATTAGATATAATATTAGAAATAAGAACTATACTAAAAGACTTAACCAGAGGACTTTTAAAAATATATAAAAGTTTAGGCTATCTATTTATTTACATTATTAATAATTATATTAATATTTGCTTAACTTTATAACTTATTTTATATAGCCAACTTATCTATATAGATAATATTTTTATAAGGTACTTTAAATATAAAAATAAATCTAGATTAATAATAATAAACTACTATTATATTAATATTTTCTTAAATATTAGGATACTATTCTTAAAAAGAAAAATAACTAGAATAGGTTTAAATTATTAGAATTAGATATTCTAAATTAACTACTACACTTAATTATAAGATGATTAAAACTATCTTATTATTATCTTAAATATTAAATTAATATAAGAAAAATAAGAAATTAATAATATAAAATACACTAAATCTATATTTAATAAAATTTTAATAAAAAAGTATAATATTAAGATAATACTTACTATTAAAAAAGAAGATAAAGCTAAGAAAGAAAAGGGAAAGAAAAAGGAAATTAGAATAAAAAAAATAAAGATTTATATATATTTATTATTAATATTAATCTCAACTATTTTCTATATATTTAATCCTCTATTTAATACCTATTATCTATCTTTAATTTTTTTACTAAGAACAAGGATTTCATTATAAAACTTAAACTACTAATTTTATACATTAAATCCTACAAGTCTATAAAGTTTTAGGCTTAGGAATACATTCTTATAAAAAAAGGAATAACTATAAGACAAAATCCTAGATAAAATTAAGAATAACTTCAAAATACAGCAGATATATAACCTCACCCAGCTTCCTATCACTAATTAGACTAGTAGCTTAGCACACACTATCTTATAACCACAAGTGGCCTTAGGTCTTCATGAAGTAGTAATTAGCTGCTAAGCATACATATATATATATTATATATTCGAATTGATTCCTAGGCCAAAGCCGAATCCCAGCTACATTCTTGCAAACCCCGTCACAATAAATAAATTATTATTATTAAATATATTAGAAATAGAGATAATATAGTGTCCTTATTAATTATTTTTAAATTAATTTATTATCAAGCTAAGTGATATACTATATTTTAATTATTATCTAATTAGTCAATTATATATTCTTAAAAAAACTAGATATTAGATAAAATTAGATTATAATAATTAAAAAAGATATTTAAGCTATTTACTAGGCTTTTTATTTTTAATATATATTATCTTTTAATCTTAAATAGCTATAATAGCTATTTAATATTAGAATTTAATTAAATATATAATAAATATAATATTATTTTATACTATCTACTACCACATTCTTTATATCTTCTTTAGCCTTTAGATATGGGCATTTTCTCAGTATTAAAATACTCATATAAAAGTACTATTAAGAGTCAGATTCAGAATAGGATTTATTATATAAATAAAGAAGTCTTTTTAAAAATTCTTTTTTCTATATATCGAGAAACCTATACTATAAAAAATATTATAAGAGGTTTTTTATATACTAAAATTATACTTTATAATCTTAAAAAAATACTATCTTAATTACAAATTAGTATTAAGAAGAAAATATTACCTCTTTTATTAAAAAACACTATTTAGAGCCCTAAAACACTTTATAATATATATATATTAGAATAGCAAGCTACCTCTATTAAAAGACTTCTTAATATATCTAATTTAAACCCTTCTTTACCATCAACTCAAGTATTTAATTAACTAATTAAAGGCTTCTTAATAATAATACATAATACTACTATTTTAACTAAAAAAAATTATAATTTATATAATTTAGTTGATTAATTACAAAGATACTATAATAAACATACAAGAATCCTTCTAAATAAGAGTATTTTAATAGTTTCTAAAAACAGAGAGCTAATATAATCACTTAATAAAATTAATAACCCCCCTCCGCTAGTTAATCAAAATAATATTTTACAGGCACCTCGGCATGCACCTCCTAGATATAATAATTGCTGATAACTAGGGCATAAACATAATAGGTGCCCCAATCCTCCTAGCTAGTTAAATCTATATTTTTCTACTTCTATATACAATTTATAAGGGTTAAAAAAATAATGTGGGTCCTCGGTGTCCGGTTTACTCGGGTGTCCGGTTTACTCGGGAAATACGTTAACCTTGATCGTTGACCCCTTCAACCATTTCCAGTCCTTTGTTTTATTTCATAAGCATCACGTGCCGGATCCTGCTATTCCCAAAAGGGCTGTCCCCACGGGGGTACATCTCATGTGACATGGACCAAATTTTGGGCGCTTACTATTTATAGTCTAGCGCGACCTCCTCTCATCATTTGTAAGTTGTGAGTCTGCTACGATTTTTTGCACATATCGTTCTCTCTCTGCAAACATGCCATATAACAGTGCTCGCCCAGCGAATCGACGAAATCTGTCCACCCAAGCGTGTGATATCTGTCGTAGACGAAAGGCCAAGTGCACTTTGGACACACAAAACCCAGACGAACGGTGTAGTAGGTGTCAGAGGCTAGATCTGTCATGTACCTTCCGACTTCCATCGAAAGTTCGAGGACCAAAAAAAGGGTATGACACAAAGCAGGCTAAAGCAGCAAAAAGAAACAGAAAAAAGCGCGAACAAGAAGAGAAGAAAAGAAAAGAAGAGAACATCGATTACGGGTATCACGGCTGACACTTAGCCTAGAACAGCCGCGAGACATGTCCATACAATAGAAGAATCTTCAGATACAAGCCACGATGTTACCTTGCGGTCACCAAACCACTCGGATGGATCTCAAACATGGCGTGTCCAATCTCCGATCGATAGAGTAAATGAAGAACACCAGTATCCAACCGATATTATATGCAATCGAGGGCTTCTCATGATTATCATTGAGGACTTTCTGGAACTTGTGTATCCAGTCGTACCCATTGTTCATATACCGTCATTTCGAAAAAGCCTCAAGCAAGACCGAGACTGCACAGATTCCGGATTCCTAGCACTATTGATCGGTCTAGCATCTTTGGTAGTAGCAACAATGCCAAGCCGATTTGAATTTTACAGGGCGTATTGCATGCCTTTGCCTTTCCAATCTCGTGAAGACATGGTGTACCGTTGCTTTGAAATACTTGCAAGACTACGAACTCGCAGCTGGTTCGATGAAATCAACTTTCAGAAATTTTCAGCCTCGTATTTGACATATGCCTCTCTACGTCAGATAGGCGAGCATAACCAAAGCCGAATGGCAGAGGTTGAGATGATGCAAATCGCCCGGTTACTTAGATTCTCCGCGACGTCTGATTATCACGGTCTTAATTGTATTGACCAAGAGCTCAGGAAGAGAGGCTTTTGGTTGGTATTTTACGCTTTTGTGTAAGTCAGTTCACCGCAAGTGAATCAATTCTAAGCATTGAGCTTTCAATAACGGCACCTAGACTGTCTAATTATATTTCGGCATCAATTATACTAACGGAATCAACAGACATAGCGAATTACAGGACTCGTTCGGAGATCGCTTAGCCTTCTTGGATCCCGTGGCCTTGGATACGCTCAACTTAAACGATCTCCTGCCGTTTGAGGTGGACGATTCGATGATAACTGAGGATGAAGTAGTCATGCCAGCTACATCAACTCCGTGCGTGATGACGGGCTTCAATTTACTCTCGCGAGTATTTTGGGTTGCACTGCGAGACGAATCTTCAGATCAGAATCTACCGTGTCGATGTAATCGCACACGTGATATCGCCTTTCAGGTATCTCACTTGAAGAGTCGCCTACATAGCCTCGCATTCTCCCTAGAGCATATTCCGACGTTATTTCGACCATGGGCACATACACCTGATGGTGCTACGAATCCTAAAGCTTTTGGGCATAGTACTTCATCGCAAATTGCTTCCATGCGAGTCAATATACATGCCACCCATCTCTGGCTACAAAGTCTACTCCTAGATCAATTAGAAGCTACACAGCTACAACAACCTCCTGTTGAAATGGGCTTACCAACAGATAGTGATTTTTCGTTATCACAGCGGCGATGGGTGTGGTCGAAAAGAGAGGATATTTGCCGTCAACTTTTTTTCCTCTTAAACGGAAGCTCGCCACTAAGTTTGGAAATAAATGGTCTTCACCTAACGTATAAGGTGCGCGATATCGCATCTAGCTTTCTTGCTTGTCCATTCCGAGAAGACGAACCAGAATCAAGGCGTGCTGCTGAATACATACAACAATTCACTTCCATACTATCACGATTGGACAGAAGCGAGAGAGTTAATTCAATGCATTTACAGACTTGGGCTGATACAGACCGAATCCGCTTAACGACCGTTAATGGCATTTAGTCTTATTCGCGAATGCAATGTTTGCACACACACACACACACACACAATAGAGATTTGGGTGAAAGGGAGAAATAAAAACGAATCTCTTGATGTCTACATACGTCAACTTATAGGCCCGACCAGAAGGTCGTCTCATTTAGCACAACCTCGCTTTCCAAGAAATTACCACGGCTGCTGGTCCCAACCAATATTCTATAAGTATCGGCCTCACTGCGCCAGCTGGAAGCCTTCTCATCCCAAAAACTTGTTGCGCGAACCAAATCCAAGTTTAATCTGACATCTTCTTGACTGCCGGCCTCAAGATATATCTTGGCGAATTCCTTAAGCTCCTTCACTGGTCGTTTGATGGGTGGTGAGACGGGAGACACATATACTTGGATAACCTCCGCTCCAGCCCGTGAGCCCGTGTTCTTTATAGACACACATATCTCAAGTTCCATCCCACGATCCCTATTCAAGTCCAGCAGAGACAGCTCAAAGGTAGTATATGAAAGACCATGGCCAAAGGGAAATAATGGCTCGAGCTCTAGCTCGTCATAGTATCGATAGCCAACGTATACGTCTTCTCCATACAAGACTCGGCCTCCCTCAGAACGGTAGTTTAGATATGTGGGATTTTGTTTGATCGTCCGAGGGAATGTGAGCGGCAGTTTTCCCGACTATTTACGAGATATATAGTCAGCTTTCTCCAATCGCGTTCTTCACATACATACTTTTGTCATCTTACCGGATTAGTATCACCGAATATTATATCTGCAATAGCATGTCCACATTCGTTTCCTCCGTACCACGCTTGCAGAACAGACTTGGCTTTCGCAACCCATGGCATCTCGACGGGAGTACCGCTTTGAATTACGATCACTGTATTGGGATTCGCATCCAAAACACGAGATATCAACTCATCGCTATGAGGCGGCAATTTCATGTTGAGTCGGTCCTCACCCTCTGACTCCCATTCAGAACTCAAGCCAGCACATATTACGACTTGGTCAACATTCGAAGCTAGTTTGACGGCAGCTTCAATCCCCTCCTCAGGTGAGATCCGTTTAGCAGCGCCCAATCTGAAACCTCCGTGTCCGAAGTAGACCACACCAGGAACTCTAATCTTACTTGTCTTCTCGCTACCCCACTGGACAAGAATCCGGTATGTTTGCCCTGCAACCAGTTCAAGAGACTCTTTCTCTTCTACGGTTCCAGTTCCGAGAAAACTTGGTCCTGGCTTCTGCATGTCGGCATTGTTTATAAGCAGTTTACCATCGATGTAAAGCTTTCCTGTTCCCCGAACACAAAGTCCGAAATCATATATACCGGACTCTCCGGGGGTATAATAACCCTCTGCATCGGCATACCAAGTAGCGCGAAGATTAGGATGATTGTAGTCGAGAAAAAAAGGGCTGAAATCCGTTTCATACCGTGCTTCAAGTAGCTCTCGTCTAGGTGCCCCCGGTGGATCGTTAAAAAACTTGAGTGAAAACCCAACCAGGCCGTTTTCTGTGCGAAGTTGCTTCCCTATTACAGGTAGAAGTTGATGGGCGTAGACTCCTTGCGCAAAATCAACTCCTGCACAAGCTGAACCTGCTATTCCTTCGAATGGAGTGATAGCTTCGTATGGTTTCAGAGTTGCGCTGCCACCTCCGCTGTAGGTGGCAATTTTGGAATTTGGTCCTATAACGGCTATCCTCCGATTTTTGTTCAACGGTAGAACATGACCTTCATTTTTGAGAAGGACAATTGCATCAGAGGCTACCTTTCTCAACAACTCCCTATCTTCATCTCGGTTGAGCTCAGTCTCCGGAGCATTCTCGGGGACTCCTGATTTACTGGCCCTTTGCACCAGTTTCAGAACTTGACGGACTCGATTGTCCAAGACTGCTGTAGAGATTTTGTTCGATGCTATAGCATGATTGAGGGCACTACCGCGCCACCTTGTTGGACCGGGCATTTCTAGATCTAGGCCTGCCATGATGGCTTCTGAGGTGCTGTACGTTCCGAACCTAGACAGATAAATTTTAGTTATGAGGAAACATATCATTATTGGTCTGAAGCCCTTACCAGTCACTCATCACTAAACCATCCCAAGCCCACTCTCCTCGTAATATATCTCCCAGCAATTTCACACTCTCCGAAGCATGTGTGCCATTCACTTTATTATATGCAGTCATGATAGCTTCTGGCTTTCCGAGCCTAATCGCAATCATGAAGGGCAAAAGATAAATTTCTCTCATCGCTCTGTCCGTTACAATCGAGCTAACTGCCATTCGCTCATGCTCTTGGTCGTTACACACGAAATGCTTCAGCGTTGCTATGATGTTTTTGTCCTTCAGTCCTTTGCAATAATGCCCAGCAATAACCCCGGAAAGTACAGGATCTTCTGAAAAGGACTCAAAGCCTCGACCACCTAATGGGCCTCGCGGAATATTGATTGTAGGTCCTAGGACGACGTGTGCTCCTTTGGCTTTCGCTTCGTCTCCAAGGAGATTTCCGATCTTTCGGCTTAGGTCTTTGTCGAATGTCGCACCGATTGCAGTTCCGCAGGGTAGACAGGCAGAAGGTATACTTCCGAAGAAGCGTGTGCCTCTGACTCCATTTGGCCCATCTGATAGTCGCACAGACGGGATTCCTAGTCGCTTCACAGGCACCGTATGCCAAAAGTCGTCGCCTATATCAGAGCATTTGATTCAGCGCTGCTTTCTTCCGCATATAAAAGCAGTGGAATCACAATTACCTGACAACAGAGCAATTTTCTCATCTATATCTAATTCCTTCAATAATGATTCAATATTTGCATGTGCGATCTGAGAAAACTCCTCGCATGTTTCGGCGTGGAACTCAAACTGCGACATCTTTGTTGCTCTTCCCTGCTCACAGCGGCGTTGAAAAGCTAAGCCACTAAAAATCCAGTCATCCGATTCTGAGGTATTTAGATTAGTAGGGCACTCTACTTTTATATCTTTTATAAGATGGGCCATACATTGGCGCGCCAGGCATTTCTATATCCCGAAAATGTAAAACGGGAGAGAAAAAAGAGGGGGGAAAGTTCTGTTTCGGAAGGTTACCGGTATAATCTATCTATCATTTGATTTTTTTTTTTTAGCTATGTTTTCTATTAAAGTGTACGTTCATAGGATCACAGGTTTTCAAGTACGGTATGCTTTCTCCGTTTCTCCGCCTCACGTTGTTCTTGAATTTAAACTCCACCCGTGCCACCGCCCACCCTCAACAGCTGCCGTTGAGCGCGGTGGCACGAGTATGATTATGCTCCTTTTCTCCTTTTCTCCTTTTCTCCGTTTCTCCGTTCGCCCATCCCCCTTTCTCCATCTTTTCATTCGTGCGTAGAAAGAAAACGTGCTCGCTTACTCCATACTAGTACTCCGTACCCAGTAAATAGGGCTTTTCCGGGGACTCCATGTGGAGTAACAACTCTCTTGTTGCTATGATTGAGGAGCCATCTATCCGGATAAAATCATGGAAAAACCCTAAAATCACTTTCTAGACTCGGAGGAAGCGCAATAAGTTATATTGATCCGGGATATCTTCGTCGCAAAAGGATAGAAATGTGATACCCGAACCGAAGCCATGTCTCATAAATGACCCTGTTCCCCTCGACTTGTTGTTATGTTATGGTCTTTCGATATTCCCTATACTATCTCCGCATTGTTCTTTGTTCTTCACTTTCATAACCATGGATTCCGGCAAACCAACAAGCAATGGGGAGAATGAACAATTCCTCCCGCCTGACCATAAAGCATGGTATAAGAAGGGCTATCTGATTCGCCTCAACCTGGTCGCTGCTTCGCTTGTCCTGTTCTCTTCTTCTAATGGCTACGATGGCTCTCTGATGAATGGCCTCCAAGCCCTAGACCAGTGGAATGCTTTCATGAATTATCCAACTGGAGCTTGGCTAGGATGGCTCAATGGTATCTACTGGGTTGGCTGTTTTATTGGATACCCATGTGGTGCGTTCATTGGCAATCGATGGGGCCGCAAACCTGCGGTGTACATCGGCTATGCGTTACTGATACTCAGTGTTGCACTACAAACTGCCGCCCCTAACGACATTGCTTTCATGATGGCTCGGTTTTTCCTTGGTGGCGCGTCAGCTTTCTTCGGTTCGACAACACCTCTATTGCTCAACGAGATTGCCTACCCGACACAACGGGCAACTTGGAATGCTCTTTTCATGTCAGGATGGTACGTCGGTGGCTCCGTGGCGGGCTGGGTGACTTTCGCCACAAGAACCTACTCTTCATCATGGGCATGGAGGCTTCCTTCACTTTTGCAGGGCTTGGTGCCATTGATTGCCCTACCAGGGTTTCTGCTTGCTACAGAAAGTCCCCGATGGTTGATCTCAGTTGGTCGTAAGGAAGAAGCCCGCGCTATTCTTGCGAAGTACCATGCTGATGGAAATCTATCGTCTCCTCTGGTAACTTACGAAATGATTGAAATCACTTCTGCAATCGAGGCCGAGCGAGAAGCCCACAGCAGTTCCAGCTACTTGGAAATGATCAAGACCCCCGGCAACCGACGCAGGCTGTTTTGCTCAGTCACCTTGGGTATCTTTGCTCAATGGTCAGGAAACGGTGTGATCTCATACTACCTCGCTCTCATTCTCGATAACATCGGAGTAAAGAGCGTGAAGGATCAAACCGTCATCTCTGCCTGTCTTCAGATGTGGAATCTTCTCTTTTCTGTTATAGCTGGTTTTCTGGTTGATAGACTCGGCCGTCGTCCCCTTTTTATGCTGTCTGCAGCGATCATGTTTGTAAGTTATGTATTAGTCACCGGTCTCTCAGGTGCATTTGATACCTCCGGCAAATCAGGGGTTGGAGCTGCTGTTATCCCCTTCCTTTTCATCTTCTTTGCTGGTTACGACATTGCACTGTAAGTGATTTTCTTTTTCTTTCTTTTCTTTTTTGCGCCTAGAGAACCTCTCAGCATGAAAACTATAACAAATTGCTATATACAACAGCTAATCATTTATCTTCCAAGCACACCATTTTTGACGGCGTATCCTTGTGAAATCTGGACCTTCCGGCTTCGATCCCGCGGTTTGACTGTAACGTGGCTTGCAACAATTCTTGCGATATTTTTCAACACATTCGTGAACCCAATTGCATTGGGCAGTATTGGGTGGAAGTACTACTTCGTATTTCTTGCAGTACTAATCGTTTTCGCATTCACTGCCTATTTTTTCTATCCGGAAACAAAAGGCTACAGTCTTGAGCAAATTGCAATCGTCTTTGATGGAGACAATGCAGAGGTTGGAGACCCTTCATCTATGATTGCTAAATCTCTTGCCACTGAGAAAGATGTGGAGAGTGCTCACCAGGAAGAAGCATAAAAAGTACGTAATTCTAGTAGCATGAAGCTTCTACATAGCTACACAAAATATATTAACTATCATTATACACCCCAAGTCTCCCTCCGTTTAGGGTAGAAGCATGAATCCTCACATCTCTCTAGTCTGTTCTCAGTTCTCATTCTTTGTCGACTCTGCTATTAACCGATCCATACTAGCAGTTATACATATGAACAGAGTTGCATGTCCAGGTATCCTTCTGTCAGTTTGCTACTTGATGTTGGCAGGACAAAGCCACCCAACAGAGTGTAAGCACTTGAGCTGATCAAAGGTGATATTTGACCTAAGAGGGTCGCGCTTAGAGGTGATGGACAAAGTCTAAAAATATGTTACTATGTAAGGAAGATACCACCCTTAGTACCTAAGATAGCAAATCCCCTTTACACCGAAGGCGTCCTTCATGATGTACAGATATTTCCCGCAGTATCATCGAGTTACTTTGTAAGGGACCTAGCATCGGATTTTTTAGTGAGTCCGTCCGTGACAACTCTTCCGGTAGGGAAGTAATGAAACCCGTAAGAATAAAGCCAGGCGCAAGAACGCTTGCACGAATAGAGCGCAGATATCAAAACGCATCAAACCCCCATTTGTACTGTAAGTAAGAGGTTAGGTCCCATTCCGAAGGTTTTTGGGCCTGCTAGCTAGAAAAAAGAGTATTCAATGATGTCTTGTTCGAAAACATGTACCTCGCTGCATAATTACCTACAACAAAAGCACCGTAGAGACGACAAAAAAGCAACGGCTTGTATCTAAAGATGCCTCGGTTAGCAAACACATGGGCGCAGCATCTCCAGCGGCGAAGACTACGTGGTCGAGAGTAGAGCCTTTGGAGACGCATTTAAAGATTTTCTCGGCATTCTCTCGATGTGATCAGTCCTTGATAAAGGTTTGTAGCGTAACCTCTCACCTTGGCCGCATGTTCCGGGAAGGTCTGCAGTTGCTCAACAGCTTTGGTGACCCTCTCTTTCGACGATGAACTTACGGAGATGTGAACAATTCTTGCAAATCCCTTTGGGTTACAGCAGCAAACTAAACATTGGCAGAGCTACCAATAAAACAAGATATTCTTATTAGCGATGTGTTGGCATTGCTAGAAATGCCGATTCTGGGATGTGTTGCCAAACGCCTTTAGGTACGTGTGATTATGTGTAAGACAAGAGTAAGATGATACTTAGAACGCTCTTCGTAAAAAAGACAATAAACCAGAAGCTGTCTACTATTCATGGTTACTTACACAAAAGATTACTCTGGCCGTATCACATCTCTCATTATTAGGCTAGGTACATCGCGTCTACCATCTTTCATCAAGTAGAGTATAGCTTAGTATGTTCTAATGTCTGATTGATGCATAAAATCAAGGATTCCTTGTGTATGACTAGTGAATTTTACTCAAATATAGTATAGATAAACCAAGATGCTATTTCTGGCAATATATTAGGAAAATAGAAATTTATTAATGCATTCGGATTAACCAAGGACTTTGTTAATCGCAAAATTCTATGAGGCATCCAGCTTCGATCAGAGATTCACCGTCAACCACAATTATTCAACACTGTTTGTATCGTGGCCCTCGTTGCAGTCTATGGAAAAGCAGGAGGAAAGGGCAATAAATGCTATAATTAATCATCCACTTAGGGTAGGTCCAACCGGGGCAGACAGAAGTTCGAGCAACACGTCGACAAGGTCTGCCCCAAGAGCCGCGATCACACTGGGATCAGTTAAGCTGGTGAGGACGGTCGATTCGGAGCAATTTGCACTTGCTGGGATACCGTCCATGCGGTCTTCAAGCCACATAAAAGCATCAGGCGCCCCAAGGATGTCCATAGTCACATGGTCCGACAGGTCGTCGCGCTTGTACTCCACGCTGACACCGCCAGGGCAATAATATTGCCGTACAAGGGCATCAGTCTCGTTGACTGGGCTGACCTCGTCGCCGACCGATTTGTAGATATAGAGGGGTATCTCGGGCAGATGCTGGCCCATGGCATTGGCGTCAAGCAACGCAGTGGCTATTGGCTCGGTAAAGATGCTAGAATTATTGAAGTACGTGAAGATGTTTAGGTCAAAATATTCGATTATATCTCCGCTGAGACAGAGACTTCGTGTTTTGTTGAAGTCGGCCGCCTTAGAGGGCAATATGTTCTGCTCGATCAGTTGCACTGCACTTGGGTACTCATTTGCAAGACCCTGAATACCAGCGGGAGCCAATCCCGCAAACAATCCTCCGTTGACTGAATATATAACTGGAAGAATCTTTGGAACAGTTCCCCCGAGTGCAGCACCAGCAAGCTTCAACTCCGGAGCGTATGATGGTTGCAACTCTGCAGCAAAGCCAGTAGCCAAACTACCACCAGAATATCCCCACATGGTAACTGTTGCGTCCGATGTGATATTTGTGAACTCGCTGGATGCCAGAGCAGCCCGGATATTGTCCAGAGTGGCATGTCCCGAGAGATTGTTTGCCAAAAACGCAGATTTTGGACCAAGGTGGTCAGGTACAGTGACTACCCATCCTTTTTCGAGAGCTGCGGTGATCCAAAGTATTTCTGCCTGGGGCATGACCAACCCAAGGATCCCGTCTGTGGCGGATTTCAGCTGGAATCCATAAGACGGCGAGCAATTAGGATCCGCAGCATCTTCAGCCACTTGGTATGATAGCAGCTTAGTGAAATTCGCGTTATGTGGCACTAGAATAGTGGAAACTGTCGCGATTGCGTCTCCGAACGAATTGGTTGTCCGATACAAGATCTGGTGGGACGCTGCCAGGTTGATTGGGACCAAACCGAACGCTGCAATGGGATATGGCGGCGTCCGGTGACGTAGAATGGTGCCTGGCGCCGTAGACGCAAATCCCTCAGGAGGCACATAGAAAGGGTCATCGACTGGGTAGAGCGGACCTGAGTCTCTCGCAGTCGGCATGCCCAGTGCCAATAATGGCATCCATAGGCTTAGAAGCCAGCAGGAAAGAGTATTGAGTTTGGCCATCGCTCAAGGCCCAGTATTTATTTTCTTATTGGTACTCCAGATGCGTTTACGAGTATTCCAGCGGAAAAAACGCACGATGCACATTCTTATAGCTGCCTACAGATTCCGGAGTCACCTCGGCCCTTGTGATCGACCCATTTTCCATCTCAATGTTTGTTCTGGATTTTCCAAATCTCCGACTGCTACTATGTAGTACTAGTTCATGCGCGAATCTCCACAGGGTGTGGGTTATGTTTGGTCTCTTATGGGGTTTTCTGCCGTCATTTGCCAGATGTGACCTTAGTAGCATGATCCTCATCACGAACCAAAGGAAGCCAAATGCAGACTTAATTGTACTATTTTCTAGTGCCTACCCGCTAGACCAATAATCGAGCGGTGCCGCGGTTGAGTCGGTTCCTGACTCTCAGAGTTGGTAAGGGCTTGCATTTGCCCGGCACTAGAGGATAAGTAGTATTCTCAGTCGTCTTTATTATGTTTATTGGATGGACTGCGTTGGATGGTCCCATATTTTAGTTGCTTTGAAATACAAGAATCTGCTCATCAATGCTGAGAATGTGCATGGAATACTCTCCTGCACGCCGCCTTCGAGATTGGGCCTTTTATGAACTGTGTCATCATTTTGCCACGCAGCTTTATATGATCATGCCTCCTTTCACTCTATGATAACGTATTTCCCTAGTAAAACGGCCACATGTAAATCCCATACAAAATAGCCATTTTGACCCCCCTGCAATCTCAATAAATCTACATATGAAGTCGGCCTAAAAGTGAATATATCAAATAATATTCTTATACTAATATATAGATCTTAAATAATATAGGAACCCTTTTGTATTGAATATTGCAATAATTACTAGCGTAGTCTTTAATAACTAAAAACTCATTGAAGAGCTAGATCCTCAAATTAATGATAGTTCATATATGAATCTGTTGAGATTACAGGGGGGTCAAAATGGCTATTTTGTATGGGATTTACATATGGCCGGTTTACTAGGGAAGTACGTTATGCCCTCAAAATTAGTCACCATTTGTTTGCATTTCTTGTTACATTAAGCCTAGATTAATACAGGTTCATTAATTTACGCTGATAGCAAAGATACTCTAAAGAGATATATTTCAATGTACATAGCGTAGTAAATCCACGCTCAATATAACAGATGTGGATAAGAGATATACAAAAAGTAATGTTATACTAATGTCCTGGATGGGCCATTGTATCTAATCTATTCCTGTGTGCGAAAGGAGCCATTTCTTTCTGGTTATGTATGAATGCCAGTCATTTCGAGTTATAGGCACAGAATTATGGTCAATAAGAAATATCAGGGCTGAGTTTCATCGTCAAAGAGTAAGTTATAGTCATCTAGGTGAGCACGAGAGTTTGTATACTATCACTCTAACTCCACGCGCACAACATAACCATCACGACATTACATGAGATTCTCCAGCTTCTCTCTCGCAATCTTCATCTCACAAACCTGCTCGTCTTGCTCCTTGCATTCGTCCCATTTCCCGCATTTCTCTCAAGTTCAATATCCAAGGCCTCCTGCAACTTGTCCAAGCCCTGATCCACCACCACAGCTCCGGCAGGCACTTGAACGTGCTATAGGCTAAGAGGTAGAAAAAATTTTTTAAAAAAAGTCAAATTATTTTGTCGCGTGCTGATGAACAAAGAAATCACGGCTTTCGGCCGTAAACAAGATACATCATCGAATATTGATGGATGCTTCGATCCCTGAGTTCAGTTATCACATGGGCCAAGAGAACATCAATTTCTTCCTTGGACCAGCCTAGTACGCGGCTCAGCAAGGCGTTTGTGTATCCGGGAGCGGCCTGCTCTTGTTCAAACTGCATATACCGACCAATGGCCTTCTGTTTAGGATCTTTCGGCCATGGATTCATTGGAACCTTCATGACATGCATCGTGACGTCCTCAAAACCGACCTTCTTCATTTTATCCGGCCACTCATCCATGTTAGCCAATGGCTTTCCAAACTTGTTGCTTGCCTCTTGCAACAGCCCCATCCACTGCTTACTGAAGGGAGCCTTGTCTAAAGAGCCGTCGTCGGAAAAAAGTTCGATGCGAAACGACTGCAGCTCTAGGTATCCTCCTGATCGTAAATGTGCAAAAGCCTGAGCAAAGAGCCTATCAAAGTCTTTTACGGAACCGGCAAGCTCACGCCCATGAATGAAATCGAATGGATGGCCAAAGGGCCAGTCTGCCTCAAAGTCGTCGATCTCAAAGTTGCAGTTCGGTGGTGCCCTGTGACTAGAATTAGATGTTGTCTAGTGCTATTCTCAAAAGATTGCAGGGTCCAAAAGACGAACCATTGTGGTTGAATAGCACTGAGATCATTACCTAAGTAAAAGGTTAGAGTTTAAACGGTCAGGAACACATGCACACATATTGCAAATTGAAACTTGCCTAAAACTTGGGCAGATGGGTACTGGCTGAGAGTTTATCAGCACAGGCAACGTTTTCTTTTCCATTTACATGCAGAAATAGTCAAAAAGAGGGTGGTGCAATATGCAATAGATATGGTGTACGGTCCATACTCTGCGAAATCAATAGCCCAGATCCCTAAAGGATTCTGTGTTAACATGTTAATTCCTCAGACTACCTAATTCCATATCTACTCACCAGTTCCCGTGCCCAAATCCAGCACACGCTGTGGATTTTCTACAATAGGCGCGTAATGCAGTTCGCCTTTCAGCAACATTCGATATACATGATGGAGCAAATCCATCCGGTCTTGCTCTTGGTCGTCATTGGGCTGATGTTGTCCTAGTTAGCAACTCACTTGTTCATGGCTTGTTGAATGCCATTTTAGGAACCGTACTAGCATATATTCGCCTTCTCGATAGGAGTGATAGCGGCGTCCATTCTAAACAGAGTAACTCGATAGGTTAGTCGCCATGCTTCTTTCTTTCTGGAAGAATTGCCTATCACCTCGTATCTAATCAGAGCAATCAATCAGTTTGGTACAAACAAAGGATAGGGACTTGTCAGTTGGCAGTTCTTTCTCTTCGCATACTTCTTTCCACATCTCCTCTGGTTTGCAAATGCGTTTCCCTTCATTTTAATCCGATGCTAACTAGCAGCTGTAATGACCAAACACAGATGTTACTTACTTATAATTCAAAACACTGGAAGCAAGTGATGTTTGGTAGCTGAGAGAGTCCACGCTATGGGCAAGTTCTGTCGTCAGATACACACGCACACACACAAGGCAACAAGTATGAACTTCGTTTTGTTGATCTGACTTACGCGCTACTCTCGAAGGCGGAATCTGTCTCGACACTCTAAATAAGGTTTAGTCAGCCCCATATCTTCGTCTACTTGTCTTTCATTTATTTCCCTTTCCCCTTCCCTCTTTTCCTCTTATCTTAGAAATGCGGGGTTGGACTCATCTGTCATACATCAGCTTCAATAGATGAATCCGTCGTTATGCGTTCGGCCATAACGATCCGACGTCGGGCACACCAAAGAAAAAGCTAAACGCGCCCTTCCGTAGAAATGAGCCTTTGTTTAATACTAAAAATAAAATGGAGAAGAACAGAGAAAAATCGGGGCGCAAGAGCAAGGACGCTAAAGTTTACCACAAACCTTGCAGGAATAGGCATTCTTTGTTATAAGTTTATAAGTAACCGTTTTCTTTGTTTGATAATCATTAACTATACATATCCCTTTTTATTCCTCCCCTCCCCCTTCCTACCCAACGCATTGACATAGCCTTCCAATGTCTTTTTGAAAACGTCAGCGTGGACTCAAGCGTCCGAGACGCCCCGCCTTCCCCGGGCCAGAGGCTGTCCAACGCGGCGGTGCCAACTAAGACGTGTGTGTCTTTAATCTTACTTTACTATATTACGATGCAAGACGGGACGGATAGCTCCACATGTTCCGAGCTTCTAGCCTTCGCATGTTAGGGAATAATAATTATGATTGGTTTAAACTAGCATGTCGCGGAAAGCTTCTTTGCCGGGTTCCCCGCGTGCAAACCCTAACATTATATGAGTTTCTCTTCAGCATATGGCAAGATAAATGTGTATTTACGGAGTGCGTGTGTTCTATAGTCAAGTATAGACTAGCTTTTGTAACACGGCGTAATCGACGCTTTATATTCTATTCGAAGTACTGCGTATTACGTGTCGTGCGTAGTATACTGGTTTTTAGTTTAGGATGTTCGGAGTACATTACTGATGATTTTGCAGTGTCTCCACATACAAACAGTGATCCTGCAGAAAATATAGTCCTATGTGAATGGCCTCGAACATGAAAACTGTCCGCTGAGGATAAAGCTCGTGCAGTACTAATGAAAATCAAGGTGTCAAGGCCAAGCCGACCTAAAATCTAGCCGTAACATATTGCGATGATCGTACTTGGCAGGTATCATTCGGTACTTTGTTCCAAAATTCAACGGGCCAATTTTGAGTAACTTTAACAAGTATTCTTCAGCTAACGTCATCTGGGAGCCAATGAGACCCAGCTCAAGAATGGGCTTTGGCCCCGTTGCTTCTTTAAAGTCGTCGATTCTAAATATCGAGTTGTTGCCTGAAATATTCTCACCAAGAGGCTTCAATGTTTGCATCCAGTCCATAACGTAATTTGGGTGACGAAAAATTGTATATCAATCAATACACACCCCTATAACGTATCCTTGGCGGTATGTCTGCGATTTCCTCTCTAGTCACCAATCTTGGCAGGCACAAAATGAAGCAGGTCATAACGAGGAAAGGCTAACTACATACTCCTGGCGTTTCGCGCAGCTGCGAAGGCCGAAAGGAGTAGAGAAAAGAACTAAAAACAAGAGAAAAGAACGTGAGTCCAGTGATATCACAAGGAGCAATGGTGGCCTCAGTTGGGTGGCAAAATTTCTTCTATTATGCCCTAACAGCATGGTTATTTTACTTGATCGGTGGTGCTGTATTTCGACTATATCTTCACCCGTTAGCAAAATTTCCAGGGCCGAAGCTTGCCGCCTTGACTGGATGGTATGAGGCCTACTATGACCTATATTGCAGGGGCATGTTTGTGTGGAAGATTCAAGAGATGCATGAAAAATATGGTAATGTGATTCCGCGGCTATCATTTTGGCAGCTTCAATGCCGGTCCTTGGTTCAATCTTTGTGCCAGTTTCTAATGCTCTTTCGAAAGGTCCCATCGTCCGAATAAACCCACATGAGCTACACATTCGAGACTCCGAATTCTACGAACAGTTATACGCACCTGCAGCAAAAAAGCGAGATAAATATAAAACCTGGGTAATTCTTTCAGGTACACCTGATGCTTCCTTTTCCACTGTTTCGCACTCCCACCATCGCGTGCGACGAAATGCGCTCAATCCTTTCTTCTCCAGGCAGGCAGTCCAGCGTATGCAGCCGTTGATCCTTGAAAAAGTTGAGCGTTTGGCCTCTCGCCTGTCTGAGGCAGCTCACTCCCAGCGTGTAGTTCGTCTAGATGTTGCGTTTATGGCTCTGACTATGGATATCATCTGCCACTATGCCTTTGGCGAGAGCTACAACTACCTTGCACACGATGACTTTCACGTGGAATGGAAAAATTCAGTTATTTCTGCTTTGGAAAACGGCATTTTTCTCCGCAATTTTCCTTGGGCCTTGCCCTTGCTCAAGTCCATTCCATACTCCGTTCTCAAAGTACTTCAACCCAACGCTGCCTCCTTAGCTGAATGGGCGAATGTCGTTAAGCAAAAGGTAGACAACTTATTGCAAGAAAATGCAAAGGGGAATAAGTCTAGTGGGACTATCTTCCAAGCAATGCTTGACAGTAATCTGCCGCCGGAAGAAAAGTCCACTGCGCGCCTGATAGACGAAGGCCAATCAGTCGTAGGTGCTGGCAGCGAGACCACAGCCGGTACACTTAGTGTCATCTTGTTTCATTTGTTGCAAGACAAGGGACTTTTCTATAAATTGCGCCAAGAGCTTGCATCGAGACCATCAAAGGGGTCGTCTTTATTACAAGATCTCGAAAAACTTCCGTATTTGGTAATTTTCTATTCTTTATTTTCACATTTATGTACATCAGAATCTCTTTAACTAATTGTCCTTCTCTAAGACTGCCATTATCTACGAAGGCCTGCGGTTGAATGTCGGCGTGATGAGTCGTTCACCTCGCATTGCCCACGAGATCGTTCAATATCATGACTGGCAAATTCCTCCTGGTGTAAGTGACATCCATGTTTTCTCTTAATCTTCTACTCTTGAAACACCCCGAGAGCTTTAGTTTCTGTTACTGATGTTCTCAGACCCCGGTAAGCGAGTCTGTTTACTTTGTACATCAGGATCCAAAAATATTTCCTGAACCAAAGAAATTCCGCCCAGAAAGATGGATTGAAGCCCAACAGAATGGCTTGAGATTAGATCGTTACATGGTTTGTTTCTCCAAGGGTAGCAGATCGTGTCTAGGCATCAAGTAAGTCATTGCCTCTACATGCATACTGCCTTCTATTATGGTCGCATCCTACGCCAATTACTAATGTATACATGTACAGCCTCGCCTATGCAGAGTTGTATCTTACGCTGGCCAAAATTATTCCACGATTTGAAATGGAACTGTATGAAACCACAATTGAAGATGTTGAACCGGCGCGTGATTTCTTCGTGCCAGTTCCGAACCTAGATTCAAAAGGCGTGCGTGCTAAAGTTATAGCAGTTCTGTAGAAATTTGATTGATGAATTAAGATGCTAGTTACGGTGTTCATTACGTCGAGTCAGCGCTCATATACTTCGTTCGCGTGTTGGTTCAGCATTCTCAACTTGTATATTCATCTTTCAATACCTGAAAACCAATAACAAGCACAATTTAACTAGCAGAGCAACATTATGGCGCAAAGCTCTTCAGAAGTTTGATACTATACACGAGGGATATTTCATCCTCCGCAAATCACACACGCATAGTATATACTGAATAGTAGCACATATCAAACTTGCGAGGCAGCTCCATCCCATGGTGGAGACACGACTATTAGGGCTACAACCACGATAGTAGGTCAGATTGGAAAACTCGTAAATTGAAATTCTCAAGATATATACCAAAATTTTTGAATCTAGTCCTTGTTCGGGCTATCTCGCTCTGTTAAAATCCATGGTAAGTCAAGGATAAGCCCCGCAGCTGAATCATATCAAAGACAGCTCATCGAGATGCTGCAGGACTACCTGTTGGGCCCACACACACTGCACTCTCGCGTTGGCTATAAGCATAGATCCAATACTTTCGGGGAAGGCATCTTGCAGCTTCACAGATTGAGACTTGCCTAGTTCAAGCGAGAGCAAGAGCCAATAGAGTGGATCATCTGTTTACACATAAGAATTCTCTCGCTTAAAAAAGCAGTTGCAGTTGCTAGTAGGCCAGGAGGTTCATGGTAATCAGAAAGCACAACAAATAGTGGTAGCACACCCCTCTTTGCAAATCCCTGATATATCAACTAACTAATTAGTAGTAATCTCGACGGAAAGTCCGAGCGACCTTGGCCGCCTATATTTCGGCCCTGTTGCTGATTTCAGATCAGCTCAAGTAGGCCACACTACATATGCACGTATGTTAATCTACGGGGATTAATTTTCGAAACTAGTAGAATGGCTACATTGGGTTCTTAATAACTTGTGCATCAAAAGAGGGGGCCAAAGCAGCAGCCCCGCGCGCAAATGGATGAATGAAATGTCGTCGCTCGAAAAATGGTTTTGCCCCGAGCACCTGTCATGGATGGATCTTTTTTTTATTGTATACCTATCAATGCTACCTTATCTGGTTAACGAAATCGGTGCCCTATCTTTTCCAAGCACGCCTAGCTGCTTTATTCACCTACTCTTGTGAGAAGAAATAGAAGTCCTAAGATCTCTACTCAAGAATCCAGAAAAGTGGGTAAATGTGACAAGTCGTACATTTTACCGTGTGACTGTGAAGTTTAAATTTCTTCAGCTGGCTAGAAACACGCTTGTTTACGAACGTGCGTAGGTATTCGTATGCTTTGGTTTAATTCCAGGATGTCAACGTAGGCGCAAAAGCTAGTGCTTGTAAATCCTGCTAGCTTTCCAATCGTCTGCTAGTCGTAAGCGAACTACACAGCACGTATCACATGCATACTTTTATATCAATCAACCTTGATTAGACCCATGCTTGCCGCTTGCATATCGTTGCGTCGGAACATTTGATTCATAATTTCAGAGTAACTTATTTTGCATATGCATATGCAATACTTCCTGAAGTAATTTCTGCTTAGTCACTGCCTCAGAAAAAGCAAAAACAAACAAGTCATCAACTGGCGTTGCCAAGTAGCACGGTTTTTACGCCTTGGGAGAGTTTTGGTATTATCTATCAGGTCCAGTTTCATTTATTTTGCTCTAATATCAAGTGAGTGAATAAAAGGAGAATTTGAATAGCATACCAATACCATAAAGGGCCTATCGCATTTATACACATATTGAAATAATCGAGGGGTTGACAAATTTCTAGGGCAAAGGATACCACGTGAGTATCGATCCACCCATGAGATCCGTCTTTGGCCTGACAGCCTCATTCAATAGAGTGTGAGATCTTAAATTGTCTGCGGAAATTCAGAAAAAACAGGGCGTGCCTGATTATTTCATTATTTTCCCGACGAACTACAGGTATTTCTTATATACGACCTCCGAATGCGTTGCTGCAATGGATGGCTTATGCTTGGTTATTTCCTGGGGCTCTCGCACCATACACCATATGTATGTTTTAAACTACCTACGCTGTACTTAGGTGATTTATACCTAACTCAAGCAGAGTTTCTAAAGCTGCCGAATAAACGGGCTGACCTGTGTTATCCAAACTAGGTAGACTATTACGATTATGGAACATTGATAATGAGGAGATCGGGGGTGAGGAATAAATAAAAATTTGATCGGCATGCAGAATTTTATGCCATTAATACGATTGAGAATGTAACCGAACGATGACGGTCATTGAAATAGTCTATGCATTTGGATGTTTATCTATTCATGCAATATTATTCGTCATCATGCCCATCGACTTGCCTCACGCTCTTCCTCTATCCGAGACATGTCATCATCATCGCCTTCGTACTTGTAATTCAGCCTGCGTCCACCAGTCAGATTACGTTCATGCTGGCGGCGAGAGCTCTTGCTATCGCGGTCTGTTGTCATTGCATCACGGCGCTGCTGTTCCTTCACCATCCGCTCACGATTACGAGCCTCGCGCTCTAACGTATGTGGATCTTTTTTCGATGGCACCCCCCCAGGCTTTGTACTTGGGCGGTCTCTTTCTCTCTCATTGTCGTAATCATCACGATGGCTGCGCTTAGAACGACGGGACTGGCGACGAGAAGAGTCACTATCGTCTTGCGACGGTGAACGATCGCGACGAGAACGTTTGCGATCCTTTTCGCGGTCTCGCTCGTGCCTTTTATCGCGATGCTTTTCTCTTTCCCGGTCGCGCCGGCGTTCTCGATCTCGGTCTCGATCATAGTCACGATCATTGTCGCGGTCTTGGTGATCCCGTTTGCGAGCCTTGCTTTCACGGCGATGACTGGAGGTACCTTTGCTTAACCGCTGAGCATTAGCAATCCGACTTGCGAGGTCATATTTGTCGGCGCCATCGGCTTCCAAAGCCGAGTCACGACCACGATGTCGACTGTCACTGCGGCTGCGATGGCGTCGCGACCGGTAAGACCGGTGACTCGATTTACGATCCCGGTCCTTATCAGGGCGATGGCTTGAGCGGCGCGAGTCCTCTATTTGAGAGGGTGAGCGCGAAAGTGAACGGTCTTCTCTGTCCTCACGACGAGACCGTCGCTGACGGTCCTTTCGCGTCTCTCTATCATCACCACTACCATAAGCGGATTCAGAGCGGTCTCGTCGGTGGTCGCGATAGTGACGAGACTCTTTTGGTATTGGTGATTGTGCCCGTGACCCACTCTGATAGTCCTCTTTAGATGGCGAAGGAGAACACGATTTGGGCTCGGGTACAGACGGAGACTGCGGAGGCACATTTTCCTGCATTGTCGTTGGAGTTGCGCTGGCGAGACTGTCAAGTATCAATGTCATGCAAATCATCATTCAACGTATGTGTGCATGTAGCTTACCTGTGGGAGTCATTTCCTGCATTTAACGCAGTTCGCCCCGAACTACCAAGTGACCGGCCCCTGGTACTGGTATTCGGAAGACCTTCACGCATAGCTCGTGGTGCTACCGGAGCTCCGACAACGCCCTGCCCAGCGGGTGGTCCCTGGATGTTGTTGGCATTGTGGAAACCACCGCGGTGAGATATGAACCCTCCTCGATTGTAACCTCTACCACGGCCATATCCTTGATCCATGACGGGGAATGGCCCTCTGGAGTAACCCTTAGGTTGCGACGGTGCGCTATCGATAATGTCAATAGTAGGAATACCTTGTAAATGAGACGGAGAGCTTTCAAGTTTAGCTGCTTGCTCGGGATTGTTAGAATCCGATGGTTTATCAGTACGGTCAAGAGGGTTAGCAAGGCCGGAGCTTTCCCCGTCATCAGGCCCTGTTAATAGAGTAGTGCTATCTTTGAGAGGGTCCTCTGCTAAGCCACTCTCGCCACCGGGGGCTAGCTCATCGTTAAATGTTTTAGGATCATCCTCGGTTGTTTCTGCTGCGGTGTTGTTCACAGTCCCCTGAGATACACTATTTTGTTGATAGTAGTTAGCATGCACATGCCCATCGTATCCACCACGACCACGGTAATAACCACGGCCGCGGCCTCTTCCCATGCCTCTCATATAGCCGGGTCCGTTTCCATAGTAGCCATTATGGTAATTTTGGTTAGGGTACTGCTGCATTTGAGAATAATTCCCGTTGTGTTGGGACATGTAGCCAGCATATCCAGAGGTACCATAATTTTGGCCCATACCATTCGAGTACGCAGTTGGATTGTACATATTGTTATGAGAGTTGTCCCAATTGTTATACATCTGCTGTTCTGCACCAAAACCCATATTCATGCCATTGCTCATGTTATTCATGTTCATACCATAGCCCCCGAACATTCCCTGAGCTGCAGCCATTGGACCCATTCCAGGCAATCCTTCCGGGGTTTGTTAGCATATTTCTAGCATGTGTGCGAATGAGTAAGAAGGTGGACATACCCATGGGGTTTTGAAAGTTGCCCATCGCATTCGGCATAAACTGTGATATTGCGCTAAAACCCTGTCCGCTCCAGCCCATGGATGGCATCATACCTGGCGCCATACCAAATCCCGCATTAGGAAACACTTGATTAGATTCATTGAGGACGGCTGTATCCGACTGCGCGATCTCTTCGGGGGTTTCAACGTCGGCCGGCGTGTCATTTGCGACAGCATTATCAACTTCGTTCTCGTCTGTAGGAGCAGCCGTCTCCTCATTTTCCTATATGCAAACAAGTAAGATACGATGTCATGAAAAGAACCATCAATCTTGACAAACCTGAGCTGACACTGGAACTTTAGTGACAATTTCCTGCTGATCGTTTGAAGGTTCATCGACAGCAATAACCGGTGCAGATTCGGACTGTGCAGCTTCAGTATGAGTAACATTATCCGAAGCCTTGTTTGTCGACTCATCATGAGCTTCAGTTGCCAGGCTTGTGACAGGCGCAGACGGTACGGAGACGGCTGGTGTTATGGAAGCTCGATCTTTTTCGCGCTTCTTTTCTTCTGTTCGCAGAAAAGCCTTTAACGTAGTGCGAAGCGCTTTATTCGGTTTGCAGAGATCAGGCGAGACGGGATTGTGGTCGCAGACTGGACAGCTATCAGGAAGTGATGTCTGGCCTAAAGAATGAACTGTTAGCTCTGAATCCAGGAAACAAAGAGCAGCAAAGCGAGAATATAAACATACAGCTCTCGCATATTGCCTGATCGCAACATGGTAGGCGAAACGCATTTATTGCTAGTTTATTGCAAATAGCGCAGCGTAGCTTAAAAGGGATGTCATCCTGGGCAAGAGAGCTGCGCCAATCAGTTAGTCCGCTTTGTGCTCGTATATCTGCCTGTTTCAAAGACGCGGTCGACCGGTAAACTCACGAAATGATATCCAGCAGACTCTGAGAGAGCTCTGTGCTAGCCATTATGGACTGACAGCCCTGTCGAAAAGCCGACTTTGTTTCTTTTTTGTGGCTTTTACTTTTTTTCTTCGGGAGGAGAATTCGGTGGTTTATCTCAGGACGAGATAGCAGCATGTGACAAAGCGTCAACAAAGAAAGGCATGACGACGTAGCTGAAACCCATCTACTGTTTCGATAACCGTTTCAATTGAGTGGGTGGAACATTGTTATCGATGGTCGCTGGAGGTGTCAATTTGATGTGCCGCACCGTATGGGGCAGTCCGCATTTCTTCACGACCGGACCGGAAAAACAATTTTGCGATATATCAGCCTTTGACCACCTTCCGCGGGGCCTTTTCCCCCCATCTTCTACGAGAATATGAGAATATGTGAAGAGAAATAGAGTAGTGATGGAGCTAAAAATTCATCGATTCAAAGACTATTCCCTTATCCACACGTGCCCTGTACATGAGTGACAGTCGACAAATAGCTTAAGAGCGGTTGCAAGAGGTTTGCTAGCAATATCATAATCAAGAGCAGGTCCTCAGATTAGATCAAGTAATTGGATCACACATGGATGCGAGGTTATATTTACCGAAGTTCACAGTGGCGATACCATGGGAGGCTTCAGCCTAGCCTGTTTCTTTCGCTCGACATCTCGTTGCTAGCTCTATCGTCACAGGACCGATATCCAAGACTACCTTTGCATTTAACAAGAAAAATAAGACAAAAGAAATAACCAGCCACAAGAGACATCATTAATCTCGTAAGAAGGCATTAGTTAGTTACTTAAGAGACACTAAGTGTGTTGGAAGGACAGAATTGAAGAATCAAAAAGCGTTAAAAAGGAGTGCTTGGCTTGCAAAACGTTCGCGCGAGTTGCATGCCAAGGCTTAGTCAGCGCTTGAACAACCAACCAATCAAAATCTTTTCTTGATCTGCTACAAGATTGAAGCATAAAGAAGAACCGCGGGTTGTTAGTCTTGGAAAAACCACACTTCAGCTCGTATAGCGAATGGAACAAACAATGTCCTGGTGTTTACTGAACTTGACATCCTTGTGAGCAAACGTCTTCCCTCCAGGGAAGACAAACTAGTCAAGCACCGTTACGGGGATGCTGTGGAATTTGATACTTTCCAAATCTGCCTGACGTCTGACTTCATGCAGTTTATTCTTACACTCCGGCCATATTTTCGTCCAAAGATTTATTGACACCTGTTCCGAAGTGTCGTCTTCCTTGGGATCGTGCGCGACCTGAAGCTTGCCATGTGTATCGACAACAAGCGAGTACGTGTCTGTGATGGTCTTTCGAAGGACATCCGCCTCTTCACTGTTGTACTTGAATCGGATATAGACATAGAATTCGATATGCTGGGTGATGATGATAGAGCTGTCCTTAAACTGGACCTTTGCAGTGTCCCACCCCGCTAGGGATGAATCTGTTCGTGGCTTCCACCGGGACATCTCGAAAATAGTGTCACCCTCGGGATATCGCTTCAGATCCTCCGGCTTGCCCTCTTTAATACGACGACCTCCAGTCGCGCAGAGTTAGTTGAGTGTAGCAAGGCCCTGTTGCTTCTTGGTGGAGTGAGGCACGATTTGCCCAGATGCATCACGAAATAGGCAGACTTTGAATACAAAGTCGGTTAGTAGAAGAGACGACTTCGAAGCCGTCGAGTCTTTGAGCTTAACAACGCAGCCCAGTAGCGGATCACCACACTCCCGCAAGAGGTCATAGTATGTACCACCGAAAGGCCCTCCCATCAGCATCTTTCCCAGAGTAGTATCCGGATTGACCCACTGGGGTCGGTCCGACAACGAGGCATTTGAGAAGTCAAAGATGAGCTGCTCGATACTAAACGCTGTGTTGCCCAGGTTCTTGATGCGATCCTGGACGTCACGGGGCAGCTTGGCAAACTCCCACCTGACAAAGTCGCAGATCAACCTTGGATTCGAAGAGCCAGGGATCGTCGAGTTTTTGTTCCTAGAAAACCCAATTAATAGCTAGGAACAGATGGGGTGTTCAACCACAAAGCACTCCGCATAGAGTTTTCTGAAGCGCGCCTGGCTGGTGTGCCGAGTGTGACAAAGTCTGGGACTGCACTGGGATCACTCATGCGCGGATTGCCTAGTCGGCATCGAAACTCGCATATAAAAGCGGCTTCTCGGAGATTTCTGATGCGAGTATCTGCGCTGAGGTCGGCGCCATTGGAGAATTTCGGAGATCGTGAAAAGATCTGTGCCATTTATGCGCTTGAGAAGCTCTGGGAAACACTATCACAATGTCATCACAACGCAGCCTAAGAAGACGATGCATTTCTAAGGCTGGCTGACGAGGAAGTGTGTGGCGAACCTTGCCATTCCATTTCAGTCACACATTTCTCGATATGCGAGCGAACAGCATTCTCATGCCAGGAAAAAAGAGAGCTAACGCACAATCACAAGGAGGTCGTGTCCCAGTGACTCTTGCTGATGTGACGTGGATTGGTAGATCGGTGACGTGCAGTGGCTGAGAACCGGGGTAGTTAGCAATTCTATCTGTCAGAATGCTGAAGTATAAAATATAAAGTCATCATAGACAAAACCTATCACTACTGTGTTTTTTGTTATACCCGCTCTAACTTGTCATTATCACCCATATGAAGATCGCCGCCGAATTAGAGCTGATGGTAAACTAGAAACATGCAGTTCTCATGGAACCGCAGCGGGCTTTCCAGGTCTTGCAGACTGATGAGCGAAAATTCACTTTTCTTCTCCATTGTCTCTACTGGTGCTTTTCATGTCACTCGCCAGCTTCATGGCTCGAACCAGTGACTGGGATAAGGTTGAAATATCTCTACCATTCAAATTCTAAACACAACCTTGGTTTAATTCACGTTTCGGCCCCTGCTAGCAATTGTCTGCTTGTTATCGAAGAGGTGTACAGCGTATCTTGGCCATCAATGGCGACGAGTATTGCAAGATCAATGCGCAAATTAGAGGAGTTTTGAGCCGCAGCGAAAGTCTTGACTCTTCTATTGATGCCAAGTCAAGCTCGCCCTCCCCGTTTCAGATAGAGAATGTTTATCTCTTGAGTACCCTATCTTCTATTGGAAATGTTGTATCTTGCTTTGTCGAACGTCTTGCGTAACTCGAAGAGTGGCCTGAAGATACTCGACCGATACTGCATCCGGCCTCTTGAATCGCCTCACTGGATCCGACATGGTCTGCCTCACGATGTAGAAGCTGGCTCAATCATCAGCTGCCTAGGTCACCGAGCCGGAGACCTTGTAGCCGGTATCTACAGTTCTGGGAACCTCCGAAATGACACGAGTTTGTTGTACACGCCCGAACGGAATGCGCGGTGGCCAGAGATTGCCCCGGTCACCTCTCACTCAGAGCTTCCGCAAGAAACGACGTCTATTGCCTCATGTATCAAACCCAAAGGCGAGAGTAGTCTCTTTGTAGCTGCAAAAGGGAGGGGGGCGGGTTGTATATCTTCCCACCTAACAACCAGAGAGACGGCGCATCGCCAGCGCTAGCTATTCCCTCAGTCCCAGTCAGCGGCACCAACACGTTTGGAATCGCTACTTCTCTTCAGTCCATCAGCGCAAATTCCTGAACAGTTGCCTGGGGAAAATGTGGCAACAAGAACCTTGTATATGCGTTCTGTGAAACTGGTGCTGGGCACCATCGAAGCAGTCTACAATGCGATCGAGTGTGTGTCTTCATCCAGATCAGGGTGCTTTTGGAGCAACTGATCGCCTGGATTGGCTTCGCGGCTGGACTGGAAAGACATCCTGCGTCCTCATCGCATGTTCCAAAACATCACCATACAGTATGTATGTATGCCCGACATGCTGTTGCACAGATCGTCTTTCTTGAGAATCATATCAAGCAGGGATTCCAAGACGTTCATGTGAAAATTCTGAGTTGAAATTGTTGCATCTAAGGACCCCTATTAGAGGGCAGACTTGGAGTCATCTTGTTGGTGTTGGACGAGAGCCGTCTCTCACATTGCTAGTGTATGGCTGTGTATGCCCTCGCGTAATTCTCAGTATTCCAGTATTGTGATTGGCTACGCGCGTAATTTTAGTGTATTTTACGCAGAGCCTGACGGCTCAATGCAGCAACGTGATAGGCCGATCGCAGTGGAGGCGGCGCAGCACGTGACGAGCCGCACCAAGGCCACGGGAGGAATTTTGTTAGCGCGGCAGCAACGACCGCGCAGGGTTAAAAAGGCCGCCGTGACCCGCGCTCCGGCAGCGACGAGAGCACGAAGACCCTGTCTGCTAATGCCACGCACATCCTGCGCACGTCGACTTCTTTCGCCACGCTCCGTCAACGCACCACTCTAAACCAAAGCTAGACGCTTGGACCAGCTGCATTATTTGCGCATTAGAACAAGAAAAAGAAAGGAACGGACGGGAAAGCACCTCCGAGAAAAACTGCCTTTTCGCTCTGCGTTCCACGAAGAACTGCGTCGGAACTTAGGTTTTGACGCTATTGGTTGGCATCGGGGTCAGCCATAGTAGTATTAATATCGACCCAACCATTATTATTAACTGCGGCCTCGCCCTTCCGGTTACACGGAGGACAGAGGACAGTGTTTGATACATTATTCGATATCAGGTGATCTCTTCAGGTAAGCTTAAAACGTTCCTAACTTAATTAACAACCAACGCTATTATCGCGGTGGGTCGGCAAACACCAATCCGAAGTCGCATAACAAAGAAGCAAACAAACACACAAACAGGAACAGGGGAAAACACGAGAACTAATATTGCTCCTGCGTTAGGAAGAACATGACAGATCCCGATAGCTCTTATCGTCCCCGTTCTCCAGACTTTTCCTCTCTCCAATCCTTCCCGAACACATTCAACAACAACTCCTACCAGCCACAACCACCCTATCTAGCCAGTCCTCTTGGCCAGCGCGCTTCTTACGACGCCTCACCATTCTTTACTGCTGGTTATCAGCCCCCGGTAGTGCATAGCCGCACTCCCCAGCAGTACGTGCAACAATCGCTTCACTACGACGACGATATGGCGAGACGAAGCGCACGCCTGTCGGCCGCTGCTCAGGCCCAAGCCCAGGCCCCTCCTCCCGCTCCTCCTCAACCTTCCCACCAACAATTCATATTTGATCAGCGTGTCGCTTCCACACCAAAGGCGATGGCCAGGGACTCTGAACACACAAATGCTCTTTCACCGCAGGGACTAGACTCGAACAGAGAACAACCGAAGCCCTGGGCTGGAATAGATGTGAAGACGAAGTTTCCAGTGGCTCGTATCAAGCGTATCATGCAGGCCGATGAAGAGGTCGGAAAAGTGGCTCAAGTGACGCCAATCGCAGTCTGTACGTGCCCCACTTTTATTTCTACTTAGTCTGTTATGGTTGATTTGGTTCTCGTCATACTGACTTTTTTTTTTCCCTTCCAGCCAAAGCACTCGAACTTTTCATGATCTCGCTGGTTACCAAAGCTGCAACAGAGGCTAGGGATCGAAATTCGAAACGAGTCACTGCTACCCATTTAAAGCAAGCCGTTGCCAAGGATGAGGTGCTCGATTTCTTGGCTGATATATGTTCGAAAGTGCCGGATCAATCATCTAAGAAAAATGAAGAGGATGGAAGTGATCACAATGAAGGAAAGCGAAAGTCTGGCGGCGGGAGACGAAAGAAAGACGTGGACAGTGATGACTTCTAATTATTCACATATGTTATTTACGATGGCTTAGGGGTTCCGGGTTATGGGTGTTATATAGATATGGATATCAGGGTTTGCAACGGCGTTTGGCGTCAATCCACCATTACCTACGTGTGGACGAGCATCGGGCTTTCATCTTGACATTCTTCGAGCGTTTGCACTTGTTTTAGCTCATAGAAAGACTCCCTAGAGTCTAGATGACGTTTTTAATGAACGCAGGAGGGCGCCGCATCATCTATTGTACAGCAATGTGCTTTCAGTGTCCATGCTATACATATTTTTCTTCCGGCCAAAGATCTCTCTAATTGCGCCGTTATGCATACAAAACATGTGACAGTACGGGAACGAAGCAGCTGGCTGCAGGAAGCAACGATGACCAGTAGTTGTTCACCAAAAATTCTCTCTAGTCCGAAGATAGACTAGTTCCGCCCTTTATCCACCTACTATTGGCTGCACGGGTGATGCGTAATTACAGTATTGTTACACTAGCGCAGCTTCCCCTAAGTAGCCAGCTACGTACAGCCAGCAGCTGCACCTGCTGCTGGCACAGCTCTGCTTTCCCCAGTCTTAGTCGCTGCTGGTCCGTTGAGATGCCTGACTGGATCTGAACAATGGATTTTGTAAGAACTTCTCCATCTTGATACCAGACACCCCAGGTTTTATGTCACATAGCTAATTGATTGTCTTGTTGGGCAAGTGGTCTCGCCTGGTTGGCGGTTCCCGCACTGCCTCGAAAACCCCTCGGACGAGCACCCCCGTTGAGCGATTGACGGCGTTCAAAAGATCCTGCAATACTCTTCAAGTGAGTCGCGAACACCTACGGATGGGTATGCTGTTACTCTGACACGTACAATTGTGAAGCAAATTTGGCGCACTAGCAATTCCCCGTCTAACGAGTTGGCTGCTACGGCTCATGCTCGGGCCTGTGTCGATCGTCTAAATCATGTCCTAAGCGAGGAATCGAGAGGCCCTGCACCGCATCCATGTCTTTCATATGCGTCTACGTCGCAGATATTCGTGACAGTGACGAAACTGGCTTTAACCTATCGAGATGAGGGATTGGTACGACTATCAGCAGTATTCTTCAACACGTTGATTGATGCGGAGCTGGACGGTATCGTCGATAATCGGGTATTCTCGCGAGCTTTGATCGACCTCGTTCGAAGGAACTTACTGCATACAAATGACGTGGATGCACGCCTGGTCGAGCTGCTCTTCGGCGTCGCCAATAATATTCGTTTGCGACCAAATATTCTGACGGCTTGGTTTATTCCAAAACAAGCCCAATTGCCAGAGAGGGAACTAGAAGAGGAGGAGCAGTTTGCCGGTGTCACACGGAAGGATGATTTCCCACTCTTCTATCTTCTAGTAGAATATGTTCATCGTGAAGGCCGAACAGGCGATTTTGCCCGTACCGGTCTGTTATACCTTATTGAAACCGCGACCCGATCCAAGATACTCGAGAAATGGTTGATTGAAAGTGATCTGGCCACGCTGATGGCGACTGGCTTGGGTGCATTGTACAGTCAGCTTAGCAGGTACGCATATCTGTGTGGCCCCAGGATCGTATATAAATACTAACTTGCCAAAGAGATTTTTATCCTACTTTCATTGAAGGCAATGTTCCTACCATTATAGCTCTTTCGGATGAAAATGATTTTCAACGAGACACCGAGCCGTTGATACGCCCTGATGTTGAATCCTTCATATCATACCTGCTCTTCTGGCAAGACACAGTTGACCATTGTCAGTCGAAAGAAGTCAACGATACACTCCTAGATCACTTCGAGGTCTTGTTCTTAGAACAGCTTCTGTACGAGCCTTCCATTGTGCACAATGTTACTATTGAATATCTTGCTAACGAATGAAGCTATCCGTCCTTATTGGAGTCCTCAGATGTCAAGGGTGGATCAACCTCCGCGGTGCTAACGTACTTGTGCCGATTGTTGGAGTCTATTGACCAGCCCAAACTTATTCACCGCACTCTTCAATTTCTGATGGCGGCTCCTACACATGCTGAACCGGTTATAGAAGTGTCTCAAAGCTTGCATTATAAGAATTTGTCTCTAAGTCGGCGCAAGTCTTTGGACGTGCTGGCTACTTTGACTGAAGCCGAGGATCAAAGGCTATCCCCGTCACTATTTAATCTTTCCGATTTAATATTGATGAGCATAAAGTCACGGAATAAGGAGACCGTTGTAGCCACACTACGCTTACTAACAGTCATAGTGCGAAGACATCATTCTTTTGCGGAGTCATTAATCAAAACAAAAGAGTCCGTATCGGGACCACGACGCACCGTGGGTGCTCTCAATGAGGAGCTTCAAAGATACCTGTCGTTCGCAACCCGCATTGTCAATGACCCATCCTTGAATGATTCTTTTGAACAATACTCAAAGGATGCCACACTTATTCTTGAATCCCGTCTTTTCATACCATCTCCAAGGAGCAGTACACTAGATGGGCCGACTGACCAACCACTCGACATTTGTCTGGATGATGCAATCTTTAAGGAGATTCTGAATCTGTTGAATAATTTCTTCTCGAACAGTGTCAATGTGAATCTTGGATTGACTGGACTTATTACCAGTCTTGCTTCTTCCAATTTGATTTCTCTTAATGGATGGCTCTTAGTCGACCCGTCTAACTACGAATACAAAACGGAGTTCTCCCCTTCGCCAGAACAAGATTCTGCCTTTTTGGATGACGACATCCCGAGAGTCGAAGCTGGTGATCGTGTTCCTCTCGATCCTCTAGCAGCTATCAGGCAAAGTCTGTCGGCACCAAGCTGGTCAGATGACCACGAAACACCGATTGCAAAATCTCTACAAAAATTGGCTGGCCACCTTGAAAACTGGAGAAAAGAAATTCCAGATTTTGACGATTTGGTCGCAGCACGTCGCAACTTGCTGCACAGTGATGGTGCAAGAACCGAGCGGTCAATTCCTTCGTCCCGCCAAACCTCCCAGCCTCCAAACTCGCGTTTCACAGAGGCGCCCCTTTCCCCGCGTGACCGGCCAATCAGTGCTGCTGCATCAGGTTCTTTACCACGTAGTGCTGTCGGCTCTCCAATTAGCGAATCATCCATTAGGTCTCCCGGATCCCCGACGCCGTCGCAACGCACTCTGCCAGTAGAAGATAGCCGTCACAAAGTCTCCGGTTCGTATCAAGCTGATCAACGCACAGAAAGCTCAACAATCACCGATGTGGGAAGCGAGCCGATTGTTGAAAATGAGGCAATCATTCCAGAGAATGACCATGAAGGACTACACAACCCGTCACTGGCCAAGAATGAGGAGGCGGTCACCCTGGGTCATATTCTTACCAATGTTGTCATTTTGTATGAGTTCATACTAGAGCTCTCAGCGATGATTCAGATCAGAGCCACTTTATTCGAGGAGGCAGGTTATGATTAAGCCGTGTTGGAAGTTATCGCACCGGGCGAAAATGATGGCAGCTGCCTATAGGCCACGTGTGTTGTCTATCTACTGTTTAATATGCGCCAATACCCATTTGTTTTTTAACTTTTCACAGTCGAAGATAAGCCTTTGAATCAATCAAAGATGTTTATTCTAACGGCATAATTCCCAAACCGGAGCGGATATGCCAACAGACTATTGACGAAGATCTCGGTCTTGATGGACACGCCAGAGAATCAGAATCAAACTAGTCGACCAAGGAAAAAGAAAAAAGAAACGAATTGTCAAGACTAATTAAGCATTTCAAAATTCAATTCGGACTACGTATGGCGTAGAGCGCACAGCCTACTAAACCCGGTTATATGAACCAAACAGTAGTTCATTGGGTTACGTCCCAAGGCTGCGTTTCAATGGTATCAGAGACTGTGGACTCTGGCCTAGAAGCACATCACCGTAGAAGAAGTTCATACATGAACGAGATGGTGAATAAAAAAAATGAAAGACCGACTGGAAGCTCCGAGACGCGGGAAATTAATTCATTTGCCGGGCCGGATTCACGCCTCGGCCTAACCCATCCACATCCATCCAGTAGTGAGATTCAGTACGGCGTACAGTCGGAATATTGGACCAGTCTGCCTGACAGAGAAGAGAAGGACGCAGTTTGAATGCGTAGTGCACGATGGCGTGTTCGGCGCTTCTAAAAATCAGTGCATTTCCCCGGCAGATACATATATCTTCGGACAAAACTATGTAAACACATTGTCAAGCCGAGGGGGTATGGGCATCCCTTGCATGTATATATACCCTGCTGGCCTGGACCATTCTGCCAGTCCTTGCCAGTATCTGATATTTACTCCTCTTGTCACTGTGTTGCACGACGATAACTTGCTCTCCTCGCGATTGTGTACTGGCTCAAACAAGAAACAAGGACAAAACATGGCTGTTCCCACCAACCAAGCGGCGTGGATTAATGACAAAAACGCCAAACCCCTCGAAGTCAAGGAATCTCCGTATCCAAAGCCAGGCCCCAACGAGCTCGTGATCAAAAATGCTGCGGTTGCCATTAACCCTATAGACTGGTTGCTCCAGGAGACGGGTCACCTCGCCTTTACCTGGATTAAGTATCCATTCATTTTCGGCAGCGACTTGTCGGGAGAGGTGGCTGAGGTTGGCAGCGAGGTGACTCGGTTCAAGGTTGGAGACCGCGTTTTGGCTCTCGGAGCTGGAACTGATCAGGACCGCAACAATGCTGCGGAGGGAGCTTTCCAGAACTATACAGTTGTCATGGACATTTTCGCCAGTCATATTCCGTCCACCCTGTCCTATCAAGACGCCGCTGTTCTTCCCCTTGGTTTGACAACTGCTGCTGCGGGCCTTTTCCAAGAGGACTCTCTCAACTTGCAGTTGCCTACCGTTCCTCCACAGGCACCAACAGGCAAAGCCGTGCTGATCTGGGGAGGCTCTACAAGTGTCGGAAGTAATGCTATCCAGCTCGCTGCCGCCGCCGGCTACGAGGTCTTCACTACGTCCTCACCAAGGAATTTCGACTACGTCAAGAAGCTGGGCGCCTCACATGTCTTCGACTACAACTCCAAGGCCATTGTGAAGGATTTGATTGCGGCTTTAGCGGACAGGACCGTTGCTGGTGCTTATGCCATTGGAGTAAACTCCCTTCCGCTTTGCGTTGATATCATTGCTAAGACCAAAGGCGTCAAATTCGTCAGTGACGTTGGATCCGTGGACATCCCCAAGGATAAGAAACTTTCTGGCTTCACACTTATTCCCTTCCTACTGGGCACAATGAGCCGTGGTGCATCGCTCTGGTTCAAAACAAAGCGCACCGGTGTCCGCACCAAGTTTATCTATGCGACTGACATTAAGAAGACCAATGTCGCCAAAGCTATTTTCGAGGACTTCCTTCCCGAGGCTCTCGCTGAGGGTCGTTTTATTCCTTCGCCCGAGCCTCTGGTCATTGGCCAAGGGCTCGAAAATATACAGAGTGGATATGATCAGCTGAAGAAGGGAGTTTCGGCAAAGAAAGTTGTTGTTACGTTGTAACAAGCCAGGCTGATATCTCGCCAGTCCCCCGAAACGCATTCTCCTGTCTCATGATTTGATTGTCTCCAGCAAGCTTGATTTACTTCTCTTTTTCGGGCGGCCAGAACGCATTGCTACATTTAGATCTTAATACTAATATCCTGTATACCCCTATGTTTACTACGAACCAGCATTTTACCCTTCATCGCGACAGGAAACAATTGAATTGATATATCTACCACCTACTTCCAAACTTCATTAAGTGTATTTGCGTGCTCGAATAGTAGAAGGATTAAACAAGCTAGATCAAAGGGCACCCCATAGAGTAAAAGAGCCATGCGGAGGTAACTTCTGGTTTTTTCCTGCATGGTACCAGACAGCATGGAACAAATCAAGGAGCTATTGACCGTTGATCGACGCTATGGAGGTTGGTTGGCCCCTTTGTGAATGCAAAGTCTCAAATATGCCTTGTTTTGACGCAAAACAGTGGCCAATAGACACACCTGCGGGGATTCATTCCGGGGGCATAGGGAAATATATAACTCCGAAATATGGCTAGATCAAGTATCATGCAATCTGCATCTCGTGCTGACTAGTTCAGCGGCATGAAAAGTTATCTAAAGATTCCTTGACAGCAGAGTACTACGGCATTATTCGAAGATTTCGTGTGTGAATTGTAAAGCCTAATAGATGCCTTAAACATGATATGAATCCTTATCTTGAATGAGCGGCTACGCAGGTATTGTGGGGTTCTCATCACAGATAAGAAAGATTCCTATGCACGCATGGTGCTCGCATCTTCAACTCCCTCTGGCCTTCCAGCTCCATAAGAGGTACAAGATTCCTTGCAGAAAAAATAGATAGCACAAAGCAAGACTCCTATCGTCCCTCCTCCAATGGTGGCGACTTTGGATCTCCTCTTCGATTCGTCGGTGATTTCCCCGGAAATTAAGGCTGCATATCCAGCGGGGTACACAATCCGTCCCCTCGCCCGCGATGACTGCCATCGAGGCTTCTTCAAATGCCTTCAAGACCTGACTTGGACTGGAGATATAACCGAGGCCCAGTACCTCGAACGGTTTGACTGGCACAAAAAATATGGCCAGGGTTGGTACTACTGCGTGGTCATCCTGGACCCATCTGAGCGCGTTGTCGGAACTGGGGTTGTAGTGGTGGAGAGGAAATTGTTCGTTCTCCTCCATTGACGTTCAGACATAGCAAAGATCTGACTGACACTGGCTGTTCCTAGCATCCACAACCTTGGTATAATCGGGCACATTGAGGACATTTCCATCGCCAAGGATCATCAAGGGAAACACTTTGGCCAGAAGCTGATAAGGACGCTGGATAGCATCGCGGTCAACGTTGGCTGCTACAAAACAATACTCGACTGTGCGCCTCGCAACGAGGCATTCTATGCAAAATGCGACTACGAAAAGGCCGGGACGGAAATGTCGCATTATTTTGAGGAGTTCAAAAGCGACTATGAGCGTGGGTAGAGGGTATTCTGGATGACGAGATTTGAAACTAGTGGGTACCGTAGATATATCAACTTACCAATACTGAGAGAAGTTGAGACAAACTTTGAAGCAAGTAAACACCGGAACACGTCTTGTCCCAAATGCCTTTATCTGTTAGGGTTAGGGCGTATGCACCCTAACCCTAATTTACGCATCCGGAGTTGCTCGGATAGCCAGATAGAACCCACGCCCCGTCATTCGGCCATGATTGGCTCGGGCTGAGCTGGATATTGCTGCACTGGAGGAGGAGGCCAGCTTTCAACTTCCTGTGAATCGCACCCTGACTTGCACACAGTCCGTGTCTGACCGCGGCCAATGAACCATCCTCTATTTCTTTGTGTGTTTAACCTAGGCATTCTCCGGGTACGCGGGGCGGCTCCTTGTCGAGCTTAGTGGACAACAAAGAGGTCGTTTGCGCCATAATAGTATAACCAAGACGGTCATGCAACGCACGGAGAATAGTACCGACGAAGATCCTTTCGTGGACCGTGAAGATGCGCCCTTTTTAGACCCGGATTCGACGAACGTACGAGCTTCTTCCCACGATGGCGGAGACAAAGCCTCTCGAGAAAAGCTGCGCATACGGCTCATGATCACACTATACGCGATAATCCTGCTTGTTGAAACAGGCAATGCCATGACCCACGGCCCAATCACTCGTATCTACGAGTCGATCGCTTGCAAAAATTACTACCAAACGGCGGACCCATCGAAAATCGGGACCGACGGGCAGGTACCGGAAGACCTGTGCAAATTGTCGGAAATTCAAGGGGAGATTGCTTTGATCAAGGGGATTTCGGAACTTTTTGATGGGGTGGCCAGTATCTTGCTCGCGATCCCATATGGGCTGATGTCCGATCGCATCGGGCGCAAGCCTACGATTATGCTGAGCATTCCAGGCTTCATTCTTAATATGGTCATCTCCGGAACGGTTCTGTGGTGGTCGAATATTTTTCCGCTGCGTGCGATCTGGCTGTCAGCTCTGGCATGGCTGTTCGGAGGGGGCTTGGTCGTTGCGGCTGCACTGGTATGGACAATGATGGCCGATGTGACCACCGAAAAACAGCGGTCGGCCATGTTCTTTCAATTTGGTGTTGTGGTTATGGGCTCCGAGTTTTTGAGTAACACCGTCGGGTCGTGGTTGATGATATATTCTCCATGGGAACCCTTGCTCATCGGCTGGGGCATTATCATTGCTGGTTTGTGCCTGGGGCTTACGCTGCCGGAAACAAAGAATGCATTCTCCCCCAGCACACATCCGGACCAAAAACAAGAGCAAGAATACGAATTGTCAGATATATCAAGCGCCGGCGGAGACGAATCAGAAGGATCTTTGCCTTACACGAAAACGATCCCAGTGCAAGAGCCACCAAAAACATTATGGGCCCGCACCAGAGCATCAATCATGGCATATTCTTTCTTGTTTCAAGACAGACAGGTCATCTTGCTTTGCTCTGCTTTCCTGGTATACAAGCTTAGCCGAGGGACTGCGTGGTTCTTGATCCAGTACGTCTCGGTAAGATACAATTGGAGCCTGGCTGCAGCAAACTTGATCATCTCGCTGAAATCGATCTTGATGGTTGCTCTTTTCATCGCCGTTCTGCCCCTGGCATCTTGGTATTTACAGAAGAAACGAGGACTTGACAGTCGTAGCAAAGACATGATTCTCACCAAAACTAGCGTCGTGTGTTTGCTACTGGGCACGCTGGGCATGGGTCTCTCGCCGCATGTCGCTGTTATGATATTCTTCCTCGTGATTCAGACTATGGGTGCAGGATTCGTCTACACTACGCGGGCAGTGGTCACAACCATGATTCAGCGCAATCAAACTGCCCGACTATATACTATGATTGAGATCATCCAAGCATTCGGCATGATTCTGGCTAGTCCTATTATGACTGGGTTCTTTAACTGGGGTCTTTCGCTGGGTGGCTTCTGGATAGGTCTGGCCTGGATTGTCGCTTCAATCCTCTTTGGCATTGTGGGCCTTATTATCTGGAGAGTCAAGTTGCCTGCGGTCTCTACCATGTCTGACGATTGATTCATGCGGCCAGAATGATTAAAACTATATATTTCTGCTCCTATTTCGGTGTCATTATTTGTGTATGCTGGGAACAATGAACAATATCTGTCTCGACTGTTTGTTATACTTATCTGGATTCTCGAAGCGAGTGACTACTTTTGTACATATATATGCAAAAGAATTTGGAGATATGATTGGATATACAATAGATATAATTACACCACCACCGCTTCCAAGTCTGCATTTGGATACGTGCACGTTAGATTATCGAAGTACAATTCTAACATCCTTGCTTCTATTACTCTATTCAAAATTTTGATTGAACTTTTGTCTTAAAGGGAAAAAATTGGCAGTGAATCATTGATCTCATCAAGTGTGACGGTACGCATTGAGTAGATCCCTCGGGAACGACTGAAACCCTAACTTGCCCTTATTGGAAATCAGGACGTTTGCGGCAGCAAGACTCCCTTACCAGCCTATCTAGATACTACGAGGTGGCTTCTTACTGCCTTATTAGCAGCACTTGAATAGGAATAAGGGCCTTGGTAGATTGTAGAAGAGAAATTACCATAAATAGCTTGTGGACTATAAGGCTGTGGAAAGATCTATAAAAAGCTAGGAACTACCAGTACGTTTCCCACTGTCAAAATGAGTCAGGTGAAGGAGAAAAAAATCTGAGTTATATAGGACTAGCAAAATAAGACTTTATCCAAATTACATTGCTATAAGGTTAAATAAGCAAGTGAAACAGGACACTTTTTAGCCGACATATGGAAATACCGGTAATGGCAAACTGAACAGGACGAGAAAGATGTCAACATCGTATATGATGTTGCTGAACTATGCACAGCGCCCAAACAAGCAGATGTCGCCACAACAGTTGCTATTGACCGAGCACGATTGGAGAAGCGCTAGAGACTTTGGTTAGTACAGCATTTCAGACAAATTAGGTCAGCAGTTGTACATACATTTGCATTCTGAATATGAGTTTGAGCCGCCGCCGGTAGAACCAGGAGCTGCAGCTGACATGATCCCAAGGGCAACGAAGAGGAAGACAAGCTGGAATGTGGACTTCATTGTGCAAAGAGAGCAAACAGCAAGATGATGATATAACAGGCAGTCGATTTCGAAGCAAAGTTCGATGTCAACTTGGCAAGTAGATCTGTTGGATTGAAGGAGATTTTGGTTTTGAGGACTTTCTTAGTTTAAAAGATTTCTTAGTTTAAAAGATGAGAAACGTCGGAAACGTCGTTGGGGGTTGGCACCTACGTACGCATCGTCCGACTATATAGATGAATAAATTTGAACTTCCACGTGCTAGAATACAGAAATAGATTTCAAAAACTTAAAGACCGCATGCGGTATCTATCAGATGGCATAAATACTTCACGCGTGAAGAAAGAATAAGTTGTATGGTTGTATAACAATGATATGACTATATCTTTCTAGCCAGTTGAACCACCGGCAACCACAGGAAGACGATCATTTCCACTGCAATTTTGTTTACTATCACACTCTCTGCCCAGTGGACATTGTATTCCCTGCCCAAATGATATGGCACCAAGCTTAGTTTCAAAGAAAGGCTTACTTGCCGCTGGAATGGATCGGCATTCTTTACTACGGAATGCGGCGCTGCTCTTAGCTAGATGGCAAATGTATGTGATGACCGTCATGATGGTTTCCGCAAGGCCAAGCAGAAGGTGGGTCATGAGTGAAATTGTAGATAAAAAAGCCTTTAGATAGATACATCGCGTCTGTCATGACACATGGTAACCTAGATAGTAGTACCTAAATTCACAGATGTTCTCGTCTTTGATGTCGCGGAAAACACAGTTTGTACGTTACATACATTACTTGAAAGCTATAGCTAACTTGGTTGTCGCAGTAATTATTTGGGGCCCAACAACTAGACACCTAAATAACTCGATTATCTTGCCCCATAACGATTTCAACTCTTGACGGTACTTGGTGAACATATTCTGCAACCTAAATTTGATGCAGAGTAGAAAGCATATCAAACAGGAATGACTCACTCTAAACTTCATTCTCGCTCTCGCCTGCCACCAAATTATGGTTCTTAAACTGTCGTGGTGGAACCTTTCTCTCAAACAATATATCTAGCTCTTCAAAAGTTCTGCCCTTCGACTCGGGCAATCTGAAAAAGCACCAGACATAGCAACCAAGACTAATCGCACCAAAAAGAAATCCCGTTTTTCCACGCCAATCGCCTTCATCAGTGTTGAGCATGTAGGGCAGCACAACGGTGAAGACGATATTGGCAACGGCTTGAACCGCTGTAGCTATAGCGATGGTGCGACCACGCAGACGAGTTGCCGAGATTTCCGAAATAATCACGAAACAGACTGGTCCTACAGTAGTTTGGTAGATGAAGGTCCAGATATCCATCAAGGATGCTTGAGCCCAGACCGCGCCGGAATTGCTGCGGCCAAAGTCTAAAAAGCCGATAACAAAGAGAATGATTGTCATTAGGATCATGCCGCTATTATAAATTGAGCGGCGACCAAACTATGAGGTCAAAGTCAGAATTAGGAAGAAAAGGTCAACTGAAGTATAGCGCCATAATCACATACGTAGAGCATCAATGGCCACGATAGACATGTACCCACAAATCCGAGTGCAGTATTACCAACACCCACTAAGCGAACGTTAGCATAGCATCCTTAGAGGGGTCTAAGCGGACTCACTGTTAAACGATTCGGAGTCACTCAGTCCGGCCGTCTCGAAGAAAAAGGTTGAATATGCGATAAGGGGGTTACCACCAATAACTTGTATCAGATACACCATGACGGAGATCTCGGTGCGGATGAGATTTGCCTTCTTAAAGCAATCCCAGTAAGTCGTGGTAGACTCAAGTTCTCGCTCAAGGAGGTCAGTCTGCTCGATCATGACAAGCATTCCATCGATATCTGGGCGGTTTTTTGCTGATGAGAGTCTCATAAGAGCTTTACGCGCATCATCGCGCCTCTCTTTGCGAACTAGCCAATATGGACTTTCGGGGGCAAACACCAAGCCAATAAGGAGCACTACAGGCCATAACCATTGGATTGCAAAAGGTGCTTTGTACGCCCATTCGTCCAGCCGACTCTCGAGACCAGCAGCGACTCCTTGTGCTATGAATTGTCCGATCACAAAGGCCAGATTGACCGATGCGGTAAGAACACCCCGGAGAGCAAGAGGACAGATCTCGGAGGCATAAGTGGGAGCAATAACGACATAGAAACCGTATGCGAGACCCCCAAGGATCTCTCCAGCACACAGCATTCCGATGCTAGTCGCAAAGAATTGCACAAACACAAACGCAATTGACCATACACAGCATATGGCCAGTGTCAACCGCCGACCTAGCTTTTCTAGCGGCCAGCCGCAGGCCAAGGCCCCGAGGGCTTGACCGATGGGATTGCCCTAGTCGTGATGAAAACAGTTTAGTTATCTTGGACACTGCTAGATAGTTCTCATTTGCAAGTAGATGTGAAGTTATACCATATTTAGACCCATTTGCCACGGCGCTGAGATGATATAAGAGCCATTATACTCGTATCCAAACTTCCGCTGAAAGGCGGGCAATGCAAAAAAAGTGGTGATTATTTGCGCATCAAATCCGGCCATAATAACAGCAACGCAGAATAAAAAAGCCCATCCCACGGCCTTGGGCCATTGCCGGACAGCGGCCCAGAATGAGAGTTCATGCTCTTTGATTGTAATGCCCCGCGTCTCTTCAATGGCGAGAACGTCGCCTTTATGCAGATCACCGTCATTAGTTGCGGTTGGAGCAATGTCTCCGACAGTAACGGTCTTGGTGTTGGGATCTTTCATCTTGATGTGTGCAGATTGCGAGCATATGCATGAGACAAGACGAAATGCAGAGGAATGGACGTAAGAAAGGCGGTGATAACAAGACGTTAATCTTGTCTTATTATACCCTTGGCCATGAGGAGATACCGCTGGCAGTGGCAGGCAAAGAGAGTTGGTTATCGGGCACGCTGATTGGGTGGCTTCAGGTCAAGCGTCATGCGGGGTACACTAGTAACTTTCTTTCCCCCTTTTGCTCTAATTTTGCTCGGCTTCATTGGCTGATTTTATGAGTGAAAATTCTTAGCGCTGATGTATGCGGGTATTAATGTTTCGCCGGAGTATGCCGTAAGATAAGAAGGCCTTAGGCTCGCAGTTAATGTCGTCGTCGTGTTTAGCGGCACTTGTTATCGTCTACGCTAATAGGATGCTACTCAAGAAATCTTGGCTTTGCTTATTAGAAGTAGATCCAAACAGAAGGCCATCTCGTTATGTCGGCAACTTTGCCGGTTACACCTGTAGCTTTGACCAAGCATCGGTATGGTGTTTTAGCCCTAACGTCCAATTCACATGCACCTACTCGATCTGATACTCCACATGCAAGCGCTTCAAATTCATTGGAGTTTTGGGTCTAAGAGATTGTATTATTATTCCTTATCTAGATTATTATATGGCTACGTTTTGGACTTCGATGTGAAAGCCCAAGGCATATCCTATTCAATCAGCCCAGATTTCTACACTCTAGTACCTACTGCTGTTATGCATGTCTCAGAAACCATTCGTCTGAAAGCTAGTCACAGTCCAACCATTTCGTAGACCATACTCGCTTGAAGGCGTACTGCTATGTAGTGGCGCATAATAGGCGTCCAACACTTTTCCCTTCGTACCACGCCCCTTGCAAAAACCCAAAATACTCCGTGCTTGTTGCTTCACCGGCAAAGTAAAGACGACCAACATTTGTGCGTAGGTTTTGATGCATCTCCAGGCTGACCCCATTCGGCCAGTTTGAGTAGCTGCCATATGCCCATGGCTCCAGGCTCCAACGTGGATACATAAATGCTATTGGGTCTGGGACCTTGTCAGCACCGAACATGTGCCGGAGTATAGCCATGACTTGATCTTTGGTTTCGCCGTCGGTCTGGGCTTCGACCCGATAAGCCTGGTCGTGGACCACAGTTACAAATATAATGCCCGAGCCCTCGAGGAATCCTGGAGTGTCAAGCGATTGAAATACTGGATACCACCGGCGCTCCTTAGGGTCGGCATAGAGAAAGTACTGTGTGTCCTTAGGCCAGAAAACTTCGTCCGGTGAGAATTGAAGAAAAATCTTGGTGTAGGTGCCCATGTCAAAAGTAGCAATCCCATCCTGCTTCCATCCAGGAAACTCGGGGTCGAAGCTGACAGCTCTGTTTTGGAGGACGCCGACACTTTTGCAAATAGTTCCAAGGTTAGCATCGGTGAATTTATCAGCCTCAATATATGCGCGTTCATGGTCACGTTGGCTCACGAGAAAGTACAAATGGCATATTCTGCCTCAAAACAGTTCCCTTGGCTATCGGTGATCGTCAGTCCTGTGCCACTGTAGGTAACATTGGTGACGATGGTATTGAGGTGGAGCCGCTCATCATTATCAGATAAGAAAGTGCTTGCTTCGCCTTTGAGCCAAGTATTGAATCCGCGTTGATCCCAGACGAAGTTATTTTCATTCGACCACTGGCAAAACGACGTGTTCTGTCGAAAAGTGAGGCTATACGCTTTAAGCAAAGACACCGATTAAGACATACATAATTCATGATATCAAATACCAACGAGCTTTGATCGGGCTCGTAGGCATACTCCCAGTCTGAATGTATATTGTTTAGTTTTGTCCTCTTAGCGTATTTAGATACCATTTATACGCACCCCATTCCCACCATTCTACGGCTTGCATCTTCATGTCTTTTTTCGGCTGCCACCCGCTTTGTGTAAGTCCTGCTCGTGCGCTAAGATCTTGTAGGTTGTCCGCAAGGATTACACACTGCCAGCTCTTCGAGAGTTGTATAAACATGACCAAAGGTGTCGAAAAGTTGAGAATAGTCATTATAACCAGTCTCATCATATGTCAAAATCGAGCTGTAATTGGAGTAGGTGCTGTTCACGCCATACTTTTGGGCCTTTGGTATTGGTCGTAGAGTGTCAGCGACATTCGAATAACGTTCTTGAATATGCCCGACTATATATCCTACCAAAAGCCAGATGGGATTTTGTGGACCACCTGGTGTTCCCAGACCCTGGATCCAATTTGCACCGACTTCGATTGTGCGTGGGTTTCCATCTACGGCCTGTCCAAAAGTAGTATGTCGCAAGCGGCCACCAATGTCGGAGTTGTATTCGAGAATAATGAAGTCATGCATAGAGTTGTTGCTCAGGGATTGCTATGATAAGCAATTATATGAGAGGAGAACGACAAAAGTAATGTCTCGAAGCTGTTTTCGCTTACAGCTGCCGTGATACCAGCCGTACCACCACCACTAGTCTCGAGTTATTACCAACGTGGGAAAATGGCCTAGCTCAAGCCAAAAAAAAGAAGAAGCGGTGAAAAGGATAACGAACAGAATGGCGACAGTAGTCTTCTCGCATGTTTGTTTCTGGCTACCGAGCACTGCACTGCTCAGAGTTAGTGAGAGCAGTAAGATATACCTGAAATCAAGCATCATGGACTGCATGTAGTGAACCTATAATGAACCTCAAATTGCTGTAGGTTTTTGGCGGATTTAGGTCACATTTGGTTTTTGACTGCTTCTTATATAGTTCTGGCTTCCAACTTCCTTGAATCTCGACAGCAGATTCTCCACGGTCAGACAAAACAGTCACAAGCGGCCAATGAAACTAAAAAGACAACAATATTCAAGTTCCGTGACCCCAAGAGGTGCAGGGTTCTGGGTTCAAATCACACCGCTGTTCAACTAATGCATGCTTTTGGACTGTGCATGCCGCCCACCGGATTCACATCTGTCAATGCGGTGGCAGAAGGCAATCCATCCCTGTGACCCCGAAAATGCTGGAAGGTGCCAGTCACGCCGAGGCAGCACGTCGGTGTTAGTAGTTATGATTACCTGATTATTCGAAAAACAAAATAAAAGCCATCTTAGGTATCTGTTTGGTTTATGGGTGCGTTTTGCGTTGGTTTATTGATTCCTCACGACATCGTTGGGTCCGAAAATGCGCATTTCACAGGATTAGAATTGGGGCGCAAAGTAGATCCGAGAAAAGATTGAGCATTTGGCATGAGTCTGGCACAAAAAAGAGCAATCCTATATTGGAAGGTCATTAGGCAGGAATGAATTTGACTGTGATAGCGTTGCTCCTTTCTACAATCTGCAGCGAAGATCAACATCACTACCCTTACATGAAAGCATCGATAGGTAACATTTGATTTCCTAATATGTAAGCTTTAAATTTTTATACTGCCCCTTGTATCCTCAAATAGTGTGAAACTCAAGCCCGGGTTGCTACTCTTTGCCTCTTAAGGACGTTAAACGACGGAAGCCCTAATAACAGCTAGTTACATACCTTTCATCTCGCGCAGCCGAGGCAATTTCCCTACACCATACTACAAATCAAGTAGTATATCAGTCAGCCCAACGTACTACTTTAATTGTATCGTATGCTTAGAGATAATGATGTGAAACACTAAATTCAATACACAAGTTGTCTCGAAAGTAGAATGACCAATAACTCAAATCTCACTGATACAAGGATAACATTGAAATCGTAATGAGTCTTGACTACGCCGTATAGATACACGACTAGTCTTCGGAAGAAACCGAAATTATTAGTGGGTATTTATAAACATACGCATTTAGTGACAGCTACACACGTGTACGAACTAGGCCCGTTATCAGCGCATTCAATCTGATATTATGCGATTCTTAGAAATCCTGATCTTAGCTTTCCAGGGTTTTCAACATTCCAATACCCAAGAATCCGCCTAGAACGTTGGCTTTATCTAAAGCATTTTTTTTTTTCTTAATTGTGCTATATTTTCCGCACATGTCTTCCCACATTCCACATTCCAACCGCTGTCCTGGACACGGAAAGATTACCGACAAACAATGAAACTACGTAGTAGGAGGGTTTTATTAAGGGCTCAGTGAAATGTTTAAGCTTTTTCCAGCGTCTTGGAGAAATATAACGCTTAAGTTTCGGATCGTTATTCTCGTCTCACTAGTCATCCCACTCTCGAGGATGTCCATGATATCACCAACAGCGGCGTCTGCAAATTCAGAAGCAACATGCATATCAGCGACATCTCTTGGGTTACTCAAAGCTGAAGAGAATAAGATGGCGGCAAGCAACACAGATCAAGTGGCACATAGCACCAAGACCCCGCTCGTTTTCCGCAATGTATACTCGAATTCGTGGTTTCAAATCTGTCTCATCAGTGCAATATGTTTTTGCTGTCCCGGAGTGAGTTATGGCTCATTGATTTTCGTCACTGGAGAATCAAGTCAGATATGTCGTGTTAATTGTACCTAGATGTATAATGCTTTGACTGGCCTCGGAGGCTCAGGACAGGTTAATCCCACAGTGGCTGCAAATGCTACTGTAGCTCTACTCTCAGCCATGGCTGCAACGGCACTGTTCATCGTTGGGCCAACCTTTGACAAGTTTGGTCCGCGTGTTTGTGTATTGCTGGGTGGTTGGACATATCCTCTTTATTCTGGTGCACTTCTATGTTTCAACAGTACGTCTATCTCTAATATCAGCCCATCCCGAATCGACAACTACGCAGAAACTAACAGGTATAGGAAATGGAAACGGGGCTTTTGTTATTGCTGCAGGCGCCGTGCTGGGTGTTGGGGCATCCTTTGTATGGGTTTCTCAAGGCGCGATCATGACTTCGTACGTTCCAGAGAAGCAAAAAGGACGAGCCATTGCACTATTCTGGGTGATATTCAATCTCGGTGGCGGCGTTGGCTCATTGGCAAGCTTCGCCCTAAATTATCATTCCACCACTGGCACAGTCTCTGATGCAACGTACATTGCTCTTCTCATGGTAATGGGTTTTGGATGGCTGCTTGGTGTCTTTATTTACCCCCCCGCCTCAGTTCAGCCTCGACAAACTGAAGCTGAACCAAGTATAAAGGAACCAGTGAAGATGATAAATCTGTGTCTCGGAATCGCTAGCGACTGGCGTGTGCTGTGCATGATACCACTATTCTTCAGTGCCAACGTCTTCTACTCGTATCAGCAAAACGAAGTAAACGGGATGAACTTCAATATCCGTACACGAGCCCTCAATGACGCTTTATACTGGCTCGCTCAGATGGTTGGCGGCCTTGTCATGGGTATGCTTCTTGATTTTCCTGGACTCACCAGGCCGCAACGAGCGCGCGTAGGCTGGATATTTCTCTTCGTGACGGGAATTTGTATCTGGGGCGGTGGATATGCATTCCAAAAATGGTCGAGTAATCGAAATCGCAAACAGGACATTGACTTCACGTGGAGCTCAATATCTGTCGGTCCGATGTTCTTATATATCTTCTATGGTACATATGATGCCTTTTGGCAGTCGTTTTGTTACTGGTTGATTGGAGCGCAGTCAAACTCTGCTACAGTGTCGGCAATCCTCGTGGGTGCATACAAGACATTTCAGAGTGTGGGAGGCGCGATGGCATGGCGCATCAACGCATTAAGAACATCGCCAATGGTCCAGTTTTCCATGGATTGGGGTTTGTGTATGGGGTCTTTGGTATTGGTGATACCCACTGTTCTCGCAGTAACACTTACAAATGAGGACGACACGACAGGTTCAGAAGATGGAAGTCACCAACAAGCATCAAAAGAGGAAATCGAGAAAGTTCGGCAGGATTCGTGAAGAGATACTCGGTGGGTATTTCCCCGTATATGAGCCAGACTTTAATACTTTGGTACTTCATTTATGAGGTCTGTAGAAATGTTGTCTTGGCCCTCAATTTTTTATATTGAACAATGCATACCTAGATAACTCCAACTTCTCTAGTCCATGCTGGATTCGACTTGCTCTTTACTGTAAATTTAGCCAAAGAGGACTCCTGAACAAAGTGAGAAGTCGAACGGGGTGTATTCCCTTTAGCATAGTATATGGGGTATTGTTCCACCTAGCCTCCTCACGATATGGCATAGAACCTTGGAAAACGATCGGCAAATGATAGTCTCCGGCTTGTCATGTAGTAAAGACATGGAAACTCGAAGTTACAATACTAAGATGTTGAGCATTACAATCATAATGCGCCTCTAGAACTCTCCCAAAGCGTCTGGTAAATGGCAAGAATCTTGATCTAAAGATATTGTTTAGAGATAGAATTACACAATGCATATGACTAAAGTTAACCTACTAGTATCACAATATATGCTCCGAAGCCGTCTCTTTGATATCTGTTATTTGTACTTGAAGGTTGGTAGCACGGCAAGGATTTATGCAAAACAGCATCAATATATGCATTCTAATAAGCGTGAAAGATTAAGAAAGCAAAAGGTATATTGCTCAAACCCCATATTAAAAACAAAAACAGCGTTTCCTAAGCATAGACATTGCGCAGCGCACTTTCCATCCATATTTTGGCATATTCCCGATGCAGCAACTCTATGTGATACGGCATGACTGTGCCTTCCTTTGTACCGGAAAGGCCATTGTAAAAGATAGACTTCAAGTGAAAAACGGCGACGCCTTCTTCTTTCTTGACGTCAACTGACATTTCAAAAAGTCCATCGGATTCCCGAACATCGCGTTTCAAGGGCGAATCACCGCAGCGTACCACAATCCTATTTTCAGTCTTCTCGAGTACCTGGAAATGATCGGTGATTTCAGTGCCGACTTCATAAGTTGATGTCAGCAGCGAATGGGTTGACCAGAGTTGGTGAGCCGTAGAGGGGCCCTGATATTTTTTGGCAAGATATTGGCGTTGGAAAGCGTATCCTGTTTTCCATTATCGAAAGAAGAGAAATCAGTTAAACAATCCTGCTGCATATCAGAGAAAGCAAAAACCTACCCAGACCTCCCCACACACCCGCACAAAACGCCTCGGCCAGTTTGCCTTTCTTTTCGAGCAGCAGGGGATCGATATGCGACAAGGGCACTCTCCGTACACAAACGTCGCTCAACACGGCGTTCTGATTCGGGTTAAACTTCTTGAACGACGGTGACGTAAAGAGGTAGTCTGTGGCCGGGAGAGGCTCGACGGTGCTGTTGCGAGTCCATACGAAGTGTGCGCCGAGGGTGGCGACGCCGCCGTAGGTTGTCAATTTGAGCACGCGGCCGATGATGCCCATTCTGATTGTATGAGGTGGTGTTGGAGCTCGGTGTGTGACGGCGCGGAGATTTGGTGGTGAAGGAGGCTGGAAGCTTGAGTGGGCCCGTGACACGGAGTACCTCCGAGCGGCCGGCAAGATCCCCGCGGCAAGTATTTATTTTTGTATCTACCTACCTATAATATCTTCCGTTTTTTTTCGTCATAGACTTCCACATCTATGTGCTCAGCAGGAAACCGTGTCGATGACGGGTGAGCATCACCTACGGCTGTCTATAACTATGCGCCTATCCCTTCTTGCCTTGTTTAATAGGCTTCCATTCGATACCGGGCGTGCTGACTACGACCAGACACGTAAGACCCAAGGCAATATAGAAGACGTCCACAAGAGCCCCGTTATAGGCGGCCAAGACCTGATTTCGAAATTTTTCTGGAACCGCATTAATGAGGCCCAACGCACCACTATCCAGCACCGTGTCAGGGTCTAGTCCCGGTACTTGTGTGGACAGATTATGGGCAAGCCGATTAAGGAACACATTTTGCGCAATGGACAGGATGATGATGCCGCCGAATTGCTGGGCGAAGCTCAACATAACCAATGCCATGGGCACCATGGAGTCATTAAGTACAGTCTGGACGGCGATGAAGGGCGGTTGGAAAGCGAGGCCGATGCCCACCCCGTAGATGATCTGATATGAGATCCATTCCCCTGCACTGGTGTCAGGTCGGAGCGTGGTGATGAGCCCGCTTCCCACGGTCATGAAAACGCTACCGAGCATCAAGACCGGGTTGTAATACCCTATAAAACTCGTCAAAGGACCACCGGCGAGTGCGGAAATCGCCAATGCTACGGCCAAGGGCAAGTACATGAGACCGGATCCGAATGTGCTTGCGCCGCGTACCGCTTGGAAGTAGAATGGTAACTGGCCACGAGTCAGCACTGCAACTTACCAATGCAAAAACGAGCAAAACGCAGCTTACGTAGTAGGCAACCACCGCAAGGTGCGCAAAATTGCAGAATGTGATGAGGCTAGCAAAGGCGACTGACCGCTGTCGCAGCATCGTCAGTGGGACCATGCTGTCATTTCCAGTCCTATACTCGACGATCAGGAAGACGGCAAGGAGCACCACAGCAATTGCGAGCAGGAGGATGATCCGCCAATTCGCCCAGGAGTATACCGTTCCGGCCCACTGAAAGCCCAGTACCAAGCACAGAGTCATCGGTACGTTTATGGAAAAGCCTGCCCAGTCGATGCGCTTCAGCCCATCTTTGCTGCCGAGGTGTGCATTCTCAGGTCGACGTATATGGGGGATGCTGAAAAAGACTATAACAATAATGGCAATACTAATCGGGATGATGATATAGAAGCCGATCCTCCATGTCGAGTAATGGGCTATACTTCCGCTGATGAAAGGACCCAAGGCTAGAGCAGTACATTCTACGCCGCCCGCAATTGCAGAATAGATAGGCCGGTACTTGAGTGACGTGGTATGGGCGACGATGCTAGTCATCACAATGAGTTAATATTGTCCTGATCAAGGGATATCGTTCGAATGCTCACATATTCATGCCCGCTAGTATGCCCGCTGCTCCCAGACCGCTTAGTGCGCGTCCAACGATAAATGCCGAAGATGTTGGAGCTGCGGCGGATAGTACTGAGCCAATAGCAAAGACAAAGAGTGACACCATGTAGAGTGTCTTCATCGAATAAAAAGAGTACAGTTGTCCGTAAATAAGCACCGTTGCAGATTGTGCGAGCAAGCTTTCGGGAAAATGTCAGTTACACAACCCCTGTCTTGTCCCTGTCTCAGAGGACCTACTATGTTACTTGGTACCATCCAATGTCGTTGAGAGCGCGAAATTGATCGGTAATGACCGGGGTTAGTGTTGCGATACAGCTGCTATCCTTCAACTGGCCATCAGTTTGGACATGTCTTTTGCGAGAGATGGGCACGCACTTACATAACCAATAGAGAAACTTCCAAGAAGGATGCATGTAAACAAAAGGGCGAATTTGATCCCCTTGGGGCCCTGGACGTTTTCCGAATTTTGCTCGACCTCACATTCGGATTTTGCATCAGCCGTAGCCTGTTCTTGGGAGCCAGCGAACGTTTGCCCAGCTTCGTCACATTCACCTCTATGCTGTAGGTCCATCACAAATGCATCATGTACATCAGTCTCAAGCGGCGACATCCTCGCGTCCAGTTTTCGCGCCGATACAGTACAGTGACTGTGCAAAAAAAGTGATATCAGCACGAGGGATGAAGGGATTTATCATTGTTGTATACACTAGCTAGCCGTGGCTTTTATATTGCAGCGAAAGGACATAGTAGCAAAGCATTTACTCCGACATGCCGGTGGTCCGAGTCCGAACCCAGCACCAAATTCAGGATAGGAGGTAAGCTGCTCCATGGTCTCCAGAAGTCCTATCTCCTGCTCATTGCGGAGTATATACTCCTTCAAGGAGTGGAATTTTCGAATCTGAGAGTAGAATCGGAGTACTATGCCGTATACAGCTTAGTACTCCGACGACGACGACCTCGGAGACTCGGAGCTGGCCGGCGCCCGCCCTATACAATAATAGTATAATACATCAACCACAACCAACTACACGTTTACTCATACAAAGCCTTCAATGCTCGCAATCTACCTAGAACTCTCCGCATGACTGACAGAGTGCGCCGCAATCGGCAGCCCTCGTCGTGCGAGCCATGCCGGCGGTCGAAGCTGCGTTGCGATCATGCACGGCCGCATTGTTCTCGTTGCGTACGACGCAACATTTCGCGACAATGCTATTACCACCCATCGCCGATGACACGCGGTGCAGCCTCCCATAGTGAAATTCTTCTGTAAGGAGTCCCATCTTTGTTTACATCTTGAGCTTCAATGAACATGTCCCTAGCACGCCGCCAAGCGCAAGACAGATCGACGCCTCTTCATCGAGCGAGTTTCCGAGTGAGGACTATGACCGGGGCACGGGGCTGGTAACGATGCATGATTCTTTGATGCTGTTCGCAGAGTCTGGAGGTGGGCAGCCGCACCGTACGTCCGCATACTTGACTCGAACAAGCTTATCTACTCCTAAACGAACGTATCCCGTGACACCAGCTGCGATTGCAGCAGGCGTAGAAGTTCTGCGGTCCCTTCTTGAATTCAGCGCGGACTTCCATGAATCTTTCTGGGTTCAGTACGAGAATGATGTAGGTGAACTGAGTGGTTCACTTTTTTTCAAAGCAGCATGGCGGGCGACCCAAAGCACCCTACGAGGGCTGGGAACTAGACCCCCTTTGGATCAACTAACAAGCTCGGCTTTAGCAATTTTTGAACAGACTGCATGCCCACTCGAGCTGCCTCTATCGGCGGAGAATGGTGCTCTCGAGCTGGCCCTTTCTGGACACCGCTTACGCTGGGAGACCGTTGGCATGTGTTTCATACAAATCGGGATATTCAGCGCAGCTGTGGGGACCAAGAGCCATGTCTTCCATGGCCGTTGGCAGCCAAACTTTGATCGCCAACAGACTATGCTCATGGCATTCAATGCTTGTATGCAAACTCGGGCATTTTGCGATCAAGTCGAACAAACGAACGACTTAACCCTGTGGCTATTAATGTCGGTATTAACTTTTGCTTCGTGGTGCTTTGGCGACGATTCTTCCCGTGTTTGGTCCTTAATGGGCGACTTATCATCAGCTATAACTGCTCTTGGCTTTCATAAAGGGTTCAAAGGTGCTGAATCAGGGCCACCATATCTAGTAGAGCTTCGCAAAAGAGTCATAGCTCTTGCCCATGAGCGCGACAAAGGGCTAGCAACGTTTGTTGGTCGGCCGCCCCGTCTTAGTCGAAGGTATTATGCAGTGGACCTACCACTTGACTTGCCAGACTCGATTATTATAGGCCCCGTCGAGCATTTCGAAGCTGCTAGAGCCAAACTTGACGAGAACGGCTGGAGTGGAGATGTTATGGTCAATCCAGTTTCCCGTCTCCGAGCGATTCTACTACTAAGTATGATCCGCGAGGAGGTTTTGGAACTATCGCTTGGTCCACCGATGCCTAATATTGCCCAACAAGCTAGGTGAATCTTCCGGATAGTTTGAAACCAAAAAATCTAGATGTTGACCTTTTTCTAGACAAGTCTTGTCGAAACTAACTTCGACTTGGCACTCAATTCCTCATAAGCAATACGAACAGTCAATGCTCGACACCATGTTACCGAGTGCGATCTGGGTGGTTATAGGTCCGCGGCTTGAATATCTTTATACCAAGTTCCTCCTCCATAAGCTGCTCATTAGTCAAAACGAGGGCAACCGCGATAAGATGATTCATACTTCTCACGAAATTCTTCATTTAGCGCTATCGCTGTTGAAGAAGAACGATGTGATAGCTACGCCAAATCTAGAGGGGACAGTGAGTTGGAGAATTGTTTCCCTAATCAAAAATTGGAGACTGATATCGGACAAAGATGGTGTTTTACGCAATGCCATGCGCTAGTGTTCTTATCTTAGAACTATTTCGCCAGAATCGTCAGCCAAATCGGTCTGCTACCCTCAATCGGTCGACTTTGATTCAAGACATAAGCGTGCTTATCTCGTGCTGTGACTCGCTAGCCATATCTGGGCAGAGCAACTATCAGATCTGCAAACAAGCCCAGACGGTTTTTTCGCGATGCCTAGACCAGATTTTGAATCCAAGTGCTGTATCTTCTCACCGCTTAACGAGCGAGCCTGGAGGACCAGAAGAAGTGCAAGAACCTTTCTCTTTGGGCTCGATGGACTTTGGTCTGACAGATCTGTATCCGCAAGACCCGGAATGGTCTACGTGGCTCGAGTCTTTCGACTTGTACCAAACGTGATGATGACACGCTGTTGAATAACTCGAGATACATTTCATTTTCCCTCTGCTTCAGTATCAGTATCACTATCATCTAGGAGAAACGAACATAATACCCCTAATTTCAGGTTGACCAGAATATACACCTACCGATCGCAAAATTTGCTTGGACTTTGTAGCCTTATTTATTTAGTGTTATATCTGAAAGAATATATTACAGCAGCATTGCTTAGTAGATACCTGGAGGGCCTGAGGCTGTTCCTGACGGATGGGGAAGCCCCACCTGAGACTCAGGAGTTCCTTCGAAGCTCTAACCAACATACACAACGCAAACCATCAGGACGATGCGAATAGTGAGACATGCTGTTGCTTCTGCTGTTGCTGCTCTTACTGGTACCGGTGCTGTTCTTCCTTTACGCAATATATTATTTACCCCCGTGGTTGATACGCTACTGCCAGCAACGGTGGCCCGACATATTGTGGCACGTATCGACACCGGAGAAGGTGATAGCGCTCACTATCGACGATGGCCCTTCCGCAAATACAATCGAGATTCTAGACATACTCAAAGCCAACGATGCAACTGCGACATTTTTCATCATTGGCTCTCATGTCTGGGGCCTGAAGGAAGAAGGAGAAACAATTCTGCAAAACCTAATCCGCAATGGAAACGAGCTGGGCAATCACGCCATGTACGATGAGCCCTCGTACAAACTGCAAGACAACGAGCTCGCGTTGCAGATTACTGAAGTGAACAATATCATTCGCAATGCCCACGAAGCCGTGAGCGGTGTGGCAGCCGTTGAAGATGGCTCACTGCCTAGATACTTCCGTCCAGGATCGGGCTTTTTTAACACGAGACTGCGCAATGTTGTCAGTCGCCTAGGGCATACGCTTGTTCTCGGCGATATATACCCTCATGATGCTCAGATCTCCTCGTCCAAATTAAATATTGCGCATATTCTTGGCAAGGCACAACCTGGAGGCATCATCATCTGCCACGATGGTCGACCTTGGACGTTACCTATGCTTAGGGTTGTGCTTCCGGAATTGAAACGAAGGGGGTACAGCATTGTGCGTCTTACGGACCTGCTTAAATACTCGCGCTTATAATATCATGTGTATCATCATTAAAACTAAGGACCGCTCTTGAGAGTGCGGTGAAAGTTGCCTATGCATAGACAGGCAAACAAGTATATCCGACGAGTTCTACCTCTTTTAGTATATCCTTTCCAAGCTTGGTTCTACCCATTCTGGTTCCGCACACACGTTTTCATTAGCCCACTTGGCAATTTTTTCTGTATCCCATCCGCTCGTCCAAGTCGATTGGGTGATATACGTTTGTTCACTATCTTTGTGACTTCCCAGTCGTATTGAGCGCACGAATGTGCATTTCTTCTTTGTGGGGGATTTCCATTCCCAAGAAGATAACTCGGCCCAATAAGTCCATTGATAACATTCAGCATGAGCATGGCATCCCTGAGCACACGCATCCATGCTTCTGTGAACAGGCGAGTCTGGTCCTTCTTCGAATCCATTCCAGTCGGAGTTTTGCCAATCACTGCGTTCGGTCACGTTGGCTAGTTGAAGGTAATCAAAGAGATCGGCATATATTAGTGGTCGCTACAGCAATACCAAGGTTTATCATTAGTTTCGCTGTGACATTGTCTCGACAAGAAAAGAGGGGGGAAAGAACATGCAACCGACCTCATTTGATCGTTCCTTCAAAAACTGGGACAACATAGGCACATCGCCTGGCCATGTCTTATGCATACTGAGCACCGGTTGACACCAGTAAGGCTTCCCACTAGGGCCAAATGGAATCCCATGCAACGCATGGGGGTTGAACAATGGGTACAAGCCGGAAAGGAATATTCCCTTGTTCGCTAGGGCAAAGCCCAGCACAGAATCACCACAGCAGTCGCTTTTGACGAGATCCGCCCATTTCTCCGTAAGAGAGGGCTCGGTGCGAGTGATATTTTCTGGTCCGATGACGACCGTGTCTCTCTGCAGGAGTCGCTGGATGGCTGGTCGGCTTAGGATAAAGCCATCACCTCCATACGCAAAATACGTCTTCTCACCATTTTCCAAAGCCCGACCGGGCGAAGGGGAACCCATATACCATGGCTGGTCGGAGTCGTAACGGTCGATAAGCCGGAAAAACGTGTCCCAGACGATATATGTATCGGCTTCAATGAAGAAAAACCACTTTGCCCGTGGGTTCGTGTCGTACGCATATTCCACCATAGGCAAAAATTTAAACCGATCTAGCAACCAGCCTTCTCTGTGTGTGAGCTGGTCGCCCACATGTTTCCCCATTTCCCACGAGCTGTCTGCAGAATGAATGCTTGCGTATGCTTTTAGCCCCGAAGTTTCAACGCCATTTTTGTCTACCCCTTCCCAATACGCTTTGGGCAAATCCGCAATAATGTCGTATGACCAAAATCTTTCTCCAATCTGTTCTTTTTTGTCCGAAATGATAATAAGGTCGGAGATGCAATTCGTGATGTTCGCGATATGCGAGGAAATCTGATCGAAGGGCTGCGTTGAGCCGATTCTTAGGACTACCTGGACGTCAGCGAGACGGTCATGCGGGAAGCCCGCGCAGTTTGTGTCCTCCGGCGGCTTGCTTTGCTCGTATGGTTCTTGTTCCGATTGATGATTGTTTCCGACCCTGATTTTGTGATTCCAGTGGCCGTCTCGTAGTTGTGGAATACCCGCCCAGCTGTGCGCCGAGTAGAGAGTACCGAAAATGAAGAAAAGCGTCGCAAGAGGGACTAGGATAAGATACTGGCGTTTTATTACTCTCATCGTTGGAGAGCTAGCTTAATTGACGATAATTGATGCGAAATATCCATTGCTCAACAGCGAGACTGCATAGCATGGGCATGTACAGCAAACAACCCGGACAACACGGGGGTTATGGAGAGCAACGATTTCCAAAAGAAAACAAAATCAAAATTAACTACCGTTATGTTAACGGACCCAGTTATATAATAACTATAACGAAGCAAAGTCCCGCTTTTATTGACTACTGTAATACCAATTAGCTACATTAGTTATAAATGAGTTCTACTTGACACGCATGCCTACGAAGGGCTAGTCAGATTTTAGCGCCATTTGGTAACGAACAAGAGGCTGTGGCCTACATTGATTCGTCATACACAGCTTTTATTTGTGGCTAACTAGTAACTACCAACTGGTTACAGTGCTTTATGGCTGAACGTTATACGTCGACAAGGAATTCATTTTGCGGCTCCTTGCTTTTTCCTGGGATTCTGCAGGGTGGCAGGAACCATGCCGAGACGCGTCCAATGAACTGTGACCGAATACGTGGATTTTCAACAAACATGAGCTTTACCCAGTTTCATATTGTTTATATCTCCAGTCGGCCAGAAGCTAAATACGCTCCAATGGGGGGGCAGTTTAGCGGCTGAGTAGAAGCGAGAGAGAGAATAGTGATGTAAGAGACGGTCAGTTCCAGATTACGGTTTTTGGATCCGGGTCTCCATTGAAACCAAATAGGGAAAGGAAAGAAAAGGAAAGAAAAGAAACACGGCAAGGCAAAAAGAACAACTACATTCCGTGTCATACAATCATGATCATGACGACGGGCCTGTTCAAAATGCTTCCTCGCTGTTGTTTGAATGATTGATTCTTGTATAGTGTTGAGTATTGCGAGCTGATTCGCTCTAAGCTCAGCCGCAGCGTTGTCCCCACAAGCCCGATCAGCCGTGGCGTCACTCGTCCAATGAAAGGCACGTATCGTCGCAATCAGTCCCACATCTTGTATCACTAGTACATAGCTAAGCACTTGCTATATATAGCTCAATGGTGAGAGCGCCTCAGGCACCCAGGCATATGGCCTCTCGCTTCCTGCGCAAGTTCTCTCGCCAACCATACCCCCATCGGTAAACAGCCCACAGCAAAGGGCTGAAAACCAGCCATAGCAAGGCAATGAACGAAGCTGTCCAGCCAATCCCAATCCGCTCAATAAGCGGGCTTGCTGCCGCAACAGCCCCTGCAGCTGTTAAACACCGCCACAAGTTGTTTGCTGCCACCGCGGTCGCCGGGCTTTCGCGGTGAGTGTCGACAATCAGCGTATTTAGCGAACTGAAAGCCCCCGTGGTAAAATGAGACATGAAAAACAATACCACCAGTGGTCCCGCCAGAGACGTCCTGTATTGCATCACCCACCCGTATGCGACTAAAAAGAGAGCGCCTCCGTACACAAACGGGATGGTTACAGCGAGTCGAGCGACCTCGATATTGAACTTTTCGATCTCCTGTTGGCGATTCTTGACAATTGGCATTCCCTGCCGCGCAGCTTCTCGCTTGAAATTCCAGTCTAAGAGTCTGCCCACTGTCAACCGGGAGGTCATGCTACCGCATCCCATAGGAAGATAGCATAGCCCAATCTGGATCGAGTTGAATCCATACCGTGTCTGCAGCTCAGATGTCAATGTGCTTAGCACAGCCATGTTTCCGCAATACAGCAACGATCCATAAATGAGGATCAAGGCAGATTCCTTCTCAGTGGCTATCATCGCAGAAGCAAAGGGGTTGACGCCACGTCTACGTTTCTGAACAGATTCGTAGTTGGGCTCTTTGGCTGGTGCTCTTCCACGCCGGAATGTGTTGCTTATAATCTGCCACCCAGAGAGATTCCACTTGGCACTCGGCACAGAACCGTTGCCTACAACTGCGCGACACGTTTCGGGATAGAAGACAGCGATGAGCGTCGCGTACGCACCAGCGAGGATAACCAGAAACCAAAATATCCACCGCCAGCCCAAGAAATGGTCGATCAGCCCTCCAATAACGGGACCTAAAGCCGGTCCAAGGGTGACGGCCATGGTCGCATAGCCAATATACTTCCCTCTTTCCGAGCGGGTGGACAGATCGGAAACTGCTGCGCTCCCCAATGCGATGGTGCCGCTGCTTCCTGAGCTTTGCAGACAGCGAAGCACTATAAGAGCCGCGTAGCTATCTTGCAAAGCTAAGCCGATATTGGCTGCCAGATAGATTGTAAAACATATCAAATACGCTGGGCGTCGACCATGTGCATCTGAGAAGCTGGCAATAAACGACGGAGCAATGCCTTGAAAGATCTATAGTTAGGCGTAAGTATTCAATGTACAGGTTTCTCTTTTTTACTTCCCACTCACCAAATACGTCGTAATGGTAAGGTTCATCAAAGTGGTGGACACATCCAAATCTTTTCCAATATTGTTCAGCGCTGGAAAGTAGATACTGCTCGACATTGGCGAAATCATTCCGGCGATGGAGCAAACGATCATCAGAAAGATCTTCTCACCCTCGGGGAGTACGCAATATGGAACATCGCCAGCAGGTGAAGCCCCTTCCCCCATCTGTCCTGATGTTCTTACATGGTCTTCTTGGGGACTCTGCTCTTCGCGTTTCTCCTTCCCTGTATGGTTTGATGCTTGCAAATCTGCCGAAGCTGCTGCGTTGTGACTCGAAGCACTGACTCCATCTTCGACGGCGTTGCTTATTTCGCCGTGGTTGTCACTGGCGCTCGGATTTTCCGAGCTCATTCTAGAACTTTTGAAGTGGTATTCCTTTGCTTTGCCTTTTTTTTTTTTTTCCCTTTTCATCCTTTCTTCTGCCATATGGCCAGCTTTTTAGGGCTTCCCATGTTTCCCGGTAACGGCTACAGACGCCGGTTCCGCTGAAGCGATGCTAACCCTAACTGCGACCTGGTTTGGCACAGAACTTGACAACTTGAGGAAATGGAAAGGAAACCCAATTGTGACAATATTCAGTTACCTTTAGCCTCGAAAAAGTGAAATTCACAACAGAAAACTTGTTTCTATTATTGGCAATGCGGTAGCCTACGAACACGAGCGTCTGACATTCTAATTTCTGACTCCCGAGCAGCGAAGTACTTTAAGCCATGCTAAAATCCAACCTTAAAAAGCATGCCCTCGGAACTCGACTCTCGCAATCCCCACAGCGCCAAGGAAAATAAAAAACTAAAAACTTAAAACAAACTATTTTCGACAACTTGGCCCCTCAGTGTGGCTGCTTAGGTTGCACGACGATCTTCCTACCGTCGTTGCGAAACTCAGAATTGAAGGGGGGGGAAATGGCAGCCTGGACGCTGCTCGCAGAGTTAAATGAGATGTTGCTATTTTTTGATGTGCCTGTATCAGGTATAAAGAGACCCGTGTATGCCGTTCATTGAGGACATCAAATAGAAAAAAAGCAAGAACAATATCAAGACCTTCCAACGTTTCATCTTATAATACTTCTCTCCTTTTCTCTTCTCCCATCTCACTTAATCTACAATCCTCTCGATATCTTGCCTCATCAACCCTAACACACAGCATGGAGTGGAATTCGACAAGTTTCAATGAAACGCTCTTTAATGACCCCGAACTCTGCACACTCGACACTTGCCCTCTATCCCTGGCCTATGTCAGGTACATTCCCTCTCTATGGGGCAACGCCTTCTTCCTGTCGCTGTTCGCGCTCATTCTAGCCATCCAGTTCGGTTTGGGGCTATACTACAAAACATGGACCTATATGATTGCCATGTGCTGTGGCTTGACTGGCGAGGTCCTTGGATATGCCGGGCGTATGCAGATGCATTACAATCCTTTCCCTGAAGAGCCGTTTCTTCTGTAAGTCTCTCCTCTTCCTCTCTCTATCAGTTCAGTTCCATCCAGCTCACAAATACCCTATCAGGTACTTGGTCTCTCTCACTATTGCCCCAGCATTCCTCGCTGCTGCTGTATATCTATGTCTCTCTCGAATCGTCATTGTCTATGGCAAGAAAATCTCCTACTTCCGCCCCAAAACATACACCTACCTCTTCATTGCCGGCGACGTTATCGCGCTTTTGCTCCAAGCAGCCGGAGGTGGCATCACATCGAGCTCATCGGGATCTATGGGGCAGGACGGGATCAACATCATGCTTGCCGGTGTATCCTGGCAAGTCTTCAGTCTGGGCGTCTTCATCGGCCTCTGCATCGACTTTGCCCTGCGCGTCCGCCGTGCCTCTCCATCCGACTTCAATCCGCAGTACGACTCACTACGCGCAAGCCTTCAGTTCAAGTCCTTCTTAGTCTGTCTCTTCATGGCGACATTGACAATCTTTGTCCGCTCCGTTTTCCGTTGCGCGGAGCTTTCTGGTGGGTTTCAGGGTGCCTTGGCCAATGATCAGGTCACTTTCATGATCCTTGAAGGCGCGATGATCTCTATTGCCGCTTTGGCGTTGACTGTTTCGCATCCGGGGTTGGTGTGGAAGGGCGAGTGGAGAAAGTTGGCGCTGAGTATGAAAGGGGAAGAAGAAAATCTCCTGGGACATGAACGTAATAAATCCATCTCTGGAAGTGATTCGAGTTTCGTTGAGATGAATTTCAGGTCGAGTGAAAGAGACTTTGCATAAATTTTTACTTTTTTGGTTGCTTTTTTTGTGAGCGATTTGATTGTTTCATTTGTTTTGCATTGTTCTTGCATAAAATTATCATGAAAGCATTAGATAGATGCCTATAAATGAATGAATACATGTTTTTAGAAGATTCATGAACAGTTTCACGTTACCTACAAATTCTACAACTCTACCTGGAAAGACGCCGGTACTACCTTGATTATCATCTGTATTTCTAGCGGGTAGCATGGTATATCAGAATAAATGATATCAAATGAGACGTGATTCACGTAAAGTCACCTAAGATACTAAATATAATATCTTGCAGCTCAACCAGCTGGATGTTTCTTCCATCTTGACAATAACTCCGATCAAATGCATTCATGCTTCCCAACGGGGAAAGGGGAATTTAAAAAAACAAAGCACAGCAAGTGAAAAGATATCAAACAAGATTTCCCCCGTCCTCGTCAAAGCATTCCATGCAGCGTGATTCAAAATACATTCTCCGCTTATGATCGTCATATCCGAATAAACAAAATGAAACAAAACAAAAATCTAAGAAACAAAAAAAAATAGAACCCCCCACAAGTTTCCAGATGTCGAAACCGACTAGATGTAGAAAAGACAAGAACCAAAAAAAAAAAAAAAAAACGCCGTGCCTTCCAACAACAAAAAAATATGGGTATGCGAAGGAAATAATACAAAAAGTGAAGTCATGCAATAAATGACATCACAATCCAGCCCAGGACACCGTTCGCTCATGCAAACGCCGAGAATATATAATGTAGCAATTTTCTGAAGTCATCAACGCCAAACTTGCGGCAACTTGCACCTTGAAAGAGTTCACCAACTCGGAAAGGCTGACGAATGACTGCGGCATAGAATATATAGGACTGCTAATCTTAGGATTTTTGTTGCTGCCAATCCTTGCGATCTTGCAAAAGAGTCTGAGGCGTATTGGGGTCAAGAAGAGTCATCATCATCTTGCCGAGTTCATTGTGCTTGATAGGCTTGGTGACGTAATCGTTAAAGCCAGCCCGAGCTGCGACGTCGATTTGATCAGTCATGGCATTGGCCGATAATGCCATGATTGGTATTTGATGGAAGTGGTTCTTGGCTTCCCAAGCTCGAATTTCCCGACAGGTGTCGTATCCATTCTTGATTGGCATTTGGATATCACACTGCCACGGCAATTAGCATCAGATAAACGAAACGAGAAGACATAGGACCTACAATAATCAACGAGTAGTATCCTGGTTCATGCGAGAAGACCATATCTAAACATTCTTGTCCATGACCAGCAGTCTCTGAGACCACCTTTACTTTGTCCAGATATTTCAACATGACCTGAAAAATAGATTAGTCGGTTTCAGATACCACCCTACTAAAGAAAAGAACTTACACCACGATTCGTCTCATCATCCTCAACCAACAAAATGCGATAACCCTTATTTCCAATAACTTCCTTGACCATCTTGGTCATCGTTTTGAAGTTGTTGTTAACTTCCCGTGCCATATCCTGATTGCGGTCCTTGCTCAGATCACGCCTACTGTCTGGGTCAAAGATGCTGGAGAAGGCGGAAGGCTTGACGGGCTTGGGTATGGTAACAACTTTGAAGCCAGATGAAATTAATTCTTCAATTTTGTTGCTGATCTGCCGCTTCTGGAACAGGTCACAAATGATAACTATTGACGGCTTCATTTTGACGTAAGCGGCTGGCACATGCTGTAAAGCTTCCACAACCTCATCCGTCCCTGGGAAATCCAGGACAATATGAGAGAATATCAAAGGGGCGCTGGTCTCTTTGAGATCCTTCCAATCTTCTATGTCAGACAACGCGGTTGAAGTTGCAGGAACTTCCAACGGGATGACTTGTTCAATATGCTGCCTGACAGCTTCTCGTGCATGATCGAGAGGACATATAATCAGAACCGAATAGATAACCGGGGGAAGATAGCTAGATCCTAATACTTTCTCCACGGTAGGCGTAGTTTGTAATACGGTTTCGTTGCCTTCAGAAGTTTGCATCAATCCGGAAGGGTTTACTTTTCCAGCTGTCTCGATGGGAGCAAGGAGATCAGGAGTTGGGATTGCCGAAGCTGCTGAAGAATCTGACCGGTAATTTAACCCAGAGCGTAGAGAGAAGGTATCCACACTACTAGGAACTTCTATCAAAGGCGAGGCATCAAGAGCAGGAGATAGGTCTTGAAGAGTTAGAATCCTCGAGTCGGAGGAACTCTTTGACAACAAAGGTATCCGCAGTTGTGTGCTTCCTTGAGATGATGTGGCTGTCGGGGCATCGGATATATCAGACGGCTGTCGTGTCAATGAAGGGTCTGGTACCTGAGGAGGTGCATCGACTTTGATGTAAAATGAAAACTTGGCACCTTGTCCTTCTCTGCTGCTAGGCGTTAATTTACCACCATGCATTTCGACCAATTGCTTAGACAAGAAAAGCCCAAGCCCACTACCCGCATTTTGCTGGGACGCGTTTCCTCCAAGCTGACTGAATCTTTGCATTAATCTTTCGGCATCTGCAGCACTAAACCCTTTACCAGTATCGACAACCTCGAAGTTAAGGAACAGCTCTGTGTCCTTGAGAGGAACTTGATGTTGCCGATGGACCGAGCATCGCGTATATATCTCTCCCTGACTGGTGAATTTGACCGCATTGCCCATAAGATTGATGAGCACCTGTCTGATACGGAACCTATCTCCAACAACCATATCAGGAACATCAGTGTCCATGAGATAATTGATTTCCAAGCCCTTGTCGATAGCTCTGGAAGAGATAGTATCAATGACGTCTTCGAGAACAGAGCGCAGGTGGAACCAAGACTTGATGATATTCATTTTTCCAGCTTCAACCCGTGAGACGTCCAGAATATTGTCAACTAGTTCGCGAAGGTTAGTAGAACTATTCTGGATGGTATCCAGCATGCGACGCTGTTCGTTGTCTAGTTGTGTGTCGAGAATAAACGGAATTGTTCCAAGTATACCGTTCAGTGGTGTCCTGATTTCATGCGACATATTGCTGAAGAACTTGGATTTAGACTCCATTTCTCGGTTCAACTTCTGCATCGCCTTGTTCAATTCGCGTTCCAAAATCTTCCTGTCGTTTATGTCTGTGCATGTGCCATACCACGATGCCTCACCATCTCCAAAGTTGCTTGCTTCAACTTTTACGAGTCGAACAAGATGCCAACGATAATCACCGCCTCTAGACCGAAGACGGAGTTCAGTTGTGTAGAAGATACGCCCATTTTCATCTTTCTGCGCATTGACTATACCCTGGCTGACGAGCTCAGTCAACCCTGGCGTTATTCCTTCGGCAAATAATTTGGGAAATTCGGTATTGAGTTTTGTCTCAGAAGGCGTAAAAAGGTCACGACCTTCCGCAACCGTTGTTTTCGTCCCACTAATCTCTGAAGATAACGCACCACATTTCCGTAAATCATCCGGATGGACGTATGAGGTGAAACCGAAGTTCATTGCCTCCTCAATATGTTGACCAGTGTACAGATGCCATTGCTCATTTGCAGATATTAAGCCACGAAGCTCGGTTGCTTCGAAGACGATTTGTGGGATGGAATTAGCGAGGGCCCGGTACTTCACATTAGTAGCAAATATTTCGCGTTCTTGAGCGGCTCGCAACTCCGACACATGTTGCTCATGTATGTCAAGAAAAGAGCCGATCCAAGAGATGACTTGCCCGGTTTGTGAAAGTAATGGGTTCGCGCGAAAGATAAACCACCGGTACGCATTTTCATCATTAAAACGCTTCACTCTTACTCTCTCAGTAAACTGGGCGCCTGTTTGAAGAGCCCTGGACCATTGCTTGGATATAGATTCCACCTCATTAGGATGTATGTTCTGCCAAGGATCCCTGATGGACTGGTCCTGTGGCTGGCTTCGGCGGTACGCGTCAAATTTAGAATTGGTCCATATAACTTCACCGGAAGGAGCCTTGGCCAAAAAGAGATGCAAAGGAACGGAGTTCAACATTAATTGGAAGATATGTTCGGAAATTGAGACGCCTTCACGTTGTAAATGGGCAATCACAGATGTAGTGGAAGTATTTCGAGACGATGCTCGGGTTGGCATAGAGGCCGGAGGGGGCCGTCCGCTATCGTGGATTTGATCGGCTGCCTGTGATAACTCTCGTGGCAAATCCTCTTCGCGAACTGACTTTGAGCGCGAGACACCTGGGGACACTGGCATCGACGGGAAAAAGCCAGGTTTCGATTTTGACCCACGGGTTCTAGTAGCAGAAGAACCAGCCGAGCTTCGTACTTGATGAAGGTTGAAATACCCGTCAGCGTGATCGACATTATGCCCCATTGCTGGCGTTGCGCTAGGTTCGCTAGCAGGGCCAATGTGAACCATGTCCACTCCAGGTGTTCCCAGGACCGACAGAGAGGGGCTGTATTTTGGATTGTTGGAGCCTTCGTCCGGGCTAGATATGCTCGCACGAGCTGAAACAGACCCCCCGTCTGTCATTGCTTGACCACTGAGGCCAGCAACAAGCTCAAGCTCACTACTCGCATCTGAGAAAGTGCCGCCTAGTCCGAGAATATTTCCAAAACGTGGCTTATAAACGCCGGGTGCGAGTTGTCTTTCCAGCTGACTGTATTGATGGGCCAACGAATATGATGAGGTGAGATGGGGGATCAGGTGCATTAGTGAGGACCTTAGATTTGCAGGATATGGTACAACTGGGGAAAGGAAGGAAAGTATAGCCACGGGAAACCGAATCATGTCCGATGTAGATAATTTTGTGTTGGTGGAATGTAATAAAGGAACATGGACAACGCTCTTTGACCTGTCGACACCAATCGCAGCAACGGGTTCAAGTTGAGCATAGTCATGAGACGGGGGGTCCATCGCAAAAGCCGTTTCATCGACAGCGTGGTTTGTGAAGAAAGGGTTTTTTTCTGGATGTATTCGTGGTGCAGGCGACGGGGCAGGAGATTGCGACCACGGTGAGCTCGGAGCTTGTTCATATTCGTCGTACAAAGGACTGGCATGGTTATTATGATTGTCTTTTTTGTTCTGGGGCGCGTGAGGATTTAACGTCGATGACTTAGACCTGCTGTGTTGAGTCGGTGGAACGACAGGTTCTGCGCCTTCCTTGGCGATTTCAGGGCTTTGAAAACGGGATGGCTCACTTGCCGGAGTCGTCTGTACTATATCGTTTGGGCTTTTGACGATGGTCGTGATCGTCACATCGGTTTCGTAAGATGGTACTGTCGATTCGTACGCATATTCGCGAGTTAGAACTGCGGGCTTCGTGCGGCCAAAAAGCTTCGCAATGCCTGATTGTTTCACCAAAGGCTGATCCTCTGCTTCAAGAACCCGCGGGGCAGTAAAGACGGCCATTGAGGATGAGCCCGCGGGGACAGGTAGTACTGATGGATATAGGCCTAGCTTCAAAGCGTTCTCTTCTGCATGTAACACAGTTGATAAAGATGGTGACTCGGCATTGCTATTCGCGGGTTTATCGTCAGCAGGCACCACAGAAGAGATATCAAACGATGATTTTCCGGTCGTGGTGAGCGGTGTACCGGTGGTCTTCCTATCTCTAGAAAAGCCGGCAAACGAATGTCGTGATAGTAACGAAGGTCGTTTGGATGATGAGAAACGCTTCGAGGTCTTTTGGGTTGGCGTGCTCCCAAAGTCCTCCTTTTTCGATGGGGCACTACCTTCCTGCGTGGCACCTTCGTTGAAAGCAGTCACGGCGTCTGACGACGGTGCGAGCTCGGAAGCAAAACACAATTCTTCAGGATTGAATGTCGCCTTTTGGACCCATGGAAGGTTCTCTAAATCGGTTGAGTCGCCAGGGACAGCTAAGGATGCTCGTTCAATCCCGTAGTGCGTTTGCAAAACATCGACCACGTTGGCCCACCATGATTCCAACCCCGGCTCGGAGTTCAGTTTCAAAATCAAATCATAAATATTGGGAGTCGGAGACGAATGATCTTCTGGGATGGCAGAGCCTTCGGGTAGATAGAAGGTGTTTTGGTGTTCGGTTTTCGCTCTTAGCGATGAGGTCATATCAATGGTGCCCGGAGCCTTTGATGAAGCACGTTTAGACTTATCGGCATCTCGAGAATTAGTAGTGTGGACGGTATCTGACGAAATATGTGCTTCTGGTGCCACTTGCCCAGGGGGCGGCGGCATCACTGGAAATGGGTACGATGGCGTCTTTGGAAGACTGATACCCGGGGACATGTTACCGAAGCCGGGTCCCTTGATGGTTGAATTCGACCCGCTGGATCCAATGTGGGAAGTTGCATGGGAGGAAGCATCCGATGGTGACGAAGGTTTTGAATTATTCGTAGCACGGGGAGCGTTGTCCCCGGGGGAAGTGGCTTGCACCGGTTGAGGGCTGTGTTCTGCTCCTGCTTTGGCTGCCCTGTCATGGTGCTGTTGGTGTTGCACCTGTTGGTTAACCAATGTCTGTTCCATTTGCCTCTTCAGCTCCTCCAATCTTCGCGCATTGCTCTGCGGGTTGCTGGCAGTTTCTGTCGAAGCATCGGGCCCCTTGGGCGGCGAGTCTTCTGATATTGTCGAGAAATGCAGCAAAGACTCTGTCCGCGAAGGGGTGCGGCTATGCGACGGAGGCCCCGTGGATGGGGAAGGCGCCTTGGTGGGCGTCAAACGGGCTGTGTTCCGCCGCATGTTGGCTTTCCTCCTCCTCCTTTGTGCTGGGGGTATACCATGCGTTCGCACGAGTTGGATTATTGGGCCCCAAATGCGTGATAGCAGCGACGAGATATAACAGACATTGCTTTATTCTCGATCCTGCATGGGAGTAGGCGGTCGATGTCCACTGGATGAAGCTTTTCAGCTGAGGCGATTTTCAAGTCGGGTGAAGAGTAGGAACTGCCTGCCAGGTGGTCGATGGTGGTTAGGGAGGTCGTCGAAGAAGGCTAAGGTGAAGAAGATTGGCAGCTATTTAGGATTTGGAGTGGCGGCAGATCCCAGCGAAAAGCGATTAATGGTGAGTGTCTCTCTCGTGCAGGGCGCGGGCTGGGGGGGCTTTGGGTCCATAGAGAGCGAGCGCTTTTTGGGGGGGGCACCATTTTTAGCTGGGAGCGCCGTGACTCGTGCATTTTTTCTGGAAAGTGGAAAGCCTCCGACGCTGGCCTATGACGTAGCTGGCGGTGCTAGCGCGCTTCCGGTTAGCGCGTCGGTTTGCGGATGAAAACCGGCAAGCCTGGTGGGGCCGTCGTTGGGCTCCCCGCCAATCAGCGTTGCTGCGCTGTACTGCCGTAGAGTATCCGATCGTATACTACATACTACTTTATAGCAGGGCTGCAGTTGGATCTCTATCTGGCCGAGTTCTGTCTGTGTCGGGGCGCGTGTATTTGCGTATATTGTGAATACACAGCCGATTGTTGTTTGTTGTGTTGTGCGGTTCGTGGAAGGCTCGGGAGAACACTGGTTCCCCACCACTAGTGACCAGCTTACCACTGATCCTCGAAGAAAAGCACAAACACTGAAACACTACTTCGTTAACCCTTGGTCAGGTAAGACTTGGCTGCATATACACTTGAATATATATATGTCGATATATCTATATATCTATAGAAATCCGTCTCTGGAAACCTGTCTCGCCACAAATTACCAGTTTTGCTGGAAGCCTAGAACAACAATAGAATCCTAAAGTTCATATATGATTGGTAACCGAGCCTAGCACACTTCCTAGGTTCGTCATGCAGCTTGAGCCTACCCGCCAATCCAAGGGCTTCGGAGTCCACCGCACTCATGCAACACATAGGTAGTGAACGTTACAGTATATGCAACCTGAACTACGTATTATTATTAACCCTGTACTCGTGGCAAGCTAGGAGTCGAACCGGTAGGTAACTAACCCGGAAGAGTCGGTCAGGAGTTATTCGCAGGTAATCGCTCACTCGTCGTCCCTTGGATCATGATCATAACCATGGATTGCATCATGTGGATACTCCACATTAATCCAATCCTCCGTAAAGTTACATATATACATACGATTATAAATATCGCATAAAGACAATCTGAAATCGATAAATTTTCTGTCAGTTCTCCCCAGCATTGTCTGTATGAAGCAAGGAGTTTGTTGCAAGGCGTAGGCTAACCCGGTTTAAGAGTGTCCACCGTCGACGTCACTCGGCGTCCGTCCCAGAAAACTTCGCAGATTGGTTGGCCGTCACGTGGAGTCCTCGCCCTTTCTTAATCCGGCCTAGTCTGGCTGTCCTAAGGCTCTGATTCTGAGCTCAAGCTTTGACATCGAGAAAGAGCCAAAAAAAAAAAAAAAAAGAAAAAAAAAGAAAAAAAAAGAAAAGAAGAAAGAGAGAGAATTCTAGTCTTGTACCTCTGCCGCCCTCTGATGGCTTTTTCGCCTGTCCTACTTCGCCTGGCCTACTTAGTGCCTACTCCGTATCGAATATTTCTCGCCACGAAATTCGAAATACCTAGGAAAAGCGCAATCATTGGCGGTCCGTTACGGTGTTAACGGAGTTACGCCTCACTCTGTGAACTATAGAAAAGCATTGAAGTATAAAATATTGGTTACGCTACCACGGAATCCATAGCAATTCATCTCTTCGAAGAATAAAACCCGCCTGAGGCTGATCTTTTCTTAGGAGAGATCGAATTCAGGATTTAGTAAGATTCTGTAAATTTCCTCTGGTTGATGCTCTGCGGCTGCGCCTCTATAACAACAACATTGTATTATAAAACCCAATGGTTATTATCTCCGACATCCCCTGAATCTATTTTCTGCCATATCTTAATGTTTACTTTGTTACTATCTCGGCATCTCCTAGTGTTCGTTGTTCCATGGCTATACCTGTTCTATACTAGTAGAGCATATTTAGTCTATAATTGGAATGGTGCCTACGTCATGCATTCGCGCCAATTCTACTAACAAATTCAATTTCATGCAAGTCAGTAACTACTACTAACTGAGAGGCTCAATTTCGGAGCCCCTTTTTTTCTATGAAGAGTTTGCTACTGTCCAGTGTCCACTTTCCCAGGATATGTTTATTCCCTTCCATGCCTCATCTCTAGTTATTCCCTAACCAATACGAAGTATAGGTTACTCGATCTGGTTCTGTATTCAACATTAAAATGTTGACCAAACATATTCCAAAGAACTCCGGCTTATACATGCAAATTGTCTAGTCCAAGACTACATATTCCATACAAATACCCCCTTAGCTGGCTGTATTGAGGGTTTAACATTAAAAATAAAGCGGAAATTTTGATCCACCTAACCTTTATGCAGCAATCAGTCGCAGCTGAAGAAAACCGTTGTCTGAACGACAGAAGCACACATGATTGAAATAAAGAATTTTGAGGTACCTACCTCGCCCAGGGCTTATAGCTAGGAATCCCCATACTGCCCATTGTCTGACCGCGAGGGGAAGTGTCAATAAAGCCCAATCATGCTCCTTGTCTTCTGCTATTTTGATAAAAGGAAAATAGAGAATCATACATGTTACTACGTGCGACAAACTATTTTCGCGCATACCAGAGGTTCCCCCTTAATCGTCGGGCCTAGACCGTATTTCATCACGGGTCTGCCTAAAGTAGTTAGTTAACCGCTAGTTAGTTATGACTCTAGACCGATGAGTAAGCTTAGTCATCTTGGGTAAAAACAAACCTAACTAGTTAACCTACATCTCCTGACCAACAAGCACTAACCAAATGCTGTATGCTTCTTGATTGCTTCTATGTCTGGCCATCTTGCTACAGGCTCACATAGATTATTCAAGAAAAATGTATCATAATGATCATCGTAAAAAACTTGATGTCCGACTCGCTCGCTTTACACAGTTGATCTAGCTTATCATCAAAAGAAGGATGTATTCACCCGTGCAAAATCGCACGCAAGGCTGTACGTAATCAGGTGACTTGCGCTGGCAGCCAGTCTTGGCGGCATTTTAAGCTCCTCGTTTACCACCTAAGCTGCTTTGGGACAGATTCTTCCGATCGCCCAATCAGACCCTGCAGAGCAGTGCGGTTGCGCTAGTCCCAGTTCGCACAGCCGTTCCCGTCGTCGTGCCCGCCCGCCTTTGAATATGAGATGGCTCGTGTCATGTAGATATTTTCTTCCTTCAACTAAGCGCAGCATTATTGCTTCTACGAAGCAATACTCGAAACTTACAGTTTTGCGCGTGTCCGCTTGATTGGCGGCCCGTCCTCGATAGTATACGATTCTCCCCGTCATCGACCGACACAACGTATGTTCCTGCCGCACCTGGAAAACTGTTACACCACCAGCCCGTATACGATCGATCTCCGTCATTACGAACCTCCATATACATCATATGGTCGCGAAGTTGTCGGAAATTAGCAGCATGCTTGCTTAGGCGGATTGAGTGATGGAATAAAACTTTTCCTGGTACAGCAAGTTTCCAACGGAGGTGATTCTGATATGGAAGAGTATTATATTCTCGGCGAAGACCTCCCGCTGCCCCCCGCGCGGCTTTTCGAGCGTCTGGCTCTTATTCCAGGATACATCTGGGACCAGTCATTTGATCCTTTTCATTCAACGTATGATCATTGGCATGTCGTGGGCATCCGGCATTCCTCTGACCATGGTGCCGCTACTCCCGCCGGTACCTCTTCCGGTACTGTCAGTACAACACGCGAATCGCCTCGAGCCGAAGCAAGACCACCATTTCGACATCATTGGCGGAGTAGCCTTAGCGAATCCAGCAGCGAGATATCTAGCTCACGAGTTGAACAAGATCCGTTTTTCCTCCCCATTGTAGCCCGGATCTCCTCTCATGTCGTTCGCTTGGAAAGGGAGTATCACATGATGCGTTCTATAATCCAGATTTCTGATCCCGAATGTATCCATACGGTTCGCCCGATTGATATTGTGAAACTAGCTCCAGAGCCCGGAGATCCGGGCCCTATCTTGGTCGCGATATACGAGTCACCCGGTTACAATTCCCTAAGAGACATCGTTGCCTTTGGACCTGCTGCATTCGCTTTCAGCCCCCACAGTGAGAGTAGTACTGGTACAACACCTGGAGAGCAGGTATCCCTGCCTATGTTTCTGGATTTTGCTATTGGTGCCTGTGATTGCTTAGAGCTATTACACTACGGCTTGAAGGCAGTTCACGGCGAGATTCGTCCAGACGCTTTCCATTTCAATCGTACTAATGGAATAGTGAAACTGGCCAACACTGGAAACGGTGCTAGAGCCTTTGATAACGCGCTGAGCGAAGGCTGGTCGGCGTTGTCTCGTGAACTTGGTGCCAAGACGAAACTACAATTTATTGCGCCCGAACAAACCGGACGAATGCCGACAGAGCCTGATAGCCGAACTGACATCTATACATTGGGTGTATTATTCTGGATAATACTTGTCGGCAAACCTGCATTTACTGGTGCCACTCCCATGGAAGTAGTTCAGAATGTGCTAGGCAAGAGATTACCTCCCGTCTCTTCAAAACGCATGGATATTCCGGATGCTGTTTGCGCTGTTATCACCAAGATGACCCATAAAGCACTTCATGAACGTTACAACACTATCACCTCTGTGAAGAAGGATCTCGAAAAAATCGCAAAGCTACTTGGTGACGGAGATGTAAATGCGCTTAAATCGTTCCAAATTGCTCAAAATGATGTATCTTCTTTTTTCACTCTTCCTTCTCAGATGTTTGGCAGGGATGAAGAGTACCAGAAGGTGATCAGTGTCGCAGAAAAAGTGCATCGGCGTCAACGAGCTTTATATGCCAAATTAGCTTCACAGAGCAATGTGAATGCATTTTTTGGCTCAACCTCATCTGTATCTGATAGCCGGCTCGAGAGTGGTGATATTTGCGAAGAATCGAGCGATTCTGGTTCATTGAACTATATTGCTTCACGACACAACTCCAATGCTGCCCTCCCCGGACTTAGTTACCCGCCTACACGCGACTCGCTTTATAGCAATGAATCGTCTCTTTCGACCCAGAGAGGGATTACCTCAATGAATAGGACGCGAGTCTCTGCTGATCTCAGGAGCACCGGCGATAGCGGGGATCGAGAATCTTCTCATGTCTCTCTGCATACTACCCAGAGTCCCATGGATACACTAAATCCTTTGGGCCGACACAGACCAGCCAACAAAGCCCGTCGTCATGGACAATGCGAAATAATCACTATTTCTGGAGATCCTGGCATTGGCAAATCGGATCTTATCCAGCGCGTGCAACCGGTCATTCGAAAGCTGGGGTATATTGGCGCGGCACAATTAGACCGTTCTCGAAGAATTCCGTTCGAACCCTTTGCCAAAATTTTAGCCAGTATTTTGCGACAGATCTTCTCTGAGCGGGACATCACCACCGAGTATCATCAAAATATACGGTCCTTTCTCCGCCCATACTGGCCGACCCTCTGTCAGGCATTGAATCTACCTGAGCAGTTAATTAACGAAAACGAGAGGCCAGTCTCTCCGAAAGTGGGCGGGACTCAACCCCTCCTGAAAGAAGGTTCAAGGACTGAAACCACAAAACGGCCTAGCTTCCTTCATGGCTCAACTTCTGCGGACATGTTTCGTTCTGGCACAACGAACAAGAACATGCGGTTAATGGAGATTTATACAGAAATACTTCGGCATCTGTGCAGTCAAAAACTTATCTGTGTCTGCTTGGACGATCTTCAATACGCAGATGACGAGACAGTTGAATTGGTCATGAATATCTGGAAGACTAGAGTTCCCTGCTTGCTTATCCTGGCGGCTCGTAAACATGAAATTAGCTCACGAGAGCTTTTGTCTCTATTTGACGCCGAAAGCCCGAGCATCACTAAAATCGAATTGCAACCTCTGTCCGAAAGCGATATCGCAAGATATGTTGCAGTTGCGATGCAATTGCCTCCTGAGCCCACCCTTACGCCTCTTTCGGTCACAGTTGTCGAAAAGAGTCAAGGAAATCCGTTTTTCATTCGAATGATGCTGGAGACATGCTATAACAAGAATTGTATTTGGTACTCCTGGAGACACAGCAAGTGGGAATTTGATATTGACCGCATATTCACGGAATTTGTGTCACCCGAATACGGCGACAGTTTAGGAACGGACTTTCTTACCAAGCGGTTTCGGGAGTATCCACCTGCTATTCTGGCTATTTTAATCTGGGCATCATTCCTTGGGAGTCCGTTCTCGTTTTCGCTCATACAGAAGCTTATAGAGGGGGAGTTCTGGTATGTTGGTGATGGTGCAGAAGCTGGAGATAATGCTACACAATGTCCAAGATTTTTGTTGCCACATTCAGAAGCTGAAATTGTCTCTGGGCTTCAGTGGCTCGTACAATCGTATATTCTTTTGCCGGGAGAAACTGATGATGAATTCCGGTTTGTCACCCTATCCCTGAGAAGACACTGACATATAATGTTCTAACGTATATTCTTACTATGAATTAGATTTGCACATGAACGGTTTTCTCAAGCTGTGTCAACACTAAGCGAGTGCCATGATGTCGAAAAGATGCATTTTGTCATCGCTAAGACCATGATGAAGTATTGCACAGGTGATTGCGATATGTATTCGAAGTCGCTTCACATCTGTCGGTCTGTGGACCTGATTCGGAAACGAGTCAAGCAGCGATCTCGCTACAGGAAAGCTCTTCGCAATGCGGCGCGAACTGCACTGACATCAGGCGCTCGTCCCACAGCACTTTATTACTCGCGCCATGCCATAAAGCTGTTACAACAGAACTGCTGGAACGAAAAATCCCCAGATGTAGACTATGAGGAAACGTTGCAGCTTCATACTTCGACCGCTGAACTGCTTTGGTACCAAGGAGACAACGGCGAATCACTCAGAGTTCTATCGCAGATCTTCCAACATGCCAAGACCCCAGCTGACAAGGCCAAGGCTTGGATCCTCAAAAGCAAGATTTCAACTGTCTCGGGGGACTTCAATGGAGCCATGGACTCTCTGCTTTCATCTCTAGAAGAGCTTGATGTTCACCTTCGGCAACCCACTACTTATGAGCAATGTGATGCTGCTTTCATGGAGTTGAAAGAGTATTTGAAATCTCAGGATCTCGAGAGTATAATCCAGCAGCCATTGAGTAATGACCCGAAAATTGTTGCCATAGGAAACGTTTTTTCCGAGGCTATGGCTGTAGCCTTTTGGGGTGACGATATTACGTACATGTTCATGGGTGTCGAGATGATGCGGCTCCATTTGTTTTCCGGTCGTTTTTCGCAAATAGGATTGGCTTGTTGCCATTTGGCCATGGTGGCATACAGTCGCCACAATGATCTAGAATTCGCGACCAGCATGAGTGATCTATCATTGTTGCTCTTCGAAACCTATTCTGATCCTTGGTCGCGAGGCACCGGGTTCACACTCCAATCATTTGTGATTGAACATATGAGGGCACCTCTCCGCACAATCTTGCCATATATCGAACAGTCGATGGATTACGCATTCGATTCGAATGATCCACACATGATGCTCATAAGTTATGGGTTAATGGCTGCAACTCGCTTTTATTTGGGTCAGGATATGTCCGAAATAGAAACCTTCTGCACAGACACTCCGGATGAACTTAAAGATTGGATTCTTGACGTTCGGGGAGGACCTGTCGTTTTAGCGGTTAAGCAAGTCTCACGAGCATTGCAAGGCAAAACATCCTGGCGGTTGCCTGACCTGGTAATGGATGACGACAAACACAATTCTTCTGAGTACATGGATCACATTCACGAATTCGCCATGCGTACAGATCGGCCTCAGAATATGTATTGGGGCATTGGTATGGTTGCTCTCTTTGTCTTTGGCCATCATGATAAAGCCATTGAAGTCGGTATTGGCATGATGAATGGCGGTATCGAACGACTTTGGTGCCAAAGGGTCGCCCATCTAGCTCATTTCATTCTTGCTCTGGCGGTTCTTACGCGACACCTGGATAATCCGAAAAATAGCAATTTGGAAGCACACATGGACGTTGTGATGAGATGTAAGCACGTAATCGATTTCGCTAGAAGTGCCTGTGATGTCAACTACGCAATGTGGTCCTTGCTCATCGAAGCACTGCTTTATGAGTCCAAAGAGAATTTCAGCTCTGCTGTGAACTGTATTGAGGTTTGTTTTTCCCGGTCTGGGTTCCTGGAAATCATTTCACTAATTTATTTTGTCAGGCTGCGATCGACCACTGTGAAGTTCACGGCTTTCCCCTTGAAGAGGCAATGGCTCTTGAAATTCACGGTAAGCTGATTAGCTCATTTTGTCCGTTGCGAGCGTTTGGGTTAACTGTTTGGTAGGAGATTTCCTCGTTCGACGGGGTGCGAAACGACCTGCACGAGCCATGATCAGAGAAGCCATTGCAGCTTGGACGGGTCTCTGCGCAATTGGAAAGGCAACTCATTTATCAGAAAAGCATGAGTGGCTTTTGAAAACAGCTCTCGGACCCAGATTGAACGACGCCGGCACTCAAACAGTTGACTCCCTTGCCAACATCGGTCCGAAGTCAGTTGTAGAGCCCTCTGCCATCCAGAATCAGTTGGAAGATGACAGGAAGAAAATTTGGTTAGAAAATACCGGGGCCCATATCGACGACGGGCCTGTGGATATACCCAGCGCTGGGCTAGGTGAGTCGTCTCGGGCTATTTCTGGATTACTTGTCTTTGCACATCTAATAAAATACATCTAGATATTATCGATTTATCGACTATTCTCGAATTTAGTCAAGTTATGTCTTCAGAGCTGCAGATTGAGAAGCTTCTGACAAAGATGATTGATATTATCCTTGAATCCTGCAATGGATCCGATACTGCTGTCATTGCCACCGAATTTGAAGATAGCGGGTTTGCTATTGCAGCAAGAGGAAGTTTGGACGATGGTCAAAAGGCTTTCGTTGATGGACTTCCATTTTCGGAGATGGAGGACAAAATAGCACAGCAAATAACCCATTATACTTTACGGACCAAACAAGAAGTGCTTGTTCACAATGTTCTTGAAGATGAAAGGTTCTCTATTATCAATGAGGGTTATCACGCACGATACCCCCTGGGTCGATCTATTATCACACTCCCAATTGTGCAAGCTGATTCTTTACTCGGTGTGGTTCACATCGAAGGAAAACCGAATTCGTTCACGCAAAGAAACGTCGTGGTTCTTCGCCTTCTTTGCAATCAAGTCGGTATTTCACTATCTAACGCGCTCCTGTTTCGAAGGGTTCGCAAAGTCAGTGCCACCAACGCAGCAATGGTCGAATCACAGAAGCGCGCTCTGGCTCAGGCACGCGAGGCAGAGCAAAAAGCGAAGATTGCAGAAGCCGAGGCAAACCATAACGTCAAATTAAAAGAAGATGCGGCAAAGGCAAAATCCGTTTTCCTAGCAAACGTCTCTCACGACCTTCGGACTCCCATGAATGGAGTTATTGGTCTATCCGAGCTGCTAAAGGGAACAAATCTTGATAAAGAGCAGGATGGCTACGTTGAGTCGATCCGAGTCTGTGCAGACACTTTGCTGACGCTTATAAATGATATTCTGGATTTCTCGAAACTTGAGGCAGGCAAAATGAAGATTTCCACGGTGCCTCTGAATCTCAAAGAAACAATCAGTGAGGTGGTCCGGGCTCTACGTTACACCCATCGTGATCGTGGTCTGGCAACTATTGAGGACTTGGACAAGGTTCCAGAGGATCTAGTTGTTATGGGTGATCCCGTCCGTCTCCATCAGATATTCATGAATCTTCTCAGCAACAGCTACAAATTTACACCTAAAGGCTACGTCAAAGTAGCAGCTACGGTTTCTCGAGAAGGTAAGAACCGGGTACGTCTGGAGTGTTCTGTCTCGGATACGGGCATAGGCATTTCCGAAGAGCACAAATCGAGACTTTTCAGGCCGTTCTCCCAAGCAGATAATTCAACCGCTCGATCATATGGTGGCAGTGGCTTGGGATTGAGTATCTGCAAAGCAATTATTGAGGACGTACTGGGCGGCTTGATTTGGCTTAATTCTAAGGCAGGTGTGGGTACAACAGTAACATTTCAGCTTGTTTTCCAAAAAGCTCCCAAGGAAACTGCTGCCACAGCACCATGGTTGCAGAGTTTCAACCAGACTGACAAGCACGACATTGCGCGGATTACACCAGCAGTTGCCCGGGATCTAACGCTGATACCTCGCGATCAAATCAGAGTTTGCATTGCGGAGGATAATCCAATCAACCAGAAAATTGCGGTTAAATTTGTTCGAGGGCTTGGTTTAGAATGTGAGGCTTTCAGTGACGGTCAACAAGCTGTTGAAGCTCTCACCCAACGGTCAAAGGAAGGCCGGCCTTTCCACCTTGTTCTTATGGATGTACAGATGCCAGTTTTGGATGGCTATGATGCCACGCGTGAGATCAGGAAAAACGCGGACTCTAATGTCAACCAAGCGCTCGTAATTGCCATGACTGCCAGTGCGATTGAAGGAGATCGCGAAAAATGCATAGAAGCGGGCATGAATAATTACCTTGCAAAACCAGTGCGATCGTCTGTTCTCAAGGAGATGCTGGATCAGTATTTAGCTCCTGCCAAACCATCCAGACTTCGAATGCGCGCTATCGCACGACAGAGCAGTGACGGCGTGCGTTCTGACGATGTTGGAACACCGGGAAGCTTGACGTCGTCTTCTTCAGCTAGTCAATTTATCGCGCTCACGCCTGACATTGAGAAATCGCAGCCTCGGATGTCAGGAGTGTCACTAGAAGCGAAGCCCACAGAACAACAACTACCAGAGCGTCTGAGTACGCGTTCACCCGAGAAGTCGCCATCAATAGAAAATTTACATGAAAACTCCACATGAGCACAAAAGGGGAAGAAGAGCTTGAATACTCTTTCCCCATTTTTAAGGGCTTTGGCACAATTGCTCAAAATGTAGCAATACACTGCAAGGCTTTTTTTTGTTTATATTATACACTTTTACTGCATATCCCTGAAGAGCCTTTCTCTATACTCGGACAGGCTCATTACTTCTTGTATACAACTCTTCGTTTTTCTTTTTTTTTTTTTTTTTTCCATCTCTTTCAGGGAAATTGCTTCTGGGCATGATATGTTCACGGGTATTGCCATAAAATGCCCACGATTGATTGATTGATTGATTACATCCGATTATGGGGAGTTCTAGGGAAGAGGTTTCTTTTTCTATCCTTTTTCTCTCACACTTTCGTCTCATGCTGTGATATCCACGTTACATATGATAGTTACGAGGCGTTTTTCTATGGGTTAACTTGATGTTTGATTTGGGTTTGTTGCTTGTCTCGTTTTATCCCTTAATGACTCATAATTTCCTTGTTAGGTCAAAATTTAGATATATGTTCAGCGTTTAGGCTCACGTCATTAATCAGGAGGGATAAAGATATTATAAAGCATGTTTCTCTACTTATAAAATGTTTTTTTGAATTGATTTACGGGCTTCAGATGAAATCAAACTAATTCATATCTCATTCGTGCAAGCTATACCTAGGTATCCATGATGGTATCTTTCTAGCTAGATACTTGGAATTATGTACTGAGCTACGAGTCATCATCTATCGCCTCAATCTATTTAGTAGACGAGAGTGCTCTCCGGCCAAAAATCCTAAACCTCTTCACGCCACCATCGGGTATCAAGGTCAGCTTCACATGTGTAAACACTCTCTTATCTTCCCCGCCAGCAGCAAGATCAGCTCCTTCAAAGACATGCTCGGTATCAGCTTGTGTCTTCTTATCGCTATTTAGCAGCTCTACCCAGCCGGGATGGTCGTGGCTAGGATCTCCGCCAACATCATCATTATCATCAGCCTTAACAAGGCCGTGGACACGGACTTGGCGCGGGAAATTGCCACGGAAATCCTTGGTGTCAATCACGATCCTGCGAACTGTACCTGGCAGCCCCAGTTGGAATATCGCCCAGTCAACGTGACCTACAGTGCGGGAACGAGCTGTCTCCCAGCCATCGCCCATGTCCTTCCCGCGACCTGGCAAGATGGTATTCGAGGCTGGTGTGTAATGCTGGTCAGACGCAGATAACGCAAGACCACCGAGAAGAGCAGATGAGAGCTCTTCCTCCTCCTCCTCCTCCTCCCCTCCTTCTTTTTGTAGTGCTGCTGTAGGGGGAATAGCATGTCCGTAGAGTCTCAGGCGCGCAAAGCCCCCATCCGGATACATCAGTAGACGGACATGGGTGTATGGAGTTGGGTTCGCAGGGTCGTATGAATCAATCTTCCATGCCCTTCTCTGACTCGGTCCACACTCCACGACGGGGAGTATAGACTTCCACCCCGTATACTCGGGGCTTGCGATTTGCTCATCTGTAACGTCAGGCGCATAGGCGCCCTGCAACTCGGCCTTTTCGCCATAATTGCCCACGAAATATGCCGTGTCGACTTCGACACCTTCAATTGCCCCGCTGGATACACCCAGCTTTATGACTACCCAGTCGTATGGGGCCGGGTTGTGGCGGCGCGTCTCCCAGCCGTCATACCAAGCGCCTGTGTGCACGAAGACGCCCGGTTTGTGGACGGGCGCGGTGGGCGTGAGCAGGTTTTCGGCGGCGGCGAAGTAGTCGTTGGAGCAGGCGAGGACCTTTGCATTCAGTGCTGACGAGGCCAGGTTTGTGGTGCGCGCAAAGACTCGGTCGATTTCATCGTTGGGGACGCGCGTGGCTGTAGCTGTGCTGGTGCTGGTGCTGGGAGACGCCATGGTGGGCAGAGCGGATAGTCGATTGATTTGTATAGAGTCCTTTGTATATTATTATAGAAAGTTAAGTGAGAAGATATATTGGCAGAGTTCAAAAGTGAGAGGCAGAAGAGGGATACAAATAGAGGGGCGTCTCTTATCTTATCGGGCTCGACAAGGACTACGTACGAGTCGCACCAACAGCGTCGTCCGTCCTTTGACCGTTGATGCAGACTAAATGCGCCTCGAATCTCTTCATTCTGCGACGAATTGCTAAGATTCTCGATTCCTATAAGGTGATATATCACGTATTGTGCAACAGAGCGCTCCCCGACATCGGCTCCGCTGGGCAAGGCGTCGGAGCTCGCCGATGGCCACTGAGTGACTTAATTCCTTTTAGCAGCATCTACAGTGATTGATTGATTGATTGATTGGTGAGTGATTATTATTATTGTACACGGAGGTATAGTATGGTATCATACAACTGGCCTTGAATAGCCTCACTTCTTGCCGATTGTCTCCATCCCTCCCATCCACGGCCGCAGAGCCTTGGGGATTGCGACGACTTGTCTTGCTTCGTCCCAGCCGTTTTCCAAGATGGCAGCGAGCACTCGCGGGACTGCCACAGCTGTGCCGTTGACTGTGAGAGGATAGCGCGACTTTTTGTCCTGGCCGCCCCGGATCCTCGTTCCTAGGCGACGGCTCTGGTAGTCTGTGCAGATCGAAGCAGACGTAACTTCTCCCCATCCTGTCTCGAGGTCAACCTCGCTTTCGCCAAGTTGAGCACGGAGACGTGACGGAAACAGCGCCTCAATATCGCGTTTTCTCGATGCGCTCGCTCCGAGATCGTTCGTGGGCATTTCGAGTATTCGGCATGGAAGCTCCAAAGCGCTCAGTATCTCCAGCTGTATCTCCGAGAGTTCGCCGTATAATTCATTCAAAGGTGTGCAACCGGCATATGTGGGATCTGAAGAGGAAGTATCGGATTGCGGATTATCTGACCAGCCAAAGAGTTCCACCTTTGTAAACTCGTGGACCCGATACAAGCCCTTGGTATCAACACCGCGCGCACCGGCTTCAGCGCGATAGCATCGACTTGTGCCGACAAACTTTAGAGGTAAGAGCGACTGATCAATGTCTCGTCCTGCATACATAGCTGCCAGGGGGATTTCGGCGGTTCCGGCGAGCGACCGTTGGGGCTTGGCCTTGTCCTTTTCACTTTGCTCAATGTGCCAAATTTGTTGCTCATTATTATGGTCTCGCGGCTGATAGCCGCATGCTTCCTGGATGTAAGAATATACAATCGATGGCGGCGAGACAGCTTTCCATCCACGACGTAGTGCCACACTCATCGAGTACTGGATCAAGGCTTGTTCCAGCAGGGCTCCCTCGTTTGTAAGAAAATACCATCCCCAGCCCGTTGATGTTGCCGAACTCGTAAAATCAAGCAAATCAAGCATCGTGCCAATCTCTACATGAGACCGGAATGGACGGCGGCGTTCTTTCAGCCATTGCGGGTGTTCTTGTGGATCGAAGTTGATATACCCCAGTAACCGGGGCTCGTCACCAACGGGGGTTTCGGGGGAGGTGAGATTGGGTAGCGAAAGAGCGAGCCGCTGGATTTCATTATCGAGAGACTCCTTCTGAAGCAAGGTGTCTTCCGAATTTCTTTTCAGGAGCTGTGCTTCTTCGCGTAGAACGGCCAGTTTCTGCTTGTTTTCCTCCGACTGGAGTCCCTGCGAGGCAACGCGACCGATGGCCTTTTCCAACTCCTTGAGTTTCCTCCGAGGGTCCAACAGCAACTGCTCGAGCTTCTTTGTCTCTGAGTAGAGCTCCTTGATACGCTGAGGATACTCTTCGTAGGCAGCGTAGTTGCGATGGACGCAATTGCGCGCGAACACGTCGGCGTGTTCTCGAATCAGCTTCACGTCGGGGACGGGCTTCGGCGCTGTCGGCGGCCGGGCAAGATCTCCGCTACGACATTGACGACACGTAGAACTGAATTTCCGCCGTACCAACGATCTGTAATGGTTTAGTGGCGTGCGCGAGACGTGCGAGGCTGCCATGGTAGTAAAAGGTCGTGGAGAAGAAGTTTGCGGAGGCCGCGAATTGCGGGAACTCGGCGCCATCGATATTTATGTATCGTACCTAGACTACTCTCGCAGATATACCAGTAAAATCATATCTTTCAGTATCGAACTTATTTACTAGGTGCTGTTCAGTTCGCAACATTCACGTCATACAAAATATACCAATGAAGATTCCGATATCAAGATCGCTCTACATACGGAGCTAGTTACCACGACATAGTAGTTAGTATGCTGGCGAGTCTTACAAACCAAGCTTCTGCTTCCTGATGCGTGCCCCAACACCAAGAACAGTGACAATAACCGTCCCAATCACAGCCCACAAGCCAATATGCAACACACTCTCGCTAAATGCGGTCTGTGTGGCGGCTACCACTGTTGCCAGCTCCAGCACCAGCAGCGTATACCCAGACACGCGATGGTATTTATAGATCTTCTTGCCATTGTCGACACTGCCAAAGACCCATGTCGGAACCCAGAACTGGGCCACGCCAACCAATGCCTGCAGCACGATGAGGATGTATGTAATCAGCCCGAGGACGCCGTGCGGCGAGGTCAGGCGCGGATGGTCGCCCTTGTTGATCTCAATGATGGCGAAGGCTGTAATGAAAGCTCCCAGGCTGAGGATCAAGACGGTGAAGTGGACGTAGGTGCCGAGGGTCTTCTGGCGCGGCGTCGACGTAGGCTGGAGGACTAGTATGGATTGCACTTGCAGCAGAATAGCGGCGGTGTTCAGCAGCTAGACAGGGTCAGTACATGCTGGACAGGGGGTGATGATAGCCCATACTGGGTGCAGCGAGAAGAATATCAGCTCATGAGAGAATATAGCCGTCCAGACGACCGCAGTCAACTAGCGAAGGAGCCGTCAATATTGATTCACATCCGTTCTGCTTGACTAGACCTACCACCCAGATACCGGCCTGGGCGACTATCGCACTGCCTGCAGCGAAAGACGTGAGTCCAATCCTGGGGAGAATGAAAATCCAGGACGCACCAGTGAGGAGATTATAGTAAATCGGCGTGGAACTGCGCTGTCGACCACTGCCGGGGGCGCCCAAGAGAGGCTCTTCTTCTGCCACAGCGGAGTTGTTTTCTGGGATTCCTGTTGCTGAAGCCATGACTGACTGATTGACTGCAAGAGATTTGTGGAGGGGCAAGTGTCCTCGTCATCAACTATATAGTATGCAGTGTAGTTAGGATGTTTTCGGATGACGCAAGACGCTTTAAAATTAACGCCTTGTTAGCCAACGCTACCTGACTAGCCAACCACCACTTACACCACTTTGATTAACTATCATTCATTATATCGCCTAACGTATGTCTTGTCTTGTACCTAACTCAAGTATTATCAGATGTACGTCCGCAGATACTCCACCAACGCCATAATCGCCATCGCCTGTCCGTACGGCATCGCAGTCACCGGGATTTCTCGATAAAAGTCCAAGCTGTGGCCCATGGGCGTGCCAAAACTCGTGTTCTGCAGCTCTCCCTGCTGGTCAATCGCTCCGAGCACCGCCTGGATCGCCTTGTCGGCCGTGTCGCGGTACTGCCGATCTATATATCGCTTTCGCTGGGCCTTGAGAATGCCATATGCAAACCCAGCCGTGGCCGAGGCTTCAACGTATGAGCCCTCGTCCGCGTGGTTAAGCAACGTGCGCCAGTATCCGGATGCGTGCTGGAATCGCTTCAACGCTTCGCATTGTGCGTCTAACGTGTCGATAAGGTGCGTGCGGATGGGGTCATTGGCGTCCGTGAAGTCGAGCAGTTCCAGTATCTCGGGGATGACAATGGTGAGCCAGCTGTTTCCCCGAGCCCACAGGGCCTGCGCAAAGTTGTGTCCTCCGTCCTCAAAGGTCCAGCCGTGGAAGAACAGGCCGGTGCGAGCGTCAAACAGGTACTTGATGTGTATCAGAAACTGCTTCTTGGCCTCGGTCAGATACTCGGCCCGTCCAAGCACCTTGCCAATCTTCGCCAGGGGCAAGACAGTCATCATCAGCGTGTCGTCCCAAAGCTGCTGGGGGTTCTCGTTATCGTAGGTGATGTGCTGCATGCCTCCGTACTTGGTCCGCGGCAAGTCATACATGGCCCATTCAGCCCATGAATCGAGCCAGGGCAGATAGGTGACATTCCCCGTCTTCTCGTAGACATATGCCAGCGTAAGCAGCGCTGCCATGGTATTGATATTCTTGGTCGTTCCTCCCTCGGCGATCCGGGCAGAGAACCAGTCTTCAATGATCGTCAGTAGCGATGCGTCCCCGGTCATTTCGTAGTATTTCCACACTCCGTAGAGCCCGATGCCGTGAGTCCATTCCCAGCCAGCCCACGACTTGGTGTCGATGATGCGCCCATCCTCCAGGTGCATCAGGAATCTCCCCGTTTCATCCTTGATGTTGATCAGGTTGTCAATCAGGAGCCTGATTGCGTTGTGGATGTCTGCAGCGGGCGGTTTGGACATGTTTCTTTCTTCTTCTACTAAGGCAGATGGAGGATTTTGATGCATGTCAATTGGGACGAAGATGTTCGTGCGGAAGAGGCATACATATTATTAGCACCGGAAAGAACCCCGCAAACAATGTTTCCTATTTAAAGACCAACTACGACATTCAATGCTCAATGCTTGCTACCGGATACATATGCACAATTATCATAGTACTAATTCAAAGTAAATCATCATAACAAGGGAGAAGAAACAAACAAGCGTAACTTGGGATATCATATTTCATCAATCATAAGCCTGTCCGTCGTATAAGTTATTATAAGAAAAGAGATCAATCCTGTGTCCCCGACTGAATATAGAGACACTGCGCCCAGCGCGTTATTACTTCATCTCCACGGGAGATCCGATTCTTCAATCTTGATGCAAGTCAAATATGGCAGTCCTCCAATGCCACCGTCTCCGACTCCGCTGCCTCCAGACCCTCCGTTGTTGTCACTTCCCTTGAGGTCCAGCTCAAGGAAGTTCCTCATCAGGGGCTTCACCACTTCCCGTGCTAAGCGCTTGATCTCGTCCATCTTACGTTCAAACCGTTTGAAGTTATCTCGTGTATATAGGGATTCGGAGGACGATGACACTCGCAACTTGAGGAAACGTCTGAGTTCGTCATGTGGCAGGTACGCTTCGGGCGAGGATGAACCAATGAGTCGATAAACGCGGCCGGTGGAGATAGGCATCATTCCCCTGGAGGATCCAGGCTGACCACCAGATGAATTCTTCAGTATTGGTGCGGGCGGTGGCGTTGTATTATCCACAAACCACTGCCTAAAGAGAGACACCGCAAGCCAGTCCAGGTACGCATTCGAAGGACTGACACGTTCACCTCTCGATGTGGTCAATGTGAGGCGGAATAGTTTTGCATCAACTCGTGCCTTTAGGTCCTCCAGGTCGTCTACTTTGTCTTCGATCAAATCCAGGACAGCATCGGGTAGAGGCGAGCCATTGCATAACTGGGTCTGTGCCGCAGGCCATTGTCCTACCACGTGTATGAGGGCTTCTGTGAATATAACACGGCTGTGGGCCAAATATCCTAGTTTTAGGTAGCTTGGAGGATATTTTGCAATCTGCTTAAACAATCGAGACGAAAATCGGAGCAAGTGATGATCAATGCGGGAGCCAACTACTCCGAGTGCATCGTACATGTCTGCTAAACTGAGAAGCGCTTTACACTCCGAGTAAGCAGTCGCAATATTCACATTGTTCAAGATGGGTGAGAAATTATAGAATATCCGGAAGAGATTGTCGTAGTCGCGGATAAGAGGATGCGTCTCGGCATCTGGGACCACTGCATTCGAAGGAATATGCACAGCAGATTGCATACCAGCGAGATTAGCAACAGACCGGAAAAACCCAGTTCGTGGGGCAACCGGCTTCGTTATCGGCTGAGGCGTTGGCAACGAGAATGACGATGGTACAGCGAAGGCCGGATCGGATGTTGTAGGCTTTTTGTCATCATACGTATTAACTTCACAACCACAAACAAAGCCCTTTCGGGGGTTTTTTCTTTTTTTTTTTTTTTTTTTTTGTCATAGAGTCAACTCACCTTCCGTACCAAAATCGGCTCTTCGTCTAATTCCTTGTTCTGCCAGTCTAATTCGTATCTCCATCTTAGCCTCGGTGGCAGGGACGCACTTTGCGCACTACCTCGGCGCGAGACGATGGAGGACCCGTCCTCTGCAATGCTCTGCAAGCTGGGATCGGAATCGATGACCGCGCTTGCGGACTCCTTCTGCATTTCATACCGCGTCCATTCCTCGCCCGTGCTTGCTTCAAAAAACCCCGAACACTGCGACAAGATCAGACGATGTAGCAGGTATCGCTTTTCTTGGCCTTTCGCGGCAATGACTATTTCCACATCTCCCGTATGCGCAAAGATGGGGAATTCATTCTGTGGGTTATACGAGGATCCGCCGTGATGCGAGCGCCCATGACGGTGTTGTCGTCGACTAGAATGCGAGAGACGCGACGACGTCGAGGCCGTCGGCGGCGGCGGCGCTTTTGCACGATCGACTGATTCCGGGTAGGAAACCATGGCCATCGGAGGTCTGCAGCGTTACTCAAACATTATTGTTGTCTCTGTAGGAATGGGCTTCCCCGCAGTCACACGTTCTTCCCAGCGCAGCCAAGAACACTTTCTTCGCGAAGGGGAAGGGGCAGTTGGCGAGCAAGACGCGGGCGTGTAGAAAAAGGACATGCACAGGAGAGACACGAAGAAAAAGAAATCAAAATCAAACAAGCAGTCGAGATGTTTGAGGAGGAAGCAGAAGCGCTCGCTCCTTCCGTCCAATGACGAATGCGGGCCAAGAAGAGGCTGTGTGCATGCAAATGCCGCGCTCTGATTGGCTGGCGGCAGCGAGGTTCAGCCAGCGCAGGTGGCGATGCACGCTAGTCCCAAAAAGTCGATGCTTCGTGGCTTGGCAGACACGTCGTTATCTGGCGTGCCTGAGGCAGAAACCCCCGCTGGGCCGACCGACCGCCGGCGGCAACTCGAAGAGCCTCGCCTTATCGTCTTGAGTCGAGTCTTCCATCTTCTTTAATCCATTCTGATGAAAGCACAGTCGAGAGCTGCATGCAGAGTTCCCGGAATGCATAACTGACTGCCGCTCGGCGTGGAGTCAGATCATGACCAAAGGATGTTATACTTGCCGTCGGCGTCGAATTGTCTGCGACAATGGGCATCCTACCTGTCGCAAGTGCCGCAATGCCGGCAAGGAATGCTTGGGCTACCAGAAGCCCTTGGTCTGGGTCAAGGGGGGAGTGGCCAGTCGTGGAAAGATGATGGGCTTGAGCTTTGACGATGTAGTTGATCAAGGCTCGTCGTCTAGTTCCGAGAATAGCAGTCCCGTCGCCATGGCTCCAAATACTCCTGAGATGCGTCCTCGACCAACATGGCCATCCAATCATGGAGATGGCATTGGAGCCTGGGCAGGCCATCAACTCCTTTTATCGAATCTGTCTGGAAACCAGCAACACTATTCACCTCGTATCGACGACGCTACATTGGTGCGGCTGCACAATGCCTATACAGAGTCGCCAATGTATTCGCTCGTCGACCCGCTCTTTCAAGATCTAAGTAGGATGGAAAGATTCTACATAAACATCTGTAAGGAGCTTGTTCCGTCACGACTCACGCAGGATATTCTAACACTCTGGAATAGTCAGTGGACACTGCGTCAAGTGGTTTGCTCTATACGATGCCGTGAAGAACCCCTACAGGGAACTCTTCCCATATATCAGCAACTCACCACTATTAGCAAATTCGCTAGCCGCCATTGGGGCAATAGAATTCGCATACATGTCAAATGATGACGGCCAGTCTGTCGGTGGTTCAGCGAAACCAGACATGGCTCTCGTGAAGCCCCTCAATTCTCAAGCGTATGAGCACTTTTTGCGGTTTAAGCAGCGTGCTTTGCGTCAATTATCCACAGAAGTATCACGTCATCCCCTAACACGGATTGATGATCGGACACTTGCAGCGATCTTTGTTTTGATCTTGCTCAATATGATCGAATCTGGAGACACGGCATGGATGTATCATCTTGAAGGCGCCAAAAACATACTCAGAGGCCGGCTTTCAGATGTAAACAGTCTGCCTCTCACGAGCGGTATAGAATCGTTTGTCGTCGATTCCTGTCTCATAACGGAGATCATGGGCTCAACTCTGGCAAGACCGGGAGTATTATCGAGACCCTTTTATTCGCCAGGCATGGGCACCGCTGTGCTCAAGCGCCTAGAAAGAACACTTTGGGTTGGTTGCCCGGCCTATCTTTTGGACGCAATTTTCTTTGTCCACGCACAGCGTTATTCGGAGCCAGGCGAGACAGCCGAGTACTCGTTATCCTTTCTCTCCCCATCTGGAGAAGCGACACGGCCCGAGTCCCCGCTCGCAATCCTGCGCCACATTGATACCTTTGACCCCTATGCATGGGCTGAGGACATGCAGTCATATCTGGCATTACCAGATCTATCCCAGCGCATTGCTCTTGCGCGCGCCTACAAGGCTGCTGTCTATCTTTATGCCAGACGAGTTGTATCGAAAATGACTCCCACTACTACTACCTTTTCGTCGGATCGTATTACGACGTCGACTGGGACAACAGGTCCTCTTCGTGACCGCCGGATCGTGGAGAACGAGCTACTTCAAAACCTATCTTTTATCTCGCCCGATGACGAACATTTCAAATGTCTCATCTGGCCCACCTTCATCGCTGGCGCTGAAAGTACTAGCATCGAGCAGCGTATGACCACGTTACGACTGCTTGGGTCTTTATGGAATGGATTCTACAGCTTCAACCTACAAAGCGCCGCCTCCGTGCTAAAAGTTATGTGGGACAAGCAGGATGAGCGGCAGCGCAACAGGCAAGCAGGCGGCACTTTTCTGCTTTCGGATATTGATGAGAGTATAGACGTTGAGGAAGGATTTGATTGGATTCGGGAACTTGATCAGTCGAGTACCGACTGGCTTTTTATATAAACCTTCTTCTAATCTCGGATATGGACGAGTGTCTCTTTTTTTTTTTTTTTTTTCGGGTACTTGCCTCTTACGAACCTATATCCATTAATTTTTATAGATAAATATCCAAGCTCCGTTAACCTAGGTGACAGAAAATGATCAATTGATGTCTGCTTCACAGAACAATAAAACAAGTCTAATCAATATGATAAAAATGCAGAGGTGAAATAATACAGCGGCGCTTTAAAAGATTGTCCTTCTGTGCAATAGTAATATTAATAAATAATAATAAAGACACTGGTTAACGCTCAACATATGAGAAAAAGTATTGAGGGGGCGTGAAATGGAGGAAAAATTCTAAAGAAGGATGTGTCCGTGTGAGAGACAAGGTGGATATAGAAGGGGAAAAGAAATAAATCAACGCCTGCAAAGATTCTCATTTGCTATGCAGAAGAAGCAAGTCACATCACTATAATGCAATAATGCCATTTGAGGGGCGATCAAGACTGCAAAGAAAATTAATGGATGGGAGCGTAGGTAGTGTTAAGAGTGGTGGGAATCTTGATATAACCCATCGTAATGATTCAATGAAATTTCGAATTCCAACATTTCAGAGGAAGAGGGTATCAGGGAGGTAAATATCGATGATAGATAGTGGAATGGATGGATTCTGAGATAGGAAAGAAAAAAGACACAAGGGCTAAACGAAAAATGAGTGGTATTCCTCTAGTATGCTGTTTGGGGGAAGGGGGATTGCTGAACTGTTTTAAAAAACCGCAGCCAGGCCATTCTTTGAGTGCCGCTTGCTAAACCGCTTTTTCCCCTTGATAGATTCAGAGTCCGCTGCTGCCACACTTTTTTGAAGTGTCGCTCGCCCGGATGGTGGTGCATGTTCATTGTGGAATTCCGAACTGTGGTCTAAAGTATTTGTTTGACTGGAAAATGCAGATGACAAATCACGGTATTCATCGCCTGAGTATGTACTGCTTTGTTGAGACAGCGCCCAGTCTTTTGCTCGATCCAGAGTATCGATCCATTCCTGAATTGAAGTCGCCGCTGGCACTGCGCTAGAAGAGCTGCTTTTGGGTTCTTCAAAAACGAAGTGTTTATCTCGCTGTGCACGGTATAGAGTTAGACAATTTCAAATCAGGAATCATGGGAGGACTCTTTAAGAGTCCATCGTAGTTTGGGACAGACGTAGATGAGCAAGGATAAGAGTGTGAATCAAACTTACTGTGTCGACAATCCACGAAGCAGACCCCTTGGCATCTACCGTGCTTCTGTACGTGGTTTGAGGGGTCAACAGTGAGATCTCTAGTTTCACTCGTTTCTCATCACCGGTAGCAGCCGTGATGATGATCCGTGCTGAAGATGTGATCATTACTAGTCTCTGCTTCTTTTTGGTTGTGCTTCCGCCAAAGAAACGAGAAAACTTTCTGGATGTTTCGGACTCTCCGTGACCATTTCGCCCGGATGGGCTGTGAGAAGCGTGGGAAGACAACACTGTTAGAATTCCTAACTTTAGAATGCGCTCATTGTCTTTTTTCAATACCGGAGACCATTCAATGTCGAGTTGACTCGGTGGAGGTAGCTCCGTGATTACGCGGGGGTATGCCCTCGTTGATTTAGGGGTGGACATGGCACCAGAAGGTGCAGCGGAGATGCTTGGGGGAAAACTGTCTTCATCAGCTCCGCTACTCAGCTTGATCGGCTCCCGTGGAGGAGGAACATAGGCTTTCAAGCGAGGTGCTTTTTGCTTCCAGAGTCCTCGTCCCCATGAAATACCGTCGAAAAACTGGTGGTTTTTGATATGCTCAATGGGGAGACGACGCGTAGGGTCCAGCACAAGAAGCCGCTCGACGAGGTCACGGGCAATAGAGGGAAAGCCCGTGGGAAACTCATATTCCAGAGCGACGATTTTTTGAAAAGTCAGGTACTCGTTGGCTGCTTTGAACGGCGGCCGGCCGGCGAGAAGCTGGAAGATGATACAGCCAAAAGCCCACAGATCGCTAGCCTTGCATGCGTTCTTGTCTGTGAGAAGCTCCGGGCTAACGTATTCTGCAGTTCCAACAAACGAACTGGCACGCTCCGATTCTGGGGGGTCTGTGGAGTCCAACGAAGGGATGTCGCCAGAGCCCTCTTCAGCCTTCTTCGATGTATCAAGTATCTTCGCTGTGCCAAAGTCGGTGATTTTGGTATGCATCTGACTGTCCAAAAGAATATTCTCGGGTTTCAAATCGCGGTGTATAATTCCTCGTTTATGCATGTAGTCAATGGTGTCAAGGATTTGCGCACAATAGAACCGCGTGCATTCTTCATCAAATGTAACCATTCGTTTCAGAACCCCAAGTAGCTCCCCTCCTTTGCAGTAGTCGAGAACAAAATAGAGAGAGCGCTCATCCTGAAAGGTATAATATAGCCGGACAATACCGGGGTGATCGGTGAGACGGTTCAACGCGTCTTTTTCAACATTGACGTATTTAACCTTCTTTTCTTTGATAATATGGCGTTTATCAAGGATTTTGATTGCGTATTCGTTGAGCGTCTGGCGGTCAGTCCCGAGACATACTGTACTATACGAACCCTCGCCTAATGTCTGACCAAAAGAAAAGTCTCGAACGCCCTTTTTAATGTAGCGGGAGACTGTTCGCCCACTAGCATCCACCTCCTGCCTAATGCCAACAGCAGCTCCTCGATCTTGCCAATCCTCACTACTCGCTGGAGGTCCATTTTCCATCGCATATGGTGAGCCCGCGGGGTTGCTGTGTCCCATCCGTGAGCCATTTCGCAAAGGAGCAGGGCCATTCGAGCCCATGTATTGGCTTTGCTTGTATGATCTGTCGCTGTGACTATTGTCCCTTGAGGGTACTCCTGCTTGGAGGGCCGCAGATCCACCTCTTGAATCACGAGTCATCCTGTCGGTTGCCGATGCACCGGAATCCGTTCGAATACGATAATTATTCAAGTCGGCTCGGGCAGCTGCCGGCGTGACTCCGGTTGTATAATGATTATGCACGTGGGTTGATGCAGATCGGGGTATGCTTTGATGATGTTGGTTCGAAAGGGGATTCTCTGCCAAGTACGCAACTGACGAGCGCTGCCGTTGAGACGACGCGTTTTCGGAAGGGGGAATTTGCGGTCTATACGAGTTAGATAATTCGGGCATCGGCTCTAGGACAAAGTCAGATCTCAGACCATCCAGTGATGGAATTGTCGGAGCTGATGTGTCGATGTGGTTGCTGGATTGTTCGTGATCAACAGCGGCAGGATGGGATTGTATTTGTGAAGATGAAAGCGAATGACTAGCTACACCTGAAGCAACCGCATCTTCTGAGTCGTCCAAGGAGCAATCGTCAGGATTCGCTATTCTCAGCCCGCCGAGGGATTGTGATAAACTCAAATCGCCGTCCATTTTGAGATCCCTACGGTGTATAACGTGTCTGTCAAGGTTTGGATATGTTTGGGCTCGGAATAACTGGGACAAGACGTAGTGCGAGATGCGCGCTCAATAGACCGGCTAAAAATCAAAACGAGTATAAATGCCCAGCCGAGAGGCACAGATAGGATGTGTACCCGGGTTATGGCGGTGTTGATAGCATTAATATGGGATGATGCATGATACGGAGGACCGTCAAGACCGATAATAGGCGGCGGGCGACTCGCGGAAATTGGAAATCAAAGAGAGTCTGGCGATGAGAAGAATGACAAACGACGGAAGATAGCGGCGGGCAATGGGATGTAGCGGAGAATGGAGAGCGACACTGGCGTGGATGCCATGGCGTGAGTGGTATAAGTTGAATTAGGAGGGGGCAACGGCCTTCAGGGACGTACATTAATTCTTGGGGCCCGCGCTTCGAAAGGGGGGTTGACGGCGACTCTTGGAAAGGGACACGCAATCTTTGCCGCCCAACGTTTGTTTATTTGCGCAGCGATGTATAACGGACACAGCGCATTTGTTCCTAAAGCCAATATTCTTGTTATTATTATAATGTTTGTTTTTGATTCGAGCGCCTTAAAGACTATGTCTGCCGCGTGGCATGCATGCCATCAAAACAAGGCCTTTCGCAGGATGACGTCTCTTTCGAAGCGACGAAACTTATGAAGCGAGCGGTATTGGGCATTTATCGGCTGGATTGAATCGGCCACGGAAGTTTCCTGTCATATGAATATGGTGGTGAATCAAAGTCAGTATGGATTCTGCTATGTAATATATTACATTCCAGATGCTCAGCAAACTATACGACGGTCGGACTGCGATTTCGGGAGAGCAGCGTGGCGGACTGCGTAACGTCTTTGCACAGCCTACCTAAGCAGTTTCAGACCGTCTATCCAAGACACGAGAAACATTATTTGTTGCGGCGACTGGAGCATGATCAAGTCGACAGCGGGGGGGGGGGGGAGGGAGCTATTTTTGTCCCTCTTGGTGGGCCAGATGAAGATGAAGGACCGCGCAGTGCTAGCACATGGTATGAGGTATAAGCAGTAGATACTAGCTACCAAAAGCTGTAGAGTAGTAAAAAGACAGACAGTAAAGCAGAAGCGGAAGTGACGGTTCAAGTAGGTACGGTGAGTATTCTGTTTCGGCAGTTGCTCAGCGTGGTTGTTCCTTCCTCTTGTGCCTGGCAGGTGATTTCCCGATGAGGAAGGAGTACAACGCCTCTCCGTCTCTCACTCCGTCAACCAGGTACCTCCTCGCCAAATATGCTCTTGCTAGGTATATATATATATATATATATGATATAGAACACAAGTTTGTCTACAGCAAGCCTCCTGCATCGAATCAGCAACCATGTTCCGGCCTTCCCCAACCTGGATCTCGCTTCCGGACCACGAGGTATACCAAACTCTTCAGGCAATTCATCATATCCACAGAGCGAAAGCGAGCGTTCCCCTGCACCTTGCCGTCTTCGATTTCAACGATACTGATGAAACCGAAATCGAAGACTATCGTGAATCACCTACGAGTCCTAGCCCTAGCTTTACCTGGTCATCGTCCGGACTATATACACCTAATATGCGCCCCGGCGATGTGCACGTATTGGAGAATCGTATTCGAGCCAGACTCTACGCAGGGCTGAACCCGAAAAGAGTCGCACGAGGAGAGACAAATGATTGGGGAGATGCGAGTAAGACTCTGTGCGGTTCATGAGACGGGTTTTGCTCTTATCTGATATATATATATATGTCATCCTCATCAAGGCACATCGATGTCCCACGGTGCAAGAGAAATTGCGGACTCGACAGACTCTTTATCCTCAACGACTTCTTCATTTGCTGCAACGACAACTCCAAGAGAATAGATTCCGCATGTCAAATTGCTGTCCACGGGTGCTTTTGGTATATATAGCAGGGAGCAATATCTCATATCAGCCTTTCTTATTTTGGAATTCAACATGGAACGGGCACGACGCGATCATTCCTCTCATCAATATGACAGAGACAGGACGAAAGAGAGCCGGACAACCTAGGAATACCTGTATTACTTGGCCAATGAACGATACCTAGGTAGAAAGATTACCTTCAAGTTCATCGAGTAGAATATATCCATGTATTGAATATTGTATCTAAGAAAAAGGGAAGTGGAAAAGAAGAGAACGAGAAGGAAAACGGTAAACTATCGATGCTCCATTCCATGTTTAATGATAAAAAGGGTTCATTCGTCACAAAAAAAGGGTAATATAAAAGTAGAAGGTAGGGAGGACATAAACGGGCAAGAAGAAAAAATATAACAAAGGAAATAAATCTAGATAAGTCTTTGCAAGAAGGAATCATAACAATAAAAATTATGAAGTAGAAAAGGAGAGAAAAGAGACAATCAAACTCAAATGGTAAAAGAGAAATTTATGCGCGCCCCTCTTCAATATATGATGAACATATTATATGGGGTAGAAGAAAATTGAAATGTCACTTTTCTCTCTTATTGTGGTGTTTTCTTTTCATTCCCTCTCAAATTTACTTCTTTTTAGCAAAGACCTGAGCTCCATCAACGAGACGGCGTTCAGTGTTCTGTCGACCGTTGACGAAGTCAGGGTAGTTGAGGGTCAACTCGACGGCACCGTTGACAATGTTGTCAACAGCTTCGACACCAAGCATGAAAGAGTGGTCCTGGTTGCCGACCTCGTAGCGCCAGCTGCCGAAACGGCCACGGGACCAGATACCCTTCTCTTGAAGCTTGGGGAGAAGCTTGGTGAGGGCACCCTCACGCTCGAGGGATGGGGTAGGGTAACCGTGGTCGAAGCGGCGGTGGTAGGTGGAGACGATCTCGTCACCTGGCTTGAGCATCTCGGTGTTGACAAGACCCTGGATGGAGTCCTTCAAGATATTCTCAAGGTCAACGGGCTTGTATGAAGATTCAGAGACTTCCAACATGATGGACCAGTAAGGACCAGCCTTGGGTTCGCTGTTGGCTGGGCGAGAGCCGTTAGCGAGCTGAAGGGTAGGGAGTTTCTTAGATGCGTCTGGCTGGTTGTATGGCGAGTAGTTGGAGAAGATAGTGGCACGGTAGAATGGGCAGTTGTCCTCAGGGAAGTAGAGCTAGGTTTCGTGTTAGTGTAAGCTGACCAAGCGCAATGATCGGCAAGAGCCCAAAAAAAAAAAATTAAAGCAGGATTAGTTACATACCCAGCACTTGTCTCCAATACGCTCAGGGCGCTCTCCACGGATACCAACACCAATGACGTGGGTGGAAGAGTAGAAGAGCTCCTTGGTGTGGTCAATAAGCTCCTCATCTCCAATTTGTTCCGCCAAAGCGTCAACAGCCATGGTGGAAACAAGCTTCTCGTAACCGACAGTAGTACCATCGGCCATGGTAACGACCTTGGTGTTGGGGTTCACCTTGGCGACCTTTCCGTGCTCGCCGAAGCGGGTCTTCTCCTTGGGGAGAGTGTTGGCGACGGCAATCCAGATACCGCCGGTACCATCACGGGCGGGGAAACGGAAGGTGGCATTAGGACCCCAGTTTCCGGCAGTCTTGTTCAGGATGACGTTGGTAGTCACAGCCTTGACATTGGGAGCGGCAACACGCTCACCAAGCCAGGCGCATTGCATCTAATCGAATAATGTCAGCGAACTGCGATCTCGGGAGAGAGAGCGTTGTTTGCTTACCTTGGTGGTGGGAACGGCCCACACCTTGAAGTTGTAGGGTCGCATGAAAAGGTCGGCAAGACCAGTGCCCATTTGACGGAGAATCCACTCGTCGAAGGTCTTGGGCTTGGTGGTGGCGGTACGGGCTTCCAAAGCGGCATCGATCATGCCCTCAATGCAGCGAACCTGCTCCTGCTTGGGAAGCATGGAGATGTTGTTCTGAAAAGGGTAAGGGACCCATTGGCCCTGGCAGCGGACGTAAGAGATACGCTGGTGGGTGTACCAGTCGTCTGGCTTGGGGAGAGCTTCATCAATGCAGTCGTCGAAGTATTTGTAGTGAGAGAAGATGACATGGCCACCGACATCGTACAACTGTCGTCGCGGGGTACTTTTATTAGACGTCTTCCTTTTTTTCTCCCACCATGTACATCAAAGGCGACAGGAATGAGGCGACTTACGAAGCCCTCAGGAGTGACATCGGTCGAGGCAAGACCACCGGGAATCTCGTTCGAGTCGACAATGAGCCATGATGGACCATCCTGGATTCATCACACACGAGTTAGTGTCCTTTCCCCCCCCCTTTTTTTTTTGTGCCCGGCTCCCACGAGGACGGCGGGGGAAGATACGCACAATCTGGTTCAATCGCTTCGCAGCACCCAGTCCAGTTGGGCCGGCACCAATGACGAGAACGTCAACAGAACTGCACAATGGGTTAGCTATGCGCGATACAGCGGCTTCTCACTGGCATACATGTCTGGGTGGCTCATTCTGCCTTGGAGGATATCCTGGAAGCTGGGCACACGTTGTAGAGTCTTGCGGGCGATGTTAAGCATAAGCGAAGCCTTTGTGTCGCGAGCGACGGCAACAGCAATGAATCAGATAGAATTGAGGGATGGAGATGGTAGAAGAACGGAACTGAGCAGGCGAGGAGAAAAAGGGAAGCTGCGAGGGAAAGGGACAGCTGTGGGGGTGGGCGGTGTAGCGTGGGACGTGCCTCTCCTTTTCTGTCTGCGCTTAATTTTCTTTTTCCCTCCTTCCTGCGGCCCTCACAAGCTGTGATTGATCGAGGCCTGTCTTCTAGTGCTAACCGTCGGGTCGAGTGGAGTTTGCCCCTTTCCAGCTCGAGATATCGCCTCGCCCCATTTGACAGCCTCCAATTTCCACTTTTTCTGCGCGGTTCTCCCCTGAATCTGGCATAGTCGTGTGTGCTTGGTGGCCGCCACCATTTGCCCAGCAAAACGTGCCTGTGCGTGACGAGCTGCGTAGTATCATATCACATATGGCACGCTGTCGTATGCAGTGCACGTTGCTCGCAGCGTCCCAATCCCGCCGGAAGCGGCTATCTACAAGACCTACGGAGTGCGCCATTGCGACGATAGGGTTTAGTGATTTGGCCTGTTTGCGATCGATCTGATCGCATATGGCGTGGCGGGATCCGAGATCAGTGAGAAGAAGCTTCACGTCGGTTACATCGGTGTCGATATGGGAGAGGGCCTACGTAACGTCAGGGACCATTTGTTTTGTAACTACGTACTCTACTCGCTCCTAGGTAGGGAAATGGAGCGTTGTAGTTGTGCGCAGTGGTACGGCAATTAATCTTGTACTCCGTGCTATGCCGGATATTACGCTCAGACATCCAGGAGCACAATATGCCTTGGATCGCTGTGATAGCATGCCTAATCGGGCGGTCAGTGTTGGATGATCATGTTGCTTGACATGACAAGGTACGACGATAGTTAGTTAACTATGGCTCTCCTTAATCATCTGGAACAAGGATGGCAAGTTTGTTGACACGACTCGGTTAGTTACAGATTTGTGGTCCCACTGATGGACGTGCTTGAAGGATTTATCTGGTAGTCGATCAAGCCATGAATCCATCCCCTAGGCGTCGGCTGGTGATCGCGGCTGTTGTTTCTGTGGCCGGTCCATCTGCCATACGGAGTGTAGGGAGGGGGAAGAGGAAATCGCTGGCCCGTGATTGTGATTTTGCAAAGATACAATAGCCTCCAAGCTTGTGCATCGCTTGTTCTCCCTCATGGCTGGATTTAAGCTCTCGGTAGCTTCTGCACGCAATCGGCCAGCAGCAGATAGCCACGCTGGCTCTGATTGGCCCGCTGCGTCTGACTAATCGAGGCAAATTAGGGGCCGTGTGCCAAGACGTTATTACGCGTCCCAGCGCGATTTTTGGGCGATCTTCCATTCCGCCATCAATCAAGTAATAACATCAAATATAGGAATACAGAAATATACATACGCATACACAGACATATACACATACACAGCGGTGGAAGAGTAGTAGCTCCGTCTCCATGAGAACCAGCGCCCTTACGGAGATAGATACTCCGTTCACAACCAATGCCGTAGATCCCCAAGCATCATCAAACATGGATCTAAGTTCTCCAGATGCGTAGTGGGTGTTGTACGTACGTCAACTTGCAAAGCGATCTAGGATAATCTCACCGCTTGTGGCGACTTGCAAGCAACAGTAACTAATTATTGATTGTATGAGATATCTATAATCTTACACAGCCCCAGGGCACAAGAGCCTGGCCAATCACTCACCCCGTGGCCCTTTCGCCTCTCAACAGGCCGCGCACCGTCTAATCGACATGGGTTGCTGTCTTCCAGAGGATACGAATGAAGGTCGGATGTCGAATGTCGTAATGCACATTCCCAGACATATAAATAGAATGGCAGTGAGACACGACTGAGCCGCAACAACGGCCACGACGACAGGACGACGGAAGCGGATTAGGTGTCATCATCTTCATCTCGGACCTGAAACCGTGTTTCAAGCCCAGGCACGGCCCCTTGCCAAATGGGGACTCGCCTCGCCCAGCCCAGCCCACAGAGCCCCCGCCCCCTTTTCCTTTTTTTTTTTTTTTTTTTTTTCCCTTTTTATCCCATTCCCTGCTCCTGCCGTTCAGACACAGCACGTTCGCTGGTTGCGGCTGCCGTAAATAAACTTGGCCGAGTACAGTAAGACGGACGCTCCACTTTCTCGCTCCAGCGCAACTTCACACCTTCACACCTTCACACTGTCAACCTTCCAAGAAAACATTCACAGGCGCCTTGTCGCTGTAACCTCGCCCTCCAGAGCCAGGACTGAGCACCGTCCGTCTCTGATTCTTCCCGTCGTCCATTGAACTGCCACCGCGCCTAAACAAACCCACGGCCCTGGTCGATCTCCGCCCGTGCTATACCTGGTTGGCCTGGTTCCGCTTAACGGGCCTCTTTAGCGTCAGCCCCCAGCGACCAGCGATTTACGAACTAGGAAAAAGGAGAAAGGACGGGCTATCCGTACCGAGCGCGTACGTGTTTTCATTTCCACCACACGCTGGCCGAACCAAAAGCCCTCGTCCCCTTCCCTTCTGGAAAGAAGTCTGCCGTCGCTTCAGAGAAAGAACCTTGCCCCCCTCCCCACCCACCGAACCGCTGCGACACTGCCATCCCTTGAACAGTCAAAAGCCTATTCTGTCCTCTACCATCATCATTACCTCTTCTTCCTCTTCCCATGCCCGTTTACGTGCTTCTTCTCTAATCGACCCTTTTAACTTTTTTGTTGCTCCTTGTTTTTTTTTCCGGTGTTCGTCACCTGCTTACCAGCAGTCGATCACAGCCACTCGTTAAGCCTCGTTACGTTTTTTTAAACAGCCCGCCTTCCATACCGTCTGTTTTAATCCACCTAATTTTCTCAACCGCTCCTCGTGGCATCCTCGTCGTTCGGCAACAGCAGCCACTTTCGGCAGCGCCCCTTCGATCTTCAACGTTTCTTCAGTGAACAAGCCCATATCCTTGCTACGACAATGAGCTCCGACGGCGAAAAGGTCCGCACCTCTGGCGAGGTTTCTCGCCCCGAGCCCGTCTTGCCAACTGTCAACCCAGCTGCCGACAAGTCGGAGCCTCCCAAGGCTGCCCTGCACCCTGCCTTTTACGTCTCGTGAGTTTTCCACGGGGAAGAAAAAAAAAGGCTATTGAAAGAGAAAAATAGTATACAATCGTGAGGTGGGAAGTGACTGTCGCTGACCTCCTTTTACAGTACTTGGATCGCCTTGAGTTCCAGTGTGATCTTGTTTAACAAGCACATTCTCGACTATGCCCAATTCCGTAAGTGCTATGAAGATGCTTCAATGACCGTTAGTTTGCAGTGGTGCTAATTTGTATATCTTCGAATAGGTTACCGTATGTGAAATGAGTTTGCCGTTCTGATGATCATCGTATAATCTAACTGAAGTCTAGCGATCTTCTTGACAACATGGCATTTGTTGTTTGCTACCATCATGACTCAACTCCTCGCCCGTACCACGACATTACTTGATGGTCGCAAGACTGTCAAGATGACTGGCCGTGTCTACCTCCGTGCCATTGTCCCCATCGGTCTCTTCTTCAGTCTGAGTTTGATTTGTGGAAACGTTACCTACTTGTACCTCAGCGTCGCTTTCATCCAAATGCTCAAGGCCACCACACCTGTCGCTGTTTTATTGGCTACCTGGGGATTGGGAATGGCTCCTGTGAACTTGAAGGTGCTTCTCAATGTTTCGGCTATTGTCGTCGGTGTCATCATTGCCTCTTTCGGTGAAATCAAGTTTGTCTTCATCGGTTTCCTGTTCCAGATCGGTGGTATCATCTTCGAAGCCGTGCGCTTGGTCATGGTCCAGCGCCTGTTGAGCTCTTCGGAGTTTAAGATGGACCCCCTCGTCTCTCTTTACTACTTTGCTCCCGTCTGCGCTGTCATGAACGGTATCACCGCTCTTTTCCTCGAAATCCCGAGAATGACCATGGGCGATATCTACAATGTTGGTCTGCTCACTCTGTTGGCTAACGCCATGGTTGCATTCATGTTGAATGTCTCTGTGGTCTTCTTGGTAAGTGATACGTTTTGATGACTACTCTCTTTCTGTTACTAACTGATTCGATAGATTGGCAAGACTTCCTCTTTGGTCATGACTCTCTGTGGTGTCTTGAAGGACATACTTCTTGTCGCCGCCTCAATGGCTATCTGGCACACCCCCGTCTCTGGCCTTCAATTCTTCGGTTACTCCATCGCCCTCGGTGGCCTGGTTTACTACAAGCTCGGTGGTGAGAAGATCAAGGAATACACGGGCCAAGTTCACCGTTCCTGGGCCGAGTATGGCAACACCAACCCTGGTCAACGTCGTCTCGTCATCATCGGTGCCGTGGTTATCGGATTTTTCCTGTTTGCTGGTGCTCTTGCCCCTAGCTACGCACCTGACTCGGTAGACCGCGTGCGTGGTGCTCTTGGTGGCGCCACTGCTGGTCGCTTCTAAACCGATGTTCAGTGCGACCGCCCATGGGAGGATTCTCGCTTGTCAATCAAAGCCAAACATTGGTATACCTAAGAGGCTGTGGTCCTAGTATGGGGGACTTATCGAAGAACTCCTTCATTATGAATTGGCACGTCTATTTTGGGCGCTCTTGAGATTGCCCTTGCGCCACACTACTTTTATGATCCAAAATTTGATGCCGACACATGCATCGATTACAGAGAAGGTCTTGGTATATTATTTTCGCGACTGCAACGGTTGGACCCGCTGGAATTTTGCAGCCAGTTGTGTGTAGTGTCTTGGAACGTCTTTAACCCTTTTTTTATTCACCATTTGATCCTTCTCTTACGCTTCTTTTCTTTTATTTTTTTCAACAATTCTCTTCTGCCCACAGGGAAGGGTCTACGAAAATATTATTACCCCAACTCATTTTATGTAACGGTTTCCTTCGATCATTGACTGCATCCTCTTGTGCACATTTAGGTCGTCTCATTTTCATGCCGCATTGTGACTATACGCGCAGCTTCTTTGTCTTCTTGTTCGATGTGTTTAGATTAGATGGTGCACCGGGGTTTGGGTGCCGTTGTGTTTTTACTATGGCAAAGTTTATACGGAAATCAGAATTCATTTCATGAGAGTCCAAACGCGATGTGTAATCTTTACGTACGCCGCATAAGGGATGGTCAGTGGTCGTGCGTTGCCATTTGAGGCCTTCCACACATTCTCTGGCCTAAGGCAACGGTTGCTCGCCATTCTCATTGGCGGTTGAATTTTCGCTCCGTAACGCGGTTCTCCAATCACAGAGCCCGAATTCAGCCACCGGGCGGAATGTCAAGGCTATGGTCTCGTCCATCACGCCAATCATGGCTACTGCTGTGGGTCCGGCGCCGGTACTGCAGCTGCGCAGCCGTGCGTAATTTTTTCCGCCAGGAATGCGCGTACTTTCAGGCACGGCGCTCGCATGCTTGTCATCGCCGGGGCAAAGTTTTCCTATTGGCCGGCCGCGCATGGTCGTCAGCTGCTCCACCGCCCAGGCACTTTCGGCCTGGATCGCGCCTGCCATTGGCCCAGACTCTTCCTCCGCATCGATCGCATCGTACACTCGCCAGAAAGGGATCCGCGGCCGCATCCGTCGTCCATCATCTTATCCTTCGCTCTTCATGCACCCAACCAACCATCCTTCCCGATTCCTCCGTTCCCGCCGTGAGCCTCGCCCTCCGACTCGTCTCTTTCTGACTTTCTCCCTCTTTCGCCCGTCTTGCCCATTCCACTGTGCTTCCTATCTTTTGTTTTCTCTCACTTCTCCTTCCGTCTCAACAGCTTCTTATCACGTCTCTACTCTCTTTGCCTCCTTCCGTCTTCTTCTTCGCGTTCGTTACACTCGCAGTCACGCCGCTTGCCTTCTTACGCTACCGCACCTCCTTGCTAGATTGCGCTCGATCTGATTCTGAAGCCATATCATATCTGCTTTGGTTGTGATATTTGGCCTTGGATGCAAAGGTTTCTAATTGCTCACTTGAGACTCACTCACCTTTTTAGACAGACAGATATCATTGAATCTCCTCATAAATCCTCACTTTATATACTCCTCACCGGCCACGCTGCAAACTTAAACACACCTTGTCGTCAGCATGGGTTCCGTTCTATATAACAACTTCTCCGAAGGCCCAGCCATGATCCTCTCCCCTTCTCGAAACCATCCATCATTTCAATTTCCTTCTCAGTCAATGCAAGGTCTCCAAGCATTTGATTCTGGCTCGTGGTCTATGGACGCCGCCTGCGCGAACCCATTCAAAGCGCCGACGCGTCATTCGTCTTCCTGGACACCCGCGTCCTCCTCTGCAAAGCCTTTATTTACGAACCCTTCTCGCAAGCGATCTCGAATGGATAGCGAGGACGATGACATGCCCAGTTCGAAGTTTAGCGTTGTGCCTCCTGTCCCTTCAGTGGAGGCACCAGTCTATGGTGAAGGGATGGCTCTCTTGAATCCTCGGACTGGTCTGGCTGTGTCTGCCGAAAGCCAAACTGGCACGTGGTACGAAGAGCAGGCTCAAATGAGAACTACGAAAGCTGCTTCATCATCCAACAAGTCTCAACATGTACAAGATACTAGTAACCGAGATGGCCCGAGCCGTAAATCCCAACGCCTGGACACCTCCGCCCCAGGAATCGACGATGTCGAACTTGCATGGATAAGACACCAAATGCAATCTACCACCAACGACGATAACCGTCGCAAGAACAATCCTTTCAATACGGCAGATGAGCCACGCGTCGATGATGTGACGCTTCTACTTGGTATTAGCTGGCAACGTGTCAATCGCGATGGTGACATGGCCCCTGCAGTCTCGGGCTGGGAAAAGTATATCAACAATCATTTTTCTAGATATCTTCGAAATGCCCGCATTATTCTCAAGAATCGCAGCCTTAATGCATATCTGGTTGCTGCTCTTCCAGCACACGATATTATACCTCAAGATACAGTTCCTGGGTATATGAATAATTCAACCATGCCTAGTATCTACCAGTTTGATCCATCTTCTTATTTCTTTCTCTTCAAGGAGGACTTGACAGAGGGACAGCTGGTAGCCTCGACTCTCGACAATTGTCTACAGAACCTTCGATCAACACCTGTTCAATTTGAGGGTACCGACATCCTTCGCGCATCTGACCGATCTCCTGAGCGTGTACTGGCTCCTGAGAGAAACGACCAGGTCAACAGTCTTGTTGGAAACGGCATTCCAGTTGCATCCATCAGCAAGGAAGACCATGCTGTAATCAATGGCGGGAAGACGAGTTTGAGCAATGGTATGGTGATGAGCATGGGGACGGACATGGACATCGATTTATAACTTTCTATTTCTTCCGCCTTTCATCTTGTTCGCCCTTAAACTCGGACATCTTTACATCGACATTTTTTATTCTCTTTTTTTCTGGAATATGATCTCGAAATCAACTGAAAACGACGCGTTTGCAGCTTATCATCAATGTCTTATTTGCTACTAATTCTTACTGAATGCCATGGGAGGGTCGCGGTTTTATATATACAAATCATGATATTACAGAAGATCAAAAAGGGCAAAAAGGAACAGTAAGTAATTGGAAAAAAACAATGAAAAGCAAATTTTACCATTTATTTCCGTACAACCTGTCGTAAATACAAGATTAACGTAACGGAATCAATAATGACCACTGAACAAAGAAAAGGTGAATGATCTAATATTCAGTCTGTACGACAATGAAATGCAGGCGGTACTTAATTCGGAACCGACATGTAGTTTTTGCTCGGACGAAGTATTTTAATTGATGGGAGGCGGAATCGAAACCAGCCTGAGAATTCTGGCTGCAGCCTGGCTGGGATCACATGACCTGCCCGAAGTGCTCAACCGTTCCGCCATCAGATCGAGGCGAAATTTCTTTCGCTCGGAACTCGCGCCGCGTCGATAGTTTCAGTGCAGCCTGTCTTTGTTTGCTATTCAAACGTGCGACAGATATGATATACTATCGTATGAAAGGGGAGAGACGCTATTTTGCTTCTTTTCGTGCTGGTCTCTTTGGATCGCCCTAACGGATCAGCACAACTCTGAGAGTTGAAAAGATTATGACTCTTACGCGACTTTGAATAAATTTCGAGAGTCGACATCAACCAAAAAAAGAAAAAAGGGGGAATTAATTATACCCGATGATATACGTCGGATATTCAAATTCCGAGAAGCAGGAGATATCAAATAGCGTTACTTATTAGGTGATCATCCAGCCATGCTTCCATTCAAGCCATCATTTCAACCGCGGCAGTCGGTGGGCAGGCTGCAGAGCCTCCGACCTCCTCAGTCCGGAGCCATTCCACTCAAACGCCCTCAAGGAGCCATACCACCAAAGGCCCCTGGCAGCAGCGGCATTAGCAATGGCAGAAAGCCGGAGGACAAGAAAACTGCTCAGTCTTGTCCGAATCCCAGTTGTCCAGCGCCTGATATCATTCATGACGATGACATGAACATGAAAGTCTGTAGGACTTGTGGCTCCGTCGTCAGCGAAGATACGCTAGTCTCAGAAGTTTCCTTTGGAGAAACCTCTGCCGGTGCGGCTATTGTCCAGGGCTCGTATGTCGGTGCCGATCAGACTCATACGCGCAGCTCTGGGCCGGGCTTCCATCGTGGAGGGGGCATGGAGAGTCGTGAGATTACCGAGCAGAACGGTAATCGCTACATCCAGCAAATGGCCCTGGCGTTGGATATCCCCGAGAGTGCACAGAAGGCTGCTGGTCAAGTCTTCAAATTGGCTGTCGGCTTGAACTTCATACAGGGTAGGCGCACCAAGACGGTGGCTGCCGTATGTCTGTATATTGCCTGTCGACGCCAGGCCGGGAATACGGTCATGCTTATTGATTTGTCGGATGTGTTGATGATCAACGTGTTCAAAGTCGGTCGTGCGTATAAGTTGTTGCTGGAAGAACTGCGTCTCGGCGGCACAGTCTTCACCATGAACCCGGTCGACCCCGAGAATTTGATTCTGAGGTTTGCCAGGCAGCTCGAGTTTGGGAACAGGACTATGCACGTTGCCAAGGAAGCTGCGAGAATTGTGCAGCGCATGAATCGCGACTGGATGACTACCGGTCGTCGTCCCGCGGGTATCTGCGGAGCTGCTCTCATTCTGGCAGCACGAATGAATAATTTCCGACGCACCGTGCGTGAGGTCGTTTATGTTGTGAAAGTCACCGAGGTGACGATCAATCAACGACTGAACGAATTCGGTTCTACTGATAGCGGTGGTCTTACTGTAGATCAGTTCCGCTCGGTGCATCTCGAGAGTGCACATGATCCCCCATCCTTTAATCAGTCAAAGACGAAAGAGGGTCGAAGGAAAAAGGCAATAGTAGTAGCACCAAAACAAAAACCAGCGCCAGAGACTGCAGCAGAGATTGAGGGAAATAAGTCTGTGCAGCAGGAGACTGCGGCCGCTACTACAGCTGCAAGTCAAAAACGTATTGATGCAGATGGGTTTGCTATTCCTGATATTCCTATCGATCCTGCATTGACTCAAATGTCGTATAACAATACCGCCGATGGCGCGGTATCCAGCATTGAGGCGCAACGTCTGGCCCAGTCAGCCATCGATGATGCAGAGGCAGAGGCAGAGGCATCAAAGTCCAAACGTGGGAGGAAGAAACAGTCATTGCCCGAACCGACTCCCGAAGAACTTGCTTCCGAACAAGCACTAGAGAATGAAATGAATCAGTTCCTAACCCAGGGCTCCGACATGGTGGAAGCCGCAACTACCAGCCGAACTGATACAAACAAAACTACAGCAGAAAAGCCGGCAGCACCGACTCGGCCGCCAGTGTCCGACAGTGCGGAAATCGAAGCGTCTGAATTCGAATCTGATCCAGAAGTAGCAAACTGTCTTCTCTCGCCGGCCGAGGTCGAGATCAAAGAGCGCATCTGGGTGCACGAAAACAAAGATTATCTCCGTGACCAGCAAGCCAAAGCACTGAAACGAGCATTCTTGCAGAGCGAGGATACGGATGGCAACCATGGTCAAAGAAAGCCGCGCAAGCGCCGGAAAGGCCGGCTGGGTGATGTCACCTATCTCCAGGGCGAGGATGGGAAAAGTAGTCGTGCGTCTACGCCTGCAGAGGCTACCAGGATGATGCTTGAGCAGAGAGGGTATAGTAAGAAGATTAATTATAAGATGTTATTCGATTTATACGGTGATGAGGGTGCGGCGGAGGCCGAGAAGGCCGAGGCAGAGAAGAAAGGTCGGAGCCAGAGCGTTACGTCTCAGGGACCTTCTTCTTCAATCTCTTCTTCTACTATGAAGCCCATCGATACGATGACTGCAGCCACATTGACGACACATACCGGCACTGGCACCACCGGCGGGTTCAATGAAGCTGACTATGATGATGATGAAGATGATGAAGAGGCAGCTGAGGACGATGGCGACAAAGATCACGACGATGACAATGATCTGGAGAACGCCTTTGCCGGAAATTATGACGAGGAGGACTACTATGATTATGACGATTAATCTATACAAAAAATTTCAACTATATTATTAGGATATCATTAGCTTTTATCTACATTGCTTGCATTGAGCGAGGAATGATTATTATTTCCATTTTTTTTTCTTCTTTCATTTCTGCTCTAAGTAGCAATGAGTTGTGGCAAATCGTGCTACAGACAGTCTCAAAAGTCGGTGAGCAGACCGAGTCCTGCCCATCATAGTATACGTATCGACAGGCAGATTCTAACAAACAGACAAGGCACACCAGAGAAAACAACAGAAGAAAAAATCATCGAAAACAGCCCGCGACGCATTCGGCCTGTAGCACAAATCGCTCAGCCTCAGGTCGGCTCTGATTGGCCGGGAGCCGCTGCGGCATTTGTGCGTGGTTGAGTTACGTAATCAGTGGCCTCTTGCCTAAGAAAGAAGGCAAAAAAGAGATCCGGCACAAAAAGCGCAAACATGACTATTGCTGTTTGTCTTTGCCACCTGTGCTTGATGTGTGATGGATACATAAGTTCAGCAAGAGATCATTCGATTCAGATCTTATTACCATTTCAAGCTCTTTCGCATTCTGTCCTAATTGCGTATACACTACTACGTTACGTATAGTTACAGCGAACGATGCATACAACCGACGACGCAGGGGATAAGCCAGGAGATCTAGTCACGGTCCTCCTGGCAACAAACATCCACTGTGCATCATGTGTTGCGCTGGTCAAAGAGCTCCTCGGCTTCTACCGGTCCGTCAAGAGGGTCGACGTCTCCATTCTGCAGCAGGAAGTACGGGTCTATCATGGACCGGAGATAAGTACATCTGATCTAGCAAGGATGCTGATTGATGCTGCGTTCGAAGTGCAACTAGCAACTACCACTCAAGATGGCTTGGGGAAACGGATTCTGGAGTCCATCGACACTTCGTCTTGGGTTACGTCGGCGCCTGTTGTACGGCCGCCGTTGCTCAAGCCTGCCTCTTATAATAATAGTAGGACCGTGCGAGGAGATCAGGAAGCGTATGAGCTGCAACGCAGAAAACATATCGATAACTGTGAGGCGTGTCAGAATGAACGGCAAGCGGAGGAGAAAGCATATGCACATGAATATGGCGACATACGGAAAGAGAAAATAATAGAGACGCCGCCGACACTGGAGTCCATACACGTTGCCCAGCCAAGACAGCCAGATGTTTTCAACGCTCGCCTCAGTATATCAGGAATGACTTGTGGTGCGTGCGCGAATTCGGTCACTGAGACGATACAACGGCTAGATTTCGTGAAGGAGGTTTCTGTGACTTTGTTGACCAACAGTGCTGCTATGACCTATAACGGACCAAAGGAGAACATCGACAAAGTGGTTGCCGAAGTAGAGAGTACCGGATTCGACGCTGCAGTTGACATGGTGGAGAAGATATCCCAACAACCGGAGGAGGAAACTTTTCCAGAATACGAAGCTCGATTCAGCATTGGTGGAATGACTTGTGCTTCTTGCGTGAATTCTATTACTCACCACGTTAAGCAGCTAGATCAGGTGAAGGACGCTACTGTTAGCTTGGTGACCAATAGCGCAACGGTTGTTTTCTCTGGCGAGAGATCCTATAGCGAACATGTTTGTGACGAGATCGAAGCTATCGGCTATGACGCATCGCTTATCGAAGTTGTTCAACGAAACGCATCACCTTCCGATGGGAATCTTGTTTCTAATAAATTCATTGCAAACATCAGCATCAATGGGATGAGCTGCGGTGCATGTGTTGGGAAAATCACTCAAGTTGTCCAAGAACTTCCCTATGTTAATGATGGTGTGGTAGACTTGCTCTCTGCTAGTGCACGGGTGGAGTTTGAGGGGAAGGATAATGTGAAAACGATATTGGATGAGATTGACGGCATCGGCTACGAAGCAGCGCTTATTGATTGTAAGCCGTTGAATGAAGAAGTTTCGAAACCTACAGAACGAACAGTGATGATTCGAGTCGACGGAATGTTTTGCCACCATTGTCCTGAGAAGGTGCTGTTGTCGTTGAAAGAACTTGACGAGAGTATTCAAATATCGAAAGAGCCTACACAGAAAGACCCAATTGTGAAGATTAAATATACGCCCAAGCAGCCGGATTTGACAATTCGCAGAATTGTGTCGACGATCAACTCGTCTCACGAAACATTCAAAGCAAGCATCTACTACCCTCCATCTATTGAGGACCGCTCTCGGGAAATGCAACTTCGAGAAAGACGCCGCTTTCTCTTTCGTCTGGCCTTCGTCCTGATGGTTGCTATACCGACCTTCATAATCGGTATCGTCTTTATGGATCTCGTCCCCTCGGACAACAAGATTCGGCAATACCTGTCAGAGCCAATATTTGGTGGCTCAGTGTCTCGTATGGAATGGGCGATGTTCTTTGCCACTACCCCTGTCATGTTTTATGGAGCAGACGTATTCCATATCCGAGCCATGAAAGAGGTTCACGCCCTGTGGCGGCCGGGCAGTAAAGTGCCACTTCTGCGTCGATTCTACCGCTTCGGTAGCATGAATCTGCTGATTTCGGCGGGGACGTCGGTAGCATACATTGCCTCTCTGGGTGTGCTTATAGCTGGTGCTGTAAAAAAGTCTTCATCTGCCGCCAACGTGTCGACATATTTTGACAGTGTGGTCTTTTTGACTTTGTTCATCCTGGCTGGTCGTTCTCTAGAGGCCTACAGCAAATCGAAAGCTGGCGATGCGGTCTCTGATCTAGGGAAATTGAGACCAAGCGAGGCTTTGTTAGTTAACTCTGTCTCCCCGGGAGAGGATAATGAAACTACCGTTGGTAGCGGTGTTCAGAGGATTGAAGTCGATTTACTCGAGATCGGAGACACTGTCATTATCCCCCATGGTGCCTCCCCTCCAGCAGACTGTATAGTCAGCAGCTCAGGCAAATATCAATTTGACGAGAGCTCTCTGACGGGCGAGTCAAGGCCCATTACCAAGTCAAGTGGTGACCAGATCTATTCGGGATCTGTGAACGTCGGTCAGCAAGTCTCTGTCAGGGTGACTGAAGTTGGAGGCGCCTCGATGCTCGATAAGATTGTCAGCGTTGTCCGAGAGGGACAAAGCAAAAGAGCACCTATGGAAAGAGTCGCTGACGTTATCGTCGCCTATTTTGTTCCTATTATAACCCTCATAGCCATTCTAACATTTATCATCTGGCTTGCACTTGGCCAATCCGGTTCTCTACCACTTGGATATCTTGACACTTCGCTCGGCGGCTGGACGTTTTGGAGTTTGCAATTCGCTATCGCGGTCTTTGTGGTGGCATGTCCATGTGGTTTGGCACTTGCTGCTCCCACAGCACTTTTTGTCGGGGTTGGTTTGGCGGCGAAGCGAGGTATTCTGGTCAGGGGAGGTGGCGAGGCTTTTCAGGAAGCTACACGTCTTGATGCGATCGTCTTTGATAAGACTGGTACCTTGACCGAGGGTGGAAACTTGAAGGTATCCGAGCATGAAGTACTCAATAATTCGGATCCTCAGAAGGTCGGCATTGCATGGACACTGGCGTGCGAGCTTGAGCAGACTAGTAATCACCCTATTGCCAAGGCGATTGTTGAATTTTGCAAAGACAAGATGAAGATGTCTGAAGGCAGCAGAATAAGTGTGAGGTCGTCTGACATCCTCGAGATATCCGGCCAAGGCATGAAGGGCCACTTCACACTGGCTGTTAATGGCGAGACAAAATCGTACGAAGCTGCTCTTGGTAATGAGCGTCTTGCGAAGAGCGTCACGGGTCAAATGTCCGATTCACAGTCCTACTTTTTTTCCAATCTCTTATCCAAGTACCAATCCTCCGGTCGTTCTACGGCAGTGCTACTCCTCCGCGAGACTCAATCCTTAACCACAAACGGCGAAGTAAAGGAAACTAGTACAGATACAGACGATTCAAGTCCCTTCACTCCCTCCATAATATTTGCAACGTCCGACCCTATTCGCTCCGAATCCTGTCATGTCATTTCCCAGCTCCAGAAACGAAATATATCCGTGTACATGTGTACTGGAGACAACGAGAAAACCGCGTATGCCGTTGCTTCTACCTTGGGTATCCCGCACACCAATGTGCTCGCCAACGTGATGCCGGCTCAAAAGGCAGATTTCATTCGCAAGATTCAGTATTCATCGTCATCATCTTCGCCAGACGAGGAAAATCTCCCGGGAAAACAATCCCAAAACGCCCAGCAAAAGAGAAAGATAGTCGCCTTTGTAGGCGACGGGACAAACGACTCACCAGCACTGGCCGCTTCGGATGTCAGTATCGCAATGTCCTCCGGTTCCGACGTGGCCATCTCCGCATCGTCATTCATCCTTCTAAACTCGAATCTCAACAGCATATTCGAGCTGGTCCAGTTATCTCGGCGGGTCTTTAATCGCATAAAATTGAACTTCTTTTGGGCCGCGGTGTACAATGTGATTCTCGTACCTGTCTCGGCTGGCGTGTTTTATGCCATACCCGATGGTACCAAGTACGTCACTGTCGCCGATACCCAGGTCCAGGTCAATGGGCACTGGAGATTGAGTCCTGTTTGGGCATCGCTTGCTATGGCTTTGAGTAGTGTCAGTGTTGTGACGAGTAGTCTGGCGTTGAGGATTGAAGGAAGGCATATTAGGAAAGTGATGAATTGGATTTTGAGAAAATGATTACTCTTTTTCTTACAGGGCTTGTGGTTTATCGCGATCTTAGCATCTAATTTGGATATATACCCACTGCATACCTCTTCGCTATTTGTACATAGACGGTTGAAATATATTACTATGAAAATTTTATCTTGAGCCAGAAGGAAGTTTTGAGTCTACAATGTTCCTTCCTTTTCCCAATGAATACTAAACATAAACAAGGGATTTATGCATTTTTTAAGGAAATCAATCCCTCTCGCCCCATACTTCAACCACCTTCTTGCTCAAAGCACCTGCGATTTTCTTCTTCGCGATCAAATTCCCCATTCTGTCCGTAATCATTTTCTCTTTCGCCTTCGCTACTTCCTGAGGGCTCAAAGCCAAAGAATGATGGCTAGAAGAAGCCACGGATTCGAATGCTTCCATGAACTCTCGAGGCGTGCGCCAGTGTCGCTGTAGTTCCAACGCTTTGTCGCCTGTCACGCCTCTGGTGCACATGAGCATTTTGAGAAATACGTCTCGTAATGTGAGTGTGTCGGATTTGGATGTTAGGGCCGAGAAGGAAGAGAATGATACCCCGTATGTTGTATTTTCGGATGAAGTGTTGCTGCTGCCCCCGGAACGAAGATCGCGGAGGGTAGTGAGATAGGATTCGGACGATGAGAGATTGGAGCTAGGAATAAGTGCTACGGATTTAGGTTTCACGTTGCTGCTGCTTGGTTGACTGGATCTATTTCCCGTCGAGAAGGACGACGAAGAGACAGAACCAGGAGTTTCGTACATCTTGCGCAAGAGGAATGTCATTCGCGCGAGATATCGTATGGTGTCGTCTAGATTCTTGGTTTTCTTAACAAAGTAGCCATTGATGACCTGAGTTGAAGCAATAGCCGAGGCTACTGAGTCTTGATAGTTCGGCATGTGTCCGGCCGCTGTTGAGGATGGGTGTGAGACTGCAAACTCCTCTATGAGATATACCACATTGGAAATGCCACTGCGGCGAAGACGGAACTTCTGCTCATGGAATCGACCGTCTTTGATAGATCCTATCAAATCGTCAAGTCGCTTGCGCTCTACTATCCAATCGAGCATCACTTCATCGCCTTCTTCACCAAGTCGAGCTAGGAAACTAGGGTCCTTGCATTTTGCTACCCACATTGCATCACCAAGCTCAAGTGCCCGCACTTGTGTCGTAATGCCTTTTGTCTCTAGCTCTTTCGATATATAGTCTCGATCATTCTTTGCACGGACCTCACGGGAGTCTAATATGAGTTCGATCGTGAAAGTACCAGGAGTTAACACGACGGGTTTTGTTGTTCGGGTGGAGCTTTTGGGGCGCGTCTGGTGCTGGCTCCGTGAAGTTGCGGACAGTTCCAGGTCATCCAGAATTTCGATATCAATATTGTCGGCAGAGGTTCTGGAACTGGCATTGAAAACTGACCCTGTATTCTCTTTGATTTGTATATTACTGCTGGATGTGGAAACCGGTGGCTCACGAGGCAAGGCCTACACTGCGTTAGAATATCAGGAAAATAGGCACGGTGCATGGATCATACCTGCTGACTTTGTACAGGTAAGCCTACTGTGCTCGTGTTCCGAATCCTCTTTGCACATTCCCAGCCTTCTTCTGTCAGGGCATACTTCCTCAGAGGTCGTCCGTGTTCGTAGACAAGTTCTTTTTGGATCAGAGTTTTCATCGAGTTCCACGCGGTATAGAATTTTGTGGGGTCGCTAGGAGCTGTGAAGGAGGAATCAGAATGCGGTTGAGCTGCTTCTATCAGCTGGGCTTTGGTCATTCCATGCGGTGAGTTTTCATCTAGTGTGGACAGGCCTAAAACCAGAGCGTATGCCCCAGAGCGCAAAGCAGGAATATATGGCTTAACCTTTCTGGGCTTCTTAGTCGGCTGTTCTTGATCTGGAAGGTCATCTCCGGACTGTCGTTTCTGATTGGGGCGCCTTCTATTCGGTGGCTCGGGCATAGGAAGGCCATTCTGCTCGCAGTGCTCCTTCAACTTCTCCGTAAGCCTGTCGCACAGTTTGGGGCCCAGGCCGTTCAGCTGTATAGCTTCTGACGGATGGCTAAACTCCAGTGGGCAGGCCTTCATAGACTCATATGCCTTTTTGTAGCTATGGGCATTCTTTAGTATACGATTGATACCACGTCTTAGGGGCAGGAGCGCATACACTGTGAAGCCCTTGGAGTTGCGTTCCCGGGCCTGGTCGAGCCATTCTTTGATCCAGTCCAGCAAAAGGGGGTTTGCACATGATTCGGCCATTTTCCCTATCGGTTTGACAGAGGCTCGCCATGTCTTGCATTCGCCGTTCCGCGAAAAGGAAGCTCAGGAAAGACGTGTTCTGACGCGATCGGGGAAACGCGCTAGAGCGGGTGTTCACGTGATCTTATACATCTCAAATCTCTCAGCCCATACGAAGATAACTATATAATCCGATTGCTCTTGGATGCCACCAGGATATTACTTTACCTATGAAGTGCAAGTTCAATAATGTTCTGCAGCAAGGATGGCTACTCTCCTGTCGCGTCCTCGAACACTTATGACCGCAGACACTCCAGCGATGACGGTATTACTGTCAATTCTCATAGCAGGCTACGTCTTTCCCATCACTATATCATTTACTTTGTTTTAATCGCCTCGAATTTTCTTCTCTTTGCATTGTGGTGGCAACAGAATGATGATTGCGTGCGGCCGAGACTGTCTTACTGTCAGTTTAAACCAGTATTGTTAGCGTTCATTGTCTAATTTGCATGTTATATATAAATGCAAAAATACATCATCTCATCCGAAAAGAAGCGCTTGGTTCGCGATATAGAACACAATGTTTTTACCGGCAACCCACGTGAGGAGTTTGACGCCGCATGGAAGCATTTACTACAGCGTGAACCAATACACATTCAACCCGGAATTTTCGTGCAATAGCTGATACTTCCAAAATCGCAATGACTATAAAGATATCGGCTGAAGAGCTATCTCACCTGCCTGATCCGAGAATTGCCTTCAAGGATGGTGGATATGAGTGATTATTCCATGTTGGAGCAGCAGTTGTATTCAGTTGAGCCTTTTGGTTTTTACATACATAGAAACAACTACGTTGGTCAGGTGCGTTTCAACATCTAGCACCTCAAGATTGGTATCAGCGGCGCACTTCAGGGTCTGGCGTAGGTAGTCGAAGCAATGTCGGATGTGCTCGGGGTCAAGCCGTGTTCCTGTCTGGTTGAGATACTCGTCCGATGGCCGGCCTTCTTCTCTGAGGACTGCTGTTTCATCGACGGCGCTGTAGTATGCCACGAGTATTGCGTGCTACCTCTCTCTCTCTCTTTATGTTAGTGCAACCAAACCTTCCGTATGGAGAGAAGGAATTGGGGCGGACCAGACAATGTAGCTGATGAAATACAGCAATGTTGGAAATATACGGCGCGAGTTCTGGATGGTGAACAAAGCCCCTACCAACTTTTGATTTTATATTCTCATGAGAATGTAACACCCCCAACTCACGAGTGAACTTAGGGAGGGAGACGAGCATGCTGGGAAGTTGGTTGGAATACATGGAGTAGTTCCATGGTAGTATACCCTATTGATAGTCTATCTATGAATTGATTGATGATAATCATATGCCAGTCGGTCTAACTAAACACGAACATGGCCAGAATAATACTATCAATCCCCCCCAATATCAAAATATTGGTCAAAAACATTGGCTGGATCAGCCTCCGCTTTGATCCTTCTTAGTCGATCATGGCTATCACCATATATGATCGGCAGACTCTCATCACCATGTGCAAAGTTGATATACCTAGAAAAGTGTTAGCATTCAATCACACTGCTTTTCGAATGTAATAAGACGTAAGCAGCAGGGATATCAAGCCCGTTGGTTTCCCTCCATGTGTTTCTTAACTTCTCTCCCCACGCCAATGCCGCTGATTGCAGACTCTCTTCGTAGTACCACGGAATGGGGACGGCATTGAAGTTGACCACGTCGCGCCAGGGGTACGAAGAAGAGTTGGCCGCCACAGACCGCGCTGTGAACAACGAGTATGCCTCCATGAGCACAATGCTGTCGCCCGTTCCATTCTGTGAGACCCAGGTCACATACTCATCCCACACATCCTTCCACGCACTGGCAACCATTCTGGTGAGTCCCACGGTGTATGCGGGTTTATAGCCACCCTTGGTACAAAAGCCTGCGGCCCCGTCATTCCAGTTGGTATAGTTGCCTTCACTTGTTGTGTCATTGGATGGCCCAAGTTGTAGAATAGACGCAAACGCTTCTCGGCCGTCAGCCTCAGTTCCATAATAGAAAGGAGTGATGACAAAAAGTGGTGTATAGTCCGGTGCTCCCGAAGTCAGAAAATACAGGAAGATATTCATGTTTGGCGTCAGTGTGAGCCGATCAATCGCTTGCACCACGGCCTCAACCTTGTCTGCTGTATAAATCAATTCACCGTACCAAGCAAGTTGGCCTGACGGTGCAACGGGATATGATTTCATCGTCGCCGATGTAACAATGCCAAAATTGGCGCCAGCTCCACGGAATGCCCAAAAGAGATCGCTGTCGTCGTCGACATTATCAACTCCAAAGCCATATAGGCCCATCAAATTTCCATAGCTACCACCGAGGATGGCGCCCAGCGCGCCATTTGCAGAGGCCGCGGTGATGACATCCGAGATGAGCGCACCACCGCCAATGGTGACTTGAATTTTGTTGTCGTTAAAAGTGACCGAATTCAGACCATGCAAGTTGATAAGAATGCCGTCCTGAGTGAGGTTGAATGTGCTTGCCCAGCCATGTGCGCCATTTTGAGCCAGGAAGGGAATGCTTTCGCGCAGGCAGTATTGTGTCTATATATATACACATAATCACATATCAAAACAACATCCACTAATACGATAGAAGTAGGACATACCGTTACTGCAACGTCTTGCTCTGTGACTACATTGACGATGACCCCGGGCGATGGAGCGTCGTATTCACTCCAGCGAGGATATGCGCTTGCATTCCCGAAATTGTCGCTGATTCGGACAGCTTGGGTCCAAGCTCTGTGATAACAGAAGTCAGTGACAAACCTGAGCTCGTCGATGCAAGTATCGACAGAAGCCAGACAGCTGCAAACAATGCCATCATAGTCAGTTTTCTCGGAGTAGAAGGAACTTCCAGTAGAGGCAGAGAGGACAATCATGGGACGAGTTTCACGTCGTACAGCATTCCAGCGCCTTTTATAATCAAATGGAAGTATCCTTACCTACTCGCCCCCTCTTTTACTGTCAGCACTCCTGTTTGCGGCCCCTGCTCGTGTTGCATTCAGCGGTTGGTTGGTCATGCATATTCAATCTTAATATTACCGTATCGGGCAGTATCCCCAAGATTACAGTACAATACGACAGGATATAATGCAATACACATCAATCCATCGGTGATGGTCGTAACGATATCGTAAAACCTTCAATCTTCATTTAATCATCGCTAGACGCGCAGATTCCGACTTCTCTATCACAACAATGGGCGTGGACCTTTATTCAAAGGAGCAAATGTTAGGGCTGGGATTCAGCTTCTTGACGCTGCCTTGTATCTTTGTAGCCCTTCGCGGATGGGCCAAATTGCAGTCGCGCAGGAGACTATCGTGGAATGATTATTTGGTATTTGTGGCACTGGTAAGGGTCTGTCATGAGGCAAAGAACAAAATTGACAAGGATTGCTAGGGCTTCTCAATAGCCTGTTCGGCTCTTCAGATCGTAGGTAGGTATTCATTTTAACTATCTGCAGAACACTATACTATGTAAAGGAAGATTAAACCCTAAGCTACCCAGCAACACTCAAAGGAGAACTTGGACGGCCCAAATGAACAACCGCTCCTTAACGACCCTCGCTTTGTCACGGCGTCATTCTCGCCTGTCTCCCCATACTCCGAAATTTGACATCTTTCGAACATCCTGAATCAGATTGGCGCCATACAAATATCACCGAAGCGAATCATCCGGCAACAGTGGCCCTGCGCAGAAGAAACGTGTGCCGGACGCCTCATTATTCGCCACCGAGTTGGATACATTGCAGCTTGTGCCAGAATCGGCCCAACCGGTTACGACGACGATGCATGTCAAATCGGCAGGTGAGGGTGGAGATGTGCATGAGCATCAAAGCCGTAAAGATGTGCTTACGATTGCGGTCGAGCGTCATTATAGATGGCACAGTAGCTATGAGCAGGAGAGATCTTGAACAATCTTGGAAGTTGGTTTCTCTTTTGTTGACTGTATATACTCTTGTACCCTAGATACTTCACGTACTTCAAACACATATATGCGAATGAATCAATCGCTAGATTCTGTTTGTTGGTGTCTGTTTCAGACGCGCGATCCAGCGTAGCCGCCCCGACCTGATTACTAGATCAGGAAATAGTGCTATTAAAACGCAGCTTAGGGTTAGGGCTGTACCTGAAGAATCCTCGCCGTGCCCACGAAACTGATGCACTCTCTGCCCTATGGGATTATTCCTTCAAATCTTTGGATGAGGAGAGCTTACTCCTGGCGGGCGTATTCTCCTTCTTAATGCCAGATCAGATTCCTCATGATATGTTTGAGGCTAGTGACGAAGAAACCCGATTTCCCGAAGGTTCGAATTTTGCTCGGATGAGTTTAGGCAAGCCTTTCCTTCCCCTTCTTTCTAGTTCTTGCTGATAAGATAACTAGCTTTTCTATAGACTTGAGGAAACTTCTTAGCTTGGCACTAGTCAAAAGAGACAGAGATACGCGTACTATCGTCATCCATAGAATGATACAGACCCAGTTAAAGCAATTTTTGAGTCCCCAGGATCGTCAACGCAGCTTCCACAACACCGTACTGCTTCTCCATCGTGTTTTCCCTATCGAAGATTGTTCAAAAGGTCAATTATATGATCGGTGGGAGGTATGCAGTCGATATCTTCAACATGTTCTATATATCAGAGACTGCTTCATTGAAGAGGCCAAAGCTCCCAAGCAATTCAATGTACCATGGGAGTTCTGCAGTCTTCTTTCTTCCTGCCAGCGGCTAGTAGCTTACTGAAAACATACTAGCCCTCAAAAACTAATACATGCCTAGCAGATACCTCTCCGAAGTCAACGACATGGTGGAACTTAAGCGGTCCTGTGAAGTGAACCTATGTGCTCTGGATAAACTCAAGGCCTCCATCCTTAGTCACCAGGCGCAAGCCGCTGAGAGCCTAGGAGAACCTACAAGAGCAATCGCACTAAACAAAGAAGTGTACGAAATACGACTTCAGGAAAAGCCGCGTGTGAAAGTCATGCTGTGTTTCACCGCAAACAATATCGCTTACTGCTATAATACAGCCAATATGCACGAAGAATCCGAAAAATGGTACGAAAAGTCTAAAGGATGGTGGGAGCTTATGATCGAGGATGGGGAAGGAAGCTCTTCCTCGCCCAGCTCGACATATAAAAAATCATGCGCGATGTTTGGTGTATCTCGGTCAATACGTTCAGGCGAAAAAGATGTTTGATGAATCTATACCTCGGCTCAAAACTGAGAAGCCATTGAACTGGGCAATGTTAGCATAGTAAGTTGAACTGACATTTATTTGAACGTATATTGGCAAACGGAGCCTGTTTTCATCGAGTGGTCTATTTGCATTAGCTACAATGAATAGGCGTCAACGAGACTTTGAGACTGCTGAAGCCCACTACATTGAGGCTCAAAACGCTTGGCTTAAGGGCGATCAAATGCGCGCTCATCCGTTTTATGCTGCATGTTTATCCAAAACTGGGGCTTGCTGTCTAGATCAAGGCAAAGTTGAAGCCGCAATGTAAGTGATATATTGCTGATATCATTCCGTATATTGATTGGGGAACTAATGTAACCACACAGCAAACATATTCGTGATTCTTTAGAGGTCACAAAAATACGCAAGGAAGACAGAGTTGTCGAGCACGCTCGCAACTTGTTTAAGCTCTCAGAGGCTGCTTTGCAGGAGAGTCTAGATGACAGCGAAGTTGAGGCGGCAGAGCTTTGAGACGAGGCTGACTGAAGTCATGTTGAAAAAGGCAGTATCTGATGTGGATAGGTGTGATACGGAGGAGTCCTATGACACTCTCGTGCCGATTTTCTGGAGGTGAAAATCTGGTGTACTCATTTCATGAATAAGGTCCGAAATAGCAGGATCTTAACTCCCCTTGTGAAGCAGTCCTATGGGATTTGGGAGGACTTGGGCACGAGATTGACAGATTTGTTGAAGTTTACATGCTTGTTCAGGAAACCCTTCTTGTAGCACATGAATGGCCCCAGACTTCCTGCCACAATTGCCAATATCCATCGGAGTAACTGTAGCATTCATGCCTTACATCTCTTGGTTCATGCTGATGGGCGGATAGCGAAATACAACTGACCAACTCCCACTATCAACTGTAAGATTGTAAAAATGATAGTAATCCCACCAACCCACAACACAGCCCAGAATGTATACCACTGGAGAGGGTTTCGTCGGTCACGCCAGATATCTCTGACCCTGTGTGGCTGCTGTCTCAAATTATATCGTTGAAGCTTCAACAGGCGTGTACCGTAAACAGGGAAATCATCTTGAGCCGAGTATATGTCCGACCCTTGTAATAGGTTATCAGGGTCAATACTCGATAAGGAAAATATATACTCTGATAATGGAGACTTCAGACGGCGAAAAAACGTCCTGCTCCGGTTGACTGGGTACAAGAGCAATAGGGGGCAGTGCTAGCAGCATAAATTATACCTCACAATGCACGCACACGTATATTTCCTTCCTGCGGGGCAGCCAGAAAGTATCAAGCGCCATGATACTAGCCTCCAAGTGTTTCCAATACCGAACTGGCGAGCCTATCACCAGTGTAGAAGCCGTCAACACGGGCGCTTGCAATTTGATCCCTGTGCTCTCCGTCATCCTAAAGTAGTTTTTGATGTGCAACCGTATCATAACTGTCAGGATTCTATTGAAAGAATATTGACCGATTTGGGCTGGTTTCATAAAATACACTTTTTAATTATTAGAGAAAGAACCTGGAAGACCTCACATAATTCGACTGGCACGTAACCACGTGTCACTTTCATAACATGAAATAGCCCAGTCTACATTTTTGTTACATCGTAGTTGGAGTTCTGAAATAGGAATAGACTGATACCACTATCTGGTGCACCATCATTAATCCATTAGAATCATCTCGAGTAATGCAAATGGGTACTCGGGAACCCGGGAACTCGGGACATTGAGCGATTAGCCCTAACACGAGCCTATTCAATATCAACAAACAGTAGGGGCGCTCAGCTGTTGGTATATAGCTCGATCCAAATTGCCAAATAATACAGAGCCTTTTATATTCGCTACTCCAATTATCCGGTCTCTTTGGTTATTCGATAGCAACGCAAACAACTGACACAATGAAAGCTGTTCAAATCCTAGGCGACGTGTCGTCCCCAAAGGTCGTCACCAACTATTCTATGAAGTTACCGCTTCTACAAAACGACGGAATTCTCGTTCAAGTCCATGCGGCTGGGATCACTGGCGACGAAATTATGTGGCCGGAGCCTTATTCTGTTGAAACCCGGATCCCAGGACATGACATTTCGGGCACCGTCTACGCAACCGGTCCGGAATATCACGGCCCTCTGAAAGTCGGTCAAGGAGTTTTTGCTCTGCTCAAAGCTGACCGAGGACAAGGCCAGGCTGACTATGTTGCCTGCCTCCCGGATGAAGTCGCCCCAAAACCAAGTTCATTGTCCCACGACGAAGCGGCAGCTCTACCGATTCCGCTTCTCACAGCCTGGGAGGCGCTCTTGGACCATGCCCAGGTGAAGTCTAGTATGCGGGTGCTCATCACTGGTGCGTCTGGTGCAGTTGGTATGCTAGCTACCCAGATTGCTTCCAGGAGGCTGGGTGCTCATGTAATTGCGCTGGCTTCAACGAAACAACATGAGACACAGAGACAACTTGGTGCATACGAGGTGTTTGATTACAACACTCCAGATTGGGAACGACAAATCAAAAATGTGGATGTGGTTTTCGATACGGTGGGTGGAGATATCTTGGCTAAGACGTGGGAAACGATCAAGGATGATGGGACAATCGTTACTGTTGGAGATCCTGCGCCAGTCTGGGCATTTGGGGGAGGTCAAGCCCCCGAGTCTGCGGATCATCCCAATGTGCGATATGCCCATTTTATTGTTTCTCCTAATGCTGAGAGGATGCAAGAGTCAAGTAAAATGATTGATGATGGGAGTCTTAAGCCACTGGTAGTCAGGTCATTTCCTTTCCATGACGCAGTAAAGGCCTGGGAGTTTTCTCGGCAGAGAAACCGTGGACAAAAGGCAGTGATCAACTTTGCGGAAAGGGAAGGTCCATTAGCTTAGACCTAACTTCTCGTCTAAGAGAATAATGCAAATTCAATGAACTAAATATACTCGTCAAGATGATTGATTGCTATTCAAGGTCGTACAGTTAGCATCTGTTTCAAGCAAATATCTGTGCCATATACCTACAAAGTTATGGCTCATGCCCCCAAGAAAGAGCAGTATCAATATCATCAAGGTTATACCAGCCACAAAGATCATCTATAGATCCTAATGCCGGTAGAGAATTGATATCATCACTCGATACCCCAGTTTCAGACGTGAGGCTTCCCTGTCCTTCACCACCAGAAAGATCCGGCACGTTACAAACGTTGGCCACGTTGATTTTACTCGTCGAGTTAGATCCAAGGCTGAGCACATGGTGCGCAATGGTCTGAATCTCCTTTACATTCCTCGCTGTTCTCGGCCACAATTCTCCCAGTGTCTTTAGACATCCAATGGCCATTCGAATTTGTTCTCTTGCTATTGTCAATTCTTTCCCATTCAACAGAAAATTGCAGGCTGAAAGCAGGGCCAGAGTTCCCTCGCTGATCATGCATGTAGTAAAAGGGGTATGATGGAAGCTTTGAACGGGCAAGGCCAAAAGGCGGATCTGTGCCTCGACAGCCCGTAAGACACGGACGGTGTGTACATTCACTAGGTCTGGGGTTGGAGTATCAAGAGGCGGCTCCCTGGCACAGCTTGAGGCCGCCTCCACAGGATTGAATTTGAGATCCGAAAACGGCCTGTGCAAGCCGATAGTCGCGCTAGAGAATAATATTAATGTTGTATGAGCATCACAAATCGGTTGAAGACTTACACGTGGATCAGCAGGTGTGCTTGAAACATGAGTTCGTCAGTCTTTCCATGTTTGTCCATGACTTGCTTGCGATCCTTGGGCAGTAAGAGCAACCATGCGTTCAACGAAGAGTCTGCGGCCTGAAGAACCTGCGTCGAGTCTTCCTTCGCCGCAATCTTTGGCACCGTGGATATAGCTAATGCCGCGCATTGTACGGCACCAATGAGGTACGCAAAGGACGAAAAGGTTGTATTATCGGAGGAAAATTCGCGGCAGTCAAACTCTTGGAGGGTTCTAGGCTCGGGAATGTCCTATGTCATGTTAGCTTTTTAAACCCGACCTGTAAAGAGGAAAAGACGACAATATCTGCGCTTACCCCCGACTCGTATTCGCACTCCTCACAAGGCAAGTCTACGGTAGACTCAATATTCACAACTTCAAAATTCATAGTGCCCAGTGTCCCTGCATAGTATGCATCCACAATATATAGCATCCACCAGGTTCGCCTCCAGCTTTCGCGCAATATGGGGTCATCGGCCCCATGCTTTGCTGCAAATCCTTGAGAAAACATTTCTAAATCAAGAGCAATTCTTGATGCAGTGTTTATCTGTGATTTAGCTTCGTCCTTGTATTCGTGCCAAAACAGAGCCATGGAGTATAGTAGGCGGCACTGGACCATGATGGGATCTGTTGACGGTGTTTGCGAGAAGCAGGCCTCAGCGTAGTCCTTTAGTGATACAGACCATTCCTGCAAATGGTATATATGTCCAACGAGACGCATAGTTGCAATCAAAGGTTTGAACGTCAGTCGTTTGCTCGGGTCCTGACAAAGCCTTGCCATGTGTTTCCGGGGTAAGAGAAAAGGATGCAATTTGTGGAAGTTCTTGTAGTATGAATCAATCAAAGAATCATTCTCAATGCTGTCCCCATGACTTATAATTGTTGGCAGCGGTGAGGCTACACTCGAGGTCTGATCGCTAATGCTGATTCCACGTAGCAGACCATAACTACTGGCCTCAATGGTCTGGGACGTGAAATCCTGGCGCTGAAGACTCGGGGCTCGTATAAGCACATCATTGTCTGCTGCCTCTAGCCGCTTACGCCGCTCTGCTAGAGCTGCACGGTCCAGACCACCTCGACGCGACCGAGCATATCGACATTCTTTAGAAATCTCTGCGCAGCGACTACAAGATGGTCGCATGCCATCGCATTTGAGGTGGCGTGAGCGACAGGGCAAACAAGCCAGCGGCGAACGTCTAGCTCTGCCACTGTGTAATGGTTCAGTATTCGTGGAGTCCATGGATGTGAAATTCGAAGGAGACAAAGTTCAACGATGCGGGCGGGTAACAGATGTCAGATGATAGATCTAGATCTTCCACGCGCAATTGCGGGTACTGTATGTATCCGGGTCCGGGTACCCGGGTATCCACTCAGACGGGTATCCATCCTTAATCCAGGCCTCGTTCTTCCGAATACTATTTGCACTCTACAGAGGTCATCACAATTAGGCTAACTGATATTCAGAGTATCTGGATGATAAACAGACGGATGCGGCGATGGCTGGAAACCCGGTTTATATGTACATAAACATATAAAAGGACGTCCGTTGCTCCCAGCTTCATATCCTTCACAATGATCATCTCATTTTGACACTTGTATTCTATATCCCAAATCATGTCTAACAAGATCGTCATCGTTGGTGCTGGGTTCGCCGGTGTATGGAGTGCTTTATCGGCCAAACGCCTCGCCAGGCTTACAAACAAGGAGGACAACCTTCAGGTACTAGTCATTGCTCCTGAGTCATCTTTGATCATGCGTCCTAGACTCTATGAGGCCAACCCGTCCGAAATGTCTCATCCGCTTGGATCTCTTTTCAAGTCTGCAGGAATAGACTTTCTCGAAGGCACTGCGGAGAAAATCCATGCCTTGAGACACACCGTCCAATTCCGATCTTCCGAGGGCATCGAAGCAACTATCAACTATGACCGTCTCATTCTAGCAGCCGGGAGCTCTGTCGTGCGACCTCATGGAATCAGCGGAATCGAGCAAAATGCATTTGATGTTGATTCCCTGAGCTCTGCCACTAAGCTGGAAGCTCATCTCAGAAATCTGGCTTCACTTCCGGCAAGCCCTGCCCGTAGCACAGTCGTGGTGTGCGGTGCAGGGTTTACGGGAATTGAAGTCGCAACCGAGCTACCTAGGCGTCTACATCATATTCCAGACTATCGCATTGTATTGGTTGAAAATGCAAATGAAGTTGGACCGGGGCTTGGGCCAGGTCCGCGTCCTATCATATCTGAAGCCCTGAATGAGCTGGGAGTCGAAGTTAAGCTGGGATCTGCGGTGGCAGCGATCGATGCTGACAGCGTTACTCTTGCCTCCGGTGAGCGTATCAAAACAAAGACTGCTATCTGGACTGCTGGTATAAGAGCAACGCCTCTGACACATCAAGTCCCCGGTGAACGGGATCCCTTATCTCGCCTTCGCGTTGACCAAAATCTTCGCGTTCCATCGGCCCCCGATGTATTTGCTACAGGTGATGCGGCTTGCGCGTTTGCTGATGATAAGGGTCATCATGCTTTGATGTCGTGCCAGCATGCTCTTCAGCTTGGCCGTGTATCTGGCCATAATGCGGCAGCCGATCTCCTCGGCGAGCCGTTGATGGATTACGTGCAAGCTGCATACAATTGCTGTCTCGATCTTGGAGCTTGGGGTGCCGTGATTGCGGGAGGATGGGAAAAAGAAGTGAAGGTGACAGGGGATTTGGCAAAGCGGGTTAAGTGCCATATTAATCAGAAGTTGATATATCCTCCCGAGGACGTTCAGCAGGCACTAGAGTGGGCCAACCCAATCGGTCCTGATTCGGACCAGCTAATGCAGCAGATACTGGAAGCTGTGGCATAGTTGCTAAGAATGTTCTCTACTTTGTATCTAGGAAGAATGTACTTACCCATTGTTGACTCTTTGCTGGACTCTACTCTCAGAGATTAAATATTCAAAACTTTCGTGTATCACTGAGGACCTCAAAGGTCAACATATACTAGAAAGACAGTACTAGCCTGGCTTTCCCAGGTTTCAGTTTATATCAGCTGCTGTTGTATTTGCTGAAAACGTTGCTTTAAGATATGGCTCCGTTTATATGGCAGCTCTTTAATCATAGTCGTGTACTTGAGAGGGCTTGACATCTGTATATATAGTTTATATTGCTTGCATCTCGTTCTCTAGGCTCGCAAGAACAAACGATGCCGACCCGTGCACACTGTTAAACAGCAACGGTTGCGTCACGTAGTACTGGTCATTCTCGTTAGCAACCAAACCGACATTACCAAAGGACATTGAAAAGAATACCTCATACGTAGCCGGGGAATTTAGACTACACACCGACACCGTTCCATTCCAGCCCAAAGTTCCATTGTCATTCTTCACCACAAACGTATCAACCAGATACTCATAGGCCCTGTTCGCCGTTTCTCGATGCCTTTCTGCTGCCGAAGACAAATAACCGAGCCTTACACCCTTGTATAGGCCATAAACAAACATAGAACTCCCACTCGACTCGATATAATTCCCCTCTCGCCCCGAGAAGTTTAGAACCTGCCACCATGCCCCAGAGGCAGGATCCGCCGCCTCAACGATCGCATCTGCAAGAGCAACAAACCGCGAATGAACCTGGGCCCATTGAAGTGACTGTGTCTGAAACGTGTTCATCTCAAGCCAATCGACCAGCGCCATGAAGTACCAACCAAGCGCCCGACCCCAAACAACAGGACTCGCCCCGGTGACGGGGTCCGCCCAAGAGGCGGATTTTGACGCGTCATACCCGTGGAATAGAAGGCCAGTGGCATTGTCGCGACAATGCGACCAGAGCAGATCCAATTGATAAATTATGCGATCTGTCGTATTTTTCGTGTCAGATGGGTTGAAGAAGGAGGTGTAGAGGGATGCGAAAGAAGTGTATGAGAACATCCCATCCAGGTAGCTCCAATTAGGGTAAGTGAAGTACCACAGTCCGCCTAGTTGCATCATTGATCAGCCAAATACGCAATGGGAACGAATATTGAGGAAACCATTACCATACTGATTTCTCTTCTGCAGCTCAATCGACTCATTCAATGCATCTAATGCAGCATCCACGGTCTGGTTATGGTCACTGTCGATATACTCCATCAACAAACCCCGGCCAAGTGAGAGCCGATCTAAAGGGTACGAAGTATCTTGAGATGCGTTGAGCAACTTCCCCAAGATACTATCACTACCCTTCTGTACATAGTTTCGGTAATCTTGGCCAACGCAATGTGAGACCTTGGGCAAGCTTAGTAGTCCTAGCAGCGCTTTTTGCACAATTCCAATCTGCAAGTAGACGGAGGGATCCGGATCTGCAGATGCGATGCCCTGGCCGCGTGAGATAATGCTGTCGGCCATCCATGTTGAGTAGTTTAACACGGTTAGGCTAGGTAACAAATGTAATCTCATTTTCCCATATATAATTGGGCTATTTTAGCCGGCCTAATAAGTCGATTGTTGAAGCAGGATGACCGAAGGAGGTCGCGCCGTGATCGACAGCAAGCCAGCCTTGGGGTCCGCCAATTGTTATAGCGTTACCCTATGCCCTAAAATCCCTTTTCGCGCTATAACTATTCGGAGTGTAGATGGTTATATAGCTGATTTTCACAGATAAGTCAAGACTTTGTTTCACTTCGCGACAATAACAAATTGAATCTAGATCAGCTAGATACTGTAGGTCAATCAAGAATGTGGGCTAGCGACGCAGCGTAAATTTAGGCCTAGCTGAAAACAACGGGTAGTTAGTTAGGGGATTATGCTGGCCTGGTATCTGGTCTATTAATAATTTCGGGTGGCAAGAGGAAGTAGATTGTATCACTTGAGACTAGATATATATCTTGTCAATTTTTGTATTTGACAATGCAGGCGATATTGAGCTCCATTGACATACGAGATCCAGTCTCTTGGCAATCAAGTGCAGGAAATGGGGCTCCGCAAATCTGCGTCCTTTTTGAAAGTTGGATCGTAGCGATTACGCCCAGTACTCAAGGGTCCGAACGGCGGGTTAGAGAGGCAAAATATCGAGGCTATACACTATAATGTATGTAGATATAGATTCGTTGCATGTCTTGCGTCTTGCAAATACCAAAAATGGCAAAACGCCAACAAACCAGCCAACCAAAGAGCCGCATCCACAACGCGAGGCTAACCCATATTTAGACCCATTCCGGAGGCAGAATTGCCCGAAAAGGAAAGAAGAGGGGATAGAGCCTCAACGCTAGAGATACACTTTAGCCAATCAGAGGTGCTAATTTATAGTGCCAAGCTTAGATCTCGTTTAACTTTAAGTGTCGGAGCGGGTTCTAGAATCAGGGGGTGAAGAAATCCATGTGATTTATTATTATTGACAACTCTTTTTCTTTTTCTTTATCCTTTCTTTCGTGTCACTTACTCCATACGTTCGTTGTGTCTTTTCTGTCATTCGTTATTACGCAAACTATTCTATTCAGTCGTTATTATACATTCGCCAATTTTTAGCCAATATCTTCTTGGTTTCATCCAACATTTGCAAAAACTCGCTTCAAAATGCATTCTGCCATGGCTCTCGCTCTGATGAGCTCCGTTGTCGCTGCTGAAAACGTCGTCACCACCCTTTTCCTTCCGGGCTTCGACCAGCAGCCACTCGTAGCTTCTATTGTTGGAGGCGTATGTTCTTTTCTCTTTTAGCGAGCTAATGACCACTCGTTCGTGCTAACAGCCCGCCAATAGGATTCCTCTGCAACTACATACTCTATTGGATGTGCCGATGGCACTCCTTCCGATGAATGTGGTGCCGGTAATGGCTTCACCCTGATCGAGGGTCCTGAGACTGCCAGCATGGAAATGGTAGTAGGCGCTAGCTCTATGTATGCTTAACCTTTCATCTCTTGATTTCAACTTAATGCGTGGTCTTAAATGCTCATAATGGCTTTCCTCAAGTCTCTTTGTCGATCTTGCCTGCGACCTCAACACCAGCGTCTCCCAGGCCGTCTGCACCGAAACCGACGGCGGCTCCGAAGCCAACTTCCCAGGAGTTACCACCTCAACCTTTGCGCCAGATGATTATGCTTCTGCCTGGCTCGCAGTTACGGTGACCGCTGGTTCCGCCAGTGGTGCGCCCGCTACTACTGCCGCTTCGGCCACTGCGCCTACTGCTTCTGCTACCAACTCCGGGACTACTGCTGCTGCCACTTCTAGCGCAGACTCTACTGCTGCTGCAAGTTCTGGCATGACGACTGTTGCTAGCACTAGTTCGTCTGGATCTTCTGCCACCGCCGCTCAGTCATCTTCCTCGTCTTCGTCATCTGTCAGCACCGGTGGTATGCCTCAGATTACTGGAAATGCGCAGTGGGCTGTTGGCGGAGCTGCTATTGCTATGGCTTTTGCTGCTCTGTAAAGAATCGAGGATAGAATACATATGATAAATGTTCTCTAACTCAATCCGTTCGGCATTGGAGTTGGTCATCAAATCAACCTGGACCGTGTATATGCGGCACTCTGTCCCTGTATCCCAGTTGGGCTCTTCAATAGTAGCAATAGAACAGACCAAGACCAGGTTAAGCAATTGCCTAAGGTCTTCTGGCCCTGTGACTATAAGCACCAATATCCTCCGTTAAAGAAAATCTATAACAATTTATATGTATCACTTTCCATTATCCACAGGCGGTAATCTAGATCTCTATACTAGGAAACTTCCGTGTTCAAGACTGGTCGGTAATAATCATGTTGTTCCACGATTGGATGTTGTTGATGTTGTTGGTGATTTCCGCGGAAGACGCCGACGGAATCCGGGGTAGTACATAGCGATAGACTGCGAACCGAAGGAAAGGAACGGCGGTCCCGCTAACTCGCCAGTTCGTTACACAACCACCTTAACTTCGCCATCTTTTCACTAGACCTAGGGTGTTACGGGAGAGGACGCACATAGCGATGTGAGGCTCTCGAACAAGCATGTCAGCGAATGTCACGCCATTGAAGCGATCCGCGGCAGAGGCTAGCCTGGACACCCCGCGGAATGACGATGAATCCGTCGTTGAGCCCGACATCAAGGCGCCCACGCCGAGGGTGTCGAAGGCTCGTGCTTGTGAGTAACTGGACAGGCTGCCTCTGTCTATTTTGTCTTTTGTTTTGATGCCTTCACCCGGCATGCGTGCAGCGAAGCTAACTCTCAAGTCCTCGGCTATCTCAAGGCGCCGAGTGCAAGCGACACAAGATCAAATGCGAGGTGAAACCTGGCGAGACGAGCTGTACGAAATGCCGCCGTAGCGGGATAAAGTGTGTTGTCAATGATTTTTCGCAAAAGTTTGTGGACGACGATTTGGCGTGAGTGATTGCTACTTCTCGTGGTGTTTCTGAAATGAAAAGGCTTCAGCAAGCTAAATAGAATGAATGGACCGCACAGTTGGAAAGCTCAAGCAACATCTACGATAAAGCAACTGCAGACTGCTGTTTCCCATCTCCTCCGTCACAATGGTCTCCCCGATCTCACAAGTTTCCCTACACCAGAAATCAACGCCGACCGCAGCCCGGAAACTGTAAATGTCCCCAGTGTTCGCCGACCGTCTGACTCTCATGACCACAAACGATTACACGTGGGCTCGGCCGCTGGTATTGACGGGCAGCTAATGACCAGAGAGAATTCTCAGGATGCAAATCTGGAGGAGCCGGAGATTGTTTCGGCGCCAATGCGCAGTCTGTACGAAGTCACCAAATTGCGAAACTTCGGAAACAACATGGTCGAGAAACCCAAGTCGACATTGCTGGAAGAGGACTTTATATCTCGGGGCCACGTATCGCTGCACGAAGCGCAAGAGTTGTTTGCGTATTTCAGTCGGACGATGAACCAACTACTCTGGGGCGGCATTGTCGTTCCTCATGGAGACCTGACATCTGTGCGACGAGCATCAACGCTACTCCTGACGGCTGTGTTGACAGTAGCTGCGCTACATATTCCCAATCGGACAGAGACGCTCAATACTTGCTACAATGAATACGTGTCGCTGGTATCTAGCATGGCTTTGACACGGTCGCATACACTGGATGATATCCGAGGGCTTTGCGCGGGCGCATTCTGGCTGTCGGACCTTAGTTGGAAGCTGTCTGGGCATGCTGTTCGCATTGCGACGGAGATGGGCCTGCATCAGAGCTTTCAGAAGATGACTCGCGGGCAGAGCGGTCAATATCAGTACGAACGAGCCCAGCTGTGGTATCTGCTATACGTGTGCGATCACCATTACAGCATCGCGTACGGACGCCCTCCGGTAATTCACGACGACAGTTCAATCAAGAACTACGAAGTTTTCCTACAGTCTCGATATGTTGTGCCAGGCGATATTCGGTTAATGGCGCAAGTTGCTCTCTTTTTCATACTGACTCAAGCTTATCACACCTTTGGCTCCGACGCCGAGCAACCTCTTCGAGAGGAAGACTTTGGTCAACTACGCGTTTACAATGTAGCAGTTGACCAGTGGCGGCTTCTTTGGCAGCCTCGATCAGGTAAGGACTGAGAATTCGTTATGATATGGCTATGGAATCTTCTTGATTCTTAACTAATTCTCCCACAGCCGACAGCCCATATGTCCGTACCTATCCTTCCAAGGGCGTGGTCTTGCACTACCATTTTGCCAAATTTCAACTGAATTCGCTCGCGCTTCGAGCCCTATCGCCGACCAACACGCCGGTCTTCTCCATGGATCGCAAAGAATGCGCCAATGCCGCGATTTCAGCGGCCATGGCATGTCTGACTATGGTCCTAGAAGAACAAGACGTGCGCGACGCAATTGTCGGAGTCCCTATTTTCACTCATACAATGGTCACGTTCTCGGCAGTTTTCCTGCTCAAAGTCGCCGTGAATTGGAATTCGGCTTATTTGAATATCGATGGACGGCAAGTCCGGCACACAGTTGAAAGAGTGATTGAGTTGATGAACTGTGTCAGTGCTGGTGAAAGGCATCTTACTCGCCATATTGCTCGGGGCCTCGGCAAAATGCTTGATCGGTTCAACGCGTGGGACGGCTGGTATGCTAATCGTCGCCATCATCACGAGAATCCTTCTGGAAGCGTTGGCAATGGCATCACCAGCGGTTATGATGGGACTACTTCCGCCGCCATGACCAGCAACAACACCAATAATAACAAGAGTAATGGCCTACACACCTCTTCTTCCACAATCCACACCGACAATAACATCAACAACATCGGCACAGCCAACACCGGTGGAAGACGTCGTTCCATCCCCGGGGGCGCAAATGCCATGGCTCAAGGATTTCCACCCCCAGATCTAATCTACGATATGGTTGGTACATATGGCTTTGGATTGGACGAGCAGTTGATGGATCCCAGTATACCGGGATTTGAATTTCTATCACAATGAACCCGTCCCTCTCAAGTAGTCCTGTTTTGAACGACGAACTTTCTCTTCCATATAGCTATGAGACCACGTGTATATGAATTGATGATGCTATTTATTCAGCAGCATCAGAAGGTCTCATTACAGCTTCATACCAATTTAGGTTTTTGTCTTAAGAGGTATGTCTCTTGTAGTGTAACTAATGTAGATGGCTTAGTTAGGGCATAACAGCCCGCGGACTCGTCGAGACCCGCTCTATCGCAGGTCGTCCAGACCAAGTAAGACTGAAGGCTGACAAAAAGATATGTCGAGAGAGGAGAAAGGCCAAGGGAAAGGGAAAAGTATAACCCGAAATCTTCGAGTCTCAGACGCATTTTCGGCTAGTATGAATTTCCATGGCGTGGTGAACGGAGAGTAATAGTGCTCGTAGTTGTTTCCTTTCTGAGAAGTGTCGGTGACCGACAGACTACGCTCATGTGTAGATCACAAAGAAGACACATAAAAATAGGACAGAAGGAACCCAAAATATATTATCGACGAGCTTCGCGAAGGGAAGAGAATAGAGGTTACATCAAGACGGTAACAGATAAAATTATTCCTCCTCTTCACCCTCACCATCATCTTCAGGCGTATCCTCAGCTTTGGCATCGTCTCCGCCCTCTTCACCTTCTTCACCAGATGCGTCTTTTTCACTCTCACCCTCATCTTCGCCACCGTCTTTGTCATGGGCGGTCTTGCGCTTCTTGGGAGCAGGCGCTGTCAAGAAACAATCACATTAGCTTGTGGTCATTCTCCTCTTCCATGCGGCGGCTACAATTGGACATGTACGTGCATGGATGGTTGTAGATGAAGAAATGACTCGAAGAGACCTTTATTTCATCCACGATAAACCTGCGTGAACAAGAGAGAGAAGCTTACCTTTCTGTTGCTCTTCACCGCCATCTTCTTCTCCTTCTCCTTCTCCTTCCCCTTCTTCCTCTTCCTCTTCCTCTTCTGACGACTCCTCCTCTTCATCTTCGTAGTCATCTCCTTCAGCGTCGGAGGATTGGTATCTAAGCGGAACTGTATTAGTACCCATGTAGTTGCGTAGCGGGTGCACGTTGAATGAAAGAGGAGAGAGACATGAAGCGCGAGCCTCGACAGTCTTGTCCAAAACGAAACGGCAACCACGACAAGGAAAAAAATTGTTTTCCCGCATAATAATCCTGGTCGCATAAAGTATGCGACAGGGAATCAATGCTTGTGACACGGCCACACCAGTGACGAAGACGGGCGCAATGCGATGACGACAAGGGAAGACAAGGCTGCGCGCAATCAAATCGCCAAGTGCGCACAAAGCAATTGGAATTGAGACGTGTATTAAACAATAAAAGAACCTACTCTTCCTCCTCGCTTTCGTCACTGGGAAGAGCCTGGAGTTCTTCCTCCTCCTCGGCCTCTTGCTTCCTCTTGCGCGTCGACATAGTGATTACGGGTATGGGAGTATATTCTTTGGATAGCAAATAGCTGTAGTTCACAGCGAATCGATAACGAAAAATTGATTATGTGTTGATATAGAGATCAATAGAGGCGAGCGTAATGCTGCTTGTATGAAAAGTAGAGGATAAAGGTATGGAGGAGAGAGAGAGAGAAAGATGGGAAAGATGGGAAAGATTGGAAGAGGACCGGCCGGGGGTTGGGGAAGGGAAGGGGGGGAAGGTGGCTGTCCGAGTAATCCAGCCGAGCTACGTGACCGCAATAATAATTGCACCGAGGCGAGCAAAGTTGGCCATTACTAATGCGCTAATTGACAGACTTTCTATGGAGGAGGGAAAAAGGAACGCAGACACGGAGAGAATGACGGAGAGAGCCTCAGTCAGGCTTAAGCCGCGCCGGAAGAGGAAGAGCCTAGAACGTTGTCACGTGATATGTTCTATATTTGGCGTTCTATGTTGATCAAGCAACGAGCAGCGGGTAGAAAGCACAGTGCAGTGGAACTAGTATATGTATGTACGTATATGTAGCAAGATATTGAATAGAAAATCGACAAACAAAGCCGTCATCAAAACTTTCCCTGATATCACTTGCATTGCCGGCATCAAGAAAATCACATCTGAAACGCTTGGACGGCCCACAGACAAAATAACAAACGCATTAAACATCACTGCCAGTGCTGCGGAATGTAGCACAAAGCTGGCAGTAATGATGTGTCAAGTCGAGTACCGGCTGTGGTAAGTTGGTCGCTTGCACAATGCTGCGAACCTTGACTGCGCCTTCTTCTTCAATGAGCTTGCGCATCAACAGCAACAACTCCGGAGAGAACTAGAATATCTCGTCAGCAAGAACTTTACCAGGGAGAAAAACAAAAAAGAACAAGAAAAGAGTTACCTCGGAATACCAACGATACTGCCAAGCGATCAAGCGAATCAACGCGTTGAGCATGCCTCGCGTATCTCCTTGCTTCTCATACAGCTTCAAGATACCACGCATGGCCTTAGGCGAAAAGCGTATTGACAAGCAATGCCGGTATGCCTCGATTCCCTCATCAAAATGATGTAACCGCTCGGCCAGCTCGCCCAGAATTTCCCACTCGGTTGCTGTTTTCTTGTATTCTAGCGATTGGTGCCGTGACTGCGCCATCTCTGATCGCCATATTGTGTAGATGCGAAGATCTTCATACAACACCATAAAAAGATTATCCAGCCACCGCTCACACAGTCGTTTGTTCTGAAATTGGGCGTAGGCGGAATGAGAAGGGTCCGGCTGTGAAACGTATTAGCATTGAACACCTAGCAACTGGGGCTTAAGCCGCTTACATCGTCATGTCCAGACTTCACCGTCTCAGAAGCTACCGTCTGTTCCGGTCTCTCAATCGTGTTGTCTTGTACAGACTCGCCGTTTCCGTTGCGTTGATCTGAATGATCGTCGCTATCATCCGTTTCAGGACTATCGCTGGCCGTGGCAGTATTGGGACTGGGCGGGTGAAGTGCGACAGTGCTGGCATTATGTGAGTGACTTGGTTTGGCTGTCTGTTGACGCTCCACTCGGTATTCTTCCTCCATGACAAAAACATCGCTTCTAATTTTCAAAAGCTGATCCCACCCAATAGCTCCTGCAACCTTGGTGAGCAATTCATATGCCTTGCGGAACGTGCCCTGATATCCGGTAGCATGTAGCTTTCGTAGGGATGGATGAACAAAATCATGGGGATCTCCCTGTTTTGGCTGGCCTTCGTCAATCTCATCGAGAACACTTTCCGGTAGAATCGGAAGAAGCACGCGCGATGGAGGAGGCATTCGCGGGATATCCTTATCTTGATAGGTGAACATCGGGCATGAATTCAGAGTAAGGAGCGCCAAGTCCCACTGCTCCAAAGCAATATATACCTCGGCCAGTCGAGCCCATGTACTGAATTCGCTGGGCGCCGCAGTCACGCTGCGCTTGGCACATTCAAGGGCGAGCTCTCCCTCCCCTTTGCTCAAACAGAAAGCTGCCTGGCAATCCAAGAGAGAATAGTCCATTGGTACATCTTGTAGAGCATCATGCATGAGCCGAACGGCTTGGACTTCCTCGTCCGCAAGGATGAGCACTCGTGCTAGAAGTGAGGACACCTCCACGTCCTTTGTGCGCAATTTCTCGAAAAGGTTGATTCCTGATGCATATCGTCCAGTAGTTTGTATGTACTTAAGGAGGCCCGATGCCAAATGATTGGCGACGGTGTTGGGCACTTGCGTCTCTGGTTCCGAACTCAATTGTCGTCCTAAACAAAAGTCTGTTTAGTTTCATTCCACATTTCATGTTACGCACCATGTCTCACCCATGAAAAATAATCTCTCCGCAGCCTCCAAAAATTTATGCTCCGTTTCGGTGTTTGTCACTGGATTGAACCTGCGTACACCCACAATCTTTTTGATCGAATCACCCGTTCCGTCGTCCGCATATGTGTATGCTCTGAGGACTGCACAAAGAAATGTTTCAAGCCACAGAGCCTCTGTTGCAACCCGCTTATCTCCACGTTCATCGATACAGTAACTTTCTAGACTACCGGGAATTTTGACCTCGACGCGCATATCTAGATGAGAGAACGCATTGTAACAACTAGAAACCGAACATTGCGTCAGTTTATTTATCATCACCCATATAGTTCATGGAACTACCAACCAATAGACCCCAGAGACCACTTTGTTTTGCTTATCGACTGGCGAATACGTAAGGGTGTTGACATATGCAGCGAGGCTAGCAGATGACGAAGCGTCGACGCCGGTTACATGGTGATAGACACCGGTCTTGAGCCATTTCGTCTAAATTAGCAACTCACTTCCAAATCTGCAATGGCGGCTATCTGTGCGAAAACAAACATACCTGACGTGTTGGATTGGTCTTGGATTGTTTAACAAGGTATACTAGATCCGGAGGTCCCAGCTCTCGTAAATTCTGCAGCGATTCCGTGCGCGCGTCCACTGCAGTAAAGACATCCTCGTCCTCATAGATTCTGAATTAGACCTCCGTTAGCCCATCTGCTAATCAGCGGTGAATATGAAAACTGGTAGGGCGTACTCAGGCACAGAGGGCTGCGCAACCATGACGCCAAATAATCAAGGAGACACCGCGGAGTCTGCAGGACAGGCAATATTCAAAAACGGGGGGTGACGGATGTGTTGCGAGAGTCGCAAAGCAATGGCACAACCAATTCGAGGCGGATGATTATCTTTATCAGCCTCAATTGGCTGACGCGAAATGGCTAGTGTTGACGAGAGTTCAATGTTGCTGGCTAAGGTGTTGTCGTAATCAGCTTCAACTCGTACCTGGACTCGCAACACGTGGAGACGCCTACGAAAGTGCAAGCAAGGAGCGTCTGCTATTGGCCGGCAGGGTTGGGGCCTAACTTCTAAGGAACCACTTTTGAGTTGCTCTCTAGCGTTGCCTTGGGGCCCTTGGAGGGCAAGAGCGGAGGCTTGCTGGGTCGCAGCTTCCCGAGCGCGCCTGGGCGCCTATCCGACGTGTTCTCGGCGCTGCATCAAATCATTCCATGCTTCTTCCATGCATCGAATAATCAGACGCACCCAGGCGCTGCAAGCCAAATATCAGGGGATTATTAGCTATCAATGTTACCCCTGCCCTTGATTGCTTTTCGACTCCTCACACCCAAGCATATGGGATTGATGGGCCTCCTGTGATCCTCACCTGCAACACACGGCTGCCAGCTTCCTCGCTACGCCTTCGAGCTTTCGAAAACTTCAAACCCAGCTACCTATTCCATGTATCGCAAGCATGGCGAGCTTTACTGCATTGAATATTGAGCCTGCGGAGGACATACAGGAAGAGGTCGATGATACCAAGGAGATCCAGATCGAAGAAGCTCTCAAGCTATATCAAAATGCCTTGAAACTTCACTCGCAAGGCCCTGCCTATTATTCGCAGGCTAAGGATGCTTATGCCTCTCTTATACAGTCAGAAATATTCAAATACCCGGAATCGATCTCAGACTTTCAGCGAATTACCTCAGACGGCGATACCGACGATGCCTCTGCCGATGCGTTCGGTGGAATAGATGCCAATGACGCAGCCGCGAGTGCCCTGCCCCAAACGATTTTTCTTTCGTATAAGAATAATGGCCAGTTTCTCTTGGACGTACTGAAAGAGACACTTCGAAAGCAGCCTACTACCGTGGACGAACAACGACTGACCGTCGCGAAGGACGCTCGCTCTGCTATAGAATTGTTTGCTGAAGCTCTAGAAAGGGATGACACAGATCTTGACCTTTGGCGGAAAAGTGCTCGAATAGGGGGTACATTGAATAGCTACCGGCTGGCCAGGTACTGCCTTGAGAGCGTCTTGGTGGGAGATGACAATGAGGTTGAGGTACGCGCTGAACAACTTGGTTTGGATGAAGCATTTGCGGCTGAAGATCTTCGAAAAGTCCTTCAAGCGCTGAAGGATGAGCTTTCATCTATCCAAGCACCACCACTGAAGAAACCTCGAAAATCTCTATTTCGATTTTTCAGAAACCACTCGCAAGATCCCTACCCTTATCTTCCGGGTCTAGCTCAAGATATATCCAATGCAACCACTTTTACTTCGAAAAATCTACACAGTCGGCATATGATTGAAGCACCTGATAGAACATGGAATGGTGTCGGACGAGCTATAATGCAGCTGTTGAAGGAGATCCAGATAGTAGTGCCTGGTACTGCTGTGGGCATCTCGATGCCTTCACGAGCAATATCACCACAAAGCCCACGCCACAGAAGTTTGTCCGTTTCCGCAAACATTAAGCCCATTGAGAAGAGAATCGAAGTACCAGAAGCACCAAAAACAACGGAATCACTTGATGACCAGTCCTCAATCGATCAGCGTGCAGAATCACAATTACGAGAAGCGCTTGAGGGACTTTCCGCGCAGCCAACCGAGAATCCAATCATAACAGGAAACACAGTGGTCGACACTGATTCCAAAATACCTAATGCAAACCCTAGGAAGCGCTCATCGGCATCTTTGGGCAATGATGAGACGGCAGATAGCGTGAGAACCAAAAGCCGTCGCATTCGTGCTAGGGAATCAAATGCGGAGAACTTACTACAAACGGAGGAAGTTAGTCACGACAAATATTTGGAAGATCGCTTGGAAAAGTTCTCACATGCCGATGAATGGCTGTTTGGAACTGTTGGCGATCTCCTTTCAAAAACAGGGGTTGAGGTTTTAGGCACTATCGACGACCTCAAAAAACAGCTAAACATATCAAATGATTCCAGCTGTCTTCCGCCCAAGGATATCGAGGCAACGCTTGTACACGATCTTCAAGCTGCACTGAGAAATTGGGATGAAGAGAAGGCTCGCTCCGCCACGCAGGGAGATAGCTCGACAGCATTGCAAGATTCCCGCGGAAGGAAACGCTCGGGGCTAGCAATATTTCTTGACCATTCACGGAAGTCCATGCAGAAAATGAGCAAGAAGGACCCATTATTTGAGGGTAATGGGTTAGATGAATTCACAAAGGAAGTTAACGAGAGTTGGCTTCATGTTCACGAAGTTGCTTTCCAATGGCTGAGTAGCCTCCTAGAGCCAAGAAAGAACCAGTCCTATAATTCAATTTCTGAAAGATGCTCAGTCGAGTCTTCTTACATTTCTTTGCACTGGCCGGAAAATTTAAAGGAGACAGTCATACAGTTGCTGATTCAGGAAGATTCCTATATCCACGAAAAACTAGCCGACGCCGTTTCCCAACAAGAGAAGAAAGTCTTGGATCAAGTGACATCCGATACTCTGTTGAGATGCACTGATGATCATCATGCTCAGGTCGAAATGATCCAAGCAATTCACGAGCTTCACTTGGATACCTATACTTATATGAACAACCCCAATAGCGAAATCGATCAAAATTCTCGCATTTTGCAACGTGACCGCCTAATAAGATGGGGTATGTTGGCACAAACCGCGATCAACTCTCTCTTAGATACGGAGTCAGACAGTGAGCGGTTTAATAAAATCGCTCTTCGGCACCTTTGGTCAATGACATTCCATTCAAACATGGCTGAGGATATTAGCCGCGCTTATGTCCTGCTTTGCCTTGAAGATCTCAAACAGGCTCTGATTTCGTTCGGTAGCCCTGAAATAGCGCTTATCAATAACGCCTTCATGCCGGAGATCTCTGTTGCGGCTTTAGATCAGGAAATCAATCGTCTCAATTCAATGGGATTTTTCATGAGAATATTTGGATCAGAAGGCGAGGACCCGGTCTCTTTGATAGAAAGCATTGAGCCCGTTTTAAACCCGTCTTCCGTGGAATATATCCAAGATACCGCCAGTGGTAACACTACTCCATCTGTTCCAGCTCATTTCCAGGAGTTAGCCTCATTCCTGGATAGAGGTGATGCAAGTCTTCGCTTATTTTTGTGGCGAAGACTGCAGGATGCTTATCGATTAATTGACTATCTTCCCAAAGTGGTGTCTTGTCAACTTCGTAGCATTGAAGCTATCGTCAAAGAAATCCGAGGAGAGATCTATCTCGGATCCCAAGATAACCGGCCTTCGATATTGCTCAGATGGTTGAAATCTGCCAACAATATCCTGACCAAGCTTGTGCCGCAATTAATCGATGATCCTGTCAAATCCTTTGAATGCATCGATGTCGACCATTTGCGCTCCTCACTAACAGCCGTGGCCCATCTGTCTCGACTTCTTCATAGCTTCGCTCTTTATGAGGACGCAGTCAAAGTAGGCCAACGGCCACCATTGGAACTTCGAGGTTCTCTGGGGAAATCCCTCGAGAATTTCAAAGAGAAGCTCCGAGATATGCAGGTTCGATGTTGGGTTTTACAGTACACATTGGTGAAAGAGTATATGACCCAGGAAAAGGATATATTCTCTACTCCCTCGGATGATCTGATTCACTTTTTAAGAGCTGTGCATAATGCATTGGGTATTCGGTCTTCATGCAGATATGCTGACAAAATTCTGCTCAAGCTAATGAAGTCGGAGCTTCTGAGCATTGAGACCCAGGAGGATTGCGAGTTTGACATTGCACAAGTTCTTTTCGATCTTCATGGGTTCAAATTCTCCAATCAACTAGGAATTTGCGATCACGGCTGTCCAACAGAAAAACCAAACTCACAATCTGCGGCGATGATGATAGATTTTGTTCTGATGCAAGTCAACCGACTGAATATCAAGGACTTGTCGAGATCTGACTTGAAAACGACTATTGAGAAAGTACAACAGGCCATTGGGCCGGTGAAGAATTCCTCATTGTCTTTCAACAAGCGTATTCTGTCTGGTTATCTGAAGTCTGCAATAAATCCCTCGGAGATGCTGCGGCTTGTTCAGGGTGTTGGCGGATTGGCGTTAAGGTCTGTCCAGATACCGAACGCTGAGAGCGCGAAGAAGGGATGGTATTTCCTTCTTGGGCATACGGCCTTGACGAAATTTCGTTCTCAGAAAAGGCTGAATGCAGGGCCTACAACCGATCTTGACGATGCCATCGGATACTTTCGACAAGATCTAGAATATGCTACAGAGCGATGGGAGACATGGTATAGGCTTGCTCAAACATATGACTCCAAACTTGATGAAGAAATAACATGGTCAGCCGAGAAAATCACCAATAGCAAAGCTGAGTTAACGGCTATTCAACGCAGTGCAATTCACTGCTACGCTATGGCGGTTGCTGGTGCTTTGAGGACCCCTGACGACGACCTAAAGTCGCGTTCGATAATTTCAGACCTTTTCACTGACTTTGGAATGCGCTTGTATGCCTCTTCTCGCGAACCGCTCAACATGGCCGCTTTCAGTCTTGAAGACATCGAGCGTCATTTTAGTGATTTTGATAGCCAGAAAGTATACACGGGCAAACCATTCAAAGAGATGAGGGTGTATTCTGTCTGGAGTCTTGCTGGTTATATGTTCAGGCGTGCCATGGTTGACAAACCCCATTACTGGGTCAATCACTATATGCTCAGCAAATGTAGTTGGAAGATGTTCAATAGTGATGAAGCGACTCGAGGGAGCGGTAAGAAAGTCACTATAGACGACGTTCTAGACCCGCTACTCGACGCTATCGAAACATTGCCCCAGCGGAAAGAAAGAGGATCCTCAGACCCGATCTTTGCGCCGCATTTCAGACTCGTATCTGTTCTTCACAAACTTGTGCTTCGAGAATTAATCGAACCTAGCAAGGCCGGGGAGATTCTCGCCGAGACACCCTGGGCCAGGAAATTATCACCTCCGCAAAATAAGGGCGACTGGAACTCTTACGTGTTGGATATCTTGAAAATACTCAAGAATGCAGACAAGTCCAACTGGCATCATCGCATATTGGCACGGCTGGCACATGTTCACTACGACGGCCAAGAAGGTGACATTGCCGCTGCAACTGCAGCGAAGAACGAATTGGTACCGCAGATTTTTACGAAGACCATGACAATACAAGTATGGCGCCCAGAGTTTGAGAGGCCTGGTCGTCATTTCGTCTATACTACACGATATGTTTCCTTTTTCACAAAGCTGTTGGATCAAATAAGCGATCGTTCTAGCCTTGAACAACTACTTCGAAAGGTTAGAAAAAGGCAAGGGGATTTCATCAATCACACAAAGCTCTGGGAGGATATGTGCATCGTATATACAAAGGTGAGAAGTCCATGCGAATGCGAACAATCGAAAGGATGCTGATTAGGGTCTCAGCTTGTTCGACGTGCGGGAAATATCCCAGAACATTATGAAGAAAGTATCTTTAAAGTGGTCAGCTGGGATGAGTTTGTCACAAACTCCGCTCGATTGGACAACTTCAAAGACCTTGCCATAACCAACGGACCAACAATGGATTTGCTTCGCGAAGCGGTGGAATTCAAAAGACTCAATAACAATCTCATGAAGGTCACTATGTTTGAAGATCTTACTGCCGATATATACGCGCGCATGTACGAGGAAAATAATCATCGTTTCATTGAACAAGCAAATGAAGAAAATAGGGGCAGAATGAAAGTTGACCATCTTCTGATGAACACCGATGGTACCGCAGATGCAGCTACACCTCCTACATCTGCTCCCGCGTCCGAGGCTCCCGTTCCACGCGGCCGAACTAAGGGTATCTCACGAAGAGATATTCAGAAGCGAGCCGAAGCCCTAGTCAGTCACCATGCCCGCCCTGTGGCTACTAAGGCAGCTGCGGCTCCTACCGATGAAGACAAAATACCCTCTGCACCAGTTGTCAGAGTTCCCACTTTAAGTAGCCTCCGAGGATTTGCATCGGAAAACGTCGCTGCGGCACAGGATAGCGTGCCAAACAGTCTCCATGAAAGTGCCGATGATGAGAGTGAATTGAGTGAGATCGATGACGAGAGACTTGCCAGAATCAAAGGGGAACGGAATCTTATGTTCCCACATTTGAATCCGAGGAAGTCCCTAGAACCAAGTTTTGAAGGGTCCGCCGCAGTTAGCATGGAAGGTGGAGATGGTGATGGCGAAACAGCTGTCGACGACGATAACACCGAAAACGATCGCAGAGACGACATCGAAGGAGATACTGGATTAGTTGATGAGGGAGAAGATGGGGATATAGAAATGCAAACGGCCGCCGAGGATGAGTACGTCGAAGATGCTGGAGAAAAAGCCGCAGATCAGGAAGACATCGACATGGGTGTTGACAACGCCGAAGAAATCGGAGATGACGCAACCATGGTGACCACGGAAGAAGTCGATGAAATCGAAAACAACGATGGAGACGGAACTGTCTCCACAGGCGACAAGGAGGAGGAAGAAGAAGGAGAGAAAGCAGAGCAAGAAGAAAAACAAGATAGTAACTCTGCAGCAGTTGAAGGAGAAGCCAATGGCGTTGCTGACGCTGCCAACGAACCCTTAAAAGATGAACAGCAAGGGACAAATCTTGTTGATGAAGATGAGCCGCAATAACCTTACGAATCTTGTATTAATATTGACGAACGAGATACCTTCTTTCAGTCAAGATTTCTTTGCTTTCTTGCTGTGTTTTTGGGGTGTGGGAGGGAAAACTGTTTATCATATTATGTTCTCAAGCATTTTCTGCATCACTTGTGATAGGGTTATAGCAAGGTTGAGGGATACGATTACTACTTCCAAGGGAAATGGGTTGGTTCATTTTATAGATTTGCGGGCTTTATATACCTTGATATACATGTTCCAGGTTTCTGTTATGATATATCCTTGCTGCAATGCATCTTTGTCGTTTACGGTTATGAAGACTATATCCATTATACGTAATCGGCATTAAGACAATTGGTTAACTAAAGGGGTATGAGAGAATTTCCATCTGAGCCCAGTCCAAATCAACAAGCACGCAGAGAGCAAAAGGAAATTCTGTAGAAAGGTGCATGTAACAGAAAAGCAAAACGAAAACAATATAAGTTATATAATTATAAATCCTCCTCGGGACCCAAATCTCTCTTTCTTGCTGTCACTCTTCGCGGTTTCTTGGCACTTGCAGCAGAAGTCGTAACGGGCTTGGGTTTTGATGGAGATTTGTAAGTTTCGGCAACTTTGAAGGCGTTCACTCTCTGAAACATGTTTTCGAGGTCGCTGCTATCGCTACTGAGGATACTGTTGTCCATGTCCATGTCACTGTCACGAATGGCAGTGGTGCGAGATCTGGCTTTGCGAGTAGGAGAAGACTGGACATTGAGTTGACGTTCTAGAGCGGCTAATTTGCTTCGAAGAAGGTCATTCTCACGTTCCAGCTCTTTAACCCGTTCATCGGCTGTTGGCTCGGGGTCTTCATAGACTTTGGGTTTTCATTAGTTTGATATCCTGAAAGACCAGAACTTAATCCATGACCTACTTGTTATACCGCGAGAGGCAAGCTCCAATTTATTGTCAAGGTGCTCTTCATGCCGGCCAGCCTGAAACTGTTATTAGTGATTTCCCTAGTGAACAAAACAGAAAACGAAGAATGCTCCCCCCTACCTGTCGATCCATGGCCTCTTGCCATCGTTTTCGTTCTTCTTCCATTTTCTCATCCATTTCGGCCCAACATTCCTCGCGCACGTCTTGTTCGATCATGAGGCATTTTTCCTCAGATGCTCGAAGTTTCAGTTCTAACTCTTGGCGAGCAATCTCTTCCTCCGCTAGCTTGACAATTAGAGACTCGTAATCGTCTGTAATTCTCACTATTTCCCTTGCAGCTTCCTGAAGATCTTCTGTGGAAGCTGCATAAGGTGTGGTACGACCATTTGCTGTTGGAGGACGACTTTGTGTTGAGCTTGTACCAGAGAAAATCGTGCTTGTGACAGATGGTATCCGAGGAACGGTAACCTCCCGAGCCAGAGCAGAGTATCGCAAAATTTGAGACGTGGCATTAAAATCTCCTAATGGATCAGCAGTTGCAATCATAATTGCTTTTTGAGGATGGCGGTTGTGAGTCGTGGAGTTAGAAGACGGGAAAGAGTTTGAGAAAAGCAACTCCGTAAGCTTGCATTGTCTGTATGGTACCACGGTCTGTCATTTTCCTTGTCAGCTCAGAAGCGGTGATCAAATGGCGATAGAATCAAATACCCTATTTCCCTCAGAGAAGGCACTTTGCATCTGTAAACACTGGCCAAGATACATCAAACTTTCATTAATCTTTCCGGCCTCGGCCAACGTCGCACCGGCGGTCTTAGCATTGCGAGCTCTCTCCGAACCTACTAAAGTCAGCTATAAACCTCTATGATAAGAGCAAGGAAAAACATACCAGCGAGATCAACAACAGTCAAGGTATTCCCAGTCCACGTCACCTCCCCAAATCGACGGCCTCTGACTTTCCTTTTCACTTCGAGACAGAAAAATCCATGGCTTCGAGAGCTAACGTTATTACTTCCTGTTCCGGCAATACGACGTTCGTTAAGTCCAGTTTCTAAAACCATCATGGCTTCTTCATAAGTGCTGCACACAACTTTTCGTAAACCGGCAACTACTTTGCGGTCTGGTGAGCCTTCTGTAGATTTGAATAGCAAAGGTCTTCGCCGATCCTTCTGGCTGTTCCCTCCCTGCCGTGTCATGACTCCACCGGGACCGGGAACCAGTGATGGCGAGAGAAGATCGAATATACGGTCGTTATAAACTTCATACATGGATACAACAACCACGTGCTCAGACTGTGGATTAACGGGTGTGGCCAAATGCGTTACAGCGGGAAGGGTTGGTATAGCACTCAAGCGCTGATTCAAATGGCGGCGGGGTATCAGGGGTGTCGAACCAGAATCCTTTTGAAGCTTGTCAATAAATCTAACTTATGCATCCAGATAATAGGCAGCCTTACGAGCATTGGAGTTTGGGCTCTGGACATGGGAGTCTGAGCCCTGGAAGCGCGTCCGCGCTCGTTAGGGTCACCATATATGCTGTCTATAAAATTGCGAGCAGAGAATAATTGAGCTTCAGATGAGTCTGCTGCGCTTAGAGATGGGAGTAGAGTAGGGTCTTCGAAATTGTCTGCGGATCGTACGGTATCGGACAGAGAGCGGAAGAGGACGTCAAGGGACATTTGTGTTAGCCCACGTTGATTTTTAGAGCCCAAGATAGTATGACTCTATCAGACTGTTAGCATGTTTTTGTTCTTCGAAGATAAATTGCGGTATATGCCTCTCACCTTTCCACTACCAGTCACGCCCAGCGTCGCGACCAAACCATCCCGGCCTTCTTTCAGAACGCCTTGAATTAGGGCAGGCATTCCTGTACTTTCAAAGATCTCGAGCTGCTTTGAATCCTCCTCAAAGACTTTGGTGAAAGCAAATTTCTCGACTGCGCGCTTCCGTGAATCGTTCGGCGGCTGCAAGGTGATATGCGTAGGACGCGGGGGTTGGGCGTGCGATCCATCCTGATCTTCTGTAGCTTCAGCTGGTTCAACATTCAGATACCGCTCGCCACGATGAGCATGTGCAGCTTCTTCTTTTGTAATGGGAGGCCGCAGCCGGAGATAGACCTGGAACAATGAGGTCTGGCTCGACGACTGTTTCGCCGAGTTCATGACGATAAGATGTCCTTGGTTTTGGTGGGGGGCTCAGTTCAATCCAGTCGAGGGGCTTATGAGTGCATTGTGATGAGTCTATGCTTAGAAACCGATGGATGTTAGAATGTGAAGTCGAGCAGCTGAACTTGCTGTGTTTTTCCGCCCGGCGCCTTCCCGATGCAGAAGCAGTTGTCCCGGCAACTGCCTCCCTTCAAAGTAATTGTAAATTACTAGTCCGGGTAACCTGCGGTAAAATAACCCAATATCACGCAGCAAAAAAGTGCTGTAAATTACACGCATCCGAAATTTCCAATCTACAATGGATAGATAGCTAACGTACCCATGGACTGACTAATCGTGATTCATAGTGAGTATACCAAGTACGAACTGCATCATGGATATATTTAATGCGCAATTAATTGCTCCAGGTTAAGGTCCTGTCAGATCCATACAATGGCCGAATCATCGAATCACGCTATTGTCTACGGCGCATCAGGTTTGATCGGCTGGGCCATTGCCAACCAGCTGTTACACTCCTATCCTCATGCCGGCGCATTCTCCAAAGTCACTGCAGTCACAAATCGCTCGTTGAACTTGTCTGAAGCTTTCTGGCCGGAGCTGGACTCACAACGGCCAGACCTGCGCCTCGTCTCCGGGATTGATATTGGCCACGACAATGAGACTACCGTGGCCAATGCCTTAAAGCTAGCGGTGAAGGATATCGAGACCGTCACTCATGTCTTTTACTTGGGTATGCTAGTACTTACCAGGTAGAGCACTGTGTGATATCAACCGTAGAAGCTAACTATACAAGTCTTCGCCGCAAACGATGATGATCTTGAAGAGGTTGCAATCAATCGGCGGATGTTCCTAAATGTCATCCGTGCCCATGACGTGCTAAGTCCCAGCTTACAATTTGTGGCGTTCGCCGGAGGAACTCGAGTAAACATCATCCAAAGAATTCAGGGGAATAATCCGTACTGATTGATCACAGGGATACGGTATCTATGCCCCCGGAGGCACGTTTACTCCCCCATTACGCGAGGAGATGGTGAATAATCTCCCGCCTGACTACGCCAAGACGGTCGTGTATCCTGAATACCGTCGAATTCTCAATGTAGAAAGTGAAGGAAAGCCTTGGACATGGTGTGAAGTCTGTCCGGATGCCATTGTGAGTCTTCTCTTATTGAGTTAACATACTGCTAACACCAACAAGATTGGCTTTACTCCCAATGGCTCTCAGTTCAGCTTGGCTCTGCACTGGGCTCAGTATCTGTCCCTGTACGCTTACAATCATGGCATCGGCCCTAGTGCGCAGAAATTCAACTCCACGCCTGTGGGAATACCTTTCCCCGGCAATGTTAGCTCCGCCAACTCCTTGTTTTCGCCGGTTTCCAGTCAAAGGATAGCACGCTTCATGATATATGCCTCCCTGCATCCTGGGACCTGCGGCGGTGGTCGGCTATTCAACATCGCTGACAGCGAGGTGCCATGCAAGTACGGTGAACTCTGGCCACAACTGGCGGCATGGTTCGGTCTCTTGGGCACAGGAGAGGCTGAGACCTCGACAGCTCAGGACAACACTTTGAAAGTTGGCGAGCGTCCACAGGCCAGCGCAACATCTTTAACACCTGGAGAGTATATCGCGGAGCATCGAAGTGTTTTTGCTCGGCATGGGCGCGTGAACGCAGTCAGTAAAGGGGTGGGATTTGGCAGCCGCCAATTGGACAGTGTTGGATACTGGCTGAGTTTTGACCGACAAATGAGCCTGGACAGACTGAAGGAGACTAAATTCGAAAGCGATCAAGATCCGGTGCAGGGATGGCTCGAGAGTTTCGAGATGTTCCGGAAGGCCGGCTTGATTCTCTGATTACCGTCGTATATTCCTCGAGTGATCTTTCCGTCTGGTACATGTTTCGGTGGGAATTTAATTTGTGAAATAGATTGTCAATATCTCATTTTCCAGAAGACAACAATATTCTTCCAAGATGATTCTTTGATTAACTAGTTAACTAGTTTAACTGAATTATGCTGATTAATGTATGGAAACTACGGCCAATTTAGCCGGTGGCGAACAAATCTTTGTCAGCCGTCTTAGGAGTTGAACAAGCAATCAATCAACAACTTCATACATACAAGTTGTAATACGTCGTCAAGTAGCCAATGCTTATAGAATGGACTCACACCAGAGCATTCCGGTGTATGTGTGCTCGCTATGCAGCAAGCTGTTCACGCAAGGTGGGCCAACTCCTGGATCATGGATCATCAGAGAGAATTCTGACTTGACTGTAGAACGACAACATCGCCGGCATCAAGCTTACTGTCGCAAGTCCCAGAGTCGGCCTCGCACGCGGCCCCGGTCTTGTAGGGCCTGTAACCAGGCCAAAATCAAATGCAACTTTCGGGTCCCTTGCCATCAATGCACGCGCAAGGGAGTTGCTTGTGTGTACGAGCGAAGGCAACCAGAACATTCCATGAACCGGGATCATGATTCTGCAGTAGTCAGTGATTCGAATAGCAGCAGTGCGAATGGCTTGCTACTGCCCTCTTCAATGGACATTTTTGAAAACGTTGGACTTGATGGTTCACTCGACTTGGGTCAATCGGGATATACGCAGCATGGCGATGACGACTTCGGTACAACGTTGGAAACCCCTGAATCAGCAAAATCCAGTGCAATCATCCCATCGTCGAAAGAAATGGACCGTTTTATGTCATTACTACCGCCCAACGAGGATCTTGCTTTCTTTGCCGACTTCAGCCCAGCAAAAGCCAGTGACTTTGTACTTCCAATACAGCCACCGATGTCACCAGCGTTGACCTCAGTAGCTCATTTCAGTCGAAACAATATCATAACACCCGTGCACCAGATCTTCACCACCATGCTCATTGACATGATCCGTGCATACCCGCTCATGATGACACGGCGTGAAACTTTTCCTCCCTTCGTGCATCCCTGCTGCTATGTATATGACGGGCTGGATACACTGCCTCGAGTATTGACCAATTGCATGGGTATCGCACAGTTGTTCGTTGCCCGCACGGATGATACGCGGCCCTTTGTCTGGGCAACTATAATGGCTGAGGTTCGAGATATAGTAGAACAGGTGATTTTTACTTCCCTGCCCTCGACTCTCTTTATATTGAGCTGAAGAGGCGCTGCTAATAAGAAAATGTGATAACAGCGTCATACAATGAACGTATATGAAATGTTTAGTGCACTGCAAGCGTCACTAGTGTACTTGATCATGCGTGCTATAGACACAGTGCAGTTCAAAGCCGAACAAGATCTTGCGCTGATAAGAGCTCACGAGGTTCGTCCTCATCTCCGTTCACAAAGAAAAAGGAACGTAAACTAACAACATGACAAAAAGATTATCTGTTCTTATTCCCTGGAGCAACTCGGCGAAAAGCCTCTTCCAGAGACTAATGACCCTCACCGGAAATGGAGAGAGTGGATATTTGACGAATCAATAAAACGGTACATCTCTGTCCTTTATTTAGATCACAATTATAAGCAAATATGCTAAATAAACAACAGAATAGCATGGGTCTGGTTCTCGTTGAGTCTAGTATATCACATCCGCACCGGAACTCGCTGTAGAGTCGCCGAGGTCACTCGAGACGTGCCATTGCCTTGCACCAAGACCGAGTGGGAAGCACAGACTGAAGAGGACTGGAGAAGGGAATACATCAAGGCCAGAAACGCTCAAACTGCTACCTCCCTTCAGGTTTTTGGTGATTTGGTCGACGCTCATAGATGTCCCCCTGCAGAAAAACTAATTAAAGCAAAGGAATTGGAAGTATGGAATGCAGGAATTGATAATCTGGGTGTTCTATTAAATGTTGCTGTGTATATGAGCTAATATTGACATTTCTCTCTTCCTCTTGATTTCTCGAAGGGTCACATATCTAAAAGAAAAGAAAAGAAAAAAAGAAGACAACACAGTAACGCAAAGAGAGAAGAAACTACCAATCTATCTTTCCCCAACGATCCGAGAATGTTCCCGTTGTCTCATCATCCTCAGCCAAAGTAACCATCTCGATAATACGCTGGGCACCACGATCCGGCGTGTCCCCAGCCTCCATATAGCCGATGAGATTCGTTTTGATAAGACCAGGACAAACAGAATTAACACGCGCCCTCATATCTGCGCCCAGGATACGCGCATAATTGGCAGTCAACACATTGACCCCAGCCTTGCTCGCATCATACGACTTATAGTCGGACTTATAAAACGGGGTATCGGGATTGAGACTCTCAGCCAACGAGCCCATACGCGACGAAACGAAGACGATGCAAGGACGCTGCTTTGCTTTGCGTAGAAGCGGAGTCATGGCCTCGGTCAAACACGCCGGCCCGGTGACGTTGGTGGACAGAGTGAGGTCGAAGAGCTGGCGAGTGGTGATGTTAGGGATGACCTTGTTGCCTTTGGGCCCGTCGATGAGAATTGCGGCATTGTTGATGAGCACGTCTAGTCTGCCGTATTTCTGCGTGATGTACTCGGCTGCATGGGTGATTGACTCGTCGGAGGAGATGTCTAGTTGCACGCTTTCAACTGAGAGGCCCTCGGATTGCAGTTGTTGCGCTGCTTTTGTGCCGTTGTCGGCATTGCGAGAGCCCATGATAACGTGGAAATCGTGCTCGCGGGCTAGACGGCCTGCTGTTGCTAGACCAATGCCTTGGTTGGCGCCGCTGATGAGAGCAATTGTCTTGTTCATGATTTTTCAGTGTTTCTTTTCAGAAGAGAATAAGGTGTCAATGAGATAGGTTTTTGAGATGTCTGTTTGCTCGAGTGTTTGTTATTCTCTCAAGTCCAGATCAGCAGGATATCATCGAGGCTTTATATAGTCTACTTCCTCACATACTATAGCGTAGCTGTCAAAATTGACCGATTCAAAGAGCTCCCATTTTGCCCCGAGGTCGAATTTGGCCGATGCTAGGGCAACTTCCACCGAGACCAAACATTATTGTATGTGACTAAGTAGTAAATGCTCAACCGTATTATGCTTGGTCTCTCTATGTATGGATAGGATATTTGCTAGATTATTAATTATTTTCGAAGAGGTTCGACTAGCAGTGTGAACGACTACAGTACAAACCTGCCGAAGACCATGCACTGGTCCAAAATTCCCTCATCCGGTTGTAGCAACATGGACAACGGAAGAATAAGTTACAAAGGTGTACGTAGCCTAGGTATCTGACTGTGATATGCCCATGTCATTGGTATAAATGAATACGCTTGTTACAAACCCCCTTTCACATATTAAGAATACAAATCATCGAAAACCAGAATAAATGGACACGGCATCAGTTTGGATATGGCGAGAGATTCCCACATCCAAATACTTTACATGGAGATCGAGAGAGCACGGCTCCACGCAGTAGAGGTGCTGCTCATTCATCATCGCTAACGGCCCTCTTAGGACGACCGCGCTTAGGTTTGTCGCCATTGGCAGCAGTTTTCTTGCCACGAGCTTTCTTAATTGGTGGGCTGGCCTCCGCCTGCTTTTCAAGACCTGCTGCATCGCCCTCGTCCTCGGCGGGTTCTGCCTTCTTCTTGCGTCCTCTGGTCTTTCTCACTGGCTCTTCGGGCTCCTTGACAGGCTCTTCAGCAGCAGCCTTGCGAACTTTGGTGCGCTTGGCTGGTTTCTCCTCCTGGTTCTTTTCTTTTGCTGCGGCTGTTCCATTGGTCTTCTTGCTGGGGCCCTGTTCGGCTTCCTCGCTATCTGCGCGAGACCGCTTCTTGGTTTTGGCTTTCGTTTTAGTTTCAGCCTTAGGCTTCTCAGCAGTCTTATCGTCCCCATTTGGAACATCCTATACATTTCACGTTTAAGCATGCTCCACAACGCATCTAATTGGGCATGGAAACGACTTACCTCGCCAGCAGTTTCTCCAGGAGCCTAATAGGCAAAAATCAGCGGATGATATTCACATACATGTCAAAATCACTTACAACAGTTCTGTCGGCCTCAGCTACCTCGCCATCTTCAATAGCCTTCCTGACTTTGTCCTGCATTTGGGCAGGCAGCTCCTCGAAGCCATCGAGCAAGTCAAAGTTTAGTACACCCCCTTCATCAAGAGCATTTCGAATGTTTGCGATGACTTTTGGTGTGAGACAACCCCTGTAGAACAGATATTAGAAGAAGAAAAATGAAGTGGACGAAGACGCGATATAAGTACCAATGACGCCAAGACCAGCTCTGAAAACGATCCGTTTCAATCCAGACTCCAAGGCGGATTTCGCCCTTCTGGATTTTGACTTTGTTGTCTTTGCAGGCCTTGACAGAGCAGCCAGCCCGCTTATTGGGGGATTCCTCTGCACGCAGTCGGGTTAGCTAGCCATTGCGTTCGATATCAAGAAGAAAGCAGTGCGAAGAAACATGTAAACTGTCCGAGGTAATTTCAGAACAATTTCAAAATCGAGAAAACAACATATCTAGGCAGAAGAACTGGATCGCGAGGACATAGACATGGCATATAGAATGAGGGGCATATTCATATTCGAATCAAAGCGCCCAGGCGTACCAATGCGATAACTGCCCATGACGCGAGGCCACGCGAGCGACGGCAGGAGAGAAGATAGAGCAATACTACAGCGACAGAATACGCTGTGGACGGCCCGGAGAACGTTTCTTTACGATGGTTATGTGAGAAGAAGGCGTCCAGTTGATTCATCAATAGAGAGAGAGAGAGGAGGGGGAGAAAGAGAGAGAGAATGAGAGATTGGGGCAGGAGCGCCTGTTGATGGGCAAGCAAAGTGAGCGCCTCAGGCAGGAGTCCGCTCGACAAGATATCAAATAATGAACGCGACGCCGTCTGATTTGCTGTTTGCTTGTTTCAGGCATCGTTTTATCTCTTACGGAATAGACCGTACTTTTTCTTTTTTCTTTTTTTCTTTTGCCTTATGTTCTTTCAATGCCCACCTACGTTGTTTGATTTCCTTGATTGCTGTCTTCTCGCCAAAGCCACGAACATGTCGCTCGCACGTCTAATACCACCTTCGATCGACACAAGAAAATGCCATGTAGTATACAAAGCGTAATGGCCGAGTGCCTTTATATGTATGTATGAGAGTGAATATGCTTCGGAGAACCTTGAAAAGGAGAGCGTAATAGGATACGATACGATACGTATATCCGTAATTTAAATCCTTCCTCAGTTACGTCAGCTTGTTTGTCCGTCCAACCTCGCATATGAGTGGTTCTCCTCGAACTGTCATGATACAAAGTATGATGGACTTTGATTCAACAACAGATAGAAAGAAAGAAAACGACGTGGTATAGATATATCGAGGCGCCCATTCCATAGCGGAAAGAGAGAGAGAAAAAGTCGCAGCCCGCGGAGCTCACCGTCCCATCCACGTCGCAAAACAACAAGAAAAACCACCACCACCACCACCACCACCACCACCAACAATGTCCGAGCCAGGTAAAGAGTCGATTCCCACAAGCGCAGATCCGCGGAGCAAGCGACCGACGAAGCGCCGACAACTCACCCCGGTCTCGGAACAAGCGAACCAGATCAACGTGCTCTTCAAAGACCCCTCCAAGGAGATTCGCCTGCCCCCAATATCCAAACCGCGAACGCTAGATTCTCTCGCGTCTCCTCCGGAGATCGTCGCCAATGTGCAGGGTTCGTCCGCCGGTGCGGGCTCGGGCGAGTTCCACGTCTACAAGGCCAGTCGGCGGCGAGAATACGAGCGCTTGCGTCTGATGGACGAGGAATCGAAGCGGGAAAAATCGAATGAAGAATTTGAGAAGAAACGAGCAGAGACACAACGAAAGGACGAAGAGAAGACGAATAAGAATAGGAGGAAACGCGAAAAGCGCAAGGCGGCAGCGGCGAAGAATAAGTCTACGGCTATGGACGTGGAAGGCGACGGCAATAAGGATAAAAATGGCGAAGATGGGGAGGGTGCGAGGAAGAACAAGGCTCCTCCTCTAGCTCCTCTTTCTCCGCGTCAAAGGGATAATAATAATACTGGAGCGGATCTCGAGAATGGGGGAGAACAACAGAGCCATGAAGAACAAGGAGTGATAATCCATGATGACGATTGAGTATGAAGGGACCTTTCGAAATGGTAGTAATTGCTCTTTTCGTCCTTAATTAGAATATGTATTTGTACAACTTTTCAATAATGGAGGTCATGTAACATAATTTAAGGGCTCTATCTTGCTTTCATATTTTTTCTTTTCTGTCTTCATTCCCAGCATTATATAAGTTTTATTCCTCACCACCACCACCGACATTGCCGCCCGCCTGTTGGGCGGATTTGGCGCTGCAAATGTCGTCAACACGAAGAAGTAGGCATGCAGACTATAATTTTGTGTTAGACAAGAAAAAAAGAACATATAGCGGGCAACATTGAACAGCCACTTACCTCGACGGCAGTCTTGATGCTCTGCAGTTTGATAGCCTCTGGCTCCCAAACACCGTACTCTTTCATGTCGACAATGACACCCTTATCACCGTCGATACCCCAGCTAGTAAGTCCCTCTACGTGCTTGGCACGCAAACTGGTAAGCACACGGATAGGACTCTGACCTCCGTTTTCAATCAGAGTTCGCGGAATGACTTCCATTGCATCTGCAACGGCCTTGTATGGCCATTGCTGGACACCTTCAACAGACTTCGCCAACTGGTGAAGTTTGACAGAAACAGCCATCTCGGTAGCACCACCTCCGGGAGACAGACGAGGGTGGAAAATGACATTTCGGGCCACAGCCATAGCGTCCTGAAGATTCCGCTCAATCTCGTTCAGAATATCCTTGGACGGGCCACGCAAAAGAACTGTGCAAGCTTTGGGGTCTTGGCATTTTCGCATGAACGTGAAATACTCGTCGCCAATCTTTTCGATCTCGAACAGGCCGCATCGAGTTCCCACATCGGACTCTTGAAGATCATCAACACGATTGACAATGGTTGCTCCTGTGGCACGTGCAATACGGTTGTTGTCTGTCTTCCTCACGCGGCGGAGCGCCGTCACGTTGTTCTTGACTAAGAAATGCTGGGCAAGATCTTTGCAGAATTAGCCATGATACCGTATAGGTAAAGTTAATAGGGTAATTGACTTACCGGAAACACCCTTCTCAGTGATAACAACATCCGGCTTCAAGGCCAAAATAGCATCGCACATATGTTTCACCTGCTCTTCCTCAATTTCCAATATCCGGTTCCAGTCATCCTCCTTGGTAACTTCAATGTTTGTTTGCGACTCTCCCTTTTTGTACTCAAGTGGGCAATCAAGAAGGATGATTCGTGGGTTCTCGATTCGCCTTCGCATTTTCGGATGCGTAATGTCTTTGTTGACCATCACTCCGTCAATCACCGTACTATCCTCGATCTCTCCACCAGGGATCTTCTCAACACGGGCGTAACGCTTGATGTCGACCTCTCGCTTTCCGCCGCCGGCTTCAAACGATACGGTACGGACAGCCCTCAGGGCAAGGCTACACATAAGTTCTGACCATCTCGAGACAAACTTTGTGCCGATCGATGACTGTATAAGGGTATACATGGCCTTGTCGTTGTTGATATCGACCGGAATAGAGATATCTTCGACAATCTGAAGCGCATCGTTGAGGGCTCGCTTAAAAGCAGATATGATCTGAACCGGGTGGATGTTTCGTTCGAGCTGGGGAAGAGCTTGTGCGAGCATTTCACCGGCTATAAAAAACCGTCAGATTGAGGATCAACGCAGTTGAGTGCAAAGGCTTATACCTAGGATGATAACCGTTGTTGTTCCATCTCCAACTTCCTCGTCTTGTGTGCGGCTAAGTTCAATCATGCTCTTTGCAGCCGGGTGGGCAACCTCAATTTCTCGGAGAATCGCATGTCCGTCGTTCGTAAGCACGATGCCTCCCATAGGATCTAAGAGCATCTTTAACATGGCCTTGGGGCCAAGACATGATCGAATGATATCGGCGACGCTAAGTAATCAGTTTAGAGAGTGCATGCAGGGCAGAACTGGCTTGCGGAGAAGGACTCATCGTACGTCTTAGCAGCAGTGATATTAGACAGCTGGGCTTGCCGACCGACCTGGCGGTCCCCCTGCTGGGTGTCTTGCAGGCATTGTTAGTTGATGTTTTGTCAAGCATCTTCAGGAGTCCAGAAGCGGGGGGTTGAAGCATACTCATGACAACGACTGGCGCCTGCATGTTGACTGTGGGCAGGCCCTTCGACCCGCGGACAGAAGATCTAGGGATGGATTATGGGACGCGAGAACGCGCAGAAGAACAACAGAAGAGATGGTTATGCTCCTACGCAGAGTCACGATACTTGCTTGAGCTATCAAATCAAATTTCCATTATTAAAGTGGGATTGCTTTGCTGCTTCCCGCCGGGCAGCTGGCGCTATGCTTCATTGGTACTAGCGCCAGCTCCCTCGCCGTTCCCGCGGAGGAGACGAACCCTGACTGCATCTACTTTCAATACACGTTACTATCGACGCTGCTCAGGGATCACAATTAATTACGCAAATTTCAATGATGTGCCAGACATACGACCAGTCTGTCTACTAACTCTCTCTCTCTCTCTCTCTCCAATGCAGGCCATAATTGGCGGTTCCTGTACATTTCTCAAATTTCATTCTTCATCCATTTGTTCAGACGCGAAAGGCTTCTCTTGAGGCTGGCACGCAAGTTGGATGCGACGGGCTTGACCGACAAGGACTTGAGACCAGAAGGGCGTGCGTTCTTGTGCTTTCTAAGCTTTTGGTTGACCACGAGATTCGCCGGTACAGGTTGGCGGTAGCCGCTGATGACTCGAAATTCTTTCGTAGGATGGGGATGGCTGTGAAGATGCTGGGCACTGTGGTTCTGATAGCGAGGGTTTGATGTCTTTTGGCGTTGCTGTGCGTGCAGAGAATCGCCGTCAGCGGCAGGATGAGCAGCCCATCTGTAGCAGTGCCCAGGCCCGAGGCTTTGAATGGTTGGGTTTGCTCTAGATGCACCGTTGGCTCTTTCGTTGCGCTTGTTGGTAGACGACGGCAATGCAAAGTACAACGGGGTAGGCGCACGGTTGTAGATGGTCTTTCTGTGGACTCGCTCAACGGGTCTGATCCAGTAGTCGGCTGCCATGACTCGTAGGTTTGGGTTTTCTTTCTTCAGTCTTTCATATCGCTCTGCCTGGATCTCTCGCATGACATTCTGGAGGGGCTTGGGAATTTCAGCCAACGCTCTCTCGTTAAGATGGACGATTATTTCTTCTTCATCAGCCATGTCATCACTGAGGGATGAGCCAACAGATACACGGTCACTGAAGTAGTCTGCTTGCTTGTTGAAGTCGATGTCGGGGGTGTGTTGGTAGTGTGGTTTATTCGATCTGACCACCTGAATACCCAAGGCTTTTGGCTGGTGATATGTCGTAGGCATAGGGAGTGAGGAAGAGCTGTGACCGACATAGCTTTTTCTCAGGCCCATGGTTGGCAGGCTAGATTAACGGTCATAGATTAAAAGGTCACTAGCTTGGGTTTTGTTTCGAGACAGTCTGTCGAATACACGACTAGCAGCACACGAGACAAGAAACGTTGCAAACGAGGGGCAGGTAAGATTCAGTGTCTGGAGACGATGTCAGCATCTGCGCAGGCACCTTGACAGATTGTCCGAGTTTTGGCAAGAAAGTCTTCATGCAGATCACTTGGTCAAGGTTCTTCCTAGTCCATGACGTTTTGCAATGAAGGATAAAGAAGAAATGTCTTAGGAGCGTTGTGTGGAGAAAAGACAAAATTCTATGGAAAGACTATGAGTGCCCCTCTGGAGAAATGATACTGCGGACAAACGCGGTAGGCCCAGGCTATTCGTCAACGGCATGACGACGTTCTCTTTGGCTTAACACTGGGCGTAAATGATTAGCCTAGTTACTTGTTTTACTGTCCTGATTTGGACATCCACTGAAATTGAAATGGTTTGGGAAAGTAGCAATCACCAGCACTTTTCCCTGTTGTAGTTGCTAGTCTCAATACGCTTGTTGCTTAGCCTTCTTTGAGTGTTGCACAAGAGGCATTCAATAATCTCTGTGCCACTGCTGGCAGTTGTCTGCCTGGAACTTGCATCTCGTCTCAAGGCTTGGTCTAAGCTCCTGAGATACGCTGCTTCTATTGTGTTTTCCTATTGAATGATTTAGCTGCATTAGTAGGGTTGGAGATTCCTTCTTCTCGATTATAATCTGTTCATCAAATTCAATTCATAGGAGCGAGATGCGCTTCAGATCTTATATAATCAAAAAAAAAAAAAAATAGTAAGGTTACACAATAATGCCTGATACATAGGAAGACTTTTTTTGACCCAAATCCAGCGAAACAAAAGTAATCATCTCTGATATCATGCTTATAAGTCACGTAGCAGCAAAATATTCGATTCAGCCCTGAACAACCGAGGCCCGCATCTGATTGGTGGGCACTCCTTGATCTAATCTGATAAGATCCTAAATTCCTATTGGCCACTCCCCGCTAAGCTCCCGAACAGAAAAGCAAAAGCAAAAAAGGGCCGCAGTTCGCAAGAAAGACAGATTGAATCAACCATCTCTTCCACTCTATTAGGTGTCTTTCATGGCAGCGATCACCAAGCCTCTGGAATGGACACAGAAGAGCCAACCAGGGTTTTGGGGTCTTCATCTCCTGCGGAATTGATCCTTCAGCAAAAGGCCGGAGCTCTGCAAGGACTTCGGCGACCAGGCGGAGATGACGGTGGGATTTTGTCGCAGTTGTTAAGCAATCCCTTCTTCACAGCGGTAAGCACGGCTTCTATCTATCTCTTGAATCAATCATTACTAACCCTACTTGCGATCTTATATTAGGGGTTCGGTCTAGCTGGTCTAGGCACCGTAGCGGCCCTTGCTCAACGAGGCCTCAAGCATGGCGCTGCTTTGATCCGGCGGCGCATGCTCGTCGACGTGGAGATCAACGTTAAGGACGACTCATACCCGTGGTTTCTACACTGGATGACCATTTATCAGCAATCGCAGCTCAATGGCGCTCGGTCGGTCGCAGCCACCGGGGGTGAGAAAGTGGGGATTATAGAGACTTTGCTTCGAAAATTCACTCCGTCAATGCGGCAGCTTTCGATTCAGACACAAAAAGTCGAGCATGCGAATGGCGCCATTCATACACAATTTACATTAATACCTGGTCCAGGACGGCATGTGCTGCGGTATAAGAATGCGTTTGTTTTCGTCAATCGAGTGCGGGAGTCTTCATCTAGGGACCTCCAGTCCGGCCGACCATGGGAAACGGTTACGTTAACTACATTATACGCGCACCGTCATATATTTGAAGACATGTTTACCGAGGCACATGCGGTGGCTGCGAGGTCTCATGAGGGGAAAACACGGATATACAACAGCTGGGGTGCGGAGTGGCAACAGTTTGGCCATCCACGGCGAAAGCGTCCACTGGAGTCGGTGATCCTAGATGAGGGTATTAAAGAAAGAATTGTCGAAGACGTGAAGGATTTCCTTGATAGCGGCCGCTGGTACTATGATCGCGGGATCCCCTATCGCAGAGGCTATCTCCTCCATGGTCCTCCCGGCAGCGGCAAAAGCTCGTTTATTCAGGCACTGGCTGGCGAGCTTGATTACGATATTGCAATATTAAACCTTAGCGAGCGTGGTCTTACAGACGATCGCCTCAATCATCTTTTGACGATCATCCCGAATCGGACTTTGGTTTTACTTGAAGACGTCGATGCTGCTTTCTCTAATCGCCGGGTTCAGACAGATGAAGACGGATACCGGGGTGCCAATGTAACATTCTCCGGGTTGTTGAACGCTCTCGATGGTGTAGCAAGCGCTGAGGAGCGCATTGTATTCCTCACCACCAACCACATGGACCGGCTGGATGAAGCACTGGTTCGCCCTGGCCGTGTTGACATGACAGTCCGACTCGGGGAGGCGACGCGATACCAAGTCGCTGCTCTATGGGATCGGTTCTACGGGGAGTTTGATGCCAACGGCATTTACAAGGCTAGATTTTTGGATCGACTCGCTCAATATGGGCTTATTGAGGACGAGAATGGGCACAAAGCGGACGTGTCCAAGACGGTCAGCACTGCTGCTCTCCAGGGCCTTTTCTTGTTCAACAAGGGGAACATGGAGGGTGCGATTGGCACAGTGCAGACGCTTGCTCAGTCTATGTACGAATGAGCTCGCGTACATATGTATTTTTATGTACCATATTCCCTTTTCCTTTTTTAGCAGCCACCACTTTTATGAGAGCACTTATAGTTAGGCTCATTGAGTGAATTAAAGTCCCGGCTCAGGCTATTTATTTCATATATTGGTATACACTCCGATCACTCACATTTGGGCAAATCTGCACAACACTGCTAGGTCACGCTCCTTCCGGAGCCCTAGTTCTTAGAGCGATTCCTCGGAATCCATTTCGCGGCGATTGTCATCTCCACTCAACAGTCATCCCGACTGCGTGACCTGGTATTAATAAGATACAAGTTACTAGTAGCCCGTTTTTCGGGTGCCAGCGTGTTGTGGTTACAAAGTTCCATCCAATCGCAGGATATCACATTGTTGCGCCGGACTATCGCGGTCATGGGTATTCGTCTCATCCCTTGTTACCGGTCTCAGCTTTCTCGAAGAAGGAGCTAGCCACAGACCTGTTCAAGCTCGTGACCGAGCATATGCAAATCACAGAGAAGATCCATGTTGTCACGATATTAGAGGCATGATTTCCCATGCTTACGTCGCGCAGTTCCCCGAGCGTGTGGCCAGCATTGTATGGGGCGAGTGCCCGCTCCCAGGGACCACCCTGTTTGATGAAGTGAAACACTCGCGGACATATTGGCATTTTGATTTTCACGGCCATAATCCTGAGATTGCTGTGGCATCAGGTACGGGGAAGGTAAAGATGTACTTGAAGCATTTCTATGATCGCCTGACACAAAACCAAGCGGTCTTCATTACAGACGTGAGCGAATTTTACACGACGCAGTACTCAATGCCAGATGCACTACGATTACGTACAGCGCCTTCGACATCGACGCTCAACACAACAGGGAGTGGCGTGAAAGGGATGGCAAGGTGACTGTTCGCAATATGATCCTTTCCGGAGACCGAAGCTGGGTTGCTCCAGGTTCATCTACAATGGCTAGCGAAATGTACGTTAACCCAAAAGTCAGCATAGTGAAAGACAGCGGGCACTTTCTGGCGGAAGAGAATCCTATTGGTTTTGTGAGAGAAGTCTTGGACTTTATCAGCGCTTAGTCCCAACGCTTTTGGAGTTCAGACGAGAATGGAATTGAAGATGAAAATGTTGATTAAACATAACTACACCAAATCAAAAGAATGCGCTAAGCACACAGGATAGGTATTCCTCTGTAGATAAATCAAGATTATATCTGTTAACTTAGTTGAATGACTACTATTATCGCTGTACCCCTCAGTGGTCAAGGATGCATAGCCAGCGTTTCTTGCAGCTGCAGCCGTGATTGGCCATTCTAATTTAACTTCAGTACGGAGCACTCTAACCAGGATCTGGGATGCTGTTCTAGTTACCAGTCCAATAAAAGCTCTTGTTATATACAATGGCCACGGATGTCGAATGCGAGCTCAAGCTAGAGCCCTCAGACGTAGAATTCCTCGAAAATATGAAGGGGAATTCTCCGTGGTCTTTAAAGTGCGCGTCCACGGGAAAATATGTGTCTTGAAGGTGGTGAGTTGGGCTAACACGTCTCTAAAGTACCTTTATTCTTCGATACATTGCTAAGGGAGAAAATAAAGTACCATGGGAGACCCCGGTGTGCCGCTGATCCCCCGTGGCGTGAAGTCGATATCTTTATCTGCGAATCGACAGCGTACAAACGCCTAAAAGAGAAAGGCTTCTGTGAGAGAAAAGTCATTCCTGATTTTTATGGGACCATGAAAAAGATACAACCAAGTCATTGGCCAAACCTACTTATGTTTCTCAATGACAAACTTCGCCCTGACGCCATCCTGCTCGAATATATACCATACTTGCGGATGTTGGATTTAAGCAATTTCTCGATGGCTCGCATAGCTAAACTACGCCAGATCCTCGATGAGATACATCAAGTGAGAATCCGTCATGGTGACCCCTACCCCCGGAATATGATGGTCTCCTTAGAACCAGGAAACGAGAGAATGCTCTGGCTTGATTTTGACCGCGCCCAAACATGCCCGGAGTATGGACCGCTGACAGAAAGACAAAACAATTGGTTTACACATGAGGATGAGCTAGTAGACTATTTTTTTGAGCATCTGGTAAGCTTTACAGAGAACCCTGCGTCTGGAAATTCTGCAGTTTACTAATCGATTTATACAGCCTCTAGATCATGCGGAAGGGAAGCTGAGTCGTACTTGGAACTATTTCTATACGTATGCGTGAGCGGCAGTTTTCTTTTGTCACAGGACTTGGAGGATATCCTCTTACCATAACATATTCTATAACTATAGTATATGCATGCATACATACATCATGACCTTTTTATAGCAGCGATGCAAAAACAGCCTCTGATTGGCCAGCCGCAGATGCATCTAAGCGCCGCCATCTCAGCGCGCGGCAGCCAATCAGCGCGCACAACCGCCTCGCAGCGTCTAAAGCACTGTGTTTCGTTCTCATCACACTCGCTGTGCCTATCACAGACCAGCCAGCATGCAGGCGACTGACTCTGTCCCGGTGGTGTGCCAACGTCTTGGATTTCTTCAGAGCTGCCATTGGCTCCCTCAACAGCATGGCTGCGCCGGGATTCTCCATGGCCGGCAAAGAGATACTCTCACGTCCTACGCAGCTCATAAGGCGATCATTCCCCCGCTCAAAGGGTGATTTCTGAATAAATTCAGTTTGTCAATCTGGACTGCCATTCCTCTTTTCCTTTTCCCTTTTTGTATCTTGTTTTTGCATTCGAACAGGCGTTGAGAGATTCTTGCTACTTACGATAGACGCAGGCCGTGTTGTTGTTTCGTTGCCTCCCATCCTATAGAGCTGGTCTCCTAATCACTGCTACGTACTTTATACCCTTTTCTATTTTTGTTTGAGTCTGGAATTTCACCTTGCTTAAACTAAGCCATGGCTACAAAGCCTCAATTCCAGCTTTTTCCGTCACCGGCAAAAGACAGGAAGAATCCCTTTCGAAATATTCCCAACAGGAGGGACGAATCAAGGAACAGATCTCAGTCCCCAGTTTCGCCTGAAACTGAGGCGGATCTCAAGTCAGAACTGCAGACCGAATCGGTCATTATCAAGATTATCGAAGACACAAAGTCGGACGCAATTCAGCCACGGTCAGAGTCCAGGCAGTCATCACGGCCAGACATCACAATGCAAACACAACTGGACACACGGCAGCTCCAAAGCAGGTCCGTGTCTCCGGGTTTGCCAATAAATTCAATGTTTCCGCAGTACAACCACCACCTACCTCTAGACCGGCAGGCGTACTTTCCCCAAAATAGAGACTCGGACAACGCACCCCAACGAGAACAGAGTAGCAGCTCTGCAGGCAGAGCTTTCCCTACGACACGCATCTCACCTGGCGATGTAGATGCTGTTTTTGGGCCCAAAACCGTACCAGCCAGCGTACTCAACTTTCCGACGGAAGATCTGAGTCCTCGGATAGAGTACTCAACAGCCGAAGAGCTACTGACATTATGGGAGTCTGCTAATGGACAAGAGCTGCAAGAGTCCTTGGGGACATTCAATCTCCGCATGGAAAGGTAGATCTTTGTCCTTCTCCTGCTTTGTTAGTCAGCGCGCTGACCATCTAACTATCATAGAGTTGAAGATAATACATTCACTTTCGGCAACCCTCAGCTACCCTTCTATACCTTGCGGGCAAGTATGAATGGAGTTTCGATTTTGCGGAATCATCCACTCAAGCAAAATCGCGGAGTTGAAGTTATGGGGTTGAGCCTGGAAAGCCCAATCCGTCGCCGGCCACCTCATGACGGTCTGGTTACTGTCATATTTTCGAAACTCGCAGCCATGCTCGCAGTTGAACAGGCCGCCGAACTGGCCCGGCAGCATGCTCTTGCTCCATCAGAAGCCGTAGAAATTGAGACAAATGCAGTCAGCCGCGCTGCAGCCCAAGAATCATGCCGTCTGATATGGAACGCGCCGCAGCGTCGGTACGAGCTACAGCACCCGTCACTGCTTCAGCAGGTATCTTCACCGTTGCTTGGCCAAGACGGTATCCCAGTGTCTCTGGTGCAGACGGCGAAACCCGGCATTCTTCACATCACAGTGTCTCCTTCAGCCGAGAGCGACAGCCAACAACCCCCTGTTATCATGGTCACAAGTCCAAAGTCACCCAACAGTATCCCAGCGGGCAACTCGGCAGCGACGTCGCGCACATCAACACTACCACAAGCAGACATCGACGAACCGCTAGCCTCCTTGGATCTGGACACAATGACGCTTTCAATCTGCGCTGGATTAACGACTAGCAAAATTCCATCACTCTATGCAATAGACTCTTTGGTCGCGGCCATGCTTGCCGTAGCCATCACAGACGATTCTACTTACCCTGTGCTTGCGAACGCGGAACTATACGTTCCCGGTCTGATTTCAGAGCAACTACAACAAGAACCGCCACAAGCAGGACAGCAACAACCGCGTCAAAAGAATCGAGGATTCCGGAATTCCTTTACCTTAGCTACAGCGAAGAGTACAGCTAATACTGCCACTACCACAAACACGTTCGCGGGTACATACTACACTACCTTCGCGGAGCGAGTAGACGCAGAACAAGAAGCCAAGTTGATGTCCAAGATCCACGCGAAAGAGGCAAAGAAACACGCCAAGAGGAAAGATAACGCCAATAGTCACAAGAACAAGAATAAGAAGGGAGGATTCTTCTCGTTCTTAGGCGGTAGCAAGAAGAATAAGAACAAGACCGAGAGTGACACCGAAGAATTTGACATGGAGAAATATGGCAATACCGAGGAATGGAGCGGGAAGGATGATAATAAGTTGCCGCTGCTGATCAGAATGATTGTCGCTGTGGTGGTGTTTGGAGTGAAGGTGGTTGTGGTTGTTTTGGTGGCTGGAGCCAAGTTTGCGATTTGGCTGTTGAATAAATGCCTGGGCAGTGATTAATTTACTACATGGTTTCGATATTGTCTCTCTTTCTTTTGCTTGAGTATGTGTTGACGGTTGTTATGCATGGTTAGTTTGACGTGTTCACGAGCAGTGTATAAGGACCATACGCACATTGTATTTTCAGGGATAGTTGATTCACATCTTCCTTCAACATATACCATGGAATAATGTTATGGTCAATTGAATTGATTATCTATTGTTCATAATCTAAAGACAGCCCCGTCCATCGAGTACCTGACATGACATCCAGCATTGTACACCCATTGCTCAACAAGAAAAGGGAGAAGTAAAAGAGTAAAGACCAAAACGCCTCCCGGTATAGTAGAAGAAAAAGCACAACTCACCAATATTAACATACTTCACCATCATGCGTTTACAGTCAACTTGCTTACAGAGCAACAAAAGCTCCGACAATACCAGCCAACACACCACCAACAACAGTCATGCTGGGGACAACTTGCGCACCAGCGCCCTGGAACTGGGCGAATGGGTCAGCGCCACTTGGGGTAGGAATGGCAGGGAAAGAAGATGTTGGTGTTGCCAAAGCGCCGTGTCGAGCGGCAGAAGACGAAGCGCCAGCGGCAGCAGTGGCCGGCGTAGCCATGACACCTGCTCCGTGTACACGGCTGCTCTGAGCGAGTGAGTGGGCTTCGTTGTCGGTGTCGGTGCTTGAGCCAGAGGGAGAGTTGGAGCCATGCGAGGATGGGGATGCATCAGTGTCGGTGTCGGTTTCGGAGTCTTCTCCTTGAGCCTCATTGTCGGCGGCGGCTGGGCTGTTGGAAGTGGATTTGGAAGCACCGGTGTTGGCGCATGTGCATCCCTCACCGTCAGAGCTGTCTTGTGCGCCGTTCACACGCTCAGATGCTGACGAGGATGATCCGGAGGCCTCAGGAGCTGTGGCAGAAGGCATGGTGGCACGGCGCACTTTTTGCATGCGGCATGCTTCCGTGGCGAGGTTGTCGGTTGCTATGTTTCGGTTAGCTGTGTTGTTCATTACAGGCCAACGTCTGGATTTGGGAGCGTACCTTCACTCTGCTCAGCGCCACAGGCGGCTTTGATCTCTTCCATGACGGATTTGCGAGCAGAGTCGGAGCAGAGACAGGCAGCATCGCCGGTGTTGCAGGCGCTGCTTGACAGGAGGGTTTTCATCTAGGGCTGTATCAGTACTGTCCAAAATGTACGCCACAAAGCGTGTCGAACTCACAGCACAGGCCTGGGCATCCTCCCTGGCAACGAGTGGAGATGTAGCTGCAGTGGCGGCGGCGGCGAATGCCACAAAAGTGATGAAAGAGCGCATCTTGTCTGAGAATACGTTGATCGAGCTAGTGTCGAAGGAATTAATTCAGCTGGGAAGAATCAGATGTCGTGCTCGTCGTGGTCGGTGTATCGTATGAATCATGGCAGAAAGTACCGGGGGCAAAGGACGTATTGATATAGACGACGACATGTTGATTTTTCTTTCCAGCCTCAATGCCATAGCAGTGCTGGCATAGCGCATGTCAACTGACGGAAGGAAAAAATACATAACTTCCAAGGATTAGTGCTTACAATATTGCGATTCTCGTGTTGGGCCAGCAACCTGTATGGTCTAACTATTTGGTAGGAATGTGTTATGGGTTTGTTCATTCCCTGACTTCCAAATTGGGTTGATTAGGGTTTGCTCGGGAATGTGGCCACAACATCACGTCTACACTAACATTAGCTGCTTAGTAACAAGTTTGTTTTGGCTGTGCAAGACAAAACTTAATTTTCCTCACTGTAGTGGAAATAAAATGAAAAATGACTTCATAGTACTAATGTCGGGTTAAAATATATATTCAAGGAACCTTGAATTTACACATACCCAGGTACTGAGAGCAAGCAAATCGAAATAACGATCTTCTATTCTCAGACACCAATAGATCGTAGCTAGCTAGGTATACACTTAGCCTTTCGTACCGTTTATGAGATCAGTCGGCATTGATATGCAAGCAAGACAAGGATGGAATGCCCCATCAACCTCAAGACCGAATGCGTTATATCTGATACTTAGGGACACCCCTGGATGTCCGTACAGAAATTACGTCAGGACATGTAGATATTCCAACAACCAGCACGGCGAACTAGCTGTGAATATCCGATATATCTGACTCTAATCGATGGGAGTGCCACAGCGATATAAAATATCTGATCTACAAACACGTCATGACGGCCAGTAGTTATACAAGAATGATATGTTTGATTCCATTGGTTGTTTCGATGTCTTCTATCTAACCAACTGCCTAGAGTATATCAAAATATCAAACATCAAGTCTAAATAACGTATGTCTACAGTATCCACCAACGTCGTTTATGTATTGACCGCTCCAATGCCCTCGGAACACACAGGAGGTATATCGCATGTGTAAATGCAGAAAAGTACAAAAAAATCATAAGAAACAAAGGGTATCAACTCCAATGCGCTCAGACAATTCATCCCAAGAGCATCATACGCAATGATGATAGAATAACAAAATGGGTCCGGACGAAATTTAAGAAGGACAAGGCCGCCATGGAATCGAAGGAATATAATAAATAGCCCTGAGTCAGGGCCTGGGGTTCAATTGAAGGTGTTTTTCTTTGTAGTTCTCCAACCATCCAGTCGAGGAAGAGGGCTTCTGGATCCCGTGCGAGTAGCCGGCCGATCCAAGCCTAAGCCCTTGCTTGCGAATAATGACAGGCGAGTCTTTTCCTGGCGGACAGCCTCTCGCCGCTCCTCACGCAACGCGTCAATGCGCCCTTGGCCCACGCGGTATTTCCTGCTTAGACTCTCCTCCAGCAACGCGTTGGCATCCAGTAGTCTTTTAGGAATAGTCTGGACAATTTGGAAGACTTCCATTGGGTCAGAGACTGACAAAATCTCGCGTTCGCCAGCCTTGAAGATCCCCAATGCGATGCGGAAGAAAGTCTTGGAGCCCTCGTAAAATAGGCAATCCCATACCCTGAGAGTTGTCTCCAAGGGCAAACTGCCAATGAACATCGACATGAGCCAGTTGGTGAGACCGAGCGTGATGTCGGGCAGTCGCATATTGACTGTCAGAGCTGGAGCCTTGGCCTTGGCCACTGTCGGAGTGTTGCTGACCAGTTTGGTGTAAACTTGCGGTAAGTTGTCTCTCAACAGGACCATCAGAATCCACATGTCTACATTGGCGCCTTCCAGACTGATTTCATGCGTCGCAGGGAGCAGTTCAGATGTTATTATATGCAGCATCCAAAAGGCCTTTTCTTCTGGTAGGAAAAGAAGCAGCATCCCCGTGATGAAATTCAGTGATTGCGTGTATCCAACACGTGGGTTATGAAGTGCAAAAGCATACAGCACCCGCCTAAGGGACCGGATCATCTGCGTTTCGACAATCACTGAATTGTTTCTGTTTCCGGCACCGCCAACACCAGTCATGCTATCTGCCATTTCCGGTTTGAAGTGAACATTATCAGGGAATGTCCGATACAAATCTCTCTCAATGTGTTCTTTGTCAGTGTTGATGGGCGACGACATGGCCTGTTCCACTAACGCAGCGTAGTGTCCCGGATGAGGATGCATGTGCTGGAACCCGCCTGCGTAATAGAACCACGCCGCACCTCGATATTCGCTGGGAATGCCCTTTCGAACATATCTCTTGAGCAGGTTGGTCTTGGGAGGGAAAGTGGAGGGAGCATCGGTTGGCAGCCCGGATGATTCCAACAGCTTCACCCACTTTAGCCGCCGATGTTCAGCAAATGCGGCATATGGTTTGTTCCAAGCTTCAAACTGTTCACGCGAGACGTGATGGGTGTTTTTACGAAAGCCATAGCGATCTCGATCGTCAATGCCTGCAAGAAAAGGCGGAGGCACCTTGCCTGCGACTCGCACTATGGTGGAGTAACGAGGGCTGGGTATCGGTTGGTTCGCGACACTGTTGAAATCTTTCTTGGCCAACGCGACGTCAATAGAAAGATTCTTTGAAGGGAATTGTCTGGGCAATGCCTTTCTCGGCGCAGGCATTTCGACATCTTCCAGCTCTGCTGGGCCTGTCTGTGATTGCGATGATCCAGCCAATCGCGATGGTTCTATGTCTTCGTGTTTCTCAGGTAGTTCGTACGGGCCGTCGTCGGTGTTCCGCTCATCTTCGAATTCTTCTGTTGAATTATCATCCTCAGCTAGATGTTGTTCCATCACAGCAGGGCTTTCCCGCCTTGGAGTCAACGAAGCAACAGATGAGTGTTTGGCGGGCGAAGAGATACTTTCCGCAATAACGTCTAGTTCTCCCACTAGCGTTATAGACTGTGAGGATGTCGACTCCTCCGGAAGGTCAACGATATCATCAAGATACATTCCAATGGCATCCTCAACAGTCATATCATCTTCCTCACCAAAGTAGCCGTTTGGGGTATCCGGCGACATATCGGTGATGGAGCTACTCTTCGTCAATATACTGCTGCGCTCTGTGCCGCTCATCTGCTCGAAGCTTGAGAACGATGTCTGTCCAGAGTTCTGGCTGGAACGCAATGGGTCATTATTTTGCAATAGGTCAGGGGTAACGCGGGGAGGGAATCGAGGTAGTGGTCGATTATTCAGGCTCATATCCGCATTTTGGCGCTCAGGGCGAGGTGAACGGCGTCTGCCATAAAGAGAAGAGGTTGACATGGAAATGCGCAGACCGGGCCGGCCTGAGCGCATACGAGGCGCGGTGGTAGTGCTGTCAGTCATCGGTAATGGCCAGGCGACTTCTTCTTGTTCCCTCGCACGCTGTCCATTGGGAGATGTCAAGGTGTTTCTCGGGGGGGATTTAGGAAGCGCCATGTCGTTATTATAATCTGGTATATTATCATGCAAAGGGCTTCCCGGCTCTTCATTGCGCAAGGGTATATTATTATTCGTGTTGGCGGCGGCGGCGGCGGTGGTGGCGGCGACGGTGTTGGGGTTGGTGTAGTGCAAGCCCGGTTGGGCCGGACGCGGACTTCGTGGAGCGTAAGTGTTTGGCAGCGTGGGAGACGGCTGATTCAAATTCGGACGGTGGCTATAGTTGGGATAACCAGGGCCATGGCTATGGTTGCTATGGCTGCTGCTATCCAGTCTCAGGCGCGGTGGAGGAATTCGACGGCGATAAATGGCATCATCAGCATCACCGGTGCCCGGAGCGGACAGGGGATGCTGTGTGACCATGGCCACTTAAATATACGCCGTCCTCGCGGTGCATTTGTTGGATGGACAATTGAACGGGGGTTTGTTCTGTGCTTGCTTGCAGCATCAAAGGAAGCTCCTTTGTCGGAAAAGACGTGTTTGTTGTTGTTTAACCTTGCTTGTGCTGGAGAGAAGACAAGCTCTTGGCTTCCTTCCCTTGTCTTCTTTTCTTTTCCTTTTGCGCCCCCGCTCTCTCAGAGGCTTCGAGCTAGGGAAGAAGAGTTAATGGTATGGTGTGGTGTCGTCGGGTTTGAGGGTGCTGTGGTGGTTGAGCCTGTGGTAGACAAAGGAGTGGCTGGGACAACGAATGGAAGAGAGACAGCGCCAGGTCTCGAGAGAGTTCTCTGGGATAAAGAACAGAATGCAAAAGCAAAAAAGAAAAGAAAATCGACGGGTCAAATGCGGCACTCCATGCCTGCACGCAAAGTCTGGCTGGGATGAAGAAAAGGAAGCAAGCGTTGGTTAGTCTGACGCCGAAGGAAGCTAGCTAGCTGCACTAACTAAGCCTAACTAACTACCATAGTACATTATGTGATATAGCGATATTATATTTTTATTATTGAGAATTTATAATTTCTTTTTTTTTATATATACATATATTAACACACCTGTCAAGTTTTATTTTCACTTCGTTCACTGGCTTAGTTATCGCTATGCAGAGAACAGCCTACGTACTACGTCTGCAGCCAGCTTGACATGTCTGATTTCTGCACCATCAGCATCTGTTGGGTCACATTCCCTCATCAAGCTCGCTCTGTCAGACGCCCGAGTTCTTCATTTCAGTTGCACTGTCTTGTTGAGCAGTTCCGACTGATTTAACATGTTCCCAGTCAACCCCCGAGATTCGCCCGGGCTCGGCGTATATTACGTGGGAAAAAAACACGAGTAAGAATCATGGAACGTAGTTCAGCTCGGCATGAGAATGCAGTACGCAGTACAGGCAGATCTGCGCTGCTGCTCATTGTGTCGTAAAAACAAATCAACCAACGCCGTGAAAATGATTCATGCCGTCTTGCCTGCATAGATGTAAAATGTAGAAAAAAGAAAAGCAAATGTAGCACGAGGCAGGCATCAAATAAAGTACACTCCATAACCCAGCCCCTAAAAATGAACTGAAATCGAAGAGGGAGAGAGAGAGAGAGAGAGAGAGAGAGAGAGAGAGAGAGAGAGCAGTTTCATTTTTCTCCCTTGGCAAATCGCCTGGTCCAGTCCCTCGCAACTTCTTCGAATCTCTTCCGGTCATTCTGGTACTGTTCTGCGATCCGTCCCTCCACGGCATCGTCAGGCATGGGCTCCACGAGTAATTGTCTCGCAAATTCGAGCACGGCCGCGATGCGCGACGACGGCTTCCATTCGTCTGACTTCAGCATGCCCAGGCACATCGACCCCTTGTCATCGTTGGACACGTTCGGGTGGTAGATTTTGGTGGCGAAGGAGACGGTGGGCGGTTTGAAGGGATATTCATTGGGGAGGGTCAGGTTCACAAGGAATGTGCCGTCCTGTCCAGCGACCTTAATAAACTGCGATATATAATGTCCCGAGAAAGTGCACTGTACCTGGTAGGGAGTGTCTTGCGGCCCCTTCATGAACACCTTCCATTTGTAGACGTCTGCTTCATCGACGAGCTGGACTGTGATGCCCGCGGGCGGAGATTCGGTCAGCTCGGCGAGCTCCTGAGATTTGAGATTTGAGATTCAGTGAGCCAAGCATTCCTTCTTTGTCCTGGGAAGACGGGCATGACAGACCTTGCTGATGCGCTTCAAACTGCCCATGGTGCTCGCAAGAAAAGAAACCAGAGAAGCAAGAAGTCGTGCAAGGAGAAAGTGTTCACGCTGGAAGAGGATGTCTGGGATGTCACGAGTGGGCTTTTTGTCACGGGAGCCAGCGGGGTAGCTCCGGCCGATGACATACATTTACATTGCATTTAGTCACTTAACTACCTCAACCCAACGTATGAATTTTGTGCTGCGAAGAAACCTAGAACTGGCTGGACTAATAAATAACAGAGACAGAGATCAATCATTCCCTCTGCAACACCACCATCAGCCCCATCACTCCCAGCAGCACCGTCTTCAGCCACGGATGCTCGCTCAGCATGATCGTCACATATCCCACGCCAGGGAAGTACCCCCGTACACTGCCCACGATGTCTTCTTTGCGATCTAGGAAACTCTGGCCGCGGGCATACAGCTCGGTGTCGTCGGCGAGGTTGTTGTCTCCTTTGGTGAGCAGTTTCTGGGGGGTGGTGGATGGTCTGTTGTTGTACGATTAAATATTAGATTGATTGAACGAGAACAGTGCAACTGAAGAGATGCTTACTCGAGTGTCTTATTCTTATTCTTCGTCTTCAGCTTGGGGCTCTCTTCGGTATACGTGCGGACGACGCGGTGGACGATTGGAATATCCTTGCCTGCGAATCGCGCAGTTAGTCAGTCCGTCAGTCGACAATAGAGTAGAAGATAGTCATACCTCGCACATTGTACACCACAATCTCTCCCACCTCCGCCCTCTCGCCTCGATTCCAGAGAAACAGTAGGTCGCCGCGCTGGAACGCGGGCTCCATAGACCCCGATAGCACGACCACGATGGGACTGCTGGAATTCGACGCTATCGACACGCCTTTCCATAGCATGAAGGCTGTGGAGAGCACAAGGGCGAAGTTGAGGACCTGGGCAATCGATTGTCGCGCGTTGGACAGGTTGCCGGCCAGAGCGGACAGCATTGTGAGTGATATGTATTCGTTACAGAAGAGTAGTGTGCAGCAATATTGTTGTGGTGACAGGTAGTTGCGTTGTGTTGTGGTGTGCTGATTATTGTTGTCGCTGTATAAAATCAAGTGGAGAGGTGTCCTTGCGGAGAGCCGCCAATCAGCGGCTCCATCATAGCCCTAGCTGCACTATAACCAAGCTCTACCAGATAATAAACTGTCACTTTTCGGTCCCGAATATAGAAGGGAAAAAAAAAAAAAAAGAAAAGAAAAGGGTTTTTTAATTGCAAGATTCTCAATTGACTTTACTTTGGAAGTGCAAAAGTTCTGGCGGACAGCAGCTGAACCCCAAAAAATAAAGCCGCGCTGCTAGCAAATCAGACGCCGGCCACCACTGAGTTTAATAATTAATATAGATATAAACTTATGCACGATGGTTTTGTTTTTTCTGGGTCGTCAAGCATGTATTTCAGCTGGGCATGGGCGATTGGACTGTGTTGTCTGTCGCTAGCGAGCCTCTAGTCGACCGAGTCCGGAGACTCCGTATCCACAGCTTTTTTCTGACGTATGCAGTATGCAGAGTCGCAGTTTCATCATCTTTACTTATTCTTGGGTATGTATGTCATTGGCCAATTCGTGGTTGATATCTAGACATGATCTGTGCGCGGTGCTTGGAAATTGACAGACGTGGCAAAGCCGTAGCCCTAATTCAGGGAGTTTACACGACCTTCTCGGGCTGTTTAGAGCATATACAGAGAGAATCATAACTATCATGTAGTGCCAGCACTATGTATTCATAATCGCTTCTTATGGCTAAACGTAAGCAACATCCCATACAACCGTAACTCCGTTATAATGCATTATGCCAAGTCGAACGAACAAACAATTTTTTTTTTGAAAACTCAAAAATAAAACTTGAGGGTATCAAGGAACATCATCTAGTGCCATGCCATGCTTGACAAAACCTCAGCAATTGAAACCGGCAATTGCGAATTCGCTAGCGAAGAAGAATGGAGGAATGAATGCAAGTTGAAGAACAAATAACAACACCATTAAAAAAAAAAAAAACCGGCAAAACAGAATGTAACCGAAAATTGGAGAAGGAAAAAGGCCCGGCCAATGCTTTTGTGTCATGTAGTGCGTTAATGGTATCAGGTCCGTCGAGAGTTCTCCCAGAGTTGGATCGCCGCTAGCGGAGGATCCTCGGCCACCCAGAGGCCTGCTCTTGTGTCTGCTTGTCGGAGATCTGAGAAGATGCTGTGATCGGTGATGCTGTTCAATTCCTGTTTCATCCTTATTAGTATACTCATACCAAGTGAATGCTCACATGGCGAGGCATGGGGATGCGAAAGACAACATACTTGGCGCAATATTTGATCAATTTCTCGTAACTGCGTCGTACTCGCTTTTCCAAAACGAGAAATGAGGTCCTGGCGATTGATTGCCCATCTCTTCGCAGCAGCAACGCGGAGATAGATTCTGTGTGCTTGAAAGCGACGACCACTGGCGTCGAGGACGACTCTATTCATTCATACTCAATCAACACATATTTCAAAGGATACGCATTGACTAGGGGGGAAGAGAGAGACAACTCACTGGCGTAGCTGAGCCTTTTCCATCTCGGGGTTACTTCCCTGGTCCTCAATGGGCATGCCCGTAAAACCGGCCGCCAGTAGACGTTGTGCTGCCGTGGAGCTTTGTGCAAGGATTCGGAATCCTTCCTGCTGCACGTCTCCCATAGCCACCGAGGCCAGTTGCTGGGAGATATGGAGTTGAAGGGTTCGGTAGTCATTGATCAGTTCGGCGATTCTCATGGCTCGTGCATCGTTTACTATATAGAATCAGGCGAGAAGGCCAGAAGTGGTCAATTAAAGAGAGCCCTTTTGGCCTTCTGGGGAAGGATGGGTCGGGACGTACGGCCGTCAGCCATGTCTGTATATCTGTATATGGAGGTTGATTTGATATCGTGAAGGTCAGGAGGCAAAACACACACACACACGCCACAACCGTTGGAACGACCAAGGGTCCAGGAGGCAACGAAAGGATTAAATTAAGTAATAGCAAATAAAAACGACCAGAATCTAAGGAGTGAATTCGTAAGAGAAAGAAGAAGGCGAAGACGAAGAAGAAAAAGAACGTCGGCGATTCTGCTCAAGCTACAGTCCAAAAGAAAGCCATGTCTAAGGGGGTTTTAAACACTGGATGAATATCTGCCCTTTTAAGTACGAAGAAAGTCAAATACATTATCATTCCCCGTCCAAGCATGCTTGGGACGAACCGCCAGCAGCACAGGGTCAGGCCAATGAGGGCGGCAGGACGGCATCGTCGAGCGACTGTACGATCTGATATGGTGGATCTGATGCTCTCGGAACATGCCTTTTTGCTTGTATTTCTTTTGCAGTTGGGGCCAATCAGGACCGGCTCCAAAATCAAGGACTGAACGCATTTCTGGGTGATATGCAACCATGTCAGCCAGCCATATCATCTTAGTCGGAAGCCGCGCCTGTATATAGTGTGTAGGAGAGGGATCGGTTCTGGAAGAAGTGGATTTCGCTTGGGCCTGGCCTAAGAAAAGGACATCGTTCATGCAGCAAGTCAGCTCAGCGAAGATGCGCGCGCCAATCAGCGCCGCCCCAGCCACAATCTTAGCGCCGAACAACGACAGCTGAACCTGGAGCCACGCTTGCGCGCATGGGGCCTAGCGTGCGCCGGTGTGGCAAATGCTGTTTACTAAGCAGCGCTCTCAACCTTACCTTGACTAGGTGAAACTACTTGGCTGCTGTATATCATCGCCTGCATTCGCGTGCATATCGATGGACTGCACGCCGAAGGAGGCGCACCTGAACTGCAACCCCGACAACGCATTCGACATCCAACGTTCAACATTCAGCGTGGCCAGATCAGTAGAGGGCAGCTGGTGCGGTATACTGAGTCCATGCAAGATTCCAGGGGGGAAGAGGCATTTCTTTACGGCTCGCAAACAGTAGACACAAAAGCGACATGAGACCAGAATACATCACACAACGAATTATCTCTTAATCCTTCTCGCTGATCGCTTGCAGCCGCTCATCAATCTCTTCTTCAGTCAAAGCCCGGAACTCAACATCTGTGCCCTCTTGCCCATCGAGCCGTGGACCGCCAACAATGCCAATCTCTAACTCGTTCTTCTTAAAGTCAACGCTGAGGACGTTGCTCAGCGCCGAGATTCCGAGTTCAACCACCTCCTCCCAGCCACCTTCCGCGTAGTCCTTGTTCTTCAGCTTCTTCTCGAGATAGTTCGAGGCCTCCTGGTACTTGGGTCCCGATGAAACAGCCTTGTACCCGGAAAAGTAGCCTGCCGGATCGCATTTGAATACTTGCGGTCCGCGTTCTTCGTCCACCGAGATGATAGTGATGGCAACACCGAGAGGCCGCATGTAAGCCTACGTAGTCAATGAGTCTAGTCAGCGGGCTATCTGTATACAAACCAAGTGTATTCGTATTGGCCATAGCATGCAGTGCGGTGAACGTACCCTTTGCGTGTACACTTGGTTGATATTGGCCAGGCGTTTCGCCAGCACGTCACCAGGCATCTCGTATCCATATTTATACCTGAACTCGGCGGCCTCACCGCGGGCACGGTCGACGCATGCCCGGGCATCAGCTATGGATCCTGTCAGGACGCATCCAACAGAGGGAGAGATCTTGAAGATGTGGGAAACGGATGACGGCTCGATCAATTTGTCCTAAGCAAAGCAAGTGTCAGCTACTCGTACACTAGCTGGTTTCACAGTTTGAAACTTACGGGAACCTTCTTCTGGGTTAGGACAACAGCACAGTCTTTGCCACGGAGGCCGACGGATGTTATGTTTGCTGCCGTGATGGCCTTGAATGCATATTCTGTGATTAAACCATCCTGTCAGCTGGTGCTTGATTCGTTAGATTGTTCGAAATAGAGTTACCGACCAACTTGATATAGACGACCGGAGTCAGAGAAAATAGTAATATGTCGGTCGTAGCCTGCGCTTCCTGTTGGTTGATTGGGCTTGTCAGTTCAATGGAGTCTCGAGAGAGGATTGGGTGGTTCCTAACCCGACATGGTGGTTTTGTCGATTTTCTAGTGGCAGCAAAAGAAGCACAATCAAGCAGAAGCGCTGTCTAAGGTAGAATGAGCTGCAACAATAGCACAAACAGATGAAGTGATGACGGGCGAGGATGCGTTGTGTGTTGAGGAGCTGCCTAAAGCTGGGAGCACTAGCAGCTCCAGCTCATTCTGCCGCCCGCCGCTCACCGCCCTATCAGTCTCTCTTTCCTTCGATGAGTCGCCATGATCGGTTTTGTCTTCGCTGTCGTCTGTCAGCACAGTTATAGCTTTTATTAAGGGAATACGACAACGCCCAAACGCAAGCTTCACGATTAGTCCACGCATATTTCAGGTGAAGCAAGTCAACGCCGTCAATTCGAGGCATGGAAGCCGAAGGACATCATATGGAAGTTACAACTAGCGTCAATTTGCGAGCGTCGTGACGATTAGACCAGATTCGTCACAGAGCATTGCGTGCATCGATAAGATTATAAGAAACGGACTAACGAACTATCAAGTTCATTGTCGGTGTCAAACTAGTCTGATATTAACCTAGTTTCTACGCCAGAAGAAACCACATGCTTGAGGGTTTTTCAGGAGAGGACTGAAGATCTGATCGACAATGCCAATAACGTTGGCTCCTATCACCTACATCTGTCAAGGATTTCGTGTGCTATGCCTTCGTGATAGCGGTACGGAGGCTTGTGATAGCGGTATGGAGGCTTGTTGCGACACTCTGACTTCATAGCCAATTTCCTTAACAAAATGCTGACCACACCGACATGATTCTACGGGCAGTATGAAGAGACCGCTGTTCAACTATCGTCAATACAATAATGCAATCAAGCCGAGTGGTGGCTCAGACGATTTGAGAAATTGAGAGTCTATTTCTATGCGTCTGTCTCGGTAGACCACTGTTTCTTTAGGAAGCCACCGGGACAGGGACGACGGTCAGCACACACATACGGAGTACACCATGGAATGGAAGTACGTACGCTCGTGGAGTCACATGAAATATCCGATTGGACGGCCAACACGACTAACATAATGGACCAACTTCCAAGCAAACTGAACGCTGAAGCTCAAGCTAGTCTTCGAAGCCAGTGAATGGCCGCATATGCACAAGTCAGAAATAGGAAAGTAGCTTACCCTACTCTAGTTAGGCTTTTTACGGTGAAAACTCGGCCATATGGCACGAATCAACCTAAACATGCGACTGCTCCTGAAAGTATGTTGTGCGCCAAATACTCTGTGTACGTTATTATTAGCAAGCCGAATTTGCGTCTTTGTTTGCTCAAAGTTCGGAGGATTATTCACTGCATCGACATGCGTACAATCCACGTTAAGTTCCAGCATTGGCTCCACCGTTCAAACGGCGGACTGCGGGACGCACCGTTTTTGCCGACGACCATGTGGAGCATCACGAGTATCTTCAATTTCCAGTGTCCGCTGTCAACGTCTATCCTGATTCATAAGAGTTGACGGCATGCTAGTCTCCAGGACAGCTATCGGTCGGTGGTCACGCCCAATCCAGCACTCCGCAGACTCCCGGACCAGGCGGATGTTTATTCAAGTTTCTGCGTGCCGGCTTTACCTTCCTGATGGTTAGGCTACTCTTTAGTTAATCTACGCGTACACACGGAGTGCCCCTGACCGTAGCAGTAGTACGGTAGTACTCCGGGCCTTGGTCCTTGGCAGGAATACATACTAATATAACATCTTGCAAGCTCGGATCGACTCACGTTCAAGCTAGTACGGAATCTAAGGATGCTCCCGTAGCAATCCTGGTCCGATATAACACAATTAAGTGCGGGATATATGGCTTATGGATCCAATTTTTACATCTCCTCTCAGCCGTCTTTTCATTCCGGGGACCTGCACCCACGCATCACCTCGTACCTGGGCAAATAAACTATATGATCATGCGTGAATATCTGTCGATAAGAGTCGGAGCACCTCTTCCCGAACAGGCAGTGACTCCTGTCAGAAGCGAATAGTCCAGCCACCAGCCGGGCCTAATGGCTGTTGGCGTAATAATCACTTGCTTTCTAGTTTCTGTCCTGACAGGGGCTTCATGCATGCATGCAGATGGTGGCATTGGCTATGGTTTCGAGTCTAAATGATGCACATCCCTGTGTGCAACCTAATCCGTGATTTACTTATATAATATACTTATATAGTCAGTTAGTTATATATATTAAAGAAGACCCCGGTGTCTGATCACTGGTCGCTGTCTATTCTTAGGGTTGTCAACCGCCGTGTCTCTACCAACACCACCACAACACCATACTCTCTATACGACATACTCTCCAACATGGCCGAATTAAGCCTCATCCTCCTGCCCGTTCCCGCTGAAATATCCATGTCTGAGAAGGCTGCGAGAAGCCTTCCCAAGCAGCAACAATATCCGTACCAGTATCAGCCGTACCAGCCATATCAACCGAAACAGTTACAGCAACCACAAAGCCCTAACATGCCGTCGCCTCCAGCAACCGTCCAGTCATCCGATTCACCTGCACCATTACCTTCGCCTTCACCTTCGCCTTTACCTTCACTTTCACTTTCAAATCCGACTTCAGCCCCAGCATCAGTTTCACCCTCGTCCTCGCCCGCACCTGCGCCCCCCTCCATGCAATCAACCCTATTCGACGAACTGGCCTCCTACCAGCGCATCTGGGATGCAATCCACCAGCGCACCGTGAAGCAACTCCAGTGGATCCAAGGTCAGTCAAACCAGCCTCTCCCTTCTCTGAAAACAAGCCGGAATTCGACTAACTTGGTATTCATTTCATAGACGCCGAGGATGGAATATATACTTCTTCACAGCTCAAGAGCATGCTGTGTGCCTCCTTTGATGCGAGGATTGTCCCTCAGTGAAGCGACCGTTCGATATTCCAAAAATTGAGCACACACTATAAAGTGCCGGACAGACAGAAAGGGACAACCCATTGGCGTTGCTCAGAGAGCACCGCGACTCGCTGCGTCCTAGGGACATCCCGTGCCATGCTACGAGAAACGAGATGACTAGACTCCCTGGTTCAATATAAAAGACCATTCAGAGCTACAGCGATACTGGGGTGGGGGGAGGAAGGCCGACGGAGCAAGTCTGGTCATATCGATTCCCACTATGCAGGCAGCAGATTGATAGACAGCTGCTATAGTCGACATACACGCTGAACTACGAGACCACGATTTACGAAACCAAAGAGGCAGAACTCCACGAAGACAAGACTGTCTATGTCCGTCTGTTTACAAATGTACATTTCTACCGTTGACGGGGGAGAAAGACGAGGAATGTACTTTGATGAATGCCAAATTCCCAAATTTCCATAAACGTTGCTAGTAGACATACATATTCTGGCTAATACAAATCGCTGCATGTACATAGTCCTAAACAATAGAATGAAAGATATCAGTCACTATCGGAATCCGAACTCTCACTGCTGCTTGAAATCTCCACAATCATAGTCCGGTTCTTCCTCTTCTTCCTTGCCGGGGCTTTCTGCTTATTATTCTTACTGCTACTTGCAGGAGTTGTAGTCGTAGATGTATCAACTTCCGTTTCTGTGTCCGGTTTGCTTGTCGAAGAGCTAGTATGTGTAGACTTGCTTATCTTTCCAGACACAGTCCACAAGACCATCTCAGCGCGTTTCCGATTTTCGAATCTTGTGAAAATGTTTGCCACATCCTCAGCTCTACCATCGTCTTCATCAGACGCAGCCAGCGAAACACCTTCATCGAGGTCTTTGACACCTGCATTCAAATTCCCCTTGAACCGGTGCACTGCATCGCCATACCTCTCCTTCCAAGACTCCGGCACTGGTCCAACAGACACTCTCGTGGCATCATCTTCGGCCTCCCCTTTTCTCTCCTCAGTATTGTTGTTCTCTTTCGGAGAAACCCCTTCATCGACTTTGATTACTTCCTGCGCAGCCTTGCGAAGCCTAGTTCTGGCCCCCTCACTCTTCAATCCTTTCAGGTACGCCAGTAGTGCCAGGTTGTATTCGGCGGGTACCTGTTCGAGGGAAAACACGTTTTTGAGGAGCTGTGTTTCGCGGATTTTCTGGAATTTCCAGGCTGTGCGGTCATTGTGGTATTGGGAGAGGTAGGCGAGGATTAAGTTTCCAGATGATGTGTCTGTCGCAGGTTTTGAGGTTGAGGTTGAGGTTGAAGATGTGCTGGTGGAAGGATCGCTTTTGTGTCGTTGTTCGCGTTTCGCGCGCTTTTCTTGCTTTCTTTTCTTGCGCAGGTGTTCTTCGTCGATTGCCGCATCGTTTGGATTGAGTTGTGTGTCGTCCTTTGCATCGACATTGTCATTGTCATTGTCATCGGCAAAAGACACAGACTTCCTCTTGTTCTTGCGCACTTTTTCAGTCTCGGTTTTCTCTTCCTTTTCCTCGTCTCGCGGTCGCTTTTTCGACTTGCTCTCTTTTTCTCCTTCCACTGTATTTGACTCGTCATGCTCAGTTCCCTGCTTGGATGTTTTCCTGCTCTTTTTTTCCTTTTTCTCGTCTTTCCGTTTCGTTTTGACTTTTACCTCGTCCGTGAGCTTGTCCTCGCCAGCGCTGGGCTCTGTTTTGCTAAGCGACATGACTGTGGCAGACTTGCTCAAAAGCAAGATTGCACAGCCCTGCAATAAGAATATAAATATAAATGCTCTCTCGTGGTTGTTGAACTGCAATGAAGCAAAGACTCCTGGAGTCTGGAGAGATAATTTTTCTTTAAGCTTTTAGCTTTTCAATTCTATCCCCACCGCGGCCGTTATCAGTATCTGATACGACTCGCACTAGCCAATTTGGGCCAATTTACTTCAAGTACAACGACAAGATATAATAGTTTCTGATATTCTAGATCATGACACAGCAAGGGTATACACATGTCTTCCTGAAATGTTAACGCAACAATGAGACCAGGCGCTATGCAACAAAGAAACAAACAGGTCTGCTTAAAAAGCCACAAGATACAAAGAGTCCACTCAATTATTGGCGATTTGCGGTGAATTAATTGCCCGTAGCAGCACCGCTACTAGACGGTACAGCATTCCTACGACTTCTTCGATCTTTATTGTCTTTCTCTTTATCTCGAGTCGACGAGGACCCAGCGGAAGTTGTTGCCCGTCGTCTGCGCACGGGCTCATACACATCATTGAAATTCATGACCACGCCCAAGAACCGCATGTCGACATCCGGTTGGTACGCCAAATCGCCCAGTAGAATGTTGAGGCGAGCACGGAAATCCACGGCTAGATCTCGCAGACGAGTTTGAAGGGAGGAAAGCATGTGATCGTCCGCGGAGAGATCTGGGTTTTGGCTCTGGCCAGTGAGGAAAGGCGATGAGGTCTTCAGGTCTCGCTCTGTTACTCCCCATTGACCATGAGCTGTGCGAGTCTCGATTTTGGCGTTTAATTCTTGGCGACGTGTGAATTCGGCCACGGAAAAGGAATACAATCCGTCCACGGCGTCTTTGTAGTTAAGCATAATCTTGAGGATCTGGTGTAGCTGGCTAAGGAAACTCTCCTCCGGCTGTTTAGACGACGATGATGTTGCTGCTGTTGAAGTTCGTGACGTACTGGACGAACCTAAAAGACCCTTGTGTGTGATAGAATTGAGGTACTTCGTATGTGCCTCTATTAGATCGTCCAATGTACATCCAGGCTTGGAGATGGCTGCTTGTAGCTGGTCCCAGCTAGCTTCAATCACCTCGAACAAGATGTAGTACTGCAGTTGACACACAAAATGAATCATCTCGGCAATCACGCATCTCGCCCGTTTCCAGTCAGACCCAACTTTGTCTTCCACGCTGCCGAGAACTCCTCGAGCTCCCGTTATGCATCTTCGCCAGGTACTTTCCAAAGCAAATTCGACCCGCTTCACTCGCCACAAGAAATTAAACACTTTGAGGTACTGCGTTGACCCCCATGGAGTAATGACCACGTCCACGGGAGCATCGATCTTATATTCAAGCGTGAAACAGTCCCAGCCAATCTCTCCATGGCTGAGCTCCAACATGCGTGCATCTAGACGACGCAGAACATCTGGAGAGTCAAATTGCGCATTTGATGACCGAATCGCGTGTTCCAATTGTGCTGTAAGGGTATGTCGATATTGTGAGTTCGCAGGCCGGTCAAGGTTCGAAGCAAGAGATTCCATAAGTAGCGCAATAAAATCTCCTTGCCCAAGTAATAGGTATTTCTTCAGAGCTCGAAGGTGTTCAAAAAGCTTGAATTTGGTGTCCATTAAATGAATGAGCCGGGCCATCGTAGTTTTGTAAGCTTCATCGATGGAGATCTCCAATCTGGCAGTGTCGCCGTAACGAAGTTCTTTGGAGGCCTCCTTTGAATATGCCTCCACCCAAGCAGAATCTCCACATCCATATCGTATGAAGTTGAGAGACTTGCCAATGAGGAAGACCTTCTTGGCAAAGTCTTGAGTTATGAACGAAGGAATCATTTCGTCGTCTAGTTTATATTTGTCTTCCCATACACTCGAGGCAATCCGTCGAGGATCCGCGCTAGGACGAAATTCCGTCTCAAAGACAAAGAACTCCTTATAGGGATCAGAAAGTTCGCCGTCGTAGATCCATTGCCGCAGCATATCGTAAAAGGGGCGCGTTATGTGTGACAATAATTTCTCTGCGAAGTTGCCGACAAAGGGGTCGCCGTGTGACGACGAGTAGCCATGTATTAAAGATATGAGCTGGCCGCCCCTTTTATCTGATAAAATCGTCAGTATATGCTTTTACCAATTGAGGAGAGGAATAAGCTTACCCCTAGCTTCTTCCACCATGATACTCATCAGCCGCAATGCCATTGTAGCATCTCTAGTCCATACTACACATCGCTTAAGCGTCACGGCGCCCTTGACTACGCCCTTAGGATCATCACTAGCCGCGGCCGTCAAGGCTCGTCGAATCTCTCCTTCCAAGGTCGCAACCAGGCCCAAATAAGAGCGCAGCTCAGTGGAGATAGCAGCTCTCAGAGCCTGACTCACAAGCCCACCGTCAGAACTGTCGACAAATCCGGATAGCTCTTTGTATAGTAGACATGGCTCGGCCAAGGTGTGCAACAGTGATATCATCGGGATGGGTAAGTCGGTAGGCAATTTCAGGATTGTAGACGAGGAAAATTCCATATTTGTCGATGACAGACCTTGAAGAATGTAGGGCAAGTCACGTAGCAGAGATGATTCTGTCTTCCCGGCCTGGGGAAGGGTGGCTTGTTGCTGCAGGGGTATAGTCTCTTTAGAGGCAGCTCTGCTATCTCGAGCTTCTTCTGTAATCACTGGCTGACTTCGTCGCTGCTTATCGCCTGCGATGGTTCGCACTGAACGCCGTCGCTCCGGCGCTCCCCCGCGTTGTGACACAGACGAGCTTATAGCAGGACCTTCATCGACATCCTCAGCTAAGGCTCCTCTCCTAGACTTAAACAACAGATTGTCCAAATTGCCATCGTCCATTAATGGGCTTCGACTGCGCCCTCGGTCATATGTCACCGCATCTTCCCCATCGGCATTATCGTCACCACCACCACCACCAGGACCATCCCGTTCCGACAATCGATATAGTAGATATAGAATAGCCCATTTCTGACCAAGCACAGGCTGCGTTAGCAGCCGAGAATACAAATTCGAAAACCGAACCGCCTTATCGGGACTAGCATTTTCGCGCAGTAATTTCCGTTTAATTAGATCAGAGGCATTGTTGATATTTTCTGCTGCAAATCCTCCTCCTGCTCCTCCTCCATCTATACTACCATTTTGTTTCTGTTCTTCCTTTTCTGCCGCAACGACATCTAAGATCCTCCATGCACGGTCGAGGCGAGTTTGGAGGCGACGCTCCTCGGCAGCTGCGGCGGCTTCTTCGTTGTCGTCATCCTCGCTGTCGCCAAACGCCGAGCGAGAGATTGATGGTAATAGAGAGTCGACAAGTTGGGATAGAGCATCGTCGACACGGCGTGAGCGCGTTTGTACGCGTCGTGCTGACATTTTTTCTCTCGATTCGTTCTAATGGACGTTATATTGAGAGGAACATCCGGAATAGAGCAACAAACGAAACTTGCTCAACCTCTCATCTCATGTATAGCGCATGTAGTAGTCTTGGCATTGCTGGAATAAATTGTAGATTATCTTCAAGTTCAATCAAACTGGACAAAGAGACGTTTGTTTTATGGCTGTTGTTGTACTTCCTTCCTGTCGCGGTGCGGGACGTGATGTTTTTATGTTTGCACTGTTTGGTTGGGCCGATAACGCGGCGATTCAGATGACTACGACGGTCTTCTAGATAAACTATAGATCATTCAATTGGCATGACAATTCATTCACTGCTAGAACGGTGTAACTGCTCGTTTACTCAGCCCTGATTTCTAGCTAATTGCATAGTCAAGATGACAAAGCAAAGCAAAGCAACGTAACGCAACAGTCTAGGCCAGAAAGTAACGAACTGAGCAACAAGCAAATCGATATCCCAGCATCGCACTCCAGGGCGTGCTAGGGAAAAAAAGAAGACAATAAAAATAAGAATAAAGAATATATCAGACACGAGGAATAACAAACTCCTGGAAAAGGGAGGTAAAAGAAGACACAGTGAGAATCAGATCAAACACCACAAAAATACAGAAAACAACCATAACACCAGGTAAGAAATACCGTTCTGAAGAAAATCGCCACCAGTGAAGGACAAAACGTTAAAAAAGAACACAAGTCGAAAATCCCAGGCGTCCAGTGTCCACTGAATAAAAAAGCAAGTTTTAAGCGCCTCAAGGTAGGAATGATGTACACGCCCATATGCCACCATTCAAGTTTTGACCTGTCCATTTTCGATGCATCATTAGAACTCCGCCCATGCCAATAGCCTTTTATCAAGGCACAAACAACAGACGAGAAGAATATTTCGGCCGCCGTATATCAATTGAAAGCGAGTAAGAGAGGGGAAGACGGGGGAAGAGGTTGAAAGAATAATCAAAGAAACTATTACAAGAAGTTTTATTAAAGAGCAAGGGGTTTGGCGGCGAAAGAAAAACATCACATCTGTTTCAAGTCGTTTATCTATTAGTCCTCGCAGACCTCGGTCGTTTCTATCTGCGAAGGGCTTGAGCGGGGATCGGAGCTCCAGCTTGCATGGCCATGTTGTTTGGAATACCATATGGATGGGCATCAAAGCCAGAGGACATGCCGTTCATGATCAACGGGCCAATGCCCTGTGCTTGAGAGACAGGGCAGTCCTTGTGTGCAAGTAGCAGGGTCTTGAGATTGACAATCTCTTCTCGAAGTTGTGTGACGGTCGCTGTTAATGCATCATTTTCGGTTGTGAAGAGTTCGACTTTAGCTTGGAGGTTTGCGAGCCACTGCTTCTTGCGTTGGCGACATTTGAGAGCAGCGACACTGTAACAAGTGTTTGTTAGTAAGAGCAAAAGAAACACCATGCTGTTCAACTTACCGATTCCTCTCGAGGAAATTTTTCCGCTTCTCTTCGTCGGTCATCTTCTTGGGATCCTTCGACATGTCGTCTCTCATCTCTTCCTCATCCGATTCCTCTTCCGGAGTTGCTTCTATGGGGCCGTTGCTCGTCTTTGCCCTCTTGTTAGAACCTTTGGGAGCCTCTTCGGCTTTGCGACGACCGTTGGCAGCAGTCGGTTTGGCAGGAGTATTCTTCTTGCCTTTGCCCTTGGTGGGTGGCTTTGTCTGCTCGCCTTGGGTGTCGGAACCCTCAGCGGTCAACTCGCCAGCGCCGCTGCTTATTGAGTTGTGGGCATTTCGCGTCACTCGTTTCGCGTCAGATGGCTTATTAGCGGCGTTGGTCGCGGCGAACGCGTCGTTATTGGTTTGGCCACCTTTTGCGAGCATGAAAAGGCCATTGGCCGCATCGGCAGCATCGTGATGGGTGAATGTGTCAACGGCTGTGGGTTGTGATGTCTTCTTGCTATCCATATTCGAGAGCGGCTCGGGCTCACTGGTCGGATTGGACGTGGGTACATTGAAGCCGTTGCGTTTGGCTGCGTTGAGGGCGGTACGGTGGAACTCGAGAGTCGACGGAGTCGCACCACCGCTTTGAAGTTGTGTTAAGATGGCTTGGGAGTTGGGACTTGGAGCGGGAAACATGGACCCTCCACCGCCGGGGGTCAGGCCAGTTCTTAAGGACGACTCGTTGGGGGTTGGAAAGCCGCGACCGATGCTGTCAAAGTAATCGGCGCCAGTGGGGCCAGCCAGCATGGCAGGGCTCAGCGGTCCTGAGCGCAGTGAATTAGGCCAGTTATAACCAGCGGAACTGACTCCGGGTAATGCAGGAGACGCGATAGAGGCAACTGGGGGAAGTAAGGACTTCCCCGGAGTTTCGCCTGATGTGTTGCTGAAGGACTGTTCGAAAGGGTTTGGTTCGAGAGAAAACGGGTTCTGCAAGTTGAAATAATCTGGGGTCTCGCCGGTGCCTGAGGCGGCAGGACGAGGCGGCGGCGCAAGCGATTGCGAGCCTTCAGCAGGCTTCTGGTCTTTTGTGATACTGTCTGCTGTTGGAGAATCTGCGATGACACGACGGGCCAGTTAACACTCACTCGATGACATCAAGGACAGTAGACAAGCGCTAGATCTGGGGAATGGAAAGCGAAGAGAAGAGCAGAAGAATAGAGCGCGAAGTAATGGAAGATTCGAAATAAGAGCCGCGAATCGCGGTCGAGGTCGATTGTGTTTTGCGACGGATGCTTCGATAAGGGTAATTGTGAGGTCATGGCGCGCATTCATTGGTTGCGGCCCACCAAGGCTCAAAGGGGAGGAACAGCGAAAATTGGGAAAATCAAAAAGAAAAATAGTCACGAACCTTCAGGCTTCATAATGTTCTTGGTATCTATGGGGGACGATGCTCTGCCCAAGGGGGCCCTTTGAGCCACAGCAGCAGACATAATAACGATAGAAGACGAGAGGAAAGATGAGGGCGATAGACGACGCGGTGCGACCACGTCGAGGGAGCAGGGCACGAGTTGTTTAAAAATCGGAGTAAAGCACTAGAAAGGGAGATCTGTTTTTAAGGGAAAATAAAAAAAATACAAAATAAGAAAGAATAAAAAAAAAAATAAGCGAATAGGGATACAGAAGTCAAGGCCGTTCAAGTCACAAGCGCGGCATCAATCGATGGCTGGCAATGAAGCTGGAGGACGACGGTGGTGGTGGTGGTGCTGCTGCTGCTGACACTGATGATGCAAGAGCGGATTGCGAAGACTTGGGAAGGAGAGAGGGAGAAAGAGAAAGTGACGTAGCCGGGCTGGAAGGGTTCTTATTTCTCATTGTGCAGCCGGGGCTAGCGAGGACGCCTGGAAATTGCATTACAAAACAGGAAATGGCACGTTACTCGCCCGCCTACCAAAGGCTCCGACGTCCCACTAGTCTCAGTGGCGATAGAGTACATACTATGTAGCAGCAATATTGTAGGGACAGGAAAAAAAAAGGCGGCCACTCGTCGCTTACGGAGCACTGTGCTATAAGACGGAGACAGACAGACGCAGGAATGCCGCAGAGACCAATCCGGCGACGGGAAATAGGGCTAGTCCAGACTAGCCCTGCTCACACAACTGGCTCGTCGTAAGCCTGGCTCATCAGACAACCAAGTCCATGGAACGGGCGAAAAAAATCGGCGAGCTTTTTCTTTCTTCTTGCGCGATTCCATATTATGGATATGAGGGACCACGTGTATCTGACAATCCCAAAATGACCGTATATCTTGTTGAGCAGACGGACTTGGATACAGACGGGACAGAATCGCAAGAGCGAAAAATGAGATCACGGTGACGACGGCAGGAATTGCAACCCACCGGCCCAAAACAGCCTAGCCCGAGGCTCTCAGTGGGCCAGACTTCGACTCCAGTTGTCGAATACGCACTCTCACTGGCCAGCGTGCTGATGACGCAATGCACACAACCCGTCCCCACTGCGCGTGGCCTGATTGGCTGTGCCTATCGCGACTTGACAATGAGGACGCTGTGATTGGCTCTGCTTGGCGGTGAGCTCCCCCCTAACCTAGGCTAGGCTGGACTGGCCACGTTTCTGTCTTTTCCTCCCGCCACCTGAGGCAACTAACTTGAACTAATGCTAGTACTACCTACTTCGAAGTTCTGCGTATCGATCGAATCCGGGGTGATATGACAGATGTGTGTTGAAACGCCATCGTAGTTTTAAAGCTTATTTTGTCATTCTCGAAGCTCCGATAAAGAAAGACACAATATCATTATGTCTAGATAATTAAGCTTTTCTATTTGTATATGCATGTTAATCGAGATCTATGTTCCCCTGCATCCCACCCACCGCCTGCCAGAACTGCGAAAAGTTAACCCCCTCCGCCTCAAACATTTCTTTGGCTTGTAGCATGGCGCGACGCTGGCGCTCCGGCGTAAACCCACCGGCTTGCGTGCTTTCGTACTGGACCAATTCCACCCAGCGGAAGAAGAGATCTTCCTTCCCCATCGACGCAAGCTTCTCCTGAAATGCAAGCAGTTGGTCTCTCTGTTGTCCTCGCTCCTTGGTCCCCTCGTCCGCGACACGCCAAATGAGCCACCCATCCTCGTCTGTGTTCACGAGAACAGCTGTGCGGAATTCGTCCAATTGCACCCCGCGGCCCTTGCTAGTCAGATCAACCAGCCCATGAGCCCGGACCATAGTTTTGTAATCCAAATCCCAGTTCGCATCGATCAGAAGATATCCGCTTTTCATCACCCGCTGGGGGGCTATGGCAGGAGTAATCACTTCGCCAATCACCTTCTCATCCTCGTAGATCCAGCGATTGCGCTCTAGGTTCGATGACCAGAAAGTCCGGCTCTGTCGTACGACCACCTCTCGCGGGCGAAACCCGACTTTTCGTCGCCAGTATATAGGGCCCAAGATAAACCGGATGGGCCAGCCGGCAAAGAACGTCACCAGAAAATAATCAAAGGCGAACATCAACGTACGTCGGAGGACCATACTGGTGGCCGTTGGCAAAGGGAAAGATGTCAATTGCACTGCTGGTTCTTTCAAGCCTAGCGCTATTGCTATGATTTCTGGGTAAACGTATGATGCATGGTACACGCGGTACGCAATTCCGAGCGCGATTGCGGTGTTGAGAAGAATCGGGAGAAGGAATAGTTGTTTCTTCAAGTCGGGGGTTTCTTTGTCGATGTGTATGAGGTAGACTTCATTGGGGTCCAGTGATTCGAGGAACGACTGTAAGGTAGAAGGCGCCTTGACAAATGGAGTTGGTGGTTTTGCTGCGGATTTCTGTTTGCCCTTTCCTGAACGGTTTGCGGCTTTCGCCATCTCGAATTGTGGTTTGAACTCAGTCGATGGTGATGGTGGTGGATTCTTTCATTCCAGATTTGTGAATGTTAGAATATTCAAAAAATTCTTGATAATCTGGGAATCACTATTGTGCAAAGAAAGATATTGTTGCATGTGCAGGGGTGAGTGAAGTTCTATGCTGAGTGAGCATGCCAAATGATTTAATTCTGCACCTTCCCGCTTTGGGACTGGTCTCTGATCTACAAAACATTATCATATCGCGGATACCTTAGCATTAGACATTATTGTAACATCGATATAACTAACTGCTACTAGCTATACTTATAACTAGTCAAATGACTAGTCATCGATGTGACATGCTTTGCTTAGTGACTGTGACTGGCAATTGATTGCTTTGTTTAGCCATGTCTTCACATTCTGGCTCTCGGCGCTGGGCCTACCAGCAACACCCACAACAGGACCTTCCTTCCTCACGCCCTGTCCATGCTGCACACCTCAACCTCGATCGCGCGTACTCGTTTGAAAGAGAACCTACTCGACGATCCAACACAGCCCTGAAGAATGGCACGCGGCCTCGAAGCAGTCCTCGCTTGCCTAGAACATTGAAAGACGCGTTCGATGCGACATCGCGAACAGCCGCCATGGACCCAAACGAACACACCGCAATGCCTGATCGCACGCCCAGTCCAAGCAGCAGACGACGGCAGCGAAATTTGACGCTGCCTTTCCCTTTAGCAGCAGTCACCAGTCCTCCCCCGGGCGAACTCCTAGAGACCTACCAGCGCATCAACGACGCAGACGACTTGGCGGATCTGGTATCGGAGGACGATCTGGACATCGACCCCCCAGAAATGCTATCGCGACGAAGCTCCAAAGAGCGTAAGCGGCGTCGAGAGTCCCCTGGATCGCTGAATCTTCGTTACACACAGGGGGAAGAGAGGGACGATAACTTGGGGCCGGTTTTCAGCTATCTGGACGACGTTACAGATGACCATGCGCGAGGGAAGTTGTCAACATATAAACGCGATGAAGAGCGTTTGAACCGCGTCACTGCGAGCCAATCGCCCGTCTTCAGCAAGGCCAAGGTTGGCTCAATGGCAGACAGTCTCCAAAGACGCGACTCTGACCCGCCAACAACAGAAGAAGCCCGGGATTTCCTTGGGGAAGATGGCCTTCGTCTTGGGCTGAATGTGCCTAAAAATTGGGGGAATAAGGCAAAAAACCATCGACAATGGTTGAGCTCTTTTTCGCGACCAGAAGCAGAAACCCTTCGTGGTGAAACGCCTGGGGCCCTCACTGAACGAGCAAGAAAAACTAGAGTTGAATCTAGGAGCCGTTCTCCTCGGCCTAGCAATGCCTCTCCTTCGCGGAAAAGCGATGAATTCAGAGAAGGGCGTGAACAAATATCGGAAAGATCTCGCCTGGGAGCTCCTCCTTCTGACGGGCTTCACAATCATTCTCGGGCTAGATCACGGTCGTTAGGGAGGGCTGGCCTAACCGGCGACGCCATTCCAAATACACCCGTCACCATCTACAAATCGACTTCCAGAGATCGGACACAAAAGACGCGAAGTGATTCTCGAGACCTTCTCCGCAAATTGGCCCGCACCGAAAGCCCTAATCAACATAGCACCCCAGAACAAAAGAAGCCGATAGAAACACCGCTTCCGGAGAAAACGCCTGTAGTAATAGGCGCCTGGATCGACACGCCGATGACCGTGCGAAACCCGGACACAAACGGGGAGGACGAGACCAAAGAAATCGATTCTCCAAGCAAGTCGGCTCCCAAGTCTACGGTAATACCAATACTACGTCCATCGGGCTCTGGCGAAGAGTCTGAACGCAAATCGACCGATGTAGCCAGGTCGGGGGCTCACGCTGGGAAGGCTTCTGCTAAATCTAATATCCCACCCGAAAAGGCCCTGAATGATGACAGCATGGAGAAGAAACCACCACAACCAGGACTCATCAAGCCCAAGATACCAAAGAGTGCACTCGAGGGTATTCTTGAGGATGCAAAATCAAACGCCGATCCTTTGAACTTGGATTTAGGCGATGATACGATCAACTCCCTACAAGGAATCATCAACAATGCGGACTCAGGCTCGTCGAGATTTATGAAGATGAAAGAAGAATCTCTCGGAAGAGAACTTGACGCAATTGAGTCTGATTTAGATCAGCAACCAATTGACGATAAACCGCAGCAGTCACTGGACCACATGGGGTCGAAGTTACAGTCAATTATCTACAGTATCCGCGATGCTCGTACGGGTCTCAATGATCTACACGAGGCCCTCACATCGGACAACAGCAATGAAGCAATACACATCAAACGTTGCGAAACATGTGGCACTCCTCAACGTGATGGACGCATTTATGTCGCCATTCCCATCCCTCGACTCTGGCGACGAGACCACGTCTCTCGCCACTTGCGTCTAACATATCTCGGTTGGTTGGTTGTCATTTTCGCTTGCTGGTACATCTCTGAAAGCACCATGTGCGACTACTACTGCCACCCAGCAATCGCCGAAGTCTGCGACGGCTATTGCCTGCAACCAGATGCTCCTCAATTCCCCTTTACACTCCCCACGATGCTCTGGCGCTGGTCACATCTTTCCAGCGTCTTCTCTCCAATAATCACCATCTTCATCGCTTTTTTCCGCCTCATTGCGCAAATCCTGGGCGTATGGGACGGATATGTCGACGATAATTATCTTTCAGACTTTCGATCTTCTCCTTCGTCAGCTTCATCTTTCAATCATGTTCCCGTTGACAATCCCCAACTTGAAAGTAGGAATGGCCTATTTGGTCTGTGGCCTGCCGGCTTCGAAAAGGCCTCGACGTTCACCTCTACCACTGCAGCTGCAGCTACCTCCACCAGTATTCCGACTATTTTGCAAAAGGTCATTACGGATCCTCGAGATGCCGTTGTTGATGATAGCATGGATGGCGATGAGATATTGTAGTCTTTTTCCTCCACTTAGCTAACAAAATCGGAGTTTGTGGCTTGTTGGCGATGGCCTTGTTTAGACGGATATGCCAGGAAGGGATCGGCGTTATGATCATGGCGACTATATGGAATGCAAAGGTAGCTAGGGGTTTTCATCATTCAAAGCAGTTAGACGAGACTCTTAAGTAGCAAGAGATCTTATTTTAGTTCATCAATTCAATCCAATCCAATTCAACCAACCAGTTACCTGACTAACTTATAAGGATATCATATCTTTGATACATAACGAGAGCATAACAGACCGGGGCTCTCTGGGCCCCAAACAGCCGGAAGTTTCTGGTAGTAATACATGATTTTCTCCCTCTCTTTCTTCCCAATCCAGACTCTGGAGGGAGCGAGGGAGAGACACTGTACACGCAAAAAAAAAAAAAGATGGGAAAAGATATGCAAGATATTTCAAGACGGGTTAGAAATTACCTGAGACCAAGACAAAAAAAAGAGTCAGCCTTTATCAAAAAATTGATCCTCGAGAGGGGGCAAAGAAGTAACTGACCACCGTATGATTGCGACCCTAGACCAGCAGGATGATGAGATGAAGTAGAAGAAGGGAAAGAGGTAGGAATGTCTATCCTACGAATCAAATCCACCAATTTTTCCGCCGAGAATCGTCCTGCGTTGTAGGCGGATGCTGGTGGGATGATGCTCAAGAGATGAACGACGTCTCGCGGTAAGGGAGCTGCTGAGGGTTGGGGACGGTATTGTCCAGCGTTGGCTTGCGTGAGAGAAGGTGAAGAGGTAGAAGGGGTGGCCATAGTGGCGGTGTTGGGTCGTTTCAATGCTTCTGGTCGACGTGCTGACAGACCCTTTAACAAAGGTGATTCGGCACGGGCAAACTTTCGAGGTCGATTGCTGTCGTCTTCAAAGTCGTCTGATGGGAAGGACCGCTTGGGTGAATCCATGGATGAAGGGACGTCGAGGTACCGTGTAGGTGTTCCTTGTTGGTACTGGTCCATTATGTAAGATGATGCCGGGCGAGGACGGGTTTGGGAAGCCGAAATGACTGGACGAGCTGCAATTGGGTCAAAAGTGGTGGTTGAATGGCGATGCGCAAACTGAGAGAGTGTAGGGTCGTCGGGGAAAAGCTCGCGCATCCGATTTTCAAGATTGATGACCTGGACTAGGTCGCCATATCGAGACTCGTAGTCATGGAGGAATGAGAAGATAGGTTTGGTTTTGGCCACGTTTTCTGGTTTGCTAGACAGTCTTCTGACGGTCATTTCGAAAACGGCTCGAGCATCTATAAAAATCATTCGTCAGCAAATTATTTCGTGTCCAACATGGAAAAAGGATGGATGAAGCACTCACTGGTAACGTCGTTAATGTCAAAAAGATGCTTCAAGTATTCAAGCGCAAAGTTCTCATCATCGGGGAACAGTCTTGCCCCCCGTTCAAAAATCCTCGTTGCAGCCGGATCTTTATAGCAATGATATTCAATCAAAGCACTCGCAATATAAACATCGCTAGTGATACGGCCACGTTTACGGGCCTCAGCAAACACTTGCCTTGAGCCAGCAAGTTCTCCAGGCTTACCCTTGCCCTGAATACGACGCATGGCACGCATCAAAGCAATCCAGGCGAATGAAATCATCTTGGACGTCATGGTAATCTGTGGCGCATGGGCTTTTTTAATGGCATCGATTTGACCCTCTCTCGCCGCTTCTTTGGCCTGGGCTTCTGTACGGCCGTCCTCATCCTCGTCGTCAGCAGAAGCAGGTTGATAATCATCGGACTCGTTGGCAAACTGCTCTTTGACCCGGGCAATGTCTTGCTCCTCCCGCTCCCGAGATTTGCTATTAAGCTGGTACAAAGCATCCAAGAGTTTGTCAAAGACCTCTCTCACTTTCGCGCCGCGTTTTTGAGGATCTTGCTCCGATTCCGATTCAATCTCTAATCTATCAGCTCGTTTGAAAGTAAGTAGACAGCTCTCTGGATTTGCCTCAATGCCTTGTTTGAGCAGGTCGTTTCCTTCGGCTTCCATGCCATTCTGGAAACAAAACTCAGCAGCGTCAAACCAGATCTCCGGAACAAATCTTAGCGCCATGAGTGATTGTTTGTAGGAGTACATAACTCGGGTTTTGTATGCTGATAAATCCTCTTCTTTAAGAACCAGAGGGTCGCCCTTTTCCCAAGCAATCCATCGGCGCCATAATTCGACTTGCTGTTGAAACTCGGCGTCTCCATCGAAGCCAGGTGCAGGAGGCATTTTCGGAAGAGTTGTTCGGTCAAGGTCTCTAGTCAGGTTCTGCAATTCCGTATAAGAACTTCTAGCCGTCATATATGCGGGCGACCGCTCTTGAAGAAATTTCCGCCCCTATTTACGTCAATATACAGTGGAATCGGCATGTGATAGGAAGAATTTGTTACCGTAAGCTTGTTCAATCCCATCTCGAATTGATCATAGTCCTTCCAGAGGGTGTTCAGTGCATGAGTGGGCACACAGATGGCCCTTTGATAGGCTTTGCGCAGCAAATCCATCTTTTGCTGGTCTTGCCAATTGGTTCCACCAACAACGCCAGGCCCTGTTTTGATGAATTCAATATAGTCTGTCCATAGCGATGCTGCATCCCTATCCAAGCCGACCTGCGCGAGGGCCAAGTCATACGCAGAGGTGATTGTTCGCCTTGCTTGACCAGACGTGTCTGTAGTCAACGGGTGTCGTCGACGTATGTAATCCAAATATACATTCCACAGCTGCACATTGGGAATACTTAGCAGTGTGCGGTTAAAAATCTGCTCAAGGCGTTGCAGCTCGCTATTCTCTGATTCCATGTTGACATATTGTACCCATTGCTCAGCCTACACAGCCAAAAAGGTTAGTGTTTTGTTCGCTTTCTTCACCCATGACTCATTGAATGAGATCACTTACAGCCGACGGGAAAAGTTTGAAGAATCGCTCGTATACTTCTCGCGCATTGTCAAGTCTGTTTCGACTCCGGTGCTCGGCTATCAATTCAACCCAGGCGTGTATGTCACCACGGGGATCTTCTTTGATTCTATCTTCCAACAAGCCGACGCGATCATGGGGTAGGCGACTTCGAGACGCTGCGGCAATAGCTAAAGGCGTGGGGGTTGGTGCGTTGCTATCAGTACTGTCGCCCGCTTGTTGCATGAGTTCGGAGTACAGATTGTGACCAGTCGAAGGGGGAACGGAAGAAGCAGAATGAAAAGGAACAGCATTATTAGAAACATCTTTGGAACTGGCCATATGATCAGGCACAACGGGTTGTATTGATACACCAGATGTAGAAACAGTTTCATTTGCATTCTGATCAGAGAAAGGACGCTCAGACGCGCTTGCAGAAATATGTCCGCCATGCTCAATAGTTTCCAAAACTCCTGGTGGTTCATACTCTGCCTCTTCCTTATCATCATCCCCTCCCTCTTCCTCATCCTCGTCATCGTCAACAACAAAGCCACCTATGGTCTTGGTCTTCGGCTGTACATGCATAGTAGATGAAGGCTCAAATACAGAGGTTTGCGGATCAGGCCCGGATGGGAGTTGGGAGGTTTGTGCAGGATCATGGATCTTAGAAGAGCCGTCTTCGCCGGGCTGAGGATTAAGCTGGGCAGCGAAGGAGGAAGAAGGATCATTGCTTTCAGCGGCAGTAGTGTCATTTTGATTATGTTCTGCTATAGAAACTGAGTACTCATCATGTAATGTATTCGATGGATCATAGTCTTCTTCTGATTCCGACAGGCCGGCGCCGTCTTGCGCAACCCCGGCGGGATCATACTCGTGGTTCATGGCTTGCGCCTGGAAAAACGCCTGCTCGGCGTCTTCCTCGGCCATAGTCAGAGCAGCGCAGCGCGCACTGGGGAAAGAGAGGGCACGATAACAGTAGTAGTCTAGCGACTGCTTGCTGCGGAAGAAAGTCAGTAATGCTTGACCATGACAGCTTCGATATGATCAATAACAAAGAGTCGCACCAAGGAATGTAATGTGGATTAATGCTCGCAGCTAGTGGGGGGTGGAACGGCACGGATTCCTGGGTATTAAGGGATATTGCTGTAGAAATATGGGAGGAAGAAGTATGGTATCCAGACGACGTAGGTTGGCGAATGCGAATATGAACAGTTTGATGCCGGCAGCTTTTTTTGTCGCCAAAACCACTTAGGAATCTAGGCTCTCACGTGACCCCGGCCGCTAAAAGCGCGAAGACGCAAGGAGCGACGCGTCTTAGATTGATTTTCTATTTAAGAGGCAGACGTCGTCCTATTATTGCCAGCGCTCAACTCACCTTTCGCTTTTCGCATGTTAGCATACGCGCGCTCTTTGACAACCTTATACACACGCCATATCTCAACCCCAGAATATTATCTGTTTCTGCAATCCACATACAACCATGTCCGTCGTGTCGCTTCTTGGCGTCAAGGTGCTAAACAACCCCGCGGCGTTCTCCGATCCATATGAGTTTGAAATCACTTTTGAGTGCTTGGAGCAACTGCAAAAAGGTAAAGCATTTGCGGTGCGAGCGGCCTTTTCTATCTGATTATGTTCGCTGACCTGTTTGCTTGATAGACCTTGAGTGGAAACTTACTTACGTCGGATCCGCCACTTCGTATGTCGCGGCCTTGAGCCTACTGGCAGCTAGTTCGCTAACGGGCTCATTAGATCCGAACATGACCAAGAATTGGATTCCCTACTCGTTGGCCCTATTCCAGTCGGTGTGAACAAGTTTATATTCGAGGCCGATCCACCAGACCTGAAGAGCATTCCCCAGACCGAGATTCTCGGTGTCACGGTGATCCTCCTCACCTGCAGCTATGACGGTCGAGAGTTCGTGCGAGTGGGCTACTATGTGAACAACGAGTACGACTCGGAGGAACTTGCCGCAGATCCCCCATCCAAGCCTATTATTGAGCGCGTGCGTCGCAATGTGCTGGCTGAAAAGCCTCGTGTGACTCGATTCGCCATCAAATGGTATGTTTTACTTTCACAGTACGGACATTAAATATGAAATCTGATTTGGAAATAATACTTTAGGGACTCTGAAGAATCTGCACCAGCTGAATACCCGCCTGAGCAACCAGAAGCCGATCAATTGGAAGACGACGGGGCCACATACGGTGCCGAAGAAGTCGAATTAGAAAACGCCCTCCGCAAGGAACTCGAGGACGCTGAACGCCAAGGCGACGGTGAAGACCATGAAATGGAAGGTGCTGAACCTACTGGCGCTGTCCCAGATGACGACGCTTCAGACGCCGGTAGCGAGGATCTGGAAGCCGAGAGCAGCGGCAGTGAAGAGGAGGATTTAGATGAAGAGGAAGCCGGTGATGGCGATGATGATGTTGAGATGGCCGATGATACCAATACTGGTGCAGCCCGGCCGCCTCATCGCCAACCCGAGGTGATGGTTCATTAATCCGATGATCGTCTCATATCCTATTTCTATCAATATTTGGATCACGTACACACAAACATAAATACCGTGGAGTTGGGGTTCTACAAGTTGCTCTTATTTCGCGTGATGAACTTTCATTTTGTTTCGTTCGATTTTTTTCCTGCCTGTCTGTAATGATTGCATGCCTCGATATATCTGATAACGACATTTTACCCCTTTGATTATACAATGCAAGCTCCTTTCCCTCTCACATTGCTATAGCTACTTCTCCGTGAACAAACAAACAAATATAGTTATAAAATATCTCCTCCCATCCCATACTTTGATACCCACACATCCCTTGCTTCACTGGAGTCAATACATATTTATTTCTCATTAGTCTTTCGTTGCTAGGTAGATAGATAGGTTGAATTGGCAATGGGTCTTTGGTTTTTGCTCTGGTATGTTCTTTTTTTTCTTTTAATAAAAAAAATTTTCGACGATGATTTGCGCGGCGCTCTGTAGGTTTGTATATCAGGCGATCCATTCTCTCGAATCCATCAATTCTTCTCAGTTGGGTTGTATGAGGTACATACATACATACCTCGGCACCCGTGCTCAAATTGACAACACATATACGTAACTACGTAAGTGTGCGTGTGGATCTGTGTCAGTCAATATTGGACAGAATAAAGAAACGAAAGTTTGTCTGAAACATTTTGTTAAGTGACATAGAGAGAACGCACTGAAGGGCTATCTCTCGATTTTCATTCCTAAGATATCATCATATCAAATATTGATACCATCCAAAATTTTCATTGCAACTTCATATACGTATGCTTCCCTAACATTTTGACAATGTTTAAGTGTTAGGCAAGTCCTGAAAACAAGAAGGCTTGGTATACCCGTAAAAATACATCATTGAGAGAGAGAGAGAGAACTCCCATACTAAAAAGCTCGAAGCTGCAAGTCCTCCCTGTTTTCTCGAGGGTATAACCGGCCAGACTACAACCCGAATTTCGAGCCCAATACTGTGAATAATAACACAGATATTAGTCAAGTAGTAGAGGAAAACTGATTGGGGAGATACATACCACCGAAAACTGCCTTTCGTTTCTGAGTTGAAACGAAATTGCTGACATCATCTGCCCAGTTGCTACTGCTTTCTTCTAATCTATCCATGGTGTCACCCATAATATTTATTCGTTCGGTTCTTTCTTGGACTTGACGCTGCATGTAAGCCCAATAACCTTCGTTGTTGTCTGCAGATGATGGTGGGACATTGCGCCCTTCTCTTGCTGCTTGGCGCCGTTCGCGTTCCTCGAGCTTCATCTGCTCTATCATTCGTTTAGATGGCGGACGATCCGGTCCACCGACTGGAAGAAAAATGTCAGACTATAAACTGTAACGACGACGGCTGGCTACAGTGCACAGCCTCGGCAAAGTAACGCAGGTGCGAGTACTCACTTAGTAAGTCCATGTCTGCAGGTGAGACATATTGGGTCCCGGAAATCCACTGGAAGTTCGATATCGTAGGCCTTGTAGGAATTACAGCATCTGCATTAAAAAGCTTATCCTCAGAAAGTGGACTAAGAACGACGTTAGCTTTTGGTAGTCTTCGAGAAGAAAAAGAAAGTAGACACACAGAGAAGTACCAGAGCCCCAGACGTTGATGATGGCAACCTCTGATGGCCCAGTCCAGCCAATGACGTCCCCGGAAGGAGTAATAACGGCTTCTGAAAGCCGCCGCACATCCAGAATGTGTCCAACAGCTGTGCATCCGATCTCTTTCAAAGCCGGAATAGAGTAAGCGCGAGCGTTCCCATCTCCGAATAGACCAACAAGGCTATAGCCCCGACCTTCTGTCTTCACGAAACCTGCGGAATCACAAAGGTAATCACCCCAGGTTTTAGAAGCTCCTTTGTTAGTTGCCGGCTTGAAAATCCTGCAGTCAGAGAAAGTAACGACCACAACCACCCCATTGACCTTTGCCCCGTGCCGAAGGCCTGCAACAGCACTCTGGGTGGCTAATGCGGGTTCACCAGAATCAGCGTTGATCGGATAGATTCCAATGACCCTATCTTCGAGAGAAACAGAACCAGCAAATACGACCGAATATGTACCATTGCTGGATGGCAATATCTTGAATGTAGCAAAGTTGCCCCGATTTGTCCCTACAAAACAGCAAATACTTGAATAATCTAAATGTCACATTAGTATAGATACTAAATTTACATCCAACTTTTCTGAAACTTGTTTGGCTTACCTTCGCCATCTAACGTCAAAACGCCGAATTCAATGCTTGTCGGCCATTCTAAAGGCGCACTGTCCCCGGTACGGCTCCTGCGAATACTACCGCGCTTGTTATTCGCTTTGATAAAGTCGCGGACATCAGCTTCGTAAATAATTGCAGGACCCCGAAGATCTATGAATACAAGGTGACCTTCTTCGAAGCCAGCACACACAAACCCAACATCACTATGCTTGATAGCAGACACAGGTCCCTTTTGCATCTCCAAGAGACTCACAGGCAGCAATCCATCCCTCAAATTTGGATCGGTTCGGTGACCAATGTTTGTGATTTGCCCTGGGCCCGCATTCGCACCTGGTGCCTGCTCACTTCCTGCATTCTGGTTTTTTCCCCAACGGAAAATGACAACTTCCCCACTGCGAAGGCCTGCTGATAGTTCACCGGATGCGCCAGAAAATGACAGTTGAGATACCTGGGTATTGATGTTGCGTGCAATAGCGCGGGTTAGGTCGACCTGGATAACATCTCCATTTTCGATCTCATCATCGTGTCCCGCATCCCATAGTCGTATAATTCCATCTGCATGCGCAGTGACCGCGATACTACGGTCTTCGAATCGTTTCATGGGCTTCTTGCCCTCAGCCCCACCTAGGAGGAATTTTGGGCCCTGAGCTCGCTTCTCTTTCAAGCCAAGCCAGTTATTTCGGCTAACTGGGGTCAAGATAGCCTTGGTGACAAATGGGTGTACAAACGACAGTGAAAGGTGAAGCATATTGCTCGGAGAGATTGCATGTCCATTAGGAAAGCTGAGAGTAACCAGCTCACCTGTGGAAAGCAAGGCAATGACTGCAATTGGGTCTTGGGCGCCGGCAAAGAAGGGGGAAGAGCGAGGTATCAGACAAAAGTCAGCAACATCTGCGCCCGGTGGAGTAGGCAGGGTGTGACGCCCTTTGGGATTTTCAAGGTAAGAAGAGAGGATTTGCCATGAAGACGTTTGATAGTTTGGAGTTGGGCCCAAGTCCAAGAACGTTAATCCTTTGTTCCTGTCGCCGGACGGGCTACCGCCTGCAATCAATAACCCCGTATTATCTGGATTCCCCTTGGCGCACCACGCAATTTGAAATATTGGGTCTTTCACGGAGAATGTCCCAGGAGCAGACCCTGGTTTTCCCGCTCGAGATCCAGGCTGAGTGATGTTGGCATCATCAATGGTCCGCGCCATAACCATGCGACCATCTTTCGCATCCCAGAAAACCAAACTTGTATCCTCATGTACCGTGAGTACAAAGGTATTTGTGGGATGCCATATGGCTTTGGTTAACTTCGGTTTCCGCACATCACGAGAAAGGGTTGGATCTGAGTCTCCTCCGGGAGCGCCCGGAGGCACCTCGTATTCAAAGAAGTTCTGGGGTATATTTTGTTTGATGGAAAAAGTAACAGCGCCTTCTGGGTAGCCAATCAACAATTTCCCGATATCCCTTGGTGCAAAAGCTAAAGATACCACAGGCGCCATCCTCACGCGGGGGTTTCGTTCATGCCACAAGTTAGGTAATCTGAATGGGGTGAGGCCTTGCCGGTCGATATCGTAGGCAATAATCTCTCCTGCACAAGTGTGATAAATAGGTAAGCCACGCCGTGTAAAACTCTACCGAGCGTAACGGAGATATACCATTTTGAAGACCCAGAATCACATATTCTATGCTAGGATCAGTCGCTACCGCGGTCACATGGCTTGGAGGCGCAAATGAGCCCAGGGACGTTTTCGTTTCCAGCGAAAACACCGATAATTCGTTCTTTGAATCCACACTGACAAGCTTGTCAGCACAGAGATGTAAATGCTTGGCCGATGCCTTGCGCGGTAGATTGAAGACAACGGAAACCCGCCGTTGGCCGAAGACATAGATTTGGCCGCTTCCAAACTGCGTGTCGCTAGTGCCGACAGCGATCAAGGACTGCACGGGATCGTAGGCTATAGCGGAGATTCGGGAGTTGATACCATATCGTTTATACTAGTGACCAGGGTTAGCCATGCACATTGGAAGAAGGGAACATAGAGTATATACGAAAGTACCGCACCTCGTCAAGGGCAAAGAGCGTAGGCGACAGGCCTTCGGAAAGATCCTTTTGGATGCCCGCCTGCTTGCCGCGTAGGAAATGAGTCATCACGGACCGAGTTGGTAGGCACCACTGGGATCAAGGCAGACAGAGGAAGACAAAATCCCATGCAGGAAGTCAAGCGATGGTCGATAACTTGATAATTTTCGATCAACAGCAAGAGCGGGGGTGACGTAGGCTGATGGGCCGATGGGCAGCCGTTAGTGCGTCCCCACCGGACTAGCTGATTCGGGCTTGCAGTAACTATCAATCAAACACTCTCCTTACGGCTTCAATATTTTCTTTCTTTCTTTTCAAATGAGAATTCAACGCTTTCTACGCAGATGCGGATCTTATTTGTACATGCCCATGTTTGTCAACTCTTCATAGCAACGCTGTCATGGCCATACTGTGTAAGACGTTCGTCAGCCTACGCCGCGCATATATCTCAGTCGCATTGTTGCTGTTGCGATAATAGAGCTCAGTGACTTTATAGACATATCTGTAACACGAGTACCTATGGGGCCGTGGTTAGCTCCATGCCTGCTATCTGGAGACACGAACAATCGCGCCACTTACAGCATTGAACGCATAGATTGATACCTCCCGCTCGAGGGAATCGGCCCAAACCCGGCAAGAAAGGCATCCGAGGGAGCCTCAAACATCTCGGCCATCAGGACGTCGCCCCATATAGCGCTTCCAAGGTCCAATATCCCAGATAGTTGTTTCAAGTTGGGATCTAGGAGCACGTCTGATGGACGGCCGAAATTGACAACCACTAACCTGGGGACTGTGATCTCATCAAGAGCCGGACCTAGTCGGGAAATTTCTCTCCGGATTTGATCGTACGGGAGATGGATCATCATGTCCTCTGCGTCCCGGAGCACTTCCTCAAAGAGTGATATGAATGATTCCCGCCAGGAAGAGCTTCCTGTTCCTGCGGCGGCCTGGCCTAGGGAGCCAAAGGATGTCGATACCTGTTGGCTGATGGCCCGTACCAGCGATCCCAGATGTCTATCGAGGTTCCGGCAGTCTCCTGGGGACAGCTGGCTCCGCATTTCAGGTAAAAGGGTGCCATTGATGTACTGCCTCACAAGGAAAGAGGCACTGGACGAGGGATCACAAGGCATATAGCGAAAGAGTCTAGGTATGCATGGATGGCCAAGTTGTGCCAGTATTGTGAGAGCATGCGCTTCCGTTTCTAGCGAGAGTTGTTCTCTTCGTAGCAGCGGTAAGGCTGGCGGCGGAGAAAATTTGACGACAAGTTGATATCCATTGGACAGATCCAGCTGATAAATACGATGCACATCTGCGGAAAGCCTGTGTGTGGTACGGAGCTGTACGGTATGTGGGAATAACAGTTGTACGACGTTCTCAAAGCGACTGTTTTCAGATATAGCATATCCCGCCGATACAGACGCTGAGAAGTTAATATCATGGGAGGCTTTACCGAGGAAATCCCCACCGGAGAATTCTAACGAAGGCAACCGCATCTTCGCCACATTGGTCTAGGTTGAGGTATATCATAGGCAACCGCGGGGATCGATGAGGAGGGGATGAATATAGATATCAGGTCATTCAGAGACAGAAAAAGCTACCACTTAGGGAACCGTGTTCGAACAATAAAAATACATGTGTTTTCAATGGAGCACGCATCAGAAAGAAACCACCGAAAGAAAGTCATGGCTATATAATGTCTCATCTCTCAGTTGCAGAAAATTCGTCTCAGCCCGAGTCCTCCGCCCCACAGAATACAGGTATCAAAGCACATTGATATATCGCGACGATCTCGCTAAAAACTCCTAGGGGCCCCATCTCACAGGCCAGTGTCCTCTCGAGAGTAATCGGTGGTCACTGGTAACTGGTAAGTGGCAGCAAATGCGGGCCTTATATGATGCCGGGGCTAGCTGTATACGGAGAACAGTCCTGGCCAACAGATGCGTTGTCTACGCCGTAGTCAACCCTATCCACCGGATGTGTCTTCTTTTGGGAATTCCGTAGATGCGACGTTAATTTACGATTGATCTAGTATGTCTGCTCGCTTGCCTCGGGCCAATCAGAACCGCGCATTGGCGAGGACGCACGGGCTTGCAGGAAGCATTGCCGTGCATCATTCCGATTGGCTGCTCGACCATATCAAATAACCACGAACATTAAGAATGTGTACATACTGAGTGCTACCAGGCGGTGTCAGGATCTGCTCATAATTGGGGCTTGATTTATTCGGCTATTTTCTGCAAAAGAAAGCTAGCAACTGGTAAGCAAGCACGGAGTACTACGCACGTAGCTGCTTTGCTTTAATAATGTGCCCCGAAGGAGGCATGCCTAGGAAGTAGCTAATCGTTTTGCAGATGTGTGGAATTTTCCGCAGAATAGCTTTGAATCGGCATGCTTCCCATAGTCAGGACCAACGACAGATACCTGGTTTGTCATACACTGCAATCTGAAGGGACTTCTGTGCAGTTCCCGAGGCTCATGATTCGGGATTCTGTGGTGGTGGCTTTTGTGTTGGGTTGTAGATCTCCGACAAATTAAAGCGTTTGAGCTCGTCGTAATCACTTCCTACCACACTCATACCGATTGTGCTCTGCGTTGCTTGGTTAGACTAATAAGATATGCCATATGATCCAAAGATATGATACGGTAAACCCACCTGAGCAATATCCACTAGGATCATGTGGTCATAGTTTTTCAGGTCTACTCTGTGGTTTTGTCCAACTGCAGCTGCTACTGTTCGAATGATTATGTCTCTGTTGAAAGAATCATTATTGCGAATAGTAGGACGAATTGCGTACTAGAAGAGTTACATCATCGGTTAGAGATTAATAGGAGGGCGAAACGGAATTGGGTAAGGATATAGCTTATGCTAATGATGAAAGCAAAAAGAAAAGAGAACCCAAAAAAAACTAACCTTCTTCGACACATCGTCGGCATGGAAGTGGGGTTGTAGGACCTCTTTGGCGAATTCGTACAAGTCAACACTTAATGTTTTTCGTATCTGAGAGATGGGCGTCATTCGCCTAATCCATCGGCTCTTTCTCTGATGTGGATTGGTCCGGGCTTCCACACATAAATCGTGTACTAGCTTTACCGGGTCTATGGACTTATCAACCCTAACGAAAACCACTACAAAATATCAGCGTCAAACTTCCTCCGGTAGAAGAAAGGGGCAAGAAGGGAAAGGACTCGGTTTACTGCAAGGTATATTGGTCCCTGTGATTTTTTGGAAAAGTCGAGGGGCGGAAGACTTTGGTTTCAGGCCTTCAACTTCTTTTCTGATCTGGGCCTCAATGTCATCCCCGACAACATTATCATCGTCGTCATCATTGTCATCATTGACAGGTACTTCGGATGAAGTCTCTTTATCTGAAGCCTGCTGACAGTACTAGATTGCATGAGTGTTCAGTGTGGTCCTTCCTCGCAGGGGCGAAAGAGCTAACCTCTGTAAACAAATCCATTGCTTCGGCGGCGCATCTGTTCTCTCTTCCCATGTCACAAGTTAGGAAGATTCCTGCGTCACCAGCCGCGAAATTGACCTGGTGTGCTGGGCCGCCCTTTGATTTCCTATACGTCTCTCTGCCCTTTTCCCAGGGTCAATTGAATTGCCAGTGCGATAGTCATGGGATAGATGGCGCAACGCCCACCTTTTTGGGCTTCGAGACCCTATGCTTGGAGCTCCCCATGTCTTGTGTCTGCTATTGATTTGGGTCTATTAGTTCTTAAGCTCTAGTAGAGAGCATCCCATGCCACGCACCTAGCAAGGATGTTGTAAACCGTGCTTGTACGGTGTGCTTGATATCCGCCAACGGCGCTAATTTGCTTTGAGCCTTCGAGGTCGTCGGAGGAAAAATAAATTCGGGCTTCGGCAAGTGCGGGCGCCCTAAGCTTCTTTGGGCTAGACTACATAAGACTATCCCCAAAGTTCTTGACTTCTTCCATCTTCACCTCGCATCACCTTGCAGTTTGCACTCAACCAAAAATCGCAGCCAGGCTGTTGCAGTCAACAGCTACACCCTCTGTTCGCATGCTGTTGGTAAGCTACCCAACAAGTATTGCCTCAATCGCAATGGTGGCGACGTTATAGCGGATATCGAGCTTATAATCACCGTGAGTAAAACGGATGCAGCCCAGTCCTCCATCGTTTTATTCTTCCAATGCATGACTGAAGGAGAGCTCAAATAGGTGGATTAAAAGTGCAGCTAAAATCGAAGAAGAATTTGTGTATGGATAAAACAACACAATATGAAGCTAACGATAACATCAGAGTTCCACAGCTTTTCCTTCCTCACACACTAGCTTTTCGTACTACTCACCTCTGGTGCTAACCTCTGAAAGGAACAACAGGTGAGGGTATACCTTGGCCAATGGAACTGTGAAGACCGATTTGACCAACGACGACGTACTGCCACGCTGCGAGACAGCTCCATTTCGATATAAAACTCCCACTGGCTGAATTACAGGCGTAGTATGTGCCTGCACATGCCGTTCATTTAAATAGCTCGGTTTCGGGGATCGGACGTTATGATTCAAGCGTTCTCTTCCGAACTGGCTGGACGTGGCAGTTGAGCGCAATTCTTTAGGCTTCTGTGGAATCGTAGGTCCAATCCTTTGAGGAGTATCACATCTGTCACTAGCTTCACCCCTATTTGGAAGTGTTAGGCAAGGGCTCGAGGATGACCGTTCATTGTTCACGAATGGCAGCGTCACTGTTTGGTACTGCATGGTTTCGGTTTCACTGAAAGCAGACGATTCTGACTGGCGACGCATAATGTTATTTTGGGGGGTAATGCCATTGAAGACTTCCCCTTCCTAGCTATTGGCATCGTCCCCGTGGCTGGACTGTTTCTTGCTGCTTTTCTTCCCAAATATCCCGTTTCTGATGGCGCCTTTGGTACGCGTACTGCCATCTTTTAGTTTTCTGAGATGGAAAGCATCCATGAAGCTAAGATTGGTCTTGGGCTTCTTCGTATGGTCGTGTTTCTCATTCCCCTGTCCGTGGTTGGTCACGCCTAAGTGTCTGAAAAAAGCGCTTGTTGTTCCTGTGATCCTTGCAGCCATAGACACCTTCTTATCGTCGGTTCCATATGCAACGTTTTTGAGCACCCCAGTCGTCAATAAAGAGCGTTACCCACAAACACTGCCCCCTTCCGAAATCTTTCAGACCTTTCTGTCACGTTCTGGTGTAGATTCTCCCAGGCTTGTCTGGTCTCTGGAGACGAGCTTTCATCTCTTTGTTGGAGAATGCTCCTTGCAAGCCTTTGGAATTCCTTCTCGAGCGCTTTGTGCGAAATTTCCAGATTCCCTACTCGTTCTGTTGTGTCGTGAACTGAATCCTTCAGCTGGTTAACGAATAAGAGTGGCTGATCGATGCGCTTCAGAGTATCATGGATTTTTGATATCGCCGCCTGTTGATCTTCTAAGGTAAGGGAGTCAGCGACGGCTCCTCTGAGCTTTCTAATGGTTGCGTCCACAAATTTTTCCATCTCCTGAGTGACATTTAATTTGGTTTCGCATACATCGCTGGTAGGGACCATCTTCAAGAACTCCACGGCACAGACTGCAGCAGTCATTGCAGCATAGTTTTGCCACCGCTTATTTTTGTGAGAGTCTGCATAGTCGCAGATTCCTCGTATCGCTAGGAAGTTGATGTTGGTAAACCCCGCCGACTCCATGTCAAAGCAGAGTATTAAACTCTTTTGCCATTTCATCACGTTTATTGGCATTTTTGAAGAGCCGGTCCCCTGAAGCTATCGAGCCTGAATGGACCTTTACACGGTCCCTCTTCCTCCGAGGCTGGCGAGTTGCCAGTGAGGCTGGAAGCTGAGCGACTGCGTTGGCACAGTCACATTGGTGTTTATGAAGAAACTCTGGTGTGTATAAACGATCAGATCTTTCATCCGGGCGTGTGAACTCGTCCCGAATCTGCGCGTCTAACTTTAAACATCTTTGTTTCACAATCTCTTCCAAGTTTAAGTCCATAATGGTGCGGTATATCATTTGATTCACGCGACTGATGAGGATATCTGGTGGGCAAAGCATACGACCAGTGTATTGCACGCCGTCCGGCGTTTCCTTGTAAGAGCCGTAAGCTACAACCTTCGTCCCGATAACGACGTCGCCTAGTCGCACGTCGGTCTCAGGCTGTGGAGAGCCTCAGGCGATTCCAACCATCAACGCAAATCGGATAGATGGGAAGCTGCTTCGCATTCTTGTGAAACTGTGGAGGCGGACACGAGCCCAATAGTATTTGCAGGTAAGCACACTACCACAACATAATGCCCCCTGACACGGCCACGAATGTAAACGTTACAATCATCTTTTGCTCGTAACACTCCAGGGTCATCTTCATAGACCTCATCCAAGACATCGCGGGCTGCAATGTACTCGGGCATTATTGCGCACACCCAACCCACAGTGAATTCGCAAACCCCGGGAGATGGTGATCGTGCCATTGTTCGGTATGGATACGAGCAGCTGAAGGGAATGACAGCCTAGGACCCCGGAATCGAGTGGAGGTTGCTCTCTGTGAAGCTATCGTGCTGTGGTTGTGATACTCAATATGTCAGCACTGTAGCAGAATGAGTGATCAGGAAATCATTATATATATCTAGGTAATGGGCGTTCAACCTCGATTTAAGTATCCTTATCTACTCGGCGCACTCAGAATCTGTGGCAACTCGCTCACTACGATGGATCTATTTTATATCAGACAGCCAGCAAGTCTTGAAAAGCTGTTTAGCCGGGCAGCCTTGTGTGGCCGCTAAGCCTCCTCCTATACTCTTATATATGTATAAGACCATTAATAAACCTCACTTGGCGTGATATGAAATCTGCTCATCCAATGTACTGCAGTGCGACCCTACAGCAAGGCTATGGGACCAGCAATTATGCCACACGTCAGTCAGCTCTTTTATTTTATGCATAAGCCTCGCGGCGTGTTTGTCTACACCTGTAGATAGTTTTCGGGGGCAAATCCCAGCATTCCCCCTTTTTCTTCTTATCGATCCAATAGCGAATGTGGTTGAGCCTGTCATACGCAGTTATTTAATACCTCTGCTTGTTTATTCTCCGAAATAACCCCTTCTCCAAATTCGTCTTGTAACTTGTAACTTGTAACTTGTAACTTGTTAGGGCTCAGGAGCACATTCCACATCAGGACTAGCGCAACATAAGGATGCTGCAGTCTGCGGCTCATAGACTGTTTACATTTTGCCAAGTACAAGTATCTGACATATCAGACTGTCTACATTCTATCAAGTCTCAGAGCACATCACACGAGTCGGGATTTCCTCCTTGCCCCTTTCAACTTCTGTCACAAGTCGGTCGACTGCCCCCCATCTCAAGCCATGATAACCAGACGCCATCGCTATGTCGAATAACCGATTCATCAGGTCATTCACGCAAGTTCCCAAGGAGATTTTCAGAATAAACCATGGGAAGGCGGTTCGACTACGAGCATATCCATATCCGACCAGGCCCAAAGGGCTGTTCGATATTCTGACAGTGGCGGAAAGAGTGAGGCCATTGGCTCTCGATCCTTCCACGTATGAATGTAGGTGACTTTCTGATTTTTTACCAGAAGAAGCCTTGAGCAAGCGCTAGATCATGTTTCACGTTCTTTGAAAATAATGTTCTCTTCAAACAGTTCCTAACGGCGCATCAATGCGGCCCAACTCTCCAACAATGCAGAGACTGGCTCGATCTATCGATGAACCCTCTACCATCATATATGCTGTCCCAGCAGGTTCTTTTTCTCTGTTCAACCTGCTGCCAAGCATTTCTAACGTGACAAAAAAGGAATCAAACTCCCGGAAGACCTGATATTGGTCCACGAGTTCAGAGACCATTATTCTCTACAGGCGCGGGAAGAGATGACCATCGACGGTACATTTACCTCCTCCTCCTCATAGAGCTAGTATGAGTGGGCTGATTCCATGTTCCAGAATTGAACGACAGTATAACGAGCTTTCTCTCAAGCCAAGCGAAATTGTTTGTGAAGGATGAGTGGCTGCAACGGTACCCCGAAGCCACAGAAGGACCTCACAAACGAATAATAATCAACAGGCGTTGATTTTCTTCAATTGCTCTAAGCCTAGAAGTGCTCATTTGCTATTAGCATAAATTCTAAAGAGATGATATATAGCTACGACTCGTGCCAATGTAGTGAATGCACTCTCGACAGGATACGTTGGTGAATATAGTTAGGATAAGAATTGACTAGATAATGGCAGAAAAATCAGTCCAAATATCAACCAAAATCTATACTGAAAGCTCCGTAAGTATATTTTGGTTTTCTGGCAGGAAATCTGCCATGTGGATACACGGCTTCTGATTGGTCTGCAAGGAATGGTGGCAGATCATCAGGCCACCGCAACCATGGACGACTTCCAGCTGTCGTATGACTCCAATTCGTATTCTCAGATGCTCTCTGTATTTTCATGAATTCCATTTCATGACTCTACTAATGCGATCGTCTGCTGTTTGCGCGTCGAAATCTCCTGATCAAGCACCCCACTGCACAGAGGTATACGTCATCTCGAAGCATTACATCATGTGCTCGACGTCAGGATTTTCGAGTATATATACCAGGAATACGGCTCTCTCAGAGCATTCGCAAGTTTTTTAAACCACTCAGGGACTTTTGTTCTTTCAGACTCACAATGGCCTCAGACATAGTCACAAGGGAACTTAAACAGCCCATCAACCTCGTCGAGTATCTGTATCGGCGCCTGCACGAGGTGGGAATTCGCTCGGTCCACGGAGTGCCTGGTAAGTTCGAGAGATGTTGTGTATCACGCGAGCCTGGCAAAAATTTGCTGACTTCTACCGATAGGCGATTACAACCTACAGGCTCTAGATTATCTGCCCCAATGCGGATTGTCATGGGCGGGGAACTGCAATGAGCTCAATGCCGGTAGGAAGATTGAGAAGAAGACTTCTGTTAGACCGAACACTTATAGTTGTCCTAGGATATGCCGCCGATGGCTATGCCCGAGTCAAGGGCATGGCTGCATTGATCACGACTTTCGGTGTTGGAGAGCTTTCGGCACTTAACGCAATTGCTGGAGCATACTCAGAATACGTTCCGATAGTCCATATTGTTGGCCAGCCCCATACAGCTTCCCAAAAGGATGGCATGCTATTGCACCACACGCTTGGAAATGGTGACTACAATGTGTTCGCGGATATGAGCGCGAGAATCTCATGTGCGACGGCCCGCTTAAATGACCCAATTGACGCTGCAACATTGATTGATAATGCTATACGAGAATGTTGGATCCAAAGCAGGCCCGTTTATATCACTCTCCCCACGGACATGGTGTTGAAAAAGATTGAGGGCCAGCGGCTAGAGACCCCGTTGGACCTTAAGAGGAAACCAAATGATCCCGAGAAGGAGGAGTACGTGGTGAACCTGGTCTTGAAATACTTGCACGAGGCAAAAGATCCTATTATTTTGGTCGATGCGTGCGCCATCCGCCATCACGTACTTGAAGAGGTGCACGATCTCGTACATAAATCTGGGTTACCTACCTTTGTCGCCCCGATGGGTAAAGGAGCCGTAAATGAAACACATGCAAACTATGGAGGAGTCTATGCGGGCGACGGCTCAAACAATGGTGTGCAAAAACGAGTTGAGCAGTCCGACCTAATACTCAGTATTGGAGCTATCAAGTCAGACTTCAACACGGCGGGGTTTACTTACCGTATCGGGCAGCTAAAAAGCATCGACTTCCACAGCTCTTTCGTGAGAATACGCTATTCAGAGTATCCCAATATCAACATGAAGGGTGTGCTACGAAAAGTGATAGATCGGCTAGGAAAATTGAACGTGGGCGAAATCCCACACATCTCCAATGCCCTTCCCGAACACGAACTGGATTCGAGCGATCAAACTATAACGCATGCATGGCTCTGGCCAAATGTGGGCCAGTGGCTCCACGAAAATGATATCTTTATAACCGAGACGGGGACGGCGAACTTTGGCGCATGGGAAACCCGTTTCCCAAGGGGGGTTGTTGCTATCAACCAGACACTTTGGGGATCAATCGGGTACTCTGTAGGTGCTTGTTTTGGTGCAGCTCTAGCTGCAGAAGAACTCAAGGCCAATCAACGGACTGTTCTTTTTGTTGGTGACGGTAGTTTCCAACTGACTGCACAAGAAGTGAGCACTATGCTGAGAAAGAAGTTGAAACCTATCATGTAGGGAAACCCCCCCCCCTTTTCCTCTTCACGCTATTACCGTTTTCGTCTCCTCTCAAATATGAAAAACTAACCTGAAATAGCTTCGTCATCTGCAACAATGGCTACACTATCGAGAGATACATTCACGGGTGGAACGCATCTTATAACGACATCCAACAATGGAAATTTACTGACATTCCTTCGACTTTTGGCGGACAAAATGGGGACTACCAGACGCATCAGATCAGGACGAGAAATCAATTAATTGATTTGTTCCAAGCTAAAGAGTTCTTCCAGAGCAAATGCCTGCAGGCAAGTTTTTCTAAACACCTCCCTGCCGATTGTGGTGCAGTGAAACTAACTAAAACCAGCTGGTGGAATTGTACATGCCTCAAGAAGATGCCCCGGCATCACTAAAGTCGACCGCAGCAGCCGCAGCAAAAAGAAACGGAGCTTGAGTGACGGTGCCAGAGCTCAACATTCTTTGCAAAGATGATTAGCGTTGATCTGCCGGGAGAACATGTTGGCCATGATAGAAATGTTTCACCCCATCTGCGGTACAGAGACAGTTGATGGCGGGAAGCCTTAATAGCGTATTAGATAATTGTAGCTTTACTCAACTCAATCAATTCAGTCGTTTACCACTCCTCGTATGTAGTAGACGTAGACGTTTGAGAATTATCGCGCTGTGATTGGCCGGCCACTATTAGTTTATATATACCGTCTGGCGAATCATAACAAGGCATGCGCCACCGTCCCGTTCAGCTTGCCGATCTGGGTGGACCAACCACAACGCGGCCCCTCGGATGAAGGACCCGCCCGGCCGGTGCCCAACAGGAAACTTCGAGGGGGCCGAAGCACTCAAGTAAGACACGTGATTTCCTTCCTATCAGTCGGACTCGCCAGAAAACAGAATCCATCTTGAAGTGTATAGCCCAGACGCATCCCTCGCACAGCACTCCTTACTCTAACCCTACGACACTCTACGCCGCTGATCCCTCCTTCTCGAATACCTCGCTCTCAGTCCCACTGCAGTCCGCGTGCATCTTATCTCAACCAAATCCAAGCTCTTGAGCCGCGGGAGTGCTCGCTAGCCTTGGTCACTTAGCTTGTTATATATACCCTGTGGCTGTCATAGCATCATCGATTTGATTTATTTTGCCAATCACGATTTTTTAGATATCATCAGAGCGGCAATTTAATATCGACGACGGCAGTGGTTCTTTACTGCCATGCCAGATTTGCAGCTCCGCGCATAACGCTCTTCTCCCTCGAACACGCTCGAACATGAGGTTGGCTATATGGGCAGTCCAGAAACCCCTGTTTATTCAATTAAAGGCTTCGGAGTAGCCAGCCTTCGCTACGCGCTTGATTCTGAAGTTTGAAGGATGTGATTAACATCTTCCCGATATCTGAAATAAGCGGGTTTAGTCGCGGCCATCTTGTTGCGTGACTTGCTTTAACAAACACTCGTATCTATCATGGATCAACGACCACAGTATATCCCAGCTCCACCTCCGCTATCGCAACCAAATCAGTCCCATATTATTCCTCTTCCTCCTCCCCCTCCGCGACCATCGACCCAGCATGGCCTCATGCTTCCCCCTCCGCCTGGACCACCGCCAGGATCTGCCTACTCGGTTTCAAACCAATGGACAAGTTGGCGCCCCCAGAACTTCACCGCTCTTCCTCCTCCGCCGCCTCACCCGTCATTGATGCCGGCAACTCCAGCATATCTTCGTCCACAGCCCACTCCATTGTCCATTCCTATCCCGCCTCCACGTTCTGAAGGACCTCTCACCTCTGCTACTTACATGCCCACTACTGAGACCTTTGGTCCAGGTGTAGGCATTCCGCCACTTTACGAAAACTATGGGCACTCTGCAGCTACAGTGCGGCCAAGTGCGACGACCTGGGATAGTGTATCTTCGGATAATTCTTACAGGAGGGATGCGAATGTCCCTGCCACTCCGTCTCGGAACTTACCTCCTTCACTTATGCTAGGGGATCACCACGAGAGAATGTCACCGGGCCCAGCAACGGCCACATTGCAGAACCCCGGCAACGAGCCAACACGGACAACTAGCCACAAGCACAACGCTAGTGGTATATCTCTTGGAGGGATTTCCGCTGGCGACGCTGCTGTACAATGGCCTCTTGAGAGGGTAGTTAGTTGGCTTGCGAGAAATGGGTTTTCTAAAGATTGGCAGGAGACCTTCAAGTCCTTGGAGCTCCAAGGTGCTGATTTTCTAGAGCTTGGCCACGGGGCGAATGGTCGCGGTAACCTTGGAAAGATGCACCATCTTGTTTATCCACAATTAGCAAAAGAGTGCCAGAAGAGCGGGACTGGTTGGGACCAGAGCCGAGAACGTGATGAAGGCAAACGAATGCGGAAGCTCATTCGTCAAATACAGGACGGCGGAAACGATATGTCCACATACATGGATAGACGACGAGAGTCACAGTCGCTAATACCTAGTGCGTCCACGGAAGGAGGTCTGGAGAATTCTCCTAATTTAGCATGGGATTCTGCCTTCCCTCCATTTGTCGCGAATGCACAACCAGACAATGCTTACAGTCAACATCCTGCTCATCGACTACCACCAACTACGTACAACAAGCAAAATGGTCAAGTTCGTTCAGTTACGGCTCCCATTATGCAAAAACAGGATGCTGGAGATGGCGATTCAACCATGCATCCTCGCTCAGAGTTCTCTAGAAATGCTCTTGCTGGCTTAGACGAAGTGCGGAAACCAAGCCCTTCTTCGACCAGCGACGGCGGCGTATTTTCAGGCCCCTCGTTCAAGGCATATGAAGATAGCCCGCAAAGCGGTAGCCCAGCAGCACAGCCTGCCTCACTTGCCCCCTCGGGGTTAGTTTCGTCATCAACAGGGGATTTGACCTCCACAAGATTTGAACATCAACGAGGAAATAGCACTGATTCGCTTTCTGGACGTGGGGGTTCTACTGTGCCTCGGTTTTATGAGGGCCGAAAACCAGTACCAGATAACTCACGTATTACACCGCAAGACAATAACAAGGAACCTGGTAAAAGCTTTTTGGGGTTTTTCAAAAAGAAATCCCGCTATCACGACTCGTCAAATCCGTCGCCAGAAGACCAGCTTATGGACTCGCCAACGAGTCCTTCGTTTATGCGTCAAAATGGCCTAAACAGCCCCTTCAACAAGACGTCCTTTAACAATAGTGACTTGTCACTGGTGGAACGTCCCTTATCTTCTTCTTTCTCTGACTACGAGAAAAGTACAGCCCGATTTAGGTCATCTACAAAGCATAAAAGATACGTCCTAGCAACTCTAGATGGGTTAAACTATCGCCTTGTAGATATTACAGATGCTGAAACGGCGGAAAATCTACGGGCATTAATTTGCCAAACTCTAGGCCTTGCAGACTGGTCCACTGCTCAGATTGCACTTACAGAGCTAGGGCAAACAGAACACGACGAATTCTTGGATGATTCGACGCTTGCTCTTAGTTGGCGTGCGCGAGCAGACCCGTTGGGAACGTTAAAACTATATGTTCGTGAAAACTCGTCTGCAGGATCTACTGGCTTGGGAGTATCGGTTCTTGAAAAACTTTCATCATCTCCCAGTTTGGCGCATCGCCCTGTGCAAAGAAAGCCTTTGGAAGACGATACACTTCACCGCGGTTCTCCACGCACTCATGTCACATCTAGCTCGCCTCACGGAGCTTACTACACTTCCTCCAAAACGACCTCCGCCCATCCGTCACCGTCTTTGCATGAAACTTTGCGTGACGAGAGTTCTCATGATGCCGATTTAGCGGCTCGCCAAGAGGAGTATAAGCGGGAGGTTGAGCGAAAACAGAACGCCTACTTCAAGTCAAAGCAGCCTGCGGACCTTCAGCTTCATAATAAAGATAATTATGGTGAGACTGGATACCGGAGTAAAGGTATCATTGACTTCGATCAACCGCGTACCTCTCCTTACGAGGATAAACGACATGAGGGCCTAGTTCCTCAGCGGAAGCCTCCATCTGCCCCATCTGAGTCGACCACTCTTACCAAGGTCAATTCTCTCAGTAAAAAGCCCACTGAGCGCACACGCCTCCCATCGAAGAAACCCGAAACACATAAATACAGATTGATCCAGGAGGAAGACTCTTCAGATATAAGGAATTCTTCCATTACTACAAACTTCAATCGAGATCTCGATGCAGGACCCGAAAGTGCTGGCCATAGGCCTCCTCCCCTGCCCACATCTACCAGTTCCCCTTCGATAATACCATACTCTACGCCCAACGATACTGAGTCCAATACAGCACGGAGGATTCCATCGTCTTCCTCTTCCTCTTCCTTTAAACCGGCCTCATTGCAAAGTCGAAAATCATTTGGGCCAGAATACGATTTTGAAGAAGCCAAAGTCACATTCAATGCCCCTCGCACACCTCAACTGGAATCTGATGATTCCGATGAAGATTCCGATGACGGTCTCTTTGCAATTCCTATCTCGACCAATAAAGGTTCTTCTATAGATAAGGAAGGTCCTTCTGCCGCCACACCTCCGAAATCCCAGAAACCATCTCTTACGGTGAATACCTCAACGAGATTGAGTAAGGGCTTGTCTGTGTCTTTCAAATCTCCCAATACTAGTGATGAGATATCCGCCGGACCATCTTATCCTGGCTCTGCAGTGTTTTCACACGACCTTCGCTCCGGCAGTGGTTCATACTCTGCAAATACATTGCCGTCGCCTGAGGATGAACGGTACAATCGCAGAGATTCCTTTGCAAGAAACGATATTTGGGCTAGCCGTCCTCCAGTCGAAGGCGTCATCGACAACCTTGACGATTTCTTCCCTAATATCGATCTCGATGAACCCTATTTAGAAGCATCGGGCACCTCCCCTCCAAGTTCTCCAATTCATCCATCCATCAAAGACCAATCCGGGCCCTTGTTCCAACCGCCACCAAACATCCCTAGCCACGGATCTGATATGCAAGGTCCTAGTGAGCCAAGCTTGAAGCACTCCGTCGCACATCGCAACCTCGGCAAGGCAGGCGGCTTGAGTCGCATGAAGTCTATACGTGAAGTTGCTAAAGGCGCACAAGAAATCAATAGGAAGAAAAGCATTCCAGGTCAGAACAACAAAAGATCCGGTGACATACTCCGGCGAAAAAGTACCAAAATGTTTGGCGCGAAGATTATGCAAATCAGTCCAAAGCCTGGCAGTCGCTTGAGCCAGTTAGATCCATTAGTCCCAAACAACAACAATGTCCCGTCAGGTAGCGTACCACAACGAGAACAAACCTTCCGTATCATCAGGGGTCAACTCATTGGAAAAGGCACGTACGGCAGAGTGTATCTTGGCATGAATGCTGATACTGGAGAGGTTCTTGCTGTGAAACAAGTTGAAGTCAACCCCAGGGTCGCTGGCCAAGATAAAGATCGCGTCAAAGAAATGGTAGCTGCTATGGATCAGGAAATTGATACGATGCAGCATCTTGAACATCCCAACATCGTGCAATACCTTGGCTGTGAGCGTGGAGAATTGTCTATATCGATCTATCTTGAATATATCTCTGGTGGGTCTATTGGGAGTTGTTTGCGCAAACATGGCAAATTCGAAGAGTCAGTTGTCAAGTCACTTACACGACAGACTCTCAGCGGCTTGTCCTATCTTCATGACCAGGGTATTCTTCACCGTGATCTCAAGGCTGACAACATTCTTCTCGACTTGGACGGCACGTGCAAAATTTCTGATTTCGGAATTTCGAAGAAGACGGACAATATTTACGGCAATGACGCGTCTAATTCGATGCAGGGCTCTGTGTTCTGGATGGCTCCGGAAGTCGTGCAGTCCCAAGGCCAGGGTTACAGCGCCAAGGTCGACATATGGTCACTTGGCTGTGTAGTCCTAGAAATGTTTGCCGGCCGTCGGCCATGGAGTAGGGAAGAAGCAATAGGGGCTATTTTTAAGCTAGGCAGTCTCAGTCAGGCACCGCCAATACCGGACGATGTGGCTGTGAACATCAGTCCTGCGGCATTGGCTTTCATGTATGACTGCTTTACAATGTGAGTTATAATAATAGCATCTCCGTGAGCCATTCTCCATACTAACCATGGCAACAGTGATACTTTCGACCGTCCGACTGCTGAGACCCTTCTTTCTCGGCATCCTTTCTGTGAGCCCGATCCAACTTACACTTTTGAAGAAACAGCGTTGTATGCAAAGATTCGTGATGTACTTTAGTTTCTTTACGAGCTAGATGTATTGCTTCGGCTCTCTGAGAGAATTGGACAATATTCTAGTCAATCATTGTGCACTAGGAATAGTAAATAATAATCAAAGCCTATAAATGATCACTAAGTACATTCCCGATGAATCGATGCTCCGGTTTCCAGCAGACCGTGGTTTCTTTGACACACGTTTCATCCCAAATGGTGACGTCTTGTCTGTACAGCAATGAAAGGCTTGCGATAGTTTTCAGTTCCTCCATGTAATATGCCATTTGATAGCCATGCATTCTTACTAAGATAATTATTCACAGCCATCAGTTGAGGCTGAAAGAAAGCGAATAGCTAGGGTGATGGGTAAAACCTTGACAGAGAAACAATCACAACGATCTATTATAAGCACATTTAGGATTTCTGAGTCAAAGATATTATTCATTAAGATATTGTTTCCATGTTGTTGTAATTGCTGATGCCTGAAGCATATCAATGGGATTTGTGGTTCGTGGGCGTAGTGAGTTGCAAGCGTTCGCATGCCATGCCAATCCTGGGCCAGAGTCGGCGGAAACGACAGTGGCTACCTTGATACCACTTCCTTTTCATCTCCGTCGAAAGACCCTTTGCGTGCCCCTCAGTGAACTCAGCGTCTGTGGCGAAAAAGCAACTGTAAAGGCGCTTTGAGTTCCAGCTTCGAAGCGTCTCCTTGATCAGCGTTTTGTATATTTCTAGACACTCGGAAATTCTTGGTTAGAATAGATTTGGTGAGTTCCAGGTGATGTTCCGCATCGTACCCCCATCTGGGCAACTAAGTTATCCCAAGTCAGAGAACTCTGGCCAGGTCTCTCCATGGCATTTCCTGATTTATGATAATCCATGATGATGAGATTGGGCTTAACAAGGGGGAGAAGGAAATCGGGTCACCTCACTGAGATATAGCTGCAGGACCTGCTGGCACTCAGCCTATACTCAAAGCATAGGGAGAAAACCTGATGCTGGAATAACGCTCTATTTCTAGCTGCTCTCTGATGTCTAGAGGACAAGAATGAATCGTGCTCTTGATGCACGTTTTTAATGTGTGCGAAGCTGCGCCCAAATGGGTATCGTCTGAGAAGCGAGATTAGGATGGCCTAAGGCATCCGTCTCATCATCAAGTAATGAATTATAGATTGCCGAGAGTGGACATTGGACAACGCCATATAAGCTGTAATTCGGTTGACACGAATGTTTGGGCCTTGCTTTGCAAAGGGCAATAGCCCAAGGACCTGAAATACATATGAAGAAGACTGGTAAGCTATATGCATGTAATTGGAAATGTATCGTGATCTCGCTATCAAAGGTCTATATATCGTCTGGATCTTCCTATTCGTCTTCCTCGTCATCTTCATCATTATCGCGAGACCGGAGACCAGCAACCCCAACCCTAAACACTTCTTCGCTCCATTCTTCGAATGTATCGACATCCCAGACAGCATGCTGACGGCCTTTACCCTTTGCACCAACGGGTATACCTTTACTCTTCACCAATGAACTGGCGTAACCCTCATAGAATTCCTCGTAGATTTGTATGACGCGGTCCTGGACTGCGCCAACGAGAGTCTCCTTTGTGCGCGTATCTTCTAGATAGTCATCCAAAGCTTTGCGTAAAATGGGGACTTCTTTCTCGATACTTCGGCAGACAGGGCTTATTGCACCTCCATCTCCAATGGTTCCGTTTTCAATGAATTTCGTGGGCAAGGTGGATGTCATGCGGTGGGCGAAATCGTTGGTGAAGTCGTTGATTACTGTGCGAAGTCTACCATCGAGTTCTACTTTTGCGTCGAGCATGTTCTCTACGACTTTGGGTAGGAGACCACTGCCCACGAGGCGCATGAGATTTCTGGGGTTGAAGAGACCCCCACGCTCGCGGATTTCCCAAAAAGTGCTGGTAATACCAGAGAAATCGAGAGATATATCGGGTGTGATATATTCAATATCGAAGGCGACGATTTGTTGCTTGAGAATGAGAAGGTGTTTGATCAGGAAAAGCTGGCCGTCTGTGGTGGAGTATTTGTTCGATATTTGTGTGCTTGCATGGTGGAGTGAAAAGGTCGTTTGGTGAACAATTTGATGAGCAAGGTCATCGAAGATAGTGGACTAGTTTTATGTCTTAGTTAGAGGTCCGAAGATAGAGAACAGAAATTGAAGACACGTACATTGACTAGCCTATAAATACGGCTAAGCAGCCATATGGCTTTCCGTAAGGTGGGATACCAGCTTTGGAATGTAGCTTGTGTGTCGATGTCCCATAGTGCGTCTTTCTCAGTTGCTTGCGGGTCAACCTCCTCGTCAACCACAGTTGGGGTCTTTGGCAATATGGCGTCGTTCCGCGATCCTTTACGTCCGGATAATGGAGCACCCATAGATAAAGACATCTGTCGCATTCGAGAAGGATAGTCCAAGTCTTCTGGTTTTGGGCGGTATCTTTCGATTTCGTTACGAAGGATACCCTGAACTTGAAATACCAAACGAGTCTGCGCATCTGCAAGAGCAGGTTGGATGAGAACCGAGAAGTCCAGCTGATTCGGGTCATTGAATTCAGCTTCCTCTTCTAAATCAGACAGGTAACGTGTTTGCAGCAAAGTACACAATTGGCAGAGCTTGATGAGGTTCGTCTCGTGGATAATCCTGGGCCTTAAATGATCATATAAAGGCTCACAAATGGATTCCAAAAAGTCATACAGGCCTGCTTGTCCATGGAACCACTCTCCCCAAAGTTCAAACTCATCTAAACAGACACCGCGTATGTAACCGATACCGGCTCTTGCGAAGGCCACCAAGTCCTTCGAAGTACTAGGAGCTTGTGTGATACTGGTGAGTTTCTTCCGCGCCAGTGGTATAATTAATTTGCTTCTTGTTGCTGCAAAACTTGTGTGCAATTCATTCATGAGGCTCTGGTATTCGGCTTCTGTTCCTTGCTCCGGATCCACTGGCGGCACCGCTCTTTTCTGAATTTCCAACCCAATCTGCTTCATTTCGGCTGCTCCAATTCGAAATTTTGCGTATAGTAGCGCTGACATGGTGGTATCGTTCAGTTGTTTATCGGCAATTCGTTTCGAAACCCCTGATGAAGTTTCTCGGAGCGCCGCTACAAAATGTCCACGGATAAGTGTTAAAGCACGTGTCAGTAGTAATCGGTATCGAGATCGATATGTCTCGGCCTCTTTCTGCTCGGGCTGTTCATCATCAGGACAAATCATCTCGGTAATATCTGTTGGAATAACATACGTGAGACTCCATGTAATCCAAACACTCATCGAGCTTTCTCAACATCTCCGAGAATTCCCTGTCGCGGACTATTTTGCCTGCTCCTGGAGCATTGAGCTTCCGAGAAGCAGGGTCCAAGAAGTCATAGTATGCAAGATTGTCCCTAATATCGTCCGCCAAGCGAGTATTCTTGGTTTGTGTAGTTAACAGCCCTTCACATTGCTTCTGAAATGTGGATGTCTGCAAATCCACGGCTTGAAATGATTTAGAGAGACTCGATAGGGCTGCCAGTGTCGACGAGGTATCGGCAAGGAGAGAATCGAGGTGCGCTCGAGAAATCTCTAGCTCGTGGAGGCATGACCTGGCCGAACATTAGACGCACTACTCTCGAAATTGTCCCCGTAGGCGAACATACTGATAGGCTTCGTGACTCGCATCTAGCAAGTCCTCTTCCACGTCGTGGTACCACTGCCCAAATCCTAATTCATCATTGATACTGGTGACGTCTGTTTCTTCCTCCAGGCGAGATTCCTCTATTTGAGAGAACTGCGTCGGAGCTTTTGGTCTCTTCCTCTGTGTTCCCGATGGGTCACTGGGACTCCGAAGGCGCCCCGCCATCTGAGAGGGCATTTCATGAACTGAACGTAAACAGATATAGGGAAGCAATAAATGGACTCTTAGACATTTCCGAGTTCATTGGTCGCTGTTGGTGCCGTTAAAGGACACAAGTGATGATGCGGAGGCGCGAAGGATTCTGCCACCGCCTACGTAAGCAGCTCTTATTTTTGAAATAATTAGTTGACTTGCAATTGCTAAACCATCAACATCAGTGACAAGCCAGCAACCTGAAAGCGGTGTCTGCGACAATCGAGAAATATGCTTACCAGCAATGCGAGGCTGCATGTCCCGACGGTCATAGGATTGCCGTCCCGTCTCCTCAGAGCGCAGCTCCGTGCTCGAAATCTCAGAAGAAACTATAGCCAGCAGGCAACGCGCACGTCTAAAAAGACTCGACGATGGATCGGACCTTCAATAGCACTACTTGGTACATTTACCGCAGCTTCCGCAGCCTATATGTGGACAAGTGAGAACGGAACCACAGTTCGACAGACATCTGAACGATTAGATAGCGTTAGCATCGAACGGCCCAAGACCACCCCTACCCTGTCAGACGAGCGAAACCGTGAGATTCTGAGTGCCCAGCATGCGCAAATCAAAAAGATGTCAAGCAGTCCGGGGGTCTATATATGGGGGTCGAATAGTCATCGTGTCGTGGACCCAGATTCGAGCGAAACGATAATTAAACAACCCCGCCGATTGCGCTACTTCGAGGGTCAACTTCTCAGAGATATCAAGCTACAACAAACTTCAGGCGCTGCTGTTACTGCAAATGGTGATTTGGTCCAGTGGGGCAAGGGCTATTCAGATACTGATTTCCAACCGGTTCCAACTTTAACTGGGAAGAAGTTGGTTTCGATAAGAATGTCACGAGACAGGATCATAGCCCTTTCTTCTAGTGGAAATGTATATTCTCTACCGATCTCAAAGGCCGACCAACAGTCGGGACCCAAACCATCTGAAAGTTACTGGTTTCCAGGATGGTCTTCGAAGTCTCAAATTAGTTACCGGCAACTCAACCCACGGCTAGGTCTGGGTGAGAAAGTCACTTCGATCAGCAGTGGTTTGGAACACGTGTTACTCCTTACAAACTCTGGTCGTGTTTTCTCTGCTGCTGCTGCTACCGAATCTTATCCGTCGAGAGGTCAATTGGGAATACCCGGGCTGACTTGGGCAACCCGTCCCAAAGGGCCTGTAGATCTTTGCCATGAACTATCATCCATAAAGGGCTCCAAGATTATTCAAATAGCCAGCGGAGACTTTCATTCCCTGCTACTTGACAAGGATGGCCATGTGTTCGTTTTCGGAGATAACTCCTTTGGACAGTTGGGACTTCAATACGATCCCACGTCCCCAGTAATTGATACGCCAACAGTGATGCCTACGAAAGGAATGTATTCAAGCAAAAATTGGTCTGCTCGGATCTCAAGTATCGCCGCTGGCGGTCTCACCAGTTTTTTGACCGTTGATGCAGTACAAAAGGCCCCTTCCAACGGCTCTTCGACACTTACCACTAAGCAGGGTACTCTGAGTATTGATACGTGGGCTTTCGGAAGAGGCATTCACGGGGCACTCGGTACTGGAAAATGGACTCATATCCAAGACAGTCCATATAAAGTAAAGACACTCAGTGATCTGCACGAATTTGACGAAAAGACAAAAATGCTTCAGCCAATTCGTCCCGTCCAGATGGCCATCGGAGCCACGCATGCTGCCGCCGTGCTGGGAAATAATGCGCACCCAAACACGGCCAAAAAGTCGTCAATTGCTGACATTGCATGGGGTCAGGATACTTTGTGGTGGGGAGGCAATGAAAGCCTTCAACTGGGCACTGGCAAGAGAAGCAATCTTCCTACCCCGGCACATATACTTCCTCCGCCGGATCTCGTGACTGCGACGTCTCTTGACGAGGCTCGTTTCCAGATAATTCCTGGCAAACAACGAATTGAGTGTGGTAGGCAAGTAACAGCTGTCTTTTCCGTAAAAGTTTGAGTTTCTATGCGAATTTTCACATGTATTATTATTCTCGCCTCGGTTGATGCTTTCATAGGTTGTATATTAATGAAACTTTGATTATTATGTCTGGACAGAAATATCTGAATTCATATGGATATAAGTTTAGAGATGCGAGCCAAGAGCGGGCCGCTCCGGAGACTAGCCCCAAGATTTGCCAGACGAATCACATTGCGAGCCGGAAATCGCAGAGATGTATAAAGTATTGATGCTATTCAAAGGTACGAAGTATGGCACCGACAGTGGTGTTTAGCAGTATGCAACTTTGTTGAGTAAATCATAGCAAAGATGAGGTATACTCCTGAGCTGAAAGCGTCATGCTCACAGCATTACCTAGGTAGTACTACGATACTCAATCTACAGCTGAAACTCATGAGTGCCCAAGAGCATGGTGGCTTCATCCTTAGTGTGTCCTACGACAGCTCCGAACAAAGTACCGTTGAAGTATCAAGATTATAGTGACAAGTTAGTAACCCTGCTTGCCAGCGCGAATGAAGTTTTGTTCTTTGATGACTCTGCCCTGTTAGTGGCGAGGACTTATTTGAGTATCATAATATGGTTTACTATTACGCCTGGAGCTACAGAATCGATTGGTCTCCGTCAGCACGATCAATTCGTCTATGCCGTAGCGTTATCAGCAGACAATGCCCATCTAGCTGTCTCATCCCGCGGTGTGATTGAAATAGGGAATCTCGCCAATAAGAATGTCCAGCACACAATTAATTAGATTACTTTTATGTCATTACTAACGTTTTCTACTGATCTCAAAACTCTGTTATCTGCGTCTCCCAAAGAGGTTCAGGTAATAGATATCCGTACGAAATATGCAGCATCAAGGTCATGGGATATACTAAGATCGACCAAAATACATGGTATCTCACCTCTCCGTTGATTGAGGACAGCCAGGCAATTTGAAATATCACAATAGGTCAGCTCATACAAAGGATCGATTGCGAAGAACGGGAAGTATTGCTTTCTCCCGGCAGTACATGGCTGGCTATCAGAGAATATGAGACAAAGTAACATGTGTGGAAACTGCCAACGGGACAACCTTGGAAGATCGGTGTATTTGACTTCGGTCTAGGATCGCCTATCTTCTCCCCAGACAGCGTGCAAAGCTCTGAAATCCGGGAGGATTCGGCCCAAGTACCGACTCCCAGTACCAGGGTCATATAATACGACCAACATTGCAATATATGCATATTGAATCTCTCGAAACATGAAGTTTAAATGATTCAAAATTCAACTTTTGGTATTATAGACAAGTTGGCGATGTCCCCAGATAATGCTTTACTAGCAGTGGCGAACAGGTCTTCCGCAATGATAATCCGGTGCACAGAAACTGTTTCAATCCGACACACCTTGGATATTAGTTCTAGGACGCGGAGAATGATCAGTCCTGGGGATAAGACCCAACTAGCATTGGCAACAGCTGACTTGAGAATCCAAGAATGGAACGGCACTACTGGCCAGGTTCTCGCATCCTTTTGTCAAAAGGTATTCACAGTCTTGCATTCTCCTCGTGGTACCCATATAATATCGGGATTATGGGATTGGAATGTAAGCAAAAGAAACATTGGACCCAAAGAAATGCAATTAGTGCCAGATGTCTATTGGAACTCAATCAACAGTTTCAGCTTCACTACTGACAAAATCTGGAGCAGATCGCCATTCTATAGTGTAGGCTATGGCAACCGCTGGACGACCTATGCTGGTCAAAGGATGCTCGCGCTTCTTTCTATATTTGAGTCTGAGCATATAGTGCCCAGGGGGAAAAGGCTGTAAGGAGAATGTTGAGGTTGTGAAGTTGCATTCCAAGGGTTGACCCGAAGGCATTTCCACTAAGCCTATTTAGGCATCCATAGTTATCGGCGGTGCACGGACCAATGCTTATCGAAAAATTTCCCTCCGCGCTGGAAATAAGTGCTTCACGTTTATTTCATGTTAAGCATCCAAAATAATACACAGTAATCCGCCATGCCACGCGAAAAGCAAAAAAGAGGTCGCCGTGCGCAAGAGAAGGAGAGGCAGGAGGAAGGCAAGCGAAAGCTAGAAGACGACTATGAGGGGGAGCCAGCGCTCAAAAGACAGAAACCGTCGGCAGACGTCGAGCCCGAAGATTTCATACCATTCGATTCCGGTGAACAAGACGTCGAAACTGGGAACCACGATGACACGCCTTTCTACGGCCTGCTAGATACTGAGGAGCAGGAATACTTTTCGAGAGCCGCGGAAGTCCTCGAGTTGAATCAATTTCAGACTGCCGAAGAACAGAGCATCTTTGTTGAAAGTGTGTATGAAGAAGCCAAGGGAAAGGAATTGAAGATCGCATGCAGCCAGTCATGCTCACGTCTTCTTGAGAAGATCATTGCTTTATCCAACACAGATCAATTACGACGTCTCTTTGGGAAATTCCTTGGACATTTCTTACATCTCGTACAACACCGATTTGCAAGTCATTGCTGTGAGACACTCTTCATCAAGGCAGCACCGGCACTAAGTCTTCAGACACACAAAACATCTAATGTGACGAAAAAGCAAGTTCTAGAAAGTGAAGAAGAGGATGAGTCGCCTCTCTCGTTGGTGGATATGTTTCTCCAGGTCATCTCAGAGCTGGAGGGAAATTGGGGCTATCTGTTAACTGAGCGTTTTGCATCTCACACAATCCGTGTTCTTCTCCTTGTTCTCGCAGGCGAGTCTGTGGACCTATCTTCCAAGGGCTCGCTTGTTGCGAGTAAGGCAAAAGAGGGAGTTGAGGTTTCTCGCATCGAGGAACAGGTCCAGGTCGCCTCCAAAAAGCCCGCTGGTGTTCCCGACGCATTTGTTGATGTTCTGAAGAAAGTCATGAATGATATGACCTCTGGACTGGATGACACTTACTTGAGAGCGCTAGCAACTCATCACATAGGAAACCCGGTTTTACAGCTTTTGGTATCATTGGAGCTATCGCACTTTGGCAAATCTACAGCGAAGGATTCGCGCTCCGTTCTACGACGATTATTACCAGACGATACCCTGGAGGAAGGTACACAGAGCGCCATTTTCTTGACAGGTTTATTATACGACCCTGTGGGTTCGAGACTGGTCGAAACCATTGTGCGCTCTGCGCCTGGGAAACTGTTCAAGAACATACATAAAAACATCATCCGCGAGAGGATTTCATCGCTTTCCCGCAATGAGATTGCTTCTTATGTTCTTGTCCGTTGCTTGGAAAGAATTGGCCGGGACGATTTACAAACGGATTTGGATTTGATTGTGCCTGAAATACCCAACCTCATAGAAAAGTCACGACTCACTGTGCCAAGAGCCTTGATCGAGCGGTGCTTGATTCGCAATATCGACACGGCTCCTCTTGCTAAGGCGTTGGAGGCATCATTTGATAAAGACCCGGCTAAGAGGTTGCATCATTTACTGGAAGTGAACAGTGCAGACACCCCCGTGGAGGAGACAGCTGGATCTTCTGAGATGCCTTTCCAGGGAGCAGGAAAACAGAAGTATGCATCGCCAATACTTTTACACAAGTCACTGCTTGCACAGTCAATGCTCGAGGCTCCCGGTCCACTGAGTGGCCTCGTTTATTCAGGACTACTAGCGATTCCCACCGACGAAATGATAGCTATGGCCTGCAATTCGATGGCTTCGCATGTTTTGCAAAAGGCTCTTACAGCATCGACTTCCACTATCCAGTTTCGCCGCCAGTTTGTCCCTCGGTTTTCTGGCCACCTCAAGCAACTTGCTCTCGATACTAGCGGATCTCATGTGGTAGATGTCCTCTGGGAAGCTTCAAAAGACATCATCTTTGTCAAGGAAAGATTGGCACAAGAATTGGCCAGCCATGAACACGATATCCGTGACTCTTTTATTGGCCGAGCGGTATGGAAGAATTGGTCCATGGATGTCTACAAGCGACGACCAGGAGAATGGAAATTAAAGGCAAAGGAGGCCAATAACCAAACAAAGGCTTCTAATGGTGATGAAAAGGCGCCAGTGAAGTCAAAAATACAACTTGCCCGGGAAAGATTTGACCTTTCAAAGAAATCGGCTAGTGTAGCCAGCAAGTCTTGATATGTTTATAGAGAGTCATGTATAAAATATATAATATATCAAAAGTTCTTTTAAGGCTGGACTAGTTAATTTGGATAGCTTATTCGAATGATTTAAAATATTTCATCTTCATTCAGCAAAAAGATATTTCCACGCTATCACAGGTAGACATTTTCAGCTCACGACCCGAATATCAACTCACAACTTCAGGCAATCCAAATTCTATCGTCCCCTCAAAATAAGCACCGATTGGTACAATCTTCATCTGCGGAAACCCGACCCCATCACCATACCCTTCCAACCGCGCATCGTCCGTCTCATCCAGGTGCGAAATATACGCCAATCCCCATGAGCCCTTGTACATCGGTTTAGTCAACAGCCACGGGTTCTCCCTGCCATTTTCTGGATCATCAGTCGCAATCACCGCGCTTGCAACCCCGGACGGATACCTGGGCGCTGCTAGAGGAGGTTGCACAAGGCTAGCGATTGATATGCGCGGTAGAGGCACAGATGGTAGCGATGATCTTTTCAATATCGCTGTAAAAAACGGAATCTTAGGGTTTAGCGGTTTTGTACAATCTTCCGGATGATACATCTTCAGCAATTGATCCCCCTTTCCACCGACAGGCTCCCATATGAACCGAGCTCGATGTTTCTGAATGTCTAATATATGCCGTTAGATTGGATGTTATTATCGCAATACAAGACAGTAGAGTAAAAGCATACTCCAGTTTCTCCGTCCATTCCATACACTCGCATCAGTAGAAACGTAGATATTGGTAATCCTTGCATATCGTTTGCCCGTATGCGGATTCACGAAAAATCCAGGTGAAACTATCAACTCGTCGTAGGGGCCAACGTCTGAGTCTTGATATCGAACAATGACGAGAGCTTTCACTAGCCCGCTGAAGATACCATTGTGCTGTGGTTTCCCATCAACCCTGCGCAAGGCATCGGGATGTACGACTTCACATGGATGGTAAGCACCGTTAGCCAGGACGCCTTGAAGGATCTCTTCACAGTTGTTTGGGTTTTCGTCTATATATGCTGCATTGTCGGTATCAGCAGCGGCGGCGACGGTTTTGTTGTCAAGGTCGCGATAGCAGTACATCCATGATTTAGATTTGAGGGTCCATGGTGGTGGTGCAACTGGAATGTCCTTGTTTGGAGGCTGAAATTCGGCTGGCATTTGTCTAGGATGGTTAGGAAATAGGTGTTGTCAACAATGAACAAGTGGATGGCTGATCCGAAGCCTGAGGCATCAGACGAGGGACGTGCGTCCTGTCCCGATGCCTAATCAAGTAACCACCGGAGAGATCTGAGTGGGGGCGATGGATCTGCATTCCACACCCCCCCAATATTACGTACTCCAATTGGGAGTAGTTCAGTAATTACAAAGACTGGTAAGTTTCGATATACAAAGCTTAAGACCCACAAAAGATCGGGAAGAATTTTATGACATAGTTACTGTACCGTAACTACGACGTACCGAAATGCACTAACGTGGAGCATAACAAACAAAGCAGATAAAAGAAGCGAAAACGAAGCAATTGAAAGAGGCCGAATCTTGACGTCATTTTGAAGGGGTACAACAACTACGTCACATCTGGGGGTACTACTACTTCTTATGTCTGCTAAAGATAAATGGGATGTCCATAGTTCCCATAAAACATTCCCATTTCATGCTTATGCGACATACACTTTTTGCTGCTTATGGATATTTGAAGTGAACAAAGTTTGTCTCCTTGACTTGCAGGTTACAGCTGAGCCATTTTTCAGACTGCTACGAAAGATAATGCAGTCACAGCATCGTATTTTACCGACGAATTCTTGAGGCAAGTGTTCCAAGGTTCTCTCGTTCTGTACAATATTCTACGGGTTAGATATAAGAAATTGGAGAAAAGCTGAGAAAAAGGAGTGGAACAGAAAGCCTCGTGTACTTTGCGTCTTGCTCGTCCCACTCAAAAAAAGATCCCATTCGATTGAAAGGCTTATCAATCAAAGGAGAACAATATAAGAAATACAAATGAATGTGCAACGCTTTGGCAACGTCGCATGAAGACCCGTTTATCGCCTCCATTGCCTTTTGAAAACAACACAAAACCCAAAGTGTATATATCGGTTTCGCTGACATGATGCAGAAGAAAAAAAAAAAAAAAAAAAAAAAAATGACAAGAATCGAAGACAAAGATTGTTCAAATAAACATCAAGATTATAACGACATGGTATCATTGCTCGGAGACTCGTATATTATCCCCGTATTCAACGCCCAATAAAACAAGTAAACACATGTTCATTTTCCCCTTACGAAAAAATAATAACAATAATAAAAAAATAAACTCAACCACAAGGTCAACTGGAAGTTGAGAAGTGAAAAAGACGAAATGTATTTTCCCGCCGATTAGCAGTAAAATTGTAAGTCGAAAATTGGTAAAGGTTATATCGATCAATATCGATTTTGACGGAAAAGAACGCTCAGAGCCGTTTCGTGAGATAGGAATCTTCACAGTTAAAAATTCGAGAAAAAATTGAGTATCGACAAGCAGAGAAATGATCAAATGGCCGAATAACCGAACACGAAAATTGAGTCGAAAAATAATACTGGCGTCACTTGCTGAAAGTAATGATCAGGTTCCATTAACTGAGATGAAAATTTCTCTTGTTTGAACCATTGCGATGATAGCGCATCTTAATATGTTAATTTGACTTCGACTGCCGATGTGGGAGGGGTGTTGACGTCTGGAGTCACAACCTCAAACTTGGATGTCTGGGAAATCTCAGCTACCATGTCTTGCCCCTCAGGTAGCTGCTGGACTACATCGTCATCCACCATAATTTTGAGACCATCCCGACTGACACGCAATATTCGGACGATACGATCAGGGTCGATTTTGTATTTCTCAGATATTTTCTTCATCAAATCTCGAACCGTTCGCTGAGTTAAATAGACTGCTCTATAGTAATCGCCATTTTGCTCATCAGGGAACCGTATGTAAAAACATGCGACTATTGGTGTGTTAGCTAGAACTCGGGTAGATCTAAAATGGGAGATATCTTTTACTCACTTGGTCTGGGTGGACGCTCCGCTGGGGGTCTGTAGGTTGGGTCGATGTCGATAGCCTCAATGTAACCAGTCGTACCTTTCTTCACTTTTACTGGCTGGGTCAGAAGACTCGGATTGGTCCACTCCATTGCCTCGTCGTGTTCAAGGAAGCTGTGGCTTGATAGTTGGCGTTCCGAAGGCCGCCGTGGGGAGTTAACATTAGAGAAGCTGCTATTACTGGGGGAGAGAACATTGGACGCGGCAGATGCTCCATCGTTGCTATAGAGCGACTCGCGGGTGCTTTGACGGGAAAGAGGCTCGAACTTGAACTCTTGGGATTCGCCAGGTAATACAACAGGAAATAAGTCGGGGTCGTCGTGTTCGTCACCTCGTAGGTTAAGTATACTGACGGGCCGGGTTGATGTAAACATGTCCTGCATCATTGCATATTTCAGATTGAGATCGTCTTCTGGCGAAAGCTTGCCGCCGTCTTGCGAGTCGATCGACCACGTCCGTTTGTGCTTAGGAATTTTGACTGGGCGATTATGGTCAGAACCCTTGATCGAGATAGAAACATTGCTACGTTTTCGTTTGCCAATATTACCTCCTCCCGTTTCTAATTGAGCCATTTGCTGCTTCAATTTCTCCATCGTCTTTTTGACGTGTGCAACATCGTTGGAAAGCTTCCGCTCTGCGCCGTGGTCACGGAAAAGCTTTACCTTGCAATAAGAGACCTCAGAAACTGGCATATCAGGTGCTACTGCATCACTAGGAGATAGTATTTCTGTCTTGGCACAGAGTCGAACGGGTATACCTTTAACACCTTTGGAATGGCTGAAGTCAGTTGATAGGAAATTGAAACGGACAGAAATCGCACAGTCTGCCGTAGCAACTGCCGGGTTCGCTGTCCAAGTGACGCAAAAGCCATCAAACGAAGCCTTTTCAAGTTCGATTTGGCGTTGAGTTTGGCCGTCGTCTGCGCTCTGGGTTGAATCCACGTATTCGACAGCGAGCAATTTTCCACCTCGTTGGTGGGCTTCACTCGAGCCGCGCCCTTCCTTCCATAGCTGCCAGCAGGTCGATGGCCTTGACCGCTGCTGTTCATCTTCAAAGGAAATGCGAATGTATGTTCGATATTTGCGCAGTTGCGAACCGGGTGGAGGTGGGCAATGGTCGACGACAGATACCGAATATGCTTGGCCCTTATTTAGATAAGTGACCGGAATTTCATCGGCATGCTTAATCATAGCAGTCGGAGCGCGCAAGGTGACGCCAAATCGAAATCTGCTGACAGTCAAAAATGTCAATTCCTATAAATAAAGAAGCGGTTTTCTATCATTTCTATCGGTAAGGTGAGGGGAGGTCACATCATGATTAGATGATCTTGTTTTGCTTACTTCTCGTCCTCTGTTTCTGAACTCACTTCCATTTGATCGGAAAAGCCGACACCGGGCATCATCATGTTCAATGACTGAGCGCCCGATGCAGACATGTGATCTCTGGAGGATTCTTCAGATCTATCCATCGGGTCATAACCTGAATCTCGGTGTATAAACGCACTCGGCGCGAATGTCTGTTGAGCGAAAGGATTGTATGATTGTGGCATGAAAAGTGGCGGATGAGGATAATGATTAACAGTCATCTCGCCATTGGCCCCGGAGGGAAAGCCGGCGGAAAGCGTATTAGGAATGGAGATAGGGGTGACCATATTGTAGCCGAGTGGTGTGTGAAGATCGCCAGCCTGGTGGTGGTATAATGTTGTCATCCCTCCGGGGGTAGGCGTATAATAACCGGGGGGCTGATTTGCCAGGTTCATGAACTGGAAAGAATTCGGATCCATCAAAGAGGGGGTAAATCGAAAGTCTTGAAGATTTCTCGGAGTTGGGTCGTTGGCCTTGATTTCGGCATTGCCAGACCTGTTGGGTTCGATCGTCAGCATTCAATTGTGGTTCGGAACGCAGGGCGTTTAGGGCAATAACGAACTGGCCATGTATTCCTTCTATAGCGGCGGGGTTGATGGAATTGCCCTGCCTGCCATCTCCAGATAAAGACCCTGTTGAGCTGACATCGGGGAAGGTCTTCTTGAACTTGTTGATGAGCTCTTCATCGGGCTTCTGCGAGGTTCTTCTATGCAAATTTGATAAGAAACGCGTTAGCAACGGATACAAACCATAGACCAGAATTGTCTCCCACCTGTTGCGAAACATTAGGGGCGACCAGAGTCGCGGGGACTCGAATTAAAGGTTGTTTTATCAAAGGAAAAAGAAATAAAATATGGAGTCGAAGCGACTTGCAACATTCGGATCGGATGGCACGACTTTCGCTTTAGTAGTGGTTCGCCGTGAGAGCTGGAGATGAGGGTAATGCCCTTTCCATCTGAAAGTGTATCTATTCTGCAGGAAAGGAAGAGCGGAGTATCACAGCGGATGCAACAAGAGACGTAGGCGTGTTGACAAAAAGCGACAAGGCCAGCAAGAGTAGATATAACTATCAAAAAACGATTCGGGGAGCTGAGGGATGAATAGCGGGGTGTCGAAGTACGGTGGGTGTTGTTACCCGCTATTATGAGCCACGGTAGAGGGACGAAGTCTTCCCGAAATATGGAACGAATGTTAGACAGCCACGCCGAGACGATGGCGAAAAAAGTTAGTTAAAGCGGTAAGTATGAGGAAGAAAAGACGGGTAGAGAGAAAGGGGGAAACACGGAAAACACGGTCTAGTCAAGTCTGGTGGTCGAAGAAACGGTCGGCAATGGATGGTGGTAGAGTTGCAGTCTGTCGCGGATGGAGCAGGTGTGGTCCCTTGCGGCTAAGGCCAAGCAATGAGCGCTCAGGGGGACCACATTTTATGACTTCACCAGGCCGGGGCTTATGCGTACGTAGTCATAGAATGGAGATAGCACAGAAGAGAGCGTCGTAAATAAAAATCTCGCGGAAGGGGAGAGGGAAAGGACGGTGGAACGCTGGAAGGCAGTAATGTGGGACAGCCGTAAGCGGTCAGCGCCGTTACTAGCCGTAACCTATTCGTCGTCGTCTTGTAAGATTCTTTCACATAGTTAATTCGAAATGGAATTACTGTTGACTATGGAGATACGTAGTTAGTTATGTAATTGTAGCACGTTGACATGTAGGTAAGATAAGTGGCCATGCAGCAGCTAAGAATTGCCTAGTTACCGTATCCATGGAGTCGACATGAGCAATCCTTATTCGTAATTCAGCAGTACTTGCTACTGAATAACAGAAAGTGTATTGCATCTTAACTACCCGTCAGAAGCAACGAACGCCTCGCACGCCGCTTCGACAGGCCCACGGTACACAGTGCGCCACTTGTGTACCACAACAATCTAGATCACCTGTCATATAAGGATCGAGACAATCCATATATGTCGTCTGGGGGCCAGATGACCATTGGGCCGTATCTTTCGGATCATGTTTTGGCCTTCTCCATCAGGCAGTGGTCCAAGCTTAGCATCGATGACGTATATACTTTTCATTGGGAAAGATAAGTAAAACAAAAAAGGCCACCATTCAAACAATGTCATTCCGGAGGATATGTTTTTCCTGGATGGATGGTCATATGGGAGAATGAAGTAGAGAAGTATTCGCGTAGGTAAAGGGCCAAGACCCGGTGGGCCGGCCATTGGCCAGACTGGTGCTCCATCGGAACAGAATTCCACCAATAACAAAAGGTGGCTGAGTATGCCGATTGCACTAAAATGGAACAGGAAATATGGGGACGGAACGCGGGAGCATAGCATGCGCTTGTACTATTTAGGAATTAGTGTAGACTCGTCTATCCTGCTGAAAAGAATCATCAAGGCCATTGTTGTCTCCTGAAGATCGCGGACCTCCTTAATCCTTAAACTCGCTCACACGAGATATACAATCCATACATCGTTATATGTCCTTAGTTCGCGTCTAATGTAAATCCGGAAGTTGGAGTACAAATAGACTACTGGGCCCGGACTATCTATCAATTATCTTTAAGCAGCATGGAGACAATTGAAGTCACTTGGGCTAGGCTTATAGCACACATGCAATCTCCTTTTGAGCCACATTTACACCAGCCAGCACAGCAGTATTTGGAAAGGGAGAATAAACGTAGATCACCGCATAATTAGCGCATTACTTATGCCCGTGTACGGGATGCTCTATAGGTCGATAATCTCCGCGCCTCAAGCCACATGGAGGGGTGGTCGAATAACAACACCGGCTTGCCGATGGTATGTACCCCGAGGGTGAGTCGATCAGACGCTATTGGTGAGCGGGAAAAGAACTATCCGCCACTTTGGCTTTTTTACCCCATTAACTCGAAACGGTGATGTATATTGCAAATTTACCAGTAACTGCGTGAGTTCACTGTCTAACAAGGTCTGAGCTGGTCTACTATTGCTGTACAAGAACGAGTAGGATAACATCTAATTTGACCATAACGAAGTCCTTATTACACTACGCCCAGCTAATTAGAAATAATTCCTTCTTTACATTGCTTAGGTACAATGAGCCTTTCTAGAAGACTATATAGATTTTCCTTCCCCAGGATGGAGAGCGGGTTTAACGGTGAACTCAAAAATTAATTCGGATCCATGAAGATCATATGCTGCGCTTACCCTGAGATTCGTTTATTATTCGCTAGTTTGCACTGTATGCTCTTCAAAGCGCTGTGACACAAACGGCATTGTTGTCGGAAAATGGTCCCATATTAATATATGTGTTACATCTACAAGAACGACGATCAATAATAGGATCACCTCACATCGGAACTGCCAGTGAAGCTGCGTCATATCACATATGGATATGTACTAAGCATGCAGCGTGGCTATCATCAAAAAGAAAGGGTACTACCACTTAACTCTAGCCCCAAGCTGATTTATCGGAGCTTTCATCCGTAGCTCAAGGATCTCCATAATCCATTCCCTCTTTGAACAAATGTATAGAAGCCCAATTAAAAGAAATAACGGTAAGCCGGGTCAGGGGCCCATTCAATTTATTATTAAGATGAGTCCAATAATAACTAACTTAAGCATTATATATGTCATAACTAACTATCCGTAATTAAAAAATGAAAAGAAAAGGAAAGGAAAAATTGAAGACGCCACAGTGGTAGCAGTGACGTCAGCGATTGAATCGGCAACGGCCCGCTGCCGATAAGCTTTTGCCCATTGAAGCTGGATGGATGTATTTGCTCCCCGTTCAGGTACGTACTCCGGCTGATTTTCCCGTTCGATATCGAGGCAAGCTGAATTGCTAGGTGTAGGTTCTACGCACTGTAGAATGCAGCAACTAATTTGCTAACTAGTCAATAAGTTAGCGGTCTAATTTGAGCAAGATATCTCTTTCGCTCGGATGAGACGGCCTGAGAACAGCTTGATATCAACCAGCACCTCAAACTAATACTTACATTAGCGAAGTCAGTAAAACTATGCTCAATAGAGCACTAAGACGGTCCGCGAATCATTTCTAACCAGAGCCACACTGAGTGGCAAAATTGTTTGACGCCTCATGACCATTCAAAACCCTCAGTTCGCCACTGTCGAGATATGTAGGTGCATTCGGAAATGTCGCCGGGTTGCGTTCTTACTTCTCACTCACGTTGTCCCATATTATTCTCCCTGTGGATCTAGTGCACCTAGGCTTTAATTTTACATGACTCAGTTAACCGTTGTTGTAAGTTAGTTACAATCGCATACATGACAATACAATGCACCCGCCGCCCCACACAACACACGGCAAGTGACATAATTCCAGCCAACCACAACTTCTACGCCAGTTAAGAATCCATCGTTGTCAAATCTCAGTAGACCTGAGAACAAACACATCGGATATGGTTTCCGCTGTCTGGTCTTTCTTGGGGGATTCACGAAGTAGTCAAACCAAAAATAAGTGGTCTAGCCGACAGCAAGTTTAGGGAGCAAGGGGTCCCCGAGCCTCAGAAGATGGACTTTGCGCATTTGCAACACCTTCAGTCTTTCGTGGTGATCAATCTGGCCGACATCAACTGATCAACGAATGTAACTATCCATGCTGACGAATTTTTTCACTCAAAATTGCCTTTCCAAGTCGTACAGACATGCGGCACGCCTTCGCGTCCACCCTCTGGAGCATGGGTTGCTGGATCATACCTTGAAATCAAAACTAGGTGTGTTCAAGCTCTGTTTGACAGCCAGATGCAGAGTAACCATAAGCGCACGGCTCTCATTTAGAGAGCCTAAGAAAACGGCGGCTGAATGGCTATGCATTATTATTAACTTTTAACTGCATACTAAGACGAATCAGGATTTGATAGAAGACATGCTGCGTTTCATTCACTGGTGTTGCCTCCCTCTCTGAAATAGAAGAGCATGCAACGTAACCTGCAATATAGCCGTCCCAGCGCTCAATGACTGCAAAGTCCCAATAAACATAAAATACACACAAAAGCTATGACATCAAGTCTCAAGTATTGGCTACTGAGGGAAATCAAAGAATATGTAAGAGGCTAGGTTAGCCAAACAGACAAATACTACAAGTACGTCACGATATGTGGTCTTTTGACAACTATTATCACCCTCGTATCCTGTACATTAACATTAGTATGAATATTAATGCGTGACAATTAGTGAAAACCCATCGATCCATGCACCACAAGATCCCGAAACTCCAACAATGCTATAGCCTCGAGGCGGTATCAAGGTATGCCTGCATTTGCAATGTTAGTGCCAATCTTACTTTTGCGAAAGAGTCATCGCCTACCCAGAGCCTCCATTCGCGTTCCCATATACACCTGATTTCCTCCCAAAACTAGTAAGAATTTCAATTCCATCAATCCAGAGACCAGCTCGGACATAAAAACCCAATAAAAGTTCTCCACGTCGTGCATCTGGAATGCATGTTAGCATTCTGAGTAGAAAGGAAGGAGAACATTAGCTAAAGAAAACTTTCACTGACCAAAAACAAATTCATCGCCGCCTGGCTTCCCGCCTCGTTTGCCAAATAATTGACTAGTTGCATCTTCATAACAGAATTCTATGCCATCAAGGGCAAACCCATGATAGACTTTGACAGACGTCAAAACTTTCTTCTGGACAAATGCACTTTCTAAAATAACCTGCTGGGGTTCACTTCCTTCCATTTGAGAAAACCCTAGCTTGATACTAGTAAACCCCGTCTGACCCTTGGGAAGCTTGACAAGCGATTTTTTCGACGTCACAGCGTTTAGGTCATCAATTCGATGCCGCCCAAGGTTTCCTGAGAAAATTTCAAGCCGTATTTTCTTCTTCTGCTGTTCAAGGGGTAGCAAATTCCGCAGTTCACTTTCGGTGACGGTTACCTGTCTGGGTATATTACCACTCTCGTTGTTGATGAACTCCAAGAACTTGTGACATAGGTCATCGCCCTCTGTGTAAAGTTCTAGAAAAGCAACCCCTGATGCCGCCGTAAATAGAATTCTTCCATGTTCCACTGCCCAGGCCTGGATACTCTCATCTGGATGGCTAGGGGGGTCACTCGGTAGACGGAAGCAAGGGTGGAATCTGAATCTTAGGGTATCAAGTCGATGCCATTGGCATTCATCTGTTGGCAGACATAGTCTGACGCCTTCTGACCTTGTACGAGTCGAATACGGCTCCCGAGTGGTGAAGGTTCGGTTCAAACGGACATAGTCACGCAACATGACACCAGATTCTTGGTGTGGACACCCAAATAAATGACCGACTTCGTGCATATGAGCTCCGATGCCGATATTAGCTGACTCCCAACTGCTTCCCGCATCTCCACAATCGTTGGCTATATACCTTGTATCTGTTGGTGTGGTGTCGGAAAATGCGGGAGCCACTTGCTCTAGACATGACGGGTAATTTTGAAGATTATGAGAGCCAAATATTGCCATCTTTATGTTACCGCCGTCAGAACCCAGCGCAGCATGAGCGGTGATTACTTGCGATTCCACGTCCCAATGCGAATCAAGTAATAGCACTGAAACATAACGTTTCTGCTCCGGATGTGGCCGAAAGTATGCATTCACGGCATCTTTTGCAATATTGAACAATTCGTCTTTTCTCTTCGCAGGCCCGTACTGTTGAGCTATATCCAAGTCTCGTAATTCGGCAACCGTCTTTTCGGTTCTCACAATATGTACTTTGGCTTCGTTTCTTATCTGCCCCGATGCGAGGTCTCTCTGGCTCAGACTGCCTGTTTGCCATTCCTCTTCCAGCCGAAAGCACCTCCTACTGAAACCATTCCGAAACATTTGCTCTCCAGTAAAGGCTTGCCAGAGATAGGCAGCCATTCGATACTTCCTGATGGCCACATCAAGATTATTACCTTCGGTTTGAATGCGTTCAGGAACTGAATCAAAGGTGCCCGGAGAATCCTTAGCCAAGAGAATTACCAGGTCAAGAGGTGGGGCGTTAATCAATGGGAGGTAATTAATGCTGTGCCAGGACGAATGAGTGTAGGCCGAGCTGGAGGATAATTTTGGGGAGGTGAAATCAAAGCGTAACCGGTTGGGCCCCGGAACTAGATGAATGAGCACTTTGAAATGGGAGTCTGAAACCGGCCAGGTCGTCACAGGGAAGCTATCCTTGTCGTGGTATACCGTCAGGGTTCCGTCTATCGACAAGTGCCGCGGATCGCCTATGTGGCCAGAGACCAACAAAATTTTCTGATGCACCTAGGAACGAGAGACATGAGACAATGAGTAAAGCTGTATGTAAGGAGTGTCCGGTGACAAAACCATACCCATGAATTGTCGGATATAGAGATGATGCGCGGGGCATAGGGAGAAGTTGCGACCGGTGTTCGCACGGAGCCATTTGCGGGGGAGCCATTGCTCGACTGTACTCATTAGAAGATTCATTCCACATTTATTTGGGAGGCAAGAGAGTTATGTACATAGTAACTGTTTCTATTCGATTGAGATGTTATTGGTACCGGGCGTTGGGGGAGCGGTGACGGCATGGGCGGCACCCCTGAGCCTTTCATGGTCTCGCTGAGTGTATGGAGGTTTGGCGACGACGCGGATGGCTGGAGGGAGGGCGGCGTATTGGAGCTGTATGCGGTTCCTATTGTTGAGGAAGATTGGCCGCTTTGCATGTTGTCGTTGGGTTGGGAGTCGGTTGAGGTGGTTGTACGGAAGCTGGCCTTGGAGCGCCGCCGAAGCTCCCTGAAGATCGACATGTCGATTTTTCTTGTTTTCCTCTTTGCGATTGAGATATGACCGTCATTAAGGGACGCCGACGATGCCAGTAAAGATCGACTGGAAATAATAAATCGAAATGCACCGCCTGTTGGCGGTCTCGCCCACGAAATAGATGGGCGGACAAGTCGACGAGGTGGAAGTACCTAGGTATGCTGCTGGTGGTTTGTTTCTCTCCACGCAGGTGGGGGGGAGTGACGTTTGGCAGTTACGCTTGCGGTTGTGAGCCAGGAGGGAAAGAGCCACGGGCCAGGGACCAGGATCGAACGTGAGGGAGGCAGGTGCCCTGAAGAGAAAGGGAAAGAAAGGGAAAGAGCGAAATGAGTGCAAGAAGGAAGCCCTGAAGGAGCGAGAAGAATTCGTCTTAGCATCACTAAATTATTACTCCCCCGTTAAATTTTATTATATGGGCGGAAGTACGAGCGTAGTACGTGTTTGGAAGACAAACAAATCTTATGCAGTGGGTCGTAGACAAGACATTCATTTTCTGCCTCTCTGCCGGGAAACGGCCATCCTGCATTGCAGTCCGCACATTCATGCCTACCACAATGTTAGGTTGGTTGCCAACTATTTTTTATCATTGCCAATTGGACATCTGGCCGGTTATAGGGTGAGATGGTGTAAGCAGATCGCCGGATTTCAGGGTTGATGACGCGGAGGCTTCCCGGAACGAGACAGCCTTGTTTCACCTCGCCAGACTAGCTTACCCGGCCCAGACATGGCATACTATATAATATTTTGAGGTTCGCTTTCAGTTGGTATACTCACTACGGAGTATTAACGGGCACTCTTGGTCTCTGGCCTATTTCAAATCAAGCCATTCGTTTCTGATCTCAGATCTGTCCATTCGTCGATGAAACCACGTGAGGCCATCTGCAGATAAAGCTGCATTTCTTGCCGGATACGGTTAGTACGAGATAGTCTAGGCATTGGGGCCTCAGGCCACGATAGTCACGTGAAAATGTTTACAAAAATGCTTAGTAATAACATGCGCGGAAAACCCTATCCATCGATTGGTCCATCTCCATGACCGCCTTTCTGCTCAGCCTGGGCAAATTTCTAAAATTAAATACTACCAAACTAGTACTAGTGTGTAGGTGCGATAGGTTATAACGTCTTGCAAGGTGGTGCAAGTTAAGGTGACCTTGAATAATTGGCCAAGCGATGCTAAGCTGAAAAAACCGCCGAGGGAAGCTCAAGCTTCACTTTCTTTTGCACCTGGAATGATGCATACAACGTTCTCCCGACGATGTTCTAACTGAAAGCTGCCATGCCACATCAGTCTTCCACCTACCGACGACCATACAAGAAGTCGACCACGGTGCGCTTCTACGTGCCCATGTTTCTTGACAGCTCGATCTGTTTACAACTGACAACTGACGCGTCTCAGGGTTGCAACTCCTGCAAATCTCGGAAAATCAAGGTGAGCCCCATAGTATATACTCACTACTCAGCACACAGCATTGATTGGACTGGCCCAGTGCGACGAAGTTCGTCCCATATGTGGGAACTGTAAAAAGCACTATATAAATGCATCTGTCTGCCAATACGGCCGGCGACCTCCGTCAAAACCCACAGCGCTGGTGGCGTCGACATCAGAACTGACGGGGATGCCAGTGAGACCAGTGACATTGGACACGTCAAGTTCGTTGGCCCTACGACTCATGCACCATTACGCCGTGTCGATAGTCTGCAACCGGTCATCGGCTTCCTCGGAAAATGCCAGGCTCATCAATACGCTATGGGAGGTTGAAATCCCGTCCATGGCCTTTACCTCAGAAGTCGTAATGAATGCCCTTTTGGGGATTTCTGCCTGGCATTTATGGGCCATGAATTCACACGATCAGACCTTGATAATGGCTTCCAGGGCTTATTTTGGTAAGGCTATCAAACTACAGAGAGTTGCGCTTGAGCAACAAAATGAGGACAATTTAGCCCCAATATACATAGCTGGTATGGTCTTGGCCCATCATACCTGGCTTTTATCCCATACCGATGAAGGTTCAAACAAGCGCCAACTGAAGCTCGAGACCTTCTACTTGTGCAGTGGCTATCTAACATTGGGCAAAAGACTATCTCCAACCTGGTCCAAGTACACAAATCTCTGCGTGACTCCAGGAAACATATATCTTCATCTGCCACAGCACAACAAATTCACGGAAAGAGTTGTCCAAGACGGTGATCGTCTTCACGAACACGTTCAAAATGCAGATATCAACCAGAAAGACAAGGTGGTTTACAGAAAAGTGATTGGGGAGATCTTGAATATCTACGCATTGATAGCAAACACAAGCGAAGACGTATCCACAAAGGAGAATACCGTCGTCTCCTTTTTGCATCGAGTGCCTTCATCTTTCATGTCCCTGCTGCAAGGCCAAGAACCGATGGCAGTAGGCCTCTTGGCCCGCGCATGGGCCGCGCTTGGCCTGCTTAAAAATTCGTCAACGGCTTGGTATATCCATGGAGCCGGGGATTTTCAGGTCTATCGTCTTGCTGTCACGGAAGTCATAAATTTAATTCCACTCAGTTGGAAATGGATTATGGATTGGCCTTTAGAGATCATCTCAACGAAGTTTGACCCTTATTCATACGAAACAATTGCCTAGCTTTTTTTACTGAAACAAGAACACATGCGCAAAAATCAGCCACCATTGTTTGGTCCTACAACCAGATTCGACTTCAAAACCAGAACTGGTTTCTTGTTCAAGTAAGTAGCTATCACAGTACAATGTTAGATAGTGCCCTACTTGACGTTATTTTTTATTTTTATTTTTGATTAACTAGAATCAACCTTGACCAAGGCTCTATTTGCATCGGCTATATGACAAAAGAGGCATCATCACTCTACATAAAATGCTTTAACCGAGGAACAGTCAAGTCGAACACGTTTTGGGGGTCATATTTCTTCTTCAGCTCAATGATCTCATCAGCATGACAGCCAAAAAACCTGCTAAGTGTATCAGGCTGAGACGGTTTCTCTTCCGAAGTGTCCAAAGAAATATAAGTGCTGCCAAGGAGATTTTTATTATCAGTTTTCTGGACATCCTTCCAAAAATCGACAGCCCACTGTTCTGATAGCTCGTAATTTTCCTGCGTTGCATAACCCAGAATCTCAAGCATGAAATGAGGCTCCCTTGATGCGAATACAGAGTTACTCTGAGGCGTTGCAGAAGAAACACTGGATTGATGGATCGAAAACATGGTTCCATGATCAGACGGCAACTTTTCCAGATTCTTGCCAATGGTTTCCACTAATTCTGGAGTCAATTCATACAAATTTTGAGTGCGACTCGAGCCATAAACAACCTGTGGAACGTGAGCCCCATTCGCAGAAAACCATGCCGGGATCGTTGTCGCTGAGATAGTATTCATAAGTACTTTGCCCAGAGACGCAATCCTTTTACTCCAACGCTGGCCCTCTTCTGTATCTTCGGAACTCCACATGAAGCTTACACCGAACACTCTTCCAGGCGGTGCATTGAAGGCAACTTGTTGAAGAGTAAGCTGCGACGGAATACCGTCCTTTGAGAGTTCTCGATATGATGCGTTGTAATCTGTTATCGCTTTACCGATATTTTGCGAATCATATATGATCACGCCAGCAAGAATCTAAATATATAGTAAGGATATGATCAGCTCCATAATAAGGAGAGAAGGGGATCATTGCTTAACTTACACTTTTCAAGGAATAAACCCTGATTGAGACATCCAGAATGATTCCGAAAACTCCTCCTGCGCCACGTATTCCTTTCAGCAAGCCATCATCGGCTTTGACAATCTCACCACTAGCATCAACAATAGTGGCAGCGACAATCTGGTCTACCCCCAGGCCCCAGTTAGATGAAAATGGACCATACCCTCCATACATGGCCCATCCCACGTAGCCAACTGTCGGGATAGTGCCTGTAGGTGTTGCGAGTCCTTCCTTCCATAGGCTTTTAGCTAGCTCCTCTTGCAGGATGCCTGCACCTACAGTTGCGGTTTTGCCATCACTAGCGACTTTGACGGATGTAAATGCCCGCATGTCAATTGTTAGTGCGCCCTCGGCTATCGCGCGACCTTGGAGATTGTGACCACCTCCTCGGATAGTGAATTTGATTCCATTTGATCGGGAAAATTTCACAAGGGCGCTGACTTGCTCGACCGACTCTGGACGGACAATTGCGAGCGGATTGTCCCGACGAGCATGGTTCCAAACTTTTCTGTTTGATGCATACTCCGGGGAAGAAGGCGGCGTGTACTTGATCCCTGGATGATCTTTGAGGAAGGTCTCGAGTGTTGCTAGTTGTGCTTGTGCCATTGCCGGGGAATGTACAATGTCTGTCTATGGGAGATCGTCGGGAAAGATAATTGGGTAGGTAGTGAATGTTGGAGAGAAATACTCGATAAGCAGCCTGCTCATCCCGGATCCTACAATATGGCTTATTATTTATACCTGCAGGAATTAAGCTGATGACTTTACCTATCTGTAACTAGTTAACTTAAATGCATTATACTTACATATCATGAAGCTGGCTTATGCTTCCAAATCCAAGGCGAAAACGAACCCGAACGCGAAGACAACTGATTGGCTAATCTGGCAATGCCAAGGCGATTTCCCACCGTAGTGGCTTTTTGCGTGATTTCATTGGTTGCATTGTATATACTTCATTTTTTCCATAGAATATATAAGGTTCTATTTTTAATTTATACACAGCCATTTAGTGCTCACAGTGTCCACCGCGGCACTGCCCAGGCCTGGTGCAGGTGGTCACTCTGCTGTTTTCAAGATTTTTGATGGCCTACACTCTCGGATGCCCGACTCCGTATTCAGGCGAATGCCACCAGCCCCGATGATCCCTGGAATGGCAACACGTCTGGCTGACACGTGGTGTTGGCTGGAGGCAGTTGGCCTCCCAAGTAGGCCTGGACGGCTTCTAGTAAGCAGCTCGACGCTCTAGCAGAGGCAGTGTGTTGATTGAAATGCTGGATTAGTTTATGTCGTTAAAAGGAACAGAAGAAATACATACCCTGACAGAGTTTTGTGTGAGAACGACAGACCCAGGGAAGACAGATGACATTTTATAAGCACTAGCGTGACGCGGTGTTATTAGCTTGGGAATAGTCAAAATGGCGAGGAAGTTTATGAGTACTATACGCACTTTCTCTTTGGCGTGACAGGGTCGATGTCTGCTGTGACAAAAAGAATTGGGAATAACGTATTCCTGGGTTCCATTATGGAGGCTGCAAGTTTTCCCGCCTCAGGAATCTCGACGTCAAATGATCTGCAAGCCACAGTGTTGGCATTGTTTGGCCAGACCTCACCAAAGACCTCGCTCTCGTAGGTCAAGGTCTCAACGTATGCTCTGTACTCTTCGAGTGTGGCGTACTTAGTGCCGCCATATCCATCCACACATTTGATTAATGTGTCGGTGTCGATTGTACTCCCTATAGTTCCATTGTTGCAGGGATCTGCCGGGATGCTTCCACTCATCACTGCGGCCAGATAGTCCGTCGTGTTTCCTGCCTCGAGAGAGGAGAGAACATCAGCTAGAATAGGGAAGTACATCAAAGGTGTATAGAGTGCCTCTAGGGCATATTGTTTGAGATCAGAGTAAGTAGCGAGAAGAGGGATTTCACAAGCTTCCGAACTTGGGATGGGAATAGGATTGTATTTGAGTTCAGCGAGCAAGCTGTCAAATCGATCACTGATGTTCGCGGCGGACGGGCCCCAGAAAGAACAATTCTGAGGACCACCTTGGTAGCAGTATTGACTGAAAGATTTAATAGCCTCATCTGTCTCGAATAAATTCTGCTTCCATGCCAGATCATAATAATCGGACGCATCCAGCACACCATCGACAATCATTCTGTCCACTTTGTCTGGAAACATAGACGCAAATGTCACTCCGAGAACAGTGCCATAGCTAAGGCCCCAATATGTAAGCTTGGCGTCGTCCGCAGGCTTCCCGGCTGCGACTTGCTCTGCTTGGATGTAAGTGAGCATGTCACGAGCGACTGCTGGGGTGCTGATGAAGCTGGCGTTTCCATTCGAGCCGCCTACGGTTGAGGTACATGCCTGACCGAAGATGTCCGCTGCGTAGAATTGAGTCTCGAGGGCAACGGATGACGCATATGAAATGAAGGGGTAGTATAGCTTCTCAAATTGGGCTCTCTGTTCCGGGTGGCCCGGCCAACAGTCTACTGTAGGTCCACTGTGGCCAACAGCACGCCCGTCGATACCAACAATGTTATGCTGACCTCCGAGGAGTTCTGATAGAGCCTGCCCATCGCTAATGACGAAGTTCTGTCGGATTATTTGCCTTCCTATCTTCAAGGCTTGTGCAACACGACAACTTCACACAACGGGGGTGTTCCCTGTCCTTTGTCATGTATGCGAGTGCCGCGATTGGGGGCCCGGGGGGGTTGTGGTTCGTGTCGGAGCTTAAAGCTGACCGCTGTTCACACCACCGGGACCCCCTGCTCCTGCGTCAATTCCTGCACGGGTCTTGCAACAGAAGTCTATCTTGGGTGATGTGGACTTACCAGTTTTGAACACAACATTCTGGGTTTCTGCTCTCTGGTTCTGTGCTGTATATTTGGAAATGGCAATAGATGTATTCCCCCGGCTTGGATCTCCGTAGTCAAGCGGGACTTCCAGTTTTGCACATGTGTAGTTTTCGAAGCATGGTGTCCATTGAAGAGTTGTTGAGGATGCAACCTAGAGAGCGGAAGAAGTCAGAGGCTTGTAATTCTTTCAGATTGAGAGACATAGAGGCATACGGAAGCCCAGTCGTCAACTGTACTGCGAACTGTATGCGAGGGTATTGCGGTAGCTGAGACGGTACTAATTTGGCTGACAACTGCTGACCCAGCAAGATATAAAAGCCATGTAGAGCTACAAAACATCATGTTGGTCAAATTTAATAAGGGAAAAAAGATATTCGGATTGGTACTGTTGGCATATTGTCCATCAACATGATCGGGAGAGTCAATGGACGCTTTTATATTCAGTCAAGATAAGCTCTGATACGCTCTGATATCCCAAGTCAGAATGTCTAGCAGTTAACTAGGCAGCATTAAAATCAACTTAGGGCTACTTGAGGTTATTTTTATTTTTAGAGGACGTTCCCAATTAGGAAGACACTACTAAAAAGCTCAGGCCTGCTATTGGCTCCCCAAGGCAAGTGTGGATCACATTTACATAAGGCTGAGGCTCCGCTTTTCGATTTTACAGGGGGGAGCCAATCATATTAGAGATACACCTTTAGTGTCAACTCAGCGTCAGTATGGATTGGAGTCTATGGGTTAAGGAAAAGTTTCTTCTTTCTTTGGTAGTCTTGGATCTACATTGTGTTGGAGACGAGGGAGCCAATAGTAGTTGTCCAGCAGTACAGCCCCAATGTCTCGGTCGAGACAAGTAAATCCCAGCGCCGTTGTTAGTTATTCGACGTTCTATGGAAACGTCGCGAACCTGATGATGATCGCTTACTCTATGCCTTGATATTGACAGGGGTAAAGCGCTAGTTAAGGCTCCACCTTGAATAGCCGACGCATTGCCGATCGGTCGACTGCGAGTTCTGTCACGAAAGGACAACGAGTACGAAGTACAAGTGACGACACCCTGCCATGCGCTCTTGCTTCATTTCCAGATCTAAACCTTCATGTTCTCGTTTTTCTGCTCTTGACAAGTTTGGCGGGCTCAGAATGTCCTCAACCCTTGGGTTTCATTCTGAAATATGTGCAGACGTTAATGAACCCTAGTTCCGAGGGCAGGCCGTTTGTTTTGAAGCTTGTGTCTGAGTCGATATTCGACCACTCCGTAACGCTCAAGCAGGCTTTTCCGGATACCATGCAACTTCGAATACATGTTGACGTTAATGAAAATGATCGGGCTCTGGTTTATGAGCACTTTACTCATGACTTGCTTTCCTTAGTGCAGAGAAACACAAATCTTTCCCTCAAAACAAGAAAGTTGATAGTACAGGAAGTCGGACAAGCAGTGACGGAGCTTCACACTAAGCATTGGATACATTTAGGTCGGAGTCATTAAAGATATTACAGCATAAGGCTTCACTAACGTACACATCTCACCCAGATATTAAGCCTGACAATGTCAGATCGATGGCAAGGAAAACAACGAGGGCCAATTTGAAATAGAGAGAGTGATGCTATCAGATCTGGACTGTACTCTGGAACTAGAAGGAGAAAACCTCCTCAATGCCAGAATAGGCAATATCATGTGGCGCAGTCCAGAGGCGCAAGTAGGGAAGGATGTTGGCAAGCCTGGAGATGTATTCTCTCACGGACTTCTTGTAAGTTGGATTACTGATTTCTCGAAAGTTGTTGCTTAAATTTGCTCCAGTGTCTCTATGTGATAACGGGTATGGAGACCCTACACCCGGACTTCCAAGAGTTGAAAGAAGCCGGCATTGAGCCTGAGCTGGAAATCATAAGTTGATTGATCACGTTCTTCGGCCCAGTGCCCTCTGGACTACTAACACATCTTAACGATCAAAAATGGGGCGACGTCTTGAAGGACCTATCAGAGGCAACAGCTGGAGATCCGAGCATGCGATTCCGTCAGTGGACTGAGGAGGTTTTTCCAAACCTTGATGCTGAGGCGAAGAGAGTGATATTCAGGATGACAAACCTCAATCCGATTGAGAGAGCTACCATGCTCGAAGTTTTGCAGGATCCTTGGTGGACGAGCTCCTAGAACTGGACAGGAAGTGTAAATATTCGTTTGCTGGCTGGACAAGTTTTGAAGTACTGGGTACTTACTTTGTATAATGTCTCTCATCTCCTACTATAAGATACCTAGGTAGCTCCCACCATCCGTCTCAGAGCCTCAAGGCTCATAAACTATGACTGGTATGTCCTCGAACACTTTATTGCAGCTTGTTATTCACAAGAATCGCTGATTCTAACGGAAGCGCCGTTGGTCTTCGCTCCAGCAACTTGACGGGCGAACATCCTGGGGCAATTCTGGTGACTCCCAAGGTCAGAGGGAAAAGCGAAATATTTGAAGCAGCATATCCTTCAAAGAGAATCAGCGGTCCTGTTGAATGGCAACCTGAATTCGCATGCTCGTTCAAAAGCGGAAACACTAGTCCTGGGACCCTGTTTAATGTCGGCATTACGCTAATGCGGTGACTTCACTGAGTGGTTTAGCTCTGGACGACAGCTATATTCAACCGCCAGGTGTATTGCAAATTCGTCTGCCCTGAGCAGTAGTCGCTGGGCGTATGCAGAAATGGTAGGGACAGGATCGTCGGTTTTGGGCGTTTTGCTTTGTCTCGACTCAAAGGATGTAGTCAGCCTTGAGTGGCACGCTGGCTTTATGTTGTATCTATCCATGCCCGGCTTCCAATGCAACACCCCGGAATGGCACACAGAATGCTTCGGTAGCGAGTGCAACGCAACGTGCGTTTTGGGGAAATAGCTATGGCAAATAAGTTGACCGGGAGTTAGCGCGAAATCGGTCTCGGCGAGGCTTTCCTCTCAGCGGCGTCCGATAAAACAAAGCCGCGTGTAACTATCGTAGGAGCAAATAACCAAGCAGGATAAAGCTGTCGGCAGCCAATTGAGGCGGTTGGCAGGCAGGATGTGCCCCGTGCATTCCACGGTGATGGCCGGGCGACGGCTCAGGCACCCAGGCTGCAAGGCCTCAGCTCGGGACGGCTTTCCTCTTTCTTGTTTGCCGAATTCTACTCTACCATCGACCCAGTCTCGTCCTGTTTTTTTCCTCTGCAAAAGAAAAGACTGCTTACAATTTTATTTTAATTCCCTTTACGTCACTTGAACATCCACGCTGCACTATCATCCCAATCTCTGGTAGTTGTCCAGTTTCTACAAATATTGTCGGTTTTCCAGGGGAAGAGCCCTCTCGACGATCCTGCAGCTGAGGCCCTTGCTCCCACTTCAAGGCCAGCCTCGGGTGCTTGTACTCCTACCCCAGACTTTTCCAGTCAAGCGAGCATTGAGTCTACTCTGCCTAGCACGCATGCTTGTTGCGGTATATAATTTTTATTGGAAATTGGGAGTAGTAGGGGGGAAAACAAGCCAGGATGAAGGAGCGAACAGTCAACCCAGCGGTCCGCAAGAACATTGCCCAGGTAAGTTGCCCACACAGCACAGCTAACCACGGTCATGGTGCGGATCTCACTCACAACCTCTTCTATAACAGGTATGCTTGAGTCTCCAGGACCGACTCGGTCTTGCCAAGGTCAAGTACCAGCAAGGTCGACTGGGCATTTCGAATCCTAAATATTTGCACGATGGCCGCCTCGATAAACCGTCTGACTCCTCGTCCGTGATGGCATACAGCCGCTACGATACTCCTCTTACGTCCTCGCCAACAAGGAATGCCACTTTTTCGCACGAACTCCCCAGGTCTGCAAGAAACAAGCACGCGGCCACTTTCAGTTCAGACATGATGCAGCCGATGCTCAATGCTAGCAGGAAGCGGGTTCGTTCCAATTCGATTACAGACAGACCGGCGAAAGCCCCCAGGCTATCTTGGAAGACGTCCCATAATCTACCAGAGTCTTCTCCTGTCGTTGCTCGCCAGCTGCCAATTTATTCAAACCACCCTCCCTCTTTCGACGCCCCCGCATTCTCTTTCCCTGCAAACTCAGACGAAGAGAATGACCAGGATCTTCCCCGCATTCATAATGTTAGTTCTTCGATGGTCAGTTCTTCGCCACCACGAACACCTACGCTGCGGCAAGCTCGCCTGCCAAAGAATGATAAAGGCATGGGCAATGAGGACGGCGCAGATCTGTTGCTATTCCTAGCAAACTCTCCGACACCGGCCAGAGTCAACACCAGACCTCAAATCAGAGACTTTCCCCCGTCAACTCCTCCCAGTCAATATGCTGCTCTGCCTTCGTTGACTCCGACGCCGGGCGGTGGTGTGTTTCCTAATTTTAGTACTCCAGGCCAACAATTCAACTTTGCGGATTTCGTCAATGTGACGCCTAGTCCAGCCCAGCGTCCCTGGGGTGGACGGACTCCAGGAAGTCTGTCGAAGACGCCACTGCTAAGAACGGCGAGGAAGCCTCTGAATTTTGACAATCTTGTTCCTCCCGACCCGAACAGTCCTGTTGGGCGCAGTAAGGATACTGGACTGGCTCTGCAACTCGGCGAAGAGCTTAGACCATAGAACTCATGCTGAGACTATTTTGAATTACTTGTTATGTCTGAGATGATGACTTAGTCACGATTCTTTTTTGTATGCTGTTGAAAACAGCTTTTTTGCATTTTGTTTGGCGCAATTCTTTTTTTCTTTTCCCTTTCTCTTCCTTTCTCTAACCCTTTGACCCGGTTCGTCATTTCACTGATATGTTATCTTCTTGTCTTGATGTCGATATGCAGATATCATACCATGCTGCGCATCCTTTTTCCTATCCCTATTGTGTAATCCATGACAGTCGCTTTGTACACTCTTCTTTTCCTTTGTCTACAATCGATCACCTAATCAGCGTCGAAAAAATGTACGGAATACAACTGTACTACTCATGACTCGTTGTCACTAGCTAGCCAGTGAGCTAAATCAATTGATTGGACTAGCCGAACTGAAATCGAGAGGCAGTGTAATTATTAACAACTTATACGCAGCCCCTCATTGCACTACCCACAGAACACGTCATAGACTAGGATTAATTCTAACTAATTACACTTGCAGGGCTCCATCCAACAAGGAAGCCCCGATAGATATTCCTCCGTGTTACTTCATTTGAATCGGATCTAATTTGAATTGACACGCTGGCGACTTGGCAACCTTACGCACGCGTTGCGAAACGCGTCACGCGTCGTTTTCGCGACACGGACCTGACGATCTTGCCGTTTAAAGTTTAGCGTATCATGATTCGCCGATCTTAGCGTATCTTGGCGCCACGGGGCTCCGCCGAATCTCCGATTGTCTCTTTCATATGACGTTGCTGATTGGCTGATGCTAAATCTCTTGGCAGTTATCGTGCCGTCTCTCAGTCTCCAATCGTTTGGATTGGTCTTGGTTTTTTCTTTTTTGATGTCGGCGACTTTTTCTCTCCAATGTCTCATATGCTGCTCCGATAGATCTATCTTTTCTCATCGCAGAAAACGTGGAATCTATTATTCAATGAATTTGACTTTCCAAAATTTTGAAACCTAGCGCGCGGAAATTGGACGTAAATGTCAACTACCTAAACAGGAATCTCTACCTTGTAAGGCCTCCCCTAGCAGATCTGATGTTACGTATTAGCATTCACAGCATAAATACTTTCCCCTCAAAGTAAATACATATATTTCTATAGCTTAATCAACATTGCAAACTCCTTTTCCAACTTTCGCTTTGTGTGCCTCGCAGGTCTTCGCATGTCCCTGGAACAGCCTGATCAAGCTTGCGATCATGGTTGCTGCTGTCGAGTACGTGACGGCAAAGATACTAACGCCCATCTTCAGCCAGAAACACTTCCAATAAGGAGGGTGACAAGGCCGTTATTCTCGTTGGCGGCTGTATTATTGTGCCGTATAATCTGCTAAAGATGACTTCCGAAGAGCAGAATGTTGTACGAAAAATACGTTGGTTGAGCCACGATTCTCGACTTCTGCCGCCCCTTCGACTTACAACACTGGTTGTCTTCACTTCGACCTTCACGGGCCCCTTCGGCAAGGACATCATACCGCTACGAGAGTACTCCTTTGAGCTCTAGTGGTCGACGGGTAAAAAGTTATGCTCAACTTGTTATCATAAGAGGGACCGCACGAGCTCATTCACCATTATACGTTTCAATAAATTTAAATAGATGAAAAGTCGGACTTAGTCACTGATTGAGCTATTATCCTTTTTCACCCTCCATCTAAATCGCGATAAGCTTGCTCCTCTTGCTCGTCAATGTTATCGTCATCGATCATAGGATTCTCCTCCTGCGCACGCTCCATTTGTTTCCGCCACAGCGCGGCCAGGTAATCAGATGTACTCGCTTCATCAATAGACTTATCTTCTCTCACACGCAGAAAGCGTGGGAATCGAAGACTCAGACCCCTCTCTTCGCTAACAAGTCCGATCGCAGCAGTATAGGTAGGACTAAGCGTAATATCCGCGAATGCCATCTCCCAGACTTCTTGCGGCTCAAACCATACATCTGGCTCCCCCGCATTATAGTCGATGTAACTCGGTTTACTAGCAAGGACATTATCGCTGTCTTGGCAGTATTTGTCCTTGTTGGATTGATAAAATTTATCAGTGAAGCCTGACATGCACTTGGTCACGGCTTCGAGAACCCCCGTTTCAGGGTTGCGCACTGCAAGGAGGATGGGAGACCACCATTTGGCTTTGCGCCCGTTGCCGTGCCATGCTGCAATCGGGATTAGGTCAAGGGTATCTGAGGATGTACTGTAGTCCTTCTTCACTTTAAGCCAGGACTCCAGCCGTTTGTCGGGTTCGTAGGTTGAAAGGAGTGCTTTGCGCCGCGTGCTTCTTTCTTTCTTTTTTGCTGGGGGTGGTAATTGCTCGTTCCGTAATTCTTCATTGCTTTCTAGGGTTTCTGCATAGAGACCATCGCCATTGTTTTCAGCAATGGCAGCATCCTCGGAGACTAGATTGTTCTGAGTTTCATTGTCCAAGACCTTGACCATAATGCCCTCGCACTTGACATCCGTGGCCATCTTGAAAAACTCAAGCACTGCCTCTGAATCAGCCGACGTCGCATCCAAATTCTTCACCCATGTGAACCGATTAGGTATCTCTGTGAAAAGACTACGAAGCATATCTCGTCGCTCCCGAAACGATCGATCAAGGAGTGGCTCTTCATTAAGATACATCAGATCGAATGAGAAAAGACAGACATTTACTTTTATGCTTCCAATATCGACATTCTTCTTGGCCCGGTTGGTAAGCGTCTGGAATGGCTGGAGCTCGCCAGTTTCTTGGTCGACGGCAACGACTTCTCCTTCGAGGATAAAGCTCGACACAGACTCTCCCCTGATCTGTGGCACCAGAGACACCAAGTCCGGGTATTTGTCTGTCATGAGCTCAAGGTGGCGAGAGAATATGCTCACTTTACCGTTCGAGTCACAGTGAACCTGAGCTCGCTGTCCGTCGTATTTGTATTCACACGCAAAGTCGCGGCCTTGCAATTTGGTCAGCATGTCTGAAAGGTCCCGCGTAATGCTGCCTAGCATAGGTCGTAGAGGTATATGTAGCGTAAGCCCACATCGCATAAGTAACTCTTCTGTAACGCCAATCTCGAGTAAGCAGGGAACCAAATCATCATAGTTCGGATGTCTTGCGTAAGACGCTTTAACAATTTCTTCAGACCTTAGGTACAACTCAGCAAGTTCGTCTTTCCTAAGTTTTGCCAAATATTTCATTCCCTTGGTAGCGAATTCGGCTTTGGGGGGCTTCGAGAATAAAAAAGCTCGTGCAAGAGCAATGAGCATAGTAGTCTTGACTGCCCCGATACGCAAGTGCTGAACCAGAGTTCTTACAATATAGCGACTCTCTTCGGCACTCCGAGTATCCTGGAGTAGCCTTTCGACGATACGCTGCTTAGTCTCCTGGCTGCCAGAGCCTTTGCTTCTTGCAATCTTGGTCAATGACTGGTAGACACCTTTAATTGTCAGCGGCTTCGGCTTTTTGAGAGTGAAGCTCTGTCGTTTCTTGGCTTCAAAGGCCACATCTCCTGCATCTCCATGTTTATTGTAAAGTGTTCTAAGTCCTTGAGCATTCAATCCATATATATTTTTGAAAGCCTTCGATATCACAGAGCCGCCCAGTCCTAACTCCGCTGGCTCATATGGAGGAGCAAAGGAATTCGTCGCCAGCCACACGGCAGGTAAGAGGCTCTCAGGAGCACCTTCGATTAGTATGCGTAAGAGGTTGACGAGAGTATCCACGATTTTAATGCGCTTCGTTGTGCTATTCACAAGAATAAACCCCTGTGTTAAAAGCGCATACGAGGCATCTCCACCATCGTGTGCCCAATGCTTCTGAAGTTCAGGTACGTATTTCGCAGGGTCAAATGTCAGTGGGCTCTCATCGAGGGGGATTGCCGACACAATGGTGTCTTCTGAACCCAGAGAGGATTGAAGAGACAGTATATCTTTAGAAGTCGAGCTCTGCGCATGCGTTGCGATGTTTGATGGCTTGGAGATCGAGGGCTCTGCCTTGTCTAGCATCTTGCGCGGCGAAGTGTCCTCTGTACTTGGAATCGATTCGGGGTGTGCTTGGGTATCAGTTTGATTCCATTCGTCTTGCAATTTACGAGCAAGCTCCTCGTCGGTAAGAAGCTCCTCCTTGTTGGCTTCTGAGCTTTTTGGTGGCAATTGTGCATGCTGGGCGGAAAAGAACGATTCAATGCTTCGCATAGAAGGGACTCCATTGACCTTTCGCTTTTTTGCTGGACTAGGCATGGTCGCGTTGCCTTTCACGAATTTAATTGAGAAATTATCAGTGGCAGGCGCAAGTTTCCATGGTTGCTGTCTAAGAATAATGATTCATATGTATGGAGCTCGGGTAGGAGTGGGAGAGACTGACTTGAGCTCCCGCGGACTCCACCACAGCCCGCCGCTTTCCCTCAACTGCAACAACGATCGGAATGGCCACATTAATTATTTAGCCATTCTCCGCGCAACCCAGCGACGATGGCTGCATCACTCGCCTCTCTGTCCTCGCAAGAGTATATGCGGGTTGAGGACTATTTGAACGACAAACTACAGTCACAAGAAGATCTGGATAGCTTGGATTTGTTGCTCCAGAACCTACGAACCCAGCATGAGTTGCAGCGCAAGCAGGTATGTAACAGAAAGTTGAAACGCATCAAACATTGCTCGGAAAATAACCTTGCACAGCTGCTAGAAGCCCAGGAAGCACTCGAAGAGGCCACAAAGGCCTCCGATGATCATCGAAATGCCGTGCGGACCCAAGTCCAGGCGTTCAATCAAGAGCAAGCCGACATCGACCAACGCCTGAAAACAATCACCCAGTCCGAAACAAGCGATGCAGCAGTTCGTCGCTTTGAGTCAATTATGGAAAAGCTTCAAAGGCTGGATGTCGCAAAGGGCTATCTATCGTTGCTACAAGAAGTTGAAACTTTGAGGTAAATCCAGCTCGAATGCATTGGTCGCGCGATTCGCAAATTGACGATAGTACAGTAAGGATGCATTGGGAAATGTGGACATTGCTCCGACTTCAGCAATTCCTCCATACAAGGTCCTTCGGAATATCTCCTCCTCGTTGAAAACGGCTCAAATCGCCGCGGATGGTGCGGCTCCTCACCTCATCGAATACACCGAAAGTCTCGCCACTTCTGTGAAGAAGCAATTACAAGACAGTTTCAGTAGCCGATTGCAACAGGCACTGGATAAGTTGAGGTGGCCGAGTAGGGATCTGGTTCTGAATGATGATTTCATCCAAGAATGGCTGAAGAGCGTGGAATTGTTGCTTGATTTGCAGGAACCGTATGTGTTGTTGACAATCGAGCTTACCCCATATAGCAGCATACTGACTTACACATGCGATCCTGCAGTGACTTGAAGGCTTACTCGGAGTCAATCATATCCTCTCGCGCAGACGTATCCCAAGTGTTACTACCGTTGCAGGTTATGGTGCATCCATTAGAGCTCCGCTTCAAGTATCACTTCAGCGGAGCTAAGCCAACTAATAGGCTCGACAAGGTAAACTTTTTTTTCCCCTTGGTTACTTTGGAATAACTGGGATTAATAAAATACAGCCTGAATACTTTCTCTCACATGTCTCCGATTTAATTACTTTCTATGTTGGTTTTTTAACAGCATACCTGCAACCAGTCCTGGATAGGCGAGCGGAACTGGCTGAAGATGGATTGAAGTGGCACTTCTTGAGCGCAGTCAATGCCTTCATCACTTCCTTATTGCCTATGGTCAGGCAAAAAATCGACACCTTCCTTCCTCAAGTGGAAACGAGTCCCCAACTTCTCAGTCATTTCATTCACGAACTTATGAAATTCGACGAAGATCTTCGGCAGACGTGGAATTATCTGCCCAATCCTTATTCTACACAAAACTGGAGAGGGCTTGCTTCAGAAGTCCTCACTCAACAGAATTGGTTTGATCGATGGCTTCATGTTGAAAAGGAATTTGCTTTGACGCGGTACAAAGATATCATCGATACACCAGAAAGCGGACAGATCGATTATGACGGAGTTGAACCAAGTGTTACAAAACCAACGAATGCTGCCATTCGGGTTAATGATCTCCTCGAGACAATAACAGACCTGTATAGGCCACTATCTTCGTTCAGTCAGAAGCTACGCTTCCTCATCGACATACAGATTACTGTATTTGATCAATTCCACGAGCGGTTGCATTCTGGGCTTGAGGCCTATCTTGCTATGACATCAACCATTGGTCGCACTGTTCAGGGCGGTGATCAAGGGCGCCTCGAAGGAGTGGCCGGTCTCGATCGACTCTGTCGAATTTTCGGGAGCGCAGAGTACCTGGAAAAGAAAATGCAGGACTGGAGCGATGACGTCTTCTTCCTTGACCTCTGGTACGAACTTCAAGGCCGTGTCCGACGGAGCAGAGGCGACGGTCAGAATGTTGTAGGGCCCATGTCCGTCGCCGAGGTGGCTCAGAGGACCTCTCAAGCGGTAGCTCAGACTCACACAAATGGCCAAAGCCAGAGTTCCGAGGGCGCCTTATTTGACGAAACAGCATCCGCATACCGTCGTCTCAGACTGCGGTCGGAGAACATCATTATTTCTACATTTTCCGCCGAGGTGCAATCATCTCTCAAGCCCTATTCTCGCGTGTCAATGTGGTCATCGCTCTCTGCTCCCTCCGCTAGTTATCCTCACCCACTGACCTCCGAACTGACCCCCACGGTTCGCATCATATCTTCAAATCTCTCGTTTCTTGCCCGAGCGCTAGGTACTGCACCCCTGAGGAGGATCAACAGACAGGTCCTGCTGTCCGTGCAAAGTTTTATTTTGGATCAAGTCATTCTGCGGCATTCGTTCTCAGCCGCCGGTGCATCCCAGCTTGCGAGCGATATTGATCATTTGTGCAGCGTCATTGAAAATGCACTTGGACAAAACTTCACCTCGTCAACGATTTACCAAGGAGAAGCGATGCGAGTCATGAGAAGACTAAACGAGAGTCTGGTCCTGCTATCGCTGAGAATAAAACCTCAAAATACCACTACCGCAGCTGAAACGCATGAAGAGGTCGAAACGCATGAAGCAGGAGCAGACTTGGGTCTGTGGGAAGTCGAAAGAAGACTGTTCGCAAACAACGAGAGCGCCCGTGATGTATTGAGTGAGCTGGAAATTGAAACTCTTGCGGTAACGGATGCGAGAGCAGTGTTGGAGAAAAGAGTTGAAGTTCGAAGTTGAGTCGATATAACGAGGCCAGTATAAAATTTTTCTTCTTTGTATATATTCTCCTTTCTGCTCTCTTCTAGGTATATGACACAGCAGGCGAATTTCAAATTTGGCATTGTACAGCTATCTAAAGTCGTCAACATGGCTTGCCAAGTGACTCTAAGCGCTTGGTCTAGGTATTTCGAGCACTCGTGATGTCTTTTCAATTTATCTAAGTACCTAAGAAGTCTATCTGTCTATGTGACGCTTCACGCCAAGGTATGTATGTACCTATGTACGACTTCATACGCTTAATAAAATCAATCACCCCCTTCTAAACCGGCGAAACCTTCTTGAGCCTTTCGATCACCGCGGGACCTACATCTTCAATTGCATGAATTAGAGATTCTACAGTCCGTTTCTCTGTCGATATATTGACAACGCAGCGGAAAAATTTGCCCTTTGCTCTGGACTCGAGATCACCACCGCTTGGAGGTGCATAGTCAACCATGAAGCCTTTGCTCACAATTGCCCTCGTCACCTCTTCTGTTACCCTGCTGTTCTTTGCGGCGAGGACATCTATATTCTTTGAAACAGCATCGTCGTTGTCGTATACCAGGCGCTTTCCTGGTGCATAGTAAAAGCAGACTTGAAGACAAGGCGGCTTGTTCTCACTGACGAGAATGAAATCTGGGTGGTTTTCAAGGAGAGTGGCTAGATGTGTTGCGACGTCAACGGCTTCGTCTATTCTGCGCTCGTAACCATCCGATCCATAATATGTCCAACTCAAGAACAGCTTCAGTGAATCAGCACGACGACCACACTGGAGCGTCAGATCCGCGAGATCCCAGACTTCTGGCGAGTCAACTGGCTGCGAGTCTCCATTTGACTGCCCAGAATCGGGATTATTGCTGCCATGGAATAGATACCCTGCTGGCAGCGTGTTGGCGTGGTGGAATTGGCGAAGATCAGCCCCCAAGAGGAATGAGCAGGTCACAGGAACCCCGAGCATTTTGTGCGGGTTAATGGCAATACTATTCGCCTTCTCTGCACCGATAAGCTTTTTCCTCTGGCTTGCAGAGAAGATGAACGATCCGCCCCAAGAAGCATCAATATGAAACCAAAGATTGTGTTTCCTGCAAACTGCTGCCACTTCATTGAATGGATCGAATGATCCCAGAACAGTAGTTCCAGCAGTGGCATTGACATAAAATGGAGTTCTTCCTTCGCTTTTGGCCTTTTCTATAAGCTTCTCTAGCTCGGAAACAATCATCCGGCCTTGCCTGTCGATAGGTACTGGCCAGACAGAACTACTTCCCAACCCGAGCATTTGGGCAGCCTTCTCGATGCTGTAATGACCGTGGTCACTGGTAAAAATGACAAATCGGTAATTGCCATTGCCTTCAACTTTTGTTTTTGGGTACAGCACGTTCCTAGCTATCACTATGGATGTGGTATTGGACGCCGATCCGCCCTGCACAGATATACCTCCCGAGTGAGGCCCATCGAGACCAAACAGCAATGCCAGTTGCTTCGCGGTATGCTTCTCAATTAACGTCAATGCGGGCGATACTTGGTACACGTGGACATTCGTGTTTAGTGCAGCAAGAACAAGCTCTGCTGCTACCCCTGGCGCATTCGTTGAGGCATACAGTTTATCCAAAAATCCCTGGTGCCATGTGTTGACGGAATAGCGTAATATGTGCCGGAGGATTTCAATCAGACCTTCTTGGCCCTGTCCTGTCGATGGAAAATCGAGTTGTAAGAGTTTCTGGAGCTCCTCCGGGCTTTGATAGTTGATTAGAGACGTAGTTGGTCTGGTGAGGTCGACATTGGCGTTTGCGCCGTTCTCGGAGCTAAAGTTTTTGCGCGGAGCCTCTGGAATGGCATCTGCTGAGCTTATGAATGGGATGAGCAGGTTATGAACGGCGTTGAGCAGCTGTACGAAATATTGATATCAGCTTTTTATACCATTTGATTAGGGGTACTTATGCGAGACTGAACAGTGTCATTCTGGCAACACGTACATTGCGCACTTCCTCTGCGCGAGCTGAAAACTGCGCCATGCTTGCCAGCAGCAAAATCCGAACGATGTTAAAGGATTATTTTGATGAGATTTTCTCTTTTCTCGAAAGCAAGACAAGTTTTGAGGAGAGCAACAGAGAAAAAAAAATCCCCGCGGTTGCGCCATTGACACTCAGCAGCCACAGCCAATCGCGCCCTCTGTAGATGATGACATCATCCAACTTGTGCCCTAACTCCATTCCCAAGTAGGCAATCGGCCATTCAACAAGCAACGTGCAGCCTCATGTATATCAGTCAGAAAGACATATGCCTGGAATAGTTAGTCAACTCATACATTCATTTTGTGGCTCTGCCCTGCATCAATCATGCAGGGCTTACCGTACTGTTGGGTAACTACCTGTACTCGGTGAGAGAGTTAGGGCTAGAAATGCTCTGTTGTATCACAGCAAAGACTGTCATATATAGCAGCGTGTGGGAATCAATGAAGCTTGTTTCTGCATGTGAAAGCATGCATGCAGAGAAAGTCCTTGTTAGCTACAATTAAACACAGTCCATTGGTGTATATATATCATCTCCAGTGAGCAGTCTCTGCCTCTTCAGGCAGATGTCAAATAATATGTGTATAAATTACATGTTTTTACATACTCCAGTGTCACATTTTGTCAGGTATTGAAATCATTGCCGATATTTCAAATATACCAGCCTGTAATTACCGCTTGGTCAGCATGTAGGTAAGTAGTTAGTTATAACTTACAAGAAAGATATAGGGGCTGAATTCCTGCCTGGAGTCGATGCCTTACTGGGGAGCCTGAGGAAGCAACATCACTGTTGCAGTTCCAGTGATGCCTTCCTCTTTGGGGCAGGCACACAAACAAACACGCCTTTTTACTCTCGTCCTCTCCTTTAACGTACACCGCATGTCTACTTCTCGCAATATTTACCTATATTGCATCTGCTATTCCCAAATATCAAGCTTGTACTTCTTTCTTGCCTGAGAGCCCTCTGTCTTTTTGGTCAGCTCCAGGCATTGTTGCTAAAATGCGTACCACTGCTGCAATTCTCTCCTTCTGGGCCCCTCTCTTCCTCAGTCTTTGTATGGGTAGGCAGCATTATAATATAATCTTATTTACGGTCATTAGTCACCTTGATTCTTCAACCATATTTAGCAGCTGAACCTGGTCTTCCTAAAGGTCATCATGAGTGCTCCAGATCCTAGACTCTGCTGCTGTCTTTAGTCACTAAACTATTTACTAACTTAGGTGCAATTGAGGCTGCTATAGTGGGGAAATCATCTCCAGCTCAGACTTTGCACAAAGCTTTTGGTCACGACAGTGAGAAATGCCAACCTTCAGACCAAATCTCTCTTGTCAAATACAAACTCACACTTTTTACTAGAAACTGTCCATAGTGCAGACCACATCACCATTTACTCCACCACCTACATCATCCTGCCTCCAACTGGGACCTACAAGACTTCGGCATCAGGTGAGCCATCCAATCCACTCACCCCCTGATAACGCACAGTGGTTCACTAACAAGCATGACTGCAGCCCTTCCATCGTCTATAAATCCAGTTCCTGCTAGTTTCACCTCGAAGATCACTCCTTCTAAGTCCAGCTCTCACTTTATTGCAACTGGATCAAGTTCTATTGCTATCGTTTCTGGCACTCGGCTGCCTGGCAATTCGACAGCCTCCCCTACCTTAGTGCCATTGGCAAATGCTACCAGCAGTAAGGGACCAATCTGTACTGGATATGTGGGCAACCGCAGTTATTATCGCTATCCTCGTAGCTCAAATTCGTTTCGTGCCCTAAGTGACAACGCTTGAGTCTAAGTTTTGTGCCAGAACTCATTGAGCATGACACAAGAAGGACATTGACATCGGAACGCTACAACAGGAAATATCTGAGTTTTCACAGGGAAAAGAAAAATGTTTCCGATTTCCTAAATGTACAATATGTTAATTCAAAGTAGCTTGGCAGGCTACTGCCCTACTGCCGCACCTAATATGAATGGAAGTACAATATTAGAAGAAAGTCACAATATCCTTGTAATTGGTGTGTAGATTGGGAAGGGGTATCAATGCGTATAGGCGAATCGAGTAACAAACACATGCTGCACAATCAAATCAATCATATATATACTTCAACCGGAAGAACTAGCCAAAGGTTTCTTCCTCGCGCACTACGTATTTTCAGGTGCGGCGGCGTTTGCTACTTGTCTGTTCAGAGCGCAGATTTGACATCCATCTCCAATTCGATCTCGTATCAGGCGAGCAGTAATGACTTTGGGTCCTACGGTGCGAGACGTGGTAAAGAAATCGGAGGTCTCTTCGTCTTCATTATCTCCGGTAAAATCACCCTCTGGCAGTGGAGACTCATGAATAGTCTCGCTTGGATGCGTGAACTCGTTCCCATGAGAATGAGCTGGTTCCTGGACGTGAGACAAGTGGAAGACGTGGCCACAGGCAAATCCGACAAGCATTTCCTTTTCTGTTCACAAACACAGAGATATAATATCAGCTAATCATACTTCTGATTTCATATGGAAAATAACCTAGGGTGATTGTTCTGGTTAACATACCATTCTCGTGAAAGAATTCGAAACAACCACCGCATTGACCAGGGGCAACACGGCGGGGTCTGCTAATCGCCAGGCCACTCGCACGTTGTTTCTGTGGTAGAAACCCTTCCTCATTACCTGTATGATCGCCATCGTCGCCATCCTTTACAGCACCGACGTCGTTCTTCTCTGACGTGTCACCATCACCGCCATCAATAGATGGTTTGCCGACATCGAATTTGATGCCGCGCCGCTGACCACGCCGTAGTGCATCCATTCCAACAGCGACTTCGCCCTGCAGAACTTTGGCTGCCCCCTGGCTTATGCTTGCTTGGATGTCGTGATCGCGAAGTAATCGAGTTAGTCCATCCCGAAGGCCTTCTATCTCCAGTCCACTGGGGATGCGCCTGACGAGTTTTATTGGATCAATGGATGTCCCGGCTTCGGTAAGCAACGCGTGAATAAAATCGGGCTTGTCCATTGAATAATTAAGCAAATCTTCCCACAAGTCAGAATCTTCTTGTGATTTCGCAAAGCTGATCGCTTGCGAGACGTCGTTTAGGTCAGAAAGTATAAGGTTAAGAGCCCGTTTCGTTTGTCCCGTCTTCGACAAGAGATATATGAGTTCTGTAGTGTAGTGTTTCTCTTCGCAGATTCCGCAAGCCTCGTCAAAGGAATAGGCTGTGCTTGCCTGCAAAAATTCCATGAGCAGTTGTCTGTCATACTCGGCAAAAAGATTTAATGTGATGTCTGCAAATGGCTCTACCAGACTCCTTCCTTCGTCGGCCGCGAGTTTTTCTGCTGCGTCTCGGGCGTGGCGACCCCGTCCTCGAAGCTGAGGCTTTTCCTCCACCTTGGATGGATGGGAATCACCTTTCCACAGAGCACGAAGGTAGAAAAACAGGTACAAACGGCCAGATGCGGTGTTTAGCTGTGATACGACTGTTTCGGGGCGGATAATACCGTTATATGCCTCCCTAACCAGGATACTATTAGACTCAGCAGTCATCTGCTCCAATTCTGAGATGGAGGCCTTAGCTAATTGCTGTTCCGAGACTCGAAGATGTATGAATTTCAGAACGTCGTCGGAAATGGCGTCTGCTATACGATAATCGCGAATTAAACGAAGTGCCTCGTCGGCATCTTGCAGTCGTATATAGCAATGCAAAGCCTCTCGGTGATGTCCATCAGCCAATAACAACTTCGCTAGCCTTCCCATCAAGATATGCCAATCATTGGAGTCTGACTGGATATCTCCTGACTTCAATTGGTCTTCAATGATTGAAATAGTCTTGCCAATATCAAAAAGCTCCGGTGGCCATTGACATAGCAGCTGTTCAAACGTTTGGCGATTGCTGGAGACGTAATAATCAAGGAAAGCATCATACACTGCAGATGGAAGCGAGGGACGAATGGCTACTGGGATATGCTGAGCGATTTCATCGTATTTGCCAGCTTCGACAAATCTCCATGCCCAGTGTTCCCATCTATCGGTTGCATCAAGGACTTTGACACAGACGTCCCCCGCACTTTCCCATTCGTTTCTTTGGATGTGTTGTTCGATCCATAATTCACCAAGGCGAAGCTTCTCGTTTCTAGCATTTGAGTTTAATGGCTGACCGGCTGTCGTGATTGAGGAACCGTCGTCGGCAAAGAATTCCACTAAACTCGTCTGAGATTTCATGAAAGCATCTTGTTGTCCCTCGGACGTTGAAGTCAAGACACCCGGGTTCTGATCAACAAGAACCCATGCTTCTTCGTACTTCTCGTTTGATTCTAGCCACGCGAGACGATCTGATAGGTCTCTTGACATAGCCGCTATACAGTCATAAGGACTATGGACAAAGACCTTGATGCCTTTGGCAGCGGATATAGTTTGAAGCTCCTTCGGTATGGTGGAACCCCCAGAGATAGGGTTAGAGATAAAGGAACTAGCAACTCTTTCAGAGCCCCTATCGCCATTGCTGCCGAAACTTCGTACACTAGTGTTCGATGTGAAGAGCCTTGCGGGATATAAAGTTGCGTCAAGGAGGCCTGTGCCTAAGGCTCCAAAGCCTCCTCGCTGCACCGTGGCTGTTGTTATTCGTGGAGGATTCAATACGCTCATATGATAGTCAGAGGATGCAAGATTCTCGTAACGACTGACTGAGAGCGTGTCGGCGCTAACCTCCTCCTGCGTTTCAAGATCAATAAGACGAAGTTCGGGTTCGGCTGCTTTCTGCCTACGACTGCTTTGTGTCTGGTCGCTCTTTTCGCTTTCCAAATATGCTAGAACAAGCAGAAGTTTCGGGCTATACATGGCAACGCCAGAAATGGTGGAGTCGGTTCGTAGGCTTGTTGTTTGTTAGCTTCTGAACACGGGATAGTCGGAGGGTGCATTTGCCTGTTTACGTACATTGTCACTACTTCAGCGTCCCCAAGCTTTCGGTTGCCTGCTCGGGTTCCAGCAGGTGGTATACAGTCCGGATATACATTGATGACCCAAATCGTGCCACCCCAGCCCACAACAAGTTTCTCAATTTCTGCTGAATCGCCATTGGTGGCAGCGGAAGTTTGTTGGCCAGATATTGACCCAGCTTCATTGTTCTCAGAAGCTTCAAGTGATTTCATATCAACCCATTCTGCATGTGCTTTCCAGACACTGGCCATTTCTTCCCATTGTGGACGATTCGGTCGGTCTATATGCCTTATTCGAGTCCACGCATACTCTGTATCTGCTGCCTCCAAATGTAGATTCGACCGCATGATCTTGATACCTTCTTCATTAACCCAAACAACGTATTTCCCAGACAGAGACCATTTTATGGTGTTAATCGCTCCTTCACCACTGTGTAAAACAGTATCCTTTCCCGAGTTGGCACCTAGGCCAAAAGATCCCAGCCACCCAGTTGCTGCGGCTGCAGTGCCTAAAGTTGTGGAATTTTCCGTTGTGCCTGCTCGTCCTCCAACAGTCAGAATAAGCTGCCCCGCGCGGCCTCCCGATAGATATGTTCTGTCAGTTTTATATTCTGGCGACAATGCCACGGCTTGCACGGGTCTACCAAAGTTTCGGAGAAGAACTTCCTTGGGGTCAAGAAGTGAGTAGACGCAGACATTTCCATCAATCGACGAGGTAGCTATATGTATGGAATTGGAAGGGGTTGGCGGTAGCCCCGGTGGTTGAATGTCCCTGGGCTTGCCCTTGGATCGTAGAGATGCATTCGGAGACTGAATAGGAGTGTCGTCTTCTTCGGATGATTTGCTAGCCGCGTTGTACCGCGAGCTCAAACTTGACGGAGAAAACGGGGATATAGAAATAGACGTCACGCTCGCGGAATGAGCTGTATAAACACGAAGAGCTTTGAGCCTCGGTACCGATAACACATGCTAACGAACGAGGTCAATATTCCAAGCTTTCCACAATGCAATCATAGGCTAGTTAACTCACTATATTACCATTGTGAGTGCCAACTATCTAAATAGCCATGCCGCGTTAGTGGGTGTTTCTCAATCCTCCCAATTATAGTATATACCATACCATCTTATCTCCTCCGACCAGGAACGAGCTTGTTGCGTCTCCGCCGCGATACAGCGAAGGTAGGCACTTAGTCATGTACAGGTACTTCAATCGAGGCTCTTCCTCTTCCTCTTCCTCGTCTTCGTCCTCGTTTTCGTCAGCATCGGAAAGCTCGTCCTCATTCTGCGTATCGTGTTCGCCTTCATCGTGTTGGCGGTTCTGGCCGTTCTCATCGTGTGAAGCTTCGGTCGCACCAGGATCGGAGGTCGACTCTACCGGTCGCGACGGGTCATTCATGCCATCAGCACCACTGCTGACGCCAGAAACGCCAGATGATTCCATTCTTGGCGCCAGGTCAGCGCGTAAGAAGTTGAAGCTCCCAGTCGAATGCGGAGCTACGTTGGGGCGTTATTGGGCGGTGACTAAGCAGCGCAGCTCCTGTGCAATGACGCCGCCAAACCTTAAAACGCCGATGATGAGACATCTTCAATCTAAATCGACCCTGGTAAACAAGACAGCCATTTGCGATGAAACGCGACGCTCTTCCCTTATTAAACTGTCTAAATCTTTCCCGATGCACTATCTTACGCAAGTTTCGGGGAAAGCTCGCTTTGGCTGCTTTTATGTCTGTCTAGCATGTCGCCAAACGACAACGCAGTCCTTGTGTCGACCATCACGGCCGGTGTCATTACGCTTCCGAAAAGATTTCTCCTCTTTGAATTCTCGGCTTCTGCAAAAGCAGGACGTTATCGAAGAATCGGCTGAGAAGGATGGTGTTTCAGCGCCAGGGAGTCCGTCCCAACGACGAAAATTTGCTCGATCCCCTGCGGCAAGTTCATCTCTTCGTCGCGTTGCTGTAGAAGCACAAAGGACAAGGAGTGGTATTCTTTCAAAGGCGCGGCTTCTAGAAAAAGGCTTGGGTGAACCCAAGGTATTTATTAACTGACTCACGGGGTTGGTTGTGACCTTGTATGCTAACTCTTATATGAATAGACGGTCACGGCCTATGCAGTCGCGGAACAATTCAATATTACAAAAGTCAGGGATATCTTACAGGAGAAGGGCTTTGAGCCGGATCCTTTCGATACGCAACTGTACCCTCAGGTTGTCCACATACAGGTTCCAATTGATTCGGTTCGGCGCATGACAAACCCGGATGCTACCAATTTGGGAACCGACGAGGCTGGCGATGTATTCATTTTTCCTTCTGGAACTGTGGTAGCATGGTCTCTCCCGGATGGTTATACTTCCTATCTTGCTTCCAGAACGCTTCTACCTGCAGCCGAGGGCCCGCATACAGATAACGTGGAAACCGAGAACTTGGACTTCATCGAGGATCCACAACGGGATAGTAGCTCCATCAAGGGCGACACAATCATACTCGGCACCAAGTCAGGTCAAGATTATCCACAGTCGGATATACCCAATCGTCAGACTGTCGACACTGTGTTGACAAAGATCGCATTTTCATCCGGGCTAGCGCGCAGCACGAAACTTGCTATACTGGAGAGTCTTCTTTCCGATTATTTCGAATCGACGCGTAACATACCAACTCTGCTCTCACAGGGTTCACGTCTGCCTTACACAAGGGATTTCATTCTCCGCAAGACAGGGCAGCTCCTCAGTGTACGGGCGCAGCTGAATCTCTACTCGGAATTGACTGATTCTCTGCCAGATATCTTCTGGGATAGCCGGCACGAGCTCGGCCTTGAAGGTTATTATGAGGAAGTGGGCAGAGCGTTGGATGTTGGGATCCGCATCAAGGTATTAAACGAAAGAATGGACTATGCGCAAGACATTGCCAACGTCCTTCGCGAGAGGCTTAGTGAAACTCATGGACTGCGCCTTGAGTGGATTATTATTCTGCTCATTGCAGTCGAGGTTGGATTCGAGGTTCTCAGGCTCTGGAAAGAGCGAGAAGAAGAGAGAAAGGAGAAAGAAGCGCTGAGAAATGTGCAATGATTTATGTACATTATACTGCAGAAACCGTATTTGAAGATACCCCGCTTAGCAGAGCCAGAGGATGTTATGAGAGATGATGACCATGTATAGTAATGTAAGAAAAGAAGAAGAATTTGTCGCCGCCAGTACTCTGATTGTATTCTCATTCTCATGCCGTGCTTGGTTTGACTTGGGGGTGCCTAATTACGCCTTAAGATCTACCGTTCTGCCTTAGCCTTCAGGCTCCACATGACAGCTCCAGCCTCCATGTCATGCGCCTCACTAAGTTATGGTACCTTGGAACAACAACACAACGTCCACAAACTTATCACGGCCAAGTTCTGTCTATAGTACAGTCTACGCAAGTTTCTTATATTCTATCCTTATTACTTTCACAAATTTGGCTCTTCCCAGGCTCAAATCGACTGGGAACGCGAAGATGGACCTCAAACCAGCTTCCCAGTACCTCCCCAGCCCCCAGCGCATCCTGAAAACAATAGCAAACTCGCTTCCTTTTTGGGGCTTAGACAACCCAGAGATAATTTCTGAAAGATTTTCTTCATGTCCGAACCCTGAACTAAGCTGTCAGACCAAGTTCGTCAGCCAAGATACATGCTGCTTCAACTACCCAGGAGGCCACTTTCTCCAAACCCAATTCTGGGATGCCGATCCAGCTATTGGTCCAGACGACTCGTGGACAATACACGGATTGTGGTATGTCCCGGAGCTCCAATATTTTTGTCACTGCTAGCATATCCCAACCTTGTTCACAGGCCAGACCACTGCGATGGAGGGTTCGATCAGTACTGTGATTCTCACCGGCGGTATAGCAATATATCGCTGATCTTGATCGATTCAGGCCGCGGAGATCTACTCGACTATATGAGAGATTACTGGAAAGACTTCCGTGGCGATGATGCCACCTTATGGGAGCACGAGTGGAATAAGCATGGGACGTGCATCAGCACGTTGGAAACAAAGTGCTATACCGATTATGTTCCGCAGGAAGAAGTGGTTGATTATTTTGATAAAGCTGTAGATTTATTCAAAGGCTTGCCCTCTTACCAGGTTTGTGGGATCTTGGCCTATAAGTTGTGGAAGTATACCGCAATAATGGGAGCTAATTCAAGGGAAACTTTTCCAGACTCTATCCGACGCTGGTATTGTACCATCTCATGATGAAAGATACGCGCTGGCAGAAATTCAAGATGCCCTTAACAAGGCTCACGGTGCGCAAGTTACTGTGCGATGCCATGGAGGAGCCTTGAACGAAATTTGGTATCATTATCACGTTGCTGGGCGTTTGCAGACTGGAACCTTCGAACCAGCTGATGCAGGTATGCTAAGTCCCAGCTCCCTATTTTGCAGTAAGAACATACCAAAAAGTCTCTGACATTTCAAACAGTTGGTGGAGGAACAAATTGTCCACACTCAGGTATTCGCTATATCCCAAAACGCTCAGTGCCTCGCAAACCTCACCCAACGACAACTCAGCTGCCTGGTGATCCCAAGCCAACAGCTTCCCCAAGTCGGCCACACAAAGGAAATTTGCGAGTATACACTAGTGGTAATCAGCAACAGCGTGGCTGCATCATTAGCCATGGTAATTGGTTTACCTCGGGCACATGCGCGACATTCCGAGCAGAAGAAGCTACCGGTGTGTCCTCTCATTCCCTATTTCAATCTGTCAGAGTCTCAAAAATGAGGTACTAAATAATGAGCTCAGGTGGTGTCAATATTAAATCCCGCAGAGGTCCCTGCACTTTTCATAACGACATCTTTACATGCGGTCCTCAAGTCCGTAACCCAGCTTTATTCGAGGTAAGAATCAAGCTCTTTTCATTGCATTTCTTCTTCTTTTTTTCCTCTCTCTCTCTCTTCTTTTTCATGTGTTGCTACATTTTCCTCGAACAGAGATAAGAAGCTAATGTTCGACTAAAAACAGATCTCCGAAGATAATTTCTTGAGTTACAATGGAAACACTACTTTCTTCGCCGACAAGGCTCCAAAGGGCCAAACAAAGAGTAAAGTATTTGCTCATAGAGGGGACAATGGGGAGCATCCTATTGAGTTGGGTATCGCGTGGTTTGAGACGTGATTAAGAGAGAAAGAAAGACGGAAGGAATGCATAGCAGTTAGATTTAGATCAGTTTCATTCTTTGCAGGCAGAATGTATGTGTTGCATACTTATGTATCGATCTTCGATGAAGGACCTTTCCAACACGTTCTCTGATTGTCATGCCCTGCAAATCCAACTGTGTTGCACATGACTTTCAAAGCCTTAATTCAGGCCTTCCACCATCTTCCCACCTAAATTAGCTCCTACTAGGCTTGGACCGTTGCCATGATGGTCCGCAGCACATGTTGTCTACCATGAATGGATGGGTTGCTGCATAATGTGTCAATATGCATGAGCTCGACAACTCATACTTGCATGTAGGTACCCATGGATCTTTATAGCCCTAGAGTTCGCTCTCTAAGAAACGACAGTGAACTAATAAAACATCCCACTTGACCATTTAGAAGTCGATAAAATGCCCAAGATTGATAAAAAGAAGAAAGCTCTTCGCTCTATTTAATTGGAACAAACTTACTTTTCTCAGGAAGATTCGATAAAAAACCCTACCAGTTATTATCCACTGGTCGAATACAGACAGCCTACCGCATCGTGAGTCTCTACCATTTGTCTCCAGATTTGGATCTCCAGACCTCATATCTCAATAATAGTCCTTACCAATGTGACGGCGTTACTGTGTCTATTGGGCGGAGAAACTATGTTGTCCCCAGGTATTACCTGCAAAAATTCGTTGCAGAGGTGAACGGGCATTCGTATCTTATCCTGCCGGATGTCGACGAGGACATCGGTCATACTATTGTGAACTTCATGTATACAGGCACGTACGAAACGTTGAAAGAACCATCAGACTCGCAAGAGGCAATGATATTCAAAGAATTTAAGAGGAGTATTCTTGTCTACAAGACAGCAAGGCTCTACAAAATGACCGACCTCGAAACTCAGGCTAAGACCTACATCCAACATTTTGGCGAATCTATATCGATTTACAACGTTGTACGGGCAGCAAGTGAGATATTTACGAGTCTTCCTGGAGATGAGTTGTGGTTCCAAAACTATGTCATGTCCAGGCTCGATGAGGCTTTCATTTCTGATAACGAGATCTTTGACAAGGAGGATTTCCTTCGTGAGATGGGCGATGAAGTGGCATTTGTCAAGGCTATGATGCGAATCACACTGCAAATCTACTCTTTGGAGCTCTCATCCCTAAATCGAGATGGCAATGGTATTGAAGCTGCTGATGTATCTATCGAAGGTGTGCCTGGAACAGAAGTGCCCGTCGAAGAGAATCAAGAGAAACCTGTAGCCGAAGTGTGTGTCGAAGAAGTATCTGACGAAGGATTGCCTGTCGAAGAGGAGGTTTCTGAGGTAGCACCTCTCAAGGATTATCCTGTGCAGGAAATAAGCGTGGATGGAACTCACTAGAGCTGCTCTCCTCATCAACCGAACATCTTCCCTCTACCTCCCAAGCATGATGAATATGTCTTTGGATGCATCTCCGATTTAGTTGTAAGAGTAGGTGCGCGGTTTGTCGACTATGTGTCGTAGACTATCCGTCCTGCGTGTATTAAGGGCAATCGACTCCTGATCTGTCGTAGATGACATCCTTTCTCCAATAGCCTACATGTCTTCTCCTGCGCCCGCATGATATATGTCTGAATGCTAGACACGCATCTACATGTACGTTTTAGACATCCCAGGAAACTGAGAATAAGAAAAGAACAATAATGTGCGTTTGCCGAGAACAGTTTATTATGACCGGCCCAATTATCGAGGTATAGCAAGACCTTGCTAGGTGCTAAAGGTAACAAGGAAACACACAGCACGGCATCATTCTATATAACATGACAAGGAAAGTGTCACAGGGCAAACTTTAGGAAGAGAGAAACAAAAAAGAGGCATAAACAAGACATAAATCATAGCCAAGGTGGGCGATTGACCCGCAACATGGCTTATAACATCAGCGCAAATCTCATCTGATCAATAGAAGAACTTGACGGATGGAGATCCAACTCGATCGTGGTATACATTAAATCAGAAGAGAAAAAACATGAGAGACAAGACAAATGAGAGTCGTACCCGAAATTGCAAAAGGAAAACAAAGAAGAAAACAAAAATTCCAAAACAATATTCGCTTTTACCCATCCGCATGAAATAAAACCGTCATGATGTTACAAACCCAAGGGAGCGAATCGAAGTGTTGTACAGTTTCATTAAAAATTACCTTTCCTTCCCAAGAAACAAGTCTATCAAGCGGCGAAGCAAAGGGTCCCAGGAAATAATTGAGATAGTCGTTGAAGCAGGGTCACATCAGCATCGTTATAAAAGTCGTAATGCCCAAAGAAGGAGAAAGGGAGAAAACGCCGTCGACGAAAGAGAATAGCTTTTTTGAATGGTGAGATGAAAAAAAGTATCAAAAGTATCATTGGAAGAAAGATTCATTTGCATGGTCGTCATGGAAGTCCAGAAAGAAGTCGTTGTCATTCATACCGACGGGTTTGCCCGAAAATAACTCCATGTCATTGTGAAGACTGGAGTCAGCCCCAAAGTCTGAAAAGCTGGAATTATTTTGTATTAAAATGTCGATGTCAGAGCCAGCTGATGAGTTGGTGAGAGCAGGGACTATCGAAGTTGCATGCATAGAATTTTCTGGTTCTGGGTCGAAGCATCCGGCAGCTTCTGCGATGGGTGGTAGATCAGGAATCTCTTCGGTGATGTCTTCAAGACTCTGAGTAGATGAAGTACGAGACATGCGAGCACCATCACTGAATGGGCTGTGAGAGCGCGAACTCTGAGCTGGCGAAGAGTGAGTGCCGGTGCTATGACTGGGAGATGCGGGAGGCGTGTAAGAGAAGACCTCAGATGGCATACAGTAGCTGCCCGTCTCAAACATAGCCATGTCCTCCAAAGGACTGGATGCTTGAATGCTCATGCTTTCAAACCCTTCCGAAGGCGGCGAGGGCGAGGGCGAGTCAAAGGAGCTGTCAGAGCTAGATGCAGACATGGCAGCTGACTTGGCCGAAGCTCTTTCGCGAGTTCGAGCAGCTTTATCTTGCCGTTCTTCCATGTCGGGACGACTCTTTTTGGGTGGGCGACCACGCTTGGTTGTCTTCCGGACAACACCTTTGTAGCCACCAATGCACATGCCTCGTTGTCGGTGACGAGTCAGGGCATCGTGTCGTGCAAATACATTTCCACAGAGGCATTCGTAGGGCTTATCACCCGTATGTATCTTGGCATGTCGTTTCAGATCGTGTCCGCGAACAAAACACTTGTCGCAATGGTCGCATTTATATTGTCGATCACCAAGATGAGTTTGGATGTGCGACTTAATATTCTCCTTTCTTCCGAAACGTCTGTCGCAACCGGGATGAATGCAGACCCATTTCCCATCAACTGGATCAGGTCCGGAGATGTAAGCTGCAATCTCATCGAGAGTGATACCGGTCTCGGTGATGGAAGCTTGGACACGGGCGTCAAGATTCAGATTATCAATAGAAGCAACCCTGGGGGAGAGTTTGGTCTTAGTTGGTGGCAGATCTGCTGCTGGGCTGCTTGATTTCGGTGGGCCTGACTTGACAGGCGTAGCTGGGCTGATTGGTACTTTTGGCGCCTTTGCTGGGCTTGTTGTGGGTAATGGCATATATGCTATCTCTGGCGAAGACTGAAACGAGCTTGATGACGAGAGAATCTGTGTGTTATAATTTTCCTGGTCCTCCGACTTGATAGACATGGTCTTGGAAACTGGCTGAAATTCAGTACTTTCAAAATCACTCTCCTGGCTAGTAAGTAAATCATAAGGATCATATTCAACGGGGGCGGTGTTAGGGGGGGAGGGAACATCAATCCTAGGTTCGGCATACGTGCTCCCTGGGACACCCTGAAGTGACTTGGTTCTTTGCATATATCCAGGCTGTGCAGACTGATAAGTCAAATTCTTTGAGGGTGACGCGTGTGCGTTCTGTAAGAAAGGAGCAAAATCCGTGCCTCGACGAAAAGGCGTAGTATCCGGGGTGAGCGGAACGTAACCTGAACCTCAATTAGCATAATATCAGTTTGTTTCCAGGCTTTGGTTGACGTACTTGACTGGACTTGTTTCGGTGGTGTTGATGGTATGTACGACATCTCCGATTGCACAGACGCACGTCTTAGATCATACATCTGACCTAACGTAGGTTGGCTGATGAGGTATGGATTCCATGCTCCTTGGCTCATGAAGTGATTTTCGAGGCCATGAGCAAAGGCCATGTTCTCTTCAGTGCATAGCTGTTGGTGGGCTTGCTGATGCTGCTGTTGCTGCTGCTGCTGGACGAGCTCGGCGGGCTTGGATCGTTGACCTTTCGAGTTTCCATTCTTGCTGTTCAACCCGCCAGAGTTCGTGCAAGCATTGATCGGGGAGTTTTCATTGCTATATTGGTTAGTATAAACGTTTAAGCCTCTTGTATCCAGTCGTTGGACATCTGAATTGGACATCATGTGAACTTGAGAGTCATTGAAGTATGGCTGTTGGTTGAACTGGCTCGTGCGCTGTTGCTGAGCCTCACGCAGGACATTGGTATATTGGTTTTGGCTCATACTTGGTGTGTTCTTTGGCATGAGGGTCGGCTGTCGGTTGTTGGTCGGCTGGTCTAAACTCATCCCCCGTTTATGCATTGAATACCGATGCATTGCCGCTGCTGGAAGGTTTGGTGCTTTCGCTGCTTCCAGAGCTACTGGGATAGAGTTTTGTCGCCGATGCTGCCGCTGATGCCTCTGCATACCGCTCTGTGAAGTGACAAGCATGTTGATGATATATATTGGCTGATATACGTCGGAACGCCTTAGTGATTGCGAAGCTCAGGTTCTGCCATGCAGTCTCTAATCAGCCCATCGTTCCCCATGCTAGATGTATATACAGTAGGGTCACCGACCTTAGGGACGGGAACGAGGCGGAAGTGCCGCCCAAGCCACTTCTCGACCAACAGTTGCTCTGCTTGCTCAAACGCTGCAATTGATTTCCAGACTTGATTTGAGCGTTGAGGCTTTCGGACTCGAAACCGTCCTCACGTTTCCTATGGTATTATCCTCTTGGTCAGCTTCCGGTCTCGCGAAGTCCAAGGACCAACAATCGCTAGAAACTTAGCCTTGCCCCGAGTGGTAGCTCTCTAGGGCAGTCAAAGGTTTATGTTTCTAGTGAGATAAAGAAAGAAACGGGTTGTTTATAGGGATCTTGTGTGTGCAGAAAAAGAAAGGCAAGTGAAACAGCTGCAGCTATATCGAAGGAGAGCAAGGTGTGGATATGTATGAAGTCCCTCGAGCGCCGTGGGGAAGCTACGTGCATCAACAATCGGGCCGTTGCCGCGGCGACGGGCTGCCTCCTGCCCTTCGCTCACCCACGGCCAGGCCCTGCGGGTTCTTTTTCTGACGATGTGCCAGTGGGTCGTTGGATCCTCTGGCCCCCATCCTTGCGTCTTCAATCTCCGGTTTGCAGGGCTGATGGATGACTTCACCACCTTGAGTAGAACAATAATTGAACACACTACTGGCTCGCAGCCACTACGCTCTCCACTCCCTTCCAATAATCCTCCTCGGCTTGTATCACCGTGCTGCTCCTGGAGAGCTGCGAGGGATGGGGTTGTCTTCTTGAGATCTCAACGCTGGCGGATGTAAACAATGCGTCGTCACGTGATGGCCTCTCGGCAACTCGGCGGCCAGGTTGTTCCGGCCCAGTCCTCACGTGACCGCACAATCATTTTATCACCGCGGGCTCCGCTTCTCATAAATTTCTGATCTCCAACGATTTGCATTGAAGGTTGAGGAAGACAACTTGTCGAGGTACGTCGAATTCTTTGAAAACACACAATGCCTGTTACCATCACATCATGCACAATGATTCTCTGTTGCGCATGCACAGCCAAGTGCTTTTCGAAAGCTAACCTCTTCTCATGATACAGGCCTTCGTCAAGATGCAGATCTTCGTCAAGACCCTTACGGGCAAAACCATCACCCTTGAGGTGGAGTCTTCGGACACCATCGACAATGTCAAGTCCAAGATTCAGGGTATGCTCTTTGCATTCGGCTTGTTCTATTGCTTTGTCTAACTTTGTCAACCAGACAAGGAGGGTATCCCCCCGGACCAGCAACGTCTGATCTTCGCCGGCAAGCAGCTCGAGGACGGCCGCACTCTTTCTGACTACAACATCCAGAAGGAGTCCACCCTCCACTTGGTGCTCCGTCTGCGTGGTGGTGGTAAGAAGCGCAAGAAGAAGGTCTACACCACCCCCAAGAAGATCAAGCACAAGCGCAAGAAGACCAAGCTCGCTGTGCTCAAGTACTACAAGGTCGACGGTGACGGAAAGATTGAGCGTCTCCGCCGTGAATGCCCTTCCGCCGAGGTAAGCTTAATCCATGCTATGCCTTGCTCGGCTTGTCTACCAGGATTTGTCTAACTTTCTGTCTTCCAGTGCGGTGCCGGTGTCTTCATGGCTGCTATGCACAACCGTCAATACTGCGGCAAGTGCCACCTTACCTACGTTTTCGATGAGTCCAAGTAAGCGTTTCGTTACGATTTCGACGTGATGGAGTGATGGAAGCTTGGGACAATTTGTCATATGTCATAGGTCATAGTGGCTCTAGATAGAAAAAACAATATAAATAAACCAGTTCATTCTGGCGAAACTTTTTTTTGATTATTTTTTAATCTCAACTAGAAAACTTGTAAACTGGATACTAAACACCAAGTTTTGATTGTCTTTTCTTCAAGGCCCTGGCATGCCAGCCCTGATGTTATCAAACTTGCTTTCGGGAAAATCCAGATTATTCGGCGACTGATCCAAAGCAGCCACGCCTCCAACAGTGTCCACAAAAGTACCGATTAGAGAACCGTCCGCTCTTTCAGCGGCTTGTCCTCCTTTATCACCACTACTTTCCCACCACATGCCTCCGCCGAGGCCATTGTAGTGAATAAAGCCGGCCTTGATCTCGCCAACTTGAACATTGTCATAGCTAACCATTGTCCCGTTCTCATAACACCAAGACGCGCCAATTTGGGGATCTACCTGCTCAATTGCACCGGGTCGAGGGAGTGCCTTGTAGTCCCACACGCCTTGCTCCCAGCTACCTTCGCCCACGCCGTTGTACGGTGTGCCGGGCCCTTGGGTGTTTTGAAAGGCGCGGCCGTATAGAGGCATTCCCAGCACCATTTTCGAGGGCGGAACCCCGGCAGCTTTAATGTAGTAATCAAGAGCGTTGACAGTGGAAAATGGCGTTGATGCAGTGTTTTGGTTTGATGGGAATAGGTTGGCTTGGTGGCCAGCAAGTTGATCCCATGATCCTGTGTTCAAATTGTTGTTAGTTAAGTTCTCTGCGAACGAGCAGAAGAGGTGGGAGCTTACCGGCATAATCGTAACCCATCAAATTGTAGAAATCTAGGTAAGGTGTCATTTCACGAAGACGAAGTTTCTGGAAATTCGATGCCCCTAGATAAAGCAGTTAGAATTTATGCTTATCCCGGCTAGATGTGACCCTACCTGCTGGACAAGCAATTGTCAAAAGGAACCTCCTATACGGGCCCGCTGCTTGATCGAGAGTCTTCGTTTTAATTAGCATGTAGCACGTCAGTGCGGAATTACAACGCCATGTGCACCTACCTCACGACATTTTTGAAGAAGAGCAACGAAATTCTGAGCCTGTGCATCGTCTATGCAGAATCACGCCTTAGTCATCATCCTCTCCTTAACAGGGGCTGGGCAACCGACCTTGGGGGTACTCCCAATCAATATCAATACCATCGAGCCCCAGGTCAAGGATCAGCTTCGTAGCCGATCTAGCAAAGAACTCTCGACCCGCTTCTGTGCTTGCTGGCTGTGCAAAGTTGGATGAATATGTCCAGCCGCCAATGGAAAGTAGCACTTTCAATTTTCTATTCTGTTTCTTGAGTAGATACAGCTGCTTGATGCAGCCATAGACATTGGTGCCCTGGTCATTCCATGAATCGGTGGGATAGTGTTTGTCCGTGTCAGACCAGGTGTCCGTCAGATAACTAACAGCCAGCTCCGTCAGAAACGGTACGGTTCAATATTTAGGCATGAAGCTTACACTTCGCCGCTTTCAGGGCGGACGTTGGCGAAGGAGTAAAGCACATGCGTAAGCTTGTCTGCCGGGAGATCCTGGGGATTGTGGTTGCGTCCATAGATTGCCTATATATACACATCAGTAAGGTACCGACTCGCAGCACAAGTGATATAATGAATCATACCCAGTTAACAAAATACACGACCGATCTGAATCCAGACATCTCGGGCTCGTGTCCTTGGGTTTGGACGATATTCGGTTCCGCAGGTAGTGTAGACTGGTTCGCAGATAGTATAAAATAGGCAGACAGAGCTGCCACGACCAGAAAAACAACGGAAGTAAATGAAGTTGGTACTGGGAAACGAGTGTTCGGCGCCACAATTGCAATCAGCTGTGTTAGTTTATACCTAAGAGTAATGCCAAGTAAAATCCTTTCGCTTTTTGTCTCGCTGGCAGGCCTTGGAAGCGAGTGCTGTGTTGTTTGATTTCTTGTCGCTTCCCTGACAGTCCCCTAATTGGCTTAGTTTCTCGGGTTCGGCTATACCCCGCCGGCCGCCCATAGTAAAATGGAACCTTGGCGGCGGGATGTCCGTCCGCTGTTCCTATTGGCTGGCCATGCTCTTCAGTTTTGACGTCTTGCAAGTTTCTACAGACGGCATTCGAAGCTATTATTTTATGATGACATTTTTTTGTCTGCTTGGAAATATTACCATTGACAATTCCTAAATATTTAGAGGGGATCTATTCACATCGTCACCAGAACGTGAAGTATTACATTAACCCTCTCAGCGACCAGATAGATGCTCGCCTTGTCTTGCGGATCTAAGTATACCTACGGCTTTCTAACAGAAACATGGAGAAGGCTGTGATTTTACCGGCGCCGATTGAGAGCGAACTGATTCAATGGGTCCCTTCAAAAGGGTCACGTTCCTCGTTCGAGGACAAAGCATATAGCGCTTGAATAGTGCTGAAATGCGTTGTCCTCGCTACCAAGGATCAATATTCTCGACATGGGTAACAATTGGAAGACTGTAGAAAATTGCACAAGGAATCCGCGACATCGTTCTCGAACAATAGCATCTGTTGCCATATCGGTCTCAGTATTGCTGTATTGATAGCGGTCTTTCTCCATTATGATAACATGATATTCTCACGGCAGCGTACTATATTTGCCTAGGCTCGGCCTAGTGAGGTCACTGCTGGTACTTAGTTACCAGCTGTTTCAGCGGACGTTGCAGGTTGGTTGAATCGTCGTGGGGGAGTCTCTTTACCCACCTAGTTTGTATTCCTGGCGCATTTTTGAACGTCTGCAATCCATCATTTTTGTGTCTTCAAAGAGAGTGGGCCAAGTTTTATACACACAGTTCGTGCAAACGGAGGAGTTCTGCACTTGACAAACGAACAGAGCTGCACCTTCACCTCCAGGACTCCATATCAACGCATCGTCCTTTTGTCTCTGGTGATTGCAAACGCGCTTGAGAGCTCTTGGCAGGCTTGTGATGCTCCCAGCCTCGTCCCCAACCAATTGAGCAAACGGACAGCAGCCACGAGAGTCTCTCATCGTCGTTTGCTTTCGATTCCTCAGGCAACCCCAGCCCCTGTCTCCACTCTCTCTCACCTTCCCCATCAACCGTCCTTCCTCTCACCTTCCTCACTCATCTTCTCTCTCCCTCTTCAACCTCTCATCTCATCTCATCTCTTCTTTTCTCTTCTCTTCTCTTTTTCAACTCTCCCACCTCCACATTCTCTCTTCCAATCTATCTCTCTCTCTCTCTCTCTCTCTCTTCACACCCGACCACTCGCATATTCTACTTCAAAGTATCGGTTCTCCACATCTCTATTCGCCCTCAAGCAAAGGAAGATCTGACAATTGTCTTCAAAGTTGATATTCAGCTCATCCTCGTTGCAGCAACGGTAAGTCATTCTCGTCCTATCTACAACTCTGTTTCCACTCGTCTAGTTTTACCACTTAGTCCATCATCTCAAACCACAATCTAACTTCTCGCAGCAGTTTATCTGCTCGCCTCATCTACCTTGGGAGATAGCTTCTGTCAATTCACAGCTGCTTTCTCAATTTCACCTTTCACTGCAGAAGTATTCTGGTAGGCAGTCCTTGACTTTCTCCCTTTGGTTTTTCCTATTTTGTTCTTCAATCATTGCCGTTTTCATTACCGCGGTTGCCCGTTTCGATCTTGGCTCTACATTGGGCTTCATTTTTTTGATTTGATGAACTTTACATTGACTTTCTCGACTCTAACGGTGCTAGACTAGTCAAAATGGCTTCTCTGAGCGGTGACCCTGCTAGGGAACCAAAGCCCTTCGTAAATCCATACAAAAACCTCGATTTGCCTCCCGTGGCTTTCACCCTCGGTAAACCGGTGAGTGATATTATTTCTTTGTCTGATTGACTACGCATCTCGGGCGTAAAGCCTTCTTGCACCAGACCCCATTCTTCTATATACGCAGTCTTTTGTTGCCCCGATGATACATAATGATGGCTTTGTCTTTGGTTCTTTGTCGTGACATGTTGCGGTGCCCTTTTCGTCATTTCTATTCAAGTCAAGTGCTTGGCGGTCGCTTGATGCCGCCCCATCGATGTTTCATTGATGGGTTGTTGGCGGTTTCAGCTACTATCCTGGCACCGACACTCGAATATATAAGCATGGCCTTTCTCCTCTTGTGTTGCCTTTCTTGTCCACGATAGTCACTGTCAAAACAGCTGTGGTTGTTTCTCTTCTTTTGTCAACAAGTTCGCAAGAGTTTTCTGTGCTTTAGCCACACCGGCCTCTCAGCTTTTCTGGCTACGCATCATCTTTTGCGGTTCATCATCCCTCCCAAAAGGACACTGGGATGTCTGGCATCTCCGGGCCAATGCCGCTGCGGGCTGCTGGTGACAAGAAAGAACCCCTTACGTTCACCAAGACTGACAATGTCTTTCAACAGTACGTGGATGGCGTGACCAATGTCGCTCGTCCAGGATTCAACACCACCGGACGTGAGGTTGAACTGCAGGTCAACGCCTATCCGATAACCAAGTTTCCCACACAAAATGTTTTTCAATACGATGTAAGTTGTCTCCTCTTCGCTCTTCAAGACTTTTGAGGGAACATGAAAGATTTAATGCATGGTCTACTATAGGTTACGATCGTGAAGGTCGGAAAGGAGCATGAAGCTCCGCCACCCCGTGCGAGGAAGCTTGTATGGGATTCACCTGCCCGCAAAAACAAATACAAACAGATTCTTTTCGACGGATCGAAGCTTGCTTGGTGCGTAATATACTCTAAGGGCTTCGGTCTTGCTTCTAACAAATCAAAACAGGTCCTGCATAAGCTATGATGATCCCCACGGTGTTTTGGTGGACCTCTCTGCACACCCTGGAGGAAACGGCAATGGAAATACGCCAGGCTATCGCTTGATTGTTCGCAAGTCCAAGAGCATCAATCTCCAGGTTCTTGAGCAGTGGCTGCTCAAGAAAGGTCCTTTCGATGAACGGGTTTTGGAGGCTATGAATTTTCTCGATCACCTCTTGAGAGAATGGCCGTCCACCAAGTTTACCCCGATCAAACGAGCCTTTTATGATCAAACTGAGGAGGGACACAATTTTGATAACACCATTGATATTCGCAAAGGTTTCTACCAGGCCATCAGACCTGCTATGGTAAGTCCCGATATTTTTTTTTTTTTTTTAAAAAAAAGGTCTATGAAATGTTTCTGACTGATTGTATAGGGCGGTCGACTTGTCGTTAATGTCGACAGCGTTCTCTGTGCCTTTTGGCGGCAGGTTTCACTCATTAGCCTTGCAGACAGCTTCCTTGAGAAGTTCGATTGGGGCAAGACCGCTCAGGCTATGAAACCGAAGAATGTTGATCCACATGCTTCGTTTCGTGGATACGTATACAGTCCTGCCCATAGACATATTTGGAACAAATTGAAGCATCTGGAGGTGAAGCCTGTGTTCGAAGGGAACACAGTTAATCGGACTTTCAATATTCATGCTATTACGACGCAAGATGCCCACACTAAAAAGTTCAAATGGACAGATTCAGCTACGGGCCGAGAGCGGGATATCTCTGTCTTTGACTACTTTAAACAAAAGTACAACAAGACGCTCTTCTGTCCGCAATTGCCTGTCGTCGAGATGACTAAAAAAGACACTTTCTATCCGATGGAGTGCCTGCATGTAGCAGGCCTTCAGCGCTACAACCATAAACTGAGTGAGCGCCAAACCACTGACATGCTGAAGATGGCTGTTAGAAGACCACAGATGCGATTTGGTGACATTGTCAAGGCAAAGGCGAAATTGAACCATGGTCAAGACCCCATTCTGCAGCATTTCGGAATGCAAATTTCGCCGAACATGCTCGTGACAAAAGCACGCCTCTTGCCATCTCCTGAGATTCAATTTGGCGGCAACGCAAAAATCAGTCCTCAGACGCAAGGCCGCTGGGACCTCCGTGGCAAGAAGTTCCTTGAGGCCAACAAGACGCCTTTGAAGTCATGGGGTGTTGGAATCATCAAGCAAGGCCGAGGGGCACTCCCTGTTGCTCAAGCAGAGGAATGGACTCAGGGTTTCATGAAGCAATACGCCGGACATGGTGGAAAAGTTGTCTCCCGACCGACCATAATGGAACTCACCGGTGACACTGCCGAAGCTGTCTACCGTCTATTCATGGCGACAGGAAACAATGCCAAGCAGCGTCCGCAACTGTTGCTTTTCATCGCTCCTAACAAAGACGTGATGGTTTACAACCGCATCAAGAAGTCATGCGATTGCCGTTTTGGAGTTCCTTCTCAGGTCGTACAGAAAGCGCATGTGGAGAAGAAAATGCCTCAATACATGTCTAATGTGGCAATGAAAGTCAATGCTAAGTTGGGAGGAGTGACTTGCAAAGCTGTTCCGCGACAGTCAGATGCAATGCATCGCCCTGGATCCATCATCATCGGTGCTGATGTTTCTCATGCTGCACCTGGCAGTTTTGCCCCTTCACTTGCTGCTATTTCGGTGTCCGCTGACCAGAACGGAGCCAAGTACATGGGTAGTTGCCAAACCGGTGACAGCCGCGTCGAAATTATTAACGAGTATAATATGAAGGAGATGCTCACCCCTCTTGTCGATGAGTGGACAAAGACCGTAGGCAATGGTCGTCGCCCCCAGAACGTTTATTATTTCCGTGATGGAGTGTCCACTGGCCAGTTCGCTCAAGTGCTCGAGAAAGAGGTTCCTGTGATCAAGGATGTAATCTTCAATGGAAGTGGAGATAAAGTACCACCCAAGATCACTGTGGTGATTGGTAACAAGCGCCATCATATCCGCGGTGCACCGCGTCCAACGGACAAAACTGCAGGCGACAAGAATGGAAATGCCCTCCCCGGAACGCTCATCGAACGCGACGTCACGAGCCCACACGACTGGGATTTCCTCCTCATCGCACATGTTGCTTTGCAGGGAACCGCACAGCCTGTTCATTATCACGTTATCCGTGATGAAATGAAACATCAGCCTGCTCAGCTCCAAAACATGATTTACAATCACTGTTATCAGTATGTTCGCTCGACGACCTCTGTTTCACTGTGTAAGTAATCCAAATACGGTCCAATCTTTTACATGAACTAACTTGCGTCAGTTCCGGCCATCTACTATGCGCATTTGATCTCCAACCGTGCTCGTTGCCAGAGCGCTGATGAGTTCGTTGAAGGTTCGGACGAATCCCCGGAGAACAGCGGCCCCAAACAAGGTGGCCCCAAGCCCTTGCTTCCAATGGCAAAGAATGAAACGCGCAACAATCTGGAAATGTGGTTTGTTTAGATTGTCAACTGAGGGCCTTCAAGGTTATCTGGGGTTAATACGGGATGGCTGTGTTTCTTTTTCTCTTTCTTTTTCAGACATTTCCTATGTCTTTAGATCTTTCATTATGTTCTCAGATGGTTCGATGTATTTGGTTGATTGATTGTTTCCGGCTTTTTAAACCGGCGACTCTAACGATCCGGAATACAACCGCTGCTGGGATTTAAAAAATTTTGCATTCATGTATTGAGGTGGTATTCACACAACAAGAAAAAGGAATATTACCTAGGTAGAATAGAAATCAATACAATACAATGACTGGCAAATCTTCGATACTCCTCGATAACACTATCTGAAAGTAGCGAAGGGAAAACAATAGACAAGTTCCTAAGAGAGCGGGCCTCCTCCGCACCACAATATGAATGCAATAGGTGCAATATTTTCATCTATTATACGAACATGACGTGCCGTAAGATGCATAGAGAGAGAATACAATCAACCACCGGTTAATACATGCAAACGCAATGCGGTCTTTAAAAAGAAACAATATCAAGCGAGATAATTGTCCGTAACAGACGGCTAGGGAAAGGAAACATACAAGCGGACATGACTAGATGTAAAGCAAGAAAACGAAGAAAATGGAAGGTAATGAGAAGAGGAAGGAAATTGAGAGATGACGGAGGTCTCTGAGAATTATGATAAAGAATCGAAACGCATGTTTAAAAAAAAACGATGACCCCTTCCCCTAAAAAGGCAGATCAAATAGATGAAAGATAGATGAATTAAACTTTTTTCTCTCTCCTTTTTCTCAAGAATGTCCGTTAATGCTCTCTGGGCTCATCATACTGGTAACCCCCTGGTTGACTGCGTTTTCGTTATTCGATGTGTTGATTCCTGCACGCGACTGTTAGAGAAAGTCGTAAAGAGAGAAAGTTTTAAGTAGTACATTCGCTCATACCATTGACTTTAGTAGGATGATGCTCGCCAGTCAACGCGGCACTGGAGTCTGCTGATATGCCGTTGACAATATCTGAAGCTTTCGAGTCTTTGTTGTTGTTCATGTCCAAATCATTATTGGCGGATTTTGAATCGCTGATTGACGAAACGAAGGAATCACCACCGGGAGGAGGTCCCATGGCTGTTGTTGTGGAAGACGAGGCATCAGCGGTAGTCCCGTTACTCTTTTTAGCCTTTTTCTTGCTGGGTTCTACAGCGCCAAATGAGAGTCCTAGTTTACCGGGTAATGATGACTGTGCAGTAATGCTCGATGGCAATGGTCGTTTCTGGGGACTGGTGTGGATGCCTGCGTTGTTCGGGGGCACTATCTTTCCGGATGCTGGAAGTTTTGGACGAGACGGACGCTGTTTGGGAGGAAGCTCGAGATCTTCAACGAGAGGCTCTTCTCCATTGGCCTGTAGTTTTTGCAGGAAGAAGCTCTGTACCAGACCGATTTGTGAGGACAACGACTGGGCCGTGACGCGCTGATATGGAGGAGGCGGCGGGAAGATTGTATTGGCAATTTGAGATGCACTGAGGAAAAGAAAGACAAAAGTCAGTATGTAGAATCACTAAGCCACGACATCAAAAACTTACTTTGTGTTTTGTGATTGGTGTGCATTGTACATCCTATTTTGTAGAAGATGAAAGGGCACACTCAAACTAGCAAGGCCAAATTCTTTATCCAAACCCATTTCCTTGAATCCGAAGAAATCTTCATCGATATCTTCCGCAAAGTCTCCTCCGACAAACTGCTCACTGCCGTCGTTGAATGCATTAGAGCCATCTCCACCGGTATCGTGAAAGGCAGGGCGAAGGAGTTCTGTGAAATGAGCACGTAGACGGTCATGAATAACACCAAGCTTGGTTCCAACACGTTCAATATCGTCCTTGATGTATGACTCCAAGGACTCTATGTCACTTCCCATTGCTGAAAGAGTGTGAAGTATAATCTCCTGTTGCGTATATGGGGATTTGCAAGTCGTAGCACTCGAATTGGGGGCATCAGAAGAGTCAGCAGTAGGGACCTTTGGACTTTCCATGTATTCTTTTAATGTTCGGCTAATCTTGTAAAAAAATTCCGATGCGATGTCCGTGACTGCATCCAAAGCTGACGGTTGATATTCTTCAAACCCCGTATGATATAGAATCTTTGCAACGGACCGTTGCAGTACTGCCTTCGAGATCCAAGGGCTCACCACAGGGCCTTCATCATTCATGACATGCGTCGGTACGTCCTGTTCAACAAACGGTTCGGGTTGGTATTTTTGAAATTGATTCTGGTATACTTGAGATTGAAGCTGCATCTGCTTGACAATGCTGACTTTAGAGCATATCTTCCTCGTCTCTTGCATTTGTCGCATGTTGGCATCCATCCTCCGAGAAAGTTTGCTATCAGGTTGTGTGAATGATCCTTTTGGCAAGATATGCAAAAACTCTTCGAGATTGTCAACCACATTGCCTTCAGCATCCTCGCGCCATATAAGATGTGGTGGGATGTCTGGGATTCCCGACATAACATCGTAATAGTCTGGAATGACTCTGTCTTCTTCCTCCTCGATGCCCTCAGCAAGCGTTTCACTGGTCTCAGGCTGCCGAGCATTGCTCAATGACTCAGCTGCTTTATCAGACTCAGGCCCGGTCTGTTTCTGATTTTTCAGCCATCGTCTCATGCCTGCCTTGGTACGAAGCAAAGCGGGTTCATCAATATTCAGTTTATCACCCTTGAAAAGGCGATGTCTCTCGGCCGCGATGAGAGCGCGGTCCTTCTTGGTTACTTGTTTCCAAATCTGATACTCAGGGTCGTCATATTCGATTCCTATCGCAGATAAGCCGCCGGTTGTCAGGTTAGGCGCGACAAAACTATCCATCTCCAGTGCATCAACCTGGCTGCCGGAGCCTGCTGCTCCAACACCATTTGCACCAATCGGCGTGAGTATCCCGGCTGGCGGCGTTGAGAGCCCATTCTGGCTTCCATCGGCCATTCCATCAACATCAGGTCCGACTGAATTTTTGGTCTGGGAGCCTAATGGGCCAGATGGAGCTTCTGAGCCACTAGGTGTCTGGCGACTTGGAGCGGCCCCTTTCAGCGATTTTTTCCCGGGAGCTTTTCTGCCTCTTGACGACATTATAGGCTCATCATCACTCTCCTCAGCTCCATCCATCTCAGCAAGCTGCAGTCTCCGTTCCTCTGCCTCTACTTCCGCACGATCTCTTATAACGACATCCGGGATCAACGGTACCAGCTTTTCTGTCTCCTTTCTCATAAAAAGAGCATGTTTGCGCAGGAAGTGTTCCGGCTGGGCGTTATATTTCAAACAGTTGGCCCATATCAGGTTCAAATCGTCGACAAACTCCTGCTTTGATTTGTATTGTAAGGTCTTCAGCTTCTTCGTCATGGAACCCAAATCCATAGGGTGTTTGATAACTTTAGGATGTCAGTAATCCAGCAGTCGACAACAGGGTTTGGTGGAAGATCGACTTACTAGTATGATAATCGGGAGCCTCGCGTTTGTTAACTCTTGAAAGAAAGAATGACGAGTGTTCAGTCATTGCCTTCAACTCGCTCAACACCTTCTCAGCTGCCTCGTAGAGTTCTTCCTGGCCAACTTTCTCCTCGCTTGCCCATTTACTCCGGTTTTTACGAACCTCGCTCATCAAGCTCCGAAGCTCGGCATCGGACGCTTGTACCATTGTACGTTTCATATCAATGCGAGCAATGAGATTCTTCAATGTGAGGCTAGAAGCGCCTAGGTTGGCACTACTCAGTGAACCATATCCATTTGCGACATTACTCGCGTTGTTCCCTGCGTTGTTGACGCCTTGGCCCGACATTTCAGCTTCCACTAGCCTTTCCGATTCTTCAAGTCGTTCCTGCTCCTTCATCGCATCATGGTCATTTTCGAGGGTATAGAAGATTGTCTGAAAGCTTTGGCGCGCAGCTTCTTCGGTAGCTTTCTTTCCCTCTTCTAGCTTCTTCCGAATTCCTTCTAGTGTTTCCTTCTTAGTCTCCTTACCACCTTCCACGGGAGTAGCCGTGGCAGACGAGGGTCGTTGAGCTGGCGACGCATCGTGAAACGGCGTTACGGCGGATTTCGCTTTCAAGGGGGTCGCGTTCGCATCTTCCTGAGCTTCACTCTCATCCTCATCATCATACTCGTCATAGTCGTCGTCGTCGATTTTCCGCGCAGGTTTCTTGGCAGGTTGCTCGGTGTCCTGGGGACGCGCCGGAGTAATTTCCGGGGGCTCTGAAATCATCGCGTCTTCGTCAGAAGGCGCAGATGTGCTTCTCTTGACGCTAAACAAGTCGTTGATCTTGGCTTCGCTGCGATTGTAGAGGTCGCGGAAGAGGGTGATGCGAGCATCCTCCTCCGCGGCGGCGTCTGCGTCGGATATCAGATTTCCGGCTTGAGAGCCCTGTTCGCTGGCGGAAAAGCGCATTTGCGGCGTTCGAGCGCCAGACGAGACTCTAGTCAGCCCATTGACTCCGCGCGCATCGGAATGGTGATCGTCCGGGGGTCGTAGGTGGCCTGGGGGCATCCAGGCCAAATTTTGACCGAGGGACATAGCCGCGCCCTGAGCAAACCCCGTCGAGGGGGACACTTGATTCGCTCGGACGGTCCAGCGCAGAACAGGGGCTTTCCGGGCGCTGAAAAGTCTGCAGCGTGATAGAACAAGGTGCGGCCAGTATCGCAGCGATGTTTCCTGGGGCCAAACTGATAAAACGGGGATGTGGTTGATGGCTGACGTAGGGCTCTTTTGTTAGCATTGACGGGCTGAGGTTGAGGGAGGCCGTCAGGTTTGGCAGCCTCCGCAGACCACATGCGTAGTTGGCAGTTGCAGACCTTCCGCTCCCGTGCTTGGCAGCCCCAACCCCAACTTCAAAGGCGAACGAACATCTGTGAATATGTCGCATATAATGCTCTTATTTTGACATGACCTCCTCCTCCTCCTCCTCCTCCTCCTGCCAGGCCTGTGCTGTGATGTCTCCTGCTAAACTACTCCTGCTGCTGCTGCTTGCTTGAGCTTTGTCGCTGCCTACTACTTGTAAAATACCGACTGATCCGGCAGGATTGCGTGGTCAATCCCAGACATCACCTCCCGCTCTCCTCTGAAGAAGCTCTCCTTCTTGCCAAAGATGAGGGTCCGCTACTACTTCCTTGGTATGTTGCTGATTACATCTGCCATTGTTAGCCCCATGCTGATCGATGTCCTCTGTGAACAAACAACAGGCGCATTCGTGCTACTTGTGCTATTCTCTTCTTACATGGGACTTCTACCGCATAGCACATCGAGCAGTGTCCCAGCCAACTTGCAACCCAACGACAAATTCCTGCATTTCATAACTTTCTTCCTGCTGTCCCTCACATTCTACTGGATCCCCGATACGTCGCGCCGAAGAGCTCTCCAAGCAAGCCTGCTAGTCTGCACGCTCGGTCTCGGAATCGGGTCCGAGATAGTGCAAGCTCTCCTCCCAAATGACCGGCTCTTTGATCCCTTCGACATCGTCGCCAATATCGTCGGCAGCGTCGGAGCTATTAGTATCTGCGGCTGGTATCATCGACGCATGTTGGAGAGACGACGCAAAGCACGCTTTGGATCGGTAGAGGATGATGCCGCTGGAGAGCCAGGGAACAGCGACGATATTGAGTTGGGCCTCAGCGCTAACGGTGCAAACCATGGCCATGATAACGATAGCATGGGCCCTCAAGAGACTGGTGTCGTTGCTACAAATCTCGAGCAAGAAGTCGATAACTGGGATGAGAATGCGGTCGATAGCTGGGATACTGAAGATGGACCCGGTCCTGTTGAAGAAACGATAGAGAACGGTAATGTGAAAATGAGGAATGACTGAAAGTACAAAGTTTGATATGATTTTATATTTGTCGACGTGCTGAGGGAACTAGTTATGTTTCTCTGCTCTATACTACATATTGATGTGCATATTCGTGTTTGACTGTCAGCCTATTTACTGCTTGCTCTCTTTTCTTTTCTACCAAGTTGCGATGCAATACGATGCCTAGTCGTGTGTCTTCCTAGGTATTACTGTATTATACGTCAATTTCATACTACATATCGTCTGTCAACCCTTTTTAAACAGAAACGAAAATCCTCCTATCACGATTGTCAATGGCGTCTATGAAGTCCTCGCATGTGTCCTGGTCAAAATATAGTATAGTTATACAAAATCAAGAACTTCCAGAAAACGCTCAAGAGACACTGCAATACATATGTATGTTTGGCCTCGAACGCCAATGACAGAGAGAAATGTAACGGGTATCTGCTGGTCAATCAATATGGGAAAAGAAAGTAAAGAAGTAATGAATAACACAGAATCAGGAACGTACACATCAGCTAAGGCTATGGAAGGGGCATGGAACAAAGGTGTGTCTTTTTTATCATTCTTCCATGTAAAAGGTATGGACAAAAGGTAAGAATAGGTAAGAAAGAAAGGAATGCAGTTGAATGGAGTTGACGAAGTAATGACCTTGGTAAATGATATATGGCAGTCTACCTTGGAATTCGTGGTCAACTCGATGCAATATGCCTGCGTTTATTCGTCCACTGAGACAGGTGATTCCTCGTTGGTGATTGGCTCCAGCTCTGGCTTGTCTGAGATTGTATACTTATCATCTGCTGACAATCGTGGTACCTTTGGTGATCTCAAATCCACAGCCATATCATCGACAAGTGAGCCCCCAAGTTTCTGAATGCTTTGCTCACGGAGAACTTCATAAATAAATTGCAGCTGCATCTCATTGTAAACCATCATCATTCGCTGCTCTCGCAGTTGATTCACAGTGTCAAAAATCGGGTCTTCGCTGGAAGATTCGGAACTAAGCAGTTCACCAGAATCCAATTCACGCAATAGGTGATCTAGTGCAATAAAGGTGCCGGTCCGGCCCACACCGGCACTGCAATGGACTATGCGAGGGTTCTCCGGAGTCGTCTTTTCGGCTGTGCGTTGAAAGAGCTGAAGAAGTGCGCTCCGTTCTTCCCCTTCTGGCTTTGAATAGTCTGCCCATCCCGCAAATAGGAAATGCCAAACGGTCTTGCTCTCGCCGTCAATTTCGAGTTCCAACTTTCGAATTTCAGACCGACATGATTCATCGAAGAAGTGTTCACGAAGAGTGATGCTCCCGGATATATTTAGGTCGCTATCTTTTCCTATTTCTTCCGCTTCCTCTTCTTCTCCCTCTGCCTTTTCTTCCTCTAGTTCCGCTTCGTCTTCGTCTTCGGCCTCGTCTTCTTGAGATTCTTCGTCACTGACAGGCGAATCGTCAAATGCTGTCGGGAATTTCATCACCGCATCGTCAACGTCCAGAGGGAAATATTGTGCACACTTCTCTCTTCCAGCTTCGACTGTTTGAGTCAACATGATTACTACCGCTACATCCGCGCTTTCGTGAAACACCATATGCCAGAAATGTGCTAAGTGGATGCCATTCTTTGGACCCTGTCATTTTGTCATTAGATATGAGAAGTCAAAGGGTCACGGATTGCCATACTTGCGTAGCAATATACCTCGTCTCGTCTCCCGTACGAGAATCTTTAAATACAATAGGCGATGCGTTGATGAAATCACATTGTCCTTCGGGCACCTTTAAACGGATGCGCGAATTTGCCCATGCTTGCACATTCATATAACGGTTCCGTGCCTTTACTTCCGGGTCATTCTCAAGAGCCCACCGGTGTGATGGATCCTTGGCCATCGCCCCTTGTGCTATCCGTGATCGTTGGAGCCATTCGAGTTCCTCGAATTTCTTCCGTATTTCTGCGAGTTCATCTCAGGGTCAGCTCAATGCCATATAATAGCAACTACCGGCGGTCTGACCTATATTTGGGAGACTCAGAAATGGCGGTAGTCGCGAAGCAGCATCCGTTATCAGTGTCTCTGTTTGGTCCTGATCCGACGGTGCCGGCAGGCCATCAGAGCCTCCGGTTGCTTCGTATGATAGGCCTCGTTTGGTTCCGTGAACGTCAGTATCTATTCGGATGGGCGATTGTGCCATTTTCCCAGACGGGGGCGTATAATGTAGAGCACGAATTCGACTTAATACGCTAAGAGCCTTTCGCGACGCCTTCTTGCCGGTGGCGGCAATCTTGCGCGATCGGCCTCGAGGACGCGATGCGCCGGGAGAGGAAGCTCGAGATTCTCTTTCGGAGAACGAGCCACCTGAAGGGCGTTGCGAGGTGATCTGGAGTGATGTCAGATCAGGGCAGCTGAGAGAGCTGCCGGGGGGGGTTGGGGCGTCCAGGATTCCGGTTGTTGATGATGGAGGGGCCGCAGTCGGCCGCAGCAGAAGGAGGGGTTGGACTGGGATCCGTTGGACACGAGACCCCAGCAGCCTTGGGCCTGTCAAAGCAGAGCAAGAGACTTGACAGCGGCGGCTAAGAAGCCAGTTCCTGTTGGTCGCGAAGTTTTGCAGCGGCGTGGACAGGCGGACAATTTTGACTGACTGACTGATCCAGCAGACCTTGGGAATAAGCCTTTTGAGAGAGTAGTCAGAGCAGATCTAGCTACTTCTTATACGAGAAGAGGAAATCGCCACGATCAAGCCAGCAGCATGATTCTAATCTGATACTGGTGTAAGCATAGGCAGGCAATCGAATTTGTTGCTGGACAAACAATCTTAACAGTGTGGCGTGCCTGAATTATCCGGCGGCCATCCATCATCGCGGCAGGAGCCGGTGGCAGGCGGGCCGGGACCAAAAGTTCTGCGACCTCACAACTCCATATGGTAGTTAAGTTATAACTACGTACAGTCATACTTTGCTTGTTTGTCACACCGGTCGCTGGCTGACCAGTGTGTTCTGAAAATGCCCCACGGCTTGTTCGATTAATCAAACAGGTTGACTTTGTGCTGAGTGCTTGACATGTGGTGGCTCCGCGTTCTGGAGGTAAGCAGCTTCCCCTCTGTTGTTCATTCTCCCTAGGCCTAAGGCTAACCATTTGCTTTTCTTCCAGGTTTGGGCTACCAACCGTGTAAGTACCGGAAAGACAAACAACATGCTCGCAATGTTCCTGATAGTTTCGAATAGCTCCTGCGCAGCCCGGCCTTTCACCTTATGGTGCGGGGCGTCCATCGGAAAGTCCATCGTTTGAGGCACGGTGTACCGCCCGAAGAAATGGGAGGAACAAACATCGAGGAAACCTGTTTGTACCCTTTTCAAATTTTGCGCGCAGTTGGATATTCACAAAACTGATGTATCTACGTGCATTTCTATAGCCGGAGTGAGACATTTTCTACGGCTCTTCAAGGAACAAATCCAGGACCAGCTGAAAGATAACCCGTCAAGGCGGAAGTGATATATGGAAAGAGACGGATGATGGCTACTCGATGCAACTTTCTAGGTAATCGATTTTTGGAAATGATACCCACAATTGATTTTTCCTGTTGAAATGAGAATTTTTTTCTTACTAGAGGCTGCGTCGGAGTCTCTCGCCTCGCGTATCGAGAGCGTCGCAACTGAAGTCGACTGAAGTTTGGTTTCCAATTTTGGTTTCACACACATCTCGCACCTTCATCCCGCTGGGCTGGGCCATCAACTAGTACTCTCTCATCTTGGCCGAATGAGTTTGAAAGTGGAAGCAGATGTGTTTGTGTCTATCGTTGAGGGAACGTCAGATGTTGAATACGAGCCGAGTCGTGGGAGATGTTAGGGTTTGTCGGTTGGTAGTATAACCAAGTCAGTGATCAACTGTATTATTGTAATATTCAGCATATAAAAATAAAGCTAGTTATTAATTATTCACTATCGATCATCGAATATTAAGGAGTATTGATATTCGATAAGTATGTTTTTTCAGCGCAGGTAACGGACCGACTAACTACCACTTACGCTATCCACTGACAGCTGCCTAAATACTAGTCAGGTACAGACCTTGAGAGCATCCCATGGTTAGTCTATGACTTGTCAGCGCAGTTGCTGACACCGTGACAAGTGTCTCGTGGGGTCCGGGAGCTCGACAAAATTCCGTGAATGTAACTCTTTCAGTCGTAAGTTCAACTAAATTGGAAGTGCCCCCATCAGCATAAACGTACGCGGGCCGCTTTCATGTCCCTCCGTGGGAGAAGTAGAATCACACCCTCTTGGAGATGGACTTGACATCATAAACTGCCCGCAAAGCGTCTCGCAAAGCGTCTCGCAAAGCGACGAATACATAAAACATTCAGCCGCTTCGCCACGGCCTGAGCAGTGAAAAGGCCTCACATGATACGCGGATCATCCGGGCGCCTCTTGGCTGATTTGTCTCAGCTTTGCGCCAGCTGTAAGAATTCGATACGAGAAAAACTTTTTCGGGTCGCATACGCCGTAGCCATCTTGTAGATCCTGCTGCTTCCATCTATGTGCTATGTGACGGAACTCGTCTCGGCTGAACAAAGCGCCTCGGAGAAGGCCTGTGAGTGCTATTTTCGACTGGTTGTATGTCGCATTCTTCTCGTCTTTTCAATTTTGCTTGTCTTGGACTGTGCTTTGCCGCCCCCTGATTGGCCCACTCTGCCGCTAGCGTTGGCTTTCGTCTCCCTCCCAAACGGGGCTAGCGCGGCGCCTGATTGGCTGGCTGCGTTGTTTTCCGTTCGTCTGAGAGATTTCTCCTTCCTCAGGCTGCCGCTGTCCCTTTCCTCCTGCCCTTCCCTCGCAGTGATTCACCAAGCACCAGTCGCCTTCGCCCTACCGCCTCAGAGGGCTATCACTCGTTTTCCACCCTCGCTGTTTATTCTCTTCACTTTATCCCTTCGTTATCTTTGAGGCATCCGTATATTGATTGATTGATTGACTGATTCGTCCCCCTTGGCCGTTCGTTGTTGTCAAGCCGTTCGCTCCCGAGTCATTCACGCAATCACCAGCCATTGTCTGGCAGTCCAAAAAAAAAGAGAAAAGAAAAGGAAAGAAATCTCATCTCAGACAATCCTACCTCTTCGACTCTATTCGCGAGAGGTAGTAACTGCATCGAAAGTCGTCGTGAGATAAGAAAAGCAAAGGGGGGCAAGACGACATGCGTTCATCATTGTTGTTGGCTGGTATCTACCTGCTCGCTGCCACCGTCTCCGGTGCAGTAGAGCCTGAGAAGAGGGACGATGTCAGTGGTTTGAGCGATGTGCTTTCTGCTTCGCCGACAGCCGCTACAACGGCTGCTGCTTCTGCCACCGATAGCGCTCCATCTTCCTCGAGTTCCCAGTCAGAGCAGACCACCGCTGCTGCCACAACTTCTGCGGATCCAACTCCCTCAACCAGTGAAGCTCCAACATCCACCATATCAACCTCTTCATCCTCCTCCTCCTCCTCCTCCTCCTCTTCGTCCTCTACTACGTCTTCCACTTCGGAAAGATCGACATCAACTTCGACCACGTCTTCATCGTCGTTGTCCTCTACTTCGACGTCAGAAGCCCCCACTTCTACATCAGATACTGCACAAACCCACCGCAGCACGACATCTGAACCGACGTCGACTACCAGTTCTCAATCCACTTCCACCAGTCAGTCGGAAATTCTAATTACCACCACGGCAACCATCAGTGGCACTGTAGTGGCACAAACTTTGACCTCCAGCGCAACCTCATCTTCTGCATCTAGCACTTCGTCCCCTGGTCTCAGTTCCGGCTCTTCAAACTCTAGCACTGGACTGAGCAAGAGTGCAAAGAACACCATCATCGGTGTTGTTGTCGGTGTGGGCGGTGCAATTCTCCTTGCCGGTGTTGCTTTTGTGGCATGGAGGGTTTGGGGACGCAACCGACACACTGACAATGACGAGGACGACCTGATGAATGCCGGCACTGCTGTTGGTTCCAATCTTCGTGAAAAGGCTCCTAGCCCAGCTTCTAGCGGCACTCCATTCCGGTCTACTCTCGACCAATACCACAATCCTGGACCGGTCAACGCTGCTTCTAATTTTTAAACCAAGATGACGGCATACGTTCTGTATTGCTGGTGGTTACCCGAGCGTCATCTCGATTATCTTTTTTTTTTTCAGATCTCTTCGTGTTGAAAGTCTTTATCTGTGTGTGTGTTTTTTTTTGGGCGGCGTTTCAGAGAAAGCCTCGACGGAAGATGTTGCTCCATGGGACCTTCCCCTTCCGAATCCTTTAACGCATTCATTCTTTTGAAACTTCATAGAACGTTTACACAGCGTTGGCGAGCTCTCTGCCATAATTTCGACATTGCTGCTTTTTTCTCATCTACTACGACACTCCTTACGATTGCGAAGTCTCCAGGACAATACGTTGATAGCCATTTCCGATCGAGTTGCCATTCTTGCAAATTTATTGAATACCCGATCTTCTCTTTACTGTCGTCTCTTTAAAAAGCTTGGAATCTCTTGCCTTAAATCACCAGGGCCCTTGTACATGCATGTGCTTGTACGTACTGGATTTCAGGCGGTCGCGATATTGTCTTGTCTACCGAGGGCGGCCAACCTATTGTTTTGTATCATATATTTTAATTATGCAATTATCGTTTTTATAGCTACAGGTATAATTGTAGTCAGTATGCAGAGATAACTATTCAAATAGTGGCCTGAGGCCGATGGCAGCCTACCATCCAAGGTAGCCAATCACCGAGCCGGGCCGCCCATCAACCGGACAACATCAAACAACTGTGAAACTGCGCGCTTAGGAGACAACCAACCAGTATGTCAGAACGCATATTTCTCTGTCAGCGAATGTACGAGCTATGAGGCACTTGACACTTTGCATAATCACATCTATAATTGCCCTGAAGTTTCGGCACCAATCCGCTCTCCTCCCAAGGTCTCCCTTTTGATTGAGGCTTTTGAAAAAGAACGCTATGTTTTGCCAGTGCCAGGACGTCTTATGGCTTTAATTTCATTTTTAATCTCTCATATAACTGATAGGGATCCCTTTTGTTCTCTTCTCCATAATACATACTACGTAGGAGATGCAATCAATGAATGACGGAATTTCATTCAATGAATGAATTGATTTGCCAGATACATCTAGAGTCGACCGCGATATGGCACGACAGCAAAGCATAGCGAGAGATGGGAGGCGGGGAATTATAGCCCGTTTGTGGCTATCGTCGTCGTCTTCATTTACTCTGCTCTGGCTATTAGTGGCATTGCTATTCTCTCGAGAGACGTTAGCGACATCACCAGCCGGAGATGATATCAGGGCATCAGTGACAGAAGAGCTTGAGAAACGAGTGGAAGTTGGTAATAATTACGAGGTTTGTTCAGTTGTCTGGTCAATTTAGATGTTCTCACTTGAATGCTGACAGCGATGATATTCATTCAGTGTACAACAGCCCTAACGGCGACGGCAACAATGGCAACGACAAATGTTATAGGGACTCAGGCACCGCCTATTACTTTGACGGGCAATTCTGCGAGGCCTTTCAGCGTGGAAAATGATACATTTGTAAGTATGGCCAAAGCAACTTGTTCGTTCTTTTTGCTAACTCTTCATGTTCTACTGCAGACTAGTCTTGCCTCGGCGAAGCAACGAAGGTGTGTATGACGATGGTTTTGGATTTTGGCCACCTTTGAGCTGGTTGGTGACATTCTTTGTTTGCTGCAGTTGCAGCGATCAATTTAATGCGTGTCAGTTGGTAAGTGGGAGTCCTGATCTGGCTAAATGTCCCTTTTCGAGATGTTCACATGTTAATCGTGCAAAACAGATGGCGAACGACGATACGACTGCCGGCTTTACTGTTTCTGAGTGTCAAAATCAGCAGAGTGCGTTGATTCCGCTGTTACCATCTTTCTGCTGGGCTTACTTGAAGGCTAATCTGGAGAAAAACATTGCATTGTAGATGCGTGCTTGAATGACGATGCCGTGCAGGTCTCCAGCTCATCTACCTCGACAACAGAACAAACAGCAACAATTAATACTACCACTAGTACTACGACTTCAGTCCCGCCTGCTTCAACATCCTCAACCTCGACATTGCAATTTACTTCGACAACTTCCAGTTCTTCTACCACTATCACCAACACCAACGAGTTATCTTCCATGTTGACAGCAGCTACGGCAGAGACAGCGACAGAGGAAGCTACAATCACAACGACAGCCGCTCCTTTGACAGCAAGCGCAGCTTTAACATCCAGTAGCACGACTCAGCCGTATGCCGTCCAGCAAACGACCATTACGCAGGACCAGTATATTCTGATTTGTGATCTATGAAGGATCTGGACGAGCCAGGAGAGTTATTTGATTGCATATAAATAAAGTTTTGTTGGCCAGCCTATACTATGGAGATGTACTACCATATGTTACATTTTACACCGCACACTTCATATTCTTTAAGATCGAAAGCCTGAATACTGGATGTTGAGTTTAAGTAGACTGATATGGCTGCCTGGGTGCCTTAAGTGCCAAGCCAAGCTTTCTGGTGGCGGGTGCCAAGGCGCATATCTTATCAACGCGTTCTCCTGGACGCGATCTCTGCGCATGCAATTGCAATCCCGGTGGCTGTACATACTCCGTCCAACACAGGTCGCTTATTTAAATCCTGTGTTTCTCCTTTGAACTGATGGGCAATCCAAATACTGACTCTGCCTCAGCTAACAACTGCCTGCTCTCAAGTCCCACCATCCTAGCACAAGCATCAGCTGCAGCTTCGACGCCGTCACCAAACCGCAACACATTCGATCAATCGCCATCATCAGAGAAAATGATTGAAATCCTCCCTCAGCAACCTGTTCAACTGCAGTATCTTGCTCATCAACAACAGCAGAGCATGCTTTGTCGGCATTCAGCCGGTCTATTCCAGTACCACACGCCAGCCTCCCCTTCGCCGCTCGGATTACGCAATGCCAACATTTTTCCCACGACGACAATGAGTGGGCGCGAAACAGCAGAAAATGATAAGAACGACAATATCAAGTTTGGAGGATCTTCTCCAGACCAGGAGAATACTTCTCCGTCTTTCAGCCGCAACATCTTCTCCTTTTCCCCGACAAATAGTAATAATACTGTCGTCACCCCACCGCCAAAACAGTCAACATACGAAGCACGATTCAGAAATTCGGGCGGATCCAAGAATCCATTTACAAAGATATTCGGCTCTTCGTCCTCCCCCTCTCCTAGCGGTGGCAGTGCCACAAAACACCGGCAGCTCTTCCTCAACAAAGTGAAACAAAACCGCGACAATGCGCGCTTCGGTTCGCGCGGCGAAACGCTTATGATGATGGAATATCATTCCGAGCAGCAGAATTGGGATGCGCAAATGCGGCAGAAGGCAGATACTATCTATCAGCAGAATCATCTTCTGGAGGAGCATGAAGACGGGGACGAGGACGAAGACGATGATAATAATGATGATAATGAGCAGTCTGCGCTGGAGCAATTCCTAATGCAGGAAGAAGAACCATATATGGACACAACGTTGATGTCACCAGCATCAACGAAAAGTATGCGAAGTGATAGAGCATCATTTTGCGGTGATGATGGTGATTATGATGATATTTTCATGGAGCTTGTTGATGAATCCGGGGATACTACAATGTCGTGTTGAAGGTCTTTGATATTTCAACTTGTTGATATATTGATTCTTCTTTTTTGTTTCTTGTCTATGCTTCTTTTCTATCTGTGAGACTAACCGGGGTATCGTGTAAAAGGGCATTGTCGTTCTATGTACATAAACACTGCAGTCCTAATCCATGACTGAAGCTGTGGCTATAGCGCAACAACGGAATACAATAAATTAATCGCCGTCAATCATTTCCATTTCAATTTCCAATGCTCATGTGAGATCAAAAAAAGATATATCGATCCTATGTTAAGGAAGTGGTTTTTTTATTGTTGCGCGCATTCGGGCGGCATCTTTGCATCGGGTTCATCGGCAAACGCAGGCTTGGGGACTATCCCCTCGGGAATAGCGCCAGCGGCTTCCATCTGTTGCAGTAGAGTCAGCTGAAACCGTTTCCATTCCCTCAAATGGAGAGTGAAATAATAGTACCTGCTGCATATGATCCCAAATATATGCAAGACATTCCGGGTCCTTATCCGAATAACCTTCCTCATCAAACTTCTCCATAATCTCCCTCACTATGCGAGCCTGGTTCTCGTATCGCGCAAAGTCCTCCGGTGGCACTTTGCCTTTATTCTCCTTCAGCCAGGGTCCATACTTTTCATTATAGTCCTTCATAGGCTCGTATAGCATTTCCTTGTTGGAGATATCGTGGACGATAGAATTGAGCATGGTTTCGAGTTGGTTGGGGTCGGATTCGGAGTTGAGTAATTTCATGAGATTTTCTAACATTTCGGCCGATTGATCATCTGATTCCATGCCGGATGCTGCCGCTGTAGCCGTGGCCTTGTCGCCGGACTCTTGCATTCGCTTAAGCGTCTTTTGGATAGTATCTTGGAATGTGTCTCCTTCCCCGCCTGCTGCAGCAGTGGCTTGCTCGGTGCCTACAGTAGAACTGCCGGTACCTTCTTTTTTCTCCGCATCACCTGCCGAATCAATGAGAGATTTGAAAAGACTCTCCATCGAGAGCCCTTGATCCTGGAACTCCTTTGAGAGAGCTTCAAACTCTTTCTCCATATCAACCGGCAAATCTCCCCCCGCATTGGGTATGTCCGATGCCTTTCCTTTACCGCTACTGTCGCCACCGCCCAGTAAATTGGCCATCATGTCTGCTTCTAACTGCTTCATAAACTCTTCGTCAATCCCATTTGTGTCTAATGTAGCTGCTTGCGGGGTATCTGGGGTGTGGGTGGCGGTAGGCTTTGAGGAATCAGCAACGGCTATGGTTTCGGAAGTGGCTTGCTTCGGTTTATTGAAATCGTCTAGTACGTCTGTATTCCCAAAATGAGCCACGAGAAGTCAACATTATTTAGGGAGGAAGCCTACCATCCAGATCTTCAAAGTCCGAGTCTTCTTCCTCCTTGTCGGCCGCCGTGTGCTTTACTTGCTCGTCGGCTTTCTCGCTGGCTTTTTCCGCGGATGCCATGGTGGTGTGTTTCCTGTCCTGCTGATGTATATTTTATGTCTCTATGGCAATTGCAACGAGGCTCTGTGGGTTGTTTATAAGGTGTAGGTGAGAACAGGCGAGGTCAAACGCAGCCGAGGCTTGCATTGATTTGATTCTCTCCCATGCGGGGAACAGTCTCCACCACGATTGTGGAAGGAACTACCAGCGTAAATGATATTTGCTTGTGTTCCACGATATTGTAGCGCATTTCACTCTTGAGATGATACTTGAATGCTTCTATTTGCTATAATGCGGAGAGTAGCTTTTCTTAAGGTAGTTCATGGCTGTTCCCACTCATATCGTCACGTGATCGAAAGCCAGGAACTAGGAAGGCTTGTCTATTATATTATATACAGTTCAGGCATAAGTACTCGTACACGTACGAAGGGCGTAATTACAGGCGCAAGCTGTAATTTACAGGCGGAAAAACGGTACGCATACGCAGCCAAGCAACTACGGCGGTTGGGCCCCAGGCTGGCGCGGCGCGTGACCAGCGAATGCGGCATAGCGCGTCCTCAATCCCAACAGGGAAATCCGGAGAGACCAGCTCTAGCCTCTTCACGATGGATCACCAGAGAGGTCGAAGGGGCTAGCACCCATGCAGTTAAGCAGCCCCTGTCAGCCACTGAAAAACGAGATCGGTTGACGTGCGCGGTGCAACTACCTGAAATCCCCCACCGAGCGGAGGTCGCCGAGGAGAAAGCAGAGAAAACTGAAAAACTGCGAAAAGTCAGACAACTCCGCGCTCGCGCAAGGACAAGGGCAAGGGCAAAGAACAGGATTGCAAGGAAAGGACAAGGCGACGGAGAAGAATTCATGCTCGCACAATTACCTTATACAAACACAACTTGCGTAGTAGCAGTCATACTACGACGACGTTGGTTCGGGAGGAAAAGTGGTGCTCCGCTACGGTCCATGAAAACGTGTCGAGGGAAGCGGAGGTTACAGTGCATTGTCATTGGAGCTTGGCCCAATGTGCTTCCAGGGCTGAGCAGGGAAAAAAAAAAACGTAGAAGGGCAAGTCTTTTTTTTTTTCTCTTAGCCAATATTTTTACCTCACATTTTCCCGTCTCTTCTCTCCAGTGCAAGTCTGTATCAATCTTCTCTCGAGTCGCCTTTTTATCACGCAATTTTGCTTATGTCAAAGTAATCTATCTCTGCCTGCGACCACAGCCGCCCAGCCGCGCGTGTCCAGCGTCTACAGCCGCCCGACCCCTCCTTCCCTGTCGTGCCTTTTCCCGGCCACCCGCCGCTGGTGGTCTTGTTATCATTACATTTGACTTTTTCCCAATAAGCTATCATCTTCAAACCCCCCCCCCCGCGCCATTGATCCAGGGGTAGGTCTCCCCTTGTCTGGCGGCGCCTATTGCCATGGTCTCAACGGCCGAGGCTGGGCCTATGCATGACAATGACGTTTCCATGGACGCCATCATCCCCAAGACCGAACCGACACAGGACGGAAATGTCTCCATAAGCTCCTCCGTGTCGACTCCCGAACCCGAGGAACAGAATCAGGATGTTGCGCAGACGCAGAAGAGGAAGGGAGGAAGGAAACCCGTATGTCTATTTTCGAACATTGCCTTCCCCCCCTCCGGGTCCTGGTCCTAACACCCACTGCTACAATTTACAGATTTACGCCACGTCCGAAGAGCGCAAGCAGAGGAATCGCCAGGCGCAAGCAGCCTTTCGAGAGCGAAGGACCGAGTACATCAAACAGCTGGAGTCTACCATCAAGCGGAATGAAGAATCTCTACAGTCGTTGCAACAGAGCCATCGGAGCGCCGCCGACGAATGCCTGATGCTGCGCTACAAGAACTCGCTCCTCGAGAGGATTCTTATGGAAAAGGGTTGGTGAACTGTCTACATTGTCGAGTCAAGGAAACGGGACTGACGCGTTCCCATGATTATAGGCATTGATGTCCAGGCAGAGCTGCGCCTCAAAACCGGCAGCAACTCTACAACCATCCCTTCGATGAAGTCTAATGCAGCCAAGCAGCCGTTGCCTCTCGAACGTGCTGCTCTCAGTAGAACTTCAACGCAGCGACGACAAGCCTCGGGCGCCATCGCCCCCAAATCAGACCTGTCTCACCAACGAGACGGCGCATACAGTACCTCCTCACCACAACCTCAACCTACTCCATCGTCCCACGTGTCGTCTCCGTCAACAGGGAGATCACCTGGCTTCGCCTTGCAAGGTGCAATGTCTCCGAAGGGATCCGAGTTCCGACAACGCAACCAGCCTCCTTTGCTCCCACATCCGAGGGATTTCACCCAACACAGCCCGCTAGGAGTGGGTCAAATGAGGTCTATGGATTCCTATGCTTCCGCGACGCAGTCTATGATGTCCGGAGGTGCTATGACACCTCATTTACAATCTTACTATTCCGCACCTTTCCAAAAACGTTATGATCAGCTCGGTAAGCCAACCTTCGCAGACGGCAATGTATGGGACGGTTCTAGTCTGACTTGAAAACATCAATAGAGCAAGAGTATGATGCTCAGGCTGATATGCTCGACGATGCTGATAATGCAGAAAATGGCTCGGAAGCCAATGCCTACGTCACCGACTTCAGTCGACCACCAGTGCCAACAGGACAGGGACGCGTGGGCTTGCCCGGTGTATCATCTATACAGGCGGATGGCGACCAGGGGATGTATAATACCGGCAGTTCTCTTTTCAGTCAATTTGAGCCCGTGCTAGACAGCGACACGTTCGGACTGAGTGCCAGCATGCATTTTCAGACGCCCTTCAGCTACGAACAAGAAATGCTTCGCCAATAAACTCGGATCCTCGACTACCGCAAGGTATTAAATTTCTTTCTCAATTCATTGTAAATGACTTTTGGATCACCACGGCTCCAGCGTACGACTACAGCATTGGTCTTCACCTCGACGTCGTGATTTTCAACCATTTTATTACTTCTTCTTCTTCTTCTTCTTCTTTTTTATGCTCCCTCGCATCTCTTATTTCTTACTTCCAACTACGAAAAGCGTGCATATGTTATGACAGCGGGAGACCAAAAGTGCTTTTATGGCGTTGGTGCAATTGTGATTCAATGTTGATATCGGGACTTGATTTCATAGGGCAGGCAAGAGCTTGCCCGGAGTGTACACATAAAAATTTCCCCTGTTCATTATCTTATATACCCTGGCAAGATGATATGCATTATCTTTTCTTCCTTTGTTTCTTGCAGTCGGGTTTTGGAGGCTACTGTTCAGGGAGTCACTATGCTGTGTATATTTGCTTGTTATATTATCTCTTTCTACGGGGTTATGGAGAGGTGCTTACGATAGTGGAGTGTATTCAATGCAATCAAGCAAATACTACGTATGATGATGTAGATTGCCGCATTCGGCCTGGTCAAAGCCCTAAGCCCTAATGGCTGACATTTCCGGACAAGTGCGGAACAACAACCCGCCGGCTGGTTGGCTCATGCCATCGCTTAGCGTGGGCCAGCCGGGCGAGTCACCAACTTGCAAGCCCCAAACCACAAATCACAAACCACAAATCCAAACCCAACCACCAAAGCGCCTCTCCACACCCAACCCGGTACGTCTTCTCCTCCCTCGCTCGCTCGCTCGACTCTCTCCCTCTCCTTCTCCCCTCGAGGATTTTCCCTGATTAAACTCCCCCCCAAAAACCAACCTCCCTCCTAATTGCCAATCCAGGAAGGCTGCAATCCTACTGCTCGCTAGGATTCTGCCTTTTCCAGAACCTCCCACCCTCACCCCTCGAATTGTTGCGATAAGAAAAGAAAGGGAAGCCTTCCCCGGAAGGCCATCCTCCGACAAAAGCCAGGCGTCATGACGGACGTCCGGTCAAAGGTGAGCGCTCTCAGTCCTTCATTGTCGCGCAACTCCATGCTAACTAACTATCGTGTAGAATCTGTACGAGCTTCTTGGTACTTTTCTTCCTCCCTCTCCCGCTCAGCCAGCGTATTCCATATCACGATTACATCATCTTCCCATTTCTAACATGTTGCGTTTTGTGTGCGTCCCACAGGGAATGATCCCGAGCTGGACTCTGATAGAGAACCCGAGCCTCCCACCAAGACAATAGACAAGCCAGCTGCGCGCCATGGCAAGCGTGATGCCCCTAGAGAAGCACCTTCAGCTCCCCCTACCGCGCCCCGAGGTGGTGCCCGCGGTGGTCGTGGTGGACGCGGAAACGGCAATGAGGATGGTGAGTGGTCAACAGAAAGGAGAATAATGATCAATGGTGTTATATTACAATATTAGCTGACTCAGGATAATCTTCCACATAGCCTTCCGTGACCGCAACGCCGGCAGCTACAACAACCGCAACCGTCCCGTTGACGAGGTGAAGGAAGCCGGACGTCGCGGTTACCGAGGACGCGACGACCGTGGTGCTCGCACTCGCACTGACCGTCACCCCGTTCGTACCGGTCACACGTATGTGATTCTTGTTGTCTTCTCGATTGTCTTGAGTCACTTCCACTAACCCTTTTTACTCAAAGTGACTCCGACAAGCAAATTGGTCAAGGCTGGGGCGGTAAGAAGGGCGATGCCGAATGGAACGACGAAAAGGCTGGTGAAGCCATCGCCAAGGCCGACGAGAACGAGCCGCAGACCCCTCTCGAAGGAGGCGAGGCTGCTGCTGCCCCCGAGGAGCCAGTTGACAAGTCCAAGTCCTACGCCGATTATCTCGCTGAGCAGGCAGCTGCTAAGCGTGGCGACCTCGGTGTGAAGGAAGCCCGTGCCCCCAACGAAGGAACCAAGGACAAGAAGTGGGAATCCGCCAAGGAATTCAAACGCGACGGTGACGAAGAGAACTATATCAAGCCTCAGGAGGAGAAGGGCAAGCGCGAGAGACAGCGCAAGGAAAAGAACTTCCTCGAAGTCGACATGCGCTTCGTTGAGCAACCCCGTGGCCGCGGCAACGGTCCCCGAGGAGCTGCCCGTGGAGGACGTGGCGGTCGTGGTGGACGCGGTGATGGCCCTGCTCGTGGTGGTCGCGGCGGTGCCGCTGCTGCTGCTCCTGCCGTCAAGGTTGATGAGAAGAACTTCCCCAGCTTGGGTGGTAAATAAAGGATTTTCACTTCCTCTCTTGACTCTTCTCTCTTTTTCTTTTGGATCTCCCAGTCCACAATCTATCCACTTCCCAACTTTCACCCCAGCGGATTGTTCCGACGACCAGCAAAGAAGGAGAGAGAGATTCAGACGGAAAATCTTTTAACAAAAGCCAAAAGATTCAAAATGGAATATTTCGCAATTACGTGAGGTATAAAAATTTTACTTTTTCTTGATACAATAACAACAACAAAACTTACCTCTTATTATTTCTACATGTAAGCTCAGGGAATTGATTAGTTGATTAACACTATTGATTGATTGATTGATTAAATGAAATGAAATGAAATGAACTGAACTGAAATAAAAAACTAAAAAAAGGTGCTGTGAATGAATTGTAATAATGATATAATCCAGCTTGGAAGGAATCGTTGTATCTATCTCAGAGAGATGTGTAGACGCCCGGTCATCGAGTACTTAGCTACCTAGTCGTAACATGAGTAATGATTGTGGATTGTTGCAGTCTACAGTATCAATAATCAGGTAAAGAATATAAAAGAATAGGGATAAAGATAGACACGCCCATGGTTTTGAGGCCTTACATAGAAGTATAGGCAAGCTATGAGGTCACTCATTTCCTCCATACAGACGTAATTATATATGCAAACTGTCCATTTCACTTCTTCAGCTCACCGTTCAAAGACGGCTGCATCATACGATTGAATTCTATGGCCGCTAAAGCTGTGAGTGTGTCTGACTCGGGATCCACGTCGTCCAAAAACGATAGTCCATCCATAGCTTTCCCGCCGCATGCTCGCTGCAGAGCCAAAAAAGCGAAGTGGCCTCCAACCACGGGGCGTGCAATGAAATAGATACCGGGGTAGCCGCCATTGCCCTCGGTCTCGTGCAAGTCGGTAAATGGTCGGTCGGTGTCGGTTTCGTTCACCCATTTGGCTACGGATTCGAGAATCTCGCTGCGTACTTGTTCACTGGCAACGGCCATTGAAAAGAACTCCCAGTCCGTCTTGGTGTATAGGTGACGGCTATCAAGAGGCAAGCCGTATTTCTGTCGTACGTAATGGTACCAGTTCGATTGTTTCTGGTAAATGTGTCGGGGGACAAAGCCCTGTTTTTCGATTGAGAGTGGTATCTGATGTGTTTCGCTACGTCTGCTGTTTGTGCCGTCTAAGTGGAAACACAGTTGTGCGTCCGCATAGATGTTGTACAACGTAGTCCATGAGCCGTACCAGTCATATGCTAGTTTGGCGTGCGAACCATCGCGAGACATGCCGAATTCCTCCCATTTCGTGATGTATTCATCTGCAATGCTCTTTGTTGGCATGTCAATACAGCTCTTTTGTAACGTCGGTTTTGTGACTTACCTTGAAATAAGCAGCATCTGACGCTTCGCCCGCAATATCTGCAATCTGACTCATGGCGTTAATGCCGATAATACCCTTCAGGGCCAGGTTTGTCTGGAGAGCAAGCCATCCTGCAAAGTCGTCGGTGGATACTTCAATGAACAGGGTTAGTATGGACGTTCTTCAAGGAAAAATGCAAAAACTGGAATACTCACATTGGTTCTCTGGTCCGAGTGAGAAGTCTACAAGATAACCAGTCCATTGTTTCCACAATTGATAACTCCTCTGAACCCATTGGCGTGCATGCTTTGCCCCACGGCCTTGTCCACCCCATTTAGAATCTTGCTTATCAATACCAAATTTTGTTTGCAGATTCAAAAGAGAAAGCGGCGCTTCCTCAAACGTGGGTTCCGGGTTTGTGCCACCTTCGGCAGCCCAGGGAGAGATGGAGTATTGGTCATCAGTGTAACGTAGGGAATTTACTAATGCTAGGCCCAAGATGAGTATATTGCCACACTCTTCAACAGGCATGTACTCATCCTTGCCATCTGGATGGCCAGTTGCATTCGGGAAGTGCGTTCCGAGGTCGTGCATAGCGTATGTGTTTGGGTACTGTCCGCTCAACGTGTGTTCAATCAGCGGCTCCAGGAGATACGCCAACCAGCGAGGGCTTGTATAGAGGAAGAATGGGAACGCTGGGTAGATGACATCAATCGTCTGAGTATTGCCATCGGATGATATCTCTTTCAAGAATAGGAGCGGATTCTCCGCGGTACCGGCAAAGCTGGTGGCACCGAGCACCTGGCGAGCAGAAAGCGTAACAATATCCACATAGTCATCAGCACCCGACTTGTACGCATCTATGGCTAACTGAGCTGAATAGTTGGAAGCCAGGGTATTGGCATTTGCGAAATCCGCATGGTGGAATGCTAGGAGGTCATCATTCGTATGAAACCACGATTTCCACAGAGGTCGCATGTAGGTCAACCCCCGTGCAGCGGCATATTGAGCAACGATTTCTTGGGTGTGAGCAATAGTAAACTGGACCGAATCCGTCTTTACATGTGAGTGAGTATTGTTGAGGGTAAAATGCTTAGAAAACGCGAAGACTGGCTCCTCGTCCATGATGGATCGGAAACGACTGTCCACAGCATCTTGCAGGGTACCTGTCTTGGAGAACCGATCTCGCAACACTGCGGATGTTCCAGACTCATGTCGAACATCCTAAGATATTATGATTAGTCAACAATCTGAATACGGCCCGAATAGTAAAGGCCATACCTTGGGCGCAACAAAATGCAGCGTCCCCCACTCAGCTCGGTCCGCGATTTCAGAGACCAACAATTCGTTTTGGCGTGTGAACTCCCATTTCTTTAGTGTGCCGGAGCCGCTTTCAGCTTTGACTTGGTCGAATTTCCAGACAAGTTGCGATCCTCGATCACCGCTCACCCATTGTCCATTAATGTCAACATATACGCTAACATCAGCACTGCCAGTAACAAATACAGTGAGGTATGAGGCTGGGATCGACTGCCGCAGAGTCGATGTTGGCGTAATTGGTGATAAGAAAGACAGGGTAATCTCGATTCCAGAGTCCGATGTAGGAAGGGTGTATGTCAAATTAGTTGTCGAGGCATCGTATGTAGCTCCCTTGTAAGTTGGGTAGTTAACAGTATACCTGCGCAAGACGTACAGTCAGCATGTAAATCCTAGGTGGAAGTATGAATTACAACTGATCTAGTATCATACCCAGCTCTGCCATCCTGCGGCAATGAGTCCTGTGGTCGTCCAAGCAAAGGATATACGGTACCTGTACTAGGTACTTGTGCTAGCAGCGAGAAGCCAATCTCCTCGCCCGTCCAGAAAATAGGCCATTTCGACCACGGAACGTCTCGGGCGTTTGGCAACCAAGCACTAAAGTATGGGTTCCTCACAGTCAGCGGGAGAACAGGCGGCGTAAGACTGGACGCGGCAGAGAGTGCAGCCTGCAGCAGGGGCCCTGCCAGGGCTACGGCCGACCAGCGCATTGGGCAGGATGCGTCCGTCTATGGCGGAAGGATCACGAAAGAAAAGAGACGATGGATCAGAGGGGATTTGGATTGGCTATATACAGAGGCTCGATGGACGTAGGCATTGGCAGGAGGCGGACATGCCAGCGGCTGCGAGTCTGTCGTGCCTGGCAGCAGCCTATGAGGTCATGCGGAACTGCTGATCATTGATTGTGCTTGCCTAAGGCACTAATTAAGTAGCCCACCATCTTCCCCGCAATTTACTAAATCTGTGCACTACGAGGCTGTGCTTCTTGTCACACAGATATGTAGCTCTATTCTCGTGGTTTTGTGCAACTCGCTGAGCACTGGTAGTCCCATTTCTTCGCTGTTGAACGTTGATTGCTTGAAGTCTCAGGCTTGCGCAGAGACAACAGCTGAGCCCGATGCGTACTAGTGCGACGCTGACACGCGCTGTGCACTGATCTGATTGGCTCGGGTGTATCTCCGCATTTTTGTTCCGGCCCGCTCAGCAATTCGGTCTTCTCATTGGTCCGTGTCGATCTCCAATGCTCCGTATCTGATCGATGCATCACTCGCAGCATATGCTTTTATAGATGAGTTCTTGTGTGTAGACAAGATAATATTGCTTTTGTGTACTCTTTTATTCTTGGCTGCCTGATGGAGTAGTTGCACCCTTGGTTGTGGTGCGTCGGAGATGGTGATGTATATCTGAATATATATATATATATATTCGTATTTATGTTGCTGGCCTACACACAAGCGTCTATTCCCACGACAGGAGCGTTGAGCCCACGATATCTCGAAATGTTGCAAAGGATTGTTATTTGGCAACACTATGTGCTCAAAGAGAGACACAGAGGAGTGGAGACCCATCGCACGCAATAGCGTGTAGTGGAGGTTCATACAGAGCCTGGCTAGGTTATTTTACCTAGGTACCCTAGGGACGGGATATCTTAAACCCATTTAGGGCTATGGAATCAGAATTACGCCTAGTACTACTCGCGACACCGTGGGAAGGAAGAGAGAAATTTGACACCGAGAAAAGACTCTAAATGCTGGAGCAGTGCCTAGGAAACGCATCTCGAGCGCGCCCTAAGTCAAAGCAGCACGAAGTGCAACATGGTAATTTACCAAGACATAAGTGCCCATTTGTATAAATAGTGAAGAAACATCACATGAATGCAGCAGCATGATGAGAGGAAAAGCATCAGGTAAAACAGAGCTGAATAATGCTGGCTGGTAATAGAGTGCATTTACACGTGGAAAACGCGGTATAAAAGCATTACAGTCTCATAATAGTCCATAATTACCAGTGATTGTCTGGAAAAATGGATAGAATACCAGAGTGAAGAGTTCAAGAAAGGGACTAGCCGTTGAGACGCGCAAAGTGATGGAGCTATACACGTTAAGAGACGTGAACGCAGCGCGGGAGCGAGCAACTCTCCACTTCAGGCGACACTGCGGAGACTGTCCGCCGCCTTCATTCAACAACTACAAAAACCACGCGACTTGCAGACGCGCTGCTACCTTTTTGTATGGGCCCTTAGCCTTTTGGTAAATAGGAAGAGCTCTATCTCACATCCGGATTTTGTTTCTCATTTCTCCTACTTCAGTCTATTTCTCATAACCTCACGATCTCTTCTATTGGGCCTCATCTTCTAACTCCTCACTGTGCCAATCTTTATTACACTGTGAGTCTAGCACCTCACAATTCCTTTCAAATCATCTAACTCTTACTGTCTTGCCAGCACTTCACAAATTGGTCTGCGTAATGCAGTCTATACTCCCAGAACCTAGCCCGCACAAAGCTGGGAGACGCGTGCTTGGCGAGAAGACTACCAACGCGTCGTTGACGACTGCTGCAAAGCGGATTGCAGATGCACCTTCACAGAAAACCTCAACAGCTGCAATCCCATTCAATGTATCAAGCAATGCACCCCAGGGAAACTCCCGAGCCATCTCGCCAGAGACTCGTCATGCTGGACAAAAACGAACCATTGATCAAGTGGTGGAAGACATTAGTGAGGTCGAGTCTGAACCTCGGAAGGTGTTCATGACCTCTCAACCGGAGGGGGAACAGGGATTTAAGATATTTGATGATGGGACTGGTACAAAGGCTTCTCAAACAACAGAGGTACGAAATTTGAGATTTAAATCCTCAACTGCTTTGCTTGTGTGCTGGATAACTAAAAGCTCCGGAATTAGACTTCTCCAGCCGCCTCTACAGCACCCCGGACCGTCGAAGCATTGGTACCGCGACAAACAGAAGAGGGAATCTCGCAGAAGAGCACCAGAAATGAATCAAAAGAAGACCATGTGAGCAGGGTTCCAACAGAGCCTGCGGCACGCAGAATATTCATCCAGCAGGTGAGTCTTCCGTGGAAGATACGGGATACAACTAGCGAACATGTTAGCTGACATCATGTCTACAGAGAGCTACCTTAGCCAGAAGCAGACTCCAATCTGCCATGCGTCGCATCGAGAACAAATCTCTTGACCGCGCCCTCTCTCAATTCGAGGCAGCAAACGGTCGTCCATTTCTAAGATACATATCCTCTTCTTCATCTCCATCCACGCCAAATGCTCAACAGGGGCAACAAACACCTACGAAACAAAAACGAGTCCTACTGCCACCACTTCCTCTCCAGGCGCGGTCGCGACCTGTTCGTTCTTCTGCCCAAAGAACAACCCCTTCATCAACAAGCAACATCGATATTCCTAAGAATGCAGAAGACGAGGAGGACAATGTCGACGATGATGAGGACGACAACGAAAAGACCCCCAAAACTTTAAGTGACGTCAGACAGCAACATACAACCGCTGATTCTGAAGGAGCTGAAGTTGCCATGAGTCAGGAAAGCGATTCCCTAATGGACAAGCTAGTGAAGTGGACGCAGTCATCAACCGATTCCAACCATGCGATTGAAGCATAGAAAGGCGAGATCAACTCTAAATACACGCCTTAGGGCAAATGGCTTGTTTTTTTTTCAGAGTTGTTTGTCTACAAAAAAATTTGGCCCCAGGGCTGACGGGAAGCATGACTGAATGTCTGCTTTTTGATCTTATTTGGAGCCTTTCAATTTTTTTTTTCTTCTGTATGATACCTACAGCATGACAACTAAGTAATCAATATCACGAGGATACCCATTGCTATTTTAGTTGGCTGTCTTAAACTTGCATAGCATTCTGCAGTACTCTAAGCGTACCGAGACTACCTAGATAGTTAATATAAAAACCTGACGGGTATCATTTCTAATATAAAATGGTGTATAAAATAACTGCATCACCGAACTTTTTTGAGCTTAGTCACACGACGTCCCAATACATCGCGACCTTCGTCAATCTCTCTTGCAGCATCCCGCTTAGCCTCACCCACCTCCTTCAGAACGGTACCTTTAACCACCCTCGTTTCAACGCTGACACCTTCCTCTTCCCACTGGACCATTTGCCTACCGACTCTTTGTTCAATGGCCAGAATGAGTTGCACATCTCGCTGGCCAACCAGGGTGACGGATTCACCGCTCCGGCCTGCACGAGCTGTACGACCTACACGATGGACGTAGTCGTCGGGGTTGCGAGGAACGTCGAAGTTGATGACGAGGCTGACATTGGGGATATCGAGACCACGCGAGGCTACGTCTGTGGCAACCAGGAGACGGGCCGCACTGGCTCTGAATCTGGAGAGGTTGGCAGTTCGCTCTGATTGGGGTAGAAGACTGTGCAGGGAGGTGACGCGGTGCGATAGACGGCGGAGCATTCGCTCGAGAAGGTCTGCGGTCTTTGTGCGGTTACAGAAGATAATGGCTGGTCGTGAGGAATTGTGCTCGGTTGAAAGAAGGACGTGAAGGAATGCTTCACGGTGCGTCATGGGCACCTGCAGGTACGTTTGTTTGAGGGTTGGTGGTATTGGGGCATGGTTTTCTGTGCCGATTTCTGTTACGAAGATGGGGGGGCGGTTTTCTGGGCGTGGCATGGACTTCAAAGCGCGGACTTCGGGGGTGACTGTGGCTGTGAATAGGAGAGTCTGACGTTCACTCGAAGGCGGCAGTGCAGAGAGACATGTCTCGACATCTGGGAGCATGCTGCCTTGTCCGCTGGTCAATAGTCTATCGGCTTCATCCATGACTACCATGCGAACACGATTCAGACCCACAATCGTGTCTTCCCCTGAGGTCCGAATATGGTCTGCCAGTCGCCCAGGCGTAGCGATTATAACATGGGGTCTTTGGGAAAGCGTAATGGCTTGTGGTCGCATGTCAGTGCCACCCGTGATGAGTACCGGCTTGAGACTCTGTGGCGCCGAGATGGCTTTAAATTGCTCGAAGATTTGGAGTGCAAGCTCGCTGTAGTCGAAATAAATTAGATAATGATTGAAGATACAATATTATCAACGTCTTGTATTAAATCCTTACCGAGTAGGTGTCAGTACGACAGCAAATACTCCGAATGGGTCTTCTGCCCATTTTTGAAGAATTGGCACTGCAAACGCAATCGTCTTTCCAGAACCTGTCCGACTGCCACCGATACAGTCTCTTCCTTTCAAAATCTCGGGAATACATGATCTTTGAATAGCGGTAGGCCGTCGAATTGCCATTGTCGACAGAGATTTGACGAGCCACGGAGCAACGTTGAGGGACGCAAATGTTGAATCTACTACCTGAAGCCCGATCTCGCGCGCATCTTGACTAGTGACCGGCTCCTCGGTCTGAGGTTTGGATTGAGTAGATGATACTTCGGTCTTCTTCCTTATACGCGAAATGGTCGGCAATGGTGCGATGGGAGCAGGATTACCGCCATCTGAGTCGTCTGAGGATACAGATAATCGTCTCCTCTTCGCCGGCCGGTTTGTATGTTCGATTTCCGTGGCATCATTGTTGGATAATTGAGAGAAACTGTCATCGGACGAATGCCGGTCTTCAGCAGCTCGGGACTTGGCCATTTTTTGTAGGTTGTGCCGATAGGAACAACAGGATATCTTCAGAGCATTGAGTGTGGGTGAAGAAAAATAAACGGCAGAAAATGTTATCGAAAGGGCGGTCAGTCTTTTTCCTTTTTGGAAATTTGTTCACCCGCCTTGCACTAACTGTTTGTAGTTAGAGCATGTGTCTTACGGCGATATGATCGGATAACGTGGAAAGGCGGGAGCCTAAACTTATTTGGGTTAGTCTGCGCATTCTTTAGATCTTATCTGACTTTTATCATTCTTCTAGAAGAGTGAATGTGGATTGTCTGTAGCTACATACTGTAGTACAGCCTTGACTGAAGGAGTGCAATTCAATCATACCGCTTTCTCGACACGCTGATATATGAATAGCAGGAACGCACTTCTTAGTCCTGGGCTAGCGTTTTGCCGAGAAGGATAGCGCGGTGTAGTTGCGAGCTTGCGAGCGAATACTGTATCATTCAATGATCCTCCAGGCTCGGCGCGTTTCTGAAATCTTAAAGCTAAACCCACCGTACGACACTTATGAAAGACAACTTGACTACGCAACAACGTATACGAAACTTAACTCCTAAATCATGAGTGACATACGAAGAAGCGGACATCGGATTTAAAGCGAGCATCGGGAGTGGCTCATGCCGAAAAAACTTTAATCATCGATTCTTCCGGAAAGGCAACGAGTCCCCACTGCTCGCGACGTGACTGGCTCGCATCAATTACCGCTTGTTGTGTTTGATTGCGAGTTCCATCATAGCCTTAGAACATGGCAAATGGTAAGTAGGTACTAGGTAGAGTAGTCAGGCTTTTCTAAACATGGAGTAGTTCCTAAGTATTTAGGGACTTTTATCTATTCGCAAACTGTATATATACGGGACGTGCTAATCGCGGCTCTATTATCTTCCAACTACATTTGGATCCTCGGATTTTATTTGTAATACTACGCATACATGCTTCAAAACGTATTTATTAGCACGTTTCTGCACCCGAAACCTGTATTTCCCTTCTTTTTCTCTCACATTAGATTCCCCATTTAAATGATTATGTGGGAGATCTCCTTTGCCTTATCAAGATGTTGAACACCACGCTCGCAGAGAAGTTATCGAATGTATGCGAGGCGCCGAGTTCTGAATTTGCGTCGTACAGCGACTATGGCTATGTACCATCTCTCGCTGCAGGCATCGTCTTCACCGTGATTTTTGCTTTGATAATGATTGTACATACTGTGCAAATGATATGGACGAAATACTGGTGGTGTTCTGTCTTCGCCATTGGGGCTATGAGTACGTGTCACGGCCACGCCGTAACCCTAATTGCAAGAGAAAACTAACATGCTTTTCTGCAGCTGAGGTTCTAGGTTGGGCAGCGCGGACCTGGTCTTCTTCGTGTCCCTATATACTGACACCCTTTCTTATGCAAATATCTACCCTCATCATCGGTATGCAACCCTTCGAGATTCTTGAAAAGATTTTTACATGCACTAGGGTTGAAAACAAGACTGACTGTCATGTAGCCCCTACGTTCTTTACAGCTGGTATCTACATTCTTCTTGGGCGTCTTATTGCTCTGCTCGGCCGTTCATCCTCTGTCCTGAGCCCGCGTCTCTATCTCTACATTTTTGTTACCTGCGATATCATCTCTCTCGTCGTGCAGGCTGTCGGTGGTGGTTTGGCATCTATTGCGCTGGAGAACAACGGCAACACTTCCCCGGGTACCGATATTATGGTTGCCGGTATCGTATTCCAACTGGCCTCGATCACGATCTTTGTCTTCTGCGCTGCAGACTTTTTCCGGCGTGTTCTGAGACAACGACTGTTGGCCTCGGTGGAGGGCAGTATCACGCCGTTGCTGCTTGCTATGATGTTCTCCATCTTACTGATTTATATTCGGAGTATCTATCGTACTATTGAATTGGTGCAGGGTTGGACGGGATACGTTATCACGCATGAAGCGTTCTTTATTGCTCTGGATGGTTCCATGATGGCCCCTGCCGTTGGAATATTCCTCATTGTTCATCCTGCTTGGTTCATGCCCAAGCAGAAACCGGTCGGTGAATACGATGAGATCTCGATGGCGTCGGCGTAAATTTCTGCTTCTCTATTCCTTTCTTGGGTTAGATTTCTTCCCTCTCTCTCTCTCTCTCTTTCTCTTTCTCTTTTTCTGGTGGATGTTATTTGCATCTATCATCCACGCTTTGACAGAATAAGCAGTTTTTTCTTTGTTAGGATTCCTTGAGCGTAAGAATTAGAAATAGAGTTAGAACATTATTATTCTACTATTAATGCCTTTCTCCGTCATTGAATTCACAATTGAGGTCTCATGTATTGTTATTCTACTACCGACTAGCCGATGTACGCCAATCCAATGGCATAAAAGTACATGATAACCCGTATAAATGGTCGGAAAGAAACCAAATAACTTGGGGCAAGAATAGGATTCCTTTGTTTCAAACAGGAATAGAGGGTGCTATTATGTAAAAAAGTTTTTTTTTTTAAAAAAAAAGACCAAAGCAAAACCAACCACCCACCCCGGAAATCTTCATACGCCGCTCCCACACGCCAACGGAGAGAGCCTGATTCGACTTTCCCTCGCAACGTTATATCAACGCGTACGCTAAAAGAGAAGTATTCAAACGCCCGGTACTGCTTCAATCCAAGCAAACATTGTTCCAACGGCTAAAGCTGCGGCAGCCCACAGAGAACCCCAGCCAAGAGAACCGATCAAGTCAATTCCCTTTATTGACCCCGAGCCTGCAATTACCGTATTCAAAAGAGTCATAATTGCCAAAATAAGAGTGCGGCTTGCGAGAGCCTTTCCTTTCGCTGATAGTTTCGCCCACGTTCGATTATATAAAGATGTGATGAGGTACTCTCCGTCTGGAGTCGACCGCGCTGCGCTGCTCCCCTTTGCAGACCACCCAGCCGAACTCACGAAAAGAAAATCATATGCTGCGTATCCACCAATAAGTAAACTTAAAAATACATATGGTAGTCCCTTTGGTCCAGAATGAACCAGCCGGATATCACTAAGCCCTCCAAAGTGCAAAACGAAGTGTACCGGCAACCATGTAGAGAAGCTTAAATAAAGGAAGATGGTGTAAATGGAAGCTGCAGCAATAGACGTGTAGAGAGCTGTCACGCGGTCCTGTAGGATGCCTCGATTGGAAACCTCGCCTCCCCGAGGGCTCGAAAGCGCATGGACCGAATTGGGGCCCCGGAATAGAGTGAACGGAATAGTTTTAGAGACTACTTCGATGAAATATGTGATCAAAACAGCTGATGGTTCAACCTCATAGAAGTTAAGCAGGAGAAAGTAAATGGGGGCGTGAGTGAGCAGCGTCAACTCGGTTACGTCCCAGCCTAAGTGTGCACAACCATCGCCTTGTTAGCTACCGGATATTTCTTTTCTCAAAAGACAAGCGGTGCGTAAGCAAAACTCATTCGTGCTTACCATCAAACCCCAATATCCAAGCCAAAGCCAGCTCGGTAGCTCTCCAGAGTATCAGCCCTCCGATTTCCCACCATTCTTCTAAATGCCTGCTGACACCTGCAAGGTGACCTGCTGTTTGTGACGAAAAGATGGTGAGCAGGCTTGAGCTCAAAAATAGACTGCTGAATACCACAAGCAAAAATCTAGCCGGTCGCGGTAGTTCCGCAACGCGCGAATACTTATGTGAAGACCTTTCAACTTCGACATGACGACGGTGAGAAGCCGAACCAACGGCTGCTTTGCCTTTGGCTTTGGCCATCGTGTGTTTGGTAGTTACCAAAGGTCGAATCTCATGAGTATAATCTGGAAGGAAAAAAGTATAATTGTTGGTTTATTGAACCGAGATTTTCCGTCAAGGACGAAACAAGCAGTGTGAGTTTTGTTCTTTGTCTTTTTGTCGCGATGATGTCTCCTCGTGTTTTAAGAGAGAAAGCTTTCATCCGTTTGACCGCTCATGACATCACCCGACACGCCAACCAAATGCGGATAGCTCCTGCCACTTACTTGATTAGGTATGGCTAGTTACCTAACTCGTATTTTTAGAAAAGAAATATCTATCGTTCGTAGAGTGATATGCACGTATATCATATATACACCTAGACTTCCTTCGTCCTCGTAAGCCAAGATCCCATTCTAGTTATCGTCTTCGCCTTCCTTCTCCTTCACGGAAAACTCAACAGTGCCCGACTCCCGGCCTTTGTTATCACGCACGACAACTCTATACTTCCCCTGATCCCACAGATCTTTGACTGTTAGCTCTCGAGTTCTTCCAAGACTTTCAATGTCGCCAATGCGAGTTAGTGTTTTCTCAAGATGATCGTCAAATCCCTCCTGTGAGCAAATTGCTCGAAAAGCGCGCTGCATGGGTACAGAATCAGCCCGCACCATGGCTTTAGAATCGATTGTGAAGATGTTGTCTTGATCGTAACTCCGGATAAAGTCTGCCCGGGTCATCACCTGTCGGGCCTCATGAAGGGACATTTGTGGTAAAATATGTCCAGTTTCTTCGTGATAGGTGGTCTCCATTTCTTTTTCGCGGTCAACCAAGGCCTTGGCAAGAACCATCGCCGCGGACTTTACGAGTAGAGTTAGTAGGGACTACAGTGAGATACAAGGAGCCCGAGACGTACGGAATATTTCTGCTCATCCATCACATCATCGTCCATTTCTGCGCCCAGAATCCAGCAACGATTGAGAAGCCATGACTTTTCAGCTTCACATATATCGTCGCATGCTTGTTTCATATCATGAGATTTGGCAACTCGATTGAGGAAAGACAAACGCCCTCCAACTGAGTCATAGACTTCGGTCAGCTTTTCAGCCGATAATTCCTCTCCATGATATCGTTTCCGATACTTTTTCAAAGCAGCCATAGCTGTTTGTTTAGGCAAGTCTGGAACTGGTATTGTGTCCATGCGGGTTGCATATCTTTTGAGGCGCTCATATACCCAATAATCATCACTATTAAAGACTGTTTCCCCTCATCAGCGATCTGAAACAAAATTGAGGGAAGGTCAATTACCTACCCATTGTAATGAGGTTGCTAGCAGCCCATTGTTCAGCTCGTTGCTGCATCAACTCTAGGAGATCTCGACCATCTTCATCGTCTCGGATGAGGTGCGTGCTATTAACAATGAGAATTAAAGGTGATTCTCCTTTTGTTCTTCTCCGTAAAGCTACCTTTTCCAGCTTATTCAAGGCTCGCTCGATATCGAGCAAGGCTGTAGTGTCACGTGGGCCTCTAATACTGAAAAGACTGCCAATATAACTGCAAGTCGAAAAGTTAAGAACATGGTCAATTTGGCAATGGAGCTGGGGTATGGTATAAGCGCATACTCTTCGTGATACTCATAGTCCAAGGCTTTGCCCAAGCGTACGCGGAAAATCTCCAGATCTGCATGCGCCTCAAACATCGCGACTCGCACGCCATTTATTTTGCGCATGGCATTCAGCAACATGGATGTCTTGCCGGTGCCTTTCTCGCCGATTAGGAGATAATAGTGTCCCTTGAGGTCACCTGCCACGATCCTATCAATTTTCTCTTGCTCATCGCGGACAACCCAGTGTTCCGCATCTGGGGCCTCCTTTCCGGGAGACGCCCCAGCGATATCGAGGACAGGGTCCCCGGGCTCAAATGCATTGTCGATCTTGTCCAAAATAAGCCACTTGTAATATCTGTGGTAGGAGTAACCGGCAACACTATGTTCTGGTCAATCTCAACATTTACAGAGGATTGCGACTAAGAGGGAACAATACCCTAGGATGAATATGGAGGCCATCGTGGCTCCTGCTGTCTCCAGCACCTTCATCGCTGTGTTCTTCCAGTTGTTTTCGGGCTGGCCTTTTGGCGAGTCATCGGCAACTGCATCTGGACCCCCGCTCGCCAGGAACCTGCTCGCACTGGAGCTGCTGAAAGTGACTGTAGGCCATGGCCTCCGGGGTTTGGCTGTGCCAAGCCTGAAGATTGCGGCTGACTTTCGACTCAGCAACGGACGAAGTTGGTACATTATGGCTTGTGAGGATCTTTCACGATGCTTTCCTTTTCATGCGCATTTGGGACCTGATATATGTTCTAAGATGAGATGGCCCGCACCGATGACCAGAGGTTCCTTTCGAAATGACTGAGCAAGGTAGTAGCACCTATCAAAGCAAATAGACCCGCCGGTGAATTGCGATTGACAAAAGAGAGAGAATCAGCGCAAAAGAACGGCACTGCAGAAGAATGAGCGGACGACTGCTACAGCAGGCACAGACGAGAAGAGCAGCTGCATGGGTGAATATCCCGCGCGGTCATGGCCAGACACGAGCCACAACTGCCAAGCTGCTGCGCCACAGTCGGCGCTATACGAATTGGGACAGCCGTGATTGGACAGAGCATCGCCCTCTGACAGTTGCGCGCTACCGAGTGTACTGAGCAGCCAGCAGCTGAGGACGAGGTGGTTGTTGCTGCTGCTGCTGCTGCTGTTCTTTTCATTTGTTCTTATTATTTCGTGCACACCTGCGTCGCTTCTCCAGCCGGAAAGCCGGGCCTGAGGAAGGCTCGCCCGACCACTCCCGACTCCTGCGGCACTAGAGCGCATCTCGGCTCCGGCACCGCGGTTACCTGCTAAATTTTTTTTCCCGCCGGAGCTCAGATTCAATTCCAATTGCTCCTTCTGATGCTGGATTAGCTTGCCAATCACCTCGCATTTCTCATTTCACATTTCGTGTTTCTGCTTTCTTTCTACTTTTCTTTTACAGAGGCAGGCTTTCTCTTTTGTATTCTTACTAATTTATAGGGATCGGTGCTGGCTTCGTTGCAGTTGCATTCATTGACGGTCAATAGCTCCTCGACTCTTTCTTTTGTTTGTACCAACATCGGATTGTCTATTGCTCGAGTCCAGAAGCCATGGCAGCTGAAAATACGCCATCGGAGAACTCGAACGGTTCGTCTTATCTCTCAATTGCCCCATTGGCGTTGCTAATATTGTCCTCGCCGTCGCATAGAGACTCCTCGTTCACAGCCAACCGAAAAACTCACGAACGGTGACCATGCAGGCGAGGAGACCGAGGAAGCCAATGGAGGAGGTACATTCGGACCCAGATATTTATTCGATGGCACGACATGTTGACAAAGGCGACTTAGGTGTCTTTCAGATTACTGTGAAATTACCGCATGAGCCTTACAAGATCCAGGTCATGGTGAGAGAAAGATCGCCCTCTTGAAACCAAGTGAAAAGAAAAATTAGCCAGCGGGAATTATCTAACCCACGGTGACCGACAGGTTTCAAGCCAAGAGCAAGTGCAAGACCTTCGCCAGTCCATTGTCGAGCTACCTGGTACTTTCCAGTACACATGTTTCCATCTTCAGTTCAATGGGCAACGGATCAACGACTATATTGAGCTGTCCGAGGTGAAGGATCTCAAAGCCGATTCCGAAATCACTCTTGTGGAGGACCCATACACCGAAAAGGAAGCTCGCATGCATGTAGTGCGCATTAGGGAGCTGATTGGCGCTGCCGGGGATCGTGTCGACAATCTGCAGGGTCTTTCCACAGGCTTATCGCTCCATGACTCTGTGGCAAGCGAGGCCGTAGACTCCGAGTCAGAGAAGACGGTAGACTCCAAAGGTCATCCCCTGGCCGGCTACGACCCGAACTCCCTTGGTAGTTTCAACACCATCCTTCCTCGAGCCGAGAACCCGGCTCCTAAAACCATCAAAGCGATTTCTCTCTCGCCATGGAACCCCCCGCCATACAATCTGCGACAAAAAGGCCACCTTCTCTATCTGCAGGTTACCACTAACGAGGGCGAACAACATCAAATCACCTCGCACGTTTCTGGTTTTTACGCCAATAAGTGCTCGAATAGCAAATTCGACCCCTTTCCCCGGCCGGCACCCAAGAACAACAGCGCCCATTCTTTGCTCACCTTAATCTCACAAATATCGCCATCTTTTGAGAGCAGCTTCCGCGCATTGCAGGAGTCAAACAGCCAGCGAGACCTCTTGACGACGTTTCCTTTCCAAAACGCTATCCCCAATAGCCCGTGGTTGGTGACTCCCACCGCGGCTTCCCTAAATGCCCATCAGCCCGACGTTGCGAGATCTCAAGAGAACCTATTAATTGCTGGAGTTGATAACTCGGAAACCCTTCGTGACTGGAATGAGGAATTCCAGTCCACCAAGGAGCTTCCCCGTGAGACGGTTCAGGATAGAGTCTTCCGGGAGCGCTTGACTTCAAAGCTCTTCGCTGATTACAATGACGCTGCTGCGCGTGGTGCTGTGCTGGTTGCTAGGGGCGAGGTGGCACCCCTGAACCCAACGGAAGGTCGCGATGCTCAAATATTCGTCTACAATAACATATTTTATTCATTCGGAGCAGATGGCGTTGGTACTTTTGCTTCTGAGGGAGGCGATGAAGCCGCACGTGTTGCAGTCGGGAAGGACGTTTTGGGAATAAAAGCTGTCAACCAATTGGATATTTCTGGCCTGTTTACACCAGGCACTGTTGTTGTGGACTATCTTGGAAAACGCGTGGTTGGCCAAAGCATTGTTCCGGGCATTTTCAAGCAGCGAGAACCTGGCGAGCACCAAATTGATTATGGTGGTGTTGAAGGAAAGGAGGTTGTTGCTGAGCATCCTGATTTTGTTTCTGTCTTCGAAAAGCTTTCTAAAGCCTTGCGAGTGAAGAAGCATCCTGTATGGGATAAGGAAGGAAAACGCCATGATTTGGAAGGTAGTGTTGAAACCAAGGGTCTGCTGGGCACCGATGGCCGTAAATATGTTCTCGACTTGTACCGTATCGCCCCTATCGATATTTCGTGGGCCGAGGAAGAGAGTGCTCATGAAGCCTATCCTCATCGGATGTCTATCTTGCGTCTTGAGTTGGTGGAGTCGTATTGGCGGTCAAAGATGAGTCAGTACGTCAAAGAAGAAGTCGCAAAGAGACGAAGCAAAAAGGCAGCAGAGAAGACCGACAATGAAGCTCAGACTGAAGATTCCGAGAAGGCTGCGGAGGACCAAGAGCGTGTAGATATCTCAGGGTTCAACCTTGCACTCAACCCGGATGTCTTCAGCGGCCAGGTTCCTCAGACAGAGGAAGAGAAGAAAGAATGGGCTGAGGATGAGAAGGAAGTCCGCAATGCTTGCGACTATCTACGAACCAAAATACTCCCTGAACTCATTCAAGATCTTTACAATGGGGACGTTGGTTTCCCAATGGACGGACAGTCTTTGAGCCAATTGCTTCACAAGCGTGGCATCAATATTCGCTACCTGGGCCGTCTGGCTAATTTGTCTCAGCAAAAAGGCCATCGTCTACGATCTTTGGCAACCTTGGTTACCCAGGAAATGATTGCACGTTCTTTTAAACACATTGCCAATCATTATCTCCGCTCCCTGCCCCCACCATTTGCCGCTTCGTGCATTTCTCATCTCTTGAACTGTCTACTGGGGTCAGATGTCAATGGCAAGCCTCAAGCAGATATTGATGAGTCTTTGCGCCAGATCTACCCAGAGGCTGACTTTTCCTTTGAAGCTGTCAGCCCATCTGATCTGCAGGCGGAGATTGAGAAACAAGTCAAAATTAGATATCGTTTCTCGCTTCCATCGGATTGGGTCGGCTCTTTGAAACATCTGCAGTTGCTGCGCGATATTTCCATCAAACTTGGTATTCAACTTGGCGCTCGAGAGTTCGCCTTCACCAAGGCTCAAGCATCGTCTCTGCCAGTAACAAACGGTGTGGATGAGACCAAACACGAAGAGACCAACAAGAAGAAGAAGAAGAAGGCTGCTGGCGACAGCGCCTCTCCACCGCGCTCTGCTACCCCCAAACCCATCACCACATTCACACAGGAGGACATTCTCAATGTTGTTCCCCTAATCAAAGACGCAGCTCCGCGAAGTGCCTTGGCTGAAGAAGCCCTTGAGGCAGGCCGCATTTCTTTGATGCAGAACCAGAAGCAGTTAGGACAGGAACTTATTTTGGAATCCCTCTCCCTGCACGAGCAAATATATGGTATCCTCCATCCCGAGGTTGCCAAACTGTACCATCAACTGTCGATGTTGTATTACCAGACCGACGAAAAGGATGCCGCAGTTGAGCTTGCACGCAAAGCAGTTATCGTCACAGAACGTACACTAGGTGTTGATTCTGCGGACACCATCTTGAGCTATCTAAACTTGAGTCTTTTTGAACACGCGACCGGTAACACTAAAATGGCTCTTGTGTATGTGAAGCATGCTATGGATCTCTGGAAGATTATCTACGGCCCGAATCATCCCGATTCCATTACCACCATGAACAACGCTGCTGTCATGCTGCAACATCTCAAGCAGTATCCGGATTCTCGTAAGTGGTTTGAGGCCTCTCTCACCGTCTGCGAGGAGCTATTTGGCCGGCAGTCAGTCAATACCGCCACGATTCTGTTCCAACTTGCCCAAGCCTTGGCCTTGGATCAAGATTCGAAGGCTGCTGTAAACCGTATGCGCGATGCATATAATATCTTCCTTTCCGAGCTCGGTCCAGAGGATCGCAACACGAAGGAAGCCGAAAGCTGGTTGGAGCAACTCACCCAGAATGCCGTTTCCATTGCGAAGCACGCCAAGGATATCCAAGCTCGCAGACTTCGCAGAGTCAACCTGAGCACTCGTGTCTCACTAGGCACTAAGCCCCAACCCCAAGTTGGCCAGTCAGCGCCGGAAGCCGCCGGCGATGCCCCAGCCGGAGCAGCGCAATTGGACAACCGAAGCATTGATGAGCTCTTGAAATTCATTGAAGGCGACTCTAGCAGCCCACGCGGCAAGCAGTCCAAGAGAGGCACCGCCAATCCTAAGCTTCGTGGCACCAAACAATCCAAATGAATCTAGTTTGGGTGTAAAGATGTTGTATGATATTAAAAGCAATCTTTGGTTTCGGTTTACATCACCCTATTTCAAACAATAAAATGGCAGTTTCTTGTATATTTTGTTTTGTGTTCTTTTGTTGTTCTATGCATGGCATGTACGGGTTGAGCTTCTCATGGCTGGGTGGACAAGACAATTGTATAATACTGTATTATGTGAGCATCTCAACTCTATTCCTCATAATTACTGGGCTTTTGGGGCGTTTTGTGATAGGTACTTGTCAGGATTCTGAATAAAGAATCTTATTCCATCATAAAATTTGAAGAATTTCGAGCGGCGTACTGCTAGCGAGACAAGCCAAGTTACAACGACGACGAAGAAGTGTTGGTTGGCAAGGCTGTCTGTCCATTGCTGGACTGTAAGGAGGAAATATAGTGCACCAGCCACGGGGTGGCACGCAAGCAGCCACAGCGCCAATCGGAGCGGAGATGGTCCGTGCGCTTGTGTAAACAATCCAAAGTCGCTTATGTTTTGGCCCTTCACAGAAGATACTTTGTCACCTCGCCAGTATGATACGTTTTGGAGACTGTATATCCTATTATGCACACAGGATATGGAGTTGCTGATTTCTTTATGAAGACTTAGCGAAAACATATTTTATCACCGCCCTGCGTCCAGTTTACAGGGAGAGAGAGACAGAGGGACCATGATGGGCTCTCTAAGCTGACGCAAGCATATAATGCACATATTTCTCAGTCTCTATTTGGATAGATGATATACATTTTGGGAGGGAGGCTTTGTTTGTTTGAACCAGTGTCGACATGGACGACGTTTATACGACGGCAAAATGGGCAAACCGAATGCTGCGGCCCTTGACTTCGCTCCACCACCGACTCGCCAAATATCGTGAAATGCAATCCGTTGGTGCACAACAACCTGAAACGATCAAGACTGTATCTACCGTATCGATTTCGGAATCTTCGAGGAAGAGGCATGCTGCGGCTGATTCGGAGCATGACTCGGAGTGTGGAGATAATGATCCATCCTGGATCCCGCGAAAACCTGATGCGAAGCGCGTCAGGCGAAAGTACGTGGTCAGGGGGGAACGACACCGTCGCCAACCTCGATTCAGGCCAGTTTTACATAGTCCGGAGACAGTTAAGACTTTGCCTGGGGCGATCGAGATTGCTACGCCCTTGATTATGGGTAAATCGACGGACGTGACCAACGACAAGGGTTCTAAGGAGACGGGATTAGGTGACCACCGAAATGAAGAGAGCTCGAGAAACAATACGCAGCAGAAAAAGTGGCCAGAAAGGACAGGGAAGAGGCAGAATCAGGCCCGATTCCCGAAACCAGATCCGCAGTGGAGGGTATCGTTGGATTCGGCAAAGGATATAAATTATGCTGATATTGTGCAACGTTTGGATATTGTGTTTCTGAAGTTCTTGGAGAAGACGCGTTTAGCAGACTCGCGGTCTCCGCGCTCGACCAATAATTCTCGATCATTGTTACTGACAGTTATGCGCCGGTTGCCCCAGTTTATTGCCGAGGAACAAAAATTGCAGGACGAATGTGACGCGGACGATGACATTGATATGGCGGATGCATATTTTACAGAACTAGAGTCGGCATATGGTTCTAGTGGGAAGGGATGGCAGCCTCTTCGCGAAGCTGTGCGGTCGCAAGGGATATCATTGGTCTGCAACATGCTGCAAGAAAATTGGATCACGCACTTGACGGCATCTATCTTAATCAAGAAATGTATTGGCGCTGAAGAAAATGATGCAGTTGAGAGGTTACTTGGTGCTCTACTGTTGAAGTTGGATTGCTGTGATTTCCCCGATGCTTTCGACCCTTGGAGAGTGCACCAGTCTGTTCGCGATCCTGTTCGATTATTACACAGGTACTGGTCCATGTCTGGAAATAGCTCTTTTGTCTTTGCCGAAATAGAGCGGTTGCTGCGGCGAAAAGTTCTACCCAGTGAATGGATGGTTACAACGCCGTGGAAAGCCTTCGTTGCTTCTGCGACAAAGTCATTATCGAATGGGGATAGCGAATATGCCGCAGCAACAAGATTGATTACGGCAATCTTGGAGACTGCAGCCGGTATAAATGCCTATGAGACGCATTCTCTCGGCACTAACCAGCACGCAAAGACGGCAAAACGGCTCCACGCACAAAGTACCTCTATCCTACAAACACAATTCGCGGATTCAAATCGAAATCGATGTCCTGTTTATATCCATGACGCTCTTAGCAACCTGATATCCAGTCTGGTTGTTGCGTTATGCAGTATGTATTGTGTACGTGTGGAGCAATCTACAAATCTCGATCTCGACTCGAGCACACGGATTGTGAGCATCTTTAGCAACATTATCCTTGCGCTTCAGCGTGAGTTGGCCGTCGGGCATGGAAGTTTAAATTCTAAAGACGACCAAACAAAGGTTCATTTACTCCGAAAAGGTTACTTACTACTTGGCCATTACCTGTTGAGATGTCAGCAGGAAGATACACAAATTTTGGATTGCGAAAAGGTTGGAATCGTGGACGTTTCCTTGAGCAAGGACTGCGAACCCTTTTTTGAGGTTCTACAACAAAATTCAGATATCATCAAAGAGCTCTCGGGGATGGTTGGCCAAGTCGTGAGGTGTTGCGAACGTGGCGGCGAACAGGCACAGTGCCGACGAGCACGCAGGCTATGTACTCACCTGCTGACATTTGAGCAATTTGAGATGAATAACCTTACCTTATTTCTGGGCCAGGTCGCTGTTGAAGTCGCCTTGGATTTTGCCCAATACAGCCAAGACGCAGAAGACCATACTTTCGCTGCCGACATTCAGGAAACTGTCTCGGCCCGCAGAATGCGTTTCAAGGGCGGTAGGTGCAGAGCACTGGGACCGGAATATTACAACACTCCGTTCTTTAGATGGGAGGAAGGCATTGGCGAGTGGATTGCTAAAACTCCATTGGTGAGAGCCAAAATTGCTTTGCCTAAGCCAATGGTAGAGATTACAACATTATCATCAACAACAATGACTAGGTCGCTTTCTAGCGTCAGTGAAGAAGAATCACGCTCACCGTCGTCCATCGGGAATGGCTCTAGCATGACTTCGGTGGCAGGTTCTCCGAGCTCAGTCTGCCCGAAAAAAAAGAACATGGACATTGAGCCTCCGCACCAAAGAATAAAGCGGCCTCGAAAATCTTACGATAAAACTAGACAATCTACGCGCATAGCGACCAGACAGAGCAATATGTTAGTATTAATTCATGCTGAGGAACGCAATCGTATTCCCTGCAATGCCAAGAGCGATTATGAATCTGAATACAACGCTCTCGAAAGAGCCCCGGAGGATGGGGACTTTGAGACCGAAAGAGGGGAGATATCCGATGATGAAGAAAACGCTAAAGTTATGAAGTTACAGAGCAGTGTTGCACGGCAACATCAGCAGCAGCGGCAGCACAAGAGGATGAATTTCGAGGTTATCATCCACAATTGTGCAGGGACCCCTAGACAGACACCAGCACATGGCCGACGTGGACGTGGCCGGCCTCGAAAGCAAGTGGCTCAGCAAGCAGCACAAGCTCGTTCACAGTCAATTGTTGCTCCACGGCAAAAGCCGTCACAGCAGCGTTCCATAATTCCCTGCTCCGAGGACGAAGATAGTGATGACGAATTGAGCTTTCTGTAACACAGGAAAGTTAGAACATACGCATGCTGGATGTTTTTTGAATCATTTTTTGTTTTGTGTCGAACGTGGGCATTGTCTGTAATTTTAGGGCTGACTGGTGGCGTTGTATATACCCAGGAGCTTAGTGCAGCATTATCTCTTATTTCACTATGTACTATTTACTATGTAGCACATCGTATTTGTTGTTTTCTTCCGTAAATGCCCTCTGGCAGCAGCAAACGATCCTAATAGTGCAGCTGGTATTTCGGGCGGGAGCGTTGCTGCCGGGATGCAACTTTTCCCAACATAGCGGAGATGCACTCGAGATACTTCCTGTTTGGGAAAATGAGGAATCATTGGTAAGCCCTTACAAATCAAGCAAGCTGCAATGTGGATTCAAGTTGACTAGTCACTAGTGTCTATCTGATAAGATATTATGCTAGCGCTGAACGCCTATAGACATGCATCCCTTGTCTCCTTAAGCCACTGTAATCTCAAGCTCTTTATTTCCGAGCAAGCGTTTCAGATGCCTTGGGAATTCCCAAACGGATGAGCCATTGTTCGAAAGCATCTACTATCTGGCAGCACCACTATCTATCTGAGTTACGTGTGGCTGCTGGATTAGGCTCAGAATATAGTGGACGTAACCCTAAGTACCTAAGGCGCCACTAGCTGAGGATCAACGGCGTGGCGCGGATGATACGCAGTTGCATGAGTGGTACTTAGGTAGATCCTGATAAGTTAGGAAGTATGACTAGGCAGTTGTAAATGGGCATCAACTTCAATATCGAACTTGTCAAGTTAGCCTTCAGCCTGCGTGGCATGGCATGTAGTATGTATGTAGTTACACTTACGGCAGTTGACGAGCTGTGATTGGCCGGCGGCGCTTAGCTGAGGATCTGGATGGTGAGACGCAACTTCCCTCCTGATTTCTTCTCCAGCTTCATGCTTCATGCTGCCTCACCGGCCCTTGTTTATCCACTCGATGCCACAGGACCATAGGAGTGCCGCCTATCTGCGTCGCCAGCCGTTTCCGGCATTCGCTCGACAGGCAGAACACTGGCTCTGAGGCACAATTTGCTCGCATATCCCCGGCACAGACCATGCTTTCTGTTTCATCTGTTGCTTGGCTGCCAGGGCGCTGGCCGGCAAATACTCTGCCGCCAGGTCTGCTAAAGCTCAGCCTGAGACCTAGCTCGAGGGTTTGATGCACTCGACATTCCTCACGATGGGGTAATTGTTTCTCTATAAGCCGCTAAATCCAATGAGAAATCACACATTCGGATGTCCCTAGTTCCATATGCTTCGGAGAACTCCACTCGAATACTTGAGCCTGGACTATCCTGCCCGACTTAACTATACTAGCACTATATCGTGGCTGGGTCTTGGAGACGATGAATCCTTCATCTCATATTTATGCATGTGGTTCGACTCGTGGACCGCCGACATCTGGTCCCACCACCTGTTATCGGGCATCTTCATCCCATTTTTCTTCACGCGGTTCCTGGAGGGTCGCTTTTGCTTTGAACTTTTAGGCTCTGTGAGTTTGAATTTTCTTTCCTGCTTTGTTTTTGCATGTGATAGTTGGTTCTTTCCTGACTGTGCGAGAGAACCCTGGACTTTTTATCTATGACTGTTAATTTATCCTCCTAGGAGATCACTGTCTATGCGGTGCTGTAGCTATTTGGCCCACATACTCCATCAACAGTTGTGGGAATTACCAGTCCATCGATAACTAACAGCGACAGGCAGGCTCTAAAGACCCCACTGTTACAGTGCAACACATAGAAGACTTCTTTTTCCTATTAGTAGAGCTGGCTCTCTACTTTTATCCCTTCCCTTCTTTTTATTGATCCTCAATCAAATCACCAATACTGATAAGATTTGCCTTTCTCACCGTCATGATGGCAACTTCAGTTACCATTGTCATAGCCTATATGGCCATGTCTGTCTATGCGCAACAAGGGGCTGAGCAACAAGAGGCCGCTCGAATGGCCTACTATGGGACCATGCAAATGGATTATGCCCATTATATGTTGATTGCAATGGCATCAATTGTCACTCTCTTCTTTATCTGGAAGACGGCCCTTAGATTCACGTTCCACCTTCGACATTTATATGCGCAAGCCAACGAGAATCAGCGCTATTTCGCTCGCAATGACTACCATATGGCCTTGCTAAAACGGTACCTCGTGGATGCTCCGCTATTTCGTACTCGCCACAACCGAGAGTTTCAGTTGTTCCATGCCGTGAACCTTGGGTCCTTGCCCAATCGATTTCAAGCGATATGTCTGGCAGGACTCATTGCCATGAATGTTTCTTTATGTGTTTTGAATATTCCCTTCAGCGACAGGAAATCCTATCCTGAATTACTGAGGAATCGCACAGGGACTCTCGCTGTTACTAACCTGATTCCTATGGTAATCTTGGTTGGACGCAATAACCCGCTCATTCCTCTCCTCGGCCTGTCTTTCGATACTTGGAATTTCTTCCATCGTTGGATTGCCCGTATTGCGGCTCTCGAGGGCATCGCCCATATGTTGACTTTCGTTGTTGCTGAAGTTAAACAATCCGGATGGGCCGCTCTGGCTAAAGCGATTCAGGGACATCGACAGATAACGACTGGTTTGATAGTATGCAAACATTTAAATTCCCATTTTGAGATTGACAAAGTGCTGACTAATTCTCGTTGTGAAACAGATTATTGTAGGCTTTGTCTCCCTGGTGCTCACTGGTGCTTCTCCTCTGCGACATGCCTTTTACGAAACATTTCTCCATGTTCACATCTTGCTGGTGCTGATGACTTTCGTCACTCTTTGGTACCATCTACAAGACATGCCACAGCAAAAATATCTTCTAGCGACATTGGTGTTGTGGGTTGCCGAGGTAAGCTTTGATATTCATAATGTAACCAGGGGACCAAAGATTTTCTAACTGAAATACCAGCTAGCTGTTCGTTTAATTATCAACGTTTACCGTAACCTCATTGGCGGCAAAACAACGGCGAAGGTTGAAGCGCTTCCCGGAGATGCTTCGAGGATCACGCTGAAGCTCGCCCGACCATGGACGGTTCGTCCGGGTCAGCACGTTTACATATGTATTCCATCCATCGGACTATGGACCTTCCATCCATTCAGTGTAGCATGGAGTGAGAAACAGCAAGCATTGACTGACGAGAAGGGATTGGTTATGACGCAGCAAGATGTAGTGTCCACGCAAACAGAAACCATATCACTTCTCGTTCGTCGAAGAACGGGATTCACTGACCGCCTATACAAACATGCGTCAAAGGGTATCGATGGACAGGCTCATCTATCTGCATTTGTTGAGGGACCATATGGAGAAATCCACAATCTAGACTCTTACGGGACAGTTGTGCTATTTGCTGGCGGTGTGGGCATTACCCATCATATTCCGTTCATCCGCCACCTGGCCCGAGGATACGCAGATGGGGTTGTCGCTGCTCGTCGAGTGACACTAATATGGACTATTAAATCGCCTGAGCATCTGGAATGGGTACGTCCTTGGATGAACACAATTCTGCAAATGGACCGTCGCCGTGAGATTCTGCGTATTATGCTTTTTATTACTCGTCCTCGAAGCACGAATGAGATCCGTAGCCCTAGCTCAACGATTGAAATGTTCTCTGGCCGGCCCAACATCCAGACCGTTCTCGACAAGGAGATTGAGCAGCAAATCGGAGCCATGGGGGTGATGGTATGCGGGAGCGGCGCTCTCAGCGATGATGTCCGCCACGCATGTCGCCAGAGACAGGTTAGTAGCAACATCGACTATATTGAGGAAAGTTTTAGCTGGTGAAATCGTCACTTAGTGTTTCTTTAGCCCGGCCTAGATGGCAAAAGATTGGATTTTAGTTTCACTTGTTTTTATATACTTTTTTGTCTTAGATGGTACAAATTTGATGTTTGATTTCTCCCTTTTCCCCGTTCCTTTAAGGATAAGTGGCCAAGTATACACTGCAGCAGCATATTTAAACGACCGGAAATGAAGCGATGTGAACAATCTTCCGGCTTTGAGCAGAGATTGCGATAATTCCACGTTGATTGGAGGCATAATACTGACAAACTCCCTAGATAAGTCACTGCATGAATATAACCTATCATGGTATACGAATGCCTGAGGCCTAGGCAGTGGTTAAGAAACCCTAAGCTTACGCGGGAACCCACCACCTGATTGGTCAAACCATTAAAAGTAATTACCAGATTAGAAAGTTATATCAGTGTCAAGTTGTGATGGCGTTCAATTGCTACTATCATCGTAAGCTGGGAAGTAAGACAAACATATTTACCACACGCTCTCTCCCTGTGGTTCTGTCCCACTGCCAAATGAATGCGAGATAAACTTTCAGTCTTGAATGTAATAAATGTTGACCTAATTACATTCAATACCTTGCAACTTCTCGTCCGAGAGAGTATGCACTAAACCCGCAATCAAGTTGTCATTAGATTATATTTTCAATAACAAGACAACCACATACCCCGAGGATCAGCAATATCCGTGTAATTAGAGGGCGCTATTCAATCTACTAGAATGTTTCTACATTATACCATCATGTCCTACACATATCTCAGAAGACTCCTGCGATTCTGGAAGCAAAGAGTAAAGCCTCAGGAGAGAGTTTGCAACATGTCCGAGAAAAGGCACCAGCCAACGCCTGCACCCGCGAATACTGCTGACAAGCTGAGACAACGTGGGCTTGCTGGAGCACTCACCTGTTACAGCTGGCAGCTTTTCACCTCTTGCTTTGTTGTCACGAATCCCATTGGCAGTCCTTTGGCTTTTGCTTAACCTCCTTACTTTCGCACCGGCAAACAAAAGGCTACCGTCTTCAATACTTAAAGGATAGCTGTAACAAGCCTTGCAGAAACATTCCTTCTGGGCTTATCACCGCAGAGAGCACGCGCAGGCTTCTTCGCTGCATCCACCAAGGCCAGATTCTGACTGCCATGCCAAACCAGCCGGCGCTCTTCGGCATGATTACCCAGCCACTCGGGCCTGTGAATATACTACTGGGTGACGATGCCCTCAGCAACAGTCTCAGGCTCGAGCATTAGACTGACAAAGGGCAAATCAGTGACAAAATCCTTGGCCAGATGCGTTCGCACAAAGTTTGGCACCATGTAAATCAAGCGGACGCACGGTGCATTGTAGCGAGAGACTAGTTCACTGCTTAGCCCTCGTGCAATAACATGGCGTAGCCTTGGACATGCTGTAATTGACCATTTCTGGTGTCATTGTATACCCTGCCACCAACGCTATTTGTGGGTCGTGATTAGAAACCACCATGGACAGCAGGACAGTTTACAACAGCCGATACGGTGCTAGCATACATATTGATTTCGAAGAGCATTGTAAGTTGTCCATCGCTTGTACGCAGAGACAGGGCCCTGTTAATCGTGGCCGCGCTATTAATAAGCACCGTGGGATGGCCATGTTAAGCTTGGATCTCTGCCTCCTGCTATTAAAACAACCTCGTGGGTCCAGTCGAACTTGTCATCGTGCCAGTTGTTCAGTATATGATCCTTTAGGAGCTCGTTGATTTACCTTACCGCCCATAGAACTGTTACTGTAACGCAAAGATAACATACCCATCAGGACTGGATTCAGGAGTGTTTTCTCGACAACTGTCTGGACTGTATCCAAAGTGAAGGCTACCATTTCATGATTAGCTTTTTTAGTAATTTGTGCCTCAAAATGTTCCCAATATTTTTACCGGAACGAGGCCACACCAGTATCCTAGCCATTGGTAGAAATCCAGGTGAACACGGAGAAATGAGAAGCTGAACAGTTCTCTCACAGACAGCTATATATACCGATTATCAATGTAGATTACCTGGGCTGTTCCATGAAATAAGAGATAACTGTGGTAGGCAGCAATGATAATGGCCAGTCAGCATCGGATTACTGTAGTTATGCCTTCAAACACTCCACTAAAGTAGGCTGGTTGGTTTTGCTAGATATAGGGTACCATGTTGAAGCTGAAAATATCTATAACTGACCTATTGATTCGCCATATACAAGTTGCACGTCCAAGCGACGTTAATTTGTCATTATCAATCCGAGATTTGTCTTTCGCTCCGCCCTCCTTTCTCTCTCCTTTATTCTTTCTCCATGTGCTCTGGCCACAGCATGCGACGACTTCCAACTGCCCATATTGTCGCCGCCGCTACCGTCAACCATACGGCAACCTGCAAGACCGTCAAAACTGATGTCACCCATAGGACTGCTTCAGACTGCAAGACCTGTCCGATTCTAACTGTTGCTAACACAAAACCGGTGTTCGGAAACACCATGCTCCAGTATGTAAGCGACATGGCCGCCATTCCAGGCCCCCCGAAGACCCGACAGGCTGCCACAAGACTTATAATGGCTACGCAGAGATGGAAAAAGGCCATAGTCCACAGGAAAATGGCTACCATCGTGGCAAGGACTAGTACGATAGTGCTAGCCGTCACAGAGCTATCTCCAGTGAAGGAAGGGTCTGCGTAAGAAATGATATATCGCGAAGGAAACTTCTCTATAGCCTCCTCCGCCATCCCAATCAGTGCGAGTGCAGTGAAGCTCCACGGTCCGACGGCAATGAACATTTCCGGCCTCTCAGGAGGGGATGGGAGACCCTTCTTGTTCAGGAAAAATGTGTACTCTGCGTAGATAAAAAATGAAACGATATACCCGAAGCCCTGCAACGTGACGCCACAGATAATAATAGGCAATGCTTGGTTTCGGGGCTGATTAGACGCAATAACCGACGCGATGGTACCGGCAAGCATAGCAGGAAAAGATGGTAATAGTCGAACAATCGGAAAGGGTTGCCGACTAGCCATACTGCGGTGATAGAGATACCAGTTGTGGAATAGAGCCTCCAGGATGGAGCAAGCAGCGTATATCCAGAAGACGATGCGCAAGGCAACCTGCAGCCAGGGACCACAGGCATCCGTCCCATAGATTTCAGATCCAATGATGATTGTCGCCACTGCTAGCAGGCACGTTCCTGCAAAATAGCTCTCGTTGGGATGGTCAAAAGATTCTCTCAGGGCTGACGGCTTGGTGCAGAAGCGAAGGCCCAAGCACAAGAAAACGGTGATGAAAATGACGAGGTTTAGAATGAAGAAGATCTTGCCGATTGTATCGAGGCCGTGGAACTTGTGCGGTGTATTTTTCAAGAGGATGGCGATACCGCCGGTAGCCATGGATATGGAGAACCAGCCCCAAGAGACCTGGCACAGCCGGTCTTTGAGGCTTACCTTTTGCCTGCTGGTGAAGGGTTTCATTGTCTGTAGAGCCATAGGAAGTTACGGTGATGCGGATTCATTCATGATGGGCGTGGAATTTATAGAGCGAATGACTTATGACCTCATCCCTTCTTACCTATCTATCAGGTTTGCATCCGGCACTTTGCGGAATACCGAATACCCACCTCAAAACCAGCGCTTTCATTAATGATCTTGGTCCCAAACATGTGGAGGAGAATCTTTGGAGCGGGCTTCTAATCATAACAGAGATGTGGCGTGAGACTATAGACAGGCCAGCAAGAGAAATACTCCAAGTTCTGACACTCATTCATCTGCCTTGTTGCAGCACCTTCTGCCTCGCATGTGGAATTTAGCTATCTAGTTTTCTATTGCGTGTCTTTTCTAGTCTTTAGTTTGTCTAACTTTCTTCAGGGACCGATACTTGGGTTCCCACATCTGCGCCCGGATCCATTCCTCCAGCTCGTCCTCATTGCCTGGAATACCCTGTTCTTGAGCCAGTCCTTCCTGCACGGCTTGTTGAACAACAGCCTTAGCAACATTCACGCTTATCTCTCGCACGTCTTCGACGTCAGGCAGTAGTGGCTTTGTCGCATCTTGGAGCGCAGGAGCCTTGGCTGCTAATGCTTTGGATGCAGCCACCACCATCTTCACTGACAGCCGACGTGTTCGAGACAAGATTGATCCGAGACCAATCCCCGGGAAGGCTGTAGAGTTGTTACATTCCGCTATGCCATGGTCAGCGGGGTCATCCATCTTACCACTTGAGAGGCCAACTTACCAATCTCCTTTTCAACATTGCTGTACTTTGCTGGAGGAAATGGGCTTCCAGTGGCTATCAGAGCTTGCCCTTTTGTCCAATCAGTGATATCCTGGGGTTTGGCTTCATGGAGCTTAGTAGGATTGCTCAATGGGAACACAATCGGGTTCTCAACATGCTTAGCCATTTCCTTGATTATTTCTTCGCTGAAAGCCCCCGGTTGAGTCGAAGTTCCAATCAGGACATGAGGCTTTACTCTCTTTACTACGGAAAGCAGATCAAGACCCTCGCCATCCGGCCACTCGTTGTCATCTTTTGCGAAGGGGGTTTGTGCTGGTGTGAGCTTATCCCCTTGAGATTTGAGCAGGAGACCAGGCTTATCGATACACCTATATAGAATTTCGTTTAGTTGCTTAGAAACCAGACATAGCTTAGGTACTAATTAGAGCATACCAGATCTGCTTCATTGCTTCAGACTTTTCTTTTTGCGCTTCGGTGGCTATTGCATCGCTGATTTGATCTGCAATACCTGTACCGGCTGATCCAGCACCGAAACAGACAATTCGAACATCGTCAAATTTGACTTTGCTCACATGAAGACCCGTTATCAAGGCTGCCAGAGTAACGCAACCTGTTCCCTGAATATCGTCATTGAAGCAGGGTATCTGCTGCTTGTATTTATCCAGGATGCGTTTCGCGTTTGGCAGTCCAAAATCCTCACTGGAATGACATGTCAAAAATTTTTCAATAAATACATGACCAGGCTGGGTACTCACAAGTGAATGTATGCCCTGGGAAATCTCTTCTTTGCAGCGTGAACAAAATGGTCCACGAATGCATCATATTCCTTTCCTCGAGCACGTCGTTGTCGAAGACCCAAATACAATGGGTCATTGAGCAATTTCTCGTTCTTTGAATTATTTTTTGTCAGTTTTGTTCAATGCTTATTGAACTGGTCGATCTATCTTACGTTTGTTCCACAGTCAAGCACCACCGGAAGCTGTCTGGATGGATGGATTCCACCGCATGCCGTCGTAATAGCCAACTTGGCAGTTGAGATCAAGATGGCGCCCACGCCTTGATCACCGATTCCCAGTATCTATGGCTGGGGATTAGCGCACCATACTTCAACAGGGGATTATAGAAGACTGTTTCACCTGTTCCCCGTCACTGACAACGATGTAATCGATGTCTTCTTCTACCTCAAGATTGTTCAAGATTCCTTCAATCTTGTCCTGGGCATTGATATTCAGAAAGCAACCCTCCGGCTTTCGAAACAGACGGGAATAGTTTTGAATTGCCTCTGCTTCTGTCGGAGTGTAAATCACACTAAACATCTCCTTCAGATGCTCCTGTAGAAGCTATAACAAAACATCAGCATGCCAACCTTCTCTCGTTCGCCGTAATAACACAATACTTTGTAGTATAGCACTTCGTTTTGCGCCTTCATGCTAGCCATGAAGGTGTTTTTGGCCAGGTCATCGGGCCGACTTGCGTATTGCTGGTAGGCCCTTTCTACTTGCTCCTCCAACGATTGTATCCCGGGGGGCAGAAGGCCCTCGAGTTTGAATGCTTTTCTTTCATCCTCTGGGAATGCGGAGCCTTTGTTGTAGTACGCAATATGCATGAGTGTCGTGCCCTGAATTCATTCGTTTAGTTCCATCAACGCAGTAAAGCATGCTAGGTCCAAAACGCACCTCGTAGGGGCATTCGATAGGCCCCGACGCTGCACGGGGCAGATGTTCGAACTTTGATTGAGGCATGATTTTCTCTACCACAGCAGATTGGATTTCACAAATATGACCCCGAGGATCGATCAGTTGTTATGTGAACCATACAAGCTTGTTAGGTCGACGACATGCTGACGACACGAGAAAAAAAAAGCAATAATCTCCACAAGCGAATTTATCCCGGAAATTCGGTCTGTGAAAGCATCTTAGACTCTGGCATGGAGCATCGTGAGCCTTCTTTTCCTGATGCGCTGAGTGGAGCTTGGATCCGGTAAAGGCGAGCGATGACATCAGAGCACGCGTCCCAGGTTCATTCCCATTCCCTGGCTCAAGAACTGCAAAGAAAAAGAAAATGATAAAAGAAAAAGAGAGAAACCAAGTTATCGTCCTCAGAATATGTCCCGACACTTCCGCTTGCGTCGACCCACAACTACATCATTCGCGTGCCATCGCGAACCCGCCATTCATTATAATTGCATATGTGGGAGTATATGGTGCTGTTCTTCACACGCAGATTCCAGGTTCCATCTCATTTCCTCCGTCGACTTCGTTCAGTGAAAGGGCGCACAATGAACCACACTGCCAACCCTACCCCGTTTAGCTACGAGGCCCAGGTCTACACGTCGGGCCTTCATGATGAGAGACCGCCCTTCACATTCAATGCCCTTGAATGGGAGGCCCTGGCGAAGGCGCGCCTGCCAGCTGACAGTTTTGGTTATGTTTGGGGTTCTGCTGGCATCAGAGAAACCGACGACAACAACCGGGCGGCTTTTAAGAAATGGGGGATCGTTCCATCGCGCCTGGTGAGATCCGGCTTCCCAAACCTGAAAACGAGCGTGTTCGGCGACGAGTATGACTATCCTATTGCTATAGCCCCCGTGGGGGTGCAGAAGATCTTTCATCGCGACGGCGAACGCGCCGTCGCAAAGGTTGCGAACGAGGAAAGCGTGACTTATATCCTGAGTTCCGCAACGTCGACAAGCACTGAGGATGTCGCGGCTGCTAATGGCGATGGCCCACGCTGGTACCAACTCTACTGGCCAGCCAATGAACACAATAATATAACTGCCAGCCTCCTGAAAAGAGCCAAGGACAACGGGTATAAAGTGCTAGTGGTGACACTCGACACCTATATACTTGGCTGGCGGCCGAGTGATCTCAATAATGGGTACAACCCTTTCCTTCGCAGCGACAACATTGGCGTCGAGATCGGCTTTTCGGATCCAGTTTTCCAAGAACATTTCCAGAAAAAGTACGGCGTCTCCATCAAAGATGACGTTTCGAAGGCGGCCTCCGAATGGGCACACATCATGTTTCCAGGAACGAGCCATGGATGGAGCGACATCAAGTTCTTGCAAGAAAATTGGGACGGCCCCATTGTATTGAAAGGCATTCAGACTGTTGCCGATGCCAAAAGGGCTGTTGACCATGGTGTTCAAGGCATTGTGGTTTCGAACCATGGTGGCCGCCAGCAGGATGGCGGCGTTGGGTCGTTGGACATGCTTCCGGAGATAGTTGATGCGGTTGGAACTAAGATTGAGATTCTGTTTGATTCCGGAGTGAGATGCGGCGCTGATATTGCCAAGGCTTTGGCCTTGGGTGCAAAGATGGTTCTGGTGGGTAGGCCATATGTGTACGGATTGGCGATTGGTGGTGAAACCGGCGTCCGGCATGTGCTGAAGAGTCTCTTGGGGGATCTTCAGCTGACGTTGCATCTGTCTGGTATCCCAGATGTGACGCAGGAAAATCTGAACCGGTCGGTGCTCCGGCGAATGTCTCATTGAAGTTGGTGGTCAAATTCGAAGCTTCTGGATTCCGTCCCAGCCCTAGCAATGCCGCAGACATCTGCCGTATAAGCGTACATATTGTAATCAATGCAATCAAGAATAACTTTTTGTGCATTCTTCCCCTATAAGTAATACAATAATTACATATACCAATGTGAGAATACCTAGGTATATCTTACTTGCAATAACCAATGGTAAAAGCCGAGACTTGGGGATGAGAGTTCTCTTCGGCCAATACCTAGGTATTCAGCCTGGTACCCAATGTTGGCATGTTTCAATCATGGATTTATACGGGGGAAAATGTGAATATGGTGTTTATAGAAAATCAATGGCTCAAATGATCCTTGCAGTGATTGACTGATATTAAAACCAGATCGATAGCAGTATTGTCCGAAGAGTACAATTATCGGACTTCTGCCAATTACCACGTAGTTGTCTAGATATGACAGCTCTGGTAATACATGACTCACAGTTTACTGAATATAATCTTGTAGATAGCATAGTGGCTGAGGCAGCAACAGTTAAAGTTGCTAGAGCACGAGGTTTTCAAGCGACGGGTAGTCTTATCAGAATAGCTACTAGAGGCCCAGAAATGTAAACGAATAAGAATGATCATACAAAATAACTGTTAGGACGAGGCGAGGAGACTAAGACCCTATATTGCTCGATGTTCCGAGTGATTACCCAATATAGTGAGGCTGAGCGTAGCGTATGTTGGAAATGTTGGAACTATGATACTATATTGAGAATACCCTCACCTGCCACGTCAATTAATTCGGAAATATCGGTCATTAGAAGGGCTAACACCGTCCGTATACATACAATATCTTCAATATAAATATCCCTGGAATACCAGGCCGGAGAGCAAGATGGGAATGAAATCACCGTTGCTCACGGCTATAGAATCATATTTTACCTAGGTACACATTGACCAATCAAATTGAAACAAGACAACACAACTAAATACATCATGGCCACCTCCACTCTACGCAAAACCCTGGAAGAATCGGCCACGGCTTTCTTTCACAGCTATGAAGATGCATCCCGTGCGAACGACGCAAGCATCGTGTCTCGTGGCATGACAGAAAATTGCACCCGCAAATTCCAACCGCCTACCTTCTGTCAGGCCATGGGATACCCCGAGGATGTTGAAATCCCAAGCTCCGTATATCAGGGCCGTATTGCGCAGGGGATGCAACACTGGACGGCTACTAAGACCGAGATCCTCCATCTGACCGTTGACGTGGATGCTCGACAAGTGGCCGCCCAAACAGCGGTTTCGGGAAAATGGAGTGACGGGGAAGATGTGAAACTTCATTTCGCCTGGTTCTTGTATTTCAGTGATGATGGGACGCAGATTTCTCGAGTCATTGAGTATATGGATTCGCCTCCCACCAAGGCATATTACGGAAAGATACAAGCCTTGTCAGCTGCTGCTCAAGCTTGAGACAGAGGTATCTCGCGATGTACTTCGAGAAGCAAGTTTATGGATGCTCAATAACAAGGCCTGTACACTCAAACTTCGGAGACTTGTACACTGCCCGTTTTGAATGTTGGAATTTTGGAGGCCGTTGTGTATATATCAAACTTCAACCCCTCGATATATTACATATCTATTCATTATACCGAAATGCAGGATATCACTCTAGCTCTCCTATAGATTGCCTAGAGGGATATCATTGATCCATTAACTTGCTAAATCTGGCACTAACCCTACAGGCTTATTGAAGCCATCCCGAGCGCAAGACTAAGTGGAACATCAAGTTTCTCTGTGCGAGCCAATCATCTTACAATAAACTGTTATAGATTGAATATAAATCTATAATAACTAAAATAATATAACAGACATTATGTGTTAGTACAATTCTAGCCACAAGGTAACTACTTTATATTTATTATTGCTTAATAATCTGATGATGTATGACGTTGTTTTCATGTGTAGATAGATGATTGCGCCCCTCGTCATTATAGATGGCTACGAAAGAGCAAGAATTGTTGCACTGGCCGTTTGATATTCGATAGTAAATGCGAGTAAATAGTTAAGTCTGACTGCATTGTATTTCTGCGCGAGAGATTGATAAACAAGAGAATGCCGTGGTGAAAGTCTGAAAGTCGCCGTGCATTTGTAAGCTGGCGGCGAGAGCTTAAATACGCCATACAACCCCTCATTATTTCCCATCTTCATCTACCCTGATCCTCTGAGGTCTTCACTCAATTCAAGCAACCAAACAGTAACGCAGTCCTTTACAACCGCCAGAGTTCTCCCAACAACTAATCCCAGTGCCTACCTTAAAAGTGTCGCACCGGCTAGCCCGTCTCTTGTCCACCATGGCCGCTAATAAGACACCTGATATCACTCTCTACACGGCGCAGACTCCTAACGGTATCAAGATTTCCATTGCGCTGGAAGAACTAGGGTAAGTCACATTAAGTTATACGCGCCGCCATACGTTGCTTATTCCTCAAGCTAACATCGTTGTCCAGCCTCCCCTACAAAGTCCAAAAGATCGAGTTCAGCAAAAACCAGCAAAAAGAGCCATGGTTCCTGGAGATCAACCCCAATGGCCGCATTCCAGCCATTACCGATACGTTCACCGATGGCAAGCAGATCAATCTTTTTGAGTCTGGCGGCATCTTGCAATACCTGGTCGAAAACTACGATCCAGAACACAAACTCTCATATCCCCGCGGAACACGAGAATACTATGAAGTGAATAATTTTCTCTTCTTCCAAAACTCAGGCGTCGGACCAATGCAAGGTCCGTTCATAACTTTCGAAAAGCTTTAGGACATTGATAACATGGTTTTGTTGTTTTAGGTCAGGCAAATCACTTCTACCGGTACGCTCCAGAACATATCGAATATGGCATAAACCGATATCAGAATGAAACCCGCCGATTGTACGGTGTGCTCGACAAGCATCTGGCCAATTCTAAATCCGGCTTCCTTGTGGGCGACCACATCTCGATCGCCGACGTGAGCCACTGGGGATGGGTTGCCGCGGCTGGTTGGGCTGGCGTCGATATCGATGAGTTCCCGCATCTCAAGGCCTGGGAGGAAAAACTTGCGGCGCGGCCGGGGGTGGAAAAGGGGAGACATGTGCCTGAAAGACATACGATCAAGGATGATCTCAAGAACAAGGAGGAGCTGGAGAAGAAAAGGAAGGAGGGAGCTGCGTGGGTGCAGCAAACAATGGCAGACAATGCCAAAAAATGAAATGTATAAATGATTGCATCATGGTGTAAGAGTTGCTTGGTTTAGTTAATGCCATTTGGAATTTGATTCCTTTGTAGTCGAGTGCTGTTGAGGGGGTTGAGAGGTGGTTTTATATCATACTAGTCCTAATATAGCATGGTAGCCTACACTAACTAAATACGGTTAGGTCTGGGTGGTGGCGGGATCTCTTCATTTTAATTGAATCCTCGATTGTCTTCGCTTTCTCTTCTTCGCTCTCTACTGTCGCACCAAATTAGCTGTTTCATCGTTCAAAACTGGCAAAGATGTCGTGGCGCAACCAGCAAGGAATCACTGGCTCGAACAATATCCCTCTTGGAAAGCGCCGATTTGGAGGCGACGACGAGGGTGCAAGCGAGGCCTCAACACCGACACCTGCTGCCTCGGACAATGGCGCCCTGCGTGGCAGGAGCCCAACTCGAGGTGAATTTTTGCGCTATCCCACGAGCTTACAAAAAGGATACTAACTTGAAACTCCTCTAGCCGACCAGCCCGCAGACGGTGTGAAAAGGCGCAAGAAGCGCAACCGTTGGGGCGACGCTCAGGAAAACAAGGCTGCTGGCCTTATGGGCCTGCCGACCATGATCATGGCCAATTTCACTAATGAACAACTTGAAGCATATACGCTACATCTTCGTATTGAAGAGATCAGCCAAAAGCTTCGCATTAACGATGTCGTCCCCGCAGATGGTGACAGGTGAGTTATGCTTCTTTTTTTTTTTTTTTAACTTCTGCAGTGGTTTTTTTTACTGATAGCTAAACTTTTCGACAGATCGCCGTCGCCACCTCCACAGTACGATAACTTCGGAAGACGTGTAAATACCAGGGAATATCGCTACCGCAAGCGCCTGGAAGATGAGCGCCACAAACTTGTTGAGAGGGCAATGAAGGTTATACCTAACTATCACCCGCCCTCTGACTACAGGCGTCCCACCAAGACACAAGAGAAGGTCTATGTGCCTGTGAATGACTATCCAGAGATTAACTTCAGTATGATTACTAACCCTCTAACTCTCCTAACCATGTTATGCTTGCCCTTTTATCTATTCTCGTTCCGTGCTCGATTCGGGCTTGGCAGGCATTGTGATGTTCAAGATGCCTCTTCTCGTTTCTTGCTAACCCATTAACCATTTGGCTTTTCTTTTCGTTTTTATCAACGTTGCATTACCAAAATTTTGAGACACAGACATACTAACACTTAGCTCCCTACTCTACTAAAGTTGGTTTGCTTATCGGGCCTCGTGGAAATACTCTCAAGACTATGGAAAAAGAATCTGGAGCCAAGATTGCTATTCGAGGCAAAGGTTCCGTCAAGGAAGGAAAGGGCCGATCTGACGCCGCTCACACTAGCAACCAGGAAGAAGATCTTCACTGTTTGATTATGGCCGACACTGAGGAGAAGGTCAACAAGGCGAAGCAACTGGTCCACAACGTCATCGAAACCGTAAGTTACCAATCGCCCTATTTGCTTCGATGCCTACTGAACAGATACTGATTTGGTTCTGAAATAGGCTGCGTCTATTCCCGAAGGCCAGAACGAGCTCAAACGAAATCAACTTCGAGAACTCGCCGCCCTCAACGGTACCCTACGTGACGATGAAAACCAGGCTTGCCAGAACTGTAAGTCCCTTTTTCCTTCAAAATTTGTTTAACTTTGGCTAATTCACTTACAGGTGGACAAATTGGTCACCGAAAATACGATTGTCCCGAGCAGCGCAACTTCACCGCGAATATCATTTGCCGTGTTTGTGGAAATGCTGGTCACATGGCCCGTGATTGTCCCGATCGTCAACGTGGCACTGATTGGCGCAACAACGGTGGCTACGGTGGTCGTGGACCCCATCGTGCCATTGGCGGTGGCGATGCCGTCGACCGTGAGATGGAGGTAAGTTATTTATCTAGCGATACGTAAAAACAAATTGCACTAACAGATATACAGCAACTCATGCAAGAACTTTCCGGCGGTGGCTCTGGCCCCAACGGCGAAGCACCCCGTCGCATCGAAGGAGCTCCTGGAGGTTACGAGCAGCAAGACTCGAATTACAAGCCCTGGCAACAGCGTGGACCCCCTGCTTCGGACGTCGCTCCATGGCAACAGCGTGGACGTGAACATCGGGGCCGTGATGATTATGAATCCCGCGATACCAACGACGCTGCTCCATGGGCTCAAAGCCGTGGTGGCGGCAACTACGGATACGGTTCGCATCACGGTAACTACTCAGCGCCAGGAGCTGCCTCTGGTGCCGCTCCTTGGCAGCAGCAAGCTCCGCCTCCGCCTCCTGGAGGTCAAGCAGGTTATGGCTACGGCTACTCTGCATTCCCTCCGCCACCTCCATCTGGTGCACCTCCTGGTCTTCCTGGTGCTCCGCCAGGCATGGAATCCATGTACTACGGTGGTGCTGGGGCACCTCCGCCCCCACCACCCGGCGAGGGCCCTCCTCCTCCCGTGAGTATCCTAGGACCTACTCTCTGTTTGTCGAGTTACCACTAACAACCATGCAGCCACCAAGTGATCAGCCCCCACCACCTCCACCACCGGCATGATTGAATCCTGCATTCTTGGTGGGATCATTAGCATTGGACGTGAGGTTTTGACTGATTAAGTATTGACTACTAACTTTGCCTACCCAGCATTTTGATTGTACTATTTGTTACAGTTCTTCGTATTGCTTCAGTTTCTAATTACATTGTGTTCCAGCAAACAATTTGAACGCTGTTATCAACCTTAGGCTTCGGTCCGCAAAGAGCAATTTGAGTAGGATATAAATTTTTAATTAACGTGTCTGGATAGTTGATTTATATACACGTACGATGTACATGGAGAAAGAATGTCTTCAAAATTTATCACTACATATCAAGTCAAAGCGGCCTAACCGCATTTCGCTAGTAAATGATGGGGTTCCCCACAATTCAGTCCTCAGGCTCCAAGCCATAATAACCTTGTAACTTCGTCTTCGCCTCCTTCCATGGAATCGATATACTACACCAAACTTGTCGAGGAGAAACAGTATACCACTCTTCTGTATTCAGGTTTGGACATGAACCTTGCACCCGGCGGCATATCTTTGTACCACCAAATATCGGAGAAAGTAAGGTCCGTGTGAAGTTATAGTGACAGACACAACATGTCTACCGATCTCTCGGGGGCTAGCAGTGCACAGGGAATTGCCTTGAATCCTGTTTCCAGCTTTCACTCTCAATCAGGCAATTCTGGAAATTTAGCTTCGGGTAATAGAGAAGCGACAACGAGGAAGAAAAACTGGCAAGAACGTGCTTTGCGTCTATCGTCTTTTCCGCGGTCAAATGCCTCTCCGTCTCCTTCTTCCTCCTCCTCCTCCTCCTCATCAAGACGTAGCAGGCCGGCAGTTGATGATGCACAACAACAAGAATCGCTATCTAGGGCGGATAGTAATCGTTACGCCTCTTCGTCGTCGTCGACGACGACCAAGTGGTGGAAGGTCCACTTGTTTAAGGGGATGATTCAGGATATTAAACGGAGAGCGCCTTTTTACGTGAGTGACTGGACGGATGCTTGGGATTATCGGGTTGTGCCGGCGACGGTTTATATGTATTTTGCAAAGTATGTTCCTATTTTTCACTAAACTTGTTGAGCTTTTTGTGGCAATCGGCGAGAGATGGCGAGAGATGAGGCTCTTGCATTCGGCTCATTTCGTCAATGAAAGAAGAACCGACTGACATTCAATTTTAGTATTCTTCCTGCTCTGGCTTTCTCGCTGGATATGTTTGAGAAGACGAATCAGAGCTATGGAGTCAATGAGGTTCTTTTGGCATCTGTTCTTGGCTCTGTAGTCTTCTCCCTCGCGGCAGCACAGCCACTTGTTATCGTTGGCGTGACTGGTAGGTTCCTGTTTGAGGATGAATATGAATACATGAGTAGAATATGCTAATAACTTCAAGGACCGATCACTGTCTTCAACTATACGGTGTACGATATTATGTCTCCCAAGGGGACGAATTATCTGGCCTTTATGTTCTGGATTGGACTGTACGCGTTTCCATCTTCCAGAATGCATACGATACTGTACCTAGTCAGATACTGATGTGATCCCTAGCTGGTCTCTGATATTTCACTGGATCCTTGCTATAACGAACGCTTGCAACGGCTTGACATATGTCACGCGATTCTCGTGCGACATTTTTGGCTTCTATGTTGCTTTCATCTATCTGCAAAAAGGCATCCAAGTCTTGACTCGCCAATGGGGGAAGGCAGGTGAAACGTCTGCCTACGTCAGTATCATGGTTGCTTTGCTTGTGTTAATGAGCGGTTATGTTTGTGGGATGCTAGGTGAAAGTACACTTTTTCAACGATACGTACGGAAATTCATTGAGGATTATGGTACCCCTCTGACCATCGTGTTCTTCACCGGATTCGTACACATCGGACACATGAGGGACGTGTCCGTTCAGACATTACCGACATCCAAAGCTTTCTTTCCGACAGCTGATCGTGGTTGGCTTGTCAGTCTGTGGGATATCAGTGTTGGTGAGGTATTTTTGGCAATTCCGTTTGCTATTTTACTCACTATTCTATTTTACTTTGATCATAATGGTGAGCACTGGCCCTCCCCCCTCCCCAATAAAGAAGGCTTCATATACGACATCGACGTACTAAAACCATATCAGTATCGTCACTCATAGCCCAAGGCACGGAGTTTCCTCTTCGCAAGCCAGCTGGCTTCCACTGGGATTTGTTCCTTCTTGGTTTTACCACTGGAATCGCTGGTCTTTTGGGTATCCCGTTCCCCAATGGCCTAATTCCACAAGCACCATTTCATACCCAGGCACTTTGCGTAACGCGACAAGTTTCCGACGACGACGAGACAAACAAAGGCCGACCCATTCGCATCACCGATCATGTGGTAGAACAGAGAGTAAGCAACCTGGCCCAGGGCCTACTTACTCTCGGCACAATGACCGGCCCTCTACTCGTAGTTATGCACCTGATCCCGCAGGGCGTATTAGCAGGTCTCTTCTTTATCATGGGTGTCCAAGCTCTCCAAGCGAATGGCATAACTCAAAAACTCGTCTTTCTTGCCCAAGACCACAACTTCACTCCCGGATCAAACCCACTGAAACGTCTCGAACGCCGAAGCGCTATTTGGGCTTTTGTTATCTTGGAATTAGTCGGCTTCGGCGCCACTTTCGCCATCACCCAGACGATTGCGGCAATCGGGTTCCCTGTTATTATTCTTTTGCTTATCCCCGTTCGTTCTTTCCTGTTGCCGCTATGGTTTAGACCTGAGGAGCTTGCGGCACTGGATGCTCCAACTGCTAGTCCGTTTACAATGGAGTCCGTTGGTGGTACCTATGGACACAACACAGAAGAAGCGAATATGGCAAATCTTGCATTTGAGAATACAGGAACTTCCCATCGGAATGGCGGTGGTGGTATACTAGAAGGAAATGCTGATTCTGGCGCTGGTGAGTGGTCTTCTGGACACCTCAATGAGGAATCAGCTGTGGAGGATGGACTTGAAAGGGGCGAGTCATATCGATTGTCGCTGAGATCCGGTGCAAGGAGGAGGAGCAGAACTAGTAAGAGATGATCGTCCTCTTACAAGATGAAAGATGTGTATTGCTCTCGGTGCTAATCTTTATTTCTTCTTCCAATATCAGGTGCAAGCATCCAGAATCACGCTTAATAAAATAGAAATTAAGCTCTCCAAGAGTCTCAAGCAAAGTTGCAACATATGTTTATAAAGTTGTCAGGGGGCCTCCCAGAACAGCCTTAATTCATCGACCCATTTCCTCTCCACTCGACCAACGTTGCCCAGCCTCGGTAGCCGGTCAAGGAACATTATAATTTATGCTGGAATTTCGGTTGGAACCTGCCCTGGTGTAATGTATGCAAGTTGATGTTCTTTATCTAGCCTAAAAAAGGGTCAAGTTGTCACCCTATCAAGATTGCTAGCAATTAGCAGAGTAAATAGGCATTTAACATACCATTGCCATTCAATGAAGAAAAGGTGAATACGATTTACACCTAGGCATACTTAGGGTTTCCTTTGTTTGGTAGAATTCAAGTTGGATTTCGGGCAAAGGTCAAAAGCCTAAATAAACAACTACCCGACGTTCCTTTCGAGATTATGACATGAAAACAAGAAAAAGGTTCATCTCATACATCATCTATATGATACTTTTTTGGAACGAAGAAAAGAGGAATGACTTCTTCTCCCCCTTTTCCTTCTCGTCTGAGCGTTACGCTCCCTCGTCTCTCTTTTTCTCTCGCAGCCGGTGCAAAAAGCCCTCCATGTTCTTTTGTTCAAGTTTGGTCAAACAGTTCTGAAAATTGGGAGAGAGAAGAATAATGAATACCCAGCAGCAGAGATGATTGATTGATTACCATACCAAAGACAAATGAAAATGGCTCCCGTACGACAGAAAAAAGAGAATAGACACATTAAATATAAAAAAAAAAGAAATGGACGGAAAAAAAGTGAACTGTTCATTTTTCATTCATTCCTTTTTTTTTTTATTTTTTTTTTTAAAAAAAAAGATTCCATCTAGTAATCAGCAACGCTGCTCTGAGGGAACTCGAAAACAACGTTACGGCCGGTGAGTCGTCGGTAAACCTCGCCATAGGCATCAAGGCGGTGGTCAACACCACCACGCTCTTTCTCATCGAGGACAACCTTGATGGTCTTGCTGCCATCTTCCTTGGTGCGGATACGCTTGCCAACAATCTCAACGGGGTAGACAATGTCGGACAGGATGGCGTCGTGGACGGCGGTCAGAGTGCGGGAACGAGGACGCTTCTGGGTAAGAGTGTTGCGAGAGCGAGCAGAGCGCTTGGGGCGGGGGAGGATACGGCGAGAGGCGATGATGATGACATGGCGGTCGGAGAATTTCTTCTCGAGCTCACGGGTCAATCTGGGAGATGTTAGTTGGCTGCCCGGAAATGTTGTGATATATGTAGTGTTGCGTCTCAGGCATACCGCTGCTGGATCTTGTGGAAGCCCTGGAGGAGAGGGACAGGAACGAAGATGGCAATAGCCTTCTTGCCGTGGCCGACCTCAATCTGTAGAAACATTGCGTTAGTGAATCGGTTTCAAATGTTGCTTTGTCCACAAATTCCAATTTCAAATAAGCCAGTCTCCTTGATTTGAAAGTACAGTCATCCTGTCTCTTTCCAGCCCGGTCTCGCAAATTTATAGCGGTAACCCATAATGCGACATCGAAAACTCTTCTTCTCTGAATCAAAGATGGACGCGACATTGAAATACACTGTGGACAGTAGAAAAACTCGTTGGAAAGTATTGATTCAGCATACCTCGCGAGCAGAGACGAACTGGAGAGGGCGCAGAGAGGCCTTCAAGTCCTGGGTGTTGCTCTCGAGGTCGAAAAGAGCATTAGCGAGGGAGGACTCCAACTCAGAAGGGCTCTGCCTCGAAGGAGAGTTGGCAGCAATCTTGTTGAGGGAAGCCATGATTGTGCGAACAGAGAGATGTGTCTTCTCTTCTCTTCTTCGATCTGAGATTGTCGTGGAGGTCGTTCGGTCGTTCGTTCGGTCGGCGGAGAAGATTGAATCGCATACAAACTTCGGGTCGCTCACACAAATGTGCGTTACCTTCCATCGACCAATCGCGTGTCGACGCTCTCGCTTAGGCGGTCCACTAATCAGTTTGCGGTTAGGCGTTTTCGTTCCGGGATTAGTGGATCCCGTGATCTGGCCCATATCAATATCCGACATCAACATCTTGTTTCCTATGGTAAATCAATCGTATTTCGTAGAAACTTTGATGTTATAATGCTTCTCACAGTTGGCTATGGACAGTATGGACGCAATGATGGTAGAAATAATAACAGCGAATAGTTGGAGAATATTAATCAGGACAAGTTTAACAGTCAGACGCCAGCCAAAAGACGCAAACAAAAACGAGTGGCAGGGGTAATAAAAATTTATTAAAAAAAAAAAGGCTCGTAGTATTGAGTAATCAACATGCGCAACTTTCCTTCGCTGTAGCAGCATTGCGATCACCAAGGTTCACCCGCGAATCCTCTCCCAACCGACCAGTACCAAGGGACGTCTGGCCGCCTCCGGGTCCGGACTTCGCGCCCTTCAAGCTCGTTTCTGGAATGGCATTGGCGATGGCTGTGAAAACATCTGCGACGTTAAAGCCTGTTTTGGCACTAGTCTCAAAGAACAGAAGGCCTTCCTCCTCCGCATAAGTGCTTGCTTCCCGGGTAGAGATCTTTCGTGCATCTGTCGTGGGAATATCGCTGTTCTCTGCATCATCATCTGCATCAGCATCTGGACCCGGGGCACCGTTATCCTCAGCATCAGTCGCTTCATCGCTTCCTTCGCCTGCTCCAGAGCTGGTCAAATCCAGCTTATTTCCGACAAGCGCAATAACGATTCCGGGGCTTGCTTGCCGTTGAAGTTCTGCTACCCAGTGTTTGGCTTTTACCAGCGAAGCCGGCTTGGTCAGATCGTAGACAACCAGCGCAGCCTGCGCATTTCGGTAGTACATGGGAGCAAGAGAAGCAAATCGTTCTTGGCCGGCGGTATCCCATATTTCAAACTTGATCATTCGTGTTGGAAGCGAGCATTTTTGTGTCAAAAAAGCGGCTAACCAAGTTTAAATCCTGGTCAGCACGCTAGCACAGGTGTTTTGGCCGTGGAGCAGTTATAAAGTTACATACCACCTATTGTCGGCTCTTTGTTCTCTTGGAAGTCATTATTCACGAATCTCAGGACTAGCGACGACTATCGTATATCGGTTATTAGTATCGCCATACAGCCCATTACAGGATATGAGTATGAAGCAGAAATTCGAGCATCATCCGCACCTTCCCGACTGCAGCTTCTCCGAGCAACACCAGCTTGACGCTGCTGCTCGGCTTCGATCCAGCTGGGGCAGCTTCAGGCATTGTTTTCGCCGACGTATATTATAGGGAGTATTAGATGCCTGCGAAGAGAAATAAGATGAGGTTCGATCTTGAATGTGACCGGGTACAAAGAGGGTGCTGTGCGGTGGGACGAATCCGTTGGAATATTGAGCTGCATGCGCATGTAGTCGCGGCAGATGACGAAGAAGATGCAGGCAGCTGGATTAAAAGACGGATGGCTTACTCGACTTAACACGGCGGTCTTCAAATATAAACCTTGCAGCTCACAAATATAAAGCTCAGGTAGGCGTGGCAAGATGAATAAATTGGAGATGAGAGTATGGAAATTGACCTTCCCAACGATGACGAAGGAGCAATCGCCGACGTCCGGTTGAGCTTCAGAATCACGGGAAGTTTTGCGCTAGAGCAAAATTGGATTAGCGCATGCCACAGGGCTACTAACTTCTAGAAGTTTAGTGTGCGTTTATACATTGACCAATTGAATTAAGTTATTAGACTTGGAGGTATGAAGGCCACAGCAAGTGATCCTAGCCCGACCCAATCCAAGAGGAAAAGCAATAAATACGCAGGTCAGAAGTTTATGTTTAGAAGAAAATAAGATATTGCTCCTTTGTTTATTGGCTAAGGAACTGCTATTCAACGAGTATCAAGGGGCACCTTTTGCTCTTCGGGTAGTCTTTCTCGTACGCCACGTCGCCTTTACTCAATTGTCTCTTAATAGTTGACATATACCGACATAGCATAACTAGGTACACTTCTATATCTTCTATGTATAGAGTGCTTGGGTAGGTTCAGCGCCTTGTCTTCATGCGGAGGCACTGCACTGAATGAGGGTACAGTGTCACTTGTTTGGTGCGCCACCAGGAGAACCGCCTCCTTCAGAAGAGCTGTCGGTGTTCTCGTGGCCACCGTCGGCCTCAATATATGCGGCAATACTGTAGTACGAGTTATCGGTGTAGTCCGCAGTAGCATTGATACCGATTTGAATCCAGGCAAACAGACCATCGTCAAGGTCCCCGCCGAGGTAGATGTACTCTGGAAATGGGTCGTAGGCGCTGTCAGCCTGAACCACGCTCCACATATCATCTGCATTTGACGTGATACTCTGGGTGTTGGTGTTATAGGGGTAAGTGTCTTCTACCGCCGATCGCAGCACCTCGTTCCAGAAGAGCTGGCCAATGTGAGTCACACTGCCGGTGCCTATTTCGAGAGTCTGGTTGGAAAGAATTGTGGCATTCAGATGCGTCAATAAGTGGGTGTGCGTGGCACGTCCATCGTAATGGCCGGGGAAGATGGTTTCAAATTCCACGACACCATCATCGTCGGTCTGCTGGATACCCCGCAGGTATGTCGAGTCCCATCCGTCAGCAGCATAGTTCCCCGACTCCGAAATGCCACTGTTATAGTCAGGAACATGGCTTTACGGCACATAACGCCCCAGTCAGAGGAGTGACATACCTGTATACACCAGTGGCGTTGGCTTGCCAGATGTCCACCAGGGCACCCTGGACGGGACCGCAGGTGTTGATATCGATGTACTGCACCTCGAGAAAGACGTCGACTCCGTCGGAGTAGCTTGCTTCCTTGACATTCTGGCGCACCACTTCTCCCCAAACGTAATAGGGGCCATCAGTAACTGTTGGGGCCAGAATGCAGCTGGTGTTGGCCGAAAAAATGGTTGATTCAGGGGTGGCCGAGCTGTAGTCGAGGATGCCGGTCTCGTTGTGGTCAATAGCCTCCCACACCTCAAGAGCAGCCAAGTCACGGCGCCACTTTTGAGGACCTAGCATTTATGGGTGAGCGTCTAAACACGCAGGTTTGTGACGATAACTGATATCTTACTGGTATTGATCCCACGCTTATCGCGAAGCTGGTTCACAGTGCGAGAACGGCGGGCAACGCTCCGCGTATTCAATTCTCGAGCGAGCACGGAGCTTTCACAAGCGCCCAAGGAGCGTTTGGCGGCAGCAGCAATGGCCTCGCGAGCATCGATCTCGCGCTTTACGATATGCGAATCAACCTTCTCACCAGGGTGAGCAACAACGAGGCCAGTCAAGCATGCTGCGGCAACAGCCAGGGTCTTTGATAAGTGAATCATTGTGATATAAACTTGCAGGATCAATTTGGATGAATAGATATTTCAAATCATACACATGGTATTGGAGGAGGAGCCCGAATTTAAAGATCGACAGGTCCGGGCTATGTTACCATGATTCCTTCTTGTCCTTCGAACGCGTCATCCTGCAGATGTCCAGTGACGCATAACTATGTTTACGTGTGTGTCTTCTAAGTTCTGCCGCCTTTGAACATAGTAGTTGTCTCGCCGGAATTGAAGGAGTGAAGAAAAAGCTCGGCGATGCTTGGCGCCGCGTGTCGCCATATTTTCATGCCGCCACAGGGTCGCATACAACATAAACCCCAGTACTCGACCTGGCGAAAAATCATTTTGGAACTGAAGGATGCCTTTGTGGATAACTTTTGTGAGCCGTATCTTTCGGAAACACGTCAGCAGCGAGATCATTTTCTCGACCCGTGTCTCACATCTTCGCAAATATCTCCGTGATATAGCATTGCTTTGTGCCTGTATTAAGAGATATCCTTTCAAGGGACTTCTATGGGTTGCGATATGTCAATAAACAAGTAGCTTCCCTTCTTTCGAGGATAGGCTGAAGCGTGTCCCTTGTTTTGACTCCATACCTAGGTAAGTCAGGGCGTAAAGATAAATTTTGGCAGTTACTCAACCGGAAAAATCCAGTCACCACCATTACTTCTCCCGCTTAACCCAGCAGCTCCTTACAATTGAACTTAAGTGGGAGCGGGGAAAATTTCGGGGCCAGCTGCAAAGTAAGGTCCTTTTAGAAAAGCCCCCTAGTCATCAACGACCTTGGAACGACGCCACGGTTGTCTCGACACCAGCCATTGTCACATTCAACACCCCTAGAGATTATAGACACTATCTGCTGCTTGTGCCAGTCTCCGCCTGTTATTCGTGCAGTTGTCCTTGGCCATAACGTCGGTAATGGCTACTCAATAACGTGGCCATGCTGGGCATAGCCATGATTCTCACCATCACGACAACGTCTATCTATTTTCCTCCAATAAGACGGGCACAGTGGTGCAGATCACTTCAATTTTATAATTTTGAGCATGTATGCTGGTTGCGTAAGCGTAAAGTACGTGGCTTCTCATAGATAAAAGGGCCCAAGTGCGTCATAAATTAGCTAAGAACAATACAAGCCAGATCTCAGAGAAACCAAAATATAATAGCCAATAAGCAGAAAAAGAGATCAACCATTGGGTATTACGGTACTCCCTGTAGTTAAGTTTTTATCTGCATTAATCTGCAGTGCGTACCTAATAACTCGATTTTGCGGCTAGTAGCTCTATTATGCCTACTATCTCTGATTTCACTCCTAGTATACCCATTCTGCTCAGCTGCATAATAAGTTACTACATTATGCTGCTAGTAGTATCTTTGTAAATTATTAAACCTAGACAGCCGTCTCAAATTCGGGCGTTACAGTCAAATATGCTATTATAATAGCAATGCTCTCTGCCTTTTCCTTCTTCTACTATAAATAGATCTAATTGAGGTTGGATAGCCTGGGGAATAGATAAGAGACTTGTGACATAGCCTTTTGGGAAGTTATAGTTGAGCAGTGGCCACGGGCTTATAGGTTCACTGACGGCTAGGAAGTTGATTACTGTAGCAGTACGCCCTACAGACCATCTCGCATGTGGCTCTGCTTAATGCTTAGACGGACACTTATCTAGGGCTCCCTGCCATTTGACTTTCAGAACATGATTCCTAGTCAGCGGTGGGAGCTTGGAAGACTGCCTCTATCTACCCATCTGGGCTCCTTGGCTACCTAGGTAGGCCCAAGGTACCAGATATATAGGTGCAGCGGACACAAAACCAAATTGTAGTTATTGCCAGGAAAGTTTGACCATTCATTGATACGTAACTGTAGCGCTAATCAAATACCACTACTTACCGTGTCACGTTCCTAGATGCCATAATGCGAACGCTTTGACGAGCCAGAATATTGGCTTCCAGAATTAAATATTGACAGATTGGCTCCTCCGCTTGGTTTATTGTTCTAAAACTGTATGCAGCTAAAAGGTTCTCTGTCTTTGCATTTCAGTGTTGAATGGGGTTAAAAATTGCCTAATTCGGCGGTGATCCAGGAAGGATAGGTAGAGTGACGGCCTATCCATACGACCACCCAGATGGACGGCATATTGTAAGAATTGCATCAATATAGAAGAAAATGAGGGGTCGATTTTCAAAATCCGAGTATTAGCCCTGTATGGTGAGAAATTAGTGTGATATCATCGCAGATATCTTCGATATGATTGGTCAGTCTAAGGTATGGAAGCAATAAGATGATTGGCGGGTTCTCTCTGTCTTCTATATCTGGTTAGACCAGGTCCAATCGCACGACGTGAAAGATCTCACATTTTTGATCCCAATCCATTCACCACGAAGTTGAACAAAATTGAAATTATTAGACACTTGCAACAGTGCATGGTAATCATGATCGCAATGATTCCTCCTCGACAAAAGCTCAAGCCCAAGACGAAAAGTGGGTGCATAACCTGTAGGTTATGTAGTATAGTCAAAACATTAGACACTATGATATTAGGATCTGTTTTTGACCACGTTTCAGGATTCGGAAGATCAAATGTGACGAAGAAAGGCCAAAATGTCGTCGATGCGTATCAACTGGACGCACCTGCGATGGCTGGAAACATTATTTCGGCCATAACAACATCTAGAACCAAATAAGACACACGCAATGAAACAAGCATATATCATATATCAACGGAGGCAGACGTTAGCCTCATTTTTGAGGCATGCCTTTTACCACCTCTGAGGTCATGGAGCTCTGTCATGGTCTCTCCACAAAGCCACCGTCTGGTGGAGGGATTGGGTTCGAAGCAGAGGCCCTGTCGATCCTTCATTGTAGCAAGTGTTCAGATCTGATTCGTCAGGCACTAGTCTGTATTCGGGTGTTCTGGGCATTGCTGATAAAATATGGGAATATCTCGAATCTGAAAAGCGGCAACTTGGCTGGCTGGTGGAAAAGCGTGACAAACTACACTACGGCTGTAGGCAGTTTGACTAAGCTGCTAGCTTCAACAGATCCCTACACTCCTGAGGTGGCCTTGTATTGAGTATAGATATCATGCAGCAGGGATTTGGCTCGTGTATCAGGTCAGGCATTTCGTGTATGGATTAAGGATCTTGACCTCGTGCCGCATGCGACCGGAATTTGACAGCGAAGGAGCGCCAATCATATCACCGACGCATCGTGGACTTCCGGCGCTGGATATCTTTGTAATCAAGCTGTTCACTGCTCCGTGTCCCTACGAAGAGCTCTTCATTCATGAACTTAGTCTCGACGAGTCCGCAGAGCATGAACCTCGAAAACTTTCTATATTTACGACATACTAGCGTAAGCTGCTATCAATAGCGACGGAAACGATAGATCTTCTAAACGAAGTTTCTTCGCTCACCTTTATACATGAGGCGCTGATACTCCACAATAAGAAAGAAGAGCTTCTGAATCGATTAGACGAAGCAGAGCTCTCTTCGAAGAAGGATTTCATGGGTGAGAATGCACCCACACTATTATGGAGGAAGATAGGCTTTATATATTCACTATACTCTTCCTCGATAAAAATTGTTCTGCGATCTTCCCTAGGATCAATGAATGGGGTTACTTTGGAGCAGGACTTTGATCGGTTGATAGCAATTGCAGAGTTGCTGGAAGTTACAACTAGATCTTACCATCCTTGAATTTCTGTGTGACACTCTGACAGAGCTATAGTAGGAAGTAAGAGCGAGTCTTGAAATTAGCGTTGTGCATCTTCTTTCGATTATTGCTTACAAATGAATGGCAAGAATTAATAAATCTAGAACAGGAATGATTGCCTGTTATAGTATATTTGTTGTTAGGGCATGGCCCAGCGTTCCTTGGATCATGAATATCCGCCATATTCCCAACAGATCCCAATATGTCGAAACTCATCACCATCTTTGGCGCTACAGTAGTACAGGGGCGGCTCCGTGATTCGCGCCATCCAAGCCCACCCCAGAATCTCTCAAGGCTTCAAGATCCGGGGCGTAACTCGCAATGTCGAGGGCCCGGTGACCAAGGAGCTAGAATCCCGGTGGGTCGAATGGTTAATGTAAATCACACACACATATGAATATATACGTATACTACTGTCATCTACTGATAAGTATCAAGACAGACCTAGACAATCTCCCCTCCATCCACCAGGCCATCCACAACACGCACACTGTCTTCTAGCTTCGAAGCAACCTTCTCATACGCGGCCGAGCTTCAACAGGGCAAAAATTGTCGCCGGCGCATGCAAGGAAACCGGTATTCAGCATCTCATCATCTCCTCTCTGGTTGACATCTCCAGGGCTAGCGAGGGCAGATTTACAAAAATGTTCCATTTTAATAGCAAGGCTCATATAGAAGAGCATATTCGGGGATTGGTATTCCTGCTACATTCGTGCTTGCAGGTTCGTATATGCAGAATCAGTCTCATCTGATAGGGAACATGGAAGATGGTGGACTTGAGTATGGAGTGTGGGCGGGAAGAGAAATTAGGGCTTGCGGCATCCGAATAAAGAGAGCCTGTCAGATTAGGCAACCTGTCTAGAAATAGATAAAGAAAGCAAAGTCCCCTTTGATCTTCTTGTCTTGATTATTTTCTGTTTCTAGCGTCAAAAGAGATCATCGACTAGGTTTTATCTAAATATGGAAATAATTCTGACAATGACAGTAGAACAAACATTAATGCTCAAGTCGAAATATTAGGTTCTAACTAGACAATAGTAATAGTAGTAATAGTAATAAGCAACAGTTCTAAAACAAGTAGTTCTAAGAGTCCAGCTCAATGCACGAAAATAGAAAAGAAACAAAAAATCCCAAACAAGTCGTAATACATGCATATCCCGCTGAAAATCCTCCATAAATAAAACCAGAAATCAAAAAAGAAAAATAAAGCAATGTCGGTTCAATGAAACAGGAGTTCATCCTGTCTCATAGCTCTCCCAATGCTTTGTTCGGATAGTATTGTACATGAGTATCTCGATTTGAAAACCAAAAAGTTGAATGGAAAAAAAGGTTGTGACCGCGAAGTCAAAGTGTTCTAGATCGCTTGTGAGGTATCTCGCAAAAAGAAATTAAGAAGAAAAAATGTTGTTGTCCCATGATCGAAGTATGCCAAAAGCCCTATTTCCCCTGTCTAAAATTGAACGCCGTAGATGGATCAAATGTCGAAAACTGATGAACCAAAAAACTTTTGTGGCAGATAAATCCGAAATATAATAACAAAATGAGCCGAAATCGAATATTGGTACAGAAATTAAATGTCGATAAGGTTGGTGAGAATGGAGCCGGTCCGGGGAAGTGTCTGGAGAATAGACACGTTGGAGAAGGAAAGAAAAGGAAAGATCTAGACGAATGTTAGGGGTTGATTCCATCGATTCTTTCGAGGCAAGGAGAAAACACACGGGAATAGACACTCATATCGCAGTCGTCCGCCTTAGTCTTGTAGTAGGTAGTAGGTATTAAATGTCGGGTTCGGTGTCATGTTGTAATAAACCAAAGGCGTGTCAAGTGGCGTGCGCATTTGACTATGCACGCTTGGGAGGTGGTTTGGGAGCACCGGGTTTCTTCACACCGGTAGTGTCGTAGGCGCCACGGCCCATGTTGGTTGCAGAGAGGTCCCGGACAATCATGATGATGGACTTTGGTTGAAGACGGTCAGCCAGAAGTTTGAGAGAAGACAATTGAGAGTGTGGTGTTGAGAGATGTTGAGATGTGGTGGAATATGTAGATGATGCCGATGAGAAAATAGAATGATCAGGAGAGCGAACAGGTGATATTTATGTCCATCAGGACGTCACAGTGACTCACCTAATGTGACAGGAGATATCGGAAGCGACAATCACTGTCAAAAGACAGCAATGATTGCAACGAGCAATAAAAAAAACAAAGTCCAAAGAAAGGTGCAAAGCAACGTAGCTAACAAACAAGCCAGCAAACAAGGCGTTTGGTGGAACACGGCAAGGTTACCGACAGACAGGAAGCAGATCCTGGATAGATGCCGACGGGGAAATGTTTCAAAAACCCCCTTTAGATGAGGAAAAAAAAATAAAGGAAAAGAAACGAAAGATCTCGGACAGGGCGATCTTTTTCAAGCTGGTCCCGTCAACTCGGGTGGCACCCACCAAGACCTAAGGAGCTCAGGCAGGAATGTTACGCCAACCAGTGAAGTAATAACGTAGGCTGTTGATGTGGACCCAGGGGTGCTTGTCCGTTGTCAGCCAGCCTGAGTTTATTTTTTTATTTTCTTTTTCCCTGTCTCTCTCAGATCTAGCCACACAATAATGCAAACCGGTGGCTTCTGCTGGGTTTGCGTATCAGATGTATGTGGGTAGCAGGGTTATTCCTGGGAGACCGCTTTATTTTATTTTTATTGTGTCTCGGCACCAACGCAGGCCAAGAGAAGCAAAAAAAAAAGAAAGAAAATAAAGCGTTATCATGCAGTGTACCCAAGAGATCGGAAGGCAAGGAGGTGTGACGCGGAGCGCGGAAGAACGAGCCGCTGGGACGGATTTGATAGGTATATCGCAAGGGAGGCAAGCAACAAGGAGGCGGTCAGGTATGAGCGTTGGCGTATGTATGTATGTAAGTCTGGAAGTAGTAGGCAGTAGACAGGTCGGTCTGCTGGTCTGGTCTGTTTGCTGTAGGAGGCAGGATAGGCGGTTCAGATTAAGATGATGATGATGTACGTCGCAGGTAGTTGGGATTGGGATTTATGCAGATAAAAATGTATCAGACGATGTCAAACAGGAGAGCGTGGGAAGTGACGGCAAATGAATGGCAGTCATAGTAACCGGGCAAAAAAAGATATAAATAAATCAGAAAAAAAAAAAAAAAATCAACCAGAGCAGTCACACAAATTAATACGTAAATGAAGGGGGAAAGGGGAAACTATTCCAATACGCATCGAATGATAAATTTCCGGGGCTTTTCTTGCCTAACAAACTAAGAAATATTATGCCTTGACTAAACTAGTTAGGTTAAGCCCAGCCCCTGCCTGACTATGCCCAAAGGAGGAAAGAATTAAATTCAATGAGCTTGTTGGGCTGGCCTGTTTGGGCTAGTGCATTGTTTTGTTTGTGGATCTGGATCATGTTGATGCTCTGCGTCAGTGCCGGATTTGAGTATGTGTAAGAATGACTGGAATAGACGGTTTCCTCCGTGCTCTGTACATAGTCTAGAATGCAGAATATACCTAAGACATCGCAATGCCAATAATACAGAGTATGCATAATAATGTTATGATAATAATGGGCATGCCCAAACCGGACTAGCCGCGGCCACCCCTGACTTCCGGGAGCGCTAGGCCCAGTGTGGCTAGCACTGTTATTTATGGCTATTACGTCGTTCTTTCAAGCCAAATACCGACGAACTTGATTTTTCTCTCTCTGTGTTTATATTTCATATTTATTTCATAATTCCATTTCTATACTGCTATATTTGTAGCATATTGCTATGTCTATTAAGACCTCCTACATGCGACAAATGATAGCTTGGCTATTCCGTTCTAATTATCTACGGAGTGCGTATCTAGGTACCTATTCGGTGGCTAATCCCTGTCATGTTTCTTGTTTTTTCCTTCCTTTTCTTCTATGTATCATCCCCTTCGTATCCCGGTATTCCTTTTTTTTTTTTTTTTCTTTTTCTTTCTCTATCGGCGCATTTGCTGCTCATCGATCGCTATCTAACCCAGTATCTCTCGTATGTATTGATAAGCACCCGTGTAACTACTAACCGCCGTCCTGGATGGCAGGATGCAGGCATCCTGCATCCTGCAGCCCTATTGGAGTGGTACCTCTGGCTTTCCCTCCTCTGAGGCCCTCTAACTGCGTAGTAAGCCAGCTATCTCGTACGGAAATATCGGCGTCCTCAAACCAGGTCTTCCTACACACCATCTGGCATTTACGGAGTACATAAACACAGAGTCAGGGCCATCCCTAATCCTTAATGGCCGCGCGTGGGACGGAGAAGGTCTTCCGGCGCGCCCCAGTGGAGCGCTATTTGGTTTAGTCTTGTTAGCCCGTCTCCATCCTCCGTATCTGGTGGTTTCACCATGGTTATTGCCGCGGTACTACCCGATACGTACTGAAGGCTTTTTTCCTTTTTTTTTTTTTTTTTTTCCCTTGTATCCGCTTCCTCCTGTGAATCCATTCCGTTGGGGCGTTCCGTCTTGTTCTAGCTGACTTCTAGCGCGTTCTTTTCCTGTTTCTTTCGTCTTCTTCCAGCCGTGGATGGATCCATCCATTCCCTCGGAACACTGCTGCCTCAAGTTCACCCGCGAGGAAAATCGAAGTTTGGCTTGTCATTGCACAAACATCAACAAGTAGTGATAATATAGTTATGGTTACAGTTACACAGTCAACGTTGTGACTTGCACGTGCTGTGTGCTACTACTGTCCTGCGTGGCCGGGAAGAGTTATGCCGAACACGAAGATCCGTACCCATGGAAGAGGACGTCGCCACCTAAGTTTCATGGAGTCAGCGTGAAGAATTGAGCTGCAACGGCTGTGGATTGTGGTCTAGATCCTTCGCTGAAATAAAACTCTTAATACAATACAAGCGCTTACTCTGAGTGCTTACCAGGTTACTTGTACTGTAGTAAATTCCGGCAGCCATATTATTACAGCATAATTACGGCTATATCTACTATATTCGTATATATTATGTATTATCACAAAATATATTTATATTAATTCATGCGGCTGGCTGCAAGGCGATAGACCTCCGTACGGAGCCAATTCAGATTCATCAGCAGACCCAAAAGCATAAAAAAGGGCGACAAGTGGAGCACGGGGAAGAGAAGCCGTCGCCGGCGCAAGAAGTGATGCGTTCCAAATGGCAAATAGTTAGTTACTATACTACGTACAAACAAAATACGCTGCAAATAGAATAATCCCAGCATCCCGGTTCCTATGGATCTTGTCCCGTGTACCCACCAGCAGGAAACCTCCTCGCGTACCTGCATCAGCCACATCAAGACCCGCCTGTACCAAAAGTTGCCAGCTCAATTTGCTGATGGAAGTTGTATGTAGCACTCCGTGGCTGCATATGCAAGGCCGGTCTAGGCCGCCTTGCTGCCCCTGCGATCTGTCGTTTGGAAACCATCTCCGTAGTCGATTTGATATGTCATTTCTGAGTCTCAGTTGCGTGCAAGTTAGGGCAATGCAAAGCCCTAACCGATCGCTAAGCAAATTCCGAAAGAAGCAAAAATGAAACTACCCACCACCTACGTAAGCGTGAAGTCTTCTCCTTGCTCGATTATATTAACATAAGAATATCACGGAGAAGAACGGCGTGTGCATTCACAGAGCATCCCGAGAGAGCGGTCGTGATGCTCCGTAACCTGGCCACCGCGCAGCACCGACAACTCTAAAGACTAGGGTGAAGGCCTCATAGTCATACGTATACCAAGTTCCCAACTAACTGGAACTAGTAGCTCGCTCTCTACGGAGCTCTACTACTAGTAGCAGGACTAGGAGGAAGTACATTCCCGTTCCGGCAAGGCGAGTGGGCAAGCATCGCGGCGCGATCCGAGGCGGAAGACGGAACGCCCTCTAAAAGTTAATAGTGCGTCCCTAGGCGTACCTTGGGTGCGTAGGTCTTCTCCTCCATAACGCTAGATAGAGTATGCTACAAACTGGGCGAGCCGCTCGGCTGGGTCTTGAATTGTGGGCTTCTCTATTATTATTATTGAGGGAGAGAAGGCTGGAAACTCGTGCGGATGGAGATCGAGAGTCTAGACCTCGGATAGTAATTTTATATCGATACTATTAAGTATTAACATTCAAAAATTGGCATTCCCATTCAGGGCGAGTCAAGTAAACGAGTCACCTCCATCAAAAGAGATTGATTCGACGGGTAGAGATCGCGCCGTCGATCATCAAGAACATCCCGCGTTGACTCGTGGATCAATGAATAACTAGTTAGTTAACTGCGACAGAATGACAAAGAGTCTTTGTATGTGTAGTAGAAGTTTGGCGAATGTCGTAGTCCTGGAGAATATTACATATTTCTTTTCTTTTTATTTTCTCTTTCACTTCTCTTCGGGTTGCATATCGACGATATCTTGTGCGCCTTATCAGCGAAAAATATTCCAAAGTAACCCCCCCTCATCAAATACTACATTCGCTGTCAGCGCCAGTCATTCCCGCGTATAGCGCTGAAGCCTGAAGCCCTCCAAGTGCCTAACCGGGCCAGCCGCGGATATCCCCCTCGTTTTGCCTGACGTTTTACGTACGAAGTAACTATCCGGAGATACTAATGGAGGTACAGAGTACAAAAGATATGAATGGGTCTTCGTGTTGTTGAGTAGATGGGGGCCCAAGTTGTTTTTCTTCAACGAAGAGGTTTCATTCTTCGGTGAACCATGAGACAATCGGCGGATAAATAATCGTGCTACGTCTACGTAATGATGCATGATGCCCGATCTGGTGCCGGATCAAGTATCAACTGACGTGAAAGAATCTGGGTCCGCGTTACACTGATTTGTAGGTGCCTGGGCCAATGATACCCTGCAAGTATATCTGGAAAGCCCTATAGGCTGGTGATGAAACAACTGAATTCTTTCCACATTGCAGCGGTATAATTTTCACAGATTCATTTCAATCGTGTGGTATGCCATCTCAAACTGTAGGTTATTGTATCGTCAGCAATCGTCATCGTGTCAAGCTGAGATTTGCTTACCTGTTCATCTGTCTGACATATCAGAGTTCGTGGTCCCTTGTCCGACGTGGAGATATCAGTCACTGGCTCGTCGTTCTTCGCCCCCTGGCTGTTCTTTTCCGAGTCCGCGTCAAATCCAAGGCAATTACACTGTCGAGTCACTGCCTGTCGTAGCAAACTACTCTTCTCACCGATTCCGCCCGCAAACACCACTGCATCCAGCTGACCTTGCAGCTTGACAAAGTAATTGCCTATGAATCCCGATATCCTATCAACGACAATATCAAAAGCAAGCTTATGATTTGCCGTGGGTGGGTTTTCAACTGCTATCTGCGCAAAGTCCGTCGTGCCAGTGAGACCTTTCCAGCCTGACTTCTTGTTCAGAATCTCTTCTGCCTGTCCGTTGTTAACCAAACGTTCTGCTTGAAGGGCAGGAGACTCACTGTGCTGATGTGCATTTCTTTCGTGCTTGCTGGACTTAGGCCGCTAGCATCGTTCGTATAGTGAAATACCAGACTAGACAGCTCTTAGATAGGTGTTCTCTAGGTTTGAGGTTGAAAGTAGTATATACCTTGGATCAATGTCACCACTTCGAGTCGCACCGGGAAGTCCTGCCAAAGGCGTTAACCCCATCCTGTAAAGGCTTCAGTTAGCAACCCCTCGTAACTTCACCATTAGAACTGCGGTTATCCTTACGAAGTATCTATGGATTTGCCGTTCTTAATAGCACAAATCGAGGCCCCGCTTCCTATATGCATAACAATGAGATTTGTATCTTCCTTCGGTTTACCCAGAAACTCTGCCACTGATCGAAGGATAAATGCGTAGCTGATTCCATGAAAGCCATATTTACGCAGCTTGTTCTTCTTCGCCACCTCCTGGTCGATCGGGTATGTGCGAACGTGCTCTGGCAGACTTCGATGGAACGCTGAGTCAAAGTGCGCGATATTTCTGACATTTGGAAGTTCCTTTCGACATGAGCGAATTATCTCCAATGCTGAAAAATTATGCCTGTACCACATATGGATTCATTAGCCAGATACCCCGGGAAAAGTCACGAAGAATATTTGCCTACAGCGGGGCCAGGTCCTCGATTTCCTCCAAATGGTGGTAGGTGGAGTCATTTATTTCAATGGCATCTGTATAGTCTCCACCGTGCACTACTCGATGGCAGATGTACGCAAGATCCTGTACATTGGCGACCTCCGAGATTTCTGCATCGGAAAGACACCGGTCCAGCAAGTACTTGAACGCTTTGGGCGGGGTGTCGAGATTCTCGCTCACTTTCTCTTTCTTGTCGCCCGAACTCTTGCTATATTTGAGGCTTTGTGGCGGCGATGTAATCCCCGACAATTGCGCGTCTACAATGGGGGACGGCGGATTCGCCAGCTCGTAAAAGGTGATTTTGACGGAGGACGAGCCTGCATTGACGGAAAGGATGGTTTTTGCCATTTTGTGCGTGCTGTCACAGTAGCAAAAAGAGTCAATTAGAGGGCTTTGTTGCAGAATATATAGGTATTCAACAACCGGTTGAGCGTGCGTTGGTCGTTGGTGTTGCATGTTTACCACGCGCCGACGAAATGATGACGTCGGTGTGGCCTAGCAAGGCAAGTGCGCATTTTGACATCACAACAGCTGCTGCACTCCTTTTAATCCTTGCCGCTACTTCCTCTCTCTGTCCTCTCTCTCAATGCTCTTAACACGACTTCTAAGAGGTGTTTTCGACCACATCATACGACTGTAACATGCCTGGCGAAGTTATCGACCGACCGAATCCGGAGCCACTGCCATCCAACCTCCCCAAGGAATTGGACGATTTTGCAGTGAAGCTGGAGAGCATCGTTCTCGACCAGAAGGACTACAATGATCTCATTAAGTTTCGCCGGGCGGCATGCTACATCGCTGCTGGTGGGTTCGACTACTATCCTGCAATACGATCGCAATTGCTGACATCCATGCCAGCTATGATATTCTTACAAGACAATGTGTATCTAAAAAGAGAGATCAAACCGGAAGATATCAAACCTCGATTGCTAGGTAAGTCTCCAACTCGCTCCTAAGTAAGTTGCAGGCCGCTGATGAACGTCTCTCAGGCCATTGGGGCACATGCCCAGGCTTAGTCCTCGTGTACTCCCACTTAAACTATCTTATATCAAAATATGATTATGATATGCTATATGTAGTGGGCCCTGGTCACGGGGCACCTGGAATCCTGGCCTCGGTCTGGCTGGAAGGCTCGCTTGAGAAGTTTTTCCCTGAGTATTCGCGCGATACCAAGGGACTTGCCCGGCTTATTTCGACCTTCAGCACCACTGCAGGCCTCCCAAGGTATCTATTCTATTACTTTCAAATGTTGGCGCTATATTTTATGCTAATGTAATCTAGTCACATCAATGCAGAGACTCCAGGAGCAATCCATGAAGGAGGTGAACTCGGCTATGCCTTAGCCGTTTCGTTTGGTGCGGTCATGGATAATCCAGACCTTATTGTGACATGTGTCGTCGGAGATGGAGAGGCAGAAAGCGGCCCAACAGCCACGTAAGATTGACCAGTGATTAGCCGCTTAACTGCTTCAGAATTAATTTTCTTCTCTTTACACAGGAGCTGGCACGCTGCCAAATACATTGACCCGAAAGAATCCGGCGCAGTCTTGCCAATAGTGCATCTTAATGGGTTCAAAATCAGCGAAAGAACGGTTTACGGATGCATGGACAATCGAGAGCTAACAGCATTGTTCTTGGGATACGGTTACCAACCACGTTTCGTTGAAGACCTGAACGATATCGACACGGACATGCATACGTCAATGGTCTGGGCTGTAGGAGAAATTCACCGTATTCAAAAGGCAGCCCGTGAAGGAAAGCCCTTGAGTAAGCCCAGGTGGCCCGTGTTAATATTACGAACACCTAAGGTATGAACTTCTGCGCTTAGAGACTCATGGCCTTGGTTGACGTAGTTATATAGGGATGGACCGGACCAAAAAAGATACACGGGAACTTCATCGAAGGTTCTTTTCATTCACACCAAGTTCCTCTACCAAAAGCAAAGAAAGACAAAGAAGAACTGCAAGCTCTTCAGGAGTGGCTCATGTCCTATGGCCCTCAAGATCTTTTTAACGATCAAGGCGGCCCAATCAATGACATACTCTCGATTATACCAAAGCAAGATAGCAAAAAGCTCGGGCAGCGTATTGAAACATACGGTAACTATCACCCTCTTGATATGCCAAACTGGAAACACTTTGGAGTTTCAAGAGGATCCTACGAGAGTTCGATGAAGATCATCGGAAAGTTTATTGACCAGGTTTTCACGAAGAACCCACATACAGCAAGACTCTTTAGTCCCGACGAGCTAGAAAGCAACAAGTTGGATGCTGCTTTGGCAAACACTGGTCGAAATTTCCAATGGGATCAATATTCACGCAACCAGGGCGGCCGTGTCATTGAAGTTCTAAGCGAGCACATGTGTCAAGGTTTCATGCAGGGCTACACTTTAACTGGTCGAACCGGTATCTTTCCAACTTACGAAAGTTTTCTTGGTATTGTACATACAATGATGGTGCAGTACAGCAAGTTCAACAAAATGGTAGGTACAAATTGATATTTCCGCTCAACGCGTGCTGACCAAGAACCAAAGGCGCGGGAAACAAAATGGCATTCTGATATTGCTAGTATCAATTATATTGAGACTAGCACCTGGACTCGGCAGGAACACAATGGGTTTTCACATCAGAATCCCTCTTTCATCGGTGCCGTACTCAAACTCAAGCCTTACGCTGCTAGAGTCTACCTGCCACCAGATGTCAACACCTTCTTGTCTACGCTTGATCACTGTCTCCGATCCAAGAACTACGTGAATCTTATGGTAGGCTCAAAACAGCCTACACCTGTGTACCTTAGCCCTGAGGAAGCAGCGAACCATTGTCGCGCGGGTGCCTCTATCTGGAAATTTTGCAGTACAGAAGAAGGCTTAAACCCGGATGTCGTACTAGTCGGCATCGGCAATGAACTTACGTTCGAGGTTATATACGCGGCATCGATTCTTCGAAAACGAGTCCCAGAATTGAGAGTGCGTGTCATAAACGTAACGGACCTTATGATCTTAGAGAATGAGGGCTCACACCCACATGCTTTGTCCAATGACGGATTTGATGCGCTCTTCACACCAGACCTTCCAGTCCATATCAACTACCATGGCTACAACACTGAGATACAGGGCCTGCTGTTTGGTCGCCCCAATCTTGACCGAGTAAGCATTGCCGGATATATTGAAGAAGGGAGCACCACTACGCCATTCAACATGATGCTCGTCAACAAAGTCTCGCGATTCCATGTTGCGAAAGCCGCTATTCGAGGAGCATCAAAGCGGAATGAAAAGGTCCGCCTGAGATGCCAGGAGCTGTTGACTGAGTTGGATACGAATATCTCGGAAACTGAGAAATATATTATTGACAATGGAAAGGGTGAGTTAAAGCATGGTACTACAGTAGCGTATCATTTCTTTGACTGACTGACGTATCCAGATCCCGATGACATGTATGAGATGCCAAAATTTAGCTGAAGTAGTGTGAAACGAACACACTCAATAGATAGGTTTCGTTGATACGTGCTCGACGCAATGTTCATAGCAAAGTCTAAATAGATTATTAATTCATACGCATGATTCTTACAAAAAAAGCGCTCTCTTGGCAAATGCATCCATTAGAACAAGAATTACCCAATTAGGAAAAAGGGCATCCACCTAAAAGAGCTTCGGAGATATCCTACCCACACCTAGAACCATCCAATACGCCAATTCACGCGTAACCTTCTGAGTATCCTCACTACTACCACTACCACTATTATTATTGTTGCCACCACTGGCCTTGTCACGCAAATGAGTTTTGTCACCGCCATCATCTTGGTCCATTTGATTTTCCGAGTCCCATTCCAAATGCACAAAGATCGGGATTTCAAGGACATCTTCATCCTCAGTTAGGGGACGAATGTCATCTTCTTTTTCTTTTTCTTCTTGCTGCTGTTGTTCTTTTTGTTGTGCTGCTAGCGGCGAAGGAAAACTAGTAGCCGGGTTTTTGGTGCCGGGTAGAACCTCAGGGACAACCTCAAGAACGATGGTGGTCCAGTTGCGACCTTTGTCCCATACTTTACCTGCTTCAGCGACCTTTTCGTAGCCTGGTACTATCGCTGCTCCGCCTGGACGTGCTGTTAGCGACGATGATGACGATGGTGCTGCTGCTATGGAAGATGAAGTTGGCGCCGCTGGCCCCGCTTGTAAAGCTTCATCCCATACGTCGCTGTTGGCGCCCAGGTCGAATTGTGGACAGAGAATAGTGACTTTAGACGCTATTCGCCCGGGGGTGACGGACGGTGTGGCGAGCGTTACTCGTACGGGGTCAAACATGTGGTTTTTCAGCGTGAGAAGATATTGAATAGGTCGAAGGGGTGGGAGTGCTTCTAGATTCGGCTGAAGCACGGATGTGGCAGAGACGGACTGTCCAGGTAGCGCAGCCGGCATAAGAGGTCGTAGAGTTGGAAGTGGGATGTAGCTGAGTGCGATCAGCCGAATTCTGAACCGCGTTGATGCCGGTTTGAACTCGGGTTTCACTAGAATATGTTTGCATGACTTGCAGCGCTTGGAGCGTTTTGTTCGCAGTAGCACGGGGAGAGGCCGGAGTTCCTCCATGAATCGTGCATCCGGGTCTTGGAATGATCGTTGCTCCTTGGAGAGCATGTCGTCCCATGTACAGTCATCGGACGCCATGCGATGGATAATAGATTGTTCTTTTGCATCGGAGGCTATTTTGAGTCCCTCAGCCGAGGTGAGGGCTTCTCGCATCACGGGAGGTTTTGACTTTGCTTTTTTCGCCCCGCTTCCATATAGATGAGATGACGACGTGTATATCGACATGATACGGCTCAGTGTGCTAGGCGAAGAGAATGCAGCCCCGAAATCTGACGCCAGTGGATCCGTGGCTGACACGGAGGTATCCTCAATTTGTTTGGTATAGAAACGCTTCAAAGCTGCAAATCGCGCGCTAGCGCCAAGTTCGACTTGACGATGATGACTACGTTTATGCTCTTGTGAGACTAGGTCTTCTTTCTCTTCATCATCTGCCGTCGCCGGGCTTTGTAGTTCATCATCATCGTCATCAAATCCAACGCCTTCAATAGAAAGCGATGACAATCTCAAGTCATTACTCATCCCAGAGCCTCCGTATCCTTTCTCTTCGTATATCCTGGAAAGTTGGGATCTAATGTTGGTTGGTTTGTTGAATTTGATGCCGATGTCTAAGGTCGTCCACATACAATACCCACATGCTAATATCCAGGGGCCTTGTTGTGTACTGTTTTCGACTGTGTTCTCCATGGCGGTTACTGCGAGGGGTGCAGTGCAGACAGGGCAATTGAAACAATTCCGGGCGCATCTAAAAAAGCAACAACTCTGTTATTCCATGCGTTTCCTAAACAGCTTTGCGATATGGGATATAACCCACCTATTCCCTTCACTTCGAACCATACTGCTCGGCGTTTCAAAGAGGCAGTTCGGACAGTACCAACACACTATCTCCTCTGTGATGCATTTCGGGCATTTAATCTGATGGCAGTCCTCACAATATAGGAGTTGTTCTGGTGGATACAGGGAGAAATTCGCACGGGGTGATCTCGGATTAAACGTCTGCTCGGCTTCGTCATCATCATCATCTTGTTCTTGTTCTTGTTCTTCAACACCGAAGTCGGAACCATCTTGCTGCTTTTGTACGTTTTGCGCAGTCTTACGCGGAGACGATTGTTTCCTCGGCGAGAACTCTCGAGATATTCGTTTCGGGAGGCCCGCCGGTCTGCTTTGCTGCGCACAAGGACATGATATATACGTGTATGGAAATGGACGAGACATATTGTGCAAGCTGTTGGAGAGTACGAATGCGCGGGGTCTATGTCATAGCATTATCAGTGATATTGCGTGCAACCCCTGAACCTGGCGAATGATTCGGAATTGCGAGAACGCGAGAGATGGCGGTTTTTGTGGGGGGGGGGAAGTGGTTGTATTTGAAAACAAGGTGTGTCGATTGGCAGATAATTCAAGCGATGCCTATTATCTTCGCAGAATTAACCTGGGTTTGGAGTTGAGATTGAAAGATCGAAGCTTTGTTGACGCGGGGCGGAGACTGCGAGCTTGGCGCTGCTCCGCCTAAGCTTGAATCGAAGCTTCCGCGGGTCATGTAGAGCTAGTACAGAAGCGGTATAGTATGAAGGAAACCAAGAAATCCAATGAAATTGATGATGATTATTCCCGACGACTTCTTTCCAGCACAAGCGCTAACTCACCTTTTAGTTCGATTGTTCTATGATGAATACGAGTGTTTCCAAAATCAATTGAATTGCAAAACCGCGAGGCGCCATGTCTGTGCCTTTCACTGTGAAAATAACAAAAGTACCAAGCCGCTGGCGGCCGTCACTCCAAACTCTTCGAATCCCTGCGCATACAAGGAATTATGCAGTTCAAGCGCCCGGAAGACCGACTCTAGAGGTCTTCAATAGAGCAGTCAAGCATATGCAGAAGGACCGCGCTGCTCGGAATGTGGAACAGAGCCGCCAGGTGGACTACATCAAGGATGAGGTAGCAAAGAGATTGTGTGAAAGATTACTGGTACGTACCGGATCTGCATTGATTCCATTGTATATATTCACTCGCTCACTTCTCCTATTGCTAAGGATATCAAAAGGTCTTTCCCAAATGCCCTCGACCTCGGCGCAAATAGTTGCAACATTGCCAGAGCTTTGACAGCTCCCAATCCCGACCCCGCGGTGGAAACATCTCCACCTCTATCAAACCGCATTGGTTCCCTCACATGCATCGAAACATCGCATGCATTATTACATCGTGATGCAGACCTTGGATTCAACGACCAAATGTCTATCCAGCGTGATGTAATCCCCGATCTAGAGTCGCTACCTTACCAGCCGAACACCTTCGACGCCGTTTTGTCGTCGCTCTCCATCCACTGGGTTAACGACCTCCCATCTCTCCTGGCGCAGATCAACGGCATACTCAAGCCTGATTGCCCCTTTATTGCAGCGATGTTTGGCGGCGATACTCTCTTCGAACTACGTTCGTCACTACAACTTGCAAACATGGAGCGCCGTGGAGGCGTAATCCCGCATATTTCACCGCTGGCCGATGTGAAGGATGTTGGGGGTCTATTGACAAAAGCCGGCTTCAAGATGCTGACCGTGGATGTTGAGGATATTGTTGTTGATTACCCAGATACGTTTGCCTTGATGGAGGATCTGCAGGCAATGGGTGAGAGCAATGCTACCGTGCAGCGAGGCCCGCTCTCGAAAGATGTACTGTTGGCAAATGAAGCTATCTACCGGGAGTTGCACAACGAGGAACATGGTGAGCCTGAGCACGGCCATGGTGGTATTCCAGCTACATTTAGGATCATCTTCATGATAGGGTGGAAGGAAGGAGCAGGACAGCGGCAGCCTTTGCAGAGAGGTAGCGGGGAAGTCAATCTTACGGATATCCTCGGTGGAGGCGATTTTGAACAAAAATAGAGGTAATAAGGGTATAACAACAGGTCTGCCGATATGAGTTGTGCTGGACCAAGAGGATCGATATCTTTCTGGCATTCAGGGCGATCCAAGAATCAATCCTCCAGGGCGGTTACAATATGAATGGTTAGCCGAAGGAAGCCCAACCACCTGTCACTGGAGGATCATACCTAGATATCAGAGAAGGATTTGCGATAGAATGGCTATTCGTAGCCATCCGAGGAAAGCGAGGGCAGCTCCGAGGGCCAGTCTTCTGATATGTACAATAGCACTTATTCTTCACTAAAGTACGGCGATAATGATCATAGACTATACATAACATCCAAGCTATTCAGGACTCTGGCGTTAAGTATTGTATGATTCTAGAGATATTAAAATTACAGGGTAGACAGTTACGAATTTACAATAACTAGCAGTCTTGTGCAATTAATGTGTATTTTTATTTTTGGACTGGACTTTTGAAATCAAAGAGCCCATCTAGATCTTTACATGACATTGCCGGGCCACATCAATCAAAAGCGCATTACTCTTCCATGCCACCAGGGCCACCCGACCTCCCCATCTGCCGAGCCTTCAACAACTCGTCGCAGAGCAGAAGGTTCGATGCGATACCAGTGCTGGAGGCAATGCAGTTTCGCAAGACACGGTAAGAGTCATAAACACCCTCCTGAACTGGGTCCATCACATCACCAGTGTTCAGGTCCAGGCCAGCAATATTGCCTTGCTTGCCTTCATCCCACATCGCGGCCAGAGAGTCCTGGACATCATGACCAGAGTTAGCAGCGAGGGTCTTGGGGATAACCAAGAGTGCATCAGCAAATGCCTCCACACCCCACTTAGCCTTGCCCTTAACAGTCTTGCCAAAGGCATCTGACTTAAGATGCTGGGCACAGGCGACTTGGAACGCGCCGGCGCCGGGGATAACGCAGCCGTCGACAATAGTGTTGTAGACGGAGCGCAGACCATCACGCACAGCATCCTTGACCTGAGCAATGGTGTGCTGGTTTGGGCCCTTGATAAGGATAGTCACGGACTTGGGGTCTTTGACCTCTTCGACAAAGGTATACTTCTCCTCGCCAAGCTGGTGCTCGTAGACCAGGCCAGCCCAACCCAGGACGTCAGGTGTCATATCGTCAACGCTGTTTTGGGCGACACCACCACACACTAGTTGCAGACGTTCCATATTTCTCCGCTTGGCTCTCCGCAGGGCCAAAATACCATTCTTGACGAGCACATCCAAACTGAGGGGATCAATACCCTTTTGGTTGATCACAACGAAGCCCTTCTTTGGATCATTACCGCAGACTTGTTTCTTAAGCTCCACAATCTTTGCCAACTTGGCATCAACAAATTTGCGCTCACTCTCGACCAGTTTGTCTCTCTGCTCGGCGCTAGAATAGTAGAAGCCAGAGTTAATCTCGGACTTTTCATACTCTAGACTGACGTTCAGGGTCAAAATAAAAGCATTCTCTACCCGTTTTGGCATATCAGGGTGACGAGCACCGTGATCCAGGGCCAAACCACGGATGAGTTGGGTGTCGGCTAATGTGCGGTGTTGCATGGTCATGATCTCAATCATGTGTAAGTCTGGCTTCTCGGGAGCTCGGTGAATGGCGAGAACGGCATCGACAATATCGGGAGTGAGCTTCTCAGCGAGCGCATGGTTAAGTTTTGTGGATAGAGAGGTGCGAGCGACGGAGAGGAGAAGTTCTCGGTCAATGGTCCGTTCGAGCTTGAACTTGTCAAGGAACTGCAAAAATTATATCAGACCAAACATCGTCAAATAATTCCATGCGTCTCAAATACCTTCAGTGCCTCGGTTTTCGAAGTCTCGTAACCATCGGTAATCACTCGGGGGTGCAATCCTTCCGAAATGTGACGATCTGCCTGCTTCAGGAGCTCTCCCACCAACAGCACGACCGATGTTGTCCCATCACCAGTAATATCATCTTGAGCCGTCGCGGCCCGGGCAATCATAACCTTTCAATCTAGTATCAGCACGGTTCGAGGATTGATCGAGGGTATGCTGTCTTACAGCCGTAGGATTTTGAATTTGCTGCAGAATTGTTAGCATCGCTATGGTACATAGAAATATTGAGCTTCAAAAAACGAACCATTTCCCGAAGTAGAACATTTCCATCCTTTGTCAACTTAATCTATAATACCGTCACAGCATTAGAGATCCTGTTCTAAACGCAAAAGGGACATACTGCATACTCCGCCTGCGCCATCCACCAGCCTAAGGTCTTGTCAGCTATATCGCGTCGATGTCGGAATCAGATAGAAACCGGCCACTCACATCTTCAAGGTTCCCGAGGGACCCAAATTCGACTTGAGAACATCTTGGAGGCCCTCGCCGGCGCTGATGTTGACCTTCAAGGCATCTCCTCGCCGCTAAGATGAAATGTTAGTGCGGACCATGGAGGGGTCAAGACTCGGCTGGCATTCCATACCCGGGACTCCGCCTTGGGATTAAGCAGCTGGGTTGCAGACATTTCTGCAATGTAAATAAATGACAGGAAGCTCAGCCTAAGAAAAAAGCAATACTGAGATCGGAGGGAGCTAGGAGCGACACACGAGTTTGGTTGCCCGCTTGATTGGTGAAGGCGGTGAAGACGAATTTTTGGCAAAAAGCCTCCTCTGTGTTTGCTGTTTGCACTGGCGGCGAAAAAGCAGCTCCCGCTGTATGTTGTTAGGGCTCGCCAGAATACGCTGTATGGTCTTTGACAGATCCCAAAACTAATGCAATTGTTCTGCGCTTCTCTGGGTTGGGAATCCTGCCGGGCTTGTTTATAGTATCGCTATGTAGGTAAATAGCCCCTCACCGCCAAGTGATGATAGAAGGCAACACATTTCAATAATCACAGAGTGTACTCAAACTTTTAGATACTGTGACAGGCGTCTGCTTAAAAAAACTAAATCAATTCTCTATGCACTGTGGTTCATTCAGACTGTCCGGCGATCGGTAAGAACTCGAATAATTGTACCATGCCCAGTCAACTCAACAAGCTTCTCGTGCCAACTTAACAACACACTCATCTGTTGGCCACCGCCTCCCTCGCCAAAGTTGCGTGCTTGCACCTGAGAAAACCCTGAGCCTGTAGCTTGCGGAGAAAGAGTCTTGCGAGAGGAAGGGGACTGGGAACCGCTAGTCGACGACTGTACGGCCATGCCTTTGTAGCTAGATTTCACCAGATCCCATTAGTTCAGAGCTCAATAACTCAATCGTAAATGGAGGAAGAGACAGCACATACATGTATTTCATCAGGCAATCCGCTCGTTCAGTGCCGCCCTCGCCGCTTATCACGCCCTCCAACACCTTGAGCATTTCACCCTGTCGAATACCCTGAAGAACATCAATGACGGTCGCCAAATGGACATCTTTTGCCTGTTGGTCGCCGCCTAACGGAGCCGTGTCAAGCACATGTTTAAGAGCGCCTTCCGGATCGCCGCTTCGAAGTAGTTGGCGCACTTGCTGCGCGACAGACGCTGCCGCGCCTGAGTTTGTGGGTTCTGGGAGGTTACCGGGCAGGAGCGTATCCATGGGGAAGTTGACAGATGACTCGGGATCGAGTACATCGATGTTGATGGTGCGATAGTTTATTTGAGCCATGTTGGGCAGGTTGTTTGTTTGTTTGTGTGGGAAATAGAGACGCTTCTTGAGATGCCGAATAGTATGGTATGATCTTAAACGGTTGGGGAGAGCTCTTCGGATCGAGTGCGCAAGCCTACAGGTGAATATAGAGTAGAATGTTTTCAATTGCTAGACAAGCTTAGCGATAGGCATCGATCGGTCTGACTGGGGGGGGCGCTGCGTAGGCACAATACATACACGAGAGCAGTGCCAGCGCACTGAAGTCGGCAATTTCTTGATCACTCTCAGAATTCCAATACTTACTGGACACGAAATGGTATGTCTGGGCGAGTATTTATCAAGAAAATGCAGTGGGAGTGACCAGAGTGAGCATTCGATGCGGAGATGATGTCGCAGGCGGCCGGCCATGGTGGAGACCGGAGACGTTGCCTAGCACAATGTTGCAGCCTGAGGCAGGAATCTAGAAGTTTGTTCCTTATCTCAACTGAACTGTACATAGTACAACAGTACAATTATGAACACTTATACGTAAATATGAGGTCTTCCTATTTTGAAGCCGTCTAATTTGGGGTTAATGCTTCGTAGCATAACCATGCAAGACTGCCTCCGAAAATCTAGTGACCCTTGAACACATGAAGAACATGTTAACCCTATATCAGTATACATGCATAATAAAATGAAATGGCGCCAATAACCATAGAGAAAACGGTGCATCAATCAGTTAATCCGCGGCCAGAATTGCTCCTCTAACCAAAGTACCTGCCTCCACCACCCAACACAACTTCCCCTGGTTTTCTCAATAACCTCTACCCCCTTCAAACTCCCAGCCACTTCATCTGTGACGTCTGCGAGTCTACTGACAAACTTCTCAAACTCAGGATTCGACCAGTTCGGGATAAACTTCCGACGTAATGCACCGCCATCCTGATCTCTTTCAGGACCCGTCGAGAAAGATGCCGGCGACGGCTGGGTTGTGCGGCATATTGATGAGGCCGCCATAACAGATGCGGCGTGCTTCCAGGCATGCAGATAGGCATACTCCGTTGCGAAGAGCACGGTTAGACCTTCCACCAACGTCACTCCGGGACTAGACGCTGACATGAACAGATCAATGTATGCGTGTGTAATAGGGTGAGGCTCGAAAAACCCTGCTCCTGCATGACTGTTCTCAAGTTGCTCCTGTGTCAATGCAGTGACATCAAGGCCGTATTCCATTGAAACCTCGTCAAAAAACTTCAGTTCCCGGTGGATATTGTTTAGGGATTCCAGTAGTATATCGAAGATATGTTGCTCTGTTGTTGCTGCGCGGCACTGTCGGCTATTGGGATTACAGGGCGGCAATACGACCTTGGTGAGCAGTGCGCCAATGAAGCGCACATATGCTTGTGCGTATAATCGGTCCTGTGCGAGCCATTGTGACAATCTCTCTTTTGGTATTTCCCCTTTCCCGGCTGCTTCTAGGAACGGGTGCTTGGTGGCCCTTTCGAAGGCAGCTGTGTTCGTCGCCTTGAGCAGGCTGGTAAGAGGCATGGAAGCCATGGTTGTGACAGGATTCGATTAATTGATTACAAAGATTGATTGCAATTGTCGAGACCAGTCAGTTTGTTGTATATGTGGAGACCGGTTCGGTGTAAGAACAAAACTATCACGAAGAGGGGAGTGGGGTTCTTGGCAAGAAGTATTTATTTGCTTTGAAAAAGCCGCATTTCTAGCCTTTGTTTCCTTTCCAAGCTAGGAATAAAAGAGTGAAAAGGGAAACTTAAGAGAGGCGGTAGAGCTCGTGTTATTGTATAGCCACCTGAGGCGCTTCTCTGTGATGACGTAAGTCCCAGAGCCTATGGACTTTCTATAATCGATAAGCAACGTTAACAGTTCAACCATAGTCATTCTTTCCATTGAAGTGCCTATTGTACATAGATCGTCGTTCCAATCCTTCCATATTTCTACTGGGCGGTCTGTTTCTTGACTCGCATTGGGACGATCCCTTTCGGGCATCCACCATCGATATCATCTGCAGTAAGCGGATGCTCACTATTCCAGCCGGTGACAAGTTCCCATATCTTACAATCATCGCGAACTTGCATTTCTCGCTCGGCATTCGCTTCGGCAACACGACGCTCGACTTCGGATTTCCAGGCTGTTTCATATGACGTAACAAACTCGCCGTTGATATCTGCTCTGATGGGTCTCGTGGCCCAATCCGCGTAGTCCCCAGCAAGGTCTTGTGGTATGTTATCCAGGGCCAGTCTAGCATTAATGATAATGCGTACCATAGCTTCGAGTGTGAACCGAGCATCATTGCCGGCATTATGAAGGTTCCATCCAATAATGTCCACACCATTAAGAACAGTTTCAAGAGAGCGAGTGTTTATATCACGCTTGAGAACCTGGAACATCGATGCCGTGTCTAACATGTCCAGGAATTGCGGTTTCTGATGTTGGCCTCGTGTATTGTTCCTTGAATATTGGGGAGACTGCTGGAACAGGTGGGAAGAGATGTTGTCAGAGAATATGTTGCAGCCGAGAATACCAAGATAGTGCATGTCCCCTTGCAAGCCATGACCGACAAGGATTATGTTGCGATTGCGAAGCTTATACTCCCGAATTGTCGTTTCAACTATGACTCTTGGTTCTCCAAACGGCCCCTGATCTACAAACTTCACGGGAACCTGGGCGGAATAAGGAGGACGGAAGCAGCTTTCTACCACTCGGGGCGCGTCCCTGAGTGCAACGAACTCACTTTGGCCAAAATCAAACCTACCAGGGCAGCCGGAGACAAAATCACGATTCACAACATGAGCATATTCCCTGATACGAATATGGCGAGACCGTATCCACCTGATCCAGTTCTTTCCACCCGCTCCAGGTGCCACATTAGCAATATCCAAAGTATCCAAGGTGGAAATCCCCACTTCTGTCACCTCATTGTGGCGACGCTCATTCCATTCCATGTCTATACATATAAAAATAGGGTCATGTACGAATGAGAATGGAGCAGGCAATTCCAGACGAAGTTTGGATATCATAGGACCAGCTATTGATAAATCATCCAAGGGGGCTGGATTCGTTGTTTCGTCGATATCTCTTGTACGATCGGAAACAAGACGCGGGAACACAGGATGTAGTCCAAGGTAACATTGGGCTCTCTTGAGAGAATGCACCCATTGGCGTTGTCTTTCAATCTTTTCAGCCCGCTTCTTTTCTCTTGAAGCCTTGGACTTGTTCTTGATTGCATTCAGCCCGGCTTCCATCTTCTCACGAAATGCCTGTGCTGTGCCATCCGCTACCTCAATATTACAGCGAGTCGGATTCTTGCAGTCGATTGAGTATTCAGGCGTTGGGATCGTGGTCAACAGTTGTTCTTTGGTATCCATATTTGATGAATTGCCAAGGTACTGCGGCTGGGGGATCCCTTTCTCCTGGAAGGAAAGCAGTAAGCCCAATCCTGGATCCATAGGGATAGTCAAGCGAACGTTGCAATCATTGCTAATCTGATCTAGGAATTGCTGGACTTGCGAGGCTGGTAATAAGAGAAGGGCTCGCGAGGCTAGATCCGGAGGAGGAAAAATATAGTAGCTGAAAATAAAGCACGTTAAAGATACGCATACAATTAGCGAAATTTGGTTACGTCACTTACAGTTCCCAATCTCTCGCCCAGAATGCCCCCTTTTCGAAAAACCGGCTGCTAATTGCTCCCGACGTTTCGCGGCGCATATACTTATATGGCAGCTTCGCAATGGCAGCAGCGGGGCAAAAGGCTTGTGCAACCAGACTCGACGGCGGTGCAATTCCTGTTTCGAAAGCGAGACATTCGTCAGGCTCCCCGCCATGCTCTTTGTTCTTGCCACGACTCAAATTTGCGCTAGACTCCTCGACCAGAGTCTGGCTGTTGGCAGTCATATTGCCGGGAAGGTTGAGCTTTGGCTCTGGGACAGGAAGGTGCAAGCCAGTGTCTTTCTTGAGCAAGAACTCATTGTTCGAAAACAGAAGATTCAGCCGCTGGGTTGGCTTGTCCATTTTCAGCTTTCTGCAGATAGATCACAACTAGGGAGAGGAAAAAGTGTCAGAGGAGAAGGCGCTGGGAATGGCACAGAAGCGAATGTTGAGAGAAGCAGAGTCCAAAGAGTTGGAAGAGAAAGAGAAGGTCACATGTTTTTTTGTTGATCTCGCACGCATGGCAACAGTGATACCAGAATGGAGTTAGCCTGCCTTTGAGCGCTGTCACGCCTGAGGACAACTGTTGTCACTCGTCACAGCGGACGTGTTTCTTTATGATCAGCACTGGCCATTCCTGTGCATAGAAGTTTGGGATCTATCCCAAACTCCGTTTGTCCTGGTGGTTTAGCAGTGCCAGTACTGCTTGGCAAAGACAGAGAACAATTCGGTAGCTTCATGTTGCTCAGAAAGTAGCTACCAGCTAGGTCATGTTTCATTGAAAGCGTAAGGACTGTGTTATATATTCATTTATATTCGTCCAAGACTTCGTAAACGAAATAGCAAGCCCTCACTTGAGATCCAGTCGGGCCAATCACGCTTCTCCGGGGCGCGGAGAAATGTTGACCCGCCTGTTATCGCTGGCGGCGTTGACGTCCAGGAAAACAGCCTACCCTATTTCCCCAGTGGACGACCCCCAGCTTCCAATCTCATGTTCACGATGACAGATGACACGGACGACAGTGGCGGAGTGATTTTCGAGGGCCCTTTTGACCCTGATGCGCAGGCCACCGTGACAGACTTCATCGATTACACCGAGTACCTACCGTCCGATGTAATCCGCTCGTTGACGTTGATCCGTGGACTGGACGAGACGTACTTGGATGCCACGCAAAGAGTTCATGAGCTTACGAAGATATACGGGCAGCTCCCAGAGCTGCCTGCAGAGTCGCGACCAAACCCGCAAGAACTACGCGAGCAGATCTCCGTGGAGTTGAACCGCTCTGTCAATGCACGCGAAGCTTCGTACGCAGAGGCATGCCGGATATACGATGTTGTTGACCGTCACCACGATCGCCTAGGAAACATTAAAAAGAAGCTTGAGTTGTTACCCAGACCGCCCTCGCGCGACGCCACCCCCGCTGCAAAACGCTCACGAGGCAGTAGAAAGACCGAGGACGTCGCGACACGTATCACGCTGCGCGTCGATGGCCAGATTCCTGACAAAGCTGGATTGCCTAAATCCAGGAGTCGACGATCGATGATTACTGGGCTTGATCCGGACTCGCCTATTGCCAGCACAGAGCAATCCGACAATGAAAACCCCAAAGTCCGATCGCGTCGTGGTGTCGTTGTCCCAGACGACGAGGCTTTGCAACTGAAGAAAAACAAGAAGCGCGGCCGACAGCAGCGGACATCAGGACCTGGTACGAATGTGCGTGGTTCTCTGGCTGGAATTTCGACGAGCAATGTACTAGCGTTGCTTAAACCACCGCCAGAGGACGCCAAACTTGGTAGTGAGGACTTACCATGGCTACGACTTACGGACTGGGAAATGACGAAACTACGGAAGAAGATGAAGAAGAATGCTGTTTGGCAACCGAGCGAGGTTATGATTAACAGGGAACTTGCGAGAAATGGAAGGGGCTGGGAAGGCTATCGAGCTGCTAAGGCGGAAGCCGAGGCCGCCGGAGAGGAACTGATTGACTGTGATGATATCGAGAATACTTATGTACCGGGAAAGCTTATCCGCAAGGGCGAGGCGACTGCTGATATGTCTGCAGTTGAAGAGATAAAAACCAGCAACCGCGGTATGCTTTTGAATGAGGCCAAAAGAATCAAGCGCGAAACCATAGCTCGTGAGCAAGAAGCTGCATCTGCTGCTGCCGCCGCTGCGGTAGAAGCAGAGATGGCTGCCAAGCGGCTGAGCGACATCGGTTCGACATTCAAGCGTTTGTTTTCCACCCCGGGCGAACTCCGTGGCGCTGTAGCTGCAGCGATGGACTCTCCGAAACCTAATGGCGCAGCTTCTACTCCATCAGGAAAGGGAAAGTCAAGGCCTTCGAGGAAGAGGAAGGCCGAAGAAAGCCCCTCGGCAGAGCGTTCAACGGTGAACGCCGCACTTGATTCTACTAGTCAACCTCTATCCTCGAAGCCGGCGTCGAAGAGGCGTAATATCAGCGCAGCTCGCTCAGCGGAAGCGGTAGAATCATCTCAGGTTATATCGGAAACTTCCCCCGCTGCGATGTCTCAAGCTGAAACTATCAAAAGCAAGGCCCTCAAGACGTTATCTTCTAGTCCACCACCAACTAGAGCTCGTTCGATTGCTTCTTCCCGGGCTTCTATATCGCTTGTTGTCAACCAGAAAACGACAGCGACTCCCACACCTCCAACGACTAGGCCACCATCAAGGCGACGATCGGGAGCGACTTCAGCCGAGCCAGGAACTGCCACAAATGCTGCCGTCATTGGGATTACACGGGATCATCTCCGCCGAAAGAGTACAACGCCAGCATTGAAGACTCCAGCCCCCGATTCGAGTGCAGTGGCAGCGGGAGCCAGTGCTCGACGAAAGAAACGGCCGGCGCCTGGGCCAGTCTCATCTAGTTCGGAGGGCGGAGCAACAGTCAGCCATGGAAAACGAAAATCGAAGCCTAAAAAACGGGCACCGGGGAAGGAGACCATCAAGGGCGAGGACTACCGCATTGATGAAGACGGAGTACTAGAGAAGATTGATCCGAATGAGCCGCGGTACTGTCTCTGCAAGGACGTCAGTTTTGGGACGATGATTAATTGCGAAAACCCAGACGTAAGTTTGTCTCTTTATCAATTCATAGGATCTAGCTTAACGATACGAATGTTGCAGTGCGAAGGGGAATGGTTTCACCTCGATTGCATCGGGCTTTCGGAACCGCCTAGTCGGCGCGCGAAGTGGTTCTGCCCTGAATGTCGCGTGAAGCTCAAAAAAGCGCCTGATGGGATAGAGAGGGTGGGTGGACGGCGATGAAGGGCAATCTAGGGCTTGTTCGAGGCTCTCTAACTGTTATTTTCGGATGGACATGATACTGATACCACTGGCGGAGTTAGGATGGTTGCTTGGATTTGGAATTACTATTACTGCTGCTATTGCTATTGCTATTGCTATTGCTATTAGTTCAGGGCTCAGCCACAATAACGAGTTCATGTTTTCTGTACCTTGAGAGTCTATCCAACCAGCCGAACAGGGAAACACGAGGAATACGAGACCAAATAAGCGAGCCGTCCACAATTAGTTAGTTCGACATTCGGAGTTATGTTATACGGCATATACGACACACGCGAGCCATGCTAAACCCTGTTTACGTCTATACGATTAGCTGCAGCGGCAACGTCAGCCCCCAGCGCTGACTGGCCGCTGAGATCTCTTCTTGTCTCGGGGGGAATCCACTATCTGGCATGCATTTATCGCCGGTTGGTCCAGCAATGTATGGGAATAACTATTGGCATAATTAATTTCAAGTTGGAATAAATTTATTAGGCTTGTTAAACAACTGGGGTAGGGGAACTAGTTTTATACCTACTTAAGCGGACTTCCTCCCTCTTTTTCATCGCTTTACTAAATATTCTCTCATTTCGATCCACCGAAATATATACATACATACACACGCACACAAATGTATACATAAATGGTTTAGGAGCAGACAGGCAGAAGAGAAAAAACATGCCCCAACACGGAGTCTGTACGCAGGTCTCGCCCGAATGTCCCGCCTCAGCGACAACCCTAGGCTACGCCCCTAATCTGGGCGCAAACGTCTTCTTCACGGTAGCCTACGGAATCTGTGCTCTATTTACGATTGCCATTGCAGTATGGAAGCGCACATGGGCGTTTGGCTTCACGGCTGGATCAGGATTTATACTTGAGATGGTTGGTTAGTCAGCCAAGCTATCTAAGTTAACTAACTACCTGACATATGGATTCATCTAACGACGAAATAAAAGGATACATCGGTCGAATTCTCCTGCATTACAATGCCTGGAATCTGAGCGGCTTCAAAATGGACCTGGTCTGCATCATCATTGCACCCACCCTGATCTGTGCCGGTATATATCTTACGCTCAAACACGTTGCGCGCACCGTAGCACCAACCCATTCACGCATCACCCCACGCCTATATACCTGGATCTTCATCCCCTTTGACGTTTTCTGCCTGCTTCTCCAAGCTGCCGGTGGCGTCGTCGATGCCGCAGCCGCAGATTCGTCGACGATGAACGAGTCCCTGCTGAAAACGGGCGACAATATCATGATAGCGGGCATTGCATTGCAAGTGGTGAATTTGATTGTATTCGGGCTCTTTTCGCTGGATTTCTGGGTTGCGTCGAGAAAGCATTTCAAGGGTCTTGCGCAGAAGGATTCTACTTCCGCTGAGGCTTCTGCGGAGGCTCGCATTTGGTTTTCGCGACGGTTTCGTGTGTTTTGTGCGGCTGTTGCATGTGCCTATGCGGGCATTTTGGTTAGATGTGTCTATCGGTTTGTTTCCCCTCGTTCTCCTAGTTCGACTTGTTTGTTGTTTGGTGTGGCTGACACGTATTCACGTCTAGTATCGCCGAGATGGCTGGTGGCTGGGGGTGAGTATCTTCTTCTTTTTTTTTTCCCTTTCTTATCTTTCGTCGATATCAGTATATTAACTACTATAACAGAAACCCAGTCATGCAAAACGAGGTCCTCTTCTATATCCTTGAGGGAGCGTAAGTCCACCTGTCCATTAAATATTTACATGCATCTAAGCTCATCCTTAATCAGTATGGTCGTCTATCCTGCCATCCTCCTTACAATATTCGCACCAGGCTTCTTCTTCCCCGAGATGGGGACAAAGCCCGTTCAACAATCTCCTACCGCTACTGATGTTGATGCCGGCGATGTCGGAGAAGGAGAAGGAGAGGAATATAGAATGATGACTTCTGAGGAGCGGATTATGTCTTCAGAATAATCTACATACATGAATAGAGTTGAATGTGTTACATCATATACATTTGAAGATTTTCTTTCATTTTCTGTTTGTGTTTAGCCTTTCCATATTCCCTGAACGCAAATACACTGAAGCATTGTAATTAGGGTACGGACAGGCCACGTGCAATGTCTATTGCAAAATCATTTACATATTACTCATGAATTATACCCAATTAAATACAATCTAGCTTTCCAAGGTTACTGGTATCACGCAAAATGGATAATAAGAATAATGGATTAAATACAAATCCAAAAAGTAGAATACAATACAGCAAGTTGTACTCCAGTTGAGTCGAACAAGCCAATTGAGGAAATACTATAAACAACAAGATTCAAATGTCGGGTATGTATGATATGATGATGTGTCGAGCGGATATATAAGATGGTCTCGCTCAAAGTGAAAGGTGAAAGATTCGTGATTCGTGTTTTAGATACCCTCCGTAAACCGACTGCCTCTACTCCCATCATACCGTGCTAGAGATCGTCCCACGGCGTCCGGTCGAAAAGGGCTTACCCCCCTCTGGCCCGAACTCGGAGGAGCAGTTAGATCAGCCGTACTTGCTGTTGGAGTCCGCGCTGGAGATGGACGTATTACGACTGCCCCTGCTCCTATTTCGGCGGCGGCGGCTGCTGCTCCGCCTCCAAAATCGTCTCGCATTGGAGGATGACGATGATATCCTCCACCTGTGCCACCAATGGCACTCACTGGCGATACAGGGCTGGTCGCTTCAAGAGGCGGCGATGGCATCTCAGGAATGGGCTCCTCTTCAATGTCGTCTCCATATCCATCGCCTCCTGTGTGGAGGACGGACGGAATCTTGCGACCCGAGATTTTTTGAAATCCCCGTTCACCTGTGGTAGAACTACGACCGGAGAATGTTGAAGAAGATGTCCATCGCCCTAAGATTGCTCCTGCCGCGAGCGGTGTGTCGCTCGAACGGTGAGAATTCATTTCAGCCGAACGTTGTCCTGAGTCACCACCATCGCCTCCACCGTAAACTTCCTTGGAGGAGACCTCCCCACCCGCAGCGGCGGCTCCCGCAGCTGCGGCTTGCGTGCGTTTTTTCCTGTATCGGAAAGCCAAGAATGCCAAAAACAATACCAACAATAGGCCAAGCACTCCGCCGACTACACCTCCAACTACTTTGCCTGTGTCACTGCCGCCGCCAGATGAGCCTGAACTTGCCGGGGTTGCTGAAGAGGATATTGCTTGCGCCCCAGTGGATGTCGATTGTGCGGAGTTGGTAAGGGATGCAGTTGATAACGATATGGTTGAAGAGAGTGTAGTCGAGGAACCAGTGGTTGAAGACGATAAGGTGGTAGACGAAGTTGAAGTCGCTGAAGACGTGGATGAGGTCGATGATGAAGAGATGGAGGTAGAGCTAGCGGTAGAGGAAGTAGCGGAAGTCGTAGATGAACTAGATGTATATGTAGAGACTGAAGTAATTGAGGTAGACGATGAAGTAGACGACGACAAGGTAGAGGACTGCGTTTCACTGGAAGATGTTGATGTGGTGCTAGATATCGAGCTTGTGGTTGAATTTGACGAGGATGATGAAGATGACTGTGTGGATTGCGTTGATGAAGAATCCAAGGTTGTAGACAACGACGACAACGATGCAGTCGAAGTCGAAGTCGAAGATCCAAGAGGAATCTGGTTGTCGGCGGCGGCGGTCGCAGCACCAGCATCTGTTGCAGAACTGCCGTCTGCAGGAATAGTGACAATTCCGAGGGACGGAACAGAGACAACTGCTGGGAGCGTCGAAACCGTCAACTGAGCGAGTGTCGTCGAGCCGCTTTCTATGATCACATCAATCGCCGTTGCCACAACCGCCGTCACAGTCTGGGTCACTTCAGAATTTCTCCGGATCAAGGCTTGCTCGATATTTGAAACTTGCACGTCAACATTAGATTGTGTATAGTCGTATATACCCTGACTGAAGCTGTCCATAGTTACTCCCCCCCGCACTTCCGCACTCATCCGGGAGTGTTGCCCCCCATGATGGTGATGATGGCGATGAGTATGGGTCATTGTCGACCGCGCGACCCGTAGGGTCGTTGCCCGTTCTCTATGTCCTTCCCCTGATACCAGTCGTTTCTTTCTTTTCTTTTCTTTTCACAATTACAACTCCAACTTCAAAAATGGCGTGCATTCCACACTGTTCACGAAATACTTCAGCATCCGGACTTTTATTCAAACGGTGTCGACTTTTCCTACACCAGCAATTCTTCCAAGCCAAACGGGTGTACACTGCCGAGGGGCGGACGTGTGTGTACTGAACAAGTAGGCAAAACCAAACCGAAACGAAAGAAAAAGCAATTGAAATATCTCTTCGTAAGTGAACAATATACACAGGTGTAACCGTACTGAGATAGATGTAAAGAGCGTAAATTCGGAGATAGTCGTACTAAGTAAGTGAGAAGAGAATGACGTTTGATGGGAGACGGGGAGATCAAGGAGTGGACGTCCGGCGGGCAGCGATAGTTTCTGCAGCTAAACTCGAGCACGAAGTGACAGATATTCCAAGGGACAAAATGAGATGGAAATCTGGATCCATTGTCGAGTAGCAAGTCGTAAGTACTAAGCTGCTGACAAGTGGTGGGTGCCTTGGCCGGGTGCCAGTGGACACATGTACGTACCTCAAAGAAAAGGGACAGCAAACCACGAATTGAAATGAATTGAATTGACTTGAATAAAGGAGCGACGACCACCACCAGGCCTAGAACATGGTGGCAGCGCAGAGGGAGGTAAATAGAGCTACCTGGCCCAGACAGCGCATTCTCCAGCTAACAATGGCTAGAGGAGGGATGGAGATGAAGACAAGGAAAAGAGGCGAGGCACGAAGACAGAAGGAACGAACGTCTAGAAGTTGCAGTCGTACGCTGTGGTCTTAGCGTCCGTCCATGTCGACGGGTAGGCCAATCAGCGCGGCGGTCGGGTGTGCCGTCGGCCCGCTTTTCGCTCGTCTGCCGTGTGGGGCGTATTTTATTTATATCTACACTCCATCACACATGGTTTCATGTGTGTATATGTCTACATACATATACAATTATATATACTTCCATGTATACCTATGTATAATAAATTAGATCTAGATATCACCCTGTGATTGCCAAAAGCAATAACCGCACAGTGGCAGTAGTGGCAGAGGAATAGTGTATGAAGTAATGTAACTTATACGTCAAGCCCGGGCTTGGCAGCCACCGTTCCTGACGCTAAACCGCATATGGCTGGATGTTTAATTGCATGCGAGCTGCTGGGCCAATCAGGCGTTGGTCGTAGATTAACGATGTTGTTTATTCATGCTCTTCATAATACGTAGTTACGTATCATCGTCCTACAAATCTGTGTAGTATGGTTATGAGTCTTGAGTGTTGAGTCTTATGTGCTCCGGAGCTAGAACTCCTAAGTTAACTACCCAAGTGAGACACTGCTGATCACTCTAGACTATCCATCCATCGTAGCATCCAGTCTAACCGAACCAGGAAGTCGCATAGTAGCAAGTTCAACCAATAAGTGTGTAGCGTAGCTTGCAATATACAAGCATCCATGATATCTACTAGCCTAGGCATATCATATGCTGTAGACTGTAGAAACTATGTAGTATATATACACCTGGATGTAAGTCTCCCTTCAATAAAAATCAAGACAAGTCTTTCACCTCCTGCTAATATATTGAGCTCTGTGAAATAAACATTCAATCTTTTTTTTTTCTTTTCCTCCTCTCTCATACTGGAAAAGAGGTCAGTTTCCGGTCAGCTATCCACTAACTAAGGAGAACATCACAGAGACAGATATGGATGGAATGTGTGGTACAAAGCTTAACAACAACAAAACACAATTGAACCTAGGAGGGTATTTATTTCAAGTGAATAGGTGGGGGGAGGTAAGGTAAGAGTTTTAAAAAGAGAACGTGAGGACTAGAACGTCTCGAGTTCGTCTCCCGCTGCTTCTGCTTCTTCTGCGGGGATCTCAAATCCTTCCTATAAAACGTAGAAATATTAGCTCCGTAAATATAAAGCAGAACGAGTGGATGTTCTTACCTCGGTCGAATAAAGAATACCCTGAATATGCTTCACCAACGAATCATCATCCTTCTCCAACTCCGGATCAGCCTCAACAGCAGACTGCAACAACAGCTCGATATCGCGCAACTTTGCAAAATAAAAGTCGCGTTCCTTCTCCAGTCCAGCAATGGCTTCCTTTTGTGCCGCAATCTCCTGGTTCAAAGCCGCTGTTCCTGGGCCCGCTGCTGTTCCTGCTCCCACGCGACTTCGCACGCCAGCTGCGCCTGTCGGTGTGGTGCCGCCTCGTCGAGCACCGGCGCTGCTGGTGCGCGCTGCTGACACGGGTGCGGATGATGTCGCTGGTCCGCCTGAAGCCTTGCGACGAGCCACGGCGTCGTAGTCACCGCCCGGATAGTGCTGATCCCAGAATCGTTTGGCCCATTGGAGAAACTCGAGATTGTCCTGCATGCGACACTTGACAAGTTGCTCGACGGGGACAGGTCGGTCGATTTGGTGCCGTTTGAAAGTATCTGCATTCAGATTAGTTACCAGGATATCACCACGCGGATTGCACTAGATTGGCGTACTTTGAAGGACCTTGAAATTTTGGAGGTATGCATATTCGGTATTAACATTGAATTTGACGCGGGCCATAGTCACATCCACTGGTTAACACAGGGTGCATTAGTCTAAGTTCTGATGAACTCCCTCGAAACAGCTTAGAAACGTGACCGGGCGACTTAACTGAAAATCGAATCGAATATTTGGCAGAATGCGGCTCTATTATCACATTGACTGTTAATATCGAATATCTCAAACATGAGATATACAGCTGGACCAGGCATAAAACTCACCCTGTGCCGCACTGCTCAACCTTGGTCATGTTGAGCTGGAGGAGGTTGTTTAGCCATGCTAAAAGCTCTTGTCTAGAATGGAAAAAAAAAAAAAAAAGATCAGTGAGTTCTAAGCTCTGCAAATCTTGTTTGAACCATATGAGCTGATAAAACGAAAAGCCACATACCTTGATTCACTCATGGCGGGGTATTATGTGCAGGAGTCGATTTTGGGGGGGGGGTAGGATAGGTTCGCAACAAAATAGCAAAATAGTGTAAAAACTCTCTCCTCAATGTCTGCCCAGTTTTTCAAGGAGATCAAGAATCGATGCTTGAGGTAGGAGGAGGTTGTGCGATGGATTGCGGAGGAGTCAATAGAGAGAGAAGTTTTGTTTTGTTGACGGTCCCCACCAGCGATTGACTTGGTTAGTTTCCATAAGAACACCAATCAGGCTAGACTAAGCACTATGCTCTCCTTTAAAACCAAACAATGCTACAAAAGATGCTATACCCTTGGCACAATGTTTTCAAAACTGCAGAAGAAACAGGAAATCCTTGCCTGAAGTGTATCTGTATAGTAGGTAAATTAAGTATGGAAATATGCATGTTCTATAGGAGAACCAAGAAGTGAAAGTAAAGTAAGAAAATCCCCAGCCGAACGACTGCAATTCTTGATGCTTCTCCAGAGAGCAATAATCAAGAAAATGGAAATATATGAACAGAAAAGAAAAAGAGAACAATAAAAGTCACCGATGCAGAAAGAAGGAAAAAGGATCAAAGCTGAGAATGAGCACATTCAAGGGGAATCTAGAAGAAGCAAACAAACAAAAGAGATATGAAAGAAAGAAACATAAAATCTAGACTATTCTTCCAACAAGTCTATGCCGTCTAATCCATACCCAAAATCCATAATGACAGTACGAGCATCTTGACTCGTAGCAACAATTCGACGATAGTCCGACTTTGCGCTGAACATCCAGCTGGTAGTCCACTCGGCAAGATCAATTGATAGTTCACCCGTGGTCGCATCGAACACTTTCACGCTGAAATCGTAGCTGCCGCTGACAATGCGGTTGTTGGCACTGTCCAGATGCAGAGATCGCACTAGTCCGTTGTGACCTTTGATTTCTCGAACCATATCGCCACTGTTTGCATCGTATTGATAGATCACTTGGTCGCTGCCGCCGGCCAGAATGGTTCTACCATCTTCAGTGAACTCAACGCTGGCAAGACCGTGGTCCTTGTTGGAAAACTCCTTGACACAGACACCAGAGGTGATGTTCCATAGTTTGGCTACACCGTCTCCACTGGCTGACACCAAGAGATCCCCACGCAGCTGAAGGGCATTGACGGGTCCGTGGTGGCCCAGTAGCCTCTTGATCAATCTCCCCGTCTCTCGATCCCAAATACAGATCGTTCTGTCTTTGGAGCAGGAGATAATATGTCGATCATCGAAGCAGCAATCAAGGACTCCTGCCCTATGGCCTACTAGGCGTCGAATCGGTTTATAGTCATTTTTAACATCCCAAACAATGCACGTAAAGTCGGAGGATCCAGTAACCATAATCTCGTCATCAAATTGGAGGCAAAGAATTGAGCGATTGTGGCAATCATTCAATTCAATTGTTTGATCGGCCACATCAGCCCAAGGTTGACTCGGCGGGCAGATGGAAAGGAATGGCGCATTTCCTACAGGCCGAGGGTTTGCATTGGTAGCTGCTGATTCGCGCTGCTGATTCGCGGTAGGCGTGCCAATGACCTTGAGACATGACCAAGGATAGTGGGCATCCCAAATGCGAATGGTGCGATCACGAGATCCGGTAATGATTTTATGCCTGAGAAATAAATTTAGTATGTGTCAACGGCATAAAGAGGTTTAGGGCATAACATACTCATCAAATTGTACGCAATATACGCTGTCAGTATGACCTTGTAGATAGATAGCTGCCGCCTTGCCATCTTTCCACCGACGATCCAGCGCCTGTCGAACCAAGGTCATCTTCTTCCAATCCTGATTAGGCAAGGTCTTACCCAAGCCTGCTGACTGAGTCTTCTTCTTTGTCGTCGACTTTGATAATGGTTGACGACCATATTGCTGACGGAAGACACTTCGCCACACGTGATGCGACGAAGCAGCTTTGTTCCAAGATCGCGACACAACTTCCGCCTGCATTAGTGATGTGGGACTTAAAAACGAGAGGATGTGAGAAATGAGCTCCGCAGGTAAATAAGCCACGGGATCTATTTCACAGGAGTTAGCTCAAGAAAGCAAGGAGTCAGCCACATCATCCAGGATTATAAACTAACCTAATCGTACTATGGCCAATTCCGAGTCGGAAGGGTCGCGCAAATCAATTCCAATTCCACTTTCCGAATCGAAAATTTTTGAGTCTCCCGGGGAGATATTACGGCCGGACTTGGCCATCTCATTTTGGGCGGCAGCGGCAGCTCTAGCAGCAGCCCCTTCAGACGGGTTGTTTGAGAAGACGGGAGGCTCGAAGAAGCCCATTCCAGGAATGAAGTTGGCCACATTGGCAGTCGGTGCGTAGAAAGTGTGCAAAGCCGAGACGCTATGGAGCGACGGTCGGCGATTGATGCTATGTCCCTTGAACCAAGCATTGCGGGGCCTTCCCTCAGGGACAACTTTCTCTTCATCAACATCACGAGCGATTTCGTGGGGGACGTATATATGATTATTCTTTGGATTTTTCCCGCGAATTGTCACAGAGAGACGGCGGCCGAGAGCACGCAGCCCATCGACTCCATGGCGGATGCTCGAGAAGCTCCTTGCTGTGCGGTGTTGAGGTGTTGGCTCAGGAAACACGGAGACCTCTTCCAGGACGTCGCTACTCTGGTGATCTTGTTGGCAAAGCTGAATTTGACTGTCTTGGCCGCTGTCGTAGGAAGAGTTCAAAGCCTGGGGACCGGGATTCATCCAAGGGACGCTTGCGCCGGGCAGTCCCCCTGGAACTGCGGTTTTCGGTCGGGCGCGTAGAAGCAATGACGGTCGCCTCCTGGCCGAGCGCGGAGGATTCTGGTCGAGCGGCATCATGGCGTATGAAGTGTTAAGATTGGCGGGCGAGGGCGGCGGCGAGATGGAGGGTTTTGGGGTTTTGCCACGAGTGCTCGTGCGAAGGGCGTACTCTAAATAGAAAAAAGAAAAAGCAAAATGTGGAGTAAGAATGTCTAAAGCGAGATCCCCATATGTAACAGATATCAGACGTAAGGGGCGCTGTGAGGGTGCCGGTAAATATGTCTGCCAGGGAAATAAATGGATCTAGTAGATCAAAACGAGTATCTAACGAGGCGCTCCAAGAACTCCGAAATGTTGAATGAAGGGAGGGCAGAGAAAAGCGAATAGATAAAATACAAACCGACAGGGATGCGAGAAAGAAAGAGAGAAAGAAAGAGACGAGACGAGATGGACAAGGGCAGAGGAGAAGAGATGCTGCAGAGGAAAAAAAGGGAACGAACCAAAGGCTGCGGTACAAGCAGCCGCAGCGCTGCCTCAGGCAGGGTGCTAAAAGCCGCCTGAAGAGGCAAGGCTCTCCCTGCGAATATCCGGGGTGGCGCTGCCCCGGTTTTTTCTCTTTGCCTTTTCCTATTTCCTACCCTTGTTCAACACCCAACCATGGTCTGCATATTGCAACTCTGTCCGGCTGTGTCAATCAGAGTTTTCTCTCCCTGTCCGTTTTTGTCACATTACTTCGGCCCCCGATTCTTTCATCCATGAAAGAATTGCCATTTGGGCCGATTTCGAACTCGGGTATGCAGACATCCTCGAGGCCAGAAAAAAATTTTTTCCCCAATTCATATTAATTAGTCAATTGGTAGTTCTGACCAATGATAGTTAATGTCTATCATATCTCATTCAACGAGATACTTGGGTATCATTGTATGAAGGATAACATTTAGAGGGGTCACGTGATGTGAGGATGGTCTGTTTCGATGGAGTTCATATGGTTATAAACATTCAATTCGTGTTCCCTCGATTCACCCAACGTATGAATCTTCAAGACGACATATGCGGAATCACGAGACCTTAATGGATCAGAATGGCTGTTTCCCCGGACGCAGTTCCAAGACTTACTCCAAATCACGAGCAAACAAAACAGTTGACGTAACTCCATAGCCTAACTTAGCAAGCACCTGATATCTGTCATTAAAAAGTTCCCCTTGTTGCACCAGATAATATTTCTCCGGGGAATACGTCGGCAATGTTCCTTCCTCGATCTTAGAGGATGCGTCAAGTAACTCAAATCCCGAAGTCGGGAATATTCGTGGTGTAGATGTCCATGTCGACGAGAGCATGGCGCACTTCTGAGCTTGTAGCAAAATGGAGGGGAACTTCCCTGAAAAACGCTTCGGCGGAAGGTAGGGGCCCAAGAACTCCAATAATTCCATGCGATTCTGTTCATTTTCAAAGCCAGAATTTATCGGCGCAGATGCAGGCAACTAGCAGGCGGCGAGCGGCGAGCGGAGTGCTGTAGCTATTGTTCTATCATGCTAGGCTACCGTGGAGGATGGATCTGGGAAGTTGTACGCTAGTCTATTTCTAATTTTTAGGCAACGAGCTAGTAACTACTATTTTGCTTTGTAATTTCGGCAAAGTTAATGAACAATACACCTCCTCTATAAGTAACATATATGTAATGTGACGCATTTTCCCAATTCCTTCTTATTCAGATATACTATGTAGTATCGGTAAGGACTGACTGGCTGACTGCACAATAAAATAGACTGTTGTCTAGACATACACTCCATTAGCCGCAAATCGTTCATCAGCACGCTGATACGCTGGCCTGTACGCTTGTCTGAGTACACGGTATATAGGTGTTGAGGTTTTGGCGGCGCGGCGGGAGAACCCAAAATTAAGGAGCTTGACCGTAGTCGATCGATCCAGGGATCTCTTGGCATTATATGCATAGCCCTCGGAAAACCCTAATTCAACATCGTACTTCAATGAGGTCTATGGATGATAATGAAAAAAAAAAAAGAGAGAGAGAGAAAAGAAAAAAAAATGGCCGCTGATGTAGAGAATATAATGAAGGGATATCAAATTGTGATCTTAAAAAGGGTGGTGTAAATAGCAGACATAAACTATGCGTGCAAGAGAAACAATAATTCTAACTGAGCTGCTGTGGACTGTATTATTATTTGATCAGAGCCTAATTTTGATTTCGCCGTCTCTGCTGGAAGACCTTTATTGTGCAGTTATAGGCCTCACATTCCAATTGTCATTGGCTAGGCGGGCATTTTCATTGATATCCAGTGATGCGTATTGTAGGTTATGCGCTACTTGTTCACTCCGGGACGCTTCCGGTCTCCCCTGCGAACATGGTTTTTGTGGGCTGTGTATATATTAAAGGACGTAGAGCTTCCTTCCTCTATCCACCACTACTAGATGGTTCACCCTTTTCTCCTTGAACATGGCATCCACAACTAAGAGAGGGTTCCTTCGTCGTGAAGGCCTATACATCGATCCGATCATAGCCGGCCTACGAGGAACGATCCTACACCCTCTTGTCTCATTGACAGTACTGTTCTTGGTGCATGGACGAGGCAGCCTAAGCGCGGCTCATGAGCGGCTCATCCAATTCACCGCTGTGTCCAGCACCCTTCTATGGCTTAACGACTGGCTCAATGCCAAAAGTCGAAACAACTGGGTCCAGGATGATACTTGGGGTTGGAAGAAAGAGGTGGTTGTGGTGACCGGGGGTAGCAGCGGTATTGGTGCAGGCGTTGTTCAGCGTTTGGCTGCGCTGGGCACAGGCGTCGTGGTGTTGGATATCGCTCCCTTGACATATAAGATTGGTATTATGATACTTCCAGTGAAGGAAAGAAAAAACACTTGCACTCTATCTACTTGCTAATGCTAAGCTGAAGAAAGCCAACACATCTCATACCTGAAATGCGATCTGAGCGACCAAGCCGAAATCGCAGTTGTTTGTGCAAAGATCAAATCCGAGATTGGCCATCCAACCGTGTTAGGTGAATCATGAATCATTTGCCAAAGTCCAATTACATCGCTATAACTCTCACTGACCGACAGTCTCCTATGCCTAGTCAACAATGCCGGTCTGTCTCGCGGCCGCACTATAGTCGACGGTACATACAGAGACAATAGCATCACCTTCCAAACCAACTTACTAGCACCATTCCTCCTGACGAGAGAATCCCTTCCATTCATGATTCAGCAAAATCACGGGCACATCTTCAACGTTGCTTCGGTGAGCGCGTATATCCCCCCACCAGGACTTGCGGATTATGCAGCATCAAAATCTGGATTGATAGCATTTCATGAGGAAATGTTCAAATGTTTGTCACAGCTTGTCTCACGTAGAAGCTGACCCGTGTAGTGCCTTGGCCAAGAGCTCAGAGTTCTAAAAGCACCCAAAGTTCGCACCTCTCTTGCAGTACTGAGTTTCACGAAAACGCCCCTGTTTAAGGGAGAAACGAATCAATCTCACTTCCTAACGCCGCTTTTACATGTCGACACCGTCGTGGACGCTATCGTGGAAACGCTGGACAGTGGCTTAAGTCAGACAATTTTTCTCCCGGGGATTTTTGCATACTGTGCCGGTTCGGTAAGTAATTCATTTCTCTCACTGGTATTCATTGTTGACAAAATTTGGGATGTAGCGAGGAGCCCCAGATTGGTTCCAGAATATAAATCGAAACGGCACCAAGTCCCTGAAAGTCGATTTCAGAGGCCGCCAAAAGATTGACCCAAGAACCGGAAAGCTTGTTTGATTTTTCAATCGTTGGCGTTTTGAGCTCTGAGAAACTAGTCCAGCAAACTATTGGTCTGGTAGATACAGTCAATAATAGCACTTGGATGTAAATCTACACTGAACTAAGCTATATTTCAGATACAATCCCTGGTGGTCTCTCATAGAACAACCGTATGGGTGAGTGATAGGATATACCAATCTAAACACACTCAGCAGTAAATTGAGCCTCGGCTAGAAGTGTCGGACACATTCCGGTGCCATATTCCCTGTCAGTCAGCACCTCGGAATGGGCCTGTCGTTGGTATAGCCTAATACAATTGATATAACAAACTCATCTGTCGGTTCTGTTCGTGATTTAATACTACTGCTTAGCTAAGAATAAATGCAAGCTCTGAATAGAATATATATATATATATATATATATATATATTTTCACAATAAAGCTAGCTAGCGAGCAAAAAACCAACTATGGACAAGTTTTTATATAAATCGATCCCACTAAAACAACTACAATGCTTGTTTTGCTAAACGCGGAAACAGCAGCAGCGCATTTCCATAATTGATCATCCTCCTCAACTCCGCATCCATTTGGTACGACTCCAGCTCCTCTAGAAACGCCGGATAGGCAGTTATGGGCGCATATGGGAAATCACTCCCGTACAAGATGTGCTCGTGCGGAACCAGCTTCAGCAGCATGTCCAGAACCTGCGGCGAAGAGCTTAGAGCTAAATCAAAATGAAAGCTGCAAAATGCCTCCATTGTTTTGTCGTGTGTTGTCCCCATTCGGTGCGAGACTAGAAAATCTGGAGCTTTCTTCATGGGTATTGCCACGCGCGATATTATGTATGGCAGGGCACCGCCTGCATGGGACAGGATGACTTTACAGTTGGGATATTTTTGTCGGGTTCCGTTGGTAATCATATCCATTGCTGTGCGAGTGGTCTCGTGTGGATAGTCAATAGATGGCTGCGGTAGCTTTGAGTTAACGGGCTGGGTATCGACAGGGTGAGTGGGATGGATGAACACCACGCAGCCTCGCCGATTCAGCTCCGCCCAGATGGGTTCAACATCGGGATGACCAAGGTACGTGTTGGCAGAACCATAGCGAGTGAAGAGGGCAACTCCGTCTGCATGGAGAGTATCCAAGCCATATGCAATCTCCGCAAGGGCGTCTTCGGTATCGAGAATGTTTGGCAACGATGCAAAAAACCCAAAACGCCCAGGGTCTTCTTTATCACGGAGATCAGAAGAGTATTCGTTTAATTGTCTCGCAACTTTCTCGCGTGCATGGCGGCTTGGAAGAATACAGGCGCCGGGGGCGGTAACAGAGAGTATCGCCGTCTGGGTTCCCACACGCTTCATCAGCAGTTTGGAAGCCAGCGGACTCCAGCGGGGGGTAGGCCAACCGCTGGGGTCGCCCCCTTGTTCTGCAACGGCTATAGTAAGGTTAGTTCAGAGATCCAACAAGGCCGGGCATCTTATCTCGCCTTGGGCGTAGAATGGGGGAACGCAATGATGGTGGGTATCAATCTTGTCCACCGGAGGCATGTGGCTCCATCCAATGGCCTTGTCCTTGAGCCAGTCGAGAGAGTGTTCGCTCATTGCGTCGAAGATAAGTGTGTTTTGGGAGAAGTATAGTATTACAAGGAGTGCAAAAAGAGCTGAAACAAGGGCTGGGCCAGTTGAACGAAGAGGTATATAAAGCATGGTGGATCCCAGTTCGAGAACAGATAAAGAAAGGGGCGGCGCCTCCATCCTGGGTTCGAGACGTCCTTCTGCATCGCACTGGGTCAAACCAAGCTCAATCGCAGGTATCGACCAAAGGGTCTAGGGGCCTTGATACTGTCCTTGAAATAGAGTGGCAGCTTATCTTATTTGAAACCAATCTCCCTTCATTTCTGAAGTGGCATTTGGACCCGTCCACAGGTGACAGAGACTACAACCCAGCGGTCTCCCAGCAGCGAAACGTTCTACATGCCAGGTTTGGACTTTTCTCTCCCTTGGGGGTTTTTTTTGCTTCCCCTGGCTCATCCTTAGTGCGTATAGATTTATCCATCTTCACCTTCTCCTTTACCGTCCTATCTTTACGCAGCTCTACTCAGAATATGTAAGGAAGAAGAAGTCCGCAAGTACGTCAGATTTACAAGTGAGCTCCGCATCCCTAGCGTTCGCAACGCAGAGTACTTTATATTCCTCCATGTCTAGTAAATGTGCCACGGCGTGCGTGATGGCGGCCATTGACCTTACCCATCTCGTCAACAAGACGTATCGCACTAACACCGCCGATGCGTGGTGGTATAATGGATTCTGTACGTCTTGAATCACCAACAATTTGGCTCTGTGTTACCGTCGCTTATGCTGAAACTATACCTGCTCTAGACGTATCAACCGCCGCAGTAGTCCTCCTGATATCATTCTCCGACTCATCGATGCTAGATCCAGGCGTCATGGAGCAAGCGCGAAGCGCTTGGAGGGAAGCAATGACTGTCCTAGAATACCTCGCTACTTTTCGCCGCTCAGCTAGCAATACCCTCCAATTCCTGCAGCCTGCTTATCGTCAAGTGATGGTCCCAATTGATTTGTATCAGGCAGGGGTGGGAGCTGATGCTAACCCTAATTTTCCAAATAATAGCCCTGGTCCAGATACAACTCAAATCCCGTTCTTCAATTGGGATGACTATCTGGCAAATAGAGGACCGGAGTTTGATGATTTGGGATTCTTATCGAGACTTGATTTTCCTGACAGTTTGGGAGTAGATGGTCATGATATTGGTTGAAGCTCTCTAATTTGGTGGGAGGTGAGGCGGAATGAAGTAAAAGGCTTTGTATTCCTCGATTCGTGTAATTAAGATCGAATAATGGTAAAGTGGTTTATGAAACCCACGTTTAACACCTCTCCTGAGAATGGCGATGGACGTGGTGAAATGGAATTTCCTGAGGTATGCACACGAAGATGAAAATAGGAAGCCGGGTCAAGGTCTAAAGACCTGCCGTTATATTGGAGTTCTCCAGGTTGATGGCATTTTATGGTCCTGGATATTATCACCTTCAAGCGGAGCCGTTCCGGTAATCACAAGGCGAGCTTCGACGCATCTACGAGCCGCGGTCAATCTCATTCTCTTGACAACCTCAAGCCCGGAGCAGACCCTGAAGCGGATGATCAAGGTATCTACAGTTGATTACGGGGGTCTCCGCACTTAAAATCTGACCATCTACGTTGTTTTTACTGCTACCCCGTCCCTGGGGTATAAGAAGGCTTATACAGACATGCCAGGCGTTCAAATTGAAATGAGTGGCTCCGCATTATTCTGGTTCGCGTCTGAGAATACGCCGTGGAGTTGGTGTGTACTTATTCAAGCCTAACAACTCACCAGACAAGGCAATCTACATCATTGTTTGACATGGACTGGGAGACTACCAAAGCTACCTCCTACAGTCAAATAGCCTGTGATGGTAGCGGATTGTCAGCCGTCGCCCTGGGCGCAACACTGCAAAGATGGTACGGCCACGACGATATTTGCTTCTTTGAACGGCATCCAACGACTGGTGGGACGTGGTACATCAACACCTACCCAGGTGAGCCCGGATTGGCACATTTTCTTTTCACTTTCTCGAAAAGTCTAACAAGTAAACATTGCAGGATGCGGCTGTGATGTTCCCAGTGCTCTATACAGCTTCTCATTTGCCTTGAAACCTGATTGGACGAAGCTGATGCCGTCCAGCAATGAAATCAAAGAATATATTGATAGTGTGGTGGATATGTACGGTCTTCGTGAAAAGATGCGTTTTTCAACGGAAGTTGTTCGTAGCGTTTGGAGAGAAGATGCAAACAGATGGCTTCTTTACCTACTGGATCTCAAGTCAGGACATGAATATACTCATGAGTGCCAGATTTTGTTTGCAGCCACTGGACAACTTGTCAAACCCCGGCCGTGTGAGATCCCTGGCGCGTCAGACTTCCACGGGAGCATCTTTCATTCAGCACGGTGGGATCACAGCGTCGACCTCGAAGGAAGGAATGTCGTGGTGATTGGTAACGGGTGTAAGTCTTCTCTCTGCTACATGCAAAGCAGAGTCTATTTGACACGTTAGTTACTTTCAGGTACTGCTGCCCAGATCGTGCCTGCTCCGGTTAACGACGAGAAGGTCAAGTCAGTCACACAAATCATCCGATCGAAGCACTGGATATTCCCAGCTCCAAACTTTACTTATCCCCGCCTTTTGCAATGGATTTTTCGCAATGTTCCATTGATGATGCGGCTGCACAGACTCCATATTTTCCTTGTTGCTGAGAACGATTTTCGTTTGTTTCCAATGACCAACCGCGCGGCCACACTCAGGGACAAGCGACGGCGACAGGTGGAAAGGTACATGCGCGAGGCGGGTCCGGAGAAGTATCATGAACTTCTTATCCCAGACTTTGACGTTGGCTGTAAGGTTTGTTTATGGTTCTACTTTTTTATTCCGAGCTGCACATAGAGTGACATTGACTGTCTATTTAACATTCATCAGAGGCGAATCTTCGATCCGGGCTACCTCAAAACCCTACACAGTGACAAGGTCGTCTTGACAGACGCGAAAGCTGAAAATATCACTACCGATGGCATCGAGACAGACAAAGGTTTGATTCCAGCCGACTTAATTGTTCTAGCGACAGGTTTTCAAACAAATAGATATATCCCCTATATGGATGTTGTCGGACGCGACGGCCAAACTGTCTCACAATACTGGGCCGAAAAATACAAAGGACCAGCTGCCTACAACTGCTCTGTGCTCAATGGATTCCCTAATTTCTTTATGCTCCTAGGTCCAAACGCCGCAACTGGACATATACGTCAGCCTTGATGGCTGCGGAGAAGTACGTTACTACCTTTCTCCTCTTTCCTAAACCTCAAGCACTAACTAAGGAAGGGATAGCTCAATCAACTATGCCCTCCGTGTTCTGAAACCAGTCTTAGATGGCGATGCTGCTTCGGTAGAAGTAACTGCCAAAGCGGAACATGACTACGTTTACTGGGTTCAAGAAGCATTGCAGAAGCGTGTTTGGAACGCAGGATGTGCATCGGTAAGTCAATCAGCACCTCTCTTGTCGCCAACCAATACTTAATAAAAACTCCATCAGTGGTATGTCAACGATAAGAACTGGAACTCCATGTCCTATCCTTGGACTCAAGGTCACTATTGGTGGAGGAGTCTATATCCCATATGGTCTCATTGGAAAATTAAGGTCGGATTCAAGGCACACACACATTATTGTATGTCGTACTAACTATCAGACACAGAAAGTGGTGAAGCCCCCAAGGCGTTTCTTGCCACGAATGCTGCTCGTGGCTCTCTTATGCATTGGTTCTTTGGGCATTCTGCTCTCGAAGGGCATTGGAAAGATATCTCTTGCCCAGCTCAGGAACTACTTGATCTCGGCGCTGTCCGGGCTCTCCAGCAAGTAGATTGACTGCAACTTGCTCATTTCTTCAATCAATTTTTTTTTATTTATTTTTGCGTATGCCTTGTTTGATTAAATTCGCTCATCATGTTCAAGATGTCTTTTTGTGAAATATGGAACTCTTTAATCAATGCGTAGTTTCCATAAACATGTCCACATGACGCTTCACAAATTCTCTCCATGTAGTCAGTTTTTCGCCCTCGTCCAACCACGGATGGTTTAAGGAAGTCATTGGATTATAGAAAATATAGCTTTAGCCTAGAAATAAATCTAAAAATATATATATATATATGTACGTACTTAACTAGCAGTTAATTATTTTCTTATACAAATTTGAGACTATCTATGGTTTTTAACATAGCTTATGCCAAGCTGTTAGTCTAACTAGTGGTAAGAGGATAGTTAAGATCATGTGCTTGCTATACTTTGAAGCTTTTCCTAACTACAGTTAGGATTCCGCCTTACATTTTGCATGTCAAAAACGGGCGTTGGCTGGTGCCGTAGGGCGGTGAGTGTTTTTGTGGCAAAATGTATCTAATTAAAGCAGGGATCTCTTGGCCGGAAACCCTAATTTAACATCGTATTTCAATGAGCCATCTAGGTACATAATAAAAGCGAAGATCACGGCTAGAGGTTTGAACTGGGCATAACTTTGCTCTCTTTGTCTCCGCTGGAAGACCTTCATTGTGTGCAATTACAACCCGTGTCATTGGATAGCATCTCCCCCGGCCGTCATTCCCATTCACAGCCATTGATGCGTGTAGTCCACCCGAGAGAATAGAGAATAGGCTCTACACCGGGGCATGATTTTTGGTAGATATTAGAATGCGAAAACTTGCAGGCGGTCTTCTGAAGCCTCCTCTGTTAGTAAATATCCAAAGAAACATGATAAATAATATCCCAGATGTTTGAAATGCAAGGAAATACCGTTCTTTCGGACGTTCGACAGGCATTTCTGTCTGCATGCGCTCTCCACCGTTTAATCCCCGAATTTAGTGTCGAACGCTTGTTGGGAGAGTATCCAATGCAGACGCTACCCGTTGATGTTAAGGACGATATTGTGGCTGAATTCAAACTTATTCTGGACTTCGTGGACTTTTGGCAAGCCACAACGGAGCTCCACTGGTAACTTTTATAAGTAACATATATCGAAGAAAGCTTTGTTTGCTTTGTTTTCAATATGTGGGAAGGACAATTTCAAGTCATCTAGCAGAAAGCACTGTCAGGTATGCATTCTAACATCTAGGCTCGTCTAAGTTTGAAATATAGGGCTAGCGCGAAGTCGTGAGCGCACAAGAACGGTTCAGAGTGCAGCGCCTGTAGCAATGTCTGTTTCGCACCAAACAGTCCAAATGACATGTCACCGGATAACGATGGACAGCTCGCCCTTTGAGGTTGTGAATGACTCTCTCTGACGCAATAGGTATCTGATATAGCCATTAGCACACCAGATTGCCCTTCCATCATCATCATCATCATCATCATCATCATCCAGAAGAAAAAGAAGAAAAAGAAGAATATGACCTCAGCCAATCGTATCACTGGCGTCGGCGACTCGGTGCACATCCGATCGCAGTATTTCCCGCGCGGAATAATTCCTTCATTCAGGATATTCAATTTGATTCATGTTCCGAGGTTATATGTTATGTACGATATATGTTATGTACGATGTATATAGCTACAGAAAGCGACTCAAAGATCACGCAAAGTCGGGAAGACCCGTCTCCACACCCATAATCTCCTGCAACTTCCCCTCCAAATCCTTGGCACTCGCCTCGTTCAACCTGCGCAACGGCCGGCGCGGATATCCTCCATATCCATAGAACAGCTGAATCGCGTGCTTCGTGCCTGGGATCGCAGACTTGGTCAGCACCCAGTCACCATCGCTCAGAACCTTCTGCAGCTCAAATGCTTCCGCGATTTTTCCCTCGCTCCAGAGGTTGAAGATCTGTACGCAGGTCCGCGGAATCACGTTTGCGCCGCCCACAATAATCGCGGATCCACCTGAGATGAGCGTTTGGAGAGTGAAGTCTGCGATGCCGCCGAAAGCCACGTAGGGATGGTTTGCGGTGGGTTTGAGTGTTGTCGTATTCTCCTTTACAGGGAATGGCGCTGTGGGAGTGATGGCATTGAGCGCACGAGCGACTCGGGTGAGTTTACCGGTGTTTGCGCAGGTGAACTTGGTGCCGACGATGTTCGGGTGCTGCGAGATGCGAATGATGAGGTCCGAGTCCATGTCAATTCCGGCCACAGCGCCGGGGTAGTTGTACAGAATCACTGGTAAGGGGGACTGGTCGGCCACAGCGGTGAAGAACTCGTATATCGACTCATCGTTCCCGACTGCGTAGCGGTAGTAGCTGGGAGGGACGGTTAGAATGTACTCGGCGCCCGCTGCAGCACACTCTTGAGCCAGCTCGACTGTGCCGCGCACGCTCTGTTCGCTGGCGCCGGCAATGATGGGCACGTTTTGGTACCCAGCGTCATCGAGGGCGGCGCGGGTCTCGCGTGTGACGGTTGCGCGTTCTTGTCTGGTCAAATGCACTGCCTCGCCGTTGGAGCCCATGGTGACGAGGCCGACGAGGCCGGCTTTGGCGAGACGGACGGCATGTTTGCGGATTGATGGGGTGTCGAGTTCTTCGGTGTCGGGGTGGAAGAAGGTGACTGTTGGACAGTAGACTCCGGGCCGGAGGGGGGTTCTGGCTGTGGTCATATTGGCTCTTAACAAGGAGGGCGTTATTTCCACTCGGTTATGGCAGGGAGACAGAGAAGAAAGATGCAGACGGGCGTGAGTGAGAGTTATAGGGAGTATAAACAAGATATTCCCCCGCGTCGTCTGATTGGTGGAAGAACGCACCTCCACCAATAGGAGTTTACACCGAGGGGTATATATCTCCTCCATGGCTCCGAGGGGCAGAAAGATGCATCCAGCTCGTTTCTTTCTTTGCGCACACAACTGCTATATGTGCTAAATATCACGGCAACCAGAAGAAGCGAACACAAACGCAATCGAGAGTGTTTGCATGTTAAAAGCCGACAAGGCGTGGCGTGGCGTGACGGAGGGCTGTTTGCATGCCAATTCTTGCAAGAAAAGAATAATGCCTCACCAGTAGCCCTTGATAAGAGCAAACAGCCAATAAGCCTTGCGAAGTGGTTGCAGTCATCCTGTGTATTTTCCGTCCATACATGTAGGATGGACCGTCGGCTATTGAATGGGCCGATGCTGAGGGATTACTTCTTCTGACCACCTTTTTCCACTTTTTCTCTTTCTGTTCTTCTCTTGAACCACTCTGTAAATCATCGCCAATCCAATTGCACACAAAGAAAGAAAGCACCAAAATGCCTCCTCCAAGCGTTCTCATGGTAAGATCAGGCCTGCACTATGTAGGATTACGCCAATGCGCTCACACATGCTAGGTCGGGACAGGCGAGTACACCACCGGCTTTGTTGGCGGTGGTGCTTCTGGCTCAGACAAGAAAGTCGGCGTTGTCGGACTGACGATGTTTGATCTTCGTCGACGAGGCAAAGTGGGCAAGCTGAGCATGGTGGGCGTGTCGGGAAGGAAGTTTCCCGCGATCAGTACATAACTCTCTCTCGCTCTCTCTCTATCCGAATGAATATCTGTCTGATCTGCCGACAACAACAACAACAACAACAGAACAACACCTCCAAAAGAACATCTCCGACGTGTACAACGGACTCGACGTCTCCTTCGAGTCCTTCCCAGCAGACGACCAGACCGACCCAGATGCCTACAAAGCAGCCATCGACGCGCTCCCCGCCGGGTCAGCAATCACCATCTTCACGCCCGACACAACCCACTACCCCATCGCACTTTACGCCATCCAGCGCAAAATTCACGTCCTCATCACCAAGCCCGCCACTAAGCTCCTCGCAGACCATCTAAACCTCCTCGTCGAATCGCGCAAACACGGCGTCTTCGTCTTCATCGAGCACCACAAACGCTTCGACCCCGCCTATGCCGATGCGCGCTTCAAGGCCCGCAATCTGGGCGACTTCAACTATTTCTACAGCTACATGAGCCAGCCCAAGTTCCAGCTTGAGACGTTCAAGGCCTGGGCCGGCCGCGATAGCGATATCTCGTATTACCTGAATTCGCACCATGTCGATGTCTGTGAGAGCATGGTGCCGGATTATGCACCCGTGAAAGTTACGGCGTCGGCGAGTACGGGCACCGCGTGGGATATGGGCTGTGTTCCCGAAACGGAGGACACGATCACGCTGGTGGTGGATTGGAGGAAGAAGACGGATCCATCGAGGGTGGCCACGGGGGTGTATACGGCGAGCTGGACGGCGCCGCAGAAGGCCGGTGTTCATTCGAACCAGTATTTCCACTGTACTTATTCTTCTCTTCCACCCCCTTCTCTATGGCAAGGATGCTGATGAAATGTAGACATGGGCTCCAAAGGAGAAATCCGCGTCAACCAAGCTAAGCGTGGCTACGACGTTGCAGATGATGAGCAGAACCAAATCATCTGGTACAACCCGTGCGTTCTTCCCCTTCACACTTACACACACACATACATATATATGCGTACATGCTAACGGACTATCAGATTCTACATGCGCTACGCCCCCGACGAAGAAGGCAACTTCGCCGGGCAAACGGGATACGGCTACATAAGTTTTGAGAAATTCATAGACGCAGTCACAGCGCTCAACGAAGGGCGCGTGACGCTCGACGAGCTCGATAGTAGAGGTCTGCCCACGTTGAAAAATACGATTGCGACGACGGCCATTTTGAATGCGGGCAGAGTGTCGTTGGATGAGAAGCGGAGCGTGGAGATTGTTCAGGTTGATGGCGGGTGGGAGTTGAAGTAGTATATTTTACTTTGGAGGCGTTCCATGCAAGTGAAAGTGTCATATTGATTATTATACAACCAACCTCATTTTTTCCTTCCGCTGGCGAAAGAAAATTAAATACATCCAAGCAACCAAATAACCAGGCAAAGTATATATGTAGAAAGCAAAAACAGACCGAGACTCAAAACACCAAAAACATGCAAATAGAAACCAATAGTTCATTTTGAAATCATTGCCTGGCCTCTGCCAATCTGATCCGAGACACCATCATAAACGCCGAGAATCAACCATGGTGAACATTTTGAGTACACAGATCAGTTTCCAATCCATCAATCAAGAAAAAAAAAATCGAGATGATGATGATTCCAACATCTATAATAAGATTAAGATGTAGCACTCGCCCGTGCCGAGTTGTTCAGTTGTCGATGATATGATCCAATAGGTTGGAAGCCCCTATAATTTTCTTCATCAGTATAAGCTCGGCTCACAACGGTTCGAGAAATACTAACCTCGCTAAATCGAATCCCCCCTCCTCGTCTCCCTCCTCCTCATCTGCCTGTAGATGATTCCGGATTTGCTCCGGCCCCTCCTCCCGCTTAATCGGACCAAGAGCCCTGACATTGGACGTGCTCGGCTTGCTGGGACTGGCAAAGTTTGGCGGTGGCGGACTGCTGCTCGGCATCAGTCCATCACCCAGTATACCACTCGTACCACCCTTCAAGGGGCTCATGTCAGGCACCAGTCGCGCAGGCGTACTGCCAATATCAGCGAATTTCCAAAACTGGGCCGGCGAGCTCATGGGCATGAATTTGGACGGGATCTGCGCGGTGCTGGGAGGAGGCAGTCGTGGCTGATGGCGTTGAGGCGCAGGTGTAATCATCGACGACGGCCCCTCGTCATAATATGAGGATGAGAGTACGGGGGGAGACCCGGTAGCAGTTCCCGACAATCCATACGCGCGATTTGCCGCACTCTCGCTATTGTTGTTGGTGATATTTCGACTGTTGTTGCCGTTGTCATGATTGTCGTTCCGTGTCCGTGTCGGGAGAGGGGACTGCTCGTCAAAGTCGGCATTTCCTCCGCTTCGTGTAAGATCAGCCCGGCCGATTCGCGATCCTCTTTCCGGCGTGTAAGCTTCAACCGGAGCCACCGAGAAGGAACTAAATCCAGGAGATGGCGCTTGTGGGGAGGTCTTTGTCGCCGAAAAGATCCCTTCATAACTCGAGGCGGCCTGCCCGTTAGCGGCGCGAGCGGAGGATGGGGGTTCTTTAGTAGCTGGCGATGATGGTGCCGAAGAGTTGTTTCCTTTCCGTAACTGCTTCTTCCAATACTCCTGTCTATACTCCGGCGCAATCATCCACTTCATTCCTTTCCCAGGCTCATCAGTCCGACGCGGCACCTTTTGAAAGGCCTTATTCAGGGACAGGTTATGTCGAATAGAGTTTTGCCAGCCGCTCTGAGAGTGGCGGTAGAAGGCGTACTTCTCCATGATCCATTGGTAGATGCTGCTCAAGGTGAGTTTCTCCTCTTCGCTTGAGAAGATGGCCTGCGCAATCATCGTCGCATAGCTGTATGGGGGCTTCAAGTCTTTGGCGGAGTCCTGGCTGTAGTCAATTTCTTCGGTACTCTCCATCATCATGCCGCGATTGTACAATGGCGATGTCTTTGTCGCTGTTAGACCACCGGCGGCGGTATCTGGAGACCGCGGCGGTGGAGTGACCTGGCGCTTGAGAAATTGAGGCGCAGGTGCCAGTGATGGCTTGCCGGGGAATGCACCGGAGACCGCAGCACTGGCGACACCAGTGCCCATGTGCGCCACGTCATAGCTAGGATGTGCATGCTGCGAACCATCCCAGGGCACTTCCTCGCCAGCCGCGATGCGCTGGGCACGTTCGACAAAGGCCGGGTGAATAGTGGCTTTGTCATCGGGAGTAACAAACATCATCTGAGTGTTGGCGATTTCCACAATGTCGCCACTGTTCAGCACGGCGTCCGAGCCTCGCTTCAGCATCACATTGTTGACCCGCACGCCGTTGCGGCCGTTGACGCGAATGCGCCAGGCGGCGGACTCTTCGCCATCAAAGAAGATCTCGGCATGCAATCTCGAAACAAACTTGCTGGGGCCCAAATCGACGTGCACATCAGGCAGGGCGCGGGCGGCGATGGTGACGGGACTCGACTGCTCGTCGAGTTTATGGTCGCGATCGGGGGGGCGTCCAATGTTGACATGCAGCGTCTTGACATAGTAGGTCCAGTCGCGACCGGCAATCTTCGCATATGCCTGCACCGACTGCTTATTCTCTGATTTTGCATTGGAGTGGTCGCGCAGCACGTTGACTTCGTCTCTGGACACATTCAGCGAGGCAATGACGGTCTCGACGAGATCCTGGTTTGCGGACAGGTCGTTTTCCGGGGACGAGCGATCGGCGTCGTCGGCCGAGGCCGCAGGCTCTGGCGTTTGCACATTTCGCGATGGTGACGGCGGTCTTGGCTCGACCTGCGCGGGCGCGTCAGTAGGACAACGAACGGCGAGTTGATTGATAGATAGGGAGGGTGGGGGGAAGAACAAAATTCACCTTGCGCTTCTTGCTCGCAGGGCGGCTGGGAGAAGAATCCGGCGCCTCCACGTCGGAGGTGTCTTGCAGTTGGATATCCTTGCGGCGCGTGCGACGCCTACTCGAGAGCGGCATGTTTGTTTGCACGGCAAGCACAGGACAGCACAGGCGTGGGCCCTGAAAGGACGGAATGCTAGATCGGACTCTCCGTCGTCGTCGCTGGTTTCTGGGTTCTTCGTGCAGCTGGCTGGCAGTGCTGGGCGAGGAGTGACTGACTGTTGTGTTGTGTTGTGTTCTGGTGTGGGAAACGTTGGTTGCGTCTGCGGGCGGGAAAGCGATCGATCGTCCCTAACTCAGTTAGGCAGTCAGCGTCACTGCTTGAGACTGTAACAAGTTCAAGTGATGTATCTGATCTGACAGGCAGTAAACGAGCGCGCAGTTGTGGACTGAACGAGAAAAACAAAACTAAACTCCCGCGGCGGCAAACAGAAATGACTGAATGATTATTCCTATTTTCTCTCGTCTGTTTGTTTTTTGCCACGCCGAACCAGTCTTTGCTGCATTCGCTGTCGAGCAGAGCCGATTCGATTCTTTGGTTCGGCCAATGCGATGCGCGCGAAAGGCTCGAATTTTTCTTCTCTCGAGGGAAGAAGAAAAAGGGAAGCAGAACGAAATCAAGGGGGAAAGGAAATGGATGTCTGCCGTGTGTATGATCTGTCTACGTATCGTAACCTATATGTATGTACGTGCTGTGTTGCCTGGGTACCTCTTCTATGCAAGTCTGCACGTATGTAACATATACACCGACTTCGTATGAAATACTACTCTGCCCATCGACCTGCCCCATCAAACTAACTATTTTCAAGCAGAAACCCAATCTGCAAATCCTCACAGACCTCGATGAGGGCAAATCGTGGTGGAAAAGAAAGGCGGGCAAGAAGGGAAAAAAAAAAAAAAGTGGAATTCCGCATTGGGAAATTTCTTTGCATTTCGCCGGAAACGGTCACTCATGGATCGATAACTAAACAAATAGAGAGAAGGATAATAATATGACGATAGTGATAACAATAATGATGATGACATGCATCGAAGTAATCTAGATTGTTACATCGTTGCGTAAGGACTGTACCTATAGATTTTAGAACAGGTTTTAATCACAATACTTGGTTAAATATCGAGGTAATGCTATGCTTATGTTATGGAGCAGTTCTATCCGGCCATCGATGCGACGGTCTGACTGTTATGCATTCATTAGCTGCTACCTGCTACCTTTCGTATGTATACAATGGTCAGGAACTGAAAGCAGTCAGCAGTGTAGTTTGCATGCATCATTGTACCCTGATCAGGTAAAAGCTGTACAGGCACACATAGCGTACAGAAAAATAAAATAAAAATAAAAATAAGAATAAGAGAATTGACTGAGAAATCAATCGAACCAATAATCAGATGAAAATATGAAATAGACAAAAAAAAAATCCTTCCAGAGAGGAGTGTGACAACTAGCTAGTCCAATAAAACAAACATAAGAGAAAACAAGACCCGATGCATCGATTATATAGTCGATCGTAAAAAAAAAACAAAAAAAAAAAAAAAAAAAAAAAAAAAAAAGGTAAAAGGGCGGGAAAAAGGCTTTTAGTCCATTTTCACGCTTTCGTCATCGTCTACCCCCTTCAGGATTGGATATAGACTTTGTGACTGTGTCGCTGATGAGGTTAACGATGATGGGTTTGTCGTGTCTGCTGTTTTGTTGACTTCTTTTGAAAAATTCGCTTCTTCACTATGTTCAACGCCTTCCATACGATCCTCCGCGTTTGTCACGGTTGCTGCTGGAGAGGCAGATGGGAAAGCTTCTTCATCGTAGTCACCGCGGGACAGTCGGTCCTTAACATAGGCCCGCAACTGTTCCAGGATTCGGACATTTTCCAGCCATTCCTCTTCGGCCTTCCGCGCCGCTTCCGTCGCCGCTTGCGCCGTGCGCTTGGCTGCTTCGGGATCCGGTGAAGAAGAAGAAGAAGCAGCCTCTTCTTGTAGGGCTGGATCAATCAAACCACTATGGAACTTCTCATCGCGCTCTCGGTTCGTTTCTCCGGGAGCTACCTTCCTCGTGGGCGTCCGCTCGCCATCTTCCATAATATCATCGGTAGGTGACTTGGGATAATCGTCCGGTCGGCTTCTCTCCAAAACACCGCCCGTCCACCGCCGTCGGTCGTTATAGTCGAAACTATTACTGAGAGTCGATGGAGGTGCTGCATTGGCCGACGCGGTGTAACCACCAGCCACTTCGTGAGCGGCCGTTGAAGGCAGGCGTGGATACATGGCCATGTCATCCTGATGAGGGGGAGAGACGCGGTGCGTGTAAGAGCTGGGTGAGTGGCTGGACACGTAAGACACAGCACTCGACGGCGGCGTCAATGCTGGCGTCGAGCTGGGCGACGTTGAAGCTATAACAGAAGTATTTGACATGTTGCTAGTCGTTGCTGTAGCGTGACTAGAGGGAAGTGTTATAGGCGGCATCTGGTGTGTTGTACCGTGGCCCATGCGATGTATGTATGTGGCCCCAGGCTGGGCGATACCTGCAGCCGCCACATGGTCATCATTTTCGTAAACAGTTGTGTGGATAGTATCAAGCATGCGATCAAGGTCAATCAAGTCATTCTTAGTGCGAGCGTTGGACATTGGCGGGAGATGGTAAGCCTGTGTCGCCAAAGCTGGTCCGTAACCGCCGTCCGGTCCTACCGCGACGGCGCCACCCATTCCGTGGAGGTCGTGGGTAGGACCAGTGGTGAGAGGCAGCTGCAAGCCCTGTAGGCCGCCAAGACGCTGCCCAATAGCCGCATACGACGTGGGGTCGAATTGTCGGCGTTTGGTGTCCCCAAAGAATGCATTGACCGAGTCGAAAATGCGCTTCCGAGAATCATATGTAGTATGGTTGTCACCTTGATTCAACGCGTAGTAGACGTTTCCGTAAGCTGCATTTGGTGGTTGTGGATGTGGTTGTCCTTGGTAATATTGAGCAGGTTGATGGTAGCCTTGACCAGCGTGCACGGGATTCATGGGTTGCTCAAAATAATGGCCTCCAGCAGGAAATCCTGTTCAAAGAGTCAGTTTAAGGGCCAGACCTTTGTATCAAGAGCAGAGAAACGCTAACCTTTGGGGTTGTTGACCATACCATAAGGCAGTTCCTGGCCTCTTACATCAGCTGGGCCAGGCGACCGCAGGAGGACCGAGTCATCAGCATGCGTCTTGACGTGCTTTTTCAGATCCTGGGGTCGCTTGAACGCTTTTCCACAGAGATCGCACTTGTGTGGCTTCAACGGCACATGGACCCGGATGTGCGAGGTGATGTGATCTCGCTTGACCGTCGTAGTCCGACAGTTTCCCCATTGGCAGGTCAAATTCAGATTATTGGTAGACTTGCGACCAACGTGCTTCTCACAGACGTGCTCCTATTTTATATTAGTCTAGTCTCTAGTTCTAGTCGTCGGTTGCCGAAAACTTACATAAAGCACTTCGGGATTGGCACATCGCTCTGAACACCCCTGCCACATGCATTGAAAATCTTCCACTCCGGCACTGCCAGTGGAATTATTCTGGTTGCCGACCACGGCCACGGCGGCGGCGGCTTGGGCCTGAGCCTGGGCCTGAGCTTGCGCTTGAGCCTGAGCCTGGGCCTGAGCTTGCGCTTGAGCCTGAGCCTGGGCGCTGCTGGACGACGTGGTTGGCGACTGTGGCGATGTTTCTGAATTCGGAACAGTATTCACAGAGGGAGCAGTAGATGTGGAGGGTGTAACAGTCGAGGCTTGGGGAGCAGCAGTCGCCGCCGAGTCTGTTGCTGCTGCTGCTGTTGTTGCTGCCATGATGGACGGTGGACGATGGATGCCAAGCCACGTGAAAGAGTCTTGGTATTCAGCGGGAAGGCACCCGATTCAATCAAGAAGAAAAGAGTAAACAAAGTGCTGCCTCTTTTCTTGTTTCTTTGCGCTGGCCAGGGCACAGACAGAGTATTATGCGAAAAGGCGATGGGTTGTTTTTTTCTCTTTTCTTTTGCAAGGAGGGAAAATGAGCGATAAAAGGACAGGGAGGGGGCAGTTTCTGACCACCCAGTCGCGTAACGTCGCCGAGGCAGAGAAAAACAACTTTCCCACGCCGCCACAGCTGACTCGAACAAGCAAGTAGATGATATAATAAGCGATATATAAAAATAAAAAAAAAACAGGACAATAGAGTGCAGGGCTCAAGGCTTATTTTCGAGAGTGTCCGGTCCAAGATTGAAACGGAAGAAGCAGGAGGAGGGAAGAAGGAGGGAGGAAATAGGAAGGGTTGGCACGCGCCGAGCATCTGCCCAGACCCGCGGGAGAGGGAAAGAGGAGGGACAAGAAGCCTTGCTTGGCACGGCATGTGGCACGCCAATCAGAGCCCAGCCCGAAAGTCGGATTGCCCGATGAAGCAGTAAACGAGAGGAAAAGGCGCCAATGAGACGGCGAGCCCGTAATTAGCCTGGCAAACGCACAGAAAGCAACGGCCGGCGACGTTGGTTGCCTGAGTCATTCTCTGGGGCCAGCCAAGCCTCAGCCAAGAAGCCACCGACCCAATCAGGCGGCGCATGCGGTGCAGCTGGACTTAATTTACTCGGCCTGCGAACTACGCAGCATATAACTTAACATGGCTATGTGACGAAGGAGGGCTGCGTATCTTCGTATTCGTATATGCGCGTCGACATGCACATACCACCCGCTGCACGGAATCAAGTTATGAATTATGACTATGTTCACGATGTACGCGCACTTCTTGGCTGCCAACGGACGACTTTCTTGGCCTCCTCTCCGCCAGCCAAGGAAAGGGAAAGGGGCCAAGCCTTGATCGATCGCGAAGTCACGATGCTTGGCGGCGGGCGGACGGGGTAGTTTACTCCGGACTCTACATAAAACACAGTTGTAAATGGTACAAGTCGTACAGAAAGTAAGTACGTACTACGGAGCGAACGCTATTAGGCCGCCTTGCGAACAGGTGGCTGATACCAACTCCAGATATTCAAGCCCACCTTCGATCCCGACAGCACAGGCAGCGCTGCATGCCAAGTTTCCGGATACCCCGAGCCATCTGCGCGCAAATTCTCCCAGAAGATCGCGTTGCCCTTGATTGGCTTGAACGTGACACCCTGGTACTTGCCATCGTCATCATCACATTCGATGAACCGGCACCACTTCTTCCGTTCCCCGGGCTTTCGCAGATGCGGGAAATTTGTGCCTCCGCCGGTACAGTTCCCATCTAGATACACCATAAACGTGCTCATACGGTCGCCGCCGCCGCGGTGTGCTGCCATTCCCGTCCAGTCGTAGTGATGCCGGTAATGGCCCGAGGTATTGTAGCGTTGGGACCACATGCGCTCGATATATAGGAATGGGCGCCAGCCCTGGAAGGAGCGTGCGCGCTCTTCTGCGCATCGGACTACAGCGTCGCGGTCGAGGAGGGCGCGGTCGGAGTGGCGGATGGATGGGTCGATGCGTTCTGAGATGCCGTCGTAGATACTGGATGGGGACCATTTAGATTCACTAGTAGACAAAAGAGTGAATTAGCGTGCAAATACGGACAGAAGTAATTGGTTAGGTATTTTGAAGGAGATAACAAACCTGACTGCAACAAGGTGGTCAGCCTCGGCATCCGTGAAGAAATCCTCAATATATATGATTAAAGGCGAGCGCGAGAAAATATGCACTCGATAATCATCATCCCGACAATCCAGTTGAGCAAGCAACTCCGGATCCTCGGGGCTGATAAAGCTATCGTCCGTGGTATTCAGTCCAGGCAGTAGATTGTCATAATCTTCGAAGTACTCTCCAAACGCTTCAAGACTATTGGCGCCATCTTTCCGGCCGGTCGACTGGGCGGTAGGGGAAGAAGAAAAAGAAGGGAATAGAATGCGGAGACCCGGTGCAAGGAGGAAGAGATAGATGGGAACGAGGTAGAAGAGCCAGGTTAGTATTGTAGAGAAACTTGGGTTGGAGGTGGTTGGTGGCATGGTGGAAGGTCGTACTGTGCCTTTCGATTTGGGACGGGGTTCAAAGTTCTGTCAACTAACCTGGTATCCACACCGAGACATTGCGTTCCGCATTTCATATCCTAGAACAGCCTCAATTCGGAAATCACTTTCTATATAAATAATATGCATTTACAAGATTTATTCAATCAAACATGCATTCCATTCGATTCTGGATATCTCACTCCATGCTCTTTTTCTGATTCCACATACATGCCTGCGTTCTTATCACCGAAATATTGACAATGTTTTGTGTAAACAGTACTAAACACCGTGTTGGAATCAATAAAAAAAAACAAAATATATGAACAAGGATATAAACAAATATATAAAGAAGGGAAAAAAAAAACAGTCCATATATATATCAATCAAATGCACATGGCGAAACAAACCCACATGCGGCAACTTCACTTCATGGTCATCGCAAAAACCCGAACTCCACAGCGTCAAAACATTCGTTAATAAGGGTATTGTTATTGGTATTGGTATTGGTATGATGAAAAGAAAACAACCACCCTCAAACGCCAGTATTCATCCATTGACTCCAGTCATCATTCATAGCGGAAGTATTGCTGGGATTCGTTCCGAGAATTTCGCCAAAATTTACATCCATATCGAAGCCCATGCCCATAGATGTCACTCCCACATCATCTATCGTCAGATTGCTGTCCCCAGGAGCCGATTTCTCCTTCATTAACTGCTCGCGGGCAGTGTTCTGAGTCGAGGGGCCAAAGCTTTGCCATACGTAGTTATGAGGAAGGGATACTAGGTCAGGACTTTGCAAAGTATCAGGTGTTGAGGAGCTTTGTGTCGCGGGGGAATATAGTTGTGTTTCGAGTCCTAGACGCTGGAGGTGAGGCGCTAGCGTTGTAGCACTCCTTGTAGGAAGTGGCCCATGTAATCCTTGAATTCCAGAAAATCCATCAAAGTTATTTGATGATGTGTTATGAGAAAAGCCTCCACTGAGAGCAGCAGGCGCATTTCCCTGCACAAGGGATTCAGGGGTATACTGCATGGGTGAATTTGATATGTCTTCCCTAAAATGACCATCCTCAAGAGTGGACATAGGCTGTGCAGGGTAAGCGAGCTGATCACCTGACGGGAACATTATAGGCATGAGATCCGGAAGAACCTGATTGGTGCAGGGTTGCTGTGATGGGACAAACGGCTGCTGCGCCGGTGGCTGAGTCAAAGACTGGCTTGCCGCCGGGCTACTTTGATGAGAAAATGAAGGCGACATCGACGCGGGAGATTCGGTCGAGTCTGAGGTACCATCCCAAAGCCAAGTTTGTGACCGCCTAGGCAAGGTGTCGTCAATACTCTTCTTCGTATTATTATTGTTGTTGTTAAACTCATTTGCCTGCCTTTCTTGCGGAGCTCTTAGTTTCGTCGGGAAAGAGTTTGATCGTTGTGGCGTCTCAAACGGCAAAGACATGGAGGAAGGCCGTTGCACTCTCGTTTTAGCTGGTGTATTCGAGGGCGGCGGCCGCTTCAAGTTTACTACATGATGCGCCGCTGAAGTTTGACGGCTTTTGAGCTTCTCGGGAAGTTGCTTGAAAAGACCCTATGAGAGACAATCAGCAAGGTATGTATATAGATATGTATATCGAGGGGTAGCTTACAATCAAGCTTTGAGCGCATCTGTCTGCAGCCATGCTCTTCTTAGCCAACATTGCTAAAGTTGTTTTTCCTTCTAGGGCGTCTTTGAGAATACCATCTTTGGCCGTTGATAAATCCGGATTCTCGAGAACGAAAAATACCAACGAGAGGATAGCGAAATATGTCGTGTACATGACAAACCAGTAGGATCCATTGAGCAGACCCTTCCGATACATGCTAGCCGTAATATGAACCACATTTCGAGAAACACTAATGCACGCCGCAGCGCATGCATAGGAGCGCTTGTCGATACTCTGATTATGAAAGCTGTTTGCTACGTAGTGCAGGAAAGGTCGGTACATCAGCATCTGCACGTGAGCATAGCTGATCCGAAGCAATTGTTGCATACTGTTTCGTTTGTGTCAGATCCTGGATCCTATGTCTTTTTATTCAGATGTAATCTTACCGTTCATATTCGGGACTGACTTCACTGCCTGGCCTCAGTGTAGTGGGCAAATTTTCCATCCATACCTGAAGATCCCTCTCAATCTCCCGAATTTTGGCATGGCTGATCATATAAGTGTGATCAGCCTTCGACTGGTGTTCTGCTAGTTTAACAGGGTAGATGTATTTGACCACTTTGATCATAACGTCGCTTAGGGAAGCCTGTGCGTTTGATCCTGCCATGAATGATACGCGATCAGACGGCATGGTGAGGATGCCCGTATGAGTGATAAACTCATCATCTATATCTAGTGGATACTCCTGGTCAATATCCTTGCTGCTCACCATCTGTGGCAGCCCTAAAAGACTGCTGACATAGATGTCCATCTTTCGAACTGTCCAGAATATACGTTTTCGAAGTTCATTCTCCACAGGATCAAAGTTGGCGTCGACTTTTCGATGGAGGCCTAAGCGAAGGGCAGCCCGCAGAGCAATCCCCACATATGAATAACAGGTGCTCAATTTTGCTGTGGATTGGAGGAACAAGACCATGAAACAAATAGCCTGTAGAGTGATTAAATCCCGGCAGTCTGTGATATCGAGTAGATGACGGCCTGCTCTGAAATATTGAAACCTAAATGGATAGAAGCGTTAGTGTTGAAACCAGAACCTTTCTTGCATAAAAACAGATGATGATGCATACCCCTGGCCAATGGCCCCCTCGTAGCCCGTCCTGTCAATAGCGCTCTCGACATCACTGCTTGAGAAAAGGCATCCAACAGCCATTGCGACATATAAAAGGGGCAAGAAAGTGTGTTCTTCATTTGTAAATTGTTCGTAAGAATTTGCGTATACACGGTCAAAGGTTGACCAAAAAGTTGGCTCGTGAATAAAACGCATGAGAATACAGGCGTGGCCGAAAGCGCTCTGACAAAGCCTCATTGCGACATCTTTCGCGGGCAGATCATGAGTTGGAGGCAGGTTGTGGCCATTCATGTCCTGCGGAGACTCTGATTGCGACTTGGGACTTTCGAACATCTGCATAATTGGCACGGGCTTGTTCAAGGGGCGCAGAGGTACGGAAAAAACATTTCCGATTTGTTTCCGCAGTCGTTGCATGAATATGATACTTGACGAATGGCCGTGGTAGTCCCAATGGCCTTGATCATCAACGTCTAAGAAACCGGAGTTTTCCATCATTGTCTCCAAGAACGAACCATCGGCACCATCGGCACATGTGTCTTGCTGTGGCGCATTGCTTGCTGGGGGTTTTGAGGTTGGTCCATCCGGTAATCCATCCCGTCGCAGTGCCGCAACTATCTGCTCGGTGTCGGTGGCGAGTAAGTGAGGATCATTCAAATCGAGGTCAGGGGCCAGGAATTGAAGGATCTCTTCGACTTTGTGGAGGCGCGCTTCCAAGGCCTCAACATGCTGTGGGGTGGGGTTTCGACGACGGTTCGAGGGTTGATCGTACGTACACTCTGCAGGAGGAATAAGTAACACCACCAAAAAGACAAGACGATTTCTATTCTGAAGATTATCAAATCTTACCGTAGCTGTACACTGTGCAGTGGGTACATGGCTGCTTCCCATCGCATTTGATTTTCTTCCGGCGGCATTCGTCGCATGCTCGGGTGACCCTCCTTCTTTTCTGCATAGGAATCGAATTCTTGTCTGGTTTAGATTGAGAGGGATGGAGGTTTTCTTCCAAAGATTCGTCTTGAGTTTCTGCGCCTGCGCTCTCGTCGTGCGTATGAGGTTGGGACTCCGCAGCCGCACTGTGACCATTCTCATCGCCTGCGGTGTTCGGTCCATGAAGTGAATTGAAGTGCTCATCCATAGTGACGACAATTCACTGACGCTTAAATCAGACGCGAAAACATAGATCGTATCTGGATACTCGGGAACCGCTTCAATTTCGCATTTCGCGAGGTAGGTAATACGTTAAGTTAATAGTACGCGGGGGGGGGGGGGCGATGCGCTTTATCGGGGATAATGGATTGTAAGATCGGCGCGATGCCGAGACTTTGCGGCTACACCAGTGACAATGTCTCGACTTCTTGCTGATGGCTCAATGACAGGCCTCAGAGGTCTGGTTGCTTCAAGGGTGTAGAAAGAAAGAAGCGCTTAAGATTAGTGAAGTTTCCGGGATCGCGCCACGGAGGACGGAAAAAAGAGAAGAGCGGACGCAGGCGAGAATGAAGTGTCACGATCAGTGATCCAAGCGGGGAGATATAGAAAGACGAGACGTGGAAGTGAAATTATAGAATAAAAAGTATGTAGAATTTAAAAAGTAAGAAAAGGTGCAGAACAGGCGGTGGAGCAGCAGGGACGAACAGGTTGAAGAAGGGGGAAAAAGAGGGAGAAGACGTAATTGCCAGTCAAACTCGCGGGAAGGAGCGAACCAGCTAAGCTGCAAGTGGCAATCATGTGCTGCTGCAATACCAAGTTCGTTAATTAGTTCAGTCACGGGTCCGTCATCCCTGACTATCATCTCTGCCAACATGCCGATAAATAATAAATGCAATGATCTGAGAATTCTCTTGTTTCGTACGCAAGCTCTGCCGGGCGGCTCTTCTGCAAGGCTGATGCCGATGGAAACCGACATGGTACGGAGGATGCTCTATATTCACTATGCCGTAACTATACAGCCAAATTGGGAGCTTTGGTCCTCTTTTTGTTTATTGTGGTTTTTATTTTTCGCTTTCTTTCCCACCTGCATCCCTCATTGCCCATTCTTACTCAATTCTGGTCATTTCTGGGTAAGTATATCCCTCATATAATTTCTGATGGTCCAGAATTAAATCCGCCTCGGAAAAAATAAAGAAAAAAGGGAGAAAGAAGCTTATCGTTCGCTAGCCATATTGGGGATAGCGTGTGCGATTAAAAATACATGCATCCCGACCTCCCTGCTGCTTATTTTCTGGCATGGACTTGTCAATATCTGAGGCAGCGCCATTTCACTATTTGCAGTACTAGCATAGAAAGCTAGAAATTTTCCATCTCTTTGACAAGGATTAAATCCGACACATGACTACATAAAGCTTAGTCAGTGTAAGATTGATTACAAATTTACATACGGTACAGGAGACTGGAGCAGCCCACGTGCCAACCCGGAATTCGGAATTCGGGTATTGCGGGACTCTGCCTCAATACGAGTTGAACGTTTATAACGTATACGATATGTAGTATGCAAGGAGCCTGCAAAGCACGCTCCTACTCTTCGTTCTCTCCTTGAGTGGAAACTCAAAATAAAAATAAAGTACGCAAAATAAAATGGTACGCTGTGTAACAAATTCCACGTTTCCACGCCGCCGCAATACCCGTCACCAAATCCGAGCCGAGGTATACACAGAATTGGCCAATGAGAGGAGAAGCCGCATAGAACGTTTAGATACGCTTTATTCAATTGGCGCTGCTATACTCTCTCAACTCTAAGTTCTGCCCTGGTAGTAATCAATAAAATAGCATCAACTCTGTCTGTTGATCGTCGGTGAAAAGGCCAGTCTAGCCGTCAAGCCCGAACTCAAAATCCATTGCTTGCTTCCTTTTCCAGTGTCGGAGAAGAAGAAAAAGAAGAGGGGTAAAAGCGTCGATAGTAGATTTGCTGATTGCCAACCGAACCAGAAACGCAATCGCCTAATGGCAGCAGAAGAAAAAATAGACGATCTCGTGATGTCGAAGAAGCATTGAGTTGGCGACCGGCTGCATGATCGGCAGCGGATTTTTTATATTTTATATTACTCGAATAATCTGATTAGTTATCATCTCCGCTACTCCATACCAGATAACCGAATCGCCAAATTCCCTCACCTGCAGAGTCTGCACCCAATAGGGACTTCGTTTTGGCTTTTGATATCAAGGATAAGAATCCGAGGCGGAGAATTGGCCCTAGGCCTACTATATATTAGTGCAAGGCAACAAGGCTCCGAGAATAAAACCGGCGTCAGAATCAGAGATATTGTATATGTCTGTTGACCGTGGTGGGCGAAGAGGCGGAAAGGTGACTGAGAAGCAAGAAAAGAGAGGTATAATTCTAATCTACCCCGGAGCGCCTAGGTAGGTACTAGGACTCTATAGCTATAACTTAGATATCTTGACTGTCTGGCTGCTCAAGCCTTGACGCAAGGAACTGCCTTTGCAGCTCTGGAGGCACCCTGAGAAATAAGGGTCGAATCTTGCTGGATCAGCATGAACCTCGCTCCTAAAGTGTTGATCATCCTTTCTTGCAACTCCTGAAGATCGTTGATTCCAGCTACTCCAAAGACCTTCCCATGTTTCAGACATGCTTTGCTAACCTTCTCAATCGAGGTTCGATAGGCGTCGCTGGTGAACTTCCCACTGATGCCAAGATCGATTGACAAATCCAAAAAAAATTCAACGCCAACAATGGCGGCAATCTCATCAGCAGCATCAACGCCGTGTTTGTCCTCAATCATGACAAGAGCAGTGGAGCCCAAGCTGTTTAAAGCCTCAATGGTCTCGTCAACCGGAATACCTTTTAGGCCAAGAATGGGCAACTGGCTAATCATCGACCGCGAGCCCTGGGGCGGGTATTTACAGGCGTTTACTGCTGCGCTTGCATCTTCTGCAGGAGCCAGGTAACCTCGGACGTTTCTTGACCCTGTCTATGCTCTCGGCGACATAATCGACGCTGTGCTCCGTCACTAGTATCGAATTAGTACTCAACTCATTTCTTATCTGGAATATGATACACTTACATGCCGTCACCGGCAACCGGCCTGATGACAGCGGATAGATGTGGTCGAGTTCGGTGACTTGAGGAGGGCAATTGGTCTTCCACAGTTTATGTTTAGCCTGCCAGGTGCGCTTCATGCTACTACTTAATATATTAGATATAGATTCAGCCTGGGTTGTCTTGGTATAATCATATAGCAGTTAGAACTCACCAAGTGGACCCGTTTGTTGGGCAAACAAACTATTGAAATTATCAATCAATTTCAACAATGTCTCACGTTGAGAACAAAATTAGCGACTACGCCGTAATAGGTAAGCTGGCGGACGACAGATCGATCCGATATAAGATCGCTGCTACTTTAGGTAGAAGCCATGTCTCAACTCAGCTGTAACTAGTTAAAGGCTGAGCTGACTAAAAGGTGCATAGCTGATTCACTTTTCTCTGTTAAGCTCACATTTAGATATCTTCGAAAATCTTGCAGAGTTTAGACTTTGATAGGTAGCATTGCATTACATTGAACGCGGCCAAGACTACTGTAGATAGTTTTAACAAGCGAAGAGAAGTTGCATGCAGTCAATAGAGCAGATACATGCAGTCGAACTGACGAAATCCCCGACGGATCTGCAGGCACAACTTCAATCAATGAATATTGTGGCTGAAAATAGCTTGATTGCAAATCCAATTTTCGCCCTAGACCAGTCATTCGCACATGCCAGACTAAAAAAAGTAGGATTTGACGTTGGACGGCGAACGCACCGACCAAGGCTTAAGACTTCTCCACAGCTGATCTTGGAACGGCCGGCAGTCGTCCATCAGCATCAGTGATCAACGTCACGGGCCGAGTGCTGGCAACACGTTTCTGCACGCAGTAGGGGTCGTACGGAGCAAGGCAGCATAAATAATTTCGACGGCGAGATCGAACGTTGGCGCTCTCTAAAGCTGCGCTGCTAATGTAGGTGGGGCCTTGCAGCCTTCCACAGGTACATCGCCGTCAAACCTCGCCTAACATATCTCTGGTTGCGACTCGCAATCGGCAGTCGAATGAAGTTCGTTCTTCGGTTCCTGTGAGCTCCCCGCAAACAACGCGTAGTACCTAGGCACCTTGCTCGCCATGTCGCAGAGCAGGTGGCAGTTCATCGACTCATCGAAAAACAGTGCGGACAACCTGACTCAAGTGAAGCGCCATGTGATGCAGGAGTATATGCGGCAGAAGCGCCTGGAGAACAAGCACGAAGACAGCGGGCAGGTCGGCACAAAGAAACGGTCACGAGCCAAAAAGACGAAGGTGCAGCCTCAGGCACGCGCTGCCGGGGAAGGAGCATACTTCAACTTCAACCTGACATCGTCGCCGCGGACCATACTCAGTGCCGCCAGAACGGACCCCTTTGACGCCCTGCCGTGGCAGGCCTCCAAGGAGGACCAGCGTCTTTTTGACTTCTACGTGCATGAAATGCCGGCATGTTCTTATGGACACCATTTTCGTACCAAGAAAGCCCACAACTGGTACACTGAAGTCTTCGTCCCCGAGGCCATGAAAGGCGCCCTGACCTTTGTTAACACGATCCTGGTCCATGGCGCCAACACCTGGGCCTGGGTTCGCAATGAAACTGAAACCGAGAGCACTCTGCGCTATCGACAGCTCGGTATTTCAATGCTCCGCGACCACACCCAGAAACACCCTCATGATATGACCGACAATGTTATCACTGCCTGCATGAGCGCTGCGGCCCTCGAGGACTTCGATCCTCGACCAGGGCATAAGGAAATTAGCTGGATTCACATGCGACAAGCCCAAAGATTGATCCGACGTCGCGGTGGCCCTGCAGCTTTTCAGAACACCACATTGGCAAGGCTCATCAACTGGCAAGATTATATTTTGGCCGGCTACGTATCAGATCCAGACGGGTTCTACTTTGAAAACAACCATCGCTTCCCCTCCGACGCAGCCAGACCGTCTCCGAACACCTGTCTCCCTTCGCCTCCCAATTCGGCATCCCCAGCTACCTCAGATCGCACCCCTTCGCCTACCCGCTTTTCGTTTACAAATACGCCCGAGCAAGAGATAGCACTGCAGTGCGAAGAGTTCCTCGATTTTCTAGGGCGCTGTGAACGTCTAGCCCTGAGCCAACGAATGGCGCTCCCACCAAACAATGCAAGTGTTCGTCACACTGGCTTCGGGCCTGCGTCGCCTCTTCACCATATATTAATATCCCCAGCGGAGAAGCGACGAACAGTAACTGGGGACCGGAAGCAATTTATTGCTCGACTAGCGGCCCTCTTGATGCTGAATGCAGCCATGTGGGATTATCGATTGTCTGTCCGCAAGACCGAGGCGTTCTTAGCGTATTCAATACACCAGCTTCAGGAAAGCGAGGTCAACGTGGGTTCCTCGATAGAGGCACTATTACAGATTCTTCTTGCATGCAAGGACTTCCCTTTGGATGAAAATCTGTCGCCTGTCCTGCATCCGGTTTCTCAATCTCCGGCCATCCCGGACCTCGCCGATTTCTCACAATATTCCGACACCGCAACGTCTCCATTTGCCCGGCCGTGGTTCGTCGGCCGTATGCTCAAAGTCGCAAAGCGCCTCGGACTCCAAACCTGGCTTCGTCTCAACAATTTTCTGTTCGAATGCCTGACGCTCCAGGTTCAAGAGCATACCATGCTTTCTTGGGGACCTCATCTGCGATTCGAAATCCTGCAAGCTCCTCTGACAAGCTACGTTATGCCTGCTTTACAAGAGGCTGTCTTTCTAGGAGTATAACTGTATAATATGTTTCAGCTCTTTGGAAGTCCTGGCTGTAACATTCTGTTTATATACCCGAAGTATTTATCGAGGCTGGTGTTTCTGCTTATGCTTGGTGACCAAATACGTGTGGTCATCTTTTTCGAGGCGTTCGGGCAGTCAATATCAAGCGATGGCGTAAAGGTTAAGTATTTTATACCCCCGGAGCGAGACAAAATTGTACATGCAAACCTGGGTGCTTGATTTTCTCCTGTACCTATAATAGGAATAATTACGCTTCCAGAAAGCTGGCTTTCTGGCTTTATAAACCTATATCTATATAAATATATTCTTTATCGCTCTGCCGTAGGAAGAAGTGGCACGGCATTCCCAAAAGAGTAAAATTGAAGACTCACGGCGCGTCTAAACTCGCCGGTCGCGACTGCCTCCCTCAAAACCGGAGCGGACAAACCTTCTTCCGTGCTTGTTTGCTCGCAGCTTGACTTCCGGACCTGACAAACGTACCCAACTTCTCTGAACCTCGTCCGTCAAGTTTATCAGAGAACTGTGCTCTGTAAATTCTATTTTTATCTATTATCCGAAACTGGGGAACGTTGAAACGGATTCAATAGCAGCAGGTTTTCAGCAAATCCCGTGTTCTGCGCATTGCTCAGCTCCGCTCCGAATTCTCTCTGTGGCCGCCGTATTCCTTCTTCACCACCCCATACATCGGAGAGCGCAATGAAACTTGAAATTGGAAAATCACCTCGTTGAGATTGGTTTTATATTGTTGATTTTCCTGTGCGAACTTGCATCACAGCAAACATCCTACTCATCGTCCGTCTACGGCGCTTGTCCGAGAGTTTGCGCGCCTTGATTCCTACGACTGACGGGAACTGTTTTTTTTTCTTTCTTTGACACAGAAGTGAACAGCGTTATTAGTACGGCACAACGCAAATATATCTGGCCAATGTCTCAATGAAATATTCTCCAACAGTCCCTGATGCTGGGGATTATCGCACTGTCGTCGCGCTTTGAGTACATACAATGGGGGTGAATCCCTACGAAGCAGACCCCAAGCGGGTGCCGAAGAAGGATCCATACCTCAATCGTAGTCCTCATTATGGGCGCTATGCTCCTCAGGATGACGATTTTAACACCGAGTTTCGTGATTGGCACAGTCCCGAATCCGACAAGCAGCACGCTTACTGGACGGAAGTGGTGCGAAAATACTGTATACCGCAAAACTCATTGCATGTTGTCGGGTCTCGCGCTGCTTTTGCGGTTGGAAAGGTCATAATACGTGTGGATGGCGACAGCGTGGAAGGCGCTGCGGCTGAGCGATTCTCGCGTTTGAATGCGAACGAATTGATTTCGTCAAGAAAGGCTCAAGGAATGTTGAAGGATTTGAACGTCGCTGTGCCTGTTATACTCTTCTGTGGAACAATTGACGGAAAGAATATCGTCGCCGAAACCCGTATACCTGGAGTGTCCTTGGAGGTCGCGTGGAATTACCTCTCAGAGGCTGATAAAAAGAGCTTCAAGATACAATGCCAACAGATCCTACAGCGTCTCTCTGGTGATGATGATCACCCAGACGCCCCGTCATATGTATGTGAAGGCCTCAATACCGTGTCCCAGCCGGATATACCGGATGTTGAGCACGATATTCTATTTGCTCCGAGGGAAGTTGGCGAAGTACTGTCTCTCACACATAATGACATGGTGCGATCGAACGTTATAGTCGACAACGGGCGGGTAGTTGCGATAACTGGTTGGCGTCAAAGTGGTTTTTTTGGACACGACCGAGCGCAGAAAATACATCGTCTTCTTCGCATACCCGAACGTTCCCATATCTTTTCATCCGGCGAGAGATCCACGCAAGACCAGGCGTGGGCTGACTTGTACGATTCTCCTGCCCCGAACACAGAACCTGTGCAGGACACAGATAGGGAGGCTAGGGTAAAGGCAGAGACTCCCGCAGCAAGTATAGAGAAAATCCCTGCGGCACAATCTGTCGCTCATACACCACAATTTGAAAGCATCGACGAACTCCCGACACCCAAGAAAATTAGCGATCTCAAGCGCGGATCAAGTTCGAGGGCATCATCTATGGACAGATCATCGCCCTCGGCTCCTTTAAACCCGTCGAAACTAGGGCCCAATGCCCGAAAGTCGTCGTCCGTCTCAATGAAGAAAGCCTCTATCGCGACAAAAGTCACGCAATCAAAGAAACGCAAAATCGACAGCCTGGACACGGAAAGTGTTGATGAGCGACGTTCCAACAGCCCTTCTTCTAATAAAGGGCCGTCACTCAAGAAGCGTGCGTCAGCTTCAGTAACGGGGTCGCCTGCGCCTGAAAGTAAGAGGGGCAGACCAAAAAAGAAGAAGCCCGCTTCAGCGAAGCGGACTTCACAACAGCAGTCAGGAGTGCAAGATGATGAAAGCGACGTCGAGAATCCCGATGAACTTTTTTGTATTTGCCGCAAACCTGATAATCACACATGGATGATCGGCTGTGATGGTGGCTGTGAAGATTGGTTCCATGGGAAATGTGTTAATATCAAACAAGAAGATGAAGAGCTGATTGATCGATACATATGTAAGTTCAGGGTCTACGCTCAGAAAGATAGTATTTGCTGAATTACGGAACAGGTCCCAATTGCAAGGAGGGTGGAAAAGGCCAGACATCATGGAAACCGATGTGCCGCTTAAAGGGTTGTAGAAAACCAGCGCGTGTATCAAGACAGAAAATCAGCAAATACTGTTCCGATGATCACGGTCGCGAGTTTATGCGTCAAATGACAAAACAGCTTAGATTGAAAGCTGCCAGCTCCGCTCCGACCCCGGTAGTCCTTGACCGAGTTCGAGGGAAGAGCATTAATCGAGATAGTCGCAGCGTTGATGGCGACGGTGAATCGGCCATGGAGACTAACGATGAAGATGATGAGCACGATCATCGTGGTAGCAGGTTAATGCCCGAGGAATTGGGGAGTAGAGGTGGCGTCTTGACGGTTAGTGACTTGAAGGCCGTTATCATGGGGGTATCGTCATCAGCGGAATTTCGACGACTAGGTGATCGTCTGATAACGCCGCCTCCGTCTATCTCACCACCGGCGAGGAGAGTAGAGAAAAAGACACAGCAAGACGATGATGACTCCTCCTCCTCCTCCTCCTCCTCAGTTGAGACGAAGAAAGCAGTCCAAAAGGATAAAAAGAAAAACAAAGAGAGTAAAGAAATCAAAGCAAAAGACGAAGAAGAAGCGCCGCCGGAACAAGAAGAAGATGAGGAAGAACTTTTCAACCGGAAGAAAATGGGACTAGACATCGATCCACCGGGCGTTCACTACTCAACCGCTGAGGAGGCTAGACTACAGAAATTGCGAGAACAGCGCGATCAATACAGACGCCAACGACAGATGATATCACAACGCAATCAATTTCTGGACCTTGTACGAGCGCGGGCAAAAGCGGTTCTCGATCGCCTGAAAGCAAAGGAGCCAAAGGGTGGGTGGAAAGACATTTGCGGCTGGGATGCGCGCATGGCCTGGAACGAGGAAGAACTCGACGACTGGTTTCATGGAACGGAAGCAGGTCGAAAGGCGTTTGAGGAAAACAAGCTAGAAGCTGAACCAATCGAGAACCTCGTGGCCAGTAACGGCACCGCCACAACTGACGAAGACGATGATGATGAAGACGACGGCCAGCACAACAAAAATAAAAGCAGCAAAAATAATAGTGACACCGAGTTCGCTGAATTTTCTCGCGGAGTATGCACCAAGAAGCGATGTGACCGGCATAAGCAATGGGTCAAGATAGTCCAGCAAGATATCCAATTCGAGGAAGCCATGCTGAAAAGCGAATTTGAAGCCTGCGAGAAAGAGGCTAATGCGATTGTTGAAGGCGCTATATTGAGGATACATGCTAGCTGATTTTTGGTTTCCTCGTTTTTATATTCACACTTACAAAATACACGAAAGGGGGCGTCTGGATTAATTTACGTTGCTGCACTCTGCATCTGTCATCTAGAAGAAGGACAGGACAGCATATCAATCAATGTATCATATATCTTTTTTTTTTCTTGACTTTTGATTTTGACAGGCAACTCATTCATGATGCTATGCTAGCATAAAATTTCATTCAATATTCACCTACTTTACGTAGCTAGACTACTTCCATACACACCACCTCCCCAACCCATCACCCGTACGATCCTTGATGACTTCAACAAGAGTCTGACTCCTTCTCCTACCTTGAAGCAGCAGATGCGTATCAATGCCTTGATCTAGAGTCCTTGACAGAAGCGTATTGAGCAATGGAAGCGGCTCATTATTCTCCGGTTCGTTTTGGGACAAGCCTGCATGCTTTTGCCGCATAGGGCGTTCCCGCGAAAATACAGAGTACAGACCCCCTGTTGACGTTGACGTTGATGTCGTCAGCGGACTTTGAGATGCGATTCCTGCCAGGTCTGTCGATGATGGCTGCGACGCTGCTGCTGGAGGCATACCCGGCCCCAAAGCTATCGTATTGACGAGCAGGACGGACAGAAAAGAAGCATGCGTGCGCGACAAATGAGTCAATGTCCTCAAAGCAGGTGTCAGAACTGCACTTCCGCGCATGGCGTTGGAGTTGTGGATTATGCTTTCGGTCATTGTATCTAGGCCTTCGATTATGAGCAGTGTTGTGGGTGGATCATCGTTTCTGTCATGATCATCCTTGTCGTCGTCGTTGCTTAGTATGAGCTGTTGTTCTTGATATGATCGATAGATCTTGGATAGTGCGTCAGATACTTGGCTGATAGCTTGCGTGGCAGAAGCGAAATCGTGAACCGGGAGTAATTCGACTTGATCCAGGAGGTGGAGTGCCTGCGCTTGTGATATTGGGTCTGTCGTGTCTGCCTCATCGTTATCTAGACTGCTCTTTTTGATGGCCACAAGACTGTCAAACAGTGTCTCCGGCGCAAAAGTAGTAGAATGCACAGGATGAATGATAAACACCCTTGTCGGTGTTGTTGCTTCATAGCCTGCTGGTTGTTGTCGTTGCTGCTGCTGTTCTTCAGGTGGTAAAGAGAACCCCCGAAGAGAGGATGCAAGCAATCTCCTAGAAATCTATGCACAAATCAATAATCAGATCCCACACACATTTCTCGAGTTGCGCGCATACATCACCAAGCAAATCTCTGAGTTGCGAGTCCGACTCGGAATCGCCAACCTCCCACCACTCTCTCAAGTACGAGAGCCCAATTATGATCCCGCACCGGAGCAAACGCTCGGAACCTTGGTTTTCGTTGCGATGATCATGTCTCGACAAACTAGAGAATGCGTTGGATAAGGATGGCTCTAAATTCCATGTTGTTGTTAGGTTCGCCCTTTGTTCTGCTGGAGGTTGAGGTCTCCATATTGCAAGCGGAGGAGGTACGAGTGTCGATGCAAGAACGGGGAATGCTGGGCGGCTGGTGTAGATGTCTTCGTTTTGGGATGTGGTCATTATAATGTTTGTCGCTGTATGTGTATTCAGCAGATTGTTGACGTCTAATTACTGGAGTAGCAGGTTTGCATATGTTGAATTTGTGTGGTGGGTAGAGCCTCCAACTGATTCTACGAGTTCCCAAACTGCAATTTGAAACGGATGAATCTATTGTTAACTAAACTATCGTTGAACTACCTAAATAAATCAATATAAAACAAATATTGGCTTGCTAAGATTGAAATCACAGAAGGAGGGAAAAAAGAAAAGGAAAAAAAAAAAA